ATATTTCTTAGTATACCTATTAAAGTGCTTTAACTAGTTAAAACTAAGCTTGTTAGTAGTCTAGCTGTTCTTAGAGATAGTAATAACCTAGTCTTAGGGTAGGTTTTTATCTTTATACTAGTTAGACTAGTAGTAATATACTTTAAAGATAATATAGGGTAGAATAGGCTATCTAGTAGTATTAATACCCTAGATAACTATTACCTACTCCTAGTTGCCTAGCTAGACCTACTTTGCTTATTCTAGCTTCCCTATATCTATTATAACTTTCCTAGTGCTTATCTAGCCTATTATAAAGCCTATCTTGTTAAAGTTATATATATTATTGTCTAGGATACTATACTTAGCTTTAATATTAGCTATAAGGCTAAACTAGTCCTATATAACCTTCTAGTCCTTGTAGAGAGCTTGCTTATAGTTATACTCGCGATTAAAGACTGTTTTAAGCTCCTCCTAATGTAAAACAAACATACTAGCCTATTTTAAGCTAATAGGGGCTAGACTACGCTCTTTTTATAGAGAATTAGCTATATTAGCTATAGCTATAAGTTAGGGGGGTTCTCCTTGCATAACAAGCTTAAGTATGTACATAATAATTACCTACTCCTTATTATTAGTTAGGTTCTATAAGTTAGCTATAGTATTAACGCGTAAAGCCCTTCTAGCAAGTTAGTAGCATAGAGTAGTTTAGGGCGCGTTGTAGATATCTGCAGCGCATTATACTAAGAGTTTAGGGTCTTGTTAAATAGCCTATAGCGTAAGCTGTATCTAATGTTTATTTAACGCGTCTAACTAGTATTACTAGAGAGGTATTAGTGTAGAGTTAGTGTTCTAGTAGGGTCTTAGCAAAACCGGGCCACTCGCCCTAGTAGGCCACTCGCCCTACTAGTACGTTATACTATTGCTTTTATTAGATCTCTAGTAACGTACCTCACGGGCTAATGGATCACACGGGTCAATGGATCACTTTTGCCAAGACCCTCCCCCATCACACCCTACTTTGGCCCGCATCCGCCCACTATGGGCCAGTATAAGGTAAAACAAGCTGTGTTATTACTCAGAGACTACATCTGCATTATTCTTGCACGTTCGCGCGTTGTGCCCTGTCTCTCCGCACGTTCTACACCGTCGTTGGGATGGTTCGCCTCCTTCAGCGCGCACCCTCTTCTTTGGCTTCTTACCATCACCACGAGCGCCGAACTCCTTTAGGGTAGCTACACGCTGGGATTCCTCAATTGTAAGGGTCCCTTCCTGCTGAATCCGCCTTCTTTTATGTGATTTGCGTTCTGTTGCAGCTGCTAGAGCTGCCTGAAGCTCAGTGCGCTCTTTCTTAAGCAAAGCCAGCTCGTGCGCTACCTTTGCTCCCCCCTTTGCATAGTGCTCAAGCGCGCTATAAACAGAATTTGGTGAGCTGCCCTGCTGCCTCTTATACTTGTCTCGAATTAGAGTCGATTGCGACTCAAATTCAATTAGGTTTTTGGGGGTTTGGGATTGCCACAGCTCGTTGTTGGTGGGTAGTTGGGGTGATGGAGTCCGCAGCTTCACATTAAGGGTTGAAATGACCCGTTGTGGGTCAAAAGGGACCAGTCCAGCCCCTCGGAATCCTCCTTGGATGTTGCTAGAGGTAATAGCTTTATTGTAGGCCTCTTTGAAGCATGGCAGGAACTCATGCTTTATAATGTGGTTAATCCGGTTGCGCATAAGCCCTTCGGCTTGGCGCCCGTACGCCTGCTTCAAAGGGCCAAAACAACCCACATCAAGAGGCTGGAGGAGGTGCGATGAGTGAGCAGGCATACATAGAGATATAATCTGGTTGGCCTTGCAGTATTGGTGGAAATCCAGTGATAGGTGGCTCTCGTGGCCGTCTACTATAAGCAGACGGTAGGTCCCTACAGTGCGCTTCTTTGTATGCGCATCAAAGTGCCTTAGCCAGTTGGAACTAAGCTGATTTGTAGTCCAGCCGTTTTCAGAGACTCCAATAACCCAGTCTGGCGGCAGAGTTTGATCCTTAGTCCAGCTTGACAGGTGGTTGCGTGCCTTGAAGATGATGAAGGCTGGAATAGCCCACCCTGTGGCATTGATGCCCTGGATGACTGTTGCCCACTCTCGGTTGCCCGGCTGGACTTGCTTAGCTCGTCCTGGCTTCTCTGCATCTGTGACAACTGCTCCAGGGGTTATCTGGCCCATCATGAAGCCAGTCTCGTCAAAGTTGTACGTGTCGTCGTCTAGTATACCATACTTGGCTTTGGTATTGGCTACTAGGTCGAACCAGGCCTGTATAACCTCTGAATCCTCACAGAGGGCTCTCTTATAGTCATACTTGCGACTAAACCTCACTCTGAGCCTTGGTTGACGGTTGACGAACGTTTTGGGCCAGTTCTGCCCAACATGGGGCATTCCACGCTCTTCTCGCAGCAAATTGGCCATTGCAGCCACATCTGAGAGGCGGGGAGGACTTCCTCGGTCAATGAGGTTAAGAACGTAATCAACAATCGCCTCCTCCTCATACTTGTTCAGATTCCGTCGATTGGCCATAGAATCAGCTCGTGAGGACTGTCCAGCGCATCGCCGGCTTAGGGTACTTTGGGGCACGTTGTAGATAGCTGCAGCGCGTCGCTGTGAGATTTTCGCGGCTTGTTTGATAGCCTGAAGCGCAAGCTGTATCTGACGTTCTTTTGACGCGTCTAATTGAGGTTGGTGGGGGGGCATTTAGATGGTGATGGTGTTTTGGTGTGGTCTTGGCAAAAGTGATCCATTGACCCGTGTGATCCATTAGCCCGTGAGGTACGTTATAGACTATCTATGTTAAGTATATTCTATATAGTAGTAAGAGTAGTAAGAAGAATAGCTAACTAGTGTTAAAAAAAATCTAGGATAGGTTTTAGGAAAATAAAAGGTTTTATAAGATTGTTGCAGGTTATAGAAGATAGAGGTGCGCTAGAATAGGTTAGTTTAGGGGATTGATCAGGGGCTAGAGTCCTGAAAGAGCAACACGAGAAGGCAGATCAACGCTAAAACCATGATTGGACCGGAACACGAGCGTTTGCTGAAAGGTAGGGGTTTAGCAAGTTAATGCAGGGCTGTTGCGTAGGATCCCTCCAGGGACTGCAGCACTCTAACTCTTTGACATTGGCACTACATTTACAACAATAGACGCACTGCGCGAACCCAGCGGTAGAACTCGTTGATAGTCTCGGCTTCCTGCTAAAGCAAGTACTACTTTGCAGCGCTGGAAGGGCATCGCAGACCGCCCAGACAAAGTGGCCATTCTATTCAACAGCCTTTGCACGCAAGGCTGGATTACTTTCACTGCAACACTGCGCCTTTCGAATCTCTCACTACATCTGCCCGGAGTCACCTTACACCTGATCCTCCAACGCCATGGCCTTGCCCCGTTCTCGCGCGCCTTGCGCTTCTGGCTCCATCATGCAAGCCTTGCGCTTCTTGCTTCATCAAGCAACGCAACCACCCGCCCACACCTTTGGAGTTGCGTCATCCGGCCTCACCACAAGTGTCCACTCCTGTCCTCTCTGATCGAACTCACGGTTGTTGAGAGTGCCATTCGGTTCATCAAGAGCCATCAGCGAAAGTATTACTCCAACAACCCCTACGACAAAGAAAACTTCAGTGCCTACATCTCTAACAACGAGGAGCAAGAACTTCAAGAACGCATCGCAAACCATCTTGATGCCCGACTTGCACCTTGCATCGTTCATCACCTTTCTCACTACTGGCATTGGCCAGCAGATCTCATCGGAAAAGGAAAGCTCCTCCCTCCTACGAATGACAACATTCTATCATCCGGTAGTGGTCACCGAGATGACTGATGAGATACTCGACCAGAACGCTAGATAGCTCGACAAACAGATGGTCCCACCTAAGATGCTGACGTCGCAGCCGCCAAAAGGACGAAGTGCCTCGACTTAAAAGTCACTGTCGATGTTCAAGACAACAAGACCAAAGGCAAAGTTCCTGACGATGCTTTTCGCTATGGCACAGCCATCTCGCGGTCGCTTGTCCTTGTGGGTAGGCATCTGCAGCTGTAAGGTATTAGCTTTCCCAGCCGCGACGTTGTGGAGACCTACTAATCTTCGGTTCAGGGAGGTTGGTGCTGAATCTAGAGCCGCGCGTTCATAGATGATGTGGAGATTGAGTCCGGCGTTCCCCGCAAGTAGCACAATCATCGCAGCACCCAAGCGCTAGGTCTCCGCCTCTACGTCTCCTCAAAAAACAACCCTTGTAAGTCGTCAGTCCGCAATCTATGAAAGGACTTTCTTATGTAGGTGGGTTGTCGCCTCGGATTGGCTGCCACCGGTACGTTGAGTCAAGAGTCGAGCCAGTCCAAGTAGCGTTCGATCAGTGTTTAGTGTGCGCTTGATTTGTTGCGGTTGCTTCTGTCGTGGCCAAGCATTGAGCGGTGTACGGTGACGAACCGCGCGCTATCTGCAATCGTCCCTTCACGATTAAGAACAGAAGATGCAAAAGTACACGCATTGGCTATAACGTGGGTAAGCTCCAGCTGCGACAAAACCCCGCTGGCTTTCTAATTAAGCTAAGCCAAGCTTTCCGGTTCCTGGTATCAGCCTCTACTTGGCGTCGTCTTTGCGACATGTCCACGCAGTGTCTCGCAGCTATTACGCCACATCTCAACATCGAGCCACGAAGCTTCCTCATGCAACTACACAGAACAAGTCAAGCTTGCAGAAAATGAGGGTACGATCAAGGCATAGTCCAGCGTAGTCTGTGGTCTAACAGCGTTCAAGCCAGCACAACACGTAAGCTGCGGGTACACCCGGTTTCAGAACATAGACGTCAACTCGATGAAACAAGAAACACTGCTAACCAATCCAGACTACAAGCACGACAAATTTGATCGATGCTGGAACATTGTGACACGCTGGTTCGCGGAAACAGATCGTCATCAAGCCCGTCAACAAGTGCCAGATTAATGACAGGCTCCAGGGCCCTGGCCTCATCTACGCGGCTCGCCGTCCGCTTTAGTGAGGGGTGTTTGTTTGCCGCGTCACTTTCTGCTTTGTGTCATTGTGAGCCACGCAACTGTGAAAGTTTGACATGAGTATAAATAGGTGGAATTACAGTTCGGAATATCATCCACCAACCTTCACTTCTTTACTTCAGTCCTTCAGCTCTTCGCTTCGCCTTCACAGCACTGTGTGCTTTCTGTCGTTTCAAATTGCATCGAGTCCATTTGCTCAAAGACCAACAACCAGCTTTCATCCACCACTTCCCAAGACTGCCTCTTCAAAACAGCATCATGGTTGCCTTTTCTCGCATCACTTTCGCATTCGCCGTTGCCGGCTTGAGCGCTGCTCAATCCTTCTCAGGACCTGCTCCTACAGACCTTCCGACAGGCACCTTCCCTTCGGGAGCAGCCCGCCCAACTGGCGGCTTCGGCGGACCTGGTGGCAACGGGGGTCACCACGGTGGGGACAAAAGCGGTTTCTCCCACCCGACCGGTGGTTTCCACTCTGGAGTCCGCCCATCGGGCACAGGTGTCTTCGATGCTCAGCGCGCTCAGGAGAGCGGCGATGCCCCTTTCCCCAGTGGCGGTGATCTCTCAGCATTTCCCTCAGGTGCTGCCAAGCCGTCTGGCCACCACGGCCACCACGGCAAGGGTGGGAAGGGCAGAAACCACAGTGGACAAGCTTCTGCTCCTACCGCTGCACCTTCAGTTGCCTCTGGCCTTGCACGTCGCCAGAAGCAATCCGGCTCTGCCTCTGTACCTCCGAAGCCAACAGGTCCCATTCCCAGTGGTGTCGCGCCTCCAAATGGTGCCCACCCCTCCGGCCACCAAGGTCCTAAGCCCAGTGGCACACCTCCCGCGCGTCCTTCTGGAGCCGAGAATGTAGCTGCCGCCGCCGCTGCTGAGTCAGGCCCCGCCTCCAAGTCAGGCGCTCCTGGTCCTCGCCCGACGGGCCCCATCCCCAGTGGGATCGCGCCTCCAAATGGTGCCCACCCCTCCGGCCACCAAGGTCCTAAGCCCAGTGGCACACCTCCCGCGCGTCCTTCTGGAGCCGAGAACGTAGCCGCCGCTGCTGCTGCTGAGTCGGGCTCCGCCTCCAAGTCGGGTGCTCCTGGTCCTCGCCCAACCGGCGCAAGGCCATCATTCCACCCCAGCGGCCCTGTTCCATCGGGCGCTCGCCCAACTGGCCCTCCTCCGTCTGGAAAGCCGTCCGGCATGCCAATTCCTACCGGTTTCGTCACCTCGACAGTTCGTGGTGCTTAGATCACCGTTCGACCGTTTGGCATTGGCGACACAATTGTCGTAGACTTCAGCTGACATACCCGCTAGCTTTAGGTTGAGAGAAAGAGATGTTGTGTTCGGAGCTTTGTGTTGAGGGTTTTTGTTTCTCAATTTTAGGGTCGTTTCGCGACATACCAACTTATACACTCGTTGATCGCGCTGGATGCGTTCGAGACGCGCTTTTTTGTACAATAGGAAATCGAATTCCGTTCTCTTCATCATTAGAACCATTTTTCATTCTTAGTAACTTCATGGCTGCCATTTAATTAACAGAGACGAAGAACAGCTTCTAGAACTGCTTGTCACCGTCGTGGTAGCTAGGTTGAAAGGTTCAATAGTACATACGTGACGCCGGTCTGGGACCTCCAACTGCCTGAGAATAGTACGCTGGCTTGCCGAGTAGAACATGTGTTCGAAAGAGTTTTCATGAGGATGTGACGATCGTAGATTTGCATAAGGCCCGTCAGTTCAATTTTGCCTCGGACTTTTGTATCGTCAACATGAAAAATCGGCGCACAGATGTACAGTCGAATCTTGTAGCTTTAATAAGAAGCACAATAGAAAATTACGTTGTACTATCTCTTCGTGTTGAGCTGGGTAGCAATCTTTTGCGAGGTTGCTACGGTGGGGCTTTCAGTTTCTGACCAAAGGATTCTTTTCACGCTGCCGGACTGGAAGAGTCAAGCAAGAGCAGGAACACTATGGATCCTACGAGTTTCAAGATTCTCTGTGCTAGTTAACTTTGTCTACAAGCAGAGTATCAAATTGCCCGACTTTGAGATATCTATTTGTCGAGGCCTTTGCCTAATCATCAGTTCGGAACGCCATGTCTAGTGCCAATTGTTCGATGCGTTCTGAACGTCGCTGGTAGTAAACAAGGTTAGTAATTTAGGTGTTGCAATACGTTATACGTTATACGCTTTACGCTATGCGTTATACGGTTCACTAGAGTAGCACTTTGAAGCTTGCAGAATACGTCGCAAACCTAGCAGGCTTGGTACGAGTACGCATGCGAAGTGATCAAACGGTTGCGCAGTTCCGTAGAGTAACCAGGCCAGTCAGATCACTATTTTCAATTACCAGCAATGCTTGCAAGTAAATGACACACGCGCGGCTGTAGAATCAGATCGTCTTCGCGTACTTTGTCACTCTCAGGCCCCCAGATCTGCTTACAGATGGAAGATTACTTGTAACACCTGCCCCTCCCCAAAAGTTGGTAACATCGTTCATAGTACGGGATGCGTCATCGTTGTATAGAATATAGGTCTTGTAAAGATCCGTGGCGAACGACTTGTGGTGAGATGAGATTCGATTCTCGCGCCTAAACAGCTCTTCAAGACTGCCGACAACGCTGGCTTATAGATAGCAACAAAGTTAAGATTGTACACTGCCTCCAAGATATCAGGCAATGGTGAGACTCGGCATAAAGGACTCAACTGATTCCACTGTGGAAGTTATAGAGAGACTCTCAGATGAAGTCGACCGCACTAAAACGCTACAGTAAAACGCTACTATCTAGGCGCTTATAAAGCCGACTCAAACGCTGGGCTCTCCTCTATCTCGATCATCTCATGCCATTGGCAAGATACTCCTTTTCGTTCGAGTAGGTTTCTGTCTCATCGTAGAACCATGGTTCGTCCGCCATCTCGGTTTCCTCTTTAGAGATCAGAAGCGGATGGTTCTTATAGTCTAGCCGAAGACCTGGATAAATGAAGGCTCGCCACATGTAAAGAAGTATGTTCGAGCTCTCTAGACTCGGCGCGATGTGAGGTGCGATGAGCTCCTGATGCTTTTGTGGCAGGGTAGACCAGTGTAGCCCGGGGTACAGATGATGGACGGTATGATACCCGTTGTTGAAGCACAAGTAATTGAGCACCTGGCCAGTGAAATTGCGCGCAAAATTATGTTTGGAGCTCATGTCGCACCCATCATGTTGGAGAAAGTTCAACGAGAGAATGCAGTATTTGGCGTAGAACTGTGGCAGCAGTGCAAACCAGACCCATCGACGCCAATCCAGCAAAACAAGCACTGCTGTGGCGCTCCAAACAGCAATCTCTTCGAGTCGGCGCTGCTTCACAATAGGTCGGTTTAGACGGGCTTGCGCTTGGAAATACAGCTTGTCATCTGCGTTTCCCGACAGGACAACGTGCCAAAAAAAGAGCAGGCCGTTCAAGAGATTCCAATTATATCGAACTTTCGTAGTACGCACTATATGAGAGGAGAGAGGATTAGCGCAATGGAAGGCGGAATAGTTGAGTCTCCAATGCTGCTATTTGCAATGCGTGACTGGTACGCTGCAAGGCTAGGGAGGCAGAGAAAAACAGGAGCAAAGAACTTACTAACGTCTCTTGCTTGCTGGGGATATTTGTGGTGAGACAAGTTGTGGCCTGGTATAAAAATAGATACTGCGCCCCCATACTGCAATGACAAGCACAACTGGTAGAATCGGTTCCAGTTCTTATTCCAAAAAATTGGCAAGTGAATAGCGTTATGTGTCGTTACAGCGCCCATAAAGGATAGTTGGAACAGCGAGAGCCATGCTGTAAATGAAAGTAGTCCGCCTGCAAATGGCGATGTGAAGGTCTGCCAAGTGATGACAAAGACGGCGAAAAATAGTACCGTGGACAGGATACACCGGATATCCTCTTCGTGTCTCATCAGCGATTTGTTGTGTAGCCGTACTGGATATGACGGCTGTGGGAGCGCATGGTTTGATTGTACGCCTGGCGTTGTTTTGGTCGCCATTTTGCTGGTGATGATTGGGACAGCCGTTGGCAACGGATACCTAAGAACAACGGTTCAATTTGCGAGTAAGGCCCAAGTGCCAGAGGACTCTGCACGCTGGGGCTGAACGCTCAGTGCTCTGCTGTAGTGTGATCAATGAATTTGTTCGTTTGCTGAACCGTGGTGATGGTTCTACGTCAATTTATATTGACATTATTAGACACGCTAGCATATCACGTGCAAGTGGAGATAATCCGGGACAACGCACCATGACAGACCGAGTAGCGAACGGAACAGCCTTAAATAATTCCAATGTGAATTTCGCTCACGTAAGCTATTCCCGACTACGAATACGCGTATAGATGTCTTATCTAGACTTGATGGTGGGATTAATTGTACAGCCTTTAGGGGCAAGATTTACAGATAAAACGCGTTCCATCGCATGCGAGTGTCGGTAAGATGTACGAAGCTTCTGCTGGGGCTTCAGACCTACAAGAAGAGCTAATATTGATTAATGGGTTTCCACAGTCCATCTCACAGCGACTTTCATCCTACAGAGCACCTCATCCGAATTTGAGGACACGAACATCGGTTGACCTGAAGTATAGGGGCCGTCAGGGCGTTTGAGGCTCAAGCGGAAGGCACGGGTGTCTAGAATTGCGCTAGAATAAGAGAACCCGTTTCGCGGCCCGTATGGTCAAACTGCGCCAGTGTACAGTACTGGTCGAATTGCATTACCGCTTGCAATGCAGCTGAGACGCCACGCAAGCGGGAGCTACTCAGACATGCCACGAGAGTAGCCTTTGCCGGGCAGTCTCTTTTGCAGGACGACAACCGGTCCTTGTCGAAGATTAACAGCGAAGTCAAAGCGCAGGGATCGACCAAGTCGCTGGTGCCGAGCAAGGCGATGGTGAGACTCACGAACAGCTGAAGGACTTAGGAGCGAAGCGTGGCGCGGACGCTGGAGCCGCTGCAAACGAAACAAGGTGCAGGCGAAATGCAAGAGTTCTGCACTGAGGGTAGGTGCGGTGGCTGGCGCGATGCAATACGAAGTACGGCCATGGGTTAGAAGTCTTGGAGGCGCCAGTAGGTAGCGCGGTCCGTCGCAGCGGACTAGAGATACAACGAGTCGCGCAGTTGATGACATTTCTACCCTGACATCGCTGGAGGTACAATTAGTCTTTCCATGACCATGTTTCGTTCTTCGCTGACTGGCGCACCGGGTTGGCTGCCTTCTGCCTTGCTGAATTACACCCGGGACCTTGAGGTGTGGAAACACTAGAGCCGCTGTCAGCTTAGCAGCTACCACCTTAGCGCGTGTTCTCACCCGCGTCTGACCCGCCTCAGGCTCGCCATCTCAGCCACCTAAGCCAACGTGGTCGACACCGCCACCAACATGGTCCGTACCGCCAGCCTTGGCTCGCAACATCGTCCCGCTCTGCTGCTGCGGAATACCTAGGCTGCTTGAGGCTGTGCAGCTTTTCGCGCGTCGCCCTTTACTTGATGACATACGAACGCATCGAAGAAATGGGGCGCCGCACGCTTTGCTGCCAGCCCACCTTGTCATGTCTCTCGACTCTCGCACACGCCCACTCCATGTGCATACAAAAAGATGCACCTCTTGTGTACGGAGAAGATAGAAAACTTACCCTTACTGTCGATTTGGTCGATGCTGACACGACAGCCTTCTAAGCGATCTTGTCTTATACCTGGCGAGCGGACAAAGACGAGGTGACCTACGAAAACCTCGCAGCGGACACCGGCAAGGGCAAAGGCAAGCCTAGCTGCAAGACGATTAAGCTGTTCAGAGAGCATGCAGAGCGCAGCAGCTCGTCTAGCGTCGCCCTTCGTACGATACAATCCGTTCGCGTTCAGGTTAGGTACCAGCACTACGATGCGAACGCGGAAGGCTGCGAAGTAGAAAGAGTCTTGAGCTAGAACACGATTATTTGATGTTATTTGCGCCGGGTCGGGTTGTCGTACTCGTACAGACATCTTTTTGAGCATTTCGGAACCGAGGCCGGGTCGGCACCACAGCTAACCGTGCCCACTTCGGTTCCGAGACAGTGTATCCGAGATGCCCGAACTGCGACTTTACTCACGAGTGCACTTGGTAATTTCATTCTTCTAGAAAGATGGACCTCTGTTGCTATGACACACGGATTACAATATAAACCGTAGCGAGCAGTGACATCCACTCTCTCCTGCATATGTTTCAATTTTTCGCACCTACTTTACAAGTACTCATCGAGCATCGCCGACCTCTATGATCTACAGGACTTTCCGTGCTATAGGCATGGCGCTTTTGCTCCTCTACGGTTTTGTCTCACCGTCTTCCGCCCAAAACGCACAAACGAAGATTACTTTGCATCCAATATACCGCACAGTCCCTCCACCAGGCGATTCCTTCCCGCAGGATGCGGGCCATATCCTGGTTGTTTCCTTTGTACTCCTAGCCATCTCCCTTGCCTTTGTGGCCGTGAGCTTCACTGAGAGCAAAAGATGGAACAGCACTGTTCCCGCCGCTCTAACGGTTGGAGCTTCTACCTGCGTCCTAGCGGAAGCTATCAATTGCTATCTGTCCAACGTCTACTGGACGACGTCGCACGACTCAAAACAGCTCATGTTCACCTTGCTCGGTCGCGAGTTCGATTTGTACGTTGGCATTATCTGGTGGTCATTCGGCTCCGCGCTGAGCTGCTGCATCTATGCCGCGTTGATGCGCAATGTAAGCACCGGGACGCTATGGGCGTGCCTGGCTGTAGCTGGTTTGGCTGATCTTGTGCTGGAAGAAGTTATGCTCAATTACGGGGGCATCTACACGTACTACGGACACCAGCCTCTCGTCATCTTCGGGCTTTTTCCATGCTGGTGGCTGTTCGCCAATGTGGCTGGAATCTTCATGGGCATCTCTGTCACATATCGTTACCGCAATTGGTTCAACGGATGGAAGAGCATCTTCCTTATACCGATTCTGCCCTTCTGTTACGTGGGACCTCAGGTTTTAGCAGCTCTGCCTACCATCTACGTTGTCCAGGCAGACCATTCACCTCTTGTAACTCAAGTTTGCGGCATCCTTACGGCATCTATATCGGTTATTGAAGCTGGCGTAATCATGGATACTATACTTGGGCGAGATCCTCTACATTTTGGTCGTGCTGCTCCTAAGGGAAAGTCGGCTTAATCACGAGAGCATGGTCAGGGTACGCAAGAAAACGTATCTCTCGACTAATAGATTATATAGGGTAATATCCAGTAGTTTAGACTATGTCTTAAGATTTCTACTATACACTCTAAGAAAACTAGTAGTGTTTAAAACTAGTAAACTTGTTTGTAGCAGTTGATATTTGCTAGTATTCTATGTAGAAGACTAGACATCTACTAGATATCCTTATATAAAGTTAAGAGTATCTTGTTGCATGTTTAATACATTAAACTGCTACTTGTTGTAAAACTAAGCAACTCAAACCTCTTCTTAGCTACTCTATCCTCCTTCTATGTGCTCTGCCGTAGGAGCGGTCTAGTAGGAACACACGCTCTACTATAACAACAAGCTATAAAACAGCACCCTCAACATTAGGCAAGCAGTCTCCGATCTTTCCCTCTTCCGTGATGCTGATAAAAACACTTCCCTCACCTCGAAGTGGATTGCCACTCCACAGAATAAAGTTACTAGGCATCTTGCCACTCTCCGTGTATTCATCTTTCAGACCCAGTATTTTATTGAAGTTGGTCGACACAAGCCTGATAGCTTCCCGATCGCTCAAACCTGCCCACTTGCCGGCGAAGCGCGCTTCTCTAGCAAGCCCGTGCGTCTTACTATCTCCCTTAACCGCCAGTGCAAGTAGTACGCCTGCATCAATCAGTACCTGTGTGGCTGAGCGCGAAAGAGGTGGACCAGGTAGAGTGTGTCGTTTCTCCCAGGTGTCAGGGGCGCCGCGATTCCCTGTGAGAATCACCGGAATCTGGGCTTCGGCAAGAGCACGCGCTACCAAAGGTGCACCATGGCCGCCGTAAATGACGAAGTTGACATGAGGGAATGCGTGTTTGAGTTGCACGACTTGCTCGATGTCGTTGGGGTGAACTGTGTGAACAACGACCGGTAAATTGCCATTCGCTGCACGTGCATAGACACCACCTACCGCGTGAGATTTTAGTGAAAATATCTCGTACAATTTCTGTACACCGCTAGAGACAGATGGTAGAACTTGGCTTTTGGCAGTTTGGCCAATGTGTACATGTAATGCAACTTCGGTCTTCCAAATCCCTCCCTCGAGAGCAGTGGCATCTTCAGCGGTTCTTAAACCCACGCTTACGCCTTGTAACACGCCACCTCTGTGTAAAGGTGCAGTTACAGCACGCGTCACGCCGCCAAGACGAGCACGATCAAAGCTGCGGCTTCCGAAGTGGATGCCGTATCTTGCGAATGGAACATTTGACTCCTCTAAGACGTTGGAAGAGATCGAGATCCCATCACCAGTGGAAGGCTCGGAGGGGATATCAAGAATGCCGATGTTGTTACCGAACGCAAGGAGACCGGGCGTCACGTAGCCATCGGTGAGATTAAATACCGTACTATGGGGATCCTGGGATGGTCGGCAAATTGAGGAGTGATCGAAACATCGAACACTACCGTTGGACAATATAAGACTCCAATCCGAGCTGATTGCAGAGGTATTGAAAGGTTCTTGGTCAAGCAACACATGAGAGATGCCAGTGATAATGACGTCTCTATGCCGAGACCGTGTTTCGTTACAAACTTGATCTTTGTGATCTCTAGAAACTACTGTATGGACACGAGGCGCCGTAGCGCTGGACGAGTCGATTGTTACAGTCGTAGACGGATCCAATCTTGATTTTTCGAGGACCTCTCTACCATCAACGAACACCTGTATCGGCGTAGCACCAAAAGTAAGAGGATGAGAATCCCACACGACAATATCAGCATCGAAGCCAGCCCGTAGAGAGCCAATGCGATGATCTTGTTGAATTGAACGGGCGGCAGTGGAAGTTACAGACTGGAGTGCTTTGACCTCGGAGAGACCATAGGAGTGAGAAATCGACGCTTGATCCAGGAGATACTTCCCAAAGTTACCCTCTCCTGTGTGATCGGACTTCAGGACAACCCGAATGCCATGCTCGTCAAGGATCTTCGGCGCACGCAAGTTCGCCTCATAGGCCTCGTATTTAAAGAATCCATTTTCAGCGAACGTCGCTACTGTGATGTTTCGTTCTTGCTGTTTCAACAACTCAGGCACTTTCCATGCTTCGAGAGCATGATGGAATGCATTTGGGTGTACACCAAACTCGTGCAGAACGTCCATCATGCGCTCAAGATCTTCGGGCTCATAGCAGTGGATGTTGACGTTGAATTTCCCACGAAGTAACGCAACAGTGGCTTCAAGTTCACATCTTGATTGGCGTTCACTCGAGGGAACGGCATCTCAAGATGATGGGAATGGATATCTACAAGCCCTGGGGTCACAAAGGCTCCTCCTAGATCGTAGACCCTAGTTCCAGTCCGGTACTCAGCAGTGTTGCAATCTTTTACTACTGCTACAATCAAGCCTCGCTCGAACACGACATCGACCCCCTCGGTAGATATCGACTCTCCGTCGAATAGAGTGACATTCCCAAGTATCACTGTTTCGTTTTGGCCAGTGACTGGGTTCCAACGAGGGTTGACTCTTGATTGCGGAGGCTTGCCCAACGACTGTTTGCCAGAATGATGGGTGCGACATTTCTGGAGTCCTTCCAAAAATAGCTTTTGTTGCGTGTGAGCATTTGGAGGATCTAAGAGACTGCCGTAGCGGATGAAGATCAGTAAGATGGCTGCGGTTGCAGTCAGAACAGTGAGCCCTGCTCTTCGTCCTTTCCGGGATAAGAAATGCAGCTTTTGCGGTGCTTGACACGACGGAAGCGACGGTAAACGAGACCTGTATGTCTTGTCGTCGCACATCTTGGGACAAGATTTGGTAACTGTGTGAGAATGGGAATTGATGTTGTTATTTACACCGGCGCTTGCAGGCCGTCTCCGTTATGTGATGATGAAGAACGAGCGTCGCCGAGATCCAAGACATCCGACTCCATTGCGAAGTCGGGCCAGACTTACACCCGCAATCGGGTGCGTTTCATATTTTTGGCCTTCTTGTGCAAAGCCGTGATAAAGAACGGAGATGCAATTCATCCGCCAGATGACGCCATAACTGTAATCCACTTCCCATCGTGATTGTGATTCGCTCAAATACACGGTTCGGCACCGGCACCGTATCAATGTGTCAAATCCCACTACCGAATACCTAGGCATCTCCTCTATCAGATACAGTATGCCCACTACGGGAGCTTTATTTCGATGCTGTGGCAAGCAAGGCAGCGGTGTGAGGTCAATCTCTACCTACCTAGATACCTAATACCAGCAACATCAATGACGAAATGCATTAGGAAAATTCGATATCGAATGATTGCATCCGCCTTGTCAAAGGATGCACAAGCTTGCAAACCTCTAGACCACTATTTGTTACCTCTATGGACGCGCACCGACAGCCGGCTTCGGACGTTGCATTGGGGCATTTGGTCATTTGGTGCCACCCGTTCAATCGAGGAACCTTCCGTTGTGGTCCACCTATCACCACAAGAATTTTCAATTTCTCATGCTCATTTATCCACTCTTGAAGAAGCTTGTTAGTGGAACCTTCATATAACACATCTTGGCACCCGAAGATGCGCCATCTACCGTGTGCATATCGAAGGACGAGAACGAGGATCCACAGGGGCCCGTAACCATGTAAAATCTGCTAAGAGACCAGCCATCATATTGTATTGGAGCGTGTTATCTCTGGGAGGCGAGCCGAGACATAAAGTCAAAGTCGTTGGACTCGCTCTTGACAGAGCAAAATCCAGCTGCAATTGTTGAGCATCTACACGCAGCCGAAAAGATGAAAGACCGACAAGGAAAGAACGAAGATGGGATCAATGCAGTAACTATCGCCCCTGTGCCTCAGGTTCGTCAACAGCAATGTCTCGGTGATGCTCAATCACAATCTGCTGACGTGCAGCAGAGAGAGAGCTTCGATGAAAAGTTCTCAGTCGAGGAGCTTGCAAGGTATTTTCCATTTTCAGCCGGACACGGAAGAGTCACTGATGCAGAGCAGACGGCTCAATGCGACTGTAGAAGAGGTTTTAGCTGCGAGAGATCATTCAAGAACGCTCACTCTGCAAGACACCCGCAAAGTGAGTATCAAGGTGGATGCAGGATTGCATTTGCTCTCCTGACCTCTCCCAAGGCTGCAGATGCTCTTATCTTCGAACATGCCCTCGATCCCAACTTTCCTGCGGGCGCGTTGGAGCGGCTCAAAAGATTCCAGGCTAACGAAGAGATGGTGGCACACCCTGAGAGTTACGAACAAGAGATCTTGGAAGTGAAGGTCGAGGTGTCGCTACTCATAACAAACAGTCCTTATGCAGAAGTACGCGCTGTCGTTGAACCTCACGATGACGTCAATCTCCCTGTGTCAACGATCCGCTCTTGGGCCATTGGGTTGTTTTCTGTCGTCATCGTTGCCTTCATCAACCAACTGTTTAGTGTGCGGCAACCCTCCATCTTTCTACGCTCTGAGATTGTTCAGTTGTTGTCCTATCCAATTGGCAAGGCCGCAGAGAGGTGGCTCCCTGACGTTGGTTTGACGCTGTTTGGTGTCCGCCATAGCCTGAATTCCGGTCCTTTCAACAAGAAGGAGTATATGCTAATCTCAATCATGGCTAACGTTGGCAAGACTCTGCCCAGCTCCAGGTACATTGTTTTCACCCAATGGATGGACAAATACTTTGGCCAACATTACGCTAAATCTTTAGTTGGTCATCGTGAATCTAATCTTGGCACGTTACTGATACTATTCAGGCATATCAAATTTTGCTTGCCTTGTCGACTAATTTGATGGGCTTTGGCTTAGCTGGTCTGACCCGAAGATTCCTGGTATACCCTTCTTTTTGCCTATGGCCGGCTTCTCTGGTTACAATCTCGCTCAACAGTGCTCTGCACAGTGGTAAGTAAAACAGGGTTGCCGTTCATCGATCTATGCGACTAATGAAATGTCAGAAACCAATCGCCCGGTTACAGGGCCATTCGCAAAAATTTGGACAATCTCGCGTTACCGTTTCTTCATGGTTGCATTTGTCGCCATGTTTGTATGGTTCTGGTTCCCAGACACTATTTTTGGTGCGCTTTCGATCTTCAATTGGATTGCCTGGATCGCGCCTAACAACTTCACCTTGACGGCTATCACGGGTATCAATAAAGGTCTGAGCTTCAACCCGTTCCCTACCTTTGACTGTAATGTGGTCACACATCACGTAGATCCGCTCGTAGTACCCTTTCGAGTCACATTTAACGCCTTTGTGGGGACTGTCCTTGGAGGCATCACCATCGCGGGTCTCTATTGGACTAATGCGTTCTACACCGGGTACCTTCCGATCAACTCGAATGCGATGTACAATCACCAAGGCGGACCTTACAACGTTACAAGGATCCTTGATCATCGCGGTTGGCTCAATGAAACAGCATACCAGGCGTATTCGCCTGTTTACCTTGCAGCTAGTAGTATCACTATGTACTACTTCTTTTTCGCCACATACGCTGCTACCGTTTCTTACGCAGTTCTTTACCATCGTAACGACATCATGCTTGGTTTCCGCAGTTTGGTGCGAAGCTTTAAGAAAGAGAAGACCAATGACTTCAAAGATATCCACGCCAAGATGATGTCTTCTTACAAGGAAGTTCCCGAGTGGTGGTACCTCATACTCAACGCTATTGCTATCGTACTCGGTGTTGTCGCCGTCGCCGCTTGGCCGACCGAGACTAGCGTTGGGGTCGTGTTTTTCGGTATTGCCCTCGCACTGGTCTTCGTCATCCCCACGGGGATTATCTTCGCTACAACTGGCATGGAAGTCGAGTACAATGTCCTTGCAGAATTTATTAGAGGCGCATAGGAGCCTGGCAATGCGCTTGCAATGAATTTCTTCAAGTGCTTCGGCTATGTCACGACAGCACACGCGCTTGACTTTGCCAATGATCTTAAGCTGGCACACTACCTCAAAATCCCACAGCGACACACATTCTTCGCTCAGGTTATCGCAGTCTTCGTGTCTGCGTTTGTCTCTACGGGCGTCATGAACTTCCAGATCCAGCACATTACTGATCTTTGCGAACCCAACCAGAAAGATCGCTTCACCTGTCCAGGAGTGAACACTTATTTCACGGCTGCAGTCTTGTTTGGCAGCCTTGGTGCCCGAAAAGTCTTTGGTACAGGTGGTATATATACCATACTGCTGTCAGCCTTCCCAGTTGGCTTTGTCCTACCGATTGTCTTCTACCTGCTTCAACGTAGGCTGCCTCGCACTCATTGGGCCGCAAAAATTCACCCGGTTATGCTTATGCAAGGCGCCAGCTATTGGAGTCCATACAACTTGGCTTATATGTGGCCAGCAGTCATTCCTGGATGGTTTAGTATGGTGTTCCTGCGCCACAGATATCTGGCATTCTGGTCCAAGTACAACTACGTCTGTTCTGCGGCGTTTCAAGCTGGAATCGCTATCGCTGCAGTCATTTTCTTTTTCGCAGTCAGTTACCCAGGTGTATCAATCGATTGGTGGGGCAATAATGCGTCGAGTGGCTGTGAGCTGAAGACCTGCACGCTGTTGAAGTTACCAAAGGACAAGTACTTTGGGCTGCGTATAGGAACCTACGCAAGCTGAACAAGTTGCCATTGCCTAATCTTTCAGGAGAAATAGTTGAAGAGAAACTGGGTTAAACACTTAAACAATTATGTGCATCGTGATTGATCAGAGAGGAAACTGGAGAAGTTTTCTTAAAAGAACCCGAAATCATGACAGATCTACCATGTCCTAAAGCGATGGGACTTGGGATCTTATATTACAGAACTACCTGTTAAGACTCCTATCCTATCTTATCCTCTAGCTATTCTCGCCGCCCGCTATCTAATTTCTTTGGTGAAGTCCGCTCAGAGCGCCAACTGATGACCGCTACTATCAAGTAAGCCCCAAACATTGCCTTTGCAACACCCGAATACATGACTAGAAGTAGATGATCCTTATTCGTCGGCACAAGCGCCAATGCAATAACACTACCGCCAGCGGCGGTCGGCCCATACACAGCCTGGACCGTGCTCTTCGTGCTTCGCGGCGCTTTCGTAAATGCGTACTCGTATCCCGCCGGACTGGTAAAAGTTTCGGCAAGTCCCTCGAGAAACTAGATGGGCGTTTGTACCACGATGTGGACAGCATTAGGAATAGGTTTGCTACCTCTGCTAAGTCTCCTTGAGAAGGGTTCAACGATGTGTGAGGCGAACCGAAACTCTGGGACTCTGCCCTAGAGTAATATGTCCCTGGGACCTTGTGCATCTCGACGAAGGTGCCGTTGACAGGACCATGCCATCGGTGGTATTTCATACTAGGGGATCTGCTCGAACATTGCCCTCGCCTGCATGAAGAACGTAGTATCGGATTCGATAAGATTTTGAAATTCTCGGATGCAGTGATCCGAGGGTGACTGTTCCGACGTGACCGCCGAAACGGTATCTGAGAGCCATTATTCGAGAACACTATCGCCAGATGGGGATACAGCGCCAATGTGCTTCTCATCAGTACTGATGTGAGTGGTGGTTCCGTTGGCTCTTCCATTTGTGAGCCCATTCATGACTTAAGAACGTGACGTAACGTAGCTGAGAAGGGACATGCAAAGCAACTGATGAAGATAAGATTCACACAGACCTGGATGAACATGACCCCGGGTACAGCGATATCTCGGACAGCTTTCGCCAAGAACTTTTATTCGGCGTCCACAGTGTTGAAACAGAAGTTTTTGATCCACGTACGCCGCCTCCCACAAAATCGGGACATGAAGCTGTGCATTAAGACTACCAACATATACCATCGAGTGATTTTTGTGGCCCATTCCATACTCATCCTAGCAAAACAGTCAGTCCTTCCTCTTCCCATACTCCTCATCTTCAACCGCCTCCAGCCACCTCACCTCCCCCAAACTAACCGCCTGATGCACCATATATCCCCCTTCATCCGCACCATGCCAATGCGTCGTGCCCGGCGGACACCACACCGTATCACCCGCAGCGATCTTGACCGGTTTCGCACCTCTGTCGCAAACCCATCCCGAACCAGCAACAACGGTGAGAATCTGGCCTCCAGAGTGTGTGTGCCAGTGTGTCCGCGCACAGGGTGAGAAATTGACATTCGAGACGTTGAGGTCAGTGCTGGCGTGCACAGGGTCGATATACACGTCACCGCCGGTAAAGGCGTTTGCAATAGCGCTGGGTCCGTGAATAGAAGGCTTACTGCCTGAGCGGGAGACTTGCATCTCTGGCATGGTTGGCTTTTGACGTTATCGTTTCAGTGTAGTGTCTTTTGAAGCTGGTGCGTGGCTCGCATGAAGGCGGCGCAATACTGCGCAGTAATGTTCTGACTGGACTGAGGTACATCGAGGATTATGAATAGCGAGATGATTTCGAGATATGCCTTGGACACTTGAGGTGATCCACTTCGTTCGTCGGTAGTCTGCATGCTACGGTCGGAGTTTATGCAACCTGCTGACGTTTAGCACTTTTAAGGTCCACCTCAACGCCATCTCCGCACATTGATGTCATGATCGACATACCGTTTCTCAGCATGTTTTGAGCCTTTTTGAGCTTAAATCGACAACCCTCGCGTAACTTCTTCCGTACCGAAGCATTTCGGAGGCCTAGATACGCTTAGCCCAATCTTGAAGTTCGAATCGTTTGAGACCAATGTTACATTTCCCTGCTGCCCTAGCCTATGAACACAGTCCGTATAGGTCAATCGCTAATAAGTTTGGCACGCACATAATAACACAAATCCGTATCCGACCCTTCAATAGATTGATAGCAGTTTTACCCATCTCTGCACTTGTTGGTGCCTACTTATCTTGCACAAGACTCATATCGCGGACGCAAGCTGTTGTTTTGATCATTTCTTTCCCCTTATAATTATTTATTACTATTGTCTAAAAGATTTCTGATACTCTATATCTCGTTTGTGTAGCTTTGCTACTTATTATGCATCCCTGAAGAAGGCCGGTTCTAATACCCTTACTTACAAGTTGGCGCATTCTTCGCAATTTTCGTTGCGGTTGACCAAACTGTTGTTGTACTCTTGAAAAGAACAGTCTTCACTTCTGGGGGCGAAGTGAAGAACTTTGTAGCGATACCGCCTCCCTGCGTCACTGTCTGGGATATGGTGCGGGTACTGCCAGGAAACGTGGTGCGGAGCGTCGTTGTCACGTCTAAAGACCTTGTAACGTAGATAGTCTGCTGAGCTGCAGTTACGACTTGAGTTGATGTCCGAGTTTGCAGGCTGCTAAATGTCACCACCTCTGGTGTCACGGTGTGCAACTGTTGCTGCGTGACGTAGCTGGTCGACACGACAATCGCTGTTGAGGCCCTCAATGTTGTGGTCTTGCCAATCTTTCGAGTCGATGTTGCAGTAGCCCAGTACACGGATCCATCCTGCTTGACAGTTGTAGTTTTAACGAATGAGGTCAGACTCAATGTGCTGGTTGCGCCGGGTTGAGTATACGTCTTGGTCTTGACCACCGAAGTCTCGGTAACGAACGCAGTAGATCCTGCCTGTGTTGCTGTGGAGGTCTTGACAAAGCTAGTGATCGTAGTGCTGGCTGTGACTGTGGTTGTGCTCGCAGCTGCGCGGGGTATAACAGCACCACGTCGGACAAGATGAGCAGCCTGAGTGGGTATGCAGGAGAAGGTTGTAGTTGTCTTCTTGGTTACTGTTTTTAGGGATACAGAGCTGACGGTTATCGAGTTCTTGGCCTTCACGGTTGAGGTCTTCGTGATGCTCGGTGGCAGTGAGATCGTCGTCTTGACTGTCGTGGACGCGCCCTTGAGTGTAATACTGCTGACTAATGTAGCCGTGGTTCCCACACTCAGCGAAATTGTTGTGGGCTTCAGGCTCACAGTTTGGACAGAAACGATAGTCGTAGTGCTCTTGATGGTCGAGCTTGCAGCCTTCAAGGTTGTGGTTCCACCAATAGATATGGTGCCTTTGACAACGCTTTGTTTAGTTACGGCATCTGGGGTAATTGTGAGGCCATTGTCTTCGGTTATGAATAGCGTGGAAGTAGATGTTACGTCGGGAGATGTGTACAAGACAGTTGCAGTTTCCTTGTCGAGCTCCGTCTTCACCTCGTCGGCACCGCTGAGTGATGCAGTAGATGTTACTTTCACCACAGTGGTGGACGTAGCATCAGGCTGGATGATGGTGGTGCTGGCCGTAAGTTTCAAGGTCGCTGTAGTAGTTGTGTACACAGTAACAATGGGTAGCGACGAAGATGATGCCAATGTCGAAGACGAAATCATCGAAGACGATGCCACACTGGAACTCAGAGTGCTGGAAGCCGACACCGTCGATGACGAGGCGATGGCGCATGTTTGAGATGAGCCGACCCCTACATGGAATGGCTGAGTGTCTACGCGGGAGAAATCGATAAAACTGGAAGACGCGAAAAAGTTGCCAAGTTGGAACTGCACAACTTCCGAGTCAGAGAGCTGCTGTGAGAACGAAGCGCGGCTGCAGATATCTGAGCCTGGTCCGTAGTTATGATACTCCCCAAAGGTGACTCCAGCAGTCTGAGGAGATGACTTGCTCCACTGGTTCCACCCAGCGGCGCTGATCATCGAATCGAGGTAGCATCCAACAAACGCCACACGTGCATTATTATTCCAAGGCCTGCCGAGTCCAATGTTTTTGAAGGGACCTGTACCAGGAGCTGGCTTCAGGGTGCACTGATCAAAGACCAACCCACCGGAGGTAGTGTTGGTTGTTCGCTTATCTGCAGTGATGCTAATGCCGTCCGCATTGGGCGAGATGGTCGAATCGAGGAAGTAAGCAGCTCCGTTGCCGAAGATGAAATCCACGTTACTACGCAGATGTTAGCAATCTAATCTTTTGTCCCATACATGGGAAATCTCACCCTTCGATGTAGGTCTTGAATGTGAAAAGGTACCCCGAAATATCGAGTGTGTCCTGATTGCCGTAAATCTGGCACCCATATAGCGCGGCATATTTGCTACTCTTCACAGCAAAGCCCAAAGAAGCGATGTTCTTTGTTGTACCGGCCGTATTGCGAAAATTGATGTTGTAAGCGTAGAAGTAGTTGCCTGTGGCATACACAGTCGCGCCATCAGTATTGCTCCCCCCCGAGCCTTGAGTGTCAATGCCACGGTTGAATTCTATCGAAACCTGGTTCCGAGAGTAGTCGTCGGTGGCATTGCTGTAGCCCATGAAGATCGTAGTTCCGGACTTGTTGACGATGAGCTGTTCGTTGTACACGCCTGGATAGATGAACACAGTGGCATTAGCCTTGCTGGTAATTGGAGCAGCGTTCAGAGCATCTTGGATAGTTTGGAAGGTCGTGATACCAGCGATAGGGTTCTTAGAGACGATGAGTGCCCCAGGTGGTGGAGTGGTACCATCAACGGTTGAGTTGCCACCCACTGTTATATTTGTTGGGTTGGGAGGCCCCACAATAGCAGGGACTGGGGTCTTGATTGAGTTCCAGTATGTCATGTCAATCCATTCTGTTGAGTCCATGACTGAGGAGAGCGAGTAGGTGTCTGAAGTAAGAAGTGTAGCAAAGCCGAACGCTTGGCGAGCAGCAACGTTGTTCTCCCAGCTCGACGGGCCAGTATTGTTGAATTCTGCGAATGTGATGTGGTCCGTTCGCGGATCTGTGGCACTCCAGATCTTCCATCCTGCAGGTGCTATTGTCGAATCGATGTAGCTGTTCTTGACCACTACCAAAGCATACGCAGAGTAAGGGCGACCCAAGTAGACCTTGTTCGTAAGGTCATCACTAACGCCAGGACTAGCCGTGAATAGGCAGGTGTCAAAGATATATCCTCCAATGGCAGATGACGATGCTCGGCTGTGGGCAGTGATAGCAGAAGACTTGCGCTTAGCGCCAATGGTGCAACCCTTGAAGTACGCCTTCGAGTATCCCCAGATGAAGTCAATTGCACCACCGATATAGCAAGACTCATAGTACTGGTAGCCTGTAGTAGCACCAGTGAGTAGTGTGTCTTGCCAACCATCAAACGAGCAGCCATAGAATGCAATGTCGTTGCCATATATCGAGGCTGCGAGCGTAACGTAGGATGCCTCAGTACCATCAAGATTATCGGTATTGATCATAGCCACGTTGTAGAAGCTGATACGGCTTGAGGCCGTTTGCACAGTAGCAGTCTCAGCATCTGAGTGTCCAACGGGAAGCGGGGAGACAGAAAGACCACGCGAGAACGTGATCGTGACAGTGTTGTCCATGTAAGACTGGCCGGCATTGCCAGTGGTGAACCCAATAATTCTGACAGCACCAGGACGATTGATGGTTGGCACTTGCTCGTTATAACTTCCTGAGTAAAGGAAAATTGTCTGGTTCGTAGTATCTTTGGGCAAAGACGCCAGAGCAGCAGTAAGGTTGGTGAAAGACGCGTTGTGGCTACCATCAATCGAAACAATGATGGCACCAGCTGGTGGCGTTGCCCCACTATCTGGATGGGCGTTAACGGTTGAGGTGGTGGAGCTACCAGTGGCAGATGAGGTGTTGGTAGACGGTGACGAAGAACTTTGAGGACCCGTTAAGCTATACGACGGGACAAGATTATAGGCTGTCTGGTCAAGCCATGTAATATCGCCAATAAAAGCAGCAAGTTCGTACTGCCCGGCTTGGGTCGCTGTCAAATTTGTCGCAAAGTTGGCACGCTTTGTAGAAGCTTGCCATGAGCCAGGGCCAACATTCGCATATTCACCGAACATGACATTTGAGGTCTGAGGAGCACTTGTTGACCAGACCGACCATCCAGCAGCAGAAATGTGCTGATCGATGAAACAGTTGGTATACACCGCCACTGAGTTCTCAGAGTAAGGACGGCCCAGAAAGCTCGAACCAACCGAACTCCCGTAACTCGAGCTATAGGTAATGACAGATCGATCAAATACAAATCCACCAGTGGACGTAGATGTGGGTCGAGCTTGCGCTGCGATGCAGCTGCCAGGCGTATTTGTGACAATCATGCATTGGTGGAAAAAGGCAGTTGAGTAACCCCAGATGAAATCGACTGAGCTATGCATGATCAGACAGTATCCCGATATATTCAGAACCAAGTTTGAGAACTTACCCTTCAATATAGCAGTTTGAGAAGACCTGGGTACCCTTGTTGGCCAACAGAGTATCTTGAAACCCAGTGAATGAGCATCCGTATGCTGCGATGTTGGCACCATAAAAGTCCGCAGCTAGTGCAGCCGTGTTCTTTGTTTGTGGGTAGATGTTAGCGAAATTGATGTTGTACAACGCCAAGCCCGAATTATCAGTGGTTTTCTTCGCATTAATGACGGGTGTAATTTCATTCTGACCAGCACTAGTAAGGACACCGTTTGATGTCTGGATAGTCACTTGGTTCTGGGTGTAGTCGCGGGTGCTGTTGGTGACTCCAATCAAAGTGACCTTGCCCTTTCGAGTGATCGAGATTTGCTCATTATAGACACCAGCTCCGATTTGAATAGTGTATGCCTTGGAGTCATTTGGCAGGGCAGCGATAGCGGCGGTCACATTGCTGTAATCACAATCGCCCGCGTTCTTCGACACCGTGAGAGTTGCGGATGGTGCGCACGACGATGATGTTGTCGCTGAGGCAGTGGCGCCAAGGCTTGCTGAAGCAGTGACGTTGGAAGTGCTGGAAGGTGTGATCGAGGCAACTGAGGACGAAGGAATTACTGAGAGCTGCGCAGCGTCGGAGTCAGCGATAGAACCTATGACAGAGGAATCAATCCACGAAGTTGACGGGCTGCCATATGGATAGAAAGCCTTCGCGAAAACTTTGTCAATCGTGTACTCCGATACTTGACTGGCTGTCAACAGATGGTCGTAAGACGGGCGTGTCGCCACATTGCTGGCGTATGATCCAGCACCTATGTTGGCAAACTCGCCGTAAAACGATGATACGGTAGCAGCGGTAGGATGAAAACCGGACGTCGAGATGAAGCTGCCCATTGTGACGTTACGGTAGATGACAGTAGCGCCAACTCCATTGGGTGCTGCTAAGAACACACCGTTGTTGTTGTAGCCTGCCTTCTGCTCGATCGAGCTCGAATCAAAGACAACAGTAGAGTTGTAGAAGGTATCCCCGACGCTTCCGCCTTTCGAGAATACGATACTGGCCCCCGAAGATAAGGGTACAATTGTCGACTTGTAAACATACATCGAGGGGACATTATAGAACATCTTATCCGACCCCTCAATCCTAGAGTAGGCAAAGACAGTCAACCCGTACGATGCGGATACAGCAGTGGCTCCGGAAGAGACAATGGAACATCCGTAGAATGCGATGTTGTTGCCCCGGAGGGCAACTGCAACCGCATTAGCTGAAAGAGCTGTAGAGACAAAGTTGATGTTTCTCAATGTCACGCCTTTGGCACTGCTAGAGCCAATGGTGAGTGCTGCAGCAGTATTGGAGATGATGACTTGATTTTTAGACCAGTCTGCAGCGAATGTAGATGTAGCTCCAACGATGGTAATTGTGGCAGTGCCAACAACAGTAACTGCCTCGCTGTAGGTGCCTAACATTGTTTAGCTTGGATTCAGCATCATGACTCGGCTAAACTCACCAGGCAAGACTGTCACAGTAGCGACGCCGTTGTTTTGTGCTGCACTGACAGCAGCATTGATAGCTGTGTATTGACCCGAGCCATCAGCCGCTACAGTAATTACAGAAACATAACTACTGGTAGTGGGCGAGAAGGACGATACGGGTATCGATGTTGCAGTCAGCGATGTGCTGCTGAAAGTTGAGTTCGATTGAGCAGCCACAAGCCCGAGCAAAGCGGCAAAAATGTGAGACCGCATAGCGAGAGCCGAGTCTCAATGAGCTGAAGATGAGGAGAGAAAGAAATGGGAGGAAGCTCAGGGTAATGAACTTTCATTGCCATGATTTACACAGGGATGTACATGTTACCAGGTAGATGGGAAAGTCTAGACAGTGCAATGCACCGTTGTCAGTGTCTAAAATGCCAGCAGATCTCTCAGCTGAGGTTCGATGGCTGAATCAGTATTGGACTCTTCTCGTACGGGAAGTGGCTGGACCAATGTAGGTGTGCAGGGGTGACGTTCCGCGATGACAAACGAACTCAAGATGACGACCCCAGCTGTCGACCGGGCCTTCCGATCTTGAGCATATGAGAGGTGCTCGTCAATTGTGCAACACTTGAAATGACCCAATTCATCGCGACGAGTAGTTAGTCAAGTGAATTTTCGGAAAACGCATATCGAAGCCTGCAATGTCATGTTCACCAAGAACCTCTGCGACTGACGGGTCGTCATTGCAAGCTAGCGAGCAACGGGACTAGAAGCGGACGAGATGCCCGATGATGACTAGGTCACGGCCAGTGTACCAGCGCCTCCCTCCGATTGTCGCAGTATACCTAACATTTCCCGTTCAGTTACTTACTGCGCGTTGTATGACCCATACCCAGACGACTTTTCCTCGACAGATCTTGCATGTGAACGGAGATCTAGTGTGGAGGCTGAGAGTATCTTGATACCACAGCGCACGACTGCGCGAAGAAAGATTGTAGCTGAATCTCGGGGACGGCGTTAAAATTTGTTCTGACAAGATAGGAAGTTCGACCGAACGGCAAGATCGATAGGCTGGACCACGTGGAAAGAAGCGTTATGAGCCGAGGCACCTGAGTCTGGGACACCGAGCCGATGCGTGCGAGCATAGTAGCTTGTGTAGGGTCTCGGGGTCTGGGGTAGGTGGTACAAATGGAGATCCTCGCAGCATCCAGCGTACCGGGTAATAAGATCTGCAATGTGTGGGTGTCAACAAGTTCAAGCCTTGGAATGGACGATAAAAGTGGCGTCAAAAAGCTTATCCGTGTTGCTTGTCGCACGCCCCACAATGCAGGTACCGTTGCTCCGCCGGGACTGGTAAATTGCTTCCAAGCTTTCGATTGGTGGATCAAATTCTCTCTCGGACCCGCTGGGGTAGTAGGGCGTTTAATCCATGCTTCCAAGTCAGTATTGATAACCATTTGTATTTGGTAGATGCGAGACCGAAGGAAGCAGAAGACGATCACACCTAGGTAGGTCTTTACCTACACAGTGATGTGATGATTCCCAACCTAAAAGCCGGCACGTCATCCGCTGAAATCGGCATGTGTTAGGAAACCAAGATTCAAACGACGAAATCTCGAGCCGATATCCTTCAGGCACGCGTCTTGCTACTCGAGTGCTTGTTCATCATTAATCGAGGCTGTCTTTGATGACGTCTATAGACAGCTTTTTTAGCGCCTATTCGCTAACCCCTCTTTTAACAACGGCTAGCAACTCAGCCCCCGGTTCGTCTTCGTCCCATTCCTCTGCTGCCTCATTGCGAGCATTATCTTCTACTGACGCTCTGAACTCTTTAGGTTATATGCACATTCTAATTTTGCCTGAATCTCTTTGTCATCCTTTGCACCGACCATGGTTGGACGTCCGTGACGTCTCACAAATGATGGGGTATCTTTTTCATCGAGCCACTCATCCTGAGTGTTGACAGCAGCGGGACTGAAGCATGTGAGGGCCCTACTTTCTATGCAGTAAAGCGCCGGGTAGACTGTTCAAGTTGCTGTTGGCCCCGTCAAGCGATGAATCGGTTTGAGAAATATTCTCAGCCCAGTTGGTGCCTCTCGTCCTGGGCGAGACTTTATAAGTTTTGGCGTAGCTTCCTCACGTGACACCACACCTTCTCAACTTCGACATGCATGATGAGTGCTGTTGGCTGGTGCAATCTGCTCCGCCCTCTCTTGTTCCTTTTCTTCTTCTTTTTCTTGCTTTTCTTCTTTCTCGTCTTAGCCCTCTCCTTCTTCATCTCTTTCCGTGATCACTCTTCCTCCTTTTCTCCTTCCTTTCTAATTTCTCTGCTTCTCCTAGCACACGATTTATGTCCATGCAGCAAAATTCACACCAGCATGAGGTGTAGTCTCATATCCCAGCGAAGGCGCCTAATGTTAAGGATCTTCGGGATGCGTGCCTTGGTCATCCTGCTTAGTTGCCGGTCATGCGCCTCTCTGATCGCAGAGAACATATCGTAAGATTCCTGATCCACTGACCGACCATAGTGTAGCACGACGATAAATTGGGGCATGCCTAACCTTCTGACGAAGACGGCCCACACGGCTCTCCAATCCATCGCTGTCATCCGATCAGTCGCACACACGCTTATTCGCAGGCGTGCGAAGGCGTCTCTTTGCGTATTTGATCACCTGGGTATATTACAAGTCGGATCGATCTACGGTGACGAGGAGACTTTTGTTCGATGCAGCCAATTGAACAGTGTGCTCTTCACTGGCTCTCGCATAAACTCTTTCCGCATCAAGTTGGTCATTACCAAGAGCTGTAGACGATCTCCTCGTGTAGTAGCCTGAATCATCTGGCATACGAGCAATGTTGTGTTCACCGCTAAGATCTCGCAGAACTATAGATGCACCGTACTGGTTTGGTTCTCGACTGTTCAGAACTTGTGTTCGGCAAAACGCATATACCAACGGCATGCACGCGCAAATTATACCAAGCCACAATTCAATGAGTCTGCCGAATCAGCAAAGTCAATAATGGACAGAAGGTGTGACCTACAGCCAAATCATGTAGGTAACCATAACCCATGTCCCGTCGGCGGAAACCACCCTCGTACTGTGAGCCACCTGCCCCACTCGTATCAAACTAAGAATGCAAATGCTATAGAGTATCAGCATCTCGAGGCCGGATAGATGCCTTTTGACTTACAAGGAGCCAGTCATGAGTAGTAATGCCGCACCAATTTTGCGGCGCAGAGGTAGTTGTAGCTCATACAGTATAAATATAGGTAGAACAAGTAATATTAGGTCAGTAGCAGCATTGATGCACGCTGTGGCCAGTATGTACTGATTGAGATTGACACATTTACCAGTCGTAATGGAGAAGGTCCAGTACTTCTCAGCAGGCTGACAGAGCCACGTAAAGCCGAGGGCATTGAGGACACCGTGAATAATAGAGACACACATGACTGTGTAGACAACTACCCGTAAACCGGTCTGGAAAGGTGATACTTGCAGATAGAAGAGCCCGAGTGAGACTTTCGTAAACATTGTGGTAAGGTTGAACAGAACCGGACCTACAGTAACGGCAATCTTAAGAAATTTAGCAGGTCATTTCTGCGGATCAGACGCTATTGATTACCTTCATCAGTGCATCGAACTTGGGTGCTGGACAATCCCATTTGTGTAGTCCTAGGCAGTTCGTCGTTTCTGAGTACTGTCAGCGGCTAAAGGCAAATTGCACGAGCCAATGCTTACGGTAGCACACGTAGATAGAGAAGCCCAGAGCGAGCATCTGTGTCAATCAGCATATTGTATTTTGCTTCGTGTGTTGGGGAACAGTACTGTAGCAACCGCTATGTTGTCTTTGAAGTTGTTAGCACAATGTGGCATTTTCTCAAACGCTCAGCTCACTATACTAACAGTCGTCCCAACCTAAGTTTTTAAGTATGCAACGCTTCGTGTACATTCGAATAAGGCAGATGGGTATTGCAATCGCCGCACCGAGCACTGATACGACAACAGCACGATGTGCAATTGACTCCGGGTTGTCAAAATTTGCTACAACGCCTGGCGGAGTAGGCATTGCCCCAACGACTGTCCCATCCGAACTCATCGTCGAGATGCTGAACAGTGTGTGGTGAGAACGCAGATGATAGATGGGAAAGAGCACGTGGCACTTTGAAAAAGCCTGCGAGGGCGGTTTTGATCAAAAGGGTCAGACATCGCCATCCTTATTCCGCGACCACGGGCCTCCTGGCGCATCTCTGAGAAAGTCGAGGCGGCGGGATAAGCACTCACCAGGTGTCCATCGGATGCGGGCAAGCAGGGTCTGGACTGAAGTGCAGCCTGGCCAAACAATCATCGATCTGACAAATTGATCGGTCCGATAGCTGTCGGAATGAAGAGCCGAAATTGCAGCATAAACGCCACATTGCGCGACAACCAGATTAGCGAGGTTCAACTTTCCGCGCGGCTGCTACGATACAAAGATAGGTTAATGCAGTGGCACAGTAGTTTGGGGTTGACGCGATGTTTTGAGCATGCTGTCAAAGTCTCGGCGTGCGCACTACCTAAGCTACAGTTGTCCGTGATTGCACCCTACCTTACAGTTTGATTGGATGTAACATCAATCATTCCCTGACACATGGACACCAGGCAATCAGTTGGTGCCCGATCTGGATATGGACTACCCCGAGGTGAGCGAAGAGGCAAGATAACCGACTCAGAACAGTATCCTTCTCAAAACAAAGCAGAAGCAGTTAGGCCACACTATGTATGCATCGCACCTGTCTCGTTGTCCTTCTTATCAAGAAAAGTTTAGGCGATACCCGTCTAGACCTGATTCGTTTTTACGTTGCTTGGACTACTCTGATCACTCCAGACTTCTTTGATGCTATTCTCCAGCCGTCTCGATCGAAGCAGATGGTCGAGACTTGAAGATCTGTAAGCCACGAAGCGATTGTGGATCGACATAGATCGCACATCAACGTAGAGGACATTGTGTCATGGGCCGTATTGTGATCAATAATTGGATTTCTTGCGCTTCATTATACTTTTAATACCTAAGAGTCAAATTCGCTCGGAACGCAACGCTCAAAAAGAGACTGGCTTTGACAACAGAATCGCTAAACATTGATCCAGCAACCTCAGGACCCTAGCGCCCAACGTAGCAAGCAAAGAATCTATGCTCAATCCCAAGTCCGCTCAGAGACGCGGGACAGCGCTGCCGAGTTCCTCCAAGGTGGCTTCTTCCGTAGCACCAGTATCGGCGCCAGCATTCGCAGCACCAGAGGTGAGCGTACCATCAAGATTGACGAGAGCGTCCGTGGCAGAAGTAGTCGAAGCACCAGTGCCTGCAGCGTTGGACAAAGTCTGGAGGCCGTGGGCGATTTTGTCGCCTTGTCTGCGAACAGGAGCGGCAGGAGCAGCACCCTTATTGGAAGCGATCAGGGCAGCAAGATTATCCTCAGCATTCTCAATGCCATAGCCGATACCGTTATCGGTAGAAGAGAAGAGACTGTCCGCAGCCGCGCCCTCGCCGGCGAGTTGGGGTGTCGGTAGTGCTGAGGCTGCGCTGAGGAGAATGAGAGCGAGAATGGTCTTGGTAGCTGATGGCATATTGAAGTTATGAGTTGTTGATGAAGTCAATAAGTTGAGAAACTTTGCTTCAAGATGGAAAGAAGTTTGAGGTCAAAAGACACTTGTGGGATTTGCTGGTAGACTGTGTGTGAAGTTGTAGCTGATTGATTGATGTCTTCCAACAGTGACTTTACAGACCTTCTTATAGACCTCTGAAAACACGTAAGATCTATTCCAGCCCGTTCGATAGCGGTACTCAACAGTCAGGACCAATTCATGTGGGGCAGATTGATTCCGACCATGGCAACTGGCAATCCACTCAGTCGTTGAGGATCAAACTGTAAGCGAACATCGCATCATCAATTCCAAGAGTGATGCATTGATCTGCAATACAACTGTGCGGTTCTCTGAACTCCGACAGCCACTGACGATATCGGATGCTCGCAGCCTTTGGTGTTAGTGACGTTCGGAGTAGCTACCTAGGTACCAGCTGAGGCCAGCATGTTCGAGCCATCGGGTCTGTGATAGACATGTCAACCCTTGCCGCGTAAATTATTCGGAAGATCTCCCGCGATCAGGGACTCGCACCAAAGGATCGGTACCCTTGGCCACTTTGAGTAGAGTCATCCGCCCCACTGCAGAGCTAAGCTTCCCAAGCTTCAGTCTAAGCTTCGCTGGCACGAGCTTGTCATCTCGGCGTCGCAAATGCCCTGCATTATTGTGTCAGAGGCTGCTCAACCGCCGATCATTATATGGTGTACTTGCTGTAACCTGCGAATCGGATCGCAAGGTGGTAAACAACGTCGCGATGGCCCTCGCTTCTTCGGGTGGCAGCCGAATCGAGCGACATGGGTAGGTAGCTCGTCAGGGTCCAGCCTTTCTACGTCAGTTGTGTCACAACAACAAACGTTCTTGTGTGCGACGTACTGAATCGTTCGGCTTGTTTGAAAAGCGCCTCGTAAGACTCGTGATGGCGAGCACAAGTTCAATCAGAAAAGAGACTTGTCCATTCTTCGGTAGGCATCTACGTCGTACCACAGACATCAGGGACTTATCCTTGTCCAGAAGCCGTGATGGTAACTGAATATCTAGCTCTGTGTCGCAACCTGATATGTGCAAGCTTGCCACGTACTTATTGAACACCCACTGCGCTGGTAGCTGACTATCCAGACGAAGCAATGTGAATTCGTCAACAAGATGTGCTCGTTTGCGTGCCGTGTCACTCTATCGTCTCTTCTTGAGTACGTCTTGAGGCTCTGGAGCCTTCCCATAGCAGGGTTGGTTGGTTCCAAAGACGACGGGCGAACAATGCGTTGCTGCCACGGTATACGATGCCGATCAGGCCTCCCAGTATAGGTAACGTTTATGCTAGCGGAACACATGTACGTCTAATGCAGAGCTGTCGTCATTCTGGATGTGGGCGCCGGATTAGCATCCAAGCTTCCGCTCGAAGGCATAGCGAGACTTACAACCCAGTTCCGTCGCTTCACAGGGTGCGTATCGACTACAGCTGCGATTGCATCCCTCCTGACAGCCCCAATTATCGTTTTTGGTAGCAAAGGGCTGTGAAGCTTCATCTGTTCATTTACGCTACCTTGAAAGGACCATACTTTCGAGTCGAACTCGACATCAGTCATCATCGCTAGGTATTATGTACAAATACATTCTCGCAAAACAATGAATTTTCGGGTCCACAAAAGTTCACCTCGAGAGGGTGTGTGACTGTCCACTCTCGCTGGAGTATAATCCCTTCGGCCCCCAGGAAGCAAAACTACTTCCGGTACCACATTCTAGTGATCTTTGTTCTCCTCATCTTCTTTTGCAGCTGGAACACTCCGTAAAGCAGCGCTTCGGCTGTTGGCGGGCAACCTGGGACATATATGTCAACCGGCACAATGCGATCCACGCCTCTTACGACCGCATAACTGTAGTGATAGTAACCACCGCTATTTGCGCAGCTACCCATGCTAATCACCCATTTTGGATCAGGCATCTGATCATAGCACATACGAAGAGCAGGTGCCATTTTGTTTGTAAGTGTGCCGGCAACGATCATGACGTCTGCTTGTCGTGGAGAGGCGCGGAAGATAATGCCAAGCCGATCCTGATCATATCGAGGCATCGAGACGTGCATCATCTCTATACTGCAGCAAGCTAGTCTAAAACTCAATGGCCAAAGGGAAGATTGACGTGCCCAGTTGGTCATGGCATCGAGTGATGTGCTAAAGTTTTCGAGCCTTGATCAGCTATCTCCCTCTTAATATAGCTCGAAGTAATCCTTACAGCGCGTACTCCACGACACCAGTAGGCTTTGGTTCGCTCGAAAAGGCGGTGGGTATTGCTTGTTTTGTCGAGCTATATCGTGATTGTGGTGTGCGTTGCATAGACGGTTGGGAATTTGTATATAAACTAGGTGCCGCACGAGGGACGTTCAGGTAGTCGTTGAATAAGGCATGGCGCAACTGGAAGCCGGCTGCAGATAATAGTTAGCTTGGATTACTCGCTGGAATCATGCAACTCAACCTCTTTGACTTGCAAGGCGAAACATTCTGCAGAGACAATAGTGAAGAGAAAAAGACCGTGAGAATGGTGATGCTCACCTCAAGAGCAATGCTTGCTGAAATATGGTAGACATTGTGGTGCATCGCATCTATCACTAGCCAATGGGGATTGAGAGATCGAGTGAGGGTTTTCTCCGATTGGGCCACTCGAAAGTGGGTTTTCTCCGGCCGGGGCTCTCTGGTGGGTTTTCTCCGACCCGCAAGCCATATAGTCTCGCGCCTGATGTGTATTAATAAGAATACCATTGAATTGGTCGTTTCGATCCTATGTCATTCAAGTTCGGTCAACCATCGCCTAAACTGAGTCGCGTCATTGTTTCCAAATGTTGATATCAGTTCCGAGACATCTGATTTCAAAACCTTATGCGCAAGTAGCCATACTTCCTCGGCGTGGATCATGAATCCGTTCTGTTTTGGAGACGCATCAGCCTGCTGTGAGAGGACCCATGTTTCTTTCCAGCGATCAAGTGCGCGCTCAAAGCGCATGGTCTCAGATGTTCCAATTAACTGCACCTTGGATGTGTAGATCATGGTTAAAATTGCTTGGAATCGACGTCAGCCATAACATCGATGTAACATATTCAGGCAACCTACTTCCTACGATCAAGAACAACGGAAACGCCGTTAACATTGATAGGTCTCGACTTTCAGAATCGGACCCCGTCAAACATTGGATGACGTCTAGAAGACTCTGGGATGGAGTTCAGCTCAGGCTTTTCAACTTGTCTAGACACGTCTCAGCATCCGTTGACCCAAATGCGGACTCGTTTGACGGCAAAGAAGCCTTCATCTCCACGACCGATAACCGTGGCAGTGTTGCGTGCAAGATTGAGATGTGGCAATCCAGTAGGTATGTGTAATAAATGACTCTACAATGGAGTCAGTGGCTGCGTGTTAACATCATCTTATGTGCGTACCGATTGTAAGACTCCTTCACAATATACTCCTTCCAGTCGAAAGAGGTCGCAGCCTCAGTCAGTTTGGTCAATCTACTAATTGTGCCGTCACCTTGAAGCAGGCGTATGGCTGAAATTAGGTCGGAGAATCTCTGTTCGCGAAAACGCCGCCGGTGAACAAGATTAGGGAAGGCAAAACTAATTGACACTAACATCGTAGCAGCTTGTAGAAGAGATAACATGCGTGGCGAGGTTGTCCTAGAGCCTTCCGGGATTGGATCTAGTAGCTCCTGGAAATCGTTTCCGCCGAAGATACATTCTTCGATCAACTCGACGATGTCAAGCACCATGAAATAGGTGTCCCGCGGATATGACCAAACTGCGCCGACGACAAACACCCCAAGCAAAAGTGGCAACTCTGCACTGGTGGAACTGAACGACGGGGGATGAACTATCGGAACATGTCTGTATGCGTTGCGGAAGAAGCTTTCTACGCAAAGTGCCAGGTTACCGGGGGTCAGTAGCATCGCAACTGTATCTGAGGGGGGACGGCTCGCTGTTCTACCCGCGTTTTCGACAAGGTGAATCAACTCCCCTGCCCGACGCCGGAAGATTTCATCGTACAGGTCTGGGGTGTGTAGACCTTGTGTTATGATATCTGATGAGTAGGATTCATGTGGGACATCATAATGAAATAATTCTGCCGGAAAAAATGGCACAAACATCGGAATCGCTTGGGAGAACACTTGATTTCGATCAAGTTCTTCATCCGCTGTAGTCCCGTTGCTGGCTTCCTTCAGGGTCTCAAGCGCCTGTGCGAAGTCTTTCGGGTCGCCAGGTTGAGCAGTAGCATAACTCAGGAAGAATGGAACTCGCGTAGTTTCACCCATAGACTTCTCATTCGACACTTCCGGAACGCCCAAAGGATAGCCAGATGCATTTGTGGCGGTCAGACACGTTTGTAGGCGGGTGTGTGAGCATTGAAAACTAGCCTTCACGCACGCAGTACATGGACTGGTTTTGTCGCATGATAATTTTGTGCTTGCGCATCTATCACAAGCTTTTCGAGGTTGGCCACGGCCAGAAGATTTTGTCACGGGTCGTCCTTGACGTTTCGAGCATCTCTCAGCATGACGGCGCGCAATATCCCTGTAAAGCTTCAGCAATCATTCCAATCACATGTGACTGAGTTGACCGACTGTCGGGTATGGCGCTTTGAGCAAAAAGGGCACTGGAATTGACGGTCGGGCTGATCTAGAATAGAGCGATTAGTTGATTCCCACCATCATGCCCATCACAAAGTTAGGAGCTCACGGGTAATATTGTGTCGAGCTAGGTGACTCGATGTAGAGTAGGACTTGTTGCAAGTGGAACATTGATGCGACATGGGTTCGAGTGCAGGCAGATAAGAAGAGCAGTGCAATGACGCGTTGCGAGCTTTTGTTTGACGCTAGGATACACCGCTAGATCTAACCTGATCGGGTCTGCTGAAGGAGATCCCTCCAAGGAAAGAGTGAACCTAATATACAATTGGACTTTTCCATAACGGCGCCTGCTTGACATTCGTATCGTCCCAAAAGACCTTGCCTTTCTCATTCATCGTGGCTCCCTCATCTGTGATCTCAACGTGATGACTTCCTAGGCGGTCTAACAACTCTGCGACTTCGTTCTTGCTCAAGCCTGTTGAATCTCTAGCGAGCCAAATGACTTCACGTCGCTGAGCCATAGCTGGATGCAGGTATGCTTCCAAAACGTCCTGTCTCGTGTATGGAGGCACCGGGTGGTTGAAGCGAGGAATCAAAGAGGCAGAGATCTGGTCTACAGACAGCGTGTGTGGAGAGAATACGCGCTGTAGCGGTGATCTCTTCAACGGGGCACTGGAAGGTGATTCGAGTTGGTTGTTCTCTGAATAGGTCATGTGTCTGTCCTCTTGGTCATTGTCACTCGAGACCAGACCCTGGTCTGATGTCCGGCTGCTGTCCCTGAGACCCTGAGGCGCGATAGTTTGGTCACCAGCTTGTCCATTTTCAGCATCTCGCGCATCAAATTTTGCCGCATGGAAAGACAAATTTGAGTGTTTGATCTTCCTCTTCATGAAAAGGTGGAAGACGACTGTCATTACAATCAGCACGCCTTGCATGACTGTGGGGCCGGCAGACACAACGCTGTTCCCAATATTAAGACCAAAAAGGCCCAATAGACAGAGCTCGCCGAGATAGACACCAACCATTAGTTGCTCAAGAGCTCGCGCATAGAATCCGCCTTTTGTGTCGATGTGCGTGTCGTGCACATAGAACATGTTGTATCGGTACGACAGGTAGATGAGGCCGATGCCAACGGTCGCAAATCCCAACACGAGCGGCGCGATAACAGCATAGCAGATGGCAATGACTCCCAGATTGGTCCACTTTGGATATTCGGCTCCCCATGAAGGTTCTGTGAATTTGATGTAGCGCAAGTACTTTTTCCTTGGTGTCTTAGCAAACTTGCTCAGAACTACAGCACCGAGCAACCCTATCAAGTTGAACAAATACCGTGCCGCGTTAGCAACACCGTACAGAATGAAGTAGGAGATGTAGAAGTTGGAAGCTTTTGGCAGGTTCTGTGAGAGAAGTGGGACAGCTTGCGTAGGATCTGTGACGATCTGGCTTGCCACTGCTGCGGCACCAGAGGTGAATGTTGTGACCAGGAAGACTTGAATTACTTGAAAAGCAAAGTACCATTTCTGGCATTGTTGTTCCACATCCGAGGTAGTGGCGGCTCCCGACAACTTTGCAAGAACTACAAATCAAGCTATTAGCTCGGGGCAAAGAGATGACGGTGCGGACTTACAGCGGCAGATAACTGGTACTAAGGCCATGAGCACGGCAAGTAACAATACCGGGAGCAGACCCGTCACCACACCTAAGATGACGCTCGGTATGCTATCAATGAATCCCAAGAAAGGTACGTTCTCAGTAAGGTAATTTACGTTGCTTATGACACCGACAATTGCCACTGGTATACTCCAAAACGCGATGAGCACAGAGATTGCAATAGTAGCTGCAATGTGACGTATCATTCTGCTCTTGGCCCCCATGCCCAAATTTTTCCAGATGACCTCATCAGGCAGAACGCCCATCTGACGAGCTGAAAAATCGGTAGGTCTGCGATGTTGTTTATCGTCGAAAGCTTTTTCCGCAGCTGCCATGGTCTCGAACTCGATGAAGACTGCACCGACTAGTCTTTCTTTGCCAGCTAGATGGGACCGCTGTGCCGAGCGAATCTTGGGGAGCAGTTCTGCAACCTGCTTGCGATAGTAGCTTATGGAGTCGACTTTCTCGCCGATCAGAAATTTGAGCCTGTGCTTTGGTCGTGAATCTGTATCAACACTCGACTCTTTCTCTCCATTCTTGATTCTTTGCTTGTTCACCGTTTGGATTAGTTTGATTTCGCTCGCCTCCAGCTTCGAGACCATCTTTTCAAGATCTTCAACATCGTCCTCCAATTCCTCTACGGCTGGCACCAACCAGACCTGTGCCACCTGAGGGAACATAGAGTGCAAGTGCTCCAGCGTCAAGCTCTTTTCAGGTACGTCAGTGAATAGCACCGTGCGTTGCGAGATCCGGCTAGCGTTCCACGTTGACAGAAGGTAAGCCCGTCGGACTTTGACGAGATACAGCATCTCCCTGCCAACAAGGAACATCACCCAGCCAAAGAAGACCCAGGCTATTACCGCATGAGCGAAATATCTTGCTGGGTTGGAGTCCGAGATGTTGGAAAAAGAGAGGACATCTAACCCTGACTCCCCAGCACCGCCTGTGCCGTTGACAGGGAATAGGATTGGCCAAGTGACTATGGCACCAACAAAACACATCAAAGTAAGGACCTTCAGAAAGCGCATATAGAGGTATGCGTCCAACGAATGGTGATTGAGTACATAGTCATCACTCAATCCGCTGAAGTGACTGAGCCAGCCAAAAGTGCTCGGTCCTGCTGACGGCGTCTTTTCACTGTAACCGTTGTCAGCCATATTGTCATATTGATGAAGTGGCACAGAAAACGTACTCATCGTAAAGTGCGTCGTGATACGTCCTTGGGGCATATACTCTTCTCAACTTGACACGAAGCATCAGGAAGGCTCCCACAAGAAAGCCAGCGACAACGATGCATGGCACCAAAGTGGATACCAAGGCTGATATTGATGAAGAGCCACCGCGATGGCTACCAGCCCGGGCGCTTGAGGTAGGTGAGGACATGTTAGGATCGATATTGTAGGTCAGCAACGGGCGGGTGTGCAGACTTCTATCTCGCTCCGGTGGCAGTGCGCCAGGCATCGTCACTTTCTAACTCCAAGGTTCGCTCGAACCGCCTATGTCATTTGGCCATCCAGTCATATCTAGTCATGATTCTGTGTCATAGCATGGATAGCAGGTGCTTGGCGCGCGTTTCGCTCGACAAAGCGTTGCAACGGCGCATAACATAGGGCCACAGGTCACAGGAAGATTGACGGGAGATCGACACTGGGGGAGCTATGGGGTGGCCTTAAGGCCTTCCAGACCACTTTCCAAGTTGGTAGTCCTTTCTTGGCAACGTTGCGGGGAGCCACGATTGGATTTCAAGACGCAGGGCAGCTGTGATGTCATCGTCTCTGTCTAGCAGGGTAGCTCGAGCGAGAACTAATGGGTTTAGGACTTCCGAGGAGTTAAGTTGAAATGGAAAATCAGGTAAAATATGGGCTTTGGTGAAATGGCAAACTAGAAAGGTGTTGAGAAGTTTGTTTTATTGCTACAATGACGTCGGTACTATGTAGGTCGATGGGTTGGTGCAGCCACCGACCAAGAACGCTAGGCGCTGGACAAGTGGTACGCGATCGCCGATTGACCTTTTAGATTGCAACTCCTCAAATCAGGGTCAGGAAAGCATATGCCCCAAGTGCCTATGCCTAGCCTTATGTAGTTGCTCGCCCAGTTGGTTGGCGTCAAAGACGCCCTCGTGGTGTTGACAAGATACTCACCGACTGAAGATGTGCTTCGTGTAGCACTCTCCCTGTCTCTCACCTTGCACCGAGGTGTTTCATCTTGGTGGACATTAATCATCTACTATTCATCAGCATCAGGGTTGACAGAGATATGTGCGTTTGAACCCTGCGTTATTTTGTGATCATGACGAGTAAAGACCACACTTTCTATTAATGATAATCTCAAGGTTAATTTCGCTTACTTGAGCACGATTTCGCTTTCCGACCGGACATCTTGCAAGCCGCAGCTCGCGGCCGTAAGATGTAAGGTTTTTGATGACTATGCCTTTTCGTTGGCGTAAACCCCATCCTCCAAACGGCCTCACTGAGACAGGCCCGGTCATGGCATCGCTCACACAACGCTTACGAGCACTGTGCTTTGTATTTGCCTACAAGGAACATCGAATCTTCTCTTAGACCATGGTAAAGTCGCACTTAAGAGAGTGCTATCCAACTGCTGATCGGCAGCACAATACACTCGGAGCCCTTATGTACTGGATGTTAGACGTGGAAGGCCATAGTCAATGTAGGTGGTTGATATTTGTGAGCTACAACGAGGCGCGCGACGGTTATTTAGATCTTGTCAAGAAGCAGGGCCTTCAGCCTATCTACATTGGAGCCCAAATGCAACCGAAAGCCTTCAAAAAGATCGCTAACTGCATACCAAGGCTGATTCGCACCAGAGGTCGTCGGTCGCATGAAAGGCTTTGCATCCGGCCAGCGATACAGCAGTCGGTGCTCAGGCGGCGCTGCAGACATGGATGACGAGTGAGCGTAATAAAGCACTGAATGCGCGACATCCTGTGCAAGCCAGGAGCTCGGTATCTCCGAGGCCGCACCTGCGCGAATCATAAGCTCCAATACTGCGGCACAGTGCGGCAGATAGTCTCGGTCAGGGAAGTCATTATATAAGTCGGCCAGAGTACTGAGAAAATGGGCCCATACGCTTGCATACCCGTAAACCTCGTTTGGATCGGCACCCAGGCGTAAAGAGAGCGATATGAACTCCAGGTTCAGTTTCTTATAGCCAAGTTTCAGGTCTCTGGAAGCTCTTAGAAATCTCGGCCGGAGTAAGTAGTCTAGAATTGGTCTGCCGCGTTTCTGGTGGATTCGTTCCGCAGTCAGATACTGCCTAGTGTAGGCTTCGATCCCAAAGTCGATTGCCAGAGTAAGCAAAGAACTTGTCTCTTCCATCCAACTTGCGAGCGAAGGCTGCACATAGAGGCCAGGAACTACATATGCCCCCTCTTTTCCAAGACTCTCAATCGTTTCCTGGATCATCTCTGCCAGCTTCGTCGTCTCGACCTTATCTGAATTCTCTGGTCGTGCAAGGCTGCTCACTACATTACTCGCCAGACTAGCCGTCTCCGGAAACAACTCTTCCGTCTTTGCAAGAGCGACGACCTGGCAAATTCTGGCATTCAACAGGTACATCTGCACATTGTATACTCCGCCGGAATGTGTGATCAATCTGCGCTGAATATCCGGCTTGAGAAGGAAATCGCGACACGTGCGGTGAAAGAAGTCGACTCTGATCTCATGTGTTGTTTCAGTAAGCAATGATTCCCCGTGAAAATCATGGGTTTGCGTAGCAGCACTTTCAAAAGTTGGGTCGTAATCCGAAGGAATCAGATCGTGTCCGTAGCGACTTTCCAGTAAGCCCATACATCGGCTGTTCAGCCTTCGCAACGTTGCATCAAGACGATATTCAAGAGCACTTAGATCCGTAAGGTCCAACTCTTGCAGTGCTTTTGGATTAGAAAGAAGGAAGTCTGGTTTCTCTTCTTCGGTGAAGGATAGATCAATCAGGCGAAGCGGATGCAAAGTTTCGTAGTCGCTTTCTTCGTAGAGAGCAATCTGCAGCAAAACCGAAGCGTCGTGTTGCTGATCGGGCTCTATGGTGTTCATCAGACGTTTGAAGTAGTCGTTCAAGTCGCTAGGAATCTTTTCAAGCCTCCTCCGCAGCTCCCTCATCCCGTCTCCATCTCTAAGACCTTTTGATAATTCACGCATCACTAGATGGACCCACAAGAAAACCCCACGCGCTTTTGTTGTGATCTCGTTGACGATATCGTCCATACTCTCGTTTTGGCTGCGTATCACATGTTGGAATCGTGCATGCCCAGACAACTGCGCTCTCACGAACAAGCTGATGTCGTTGCGAGTAAGATCTTCCAGCTTCAGTCTTGGACATCCCTGGAAAGAGTCGTGGAAGATATTCCAAGGTCTGCTAGAGATGCATAGTTTGACATATCCAAGTTCAGCGAGCTTGAACAAGAAATCAACCAGTTTGACTCTGATCTCGTCACTTCCGGCGAGCTCGTCGAGGCCGTCAAGCAGAATAAACGCCATAATTGAGTCCCTCGAACTCACCAAGCAATTGTAGAGGGTGGTCTGCAACTGGGTCTGAGTCCAATCAACCGATTGGAAATCGGCTGCAGGGGTAGAAGACATATACATCGACATGGGAACGATGTTGGGAACCAGGTTCGGCTGTTGTGCTAGAAGTTGATACAGCATTGATCGGAGTAAACCGACTACCGACTTTTGCAACATGGATCCAGGGTTCCAGAAGAAATACTGGATCTTGATCACCAATTTCCCCTTTGACCAGGGCTGGAAATAATCTGGCGTGGTGAGATTTCGATCCAAGAATCGCATCACTGTCGACTTCCCTGATCCTGGTTTACCATGGATCCAATAGATTCGTTGTAGCTCCTTTTCAGATGATAGCCAATCGAGTAGACTGTCTGCGTATGTGTGATTTCTAAGCCGACGCTCCAAAATCCACTGGTAGGTACCAGCATATGCTTCATGTACTTCGAGTCTTCGATCTTCCATTCGAGGGAAGTAGAGGCTTTCCATGATCCATCGAGACCGTTTAGAGACATCATCCGCTGCCGCAGACTTTTTTGAGTTACTTGGTAAATCACTCTGCTCGTGGATCGATGGCTCAAAGGGGCGTTTTCTCACTTTTTGAGCGATAACAGACCTATCAGTATGGGGTTTGAGGTCTTCCAGTGACGACTTGATTTCCTTTCGAAGTCGCCTCAGGGCGCTCAGTCTCCCTTCGCCATAGATCTGAGGTGGAAACACGCCGAAGATACCAAGCATAGAGTAGGCCTCATCTTCCTCCCGCGTAGTTTGCCGTCGCTCTGCCCAGGAGAATCGCGCCTCGATGCTGAACTGGTCCAAAGGTTGTCCCTCGAGAGCACCTAGTGCTATTCCAGTCGCAATCTGAATAGGCTGGAGAAGGGACTCCCTTGTTCCAATACACTCAGCATCTGTAGTGAAGAAACGTACAGATTTGGGGGCCAGGAGTTCTTGCAGTGTCCATCCTCGAGTAAAACCATCTGCTATCCTTGAACGACTGCTCGTCTGCGATTGATGACACGTCCGAGAGATACACGTAGCATTGCGCGGCTTCTCTATACCATTTGAACATCGAATTAATGGCTTCCGAAAGCTCTGCACTGCTCGACTTATCAATGCAGCATGTGTCGACCCAGAAGTACTCCAGCCCATCTTGTCGGGCCAGCTTTGCGCAGAAAGTGAGCTTGCTGTACCCGACCTTGTCCCGACCCACGCCACTTTTCATATCCTGGTAAGTAACTTCCTCATCGCCAATGCCCCATGTGTGCGAAAGAATTGCATACGGAGGCAGGCTGCTGCCCGTGAACTCGGTCAAAATGAACGCGTGTTCATCCAGCAGCTTAAGAAGACGCATGGCGTGTTAGCTTAGAGCTCCGCATCTCTACTCCGGAAGCGTTGTAGGACCGAATTGTTAGTGTGACACCGGAGTTGGAAGTTGTCGTGCAAAGGGTTGTGAGGTAAGGTGCGGGGTCAGCGTATGCATGATCACGTGAGTCGGCGACAAAGATCAGAAGAGAGCAGGTACTGATCAATGATAGTGTTGAGGAAGTTGCTTCTATCACGTACGCCAAAGTGGATATTGCTTATTTTTAAATAGCTTAAAGTAGCTAAGGAACATATATAAAATACTAAAGCAGCCTAGCGGTAGCTATTACTTAGTTTGTTTGCAAATAGATCTTATAAAAAGGTTAATAAGCTAATCACAGGGGGGGACGTTGGGCTGATACAGTGTGCCGGCACGGCGTGCATCCAGCAAGTTGAAAACTCTAGGAGAGTGGTGCAGCTGTTCTGGATTAGCCAAACTCTCAATGGTTACCCGTGAGCTATCAACCGGAGGAACACCCCCTTTGTACACATTGTTTTATCTAGTGATGCAAAACCACCCCAAATCCTTAGCCGCTTGTCGGCCATTGACGGATGCAGTAAATCTTAAGGTTGACAATGCGCTGCGCTTTCGACGCTAGTCTAGCCTGTCACTGAATAGTTAGCGAGCAGTGCGTCTGCGCAGCAATATCCCTACTCGCATCTCACTGGCATTAAACTGTTGACGTGCATAGATAGAAGGCAGAGTTATACCGCAGGTCCCCTCAGGCGGTAGACAGCGCATCGCATGACCGTGCGTATCGCGTGACTGTGCACAGCACCTAATTATCCTGTGACGCATGCAATCAAAACAGCGGGCCTGCGATGGATCCCTTGACCGCCACAACCGCCTACTCGCGGGGCGCATACTGCCCTGCTGTTAATAGGACCTTGCCCCACAAAGTGACGTTGCCTATAGTGATCGTCCCTGTCAAATGCCCGAACAGTAGTGGCTGCCCTACCCTCCTCGTACGAAGTATTGGTAGAGTATAAGAACGTCTGATGCTCATGCAATGTGAACATTCAAACAACAGCTTACATCTGCATTGCTCATCTGCATCAATATCTTTGCTTGTCTCCAGTACACGGTTCCTTCCATTAATTCAAACTCTCCACCATGAAGTTCTCCGTCGCTACTATTCTGGCTGCTGCCCCAGCCATCCTCGCCTCGCCTGTCAAGCGCCAGGATACAGAGAAATTTGGCCTGCTGAGCATCCGCAGCGGCGATATAAACGTGCATCTTCGTTCTATCGATGCTATCAACGGCTACTTCTATATCGGCCGCCAGGCTGGCAATGCCACTACACTCCAAGGCTCGAGCGAATCCGGGTTCAGTCTCTCCACTTCTGCCCCCGGCGTTCAGCAAGTTTACGTTGAAGCCACTCATGGGGCGATCCCCGGCGCGCTTGCCTACAATGCCGCCGGCAGCGATGTTCCGGGTACCGGCATAACCCAAGGTTTCAGCGTCGACGACAACAGCTTCTCTTTCGCTGGAGCTTCCTGGGTTGCCTGCCCGACTCAGGGCGCCTATATTGTTCAGACCGTTGCTGTTGATGGAGAAGTTCCTGAGTTTTGCGTCGGCATTGCTATCAAGCCCATTGTCGTGTAATACCCAGCTTGGAAAACACGCGTAGACCTACAGCCACTTGGGGTTCTATGTTAGGGATTAGTTAATTATAATACACGTCCATTGGACACCTCACCGACCTTAGTTTGGATGTCCGATGCCACACTGCAAATGATTTACGCCAGCCATGAAATGAGTTGATCTTCAAGACCACGTTACTTAGCTTAAGGGTTGACTTGCTTATTCTGAACTCGAAGATTTCCAAGTGTACGGGACTTAATTGTGCGTTGAGCTGGACTATCTGCGCGCTGTCTTTGCCACTTCGGCGAGTGCGACATGCTTTCACAATTTCCACGTCGTATGAGCTAATAGTAGTGGGTCAGACTCTCCGGGGTGTAGATAGCCGTTGTTTCAAGATGCATGTTTCGCGTGTACTGTACAGAAAGGCAGCCTGGTAAAAGTGTCGTTCGACTTGGCAAATAATCGTCTACATTTTCCCTGATCCATACAGAACCTAAGAATGGCATCTACGAAAAGATTCAAAGTGATGTGTGGCATCTGGGCTCCATGTACGCGAGGATATATGCCTTTGTGAATAGAGCGGAGTTACAGAAGATCATCCAAAGCTAGAGGACTTCACACGCTACTCGCACGTAGCGACACCTATCGTAAAACACTCCCCATCCTGACATCCGATCGCTAAGGTCTTTGATCACGCTAGTTTTGAGCCTCCAGCTACACGCACGGATGACTTCACCTCTGTTCGCCCCGATTGTTTTTTGCGTATTGAGATCTCGTTCGCTATGTTTGGATCGTACCTTACATTCTACCATAGTCTTTTACAATATCACAACGAAGTGATACTGGGTAGGGTAGATATTTGGCACAGTGAACTGTAGAAAGGCACTCCAGGTTGACACTCGTTACCTCTGCAGAACAGAGGGAAAAATTATCCATTGCCATGTCTGTACCTTCTTACAAGTAGGAATAGAGACAATCTTGAATTGAATTGAGGAGAAACAGGGTAGTAAGCCTTGGCGTGTATTCTTGCGGATTTTAATGTTGATTAGACCCTTCTCTACTACTACTCCTACTAGATAGTCACTGCCTGCTTCGTGGCCCTTCAAAGTAGAAGGCCCTTTAGTAACTACACGTGTCGCGACTTTAGGATCTAGCACAATAGTATATAGGGATACTTAGCTCTTTAACATCTTCTATATCTCGTGCCTAACCTAAATAGGTTCTGCTTTTTTTGTTTCACTTTAATATGACCTATAGATCCGTAACTTACAGTTTTTCCAATGCTATTAGTCTTATTATTTCTTGCCAACGTCCTTGTAAACAAGTATTCTAAGATCTTACAGCCCACGATTGAAACTATTTTATTATCCTTCCACGCAGTTCAACATTGCCTGCAGCCGTACCCTTTGGATAGAACAAATTCACATGGTTGTATAAAGCGTGAGCCCGGTGCTGACGCGCCAAGGCGAACAGTTAACCCTGCATCCTACGGGCATCCTGACGTCTTTCGACCCGAGTCATACATGATGATCGTCTAGACATCCCTGTCTGGTGCGCTAACTGAAGGGATGATTGTGTGCACGCAGCACTACTCATTGAGCGGACTGCATGAATCCGAGAATCGGGCACACGTGAACAGCAATGCTTGACCTTACTTAAACCGAAGCGATAAAGGACATAAATTCAAACTTGACTTCTCAATAGCCTGTATGTAGTACTCGAGTATACAAGGTGGGGATAGGAAATAGTGTGTATCCTCATCCGTTCACCAGTTCACTGGCAAATTGTAGACAGGCAATTGCAACCACTGGCACGATGGGTTTGCCGCCTGCTTATTTCCTTGAAAAGGCTTTTGAGTGGCTTCGCCCCTGTTCCGTAACTTCCATTTCAACTCTGGCTGGTCAAAACAACCCGCGACCCAGCCATTCAAGACGTCCCAGATGACTTGAACAGTGCTCTTGTCCGTTCCACTCTGTTTGCTGATCTTCACAACGATCTTACGTTCCCGAAGCACCTTCTGTTCTATCTTTCCCCAGATGCCGTCCATGGGCGGCTTGTGGTAATCGGCAAGACTGTGCATTACGTAAACCGAGCCCGAAGTCTTTGCAGCAAAGGCTTCGGACATCCTCTCATAAAACATGTTGCGTGTAGCGTTGCTATGATGGATACAACTGTACTCGTTTTCTTCGCCGGTGCTGTCGTTGTAGAGCGCTGCATCCCATGGCTCCCATATAGTGATTAAGCTCTCATGGCAAGCGTACACCTTTGCTGTTTCGCTCATGCCTCGGGTGTAGAAGAGGGAATTATGGAAAGGGGCTTCTGGATCTCGCCCTTGGTAACGGTTTAGCACTTCAGGTCGAATGTTGTCTTGGAACCATTCAACAGTGAAATCTTCAATGCGTTTGTAGCGAGGACCCGGGTCGATGCAATGCTTGAGATTATGTTGGACACCCTTGCTGTATGCTTGGACAACTAGGGCCGTAAGAATAGTAAGAATAACGACTGAGGATTGGATCATATTGTAGCGGTAGGTGGAAAATCAGGGAATGACTTATGCAATGAACGCAAGAGTAAAGCAACCGGAAAGCAAAGCCTTATAAGTAGTTCTCCTCTGCAGATGAGACCGAAAAAGTATTGCAAAGGGACCGTTACCCGCACCTACAATTCCAATAGATTTTACTAATGTATGCACGTAAGACTCGGATGGGGCTGAAATGGAACGATTGGTAGGAGCTCGCTCGCATTCTGCAACACACCGTTTCCTAGGTAGCATTCTGCTGACCAACATAAGGCTTTGATAGCACCTCTGTGAGCCAGTCAGGCCTTATCAGTACCCCAAAAACGACACCAGACAGACGTTAAGCGCCTAGGCTGGGTCAAACTCAAGTGAGGCCTGCGTCTTGATGCGCGTCAAAACTGCATGGTCAAGCGACGAGCTCTAACGATGGGCGCGTAGCAATGGTTGGATAGCAGCAACTGTTGTAGATCTAGGCTGTGCCGTAATCGTTTGCGGTTTTGTTTAGGGTGGTCAGCCTTGCGCATGTGAACCACAAAGGCTAGGTCAATACAACGTGCAGTGAGCTGATTGACCGTAACGAGAGGACGTTCGCAGTGCAGATAGTTGGACTGTAATGGATAAGCAACGAGTAAAAGGCCTGCGTTGATTTAACAACAGCAAAGTACACAATTAGATACAGCTTTTATGTCTGCACTTCAGTAATCTTATAACGCTTCCCTAGGTATCAACATGGTATAATCTCCGGATTGATCGTGATAGGTCTTCTAACTAACTACGTCACTAGCAGGAGAAGCCGCACATGTCCAGAAGTCTTAAGGTTTCGAACCTTGTAGCAGAGATACTCTTGGAATGTGCATTACTGCATCGGCCTCCAGGAGCGTGGTGATACGATTAAGATTTCTATAAGCGCTAGTAAATAACGCATAATCAGAACGCACTGCAAGTACATGAACGATGGAGTCGTCAGCTCATGTTGAATCTCAGCCCTCCGGAGACTCAGATTGCCAGTGCCGGAGTCGGGATGCCGGGACAGCGAGCAAGGTAGCTGCAGGTCGACAAGCGCGTGTGGCTTTTACAGCGTCCGTTGCATCATTTCCAAAGCGCCAAAGCAGTGCAACATGCTGCCACAAATAGAAAGCCGGGGATAAGGCAGAGGAACGCTGTCTCGTAGTCCTGCATGCAGGATCTCGGATCGGCAAGGCTGAAACTGTGGGGGCTACATGTTGGTGGCGCAATAAGCACTGTTGCGATATCAGCTACCGTCAGCTGCCAATTTGCCTTTTGAGCGACAGGCATCAGAACCAGAGTTGACTGCACATGTCACAACGAGGTGCAGACAGATCACCTCTTATAGAAACAGACAATCTCGTTCAAGCCCCGTCCGCAATTCCTCTCAATAGTGAGATAAGGTGCGGGGTCAGCGTATGCATGATCACGTGAGCCGGCGACAAAACCAGGAGAGAGCAGATATTCAATGATAGTGTCGAGGAAAATGCTTCTATCACGTACACCAAAGCTTGAGAATCTTGTAGTAATCAGTCCATTCGACAGCTTTAAAGTCTGGAAGAGGTTTCAAGTCTGCTTAGCTGTCATACGCAGAAGAAATAGCCTGAATTAGACAGGAGAGACGCTTCGACAACTATACTGTATATCAGCCGTTTGTTTGCGATGAACATATGCACCGAGATGCACTTGTGTCGAAAGTTGTGCGGTCTCTTCGTCTTGCCCGAAGTGGATCGATAGAAGCCGATCGCGCTCTTTGATTCAAGGATCAAAGATAAATTTTATCATGTCAGTAGCAATAAAAAGTCAGTGTAGTTATCACGGTCTCAAGAAGTAGATAGACTCATTTCGAAAGGCCGACAGAGCATAGATAAAGAAAGGCATGTAAACGATAAGTGTATAATGGCAGAGCAAGCAACGCATAGTCTAGTGCAGGTACGTAAAGAGAAAATGTAGAACCTTTCGAAGTAATGTTTCGAACAATTGTAAAGCCGTTTTCTCGGAGTCTGCCATGTTTCCTGGTCGATTTTCGCAAAGAAACTGTGTCTGCTCAATGCTCATCCGATTCGTCGTTGGTCAGGACTTGTGATTGAACATCTGCTGTCAAAGCCTCCATTGTCCAGACCTTCTTCTCAGCAGGCAACTCCCTCAACACATTCAGGGAAAGGTCGCGGGTGAACTCATTTGGCAATGAATCCCACACCGCTTTCAAATATCCACCCTGTGACCTCATGTACATACTCACGAGGACATACCTCAGAGGACATGGCTCACAAGTCTTGTCGTACGCCAGTTTCACGGCTTCTGGGCCCGGGAAGTCATTCTCATCCACACCCACCTCTTTAATGGACTGTAGGATAGCGATGCAGAAGTCAAGATCCTGAAGCTTTATGCCGAGAAAGTATGCTTCAATCAGATCCTTCCAACATTCATCCAAGCCATCGGTTTCGATAGGAATCTTGGCATAATACAGCCACTCAACGTAGATCTCGAAGCCGCGTTCGCTAATATCCGTCATGTCCAGTGTACGGTCTGATACTTGAACCCAATCGTGTCGGCAAAGTGGGCATGTCGCGGCGGCAGTCGCGCGCTGTATCCATCCTGTCATACATGAGGAGTGGAAGTTGCGGCCGCATGAGGCGTCACAAAACGTCAAGTCCTCAGCTTCTGGCCTGAGTTCCTCATGGCAGATAGGGCAGTCGCCTTCGATTTTGCGTCGTTTACGTTGGATTTTGTTTCGAATCACGCGGGAGGTCTTGCACATCAGGTCTGCGTGTACTCTGAAGAACTTTTCCTGAGGCCCAACTTTGCAGGTCAACATTCTGCAGCCCAGACTGCGGTTCCGTTAGTGGTCGCTAATTGCAGATAGTTGATGCACATACTAAGACCTGCGTCTTTTGCGAACACTAACGCGCGGTACCGGTGGCATATTGCTGTTGCTGTTGACGTTGATATTCCCTGGCGTTTTCTCGGACAAGGCGTGTATTGAAAGGTGGAGGTGGAGGAGTTACGAGACGGAGGTGGGGTAGAACAGGAATATATATGACTCGGCCCACAACCTTGTAGCTTGCTGCTGTGGTGAGAGAGATCTGTGAAGCTCTTACCTTTGAGTCGGCTAGGTGAGAGAAGCAGCAGGTAATACTCGTGCCAACAATTTACATCTCGGGCGTGAACACATGTCCATAGTATGCAGTGGGCTCCACAGACGACATCTTTCCTTTCTGCCAAACAGTACACACCTCAGAAAACGAAGAAACTCCATGAATGCTATGCTGCGATACCTAATACCTTAATACGCTACATCCCCGAATCCAACACGTACTCAAAACAACAGACTCACGTGGGCCAAAGCCGTTCGTAGTCTACCCAACACCGAAACGCCTTCTCTTTCCCAGTACACTCTACACCTCCCGCTCTTACGTCGGCCGTCTAAAAGGATGTGCCTCGGTATTCAACACCCACTCATCCAGACTGATAAGCGACTCGTCCGCAAACAGCAAGTAGAAATACTTCAGCGTCTCGGCGAGCCAGAAGCTCTCCATGCTGTCGTTCAGATCAGGCGCAGTTTTCGTTACGTCGTCGATGGCCGAGTTGCCGTGCTGCGCAGTGGTGTGCTTGATGATGTTCTGGAACATACGCCATCCGACTGCGCGCCAGTGGTCGTCGCCTGTGATGCGGTACATGTACCACACGCTCTCGATGGCCTCGGGGCTGGGGTCTTGTTAGTGGGTGAGCGGAGTAGGTGGGCCGTGGGGGACGTACCGGAGGATATAGTTTCGCGCCACGATACTTACAACGCCCTCAGGCAGGCGTTCTTCTTTGATACGGTGTTGGACGTGCTCTCTGTGGCTCAGCACCGGCATCGGGCTGTACAGATACGGGAATACTGGTGCTGTACGCGATGGCAGAGCTGAGACACCTAGCTCGGGGATGTTGAGGTCTGGCTGGACTTTCGTGGGGGGACCCTCGCCTTCTTCTGACTCGCCACCCATAACGGAATCATGGTCCTGATGGGGTGTGTGAGGAACAGCGAGGGGTCGGACCGCAGCTGGAGGCGAAGGATTTGCGGCTTTGGCTGGAATGCCTGGAGTGTCCTCGATGTTGACGTGGGTTGCGTCGTCAAGGAGATCGATGATTTGTCGGCGATCGAGGGTGTCTGCGAAGACGTAAGAGGGTGTTGGCGTGGCTTGCGCTGCAACCTGAGGATTCGCAATGGGAACTGGAGCCGCGGTAAATGATGCCATTGCTTCTGCGTACCATGACTCAGCGGAGGCGAGTTGGATTTGGTATTGCTGAAGTTGCTCTTGGTGATTCTGGATACGCCAGTCCGCGCGCGGATCGATGAGCTCGTGATACAGTGTCTCGTTCCAGGCGCACTCGGTCTGACTCTCGCAAGGAACACCAATATATCCCTCGGGCATGATGCCAGTCGCTGTCATGTCATAAGCGTAGACACATCCTTCTGTCAGCTTTTTCGCAATCTCGAGATCTTCGGGCCGGTCAAAGATCTTCGCACCCATGCCAAACATGCCGCCAGCAAAGCATGTCAGGTGGGCATTTTCAGGTTCAAGGTTAGCATCGAATGGTGCGTCTTTTGGAGACACAACGATGAACTTGCCCGAGTAGAGAACATCGTTCTCCTGAGGAAGCATAGGACGGAACAACAAATGCTTTTTGACCACGTCCATGGACCACTTGTACATTGTCCGGTACTTTGCAACTTGACCGCCAAGAAGCAGCCACTGTTTTGGAAGGTACTCATATGTGGAGTCGGACATACCACCCAAGGTATACTCTTCGCTGCCATAATCTGAAGACGATGCGAATCCTTGTGGGACGCAAGTAGGGGCCGCAAACGCAGGATTGGCTAGGCCAGTCGAAGAGGCTGCATCGAACTTGATCCTGTCCATGTTCCCTTTCTGGAGTGCCAGCAGATCCGCCTCTAGGTCAGTCGGCTTCTTTGGAGGCGTCCATTTCTCGACATCATCCGAGCGCCGTTCAAGCGGTGGCAGAGCAGACATCTTGGCGGGGTCACCCAGTGCGGCAAGCATCGGGTCTTCCAACCCCCCGTTAGGCGGCACCCAGGTCGGATTTACACCATTAGGCGTAAGGACAATTGGATCAGGCAGGTCGAGTGGAACCATCTTCTTTCCACCTGGAGAAAGTTGCTCGGTTGGCGTTGGTGTAGGAGTTTCTTCCAAATTACCCGGCGCGAGAGGGTCCTCTTGGGGAATGCTGGGAGGGATCGGCGCCTGTACGGGCACATCGATGGCCACCATTTTACAGCCCGAAGCATCGAGGTATGTCGGCCACATACCTGGAAGTCTTGAAGTTTTCTGGAATTCTTCCAGGTGGTCGGTGATGCGAGCAATCGCATCGTAGTACTTGTCCTCCCCAGTAAGCTGCGCCAGCCTTGTGAACTCCATTGAGAGCGATCCAATCTCAGCCAAAACAACACGAGTGCTTGCACGATGGGCATTGGACGCGAATTGCGACCTCCAGTAGTAGTATGTCTCTGGCATGCGGTTTGGCGTGTCGAAAGCGCTATAGAGGACCTCCGCAAGCTCGACCGCCTTGTCCAAGAGGACCTTGTGCTGCTTTCCACTCACGTCGTAGGCTGCCAACAACCCGCCCAAGTATCGAATCGTGGTCTCGAACAACGGAATGTCGGCGCGTGAAGTCGTTGTAAAGTCGAGTGTCGCAACAGCCTTGACAGCATCGACAAACTCCTCCTTCAGGCCCATAATCCATAGTGTATCCAACGCATCTACCAAAGTCGCACGCCAGCCAGCAAAGGGATCTTTGAACTCGCCAGACACAGGCTTGAGCTCGTCGTGCTCCCAGGCAAGCTCACGGTATCCATCCCACGACCGCTTGAAGACGTTCCTGATCGTATCCAGCTTTGCAGTACGTGCGGCTTTCGCTTCTGGTGTTTCAGGCTTGAAATCGTATTGAATCTTCTTAATTGGTTTCGACTGGCCAGCTGGAAGCTTTATCATCGACTGTGGGGGCACAGGGAAATTCTCGGGCAGCTTCGACCAGTGCACCTGCTCAATGGTCGACTCGTCCAACACGGCGCCACTTCCAGGGCGACCGGCCCATCCAGGCGCAGGCGTAGGAACAGTAGGGAGGTGCTCCTGCGGCAGTTTAGGCTTAATAGCGGAGCTCGACGCGGGTGCAGCGGACGACTTCGCACTAGCAGGAGAGTTGACAGGCGCAGCTGGCGGCGGCGGCGGTGTCTGGAGGGGCACATTCCTTGTCGCAGCTGGCACATCGACCTGGAGCTTCTTCGTCTCGTGCGCAACGATGTTGGGCTTGTGAATGAACTGGACCGCGTCTTCAGCGGCGTCCTCCAGGTGTCCTGCAGCATTCGATGCCGCTTCCCGCCACGTTGCTCCTGACGTCCCAAATTTGTATATTGCGAGTACCGTGATGACTGCGAAGGCGAGGAATACGCGGTATCTCCTCATACGAAACATGTTTGCGACGTGGGCGGCGCAATGCGCCTGAACTCGTGGTGTGGGTGCGCGGGTGCGATTGTAGAGAGTGTGGAAGTCGTCGCGGACGATCTGGCGTGTGCAGAGGGGGTGTTTTCGCGTGGGTACGTGCGATTAATGGGTGTCGTGGTCAATGGACGGCGCAGAATAGGGAGTGGTAAGGTTTCAGACGGTGCGAACGCTCAGCGCTGCCATGAGATCGTCGGACGGCTCTGTCCTCGAACAATAAGGAAGGGAGGAAGAAGACGGTGCGACGAAAACACCAACTGTTGGGTCGAATAGATTGACAGGCACACAGACTGCGTGCCTGGCTGGAAGTTACGGCCTTGGCTCTCCGAGAGACCCTTAGCTGTGATGCACGATCCACTCAAGATCGCCGCAGACGTTGCAGATGGCGGATGAGCCAGGGTCCGTATAAACAGCCATTTACCCCTCGGCGGTGCCTTGAATGGAGTAACCGGACTTGGTGGCCCTATGGCGCAACAAGACACCTTGAAATACCTACAATCATGTAACAGCCCGACGTGCCCACGAAACTGACTAGAGGACGAACGTGTTCATTGTTTGGGGGAACTAGGTATCGCGCTGCCGCGGCACGAGTCCCCGCAGCCATGTTTAGCAACCCGAGCTAGCAAATTAAGCTCAAAGATCCTGGCAAGGATGCGGGCTGCGGCAGCATGACAGGGTGTCTGGTAAACGATGGTATGATTTGCAAGTCAAGGTAAGGAGTGGCGCACAGCAACGTGATAGTACGATGTGATTCAAGTATTCTTGAGGTGAGATGGTTCCCTGGATCCGTCCACCTTTGGTGCCATGCAGCTCGTGAGGTCACACGATCGCTGCAAGCTGCTCAATACTGGCCCACCGTACGCATAGCCTTCTCAATCCTTCTTCTCATCTGGCGGTGGTAGCATGACCACATACTCGCGCTCGCTGCCTGCAAATCTCAAGATGTCCTTATCTCTCAACTCGAAATAACGGCTCGCCTCGATGTCCTTCCCGTTCAGTTCTGTACCGTTGCTGCTCTCCAGGTCAATCACATACGGTTTGACCCTGCCCCTCGTGCTCTTCACCCCAAACTCGTCCTCAACAACCTTTTGTATGTACCTGAATTGTATCACCGCATGCTGTCCGCTCGAGCTTGGGTGCTCCAGCACGTAGTCGACAACCTCGTGTGAGCGTCCCAACAGCCAGCAACTCTTCTGGTACAGTTCAATTGTATCAATCACGTCGTCGCCCTTGAACACAAACAAACGCCACGGCTGAGACGAAGGCGGCTTGCGCGCTTCGGCCGGTTCGTGGTACTTGAGCGAGATCTTTGTGCCCTCAACGCGGTTGGCGTGCTTTGCGAGCGTACCAGTGGTTTTGAAGTTGGGCTTTTCCTTATTGACGGGCGCGCCGCCATATTTGGTGGGTGCTTGTGCAGAGTTATCGACACCTCGGAAGGAGACTTCCTGATCTGACGAAGGCTTTTTGTTGCGCTGGTGTGGAGATCGTGATCTTGACCATGACCGACTGCGACGGCGGCGCTTGGGTGGTGGTGATCTGGAGGCAGACTGCGAGCGTGTTCGGTGCTTCCGTTCGCGAATGGCTAGAGGAGAGGGCGACCGCTTGTCGTCCCTTGATCTGTCTCTACGTCTGCGGCTCCGCGAGTGTGAACGGTCACGTCTGGTCTGTCTGTCCCGCGACCGATCTCGGCGTCGATCCCTGTCGGCGTGCTTGTCGTTCGAGCGGTCGCGTCGCCTGTCCCTTGAACCGTCGCGCTTTCTCTCTACAGATCGATCCTTCCTCCTGCTGTCCTTTGACCTATCACGCCGCCTGTCCTTTGAGCGCTCTCGTTGGCGGTCTTTTGGTCTGTCATGCCTCCTCTCTCGCGAGCTGTCGCGACGCTTCCTGTACGGTTGCGGTGAGCCATATCGCTTACTTGAGCTTGCTGCTGGCGAGACGTCTCTCGGCTTGCGGTCGCGTGAGCGATCTCTTGATCTTCTCTCCCGTGACCTGCTTCTTGATCGGCGGCGTGCCGGAGCTGTTGGTTCCTTGCTTGCGCGCTCTGGCTCTTTAACTGGTATTCTCTCTGCGACCACATGTGGTTGAGTAGGAACCTCACCCCTAGCAAGCTGCTGAGTGAGCAGTCGCCGTTGGCTGAATGGTGACAGCTCTCTCGCCATGATGTGACCGCTTCTTGGGGCCGACCGGAGTGCGGTGCCGTTGGGGGTGTTGCGTCGTTTCACGTTGCGCAAGCGGTCAGAAAATAGTGTCGACTACCAACCTTTGTCTTAAGGCGTGTGAAACCGGAAGGTGGCTTGATCGCTCATTGATCGCTCAAGGTGACATTGCGCTTCCAGGCAGCGATCGTGCGACTGCGAAACTTCTATAAAAGGCTCTAGCAGAGAGTCAGTCGCACTGGGTTAAAGTTTTGTGGCAGCCGGTCGCGGTTTCCGATGACGATCTAACGCTAGCGCACCCTTCCTGCAGCCCCATCACAGGGTAGGCGCTTCCCTTTCTATCCTCCCCGCGCCAATTCGTTCAACCCTACGTTCGGCGTCCAGAATCATTCTGCTGGAGCTGCGCCGGGACGTCTTCTCACTGCTTTCTCCGCACGTCTCACCCACTCAAGCGTCGGCCCCGAGTCAGAGATGCAAGCCACGCGCTCTAGGCGGACATCGTGCACCGAAACATGACAGCGGACATTTGCGCAATAGCAAAACCGCCGCCACTCGTATCTAATCAGAAAGTTCTGGAGATCCTTTACTGAATGCCACCGGCCCCAATTGTGTCTGCTCTGCTGTCAACTTGCTTCCTTCGATTCTTCTTTTTGTAGCCTACAACCCATTATAATGTCTTAATCTTCCCTTACTGTGCACACAGCTAGCGTGCATTTCACCATGAGCTCCAAGAGACTGTTCTCCTGGTCGAGACGGCAGTCCACTGTAGAGCCGTACTACAAGACGGGTGGACTTCTGCCCATCGAGTCCATCAGCAGCGAGCCAAGCAACATTACAGAAGCAAAGGTACGGATAACAGCAGGATGAGCTGGCAATGCGCGTCGACGTGGTCGCGCAGTGCGCGAGGATGACCGTGGCAAAAATATGCAGCGCCAGCTGCAAGGTGCTTCGCCGTTGTGACCGTGTATTCGCTGACACGCTGCAAGGACGCCCAAAAGGCACGCAGGCGACCTTCCGACCTCACAATAATCCCTCCAGATCACCAGCAATTCACATCGAGCCCCCTGTCGTCTCCATACAATGGCGCTCTTGTCAGCTCGTCGTCCAATCTTATGGCTATCTTCAATGATATGCTGCGCTCACCAACATTGAGCGCCAGCGCCTGCCCGAGGTCCGCGTCGGTACATAAGCCTCTGCCCACTCGACCACGCTCATCTTCTCTACCATCGACTCCAGACCTGCCGGTCGAGTTGCCTGGATCTCTTCTTCAGCAGAACCAAGGCTTCCCCTATTTCGATATTCAGGATCCTGTGCCAAGTCGCCCCACATCACAGAACGTCCGAAGAGGAACCCATCCACCTGAGGGACATTTTGAGGATGAGGGCGACGTTGTTGACCTTTTGCATTTGTTTCCTGAGCCACTGAATCATTCGAAAAGTGTTCCGAGCTTGAAAGCCGGGTATCGAGAAGGCGCAATGAAGTCTTCACGTGCCGGAGCTGCCTCCAGCGCGCACACCAACTCGAAACCACACATAGTGCAGCACAGGAAAGCTCTTAGCGATATGGAGTGGCGCACGATATCAGCCCCGAGCTCAGCTTATTATGGCGACAATGGTGCGCCGACGAGCGCTCATCCCGATAGCAACGCCGTCGACCGGTCGCTCGTAGAAATTGACGCACTACTACAGCCATCGTCAATAATCCTTGAAGTAGACACTCCGAATAGACCCGCTGAGAGACGTCCAAGTCGCCGAGATGATGTAAGTACCAATTGTTTCTCTGTCGAGGTAGTTCACTCGTCGAGCTCGTTCTGCGCATAACGAAACGGTTTCAGATGGATCGCATCTGCCTTCACTGCCTTAATGTAACGCATTCTGCCTGAAGTCGATGGGTCTTTGGGTTGCGATTGACCACTGCATGCGTTTCAGCTTTCTCGCCGTTGGCATTGTCGTCTCAATCTGGGCACGCGAGAGAGTAGCTGCCGCAGACAGGGCACATCTGCTAGCAAGCGCCCAGTGCAAAGGCATCATCCTTATCTCGTCCATCTTCACCTCCAAACTACACCTTCAGCCGCTGAGATCACCTGTAGATGATGGTTCGCTAATTGTGAATAGCTTGGCGCTTTCCTTACACACATACCAACGACAGCGCGCGGTAAGGTTACCGAGACCTCACAAACCACAGATACGCAAGATCAGACGATAGCAACGTTGCGATCACATTTTAAGGGTTTGAAAACGTCACACGAAGCTCACGTGTCAAGCCTTGCAGAAGCGCATGCTGCGGAGGTAGCGTCACTACGAAATTACACAAAACTATTGGAAGAGCAACTGGCACAGCGTTCAGTTCTGCACCACGGTACGTGTGATTGTACCTCCTTGCATCATCTTTGCTTCGCTTCCTTTTGTTCATAACTGTCACATCCGCCAATTGGCGATCTTCGGAGTTCGTGTTCGCCACCATCCACAATTCTGGTGTTTCTGCAGCTCTAGCCAGGGGCAGCACTCGCTACTGAAGTTTATCACGCCCTAAATCACGGCTCGCAGTTCAACGGTCGTCTATAGTTCTGGTCTAATGATGCAACAGACGTAACGCCTTCAGCTGAAGCCCAGCTAGTCTCCAACAACAATCCCCTGTTTGGCGTGGATACAGCCAGAGCCTCTACCACACCCAGTCGCAAGAGCTCGCAGTACACGGCGGATACATCTGCTAGCTCGACGCGTTCGTATCGCAGCGCGCCGGAGAAGCAACAGTACTCGCCCGCTAGATCACAAGACAACGCCGACATGGAGAGCTTGAAACGCAAACTGAGCACTACGCGTCGACCACAGAACGGAGACCGCAATCTTCTGCCTGAACTCAACCAATACAAGCAGAACAATGCCGCATTGCAAACGCAGATAAGCTCGTTGATGGCGAAGTTGAACGAGTCGAAGAAAAGCGAGAAGGCAACAAGGGCAACACTGGAAGATGTCGAACAAAGATGCGCGAAAGTCGAACGTCAATTCAGCGAAGCTCAACAGCTCGCGTCGAGCGCGCAAGCGCTGCAAAACACCATTGATCATCTCGAGAATCGTCTTGAACTTGCAAACTCCGAGAAATTGGACGCGCAAGAAGAGCTTTTCAACATGAGGGCATTGAAATCACCATTCGACGCTCAATTTCCGGACCTACACTTGCCAACACAAGATGCTCACGAGAGTATGGATACAATCTTCTCGATCGGCTCGCAACATGACTACCGGCACGATTCAAATGCGGCCGTATCTGGGTTTGTTACGCACGTCGGACAGCTCCAGGATGAGATTCGACAAAAAGACAGTTATATTGCCGAGCTGCAGAGCGATAGCTTACATCTGCGACACGTGCTCGATCAGATGCATCGACAATGTGATGAGATCAATTTGCAATTGGACATCCAGAATGAGCTTCTGGGGAAGACAAAAGAAACGGATGCACACATTGAACAGCTCCAGAGCGCGGTCTTGGACCGTGAAGCTGTCATAGCAGACAAAGAGAAGTCGGTCCGCACTGCGGAAAGGCATCTGGAACATCACAAACTGCTTTTGCAGGCGGAAATACGGAAGAATGCAACAACATCCCGATACTTTGCTGACAACAATAAGCTTCCAGAGCTGACAACCCTTGCGACAAAAGTCGATGTCGACAGATGGATTCAGAGGCTCAATCAGCGTCTACGGAAAGCAAATCCCGCGGGCACAATCAAAGAGGCAAGAACAGCAGCTGAAGTACAGATCGAAGACCTGCGGAACGAGATCGACTTTTATGTACGAGAAATCATCTATTATAAGTTGGACATCCGAGGTTACAAGAGTGATATCAAAAAGCTCAACAAGGCCATGGCACAGCTGGGCAACTATGCGAATAGGCCCAGCGATCTTGACTCCGACACATCGTCGCTGCGACTAGCACCTACACCAAACCGCGCGCGTTTCTTGTCAACGACTCCAGACTTCAGAGGCTCGGGGTATCCTTCGCCTGCTTCGGCTGGCCCCATCAGCACGAACATAGGGTCGGCCCGAGACTTCACACCACCAGCATCGACTACGGCGGATAGTCCAGAAACATCACCGTTGCAAACACCAGGCGACTACGGAGGAGCAGCTCCAAGGAATTCGATGGCATCACAATCAGCGACTCAGATCATTGATATGAGTACAGCCCACGGCGATGACCTGGAAAGATACGCCCTCGCTATCGGAGATACAGGACCCCCATTTCTCAACAATGCCTACCTCGATACTCGCCTGAATGAAATTCGGCCGACCCTGGAGCGGGACGACTCCGATGCATCCACAGTGCGACCAGTTGTACCAATCTCAAGGTTCTCGCGAGACTTACCCTCGGGTCCACCATCACCCAGACCCGAGCGCGTCTGCCACTCACGTGTCGGCTCAACGTCAAGCACACGGAGCCACAGCCAACAGCATCATTCAACAACAGCACGACTCGAACGCAGCATGAGCAGCTCATCCAGCACCGGTATTCCTTTTGTTATTGCTATGAGCTCGCCGAACAACCCCGCCATCGCGGTTGCAGCGAAGAACATGCCCGCCACACGGCCACTCAGGTCTGCATCTGCGACTTCGAGGGCCGGTGTCGATGGTACGATGGCTTCCCACACGCCTCTTTCATCACCTACGAGCGTTGCGAGTTTATCGACTGTAGCTTCCGCGGTACCCTCAGGGCACAAGCGCAAACTCAGTCTTTCATTCAGAAAACAAGAAAACGAGGCCCCAAGTACATCGTCACACTCACGAGGTCTCAGTGGCGGGAGCATACGCAGTGCAATGCGATGGACGAAGGGGAGCAGCAAGGAGAAAGAGAAAGAAGGTCAGATGAGGAAGGACAGCATGGGAATGCCGCAGCTTCTTGACAGTCCTGTAGGGCTCGAGAGACAAACGAACTAATCCAGGCATGAGAGTCAAGCGATTGGATTCACAGCCTTCTGTGAGGATAAGAGGGTGTGAGTTGCGGTTTCAAGTGTATCTCTAGTTCTTGTTGATTCTCGGTGTATACGTCGAACTACTACTACGACCATTGCGCTTTCTTCTGTGACCTGGCTGCTCTTTCCAGCCCGATTTTGTTTGTCTTGGCGTCAGCGCTGGTTCTTGTGCGTACTGTCCAGCTCTCCTCCTCTCTCACATCCAAAGTCACTTCCTCTGTTTTCCACTTATATTGAACTCCTACACACGTGTATCTGGCTCCGCGCACGTACCTCTCACTTCACGCATACACGACAATTGGCTCACCGCATCATGAAGCGGCTATCACTTTCATGAGCCCTTCACGTTCACCGGTTGACGATGAGTGATAAGGCGAGCTTCCCACTCGCTCATCACGATACCATCAACACTCTCTTCGCACACCCTTGTCAAAAAGCACTCACTCGGGCAACACCATGGCCGACTCAGGGGTTCGGTCAGGTATTCGGAAGAAGGCAACTCTCAGGCAAGATACGATAACAACGCCTAAGAGCCAGCGCTAACCTTCATCCAGACTTGGTCGCAAAATCGCTCGATTTGCTGTGGGCAAAGACAAGGAGCTGTTCACAGTCCACGAAGACCTCATCTGTGTGTCACCCTTCTTTCGAAACATCCTCCAGCCACGCCGCAAGCCTGTCGAGGGTGACTGCTCTATCTGTCATGATGCGCTTGATCCAGAGACAAAGGAGCTTACATACTGCTCCTCTTCCTGTGGAGGCAACTTCCATCGCTCCTGCATCGATGACTTGACCGACCACACGCCGGAGAACGAAGTGACCAAGTGTCCGCTCTGCAGGCAGCCCTGGACTTTCAGCTCCGATATGTCACACTACATACATCAGCTACCGACTTTAGACTCAGAAGGGTTTGAAATCTTCTTGGAGTGGCTCTATAATCCTAACACCGTTACTGGCAGGGATGCCACGCTCCCTCTGCTTCATGCATGTATGCTTGGAAGCCATTTTGAAGCTCAAAAATTCCATGCTGAGACTAAGCGGGCGGTATACGACTCATGCAAGCGCAACAGTTGGCCGGACATTTTGAGTATTAGAAAGATATATGCGACAGGGACTGAACCATACGACTTGCGGCGTGCGGTGGTAGCCCTTTACAAATGCATGCCGCCAGCTGTCTTGGAGAGAGCTTTTGACTACCCGGCCCGTTTCCCGCCTGCATTCACGCGAGATCTTCTTGTGGCTCTTGCTACGGAGCGTGACAAGACTCCAAGACCTAGGACGCTTGCTTGAATAACAGGCGATACAAGTGTATAAAGTGCTACACGAAGTATTGGCATAAGTTTGGATGTCACGTCGCTTGATGGTTGGGAAGAAGGATGACATACCCATGATAACTGCGACAAGGTTTATGTGATTTGGTCACAGACTTTTCAGCTCACGCGCTGCGAGCATGACGAGAAAATGATGGATTTTTCGCCTTGAAGATTCTCGCTCAAAGGAAGCACAAAGAGAAGGGAGGATTCAATACATCACACCCTGTGCGGACGAGTCGGTTTTTTCGTTCGCACGACTGGAAGCACCAGTGACTTGTGCCTAATGCTTCTCAATGCCCCAGAATACATATTATGCTTCAGGAATGAAATCAGTGCAAACTACACATGCCTTATACTGCTCAGTCACTGCAACTCATGACCGCTCGCATAACCTGTTTGCACGAAGTTTAATTCTAAGTAGAGCAATTTTACAGGGTCATTCGAACTGTAGTTCGCAAATCTGGTACATGACCTAGTGCAGATACCCGACCACTATAATTCTAGCAGTCTTCTACTATTTATTATACAAATTCATGTTGGCTACACCCTGAAATTCGCTCTTTTCCACAAACTCAAGCCTCCTCTTGAAGAATCCCTGGCCCTGGCCCGTTGCTTGTACTGCAGTGTGTCAACGATACCCACCTGGCTCCGAGAATCCTCAAGCCCCTGAAAGTCTTCTACATTGCGCGCTGGGGTTCCGTGCAGATGCAGACAGCATACTATTTCGCCTACAACACCAGCAGTACTGCAACTCCGAAATCAATTAAATGCATATTGATGCTACTATCCTATTAGAGATTGAAGCTAATTTTTCATGCCTGATTTGCTTAGTTGGTGGTTAACGCCCAAGGAATTATTGGGGGTAATTTTATTTTTTAATCGTGGTAAAGGGAACAAGTTGGAACTTTTTGGTTTACGAAGTATTAGACAAATCTATGAAACCAATCCTTAGGATCAGCTAGTGCAGTAACTCACATCTCCCGTAAATAAAAGCCAGACCACTCCCTCTTTACTTCTTTAAATTTTATCTGCAGACATCAAGATCGATACTGAAGAATTTCGACTTCTGCACCAATCAACGAACATTTTCACCCACAACACTTCAAGCAAACTCATTCCTCACTCTTAACAATGTAAGCACCTAATGTTTTAACACCTGAAACATCTAGCTAATAATGTTATAGGTCTCAGCCAACCACCTGGGTCTATTTTGACAACGGCGAGATCGTTGATAGCAAAGTCCTGTATAAGGCTTCAAAGTACTTTCGTACGAATGTCAAGACAAAAGAGCGATGCGACGAAGACTGTCCCATCTGCCTTTTACCACTCAATGCCGAGACAGGTCACAGTCTCGAGCAATGTCCTGACCCCCGTTGCCGCACTTGCGGGCCTCCTTTGCCTGGAGCTACTAGCAGTAACCGACCCAGCTGCAGAGACCTCACCTTTTGTGCCAATTCATGCGGCAAAACCTTCCACCTTTCTTGCCTCCACCAATGGAGGCACGCAACTTCCGTAAAAGGGGCTTGTCCGCACTGCCGGCAGCCCTGGGATCTCTCATTCCCTTCCCTTCACAGAATTGGCCTTAGTCTATACCTCTCATCCATCCAAGGGGCACAGACTAGTGGCAATTCTATCATGAAAGATAGCACGGAGATCGTAAAGTGTCACCTTCTCGCCTACCAAGCTGGGTTACATTTTAATGATACCGCCTACTGCTTTAATGTGCTGGAGACACTCTGGAAGTACTGCGAAGCCAAGAGATACCTCCCGACAATGTCAGATATGAAGGTCGCTTTCAAGGAAACGGCATCGTTTAAGGTGTTGAAGCTTGTGGTTGGCGCGCTGTACGTGAGACAGCTGGACGACGCGTCGTTGGAATTGCTCGCAAAGCAGAAGCAATTCCCAGCAGCTTACATTCTCGCCATCAAGACAAAGGGCGGCTTCAGCAGTGTACGCAGGTTGCATAGGTTCAGGGACATCTTTGAGATGCTCCGCAATACTCACGACGGGTCTAGACAGAAGGTGAAGGAAAGGGCTGTTATCTGATTGATTGGGCGGTTTACTTTGATATTAGCGTTGCAAATCGAGCGAAGGCATAAGTAGATAGTAATTGCACATCTTCAAAAATTCAATTCGCTCAACAAATGCACCATGATTTCTTTCTCCAGCCATGTCGGCCCCCGGATCCTCCTGAAATGCGGCTGCCGTTTCCGGCCCAAAGTTCTCCAAGTCAAGGCTCCATCCATGCGATATTGGTACCAGGCATGGGACGGCAGGTCACTTTCGACGGCCTGGAGGTCCCTAATAAAGTCCTTGGGTAACTCATTCCACTGCGTTAACAGACGTTCTTTTGCCAGGTCACTCCACTGCATCCACGCTGGACAACAAGTCTTCTCAGTGAAAGACAGGTTTCGGGCAAGTCGTAAACCATTCGAATCTCTTTTGCGTGTGGCAAGTCGTCAATGAAATTGCACGTTTCGAAGATCGCCTCCATGACGCCGATGCAGAACTGCTTGTCCAAAAAGTGGGCACCTGCAGCATAGCAGTCTATGAGTCTGCTTAGCATCATGTTCGGCGCGGCCTTGACCAGAACCAGACCCACCGTTACGCATTCCAAGTAGGTTTCGACTGCCTCAGGGTCCAAGGTGGGGAACAGCGAGGAGAACGGGAGCAGCCAGGGTCGTCGGCACCATGGACATTTGTCCCTAGAAAATATGCCGAGAGAGGAAGATCGCCACGTAGATATGCAGACCAGGTGGAATAGCTGACCGCATGAGACACAGCATGCTTGCCAGTGCAACGTGCCGTACGCGTCCTGTGCTTGGTAGCTGGCTTGACATTCAACATCAGGAATCAGGTGGAGGGGATCGTAGCAAATATTGCATTCGCGCTGGATGCGACGATTGCTTCGAAGTTGTTTTTGGAAAAATGCTGATCTGTGGCAAAGGCGTCTTTCTGAGACCTGGAGCGTGTCCAAATAGTACAATATTTCCACATCATATCTATGCAGCTGTCAGTCAGGGTACGGTAACTTACTATGGCTTTCCCACTAACGTATCAGCGTCATCGCATTCTCCGTCTCTTGTGAAGATCTCAGTCTCGTCAGGTGCCCTTGCAGTGTTGAAAATATTCGAATAAGCTTGAGATGCCGCCGCCTCTGTATCGGTGTTTGTAGATCCATCCGACTCTATGTCCGAGGCTAGGTAGTAGGTCAGGAATACTGTCGCATTTATTGACAGCGGAAACAACTCACTGTAGTCGTCTGCAGCGTTGGGAGATATGGGCATTACTATGACAAATCATGAGCGAATATTTAATTTTAGACGTTCTAAAAAGAGAGAGTGATATGAGTTTAGGAGTCAAAATCCAATTACAACAATTTATAGTCGACGCAGTGGGATTTTGCGTGTTCGCGTAGAGATCAGGGTGAGGCTTAACCATGGGAAGGGCAAAAATTGGTTGAATAGGACAACATCAGAGTCAAGTTGATAATGTGATGTATGATTGGTCACAGCAAAGGGTTAATGTAATCGGAACCAGCGTATTCTCGTCTAACCTATGAGTACGGAAATCTCCCAAGCCACTTATCCAATCAACACCTACGCATTGTCGCTCGCGTCTTCTATGACCCTGCCGACCAACTCTATCGCGTACTCAGCAGTCATCTGATGCCTTCCACGTTTCCTATTCCTCAGCCCCATCGCGTCCCCAACATCCTCAACGAACTCCAGCGGATGCTTGTCACCCTTCTTCTTCCACACACGCGCGCCTGTATGCATTGCAACGAATGCTTTCCGCAGCGGGCATGGCTCGGTCGTCGATCCGGAGACAACATGTCCGACTGCGTAGGCGAGCCGGACCACTTTCCAGCTCGGAAGTTCCAGCCTGATGGCTACGAAGTCTTTCATAGCCTGCAAAACTGCGCTTTGGAAGGCGTCGTCCTCGAACTTGTGTCCGAGTAGATATGCTATGATTAATTGGCAGAGTCTTTCATCAAGACCAAAGTCATCTAGGAGGACTATGCGCTCCCAGTGCATCCACTCGTAGTAAATTGAGAAGATCGGCGCCTGGAAACATGATACGTTGAAAGACAGGGGTTCTTCATTCCGGGGCCAATCTCGGCGGCACGTTGGGCAGGTCGCGGTTCCAGTCGAATTTGCTTGCGCCGTCCATTGGGACATGCAGTCGCTGTGGAAGTTAACGCGGCAGTATTTGCAGAACACCAATTCGTTGCTGGCTTCATGCAAAGCTTCGAGGCAAATGTAGCAGTCGCCATCAGGACTTCTTCGAAATTCTTGCAGTCGGCCTCTGTACGCAGCTGAAGTCTCGCGTAAGCGATCTTCACGAACGTGAAATGGCGCTTCATGCTTTCCGACTGTGAAGGCGACGATCTTGTCGAAGCGGCTGGGTAAGGGTTAGCAATTATCTTCATTCAAGTGATGATATCTTACTATGTGGTTGAGGATGCCATCTTGCTTTGGCTATTTATATTGGGTTCAGGGTACGTAGGTAGGGTGTTGTGAAAGGGAGAGGGAGGTGATCTGGAGCAGCAGCTACTGTGGGGAAATTGGTACTTCTGAGGACGAATCTGATAGCAGAATGATCTGTAAATTGGTAATGGAGAGGAGAGCAGCTCACTTTATACCTATGTTCTTTTCTGACCCTGGAACAACGAATAGGGCCAACAAGGTTGGATAGTGCGCTACCGTGGTTCAAAATCGGTGAACCTGAATATAATTCGGACAGCCCGGACAGACCTTTCAGGTGGTACGGACAAAATTCGAGGAGCTCAAAAATACAGGTGGGTGCGTGAGCAATTTAGGGGCTGTACTGACTAGTAGTAATTAGAAGAATCCGATTGATGCCTGCACCAAATTCCAGGCCTCTACAGAGAAGTAACGAACAAATTTTTTTTTTGCAAGAAATCGCGTTGAACGCTACAGTATTCATGTGCTCTGATAAATACTGCATCCATAGATATCCAACCAGCCAATTGATACTTGTGTAGGGTCGTACTTATTTTTATTACTATTCATAGGCCGCAGGACTACAACCATACTGCTCCTTTGAATGATGGCGTAGACCGCTCAATCATACAAAGCCACGATGGGGTGATCGAACCTTCTTGCCTGACACTGTAATCTGCTAAGTGGCTGGTCGGACGTGCCTGGGTGCAGTACGTACAGGTGACAAGCTAGACATTCACGAGCAGGAGATCATGTTACAACCAATCGCTCTAAGATATCTCCCAACTTTTCGGCGAACCTGGAGTTGAATTCTGTCGGCATGTATCACGCCTCAGAACAAGTGCCTTGTCAGTGATAATCATTGTGTGCACCAGGGACGTTGCGGTGTAAGGCTGTGCCTCAATGGATCCTCATTGCATCATTATGTCATTACTATCTTTGGTGTTTCCACCGAGCTTTCCATAAGCCTTGATCTCTGGTACCAAACGAGAGCTCTTCGTTGAGCCCCGTCCTGCGCTGCACTTAGCTTACTGCTGGTGAGCGTGCGACGCATGGCCACCTTGCACACCCAGATCGTGAGCGAGCTTGCTGCCGGCCTTGAATGTACCGTCAGGGTTGCGGCCATCGCTTGCCTCGCCATCATGCTCGTGGGAAGCATGGCCGCCTTTGACGCCAAGGTCGTGAGCGAGCTGGCTGCCAGCCTTGAAGGTGCCATCGGGGTTGCGCTGGAGATTGTTAGTCAGGCAGATGGTAATAGTTGTGAGCAGACTTACACCGCTGTCGGTTGTGCCATGGTGAGCGGCAGCATGACCGCCCTGAGCGCCCAGCTCCTTGGCGAGCTCGGAGCCCTTGGTGAAGGTGCCGTCAGGGTTGCGGTCTGGGTGATCAGAGCTGGACTCGTGGTGGGCGCCGTGCGAAGCGTGGCCGCCCTTGGCTGCAATCTCCTTCAGCTCATCCTTGGGAAGGTTGGCGAAGTTGGCGGGGTTGGTGGATGCCATTTTGGTAGAGTTGTGGTTGTTCAAGAGTGTACAGAGTGGAGTGCAGAAAGGTTCTGGAGAGAAACGGTCGAGAGAAGAAGTGTGGAGTGAATTACTATCAAGTGAGAGAAACGCTACTGTTATACCCCGTGTTTACCTCTACTCCACAAACTCTGACGTGACGCTGCCTGGCAATGGCAAACAGCCGTAGGCAAACAAGGGTCTGGAGATACACATCTCTTCCGAGGTGGCCTCTGATTCGATGTGCCTGGGAGAATCAGGAGGGGCATTGTGGTGCTAGGCAGTCGCAGCCTGCTCACATCCCTGCATGGTTGTTCTGTGCCGTCAGCTGGGCGTGACATCATTTCTGCCAAGACTTGCTCCACGCGACGCGAGACGCGGTCGCGTATCTGGTCATGTGCGGTGTGGCTGGGTCAACCAATCGTAGATGGCGGAAGCGGCAGGGATCGCGGACGACATGTCGCGCCCATTGCTTTTCGCTGCAGTGTAACTCAGCTCCAGGCTGCATTGCAAGATTACTACTTTCCAGTATTTTCGTAGCAGAAGTTATTCAATTGACTGAACTTCAACCTGCTCGACGCGTAGCTAAAGTCTTTGCCTGATCACACAATTGTAGACATGAGTCTCAAACGCAAAGCTGCTGACGCTGCCACTGACGCGACAAAGAAGCCCAAGCAGAACGGCAGTATCACAGCCTTCTTTGGCGCGCCAAAGCCATCGTCAAATCCGAAAGCCTCTTCAGCTGCAGCTGCAAAATTCGACAGAGAATCATGGGTCGCGAAGCTCACAGAGGAGCAGAAGGACTTGCTTCAGCTGGAGCTTGACACATTACACGAGAGCTGGCTGCCGCATCTGAAAGATGTGCTTGTAAATCCTCAATTTCTGGAGCTCAAGAGGTTCTTGAAGAAAGAAATCAGTAGCGGCAAGACGGTCTTCCCGCCCATGAAGGACGTGTATTCCTGGTATGTCTCCTCACCGCTTAGTCCTTCATCCACAGCTGACCAAGTCTCTCAGGTCACGACACACTCCACTCAACACTGTTAAGGTCGTCATCACAGGGCAAGACCCGTACCATGGACCCAACCAGGCCCACGGCCTTTCCTTCTCCGTTCGCCCTCCAACGCCCGCGCCGCCGTCGCTCGCGAACATCTACAAAGCGTTAAAGATCGACTACCCTGACTACCGACCACCGCCGAAGAAGGGCGGCCTCTTGACACCATGGGCAGATCGAGGTGTCCTGCTACTGAACACTTGCTTGACCGTGCGCAGAGGAGAGGCAAACTCACACCAGGGCAAGGGGTGGGAACTGCTGACGCAGAAGGTCATCGATACGGTTGTGAAGGTGCGCAGCAATGGTGTTGTCTTCATGGCATGGGGCTCGCCGGCGCAGAAGAGGACTGTTGGCATTCCAGTCGACAAGCACTTGATTTTGAAGAGCGTCCATCCCAGCCCACTGAGCGCAATGCGAGGCTTCGTAAGTGATCTTGTATAATGGTAATTCACAAGTGCTAACAACATTCAGTTCGAGTGTCACCACTTCACTAAAGCCAATACTTGGTTGGTGCAGCGCTATGGCAAGGATGGCGGTATCGATTGGGATCTCAATGTAGATCCGGAAGCTGTCGTCGAGCCTGGCAAGACCGGTCAGCCAGTTGACCCTAAAGAAAACACTGCATCGAAGAACAGCGCGAGTGCCAAGGAGAAGGACGTAACAGCACAAGACGTCAAGGGTAAAGAGGACGTTGCAAATGAAAAGACCGCTGACCCTGAAGCGGATATTGACTCAGATGAGGAAGCGGCACTAAGGGAAGCCGGGTTGTGATCATGGCGACGTGTCAGACATAGTCATCCTGGATACTTCCTGTCTCTCTGACGTGATCCCAGGAGCTCTCGATTGCCCAACACTCCACCCTTATACTGTCGCACGAAGTTGATGTCATGGCTTGGCATAGTACAAGCAGCTCTCTACTCAATAAAGCTAAACCCGTTCAGCTACAAAGCATCGCACACTTCGCTTTTTGATTTTCTTCTTTCCTTCGACCATCACGCAACCTCTCAACTCGCTTCACTGGATAACATTGAGAATGTCTAAACTCATTATCAACGTGGACAAGTTACAGAGGTGCATCATATACCATCACGGCCTAATAATTTACTAAAATTGACTACCAGTTATCTCAACGGACCGATCGTCAAAGTCCTTGTGGGCAAAGAGGGCGAAGCACAGCCGTTCTTCGTACACAAAGACCTGCTCACAGCACGATCCAGTTTTTTCGCCAAAGCTCTCAAGCACTATCGCACTCGCAGCGAATCTACAGACGCTGCTGAGCTAATTGAGGATGGTGGCGGCGACGCATGGCACGAGAGCAGTACTGGCGTTGTCAAACTGCCAGATGACGACCCGGACATCTTTATCCTGTATGTCCATCTAATCTACCATGGGTCTTTACCAGTTCGCGAAGAGCCAAACCTTGGGAAGTCATCAAAAACCACGGGATCCCGGGAACCAAATGACAAAGAAATCGATATTGCGGACTTGGCTGCAAGTGAACATAACATGTTGGCTAAACTGTACGTGTTGTGCGAAAAGATTCAAGATTGTACAGCAAAACGCACAGTTATGACGGCTACTGTAGAGTCGACCAAGATGGTGCGGGCAAATAACAAACTTTATTACGTGGATCGTGACGCTGTTTTGATTATCTACAACGGAACAATGCCCGAGGATCCGATGCGACAGTTCATGGTCGACTGTGCTGTACTGCATGGTGACGCAAGGTGGCTCAATAAGGAGGATACAACTGCGGATCATAGCGAACACTTTCGAGATCTTGTATTCGCCCTGTTAAAACACCGGCCGGTACCACCAAGCACTTGCGGTCTCAACATCACAGATGCTGCGCTGTACTGCGACAAGATCAAGGCATTTGATGACGAAGCCCAAAAGGGCACGATGTAGATCGCTAAGGGCACCATGGACACCAACCACGATCTCGCCTATCGATCTCTCGCTAGTATAACTACTGGGTCGAGTGATATTGAACTCGGAGCTGGATAGTCGCGATCTTTCTGCAAACGATGGCGCGGACACGTTTTACCACTTACAGCACTGCAGCCGACGAATCTGTAGCTGAAGAAGACGCAGCAAGCTCATACATGTAGTTTTGATTGCTACACGACATGAACACACATTCTTCAAATGAGAAAGAATGAAAACTTTGGACCTTAAGCAACCATCATGAAAATTAACATCATCGTCCCTAGGCCTCCATCATAGCCTGCTATCTTCCCAATCCGTGATGCAACTGTACAAAGCATCAATCGTTCACCTTCCACCAGAAGGTCCTCCTTGCTCTACTCATCACCCCCAGACTCCAAACCCGCCATCGCCATCTCCACGAACGCCATCTCACAGCGTCGTCCCATCTCCCTCTCCATCCCCTGCATGCTCACACGATCACAAAAGTCACACAGAACACACGGCGCGAGACGTTTTCTTGTGTTTGCATCACGCACAGCACGCACAACCACACAAACATGCACAAAGGAAACACGATGGGATTTCTCTAGCACGCCCATCTACCTCGCAAAGAAAAACAGGGCAAGCCTCGGTATTTACACAACAATTCCTTCCATTTTCTCGTCTCCTTCCGACTACTGATCATCGATGACGTGCAGATACTTCTTCTCCTCGCGCTTCTCGCGCTCGGACATGGGCGGCAGGTCGTAGTACGAGGAGCTGCGGTAGCCCTTGAGGTACTCGAAGGTCAGGCCGCTGAGCTCGACGGGCTGGATGTCGAGGTCCTTGAAGGTCTTGGCGGTGGGGTCGATGACCTGGTCGATGAACTCGCGCTCGACCTCGTCCTCGGAGTGGATGGGCCACCAGAGGAAGCGGTTGGCGAGGCGGGCGACGGGCTTGAGCAGCGGCGCGGGGACGTTGATGTGGCGGCGCTTCTTCATGGCTTCGCGCTCGACGAGGTCGTTGAGCTCGGCCATGGTGTACTCGGTGGGGCCGTAGAGTTCGTAGGTTTCGGCGGCGGTGGTGTCGTCGTGCAGCATGGTTTCCAGGGCCATGCCCACGTCGATGGCGTGCACGGGGCTGAAGCGCTCCTGCAGCCAGTTGGAGGTGATGACGTTGGAGGGCGAGGCGAGGCGGTGGAGCAGGCGGTCCTCGTAGCCGAACATGGGGGCGGGGCGCACGATGGTGGTCTCCGGGTAGATGGAGCGGGCGACCTGCTCGCCCTGGGCCTTGGTGCGGTAGAATTCCGAGGTGGAGTCGAGGGTGGCGCTGTGCGAGGAGACGTGGACGTAGCGGTCGATGTCGTATTTTGCGACGGCCTCGGCGATGCGCTCGGTGCCCTCGACATGGACGTCGGAGAGGCTGAAGTTCTTGGTGGGGTAGTCGCGGCCAATGAGGTTGTAGACAATGTCAGAATGGCGCACGCTCTCCTCGATCGACGCCGTGTTGCGCAGGTCCATTTCCATGAAGACCACGCGGCCGAGGTCACCGGTGACCTTGAGATGGCGCTTGGCCATCTCCTCGCGGAAGGGCACAATGACGGTGCATCCCGAGCGGGCTGTCCCAATTAGCGCGGTCCTGCAAGTCACGGGGCCACGCACCCAGCCTGTTGACGATGTAGCGGCCCAGGAAGCCCGTCGCTCCGAATACCGTCGCCGTGTAGCCTGCGAGTGTCAGCGTGTGTGTGTGAGGATGCAGGCGGCGGCGCACCTCCGAGCGAGGAGCGTCCGGCGGACACGGTCAGAATGGGCTTTCCGGTCCTGCACAGGTCAGTACTGGCTGCGGTGCGTAGGCCGGCGGACGCACCTGGTGATGCGGACGTCGTGGTTGAGGCGCGCGGCCGGGCGGGCGGTCGAGGTGGAAAACGGCGAGACGCGGAGGGAGCGCAGCGGGGCCGGCATCGCTGCGCGGGCGCGGGCACAGCGAAGGGGCAGGGCCATGGTTGCGGGTTCAATGGCTGGCGGGGGGTGGTGCGAAGTCGTCGAGCGCACGTCGAACATGAAGCCGGGCTTGGCACGCTCCGCCGTCACAGCTCCGCAACGCCATCGCCCACGTCAACCCACCGCCCACGCCAACACCACCCCACTCACACCACCAACATGGCGATGGACACGGACACAATACCGAACCTGCTCGGCGACGCGCGCGACCAGGCGCCCGAGGAGCTGCAGGAGTACTTCATCGCCTTCGAGGACTACTGGGAGCGGAAGCTGTGGCACGAGCTGACGGACAAGCTGGTCGAGTTCTTCGAGCACCCGGACAGCGCCAAGCAGCGGATACCGTTCTTTGAGACGTTCATCAAGAGCTTCGCCAACAAGATCAACCAGCTCAAGCTGGTCACACTGGGGCTGAGCGCCGCAACACAGTTCAAGGGTGCGTAGCCGTCACGGCGTGCGGGCTACACTAACACACGCAGACGACAAGGAGCGCCTCGCCTTCGTGAACGCCCTCGCGGACAGCGTCAACAAGCCCGCCTCGCAGGATGCCTACGTCTACGCCACAGTCGCCGCAGCCAGCATCCAGCTGCGGTTACGCGACGAGGACGGCGCCAAGCAGAAGCTGGACGACTGCGAGCGCATCCTCGACCACTTCGACTCGGTAGAGACGGTTGTGCACGCCAACTTCTACAAGACCAGCGCGCAGTACTACCAGGTGCGTACCATGTCGCTCCATACTCCCCGCTAAATCTCACACTGCGTGTCTCTCACTAACACCCACAGTCCAAGCACGAGTTCGCCGCCTACTACAAAAACGCCCTCCTCTTTCTCGCCTGCGTCGACCTCGCCGACCTCGAGCTGCGCGACCGCCAGTCGCGCGCCTACGACCTCAGCATCGCCGCCCTCGTCTCCGACTCCATCTACAACTTCGGCGAGCTGCTCCTCCACCCCATCCTCGACTCGCTCGTCAGCACCCCGCACGCCTGGCTGCGCGACCTGCTCTTCGCCTTCAACCGCGGTGACCTGAGCGCCTACGACGTGCTGTCGGGCAACATCGCCAAGGTCCCGCTGCTGCAGGAGCACCAGACCTTCCTGTACCAGAAGATCTCGCTCGCCGCCCTCACCGAGACCATCTTCCGCCGCCCGCCCCACGACCGCGCCATGACCTTCGCCGACATCTCCGCCGAGACAAAGGTCCAGCCCAAGGAGATCGAGCACCTGATCATGAAGGCCCTCAGCCTGGGGCTGGTGCGCGGCCAGATCGACCAGGTCGCCGAGATTGCGAGGATCAACTGGGTCCAGCCCAAGGTCCTGGACATGAAGCAGATCGAGAGCATGCGCGCGCGCCTCAAGGAGTGGGACGCGAGCGTGAACCAGCTAGGCAACTGGATCGAGGGGGTCGGCAAGGACGTGTGGGCCGCGTAGGGGAAATAGGGTGCAGCTGATATCACGGCGTGGTGATGCAGCAATTAAGGCCATACAAAAGGCCACGAATGAGAAATGAATACCAAACATGACACAGCTACAAATATCGAGAATTCGGGTGTCCGTGCTGATACGACATGACATCCCACCACGGCCATGCAGATATCTCACTTCATCCTCGCTCTCAACACTGCCCCACCGCACTTCCTCCGCCCGTCACCCGTATACGCAGACTCTCTCTCCACTCTGAACTGATCACTCTCCTCCATCATCGCTCCAGTCACACCACAGCACTGTTATAGCCTATCTACATTATTATCGAAGCAGCCTTTACTAATACCCGCACACCTACAGTGAAGGGTCTGCGTTGTATACTTGACATCGAGGTGGTTTCGACAATCTGGCACGTTCTATAGTGAAGTTGTCACGCGATAGAGGTAGAATAATTGCAATAAGCGTGTGGTTTTCAGCGGTTACTTGCTATCAGAGAACATTCAGCAACGCAAGACCACGAAAACTGTGCCTGCCTTTGACGCGTCTAGATCTGTTCTCTGCAGCACAAGAGCTGACGCGCAGACAGGCTCTAATCAGGTGTATGTACTGTACTGTAGCATATGTCTTCGCACATTCATAGACTTAGGATGCTTCTCTATGAACTTAGTACACTAGCTCATTTACGCCGTGCACATTCTCCAAAGCGCTAGATCTCGTGACTGGGATGGTATCTTGCGACTAGTCGCATCAAATCAGTGTAATATACTCATTTAACCCTCCGTCGAAGAACCTGTCCGGGCAGCGAGCCAGCCCGAGCCGTTCAAAGGTATTATTCTCTTCTGAGGCTTGTCTGAGCACAAGTGCATGGACGAACCCTCGACCGTCACCAGTGATGCTGAAACGCAGCGCCAGGAGTTTTGGGGTTTCCCCATCATCGTCATCAAACTCGAAAGGGTACGTATCGGTATCGAAGTAGGTTGTCGCGCTCCCGTTCGGAAATTGAACGGCTGCTTTACTGGCACCATTTTCCAGTATGTTGATAATTCGCACGACGGCCGTCTTCCCCCAAACACCGATCCCGTCTCTTATAGATATGCCGTAGGTATCTCCACTTTCGTCAGAAGCAGGGATATGAGTGCATACGAGGGACTTGACGTGCTTGCCCCACATGTCTACTGGACCTTCGATTGACAGCCAAGACCACGTCGGTACCCCTGACGTCCGGTCCCGTACGTGGCTCCTGGGTTTACCAGGAGAGACGCCGCATTGAGTCGACCACCAGAGTAGACCACCAGGCAGTGTATATTCCCAGATGCCGGCTAGATACCTTCCAAAGATCCCTGGCATATCAATCTGCTTTGCAATTGAGGATAGAGCCGGAGGTCGGTCGCTCGGACGTGTTATACAGCGTAGACTGAACTGAGTAGAGACTGTCTGCCAGAAACTAAGCCTCTCATTGGAATTACCGTGTCGAATGATGCGTGCATACTCCGTCTTCAGGCTCTTTCCAATGCCGAACTGACCGCTTGTCTCGGGGTTTTGGAGGTCGCCACACTCGCAGTCCACAGATGACCGGCACTCCCATATGAGCTCTTTACATGTGAAGTGGACCATGCGTTTTGCAAGTAAGCGTTCTTGCAACGCCCAAGCGCGCCCGAGCAATGGCAAGTCACCCGCCTCCCATAGCTGTTCGCCTTTCTTCCATATATCATGGTGTCTTTTCTCGAACACTGTAGCTTTGAGCGTTTCTCCCCCAGAAGATACCAAATCAAACATGTGCTGCGGTTCTCGTCTATACAGCCCGCCGTCTCCATTTTTGGCAGATGCAGCGGCGACAACAAGATATGCTCCTCCGTAGATGTCGCCCATCTTCGGTAATTCCAGTCTCTTCTCATCATCGTCGTCCTGGATGATGCAAAACGAGTCAATCCACAAGTACCGGACGCCAAGTGTACGGCTGAGATGTACAGCATCACAGAACGTTTTTGTCAATTTTACCACTGGTATCCCAGCAGACATGTACAACGGCACATCGGCTTGTTTGGTCTGAGGCACTTCCCCTGCCCGGTGTTGTCCAGCAGTAGGCGTGCCCCAACAATGGCTGAGAGCTATGTACCTCTCACTGTCCATGAGAGTATCCTGTAGAAGCAGCCTTACGTCTTCTTTTTCGCCATCGACAATCTTCAACAACCGCTTTGGCTTGAGAAGTGGTTTCTCCAACGTTTCGGACTCTCTGCAGTCTCCATGGTGCAAGTCGCAGTTCGAAATCTGTTCTCGAATGTAGGCGATGCTCTGAGGATCAGTCGCATTTGACGGCACCGTTCTTGCTTTGGCGAATAAAGGCCATATTGGCATCTGATCTCGCTGGGTTGTCGTCAGTACGTATGCGATCAGAGTTTATGTTGGACTTACATCTACGGTTATCTCAACCGGGAGTTTTTCCCATGTCCCACGGCTGTTACGCCACTTCACGCTTGTATTCACTAAGCTTTCAACACCAAATTTCTTTGCAATCTCCATAAAAACGGCATCCGCGTTTCCTTGAACTTGCCGGTCCCATCGGTATCCGAAGGCCTCAACTGACTTGCAGAGAAGCTGACATCGGAGACAGCCCGACGAGGAAGCTTTGCGAAGTATATCTAACGAAATTGAAAGACGGAATACACGTTCAATGATGCAGACATGGCATGGACGCCTTCTGGTGATCAAACTCATCTTGTGTTGATGCTTAAAGTCGAGTGTGCGAGGACAATTCGAAATGAAGCCTGTCGTCTTACATTGCGCCTCAAATCGATACGGTTCAGCGCGCAACGAAGGCATCCCTCTTCTTTTCGGGTTAGTGTCAGCGGCATGCTGTCATCCTTCACGTACGCATTCGTCTCGGCAGCTGCATAATGGCATGGTCTGTTGAGAGTGCAGCCAGCAATATGTGTTACGGCAATAGCAGCCCGCACACGCAGCAGTGTGACAACAAGGTAGACCTGTTAGCGTAAGTCTGCGTCTACTGTGTGCTGTCCCCGAAGTCGCAGACACCGCAGCGGATGATTTGAAGACCATCGACGACACGCAAGGCTCAGCAGTGGTGACACCCGCCAGGATCTCATCGATCGCCTGCGTAATGAGAGCGCTGCGCGCTGGCAAGTTACTGCATGCGCTCGGGTGTTGTCTGCATTAAGCTGCCTACGCTAACATAAACATGGTTAGATGGTCAGCCTACCGGTGAGGCTACGAAAAGCATAGTAGATTACTGCCACCCTTATTCTTCGTCAATTGTGCCTCTCGTATGGTAACGCAGCAAGCAAAGCTAGATAAACAATGGGCTCCAGTTAACAAGCTTGTTGTAGGCCTCAAATCTCTCCATCAACCCACCACGAGCTCTGATTATGGCGGCCCATACAATGGCGTCAAGCTCCGCGCATGATGCGAAAAAGACCCCAAAGCCACTTCGCAAACGAACTGAAAACACAGCCTATCACATGCCTGGTAAGTCAGAGCAGCTCACAAATGTCGTGTTGTCTGACGCGATCTAGGCCCGATGGCTCCAAGATTCATCATCTGTGACCGACATGGACCTCCTCTTGAGTCTACCTTGATTCCTCTCGCACGGGCTTTGATTCTGTTCGACCTTCTACTTGCCAAGCGAGTTCAAAAATTTCACCAAAAAGGTGCTTTGTCTGCAGATGAGATACGCAAAGCCAAAGCTCGTCGTTGGATAGATGATTATAATGATATCAATCAGCAGTGGAAAGACATCGATTCAGGTCAATGTAACTTCAGTGAGCTGTACTTGAAAGGCAATGGCTTCATTCCCATTTGGAAAGAAGGTATGCGCATCATTAGAGAGGTGCTCAAGAGTAACCAAGTTTCCAGCAATCAGTCTCGGAAGCGAGTTGAATACGCGCGTATTCTGGGAGAATACGAGAGTCAAGCAGATAACCTGCAGACTCAGATAGCTGATATTGCTCACCGAGGTCTTTTCGATCCAGACTTTCTCAATCCAATCCAAGAGCGCTGGATGCGGCTGGATGAAACTCTTGAGTTGCATTACCACATGTGTAACCTTTGCGTCGACGAAGACGAACCCCGTGTTTGTCAGCGTTCACTCAAATGGTTAGTTGCTAATTCTGAACTTCGATAGAGGACGCTAATGCGTGTTGCAGGCCAGAAGTTCGAAGCTTAATACAAGTGGATGATGCAGGCACAAAACGTGACCACAGGCTCGGTCAAACCCAACTTGCTAGCAGACCGAGGAAGGCAACTGAGCCTGATACGACAGCCGGATCTAAGATAGCCAACGCTTTCACTCTGTGGCTAGTAGTCTTCAGCTGTGCTGTGGCTCCTGCTGCATTGTTCGCTCTTGGTTACTCCCGTTCACTCCATCTCCAAGGAACAGCCGACGACGCAGACTTCTGGTTCCTTGTACAAGCCACATTGGTGCAAGCCCAAGGGCTAGTCGTTTCTGCGCTTCTTGAACGAAAGCGTGGCCGCCTTCCAAAATGGCGCTGGGCATTTCCGGCTGCGATTGCAGCAGCTTGTTCTATCGCGGCGATTCCCCTTTATTTGACCGTACCAAAAGAGTGGAGCGCCTTTGTCTCTCTGGTTGCTGGAATAACTCAGTCCTTTATGATATTACAATTGTTTCTTTTCTAATGCGTTTATAGCAAAGGAATTAAAACCTAGTAGAGGTCTAACGTGGATCGCTGCATCAGTCCTCCCCTTAGCGCCGACGTCAAGTCTTTGTTGCTCCCAATTTTCAACACCCTGATCTGAGCCTCGTAACTCTCCTCTAATGCTTGGAAGCCCATAATCAGCCATATATGCGTTGTCGCGGGCGAATTCATGCAGGGCCGCCATGTTGGTTGGTACTTCCACGAAGGGAACCCCTAATCCTGGCTAATGCGAGATGACCCCGCACTTCTCAGCTCATGCATCCGTGGGCATCTTACTGTAAGGTATGAAAAGTCTCGAGGTAATGGGAGTAAATGCCCAAATAACACCTACTACTTAGGTAAGGAAGGTGCAATCGACATCGTCACTGCTAGTTCGATTGCAAACGACTCTAAAACTACTGGCTATTCATCCGAAAAGAAATCGGAAATGGCCTTACCCAGCCGATCAACTCTGTTTGTCGTTTGGCATTGATAGGTTACAGCACCTACGTACATCCTGTTGGGTAGCAATGCATGGGTGCAGCTAATCCTCTGGTCGGTGGTGTCGCACAGCAGGCACGCCATGGATCGACGTAGGTTCTGATCATCCCAACCTCTCCTATTTATTTCCATGATGTTTAGTTCTATTACTTCACTCCAAACCTTCATCGACATCAAAGAATAAATATGGATTCGACTTCGGGCGCTCCCTTGCAACGCGCTCAGTACAAGCCTCTTGACGCTTCCCGCAACGAGATTCGAGCAGGAGACGTAACGGCACAGAGCACCACATTCGATTCCATATACGCCTTTCAGGATGTTCCAGGGAGAGGGAAAGGTCTCGTTGTAAAAGAGAAGATCTCCAAAGGCACGCGAATCCTCTCTGAAGAGGCCGTCGTCACACTCAGTGAATCGGCCGGTAGCGAGCGGCTTCGAATATCCATCTGCAAGCAAGTTGAAGCCCTGAGCGAAATGCAGCGGCGAGACTTCCTGTCCATGCACAACATCCACCCATACAGGAATGCTGCTGAGCAGTATCTCGGGATTTTTCGAACAAACTCCCTACCTGCCGAAGCCGTTGGAGATCGAGGGGCAATCTTCCCAGAAGCATGTCGCATTAATCACGCTTGCGATAATAATGCACAGAAGAATTGGAATGAAAAGACCAAACGACACACAGTCCATGCTCTGAGAGACATCAACAAAGGCGAAGAGATCACGATTACCTACTTAGGCCCTCTCAAGAATCGTAAAGCCCGGCAGGAGGTTCTTCGGGAAAGATTCGACTTTGAGTGTTTGTGCCGTCTCTGCTCCTTGCCGCCAGAGCAGAGCCAGGAGAGCGATAGGAGATTGGAGGATATACACCGCTTAGACGGTGTCATCGACCAACTCGGCGCAGATGGGGTTTTAGTATCCCCCCTCCGGACCCTCCGCTACTTTGATCAACAGGTACGTCTCTACATCGAACAAGGACGCGAGGACGTTGGTTTTGCGCAGGCCCTTGCCAATGCCGCGCAGCTCGTTATTGCCAATAGCGACTTGGCAAGGGGACGCATTTTCGCGGAGAGGGCGGCGTCTGTTTGGAAGACGATCCTTGGCGGTGACAGCACGCAAGCTATCAAGCACAGAGCTCTAGCACAGGACCCCTCGAAGTACGAGCTATTTGGAGTCGCAAGGAAGTGGAAGACGAAAGTAGATGAAACCCCGCAAGGACTCGGACCGAGTGACTTCGAGGACTGGCTTTGGAGGCGGGAGAAGACAGAACCCCTGGGACAACTTGCGAATCTGCGGAGGCGCGCAACATTCCCCGGGTTCACTGATCTCCCAGACGAGAACGACGTCGAGCTGGAGTTTTATGAGAGAAGCAATACAGGTACATACCGTCCGCGACGTCATTGGTGCTTTTTGGGTGAGATTGTGGATTTCGCTTCGCTACTTCGTCTACAGATGGAGATCAAGGATGTCGACGGTACGACAATCCCGCTGTACTTCTATACCGACAGCCGGGGCAGTGAACTAGTACCAGGACAGGTTCAAAAGGGGTACACGGTCGCCATTCTCTACGCGGAGCGCCATGCGTTTATGTTCGGTGAGCCCGGTATCCGCCATGAGGATCCCCGGACGATCAAGGTACTTTGAAATGCTTATCTACAGCTTGGTTATGTGCGCTAACCGACCGGGACGTCGTATAGATCTTCCCACTGTCTCTGGATAAGCTGCTGGCGTTGAACGACCAGGTCCAACAGTTCTCAGCGGAGATTGGTGGTATGAGAATCTGTCACGGGTGCGGAAAGAGGGCAGCCTCTCTGCAACGGTGCAGCAAGTGCTCGTCGTTCTGGTATTGCAATAGGGTAAGACTACCATTGAAAATCGTCCTCATTTTATGTTGGGTTTGATGCTAATACGGGTGTGATAAGGCATGCCAAGTAGCTGGCTGGAACGAGAAAGGTCACAAGGCTGATTGCAAGCTTCTTAAAGATCCTGATTTGCGGGGATTGTTTGTTCTCGAATGGGACAAGTTTGACAACCATATTCAATTTCCTCTTCAAGCTGCGAAAAACCCCTAGAACAGTGCGCTTCCAGCTGTTTAGGAGAGATCTTGAAAAGAATTCGGCGCAACTTCATTTACTATTATCTATAACTTTTGGCGCCCCTTGGTTACTTTAGACCAGTGTAGCTATTAGCTCCATATCTACGTTAGTATACCACTGCTTGTCTACAGGCTATCAGGATACAAGACAGTATTTAGCAAGCCTACCAACCGTTTTAACAAAGAGTAAACTTGCTAACCAATGCAGACCTGCTTGCCAACCTCAATAGAGTCCATGGTCGGTCCGCGCCAGACTACGCGACTTGAGCTCGACATTGCAATCAAGCAAGGCAAGGCGTTTCACAATGCTCTCTCTAAGGCGTATGCGTGGCTAAGTGGCAGTAAGTCTAATAAGAAGCAGAAGATCGTAGGAATAGCAACAAGCAGTTAGATTAGCGCAACTGAAACGGGTGTTCCAGCTCCCTCAAAACACTGAAAGGATAGCGTAAGTAGCAAAGGACTCTATAGATTGCTGTCAAAGTGCGATATTATGTAGTATAGTAGAGGCCGCACGATTAATGAAAAGCATGTTGTTGTGCCAGTCCCGCAATAGCAGGGTGTCGTAACTGCTAGACTCTAGTCCACTCCAACGTACCTAACCATGCAGTAATGTACACTTTACAGTCATTCAATCTGCAGCACGGAGATTATACTACAAGCAGACAGTCAAAACTCACTAGTAACACAGCGGTTGTTTTACAGTTTAGAAATAACGTACTCTAAACGCAGACAGCAAGCAAGCACTCACAATGATTTTCTGGCCTCAATACGCACAACCCACATCTCTGAAGTCACCTCACAACACGGTTCACTCTGTTCAACGACTCATTCTGACCAAGACATTGCGTGCACGGTACGAACCACAGGCGAGGCCCTTCCTCCCTTGCGACAAAGTAAATGCTACAATTCTAATGCACAAACGTCAAGGCTGCTATTAGTGCGAGGACCTGCGACGCTACTGATTGAGCGAGAAGGTGCCAAGTGTAAGCACCGCGTGGATAGGATGCTCTCGTGCTCCCTGTTCTGGGACTGAAACACGCGGCAGCAGGAGCTCTGTTGGTCACTGTAATCCAGCCTTCGAGTCATAAGACTCGAACGTGAGGTATTGTGCCGGGATACAGCATCCTGGCAGCGCACACTTGGAATGCATGGCTAGATGCTCGATTCTCGACTTGCAAAGGACAGTGGCGCTGCCAAATCGTCTAGAAGCGCCTTCGTTTTCACTGAGATCTGCAGTTCGCGGGCTGTCGTGGTGGGTGTGGTTGGCATTCCCGGTGGACAATCAGGCTACAGCCTTGCCATTGGGACGTTCGCAGGAGATTGCGGTTACGATCAAAAGACTGTGTGGCTCGAAGAAAGAGTATACGCAGGAGGGCATTGTTGCACGATGGAACTGTCACGGTAGGTGGAGGGACGGTAAGAGTGGTGTATAATCGGCGTTCATTGCAGTGTCCTTGCCGTGCCGTGTCCGCTGCACATATGCTACAACAGCACCGCCCTCGAGCGACCAGCAATGCTCAACCCCCATCCCACCCGTCTCTGTACTCTGCCTCATGCATAGTTGCACGCGCAGTTCGTCCACGCGCTGTTGCAGTCGTGGAACGAATACACCTAAGTCTTGTTAGCCTACGAAGCCCGACAGAGTCGCAGCGGGAGCACGTACAAGGCCGGCGGCTTTGCACGAGGCCTCGCATTGCGCCTTGGTGGGACAGGTCCAGGGGCCCCATGAACTCTGGCGGGTTTCGATGGACGCGGGCGCAGCCAAGCCGAGGGTTGCGAGGGCGAGGACGACGAGGGAAGTGGAGGCCTTCATGTTGATAGACGTACGGCAAGGATGGTTGTTGTTTGTGGTGTACGAGAAGTGTTTAGCTGCGATGGTGGGAGATGCTGTTGAGGAGGTTGCTGTGTTATATACCACCTCTGTGCCAAGACAGGTATATAGACTGTGTCCGATCCTACATAATTTAAATTATAGATTAGGTGTCTAGCTTAAGATAAGTAGCTAATGAAACAAGATAACAATATACCTAGTTGGAGCACAGCCTTGCAAGGGCCGAGGCTAGCAGTCTGTTACCTATATGTCCCGTAGCAGAGACTACAATTTAGGTGAGGACTACATTAAGAGTACTACTACTCTTCTCTACAAACCAACAAGATATAAGGTCACTGTAGCAGGCAATCGAACACAGCTTTGATAGGTGCTAGTAAGAGCAGAATCAGGTACTGTTTGACATGAGATAAGCCGAATCCTTAGGGAATTCGCCCCCAGGATTCGGATTGTATATTTGAGGCGTCTGTACGCGCCCCAGCCTTGGCCCGAAGTACACCCAGAGGGAGGCCGAGGCGGGCTTCGTGGAAACCCCCGTGGCAGCATACCCATCGCCATTCAGTACATACGAATACACAGAAGTTCCAAGCACCAACGCGCCAACTCTCGCGCATTCATAGAGCTTGACTGATCAGAGCCTCGCACTCCAGCTCCTGCAACACCAAAACCCCAACACCCACCCACAGCGCCTGCAGTCTCTTAGCAGCCTGCCTCTTTGGGTGCAGCAGTTTCGGCTGACCTTTGAAGTCGATGGAGTACCTATTTGCCGGCTTTGGTAGTGGCCGTGCGCACTAGCGTGTCGGCCCGAAAACCGCCGTGTATGCACCACCGAAGAGGTAGCAGCTGGTGTGCACTGGATATAGTTGGCCTGTTGAAGACGTAGGTATAAAGAGTCCTTTGGTTCCCGCGGCAGGCGAGCGAGCCTGCCGCACGCTCGCTGCGGTGCGTTTGCGTTGCCCGTTGGCGCAGCGTCGCAGCCGAGCCGCAGCCGAGCCGCAGCGGAGCCGCACTCGCGGTCGCAGTCGCAATCGCAGTCGCAATCGCAGTCGCAATCGCAATCGCGCTCTTACTCGCGCTCGCACTCGCAGCCCCGTCTCCACCACAGCCCCTTCCCACTTCCCTTCCCACTTCCCACTTCCCACTTCCCTTTCCATCGCAGTGCGCGCCGCAGTCCCAGCGCAGCGCCAGTCCCGTAGTCCCGCCGCCTTCCCGCCGTGGCCACGACGTACACAGTAGCCTCGCGGTCCTGTATCAGCCTCGCCGTGGGGCCGTTGGAGATTGCTGGGGCGGTGTGGCGGCGGGTCTCTTGTGCTGTGGTTTGGGCAAGCGTGGGAGGGGTGTGGTTATGGGGTGGTGGGTGGAGAATGCGGTGCGGAAAAGGATGCGGTGCGGTTGAGATTGAGGTCTGTTGGGTGGTGGGTAGGAGGCGTATGGTGTGCTATGCTGTGGTGTGTGAGAATATGCTGAGATATGAGGGATCACACGCGTTGGACACGGAACCTTGGAGGGGGTTATGCAGCGCAAGGCCGCGATTCACACCTCGGTACTCACTCGTCTACTCGCACCCCCGTGCCCCATCTCCCCTCCCTCCCTTAAACCCCCTCCTGTCACAACCTACACCAGCCCGCCCTCCATCGCACCCCCCGCCACAACCGTCGCGCCCACAACCCACGCCGGGAACCACACCAACCACACCGTGACCTGCGTCCACAGCCCACTCACCCCCCAGCCCAGCGCAGCCTGCACCAGCACCTCGTGCAGATCCGCACCGAGCAGCCTCGCGCCCCACTGCACAACCAGCACCGGATTCAGCAAGCCCAGGACACCCAGCTGCAGCACAGTGAGCCACATCTTATCAGTGCGGCGCACGAACGACAGCGGCGCGCACAGCACGCCGACCAGCACCGACTGCGAGAAATTCAGCGTCGCGAGGGCCGCGAGCGCCATGCCGAGGAGTAGCAGCGAGAGCGACTGGATCAGCGTGGCTTCCTGGCGCGACAGCGGGCGCAGCTCGGATAGGAACCAGGCCACGCCGAGAGGCACCAGGGTCGTGCTGTTGGCGGCGGCGATGTGCAGACGGCCCAGGTTTAGGGCGTCCCAGGTGTTGTAGAGGTAGAGGGGGATGAGGGAGAGGAGGTGCGTGGTGAGGACGAGGAGGAGGGGGGAGAGGAGGGCGCGCTCGGTGGTGTGGGTCAGGGCGGTGGGGACGAGGGCTTTGGCGCCGTTGTGCTCGACGAGCTGCATTTCGGGTGTGGTGGCGGCGGAGTCGTTCTTGGTGTCGTTATCGGTATCGTTTTTTATGTCGTCCTTGGTATCTTTGATTCCGTCCTTGGTATCAGTCTTGATGTCGTCCTTGGCATCTTTTGCAGTCTCCGGCGCGGTCGCAGCCGGATTGGGCACCGCGGCGCGCCCGCTGGCGACCCACAGCGCAATCGACGTGATGCTAAAGTTGAAGGCGATCAGCATGGCCGACGGCAGATAGGTGCCAATGCTGATGAAGCGGTTGGCCTGGATCAGCAGGTAGAAGAAGAAGCTCTGGTGCAGATGCTCGAGCAGGTTGTTCAGGCTGCGGAACAGCGACTCGATCGTCTTGCCCAGCGTCATCTCGTCGTGCCAGCCATCGCCAACCGTGCTCAACGTGATGGCGTCGACGTGGTACGGGATGAACGACGAGTGCGGCCCCGTCGCGTGCCCCAGCCCCTGCGACAGCATCCCCCGCAGCATCGTCTGCAGGCGCTCGCGGTACGAGTCGTTGTGGTTGAACATGCGCTGGATCGCGCAGCCGATGCCCATCTGGCTTGACGCAATCTGCACGGCCGTGTTGAACAGGTCCAGGTTCGGCAGCTGGCCGTTCAGGCCGTCGTACATGACGTGCAGCTTGTCGTAGCGGTGCCCCCAGGGCCCGGCGGGGTAGTCGACGGCCACGGCGGCCTGCAGCGCGCCGCTCTTGAGGGGCAGGCTCTCGACGAAGCGCGGGTCGTGGGCGTCGTGGTAGGCGTCGACCCAGGCCTGCGGGCCCGTGGTGCTGTCGCCCGGCACCAGGAAGATGATGTCCTTGCTCCACAGGCTCCAGCGCTTGAAGTAGCGGGCCAGCGTCAGCACCAGCGCGACTCCCGACGTGTTGATGTCGCCCGCCATGTTCGTCCAGGCACCGACCAGCACGAGCGCCTCGGTGGCGTCGGCGCGCGGGCCCTGCAGGATGGCGTAGACGTTCTCGCCGGCGACGGTGCGGTTCGATACATGGTAGGCGTACTTTTGCGTGGCGACCTTGAGGCTGTTCGCGCGGAACACGTCGCCCAGCTTGCGCGAGCGTCTGCCAGTCAGCGAGTGCGCGGTGCGGCGGGGCGCGACCTACTCTTCCACGGGCTCGTCGCGCAGCGCCCACACCTCCTGGCGGTAGGCGCGGAAGACGTTGTGCTCGCTGCCGGCAAAGTACGTGTGCACCTGGCCCGGCAGCAGCGCGTTCTCCGACACGTACGTGTTGCGCGAGTAGTCGTTCAGCGGCAGCACCAGCAGCCACGCAATGCCGACGGCAATGCACAGCGCCGACAGGTACGGCGGGAGTTGGAGGACGCGGGCGTCGCGCCGCAGCGCCAGGATCGAGGCTGGCCGTCAGCAACGCGCGCAGAGCAGGCGGCGCACTCACATATCAGAGCCATCTCACGGCGACTGTTCTCACGGCGACTCGCGGTGACGTGGCGCCGTCTGCTTGCGGAGGTTGAGCAGGATCGGCGCTAGCGACGCGACCCGCGCTTCTTCGCTGCCAGCGCGCGACTCCGCTCACACCTCCCATGGCTTCGTACACGCAGTTCAACCCCGTGCGCCTGCGCGCCTACATCCTGCGCCTGCCGCTGGCCACGCGGCTGCTGCTGCTCGCCATCGTCGGCCTGTGGATCGCCGCCATCCCGCTGCCATGGCTGCGCGAGTTTGCGCGGCTCGAGCCGGCTAAGATGGACCTCACGCAGAGTATGTAGACCGTGGATGGAGACAGTGGATGTGCATGGCAGAGCTGACCCGCCAGTGCACCGCCTCAATCTGTTCCCGCTCATGCACCTCAACTTCTTCCACATGGCCTTCAACCTCGTCGCCATCGCCCCGCTGCTCGAGCGCTTCGAGGCCGAGTTTGGCACCCTGGTCACCCTCGCGCTGTTCACGGGGCCCTTTGGCACGCTGCCCGGCGGCATCTACACGCTACTGGAGAAGTTTGTGTTCCGCGCGAACACCATTGTGATGGGCGCCAGGTACGTCCTTATATCCCCCCAAAAACACCACCGCAGCACCACTAACTCCGACCCCCAGCGTCTGGGTGTTCCTGCTCCTCGCCGCCGAGGTCATGAAGCAGCACAAAACCACCCCCAAGTTCAGCGTCGGGCCCTACGCAATCCCGACCTGGACCACGCCGCTGATCCTGGTCCTCGTCACCTCCATCCTGGTCCCGCACGTCAGCTTCATCGGGCACCTGTGCGGCGCGGGCATCGGCTACCTGTGGGCCACCGGCTGGATCAAGTTCCTGGTCCCGCACGAGAAGATCCTGCGCTGGGTCGAGACCAAGGCGAACTTGCTGGGGCGGCTGCCGCATTATGTTAGTGTGGACCAGAAGACGTATGGGCGCTACGGGGTGCTGCCCACCGCGAGCGTGCCGCTGGCCGGGATGCCGCGGAGTCCGGAGCCGGGGGCGCGGGCGGCCGTGTGAAAAAACCAAGGGAGGGGGAGGGGGGGCATTCTAAGCAGCGGGGCTTCGGTGTTGTACGATGCATGACTGGCGTTTAGGCTGGGGGGTTTGTGTTGTACATGGATATTGTGGTAATGAGGGAGCGGCGCACATGTGGATATGAAGATGTACAGATGCAGAGACAAAAGAAGACACAGATGCAGACATGGAAGAAGACAGATGCAGATACAGAAGATTACACAGATGCACACATAAAAGAAGAATACGGGCGCAGACAGAAAACAAGACACACGCAACCGCCCTCAAATCACATCACGCCTCGCCCATCCCGTCTCGACGCGCAACGCCTCGCCTCGCCTCGCTTCCACACCCGAACCTCAGCCTCAATCGCCCCGCCCCACCGCCCCACCCGTACCAAATTTGTATCTACACAACCCCTCCACCGACTCGGACCCTTCCCCCTCCTCTCTCCGCCGACCATTAATCAACAATATAAACGATGAATGTGGTATTGATTCCATCAACAAACACCAGCTTCCTTGGTGTAGTCGGTTATCACGTCGGTCTCATATCCCCCACCTCAGCGTGGAGTCATGATTGCTCATTGAGCAAGTAATCCGAAGGCCGCCAGTTCGAATCTGGCAGGGAGCATCTTTTTTTGCTGACACCATGCTCATCTGCACCTCTATACCTGTACACTTCTACTCATGTACTACATGTCTACTGCTGCTGCAGCTGCTGGTCCCCGCCGCCGAAGAAGTGCGGAGGCAGTATACAAACCTCGCGGTATTTTTGCACCCCAGCTCGCTGCGTGTATTAGCGGGCGCCGGACGCGGATGCGTGTCGTAAACACGAACAACAATGGTGATGGTAAACACGCTGATTAATCGTCGGTATGGATGCATAGACGTCTTTTCTGCTCGCTTTGAACGGGGACGGGGACGGGGATGGGGACGGGGACGGGGACGGGGACGGGGACGGGGGCTGGTGGTACGCTTAACGCTGGTGGTGCGCTGGTAACGCTGGTGGTGCGCTGGTAACGCTGGTGCTTCGATGGAGAGGTATGGATACAAGTGTAAACATGTATATAGATATAGATGTAAATATAAATATAGATATCGACATCGCTGTCTCCACGCCGTGAGCCACGGACAACCAGGTACCTTGCGTGAGGAGTGAGGAGTAAGGGCGCGTGGGAAAAGCATCAAGACACCCGCCGCGCTGCATCCGCATGCGCACTCAACCGCCACGCCTTCCCGGACCCGCTTCCGGCAGCGAAGCCCGACTCCCTCTCCCTCTCGCTTTCCCCGATCCGCCTACGCCCCGACACGGACACGGATACCACCCCCTACGCCCCCCCAAACATATCCGCGACCCCCCCCAAATCCGGACTCCCTCCCCTATTCCGCCCCTGCCCCCCCTCCCCCTCACCCCCATCAACAGCCATATACCTCTCCAACACCTTACTCCTCACCTTCCCCTGCCTAACAATCCTGCCCTGCTCATGGATCCCCACGCCCTTAATACTACTCAGCAGATCCAGCACGACCGCGCGCTGCAACCTGTCATCTGAGCGATTCGCATTCGCGAGTTTCGCCAGCCGACGATCCACGCGCGCGGCGTCGCCGATACCCGGTAAAGACAGGATGATGGCGCGCGGCGTCTCCGGGTCGAGCGCGATCGTCGCCGCGATGAGGCTCGCGATGTCTTTGTGCGCGTCGACGAGCGCTGGGTCGTGCAGCGAGGTGATTGCGGATTTCAGGAGCGTGTTGCAGATGTATTCGCGGATCGGGGAGGGGGGTTTGAAGCGCGGGAGCAGGGTGCGCAGGACGCGGACGGTGGTTACCACGGAGCGGGTGTCGCGGACGCGCAGGGTGGAGTTGCAGAACATGAGGATGGGCTCGAGGACGGCGGGGGTCGTGAGGAGGTATTCGGAGATGAGCGGGGTCGCGGGGTCGCGGGAGGGGTCGTCGCGGCCGAAGTCTGCGGGTGGGTTAGCAGGTTGCTGGGGGAGTTTGGAAGTGTAACGCACCCTGCCGCGAGTCGAGCAGCACGGCGACAAGCGACACGGACGAGTAGGTGAGCTGGCGCAGGATGCTCTCCGTCTTCATCTCGTCGGTCAGGTTGTCGTTCTCGCCCGACTCGGCGATCTGGCGCGCGACCTCGTCCCACTCGGCGGAGATCTTGCGGTCGAGCTCGCGGAACAGGCCCTGGATCATGGGCGGCAGGAAGTGCGAGCGGAGGTGCGGCGGACACCCCTCGATCAGGTGTGTCGAGACCGTCAGCAGGACCGACAGGTGGTGTGCGGTGAGCGCGTGGGCGTGCCCGAACAGCGCCTGGCTGAGCGGCCCGGGCAGCTCTGAAATACCATAAAAGTGCTCGCGGAACTTGGTCAGCGAGTACAGGATGTAGTACGAGCTCTCCCTGATCTGGCGCACCGTCCCGCGGATCGTCGACGCGAAGCCCTCGTACGTCGACTTGGAGCCGCTGACTCTCGCGAAAAAGGCATCCCTGCTCTCTGTCGAGATGCCGGCCTGCCAGAACCGGTCGGTCAGCACCCTGCGGATGACCTGCTGCAGCTCCGGCGGCAGATGCGACCAGTTGCTGTCGATATCATTAAAGGCCTGCGCGTGGCTGACCAGCTGGAGCAGATTCGGGAGCAGCGTGGGGATCGCCTCCGCCCACAGCGCCGCCGCCATCTCGTACGCCGGCGAGCCGTCCCTCAGCTTCTCCGTCGAGGCCGCAAGCAGCGTCTTGGTCAGCCGCAGCGGCAGCTGCTGCGAGCGCTCCAGCACCGCCGCCTGCAGCGCCTGGCCCTCGGCCCCCAGCGGCTGGTTCGACCAGTCCTGCACGCCGCGGAAGTTGTTCGCGGCGAGAAAGTCCGGCAGCTGGCCCATGCCAAGTATACTGCAGAACGACTGGAAGCCGGAGATCGACGCGGAGAAGCCCTCGTTGCTCCACGCGTCCTTGACCTGGGTCAGCATCTGCCGCATGCGCTGCTCTTGCGTCGCCTTGTCTAGTGTCGTGCATCTATGAATGATAATGAAAAGGAAAGAGGAGTAGGCCATGCGCTGGCGCTCGTCGGTGGTGGGGTCAGCGATCATCTCGTTGACCTTGTTCTCTAGTTGGTCGTATACGTTCATGAAGTCATCGGCGAATTTCATCGCCAGCTTTTGCATCTCCAAGCTGGAGATGCGCTCGAGATCCTTGACCGCGTCCGAGTACTGGGCAAACTCGGGGTTGTCGGCCAGGCGGATGGTGAGCATGTACTCAAGGAAACTCAGGGCAAAGGCAGAGCGGTCTGGTAATGCTTTGGTTGAGAATGTAGACATGAGCGTGATGACCTTCTTCGCGATTTCCGGGTCTTCAAACCGTGCTTGCAGGATCTGCCGCCCCCACTCCTCGAACGAGTTTTCCATGGTCGCGCGCTTCCGCTCGTCCTCTTGCATGTCTTCGCCTTGCGTGTTCAGCCACTTGAGGTACCCCTTGATGGCCGCGTCGATGACCGTGACCTGCGCATCGACCTGCAGCACGGCCGCGGAGTTTTTCGAGAACGTCTGCGGCTGGAACGCCGGCTTGTCGCTGTACAGGTTGGAGAGCATGTTGGTCGCCTGGGCCAGGATGTGCTGCATGGCCTCGACCGGCGTCCGCCGGACCAGCACCTCAATGACGTCTGCACAGAACCTGCGGTAGTTGCCGAGGAAGGCGTGGCGCTCGGGCACGGTGTCGATGTCTTCGTTGAGGAACTGCAGCGTGACATCGGCTGTGTCCTCGGGCAGCGACTCGTAGCGGATCAGACGGGCACAGCATGTCTCCAAAAGACCGGCGACCATTGAAGTAACGACTTCGGAGTCTCGCACGACGCGCGACCGCAGTAGTTTCGTCCAGCAGTGGAGCACGGGTATTGAGACGACGAGGCTGGGGTTCCGCAGGATATCGAAGAGGAAGCCAAAGACCCCGGCAAGGTCGCTGCCCTCGGGGATGCTCTGCGGCTTTTGTTCGATGAAGAGGCCCAGGCTGTTAGCCAGCTGGGGGGGCAGTCAGTACATAGTGATAATCAGAGTATGTCTCGGAAATTATATAGAACGCACCTCGGACAGCTTTTTACACAAGGTGTATTTCTGGTCGTCCAGGTCGTCGATGTTCATGTCTGCCAGCGTCCAGTTGTACACCTCGCGCAGCAGCAACACGCGCTCAGGGGTGAACATGGGGCACACCAGCTGCTGGAACTCGTCGTCGTGGAGGTGGTTGCGGCTGTAGACGGCCTGCAGGACCTCAACAGCGGCCTGTGTGTGTCAGTGTCAGTTACGCCCACGTCGAACATCCATACCAGCTGCAGTTCTACCACCGGCACCGCCAGCGCCTTGCAGACGGCCTCGATGACCTCGGTCGCGGCAATCGCCTTGGGGATGATCCACGGCATCGCGGCGCGCAGCGCGTTCATCGTCTTGATGCCCGAGGCCCGCACGGCCTCCTGGCCCTGGTAGTCCTGCTCCAGCACCCAGCGCAGGTTGTCGCACAGACGGCGCAGCCAGCCGTCGTCGCCGCAGCGCACGTCGAGGCTCTTGTCGCGCGCGGGCAGCTGGTCCTGCAGCACGCGCAGCGGGGTGAAGATCTCGACGCACGCGCGGCCTAGGTCGCTGCCGCGCAGCCCCGCGGTCGCGTCCTCGCGGTTGAACACCTCCTCCGACAGCGTCTCCAGCACGTACAGCACAATCGCCTGGTGGTGCAGCGACGTCGTCCACAGCGCGACCAGCTGCTCGTCCATGTTCAGCCACTCGGCGCCCCAGCTGCGCTTCGCTACCTCGGTCCACAGCTGCGCGACCTTGTTGCGGAAGTACGCCTGGTCGCGCTCGGTGACGTCGCGCGCGAGCTCGAGCACGTAGTCCTTGAGCGCGGCGGCCTGCTCGGCGCTGAAGTCGTCCCAGCCGTACTTGATCGAGTACTCCAGCAAGCCCAGGCCGTAGTAGCGCACGTGGACCAGCTGGGCCTGGTCGGCGGCGAGGGTGTAGCCGTGCGAGGGCGCATTGGGGTCGCGCTTGGCGTGCTCGAGGTACTCGGTGGCCTGGCGGCGGGTGTCGTTGCTCGAGGCGGGCGCGTAGACGGCGTGGATGGCCTCGAGCACCTGCGAAAAGTCCGAGGCGCCGTTGCGCGGGGCGCCGCCGTTGAGCACCGGCGCGGAGACGGCGGCGGCAGCGTTCATCGTCGAGGCGGCGGCCGGGTGCAGCGTTCGCGGGGCAAGGCCGGGCCCTGGGAAGACGTCCTGTGCCGGGATCAATACGCGTGCGCGGAGGTGGCGGGGGCGCGTGGACGTGGACGTGGGGTGCGGCAACTAACTGGGAGAGAGAACGCAGGAGACACAGGAAGTTTGGAAGAGAGGAAGCTTTGGCGCGCGCCGCCGTGACCGCCAAAAGCCGGTGAAGGGTGCAACGTGTTAGCACACGGTCGCGCTGTGCACAAACATGCTGCACTGCTGTGTGCAATGTACGGTGAGGACACCACTCGCATTTTTCACCACCCGGCTCAACGCGTCTCTGTCGCGGTGTCAGCTGCTGCCTAGGCGCATAGGCTATGCAGCCAGCTCCACCGCGACTTGCACTCTATATACATATTACATTGCAGCCTGCCTCGACTGACCGCCTGAGCAGCGTCGCCGATATCAGGCGCCAGGTAAGTCCGAGCTATGTGCGTCTGGAGCTGACGGCGTGACCTGGGTCGTTCGACATTACATCACGGCCGCCGCTGACTGGTCAACATCAACGACAACACTGTGGAGTGCATTAACGTGGGGAAATCGGACAACCATGGCGTGACCATACCAAACATTGAATTATCGCGCTCTGTATTCCATGATTGTATCTACATCACCACACAACTCTGCTTCTGGCACTGCTGCAAATACCCCTCATCCTCCTCCGTCCCCAGCGCACCCCCCTGCTTCCTCACAACCCCCTTCACCGTAATCCACTGATCGCCCTCAGCATGCCGCCAGCGTAGCGACTGCTTCAGCGCGCCATCCGCCTCGTCTGAGCCAATCTCCCACGTGCCGCCGCTGACCTCGACCGCCGCGGTCGGGAAGTGGAACTCGGGCAGGTAGACGATCGTCGGCGCGTCCTCGGGCGTCGAGCTGGGCGCGTGCAGCGCGAGCCGGAACGTGCAGCTCTTGAGGTCGAAGCCGTGGGACGAGATGTCGCCGTGCACCGCGACGGGGGTGGGGCGGATGAAGGCCTCTGCTGCGCGCAGGCCGGCGACGTCGCCGTCGTCGCGCTTGTGCGTGGCCATGCGCTCTTCGGTGATGGTTTGCTTGAGGGTGCTGGGGGTCACGCTGAGGTTGTCGGTCGAGGCTTGGGCGCGCGAGAACGAGGGCGAGGTGGTGTCGAGCGAGGCGCGGGAGTCGGAGGGCGAGAAGGCGCCGGCGGGCACGGCTTTGTCGTCTTGCGAGAAGATGGACAGGTCTTCGCCGTTCCACTGGTCGCCCCAGTAGTGGTTGTTCTGGGATGTTAGCTGGGTCTTGGGTTTGTCAAGGGGAGGTCTTACTATCGCAACATAGGTCCAGAGCGCGAACCCGTTGACCCCACTCTCCTCCAGCGCGAAATGGTTGGCATCCAATGCTGCTATCTGGCTGCTGTAATTACCGGTCTTGTAAGCGTACTTGTCGTCCATGTCGTAGGGAATGCCAATCTCGGTGAATATGCACGGGTGGACGCCCATGTATTCCGTGCCTTCATCCTTGATCGCCGTCAACTGGTGGGCGAAACAATTCCTAATCGCATTCTCTCCAATCTTGATGGCAAATGCAGGTGTCAAGTACTTCCCTCTCAACACGCCAAAGACGTCGATATTCCACACTCTATTCCACTTCTTGGTGATCAATGTGATGCCGTCGTAATAATGCGGCGAGAAGATGATGTTGGGATCGTCGTCTGGAGTCCCCTTGATGCTCGGTGGTATCTCGAGCACCGGCGGCTGGAAGAACATTAACGAGTCAGGAAAGATAGATTTGATCATCTTGCTATACGCCCGGTAGTGGGCCATCCAGTAGTGGTTGGTGAAGTACTCTGCGTCAATCTTGGCGTTGTTCTTAGGGTCTATCCCGAAATAGTCCTTCTTCAAGACGGTGTCGTTGGTCGGATCCCAGACGCCATGCTGCGCCCAGAGGCACTCGCCGAGCTTCCAGCCGGGGTCACGCTTCCAGCCGTAGTGTGTGTCGTCGTAGTCGGCCGCCAGCCAGGCTGATATGCCCTCGGGGTCTATCAGTGCTGTCCCTGACTTGTACGGCCCCATGCCGCCAAAGTCCCAAGTCTCGATCTCGCAAGCACGACCAGATCCGGTTAGTATGGCTTGCCACGCGGTGGGCGTCGTACCCTTCTTGAGCTGCTGCTCCTTGGGGACGACAGTGATGTCCTGGTAGCTGATCAGGCCTTTGTTGGGCTCGTTCAGACTCTCCCACCCGACGATGGGGTCGTACTCGAGGTCGCCTGCGTCGTGGATGCGCTTGGCAAGATGCGCAATCGCCCCGACGTAGTGGTCTGTGAGGTAGTCCTGGATGTTCTTGCCGTCGATGATGGCTTTCGGCGCGAAGTCTCGCCCGCCGAAGAACAATGTGAATAAGACCTGGCAGGCAAGGCGTGTGTAGTTGGTGGCCCAGATCATCTTGGGAAACTGGGCGGGCTCCGGGTAGGTGTTCTGCACCAGCGAGGCCTCGGTGACGGCGAAGTGCTGGGGGTCAAGACCACATGCGTACAGCGTCCACATGGGCGCGCCCGAGCCTCCAGAGAACCGCGACCACTGCGTCTGTCAGCCAGGCCAGCAACTTGGCCGCCATACTCACCACATCCTGGTGCGGGTCCATGAAGATGTAGAAGCCGTACTCTTTCGCCTTCCTCAGCAAGGATATCGTGTGGTCGATCCACTCCTCGTCGTACCTCCCCGGACCGGCATGCTCAATGGCCTCCCATGTGAAGACGTAGCGGATGGTGTTGTAGCCCCAGCTGCGCAGGCGCGAGAAGTGGGTGGCGGCATCGGCGAGCGAGAAGGGGCGGTTGACGAACGAGACGTTGTCGCCGTCGAAGAAGCCCTCGGAGACGTGCGAGGGCAAATCTGGGGTTGCGGGGAACTTCGCGTCGGCGGCGCAGTTGATGCCATGCAGCGTGACCTCACGGTTCTGGGGGTCGCGGAATGTGCGCCCGTCGATGCGCAGTCTCATTTGGGCCATGTCGGGGGACTGGGGGAGGAAGCGTGGGAGCACTGGAGCAGGCGAGCAGGCCAGGCGATATCAACGTCGAACCGGCCTTGACTGCGGCGGCGACGGGCGTCCACAGGCGTCATCGCGGACGTCGCATGGGGCGCAGCAGGGGACCCCGGTCGGGGCTCGGCTGGCGTCCGTGGAGGTTCATGCGGCTGCGGACCCTGGCGAAGAGGACAACTTTCACTGAGGACACTTTCACGCCCTCATTTAAGCCACGAATCCACCGCCCATGCCGGCGCCCTCCCTCCTGCGCCCCCGCTGCCCTCTTCCCGCCTCGCACCCGTTGTCCCGCGTCCGCTGCCCGTCGCCACCATGATCCTGCGGCTGTCGTCACTCGCGCTGCTGCTCCCGCTCGCGCGCGCACTGTCTCCCGCCGACGTCCCCGCCGACACGCCCGTCGCGCAGCTGATCAAGGACGCCAGCGTCAAGCTCGCCTCGGGCAACCACCAGGACGCCCTGGTCTACTTCGACGTGGCCATCGCGCGCGACCCGCGCAACTACCTGACCTACTTCCGCCGCGGCGCCGCCTACCTCTCGCTGGGCCGCACCCAGCAGGCCGAGCATGACTTCAACAAGGTGCTGGACCTGAAGCCCGGCTTCGAGGGCGCCCTGCTGCAGCGCGCCAAGATCCGCGCGCGCAAGGCCGACTGGGCCGCCGCCCGCACCGACTACGAGGCCGCCAACAAGTCCGACGAGATTGCGCTGCTCGACGAGGCCCAGGGCGCCGCCCTCATCGCCCAGGACGCCGCCGACAAGGGCGAGTGGGACGCCTGCATCCAGAACGCGGGCACCGCCATTGTCGTCGCCGGCGCCGCCTACGACATCCGCAAGACGCGCGCCCGCTGCCGCTTCGAGAAGGGCGAGGTCGTCGAGGGCATCGCCGACCTGCAGCACCTGCTGCAGATCAACAAGGGCGACATCGAGCCGCACCTGCAGAGCTCCGCCATGGCCTTCTACTCGCTCGCCGAGACCGACAAGGGCCTCAAGCACATCGCCCAGTGTCTGCAGTCGGACCCGGACTCCAAACCCTGCATGAAGCTGCGCCGCCGCGAGAAAGCCCTCGACAAGACCCTCAAGAAACTCCGCAACAACTTCGACAAGCGCCAGTTCGCCACCGCGTCCAAACTCCTCATCGACCGCGGCGAGGACGAGCCGGGCCTGCTCAAGGAAGTCAAAGAAGACTTCGCCGCCTACATCGCCTTGGGCTACATCAACAAAAACGCCCCTTCGGGACTCTACACCCAGCTCGTCGAAATGACCTGCGAAGCGTACAACGAGATGGCGAACCCCAAAAAGGGGACCCCCTACTGCACCGAAGCGCTAACCCTGAACCCGCACTCCCTCCACGGCCTCTTGAACCGCGCACAAACCGAGCTCGCCGCCGACGACTTCGAGCCCGCAATCCGCACCCTCGAGCTCGCGAAAGAACACCACCAGTCACACCCCTTACTCAACGAACTCCTCCAGAAAGCCCACACCCTGCTCAAACGCTCAAAGACAAAAGACTACTACAAAGTCCTGGGTCTCCCGCGCGACGCCGAAGACCGCGCGATCAAGAAAGCATGGCGCAAGATGACCAAGCTGTACCACCCGGATAAAGCCGCGCAGCAGGGCATGACGCCCGACGAGGCGCAGAAGAAAATGGCCGAGGTCAATGAGGCGTACGAGGTGCTTTCGGATCCGGAGCTGAAGGAACGATTTGACCGCGGCGACGATCCCAATAACCCCGAGCAGCAGAGCCAGCCGTTCCATGGGAATCCGTTTGGCGGGCAGCAGTTCATGTTCCGCCAGGGCGGGTTTCCCGGGGGGGCTGGGGGGAACGCGCACTTCAAGTTCCAGGGGCAGGGCGGGCCGTTTGGGTTCTAGGTTTGCTGGGCTGTGGGTTTGGGGTTTGGGCGTTGAGGAGCGTAGAGATCCGAGGTTCGAGATTTCGAGGTTTTCGACAGAGCGAGCATGTATTCTACATTATATTCATCACTTCACACACTTCCACATCCGTCTGCCTCAAGCATCGCATTCGTGTGCACTACCAAACATCCCCTTGTGGTGTGCCGCCGCACCTGCCTCCACACCCCGCGCCGTCACAGCACCTCATCACCACCAGTGGACAGGACCAGTGTGGACAGAACCAGTGCACAGAACCAGTACAGACAGACAAAAGCCAGACCGGTACCCGCCCTCCATTCGTGCAACTACGACAGCCCAACCGCGGCACCATCCCCCCCAGGGTCCCTCGGAACCAAACTCCCGCTCCGCCTCTATAAAAACTCGCACCCGCCTCGCTCGCACTCATCAACGCACTCCGTCAATCGCACCAACCGCCCGCCCGCCAGCACGGCTTCTACAGCCAAAGCTACGGTCAAGGCTTCGCCGGTCCACACGCTGGAACCGAAAATGACCACAGCAGGGTGGGGAGATCGGTGATGACGCTGTTCTGCGCAACGCGGAGAGCATGCTCTGAGGTCTGGTGCGCGACAGTTTCATGGTCAAAGGATAGCCGGTCCACAGGCTGGAACCGAAAATGACCATGGGCCCGAAGACCGGTGATGATTAGCTGTCGTTGGCAGTGGGCTCTGAGGTCTGGGATGAGCGAAGGGAGCCTGTTCATAGTGTACGGTGTTAGCCAAGCTAGTGCGGGACGACTTTCAACGGTAGAGGCTGGGTGTGGTCATCACTGACCTGAACACCAAGAAACCATGGCCTGAGAGACCGGTGATGATTGCTGTCGTTGACGGCGTGTTCTGAGGTCTGGGACGGGCGGAGGGAGTCTGTTCACAGTGTGCGGTATTAGCAAGCTAATGCGGGACGACTTTCAACGGTAGAGGCTAGGTATTATCATCAATGGCCGAAGCCTCAAAAAACCATGAGCAACTCATCATTCCACCCGCCTTTTGAGGTTTTCCAGAGTTTTGTTCCATCTTGGCCAAGACATGGCAGTGCGGGAACCATGCTCGTGGTCGCTGGCCCAGTCGCGCTGCGGGAGAAGAGAAGGAGCTCGATGGCGCTGGAGACGGGTACATCGGTGGGCTGTGATGTGTGTGAAGAGCTGTATGACCAAGTCAGTATATGTGCTGGGGGTCTAAGTGGAGATGGATCGCGATGGAGGTGGAGATGGATAGCGATGGAAGTGGAGATGGATAGCGATGGAAGTGGAGGTGGATGGTGATGGAGGTGGAGGTGGATAGCGATGGAGGTGGAGGTGGATAGTGATGGAGGTGGAGGTGGAGACAAGGTAGACTTACGGCGAGTTGACTTCCGAGGTGGAGTGCTGGTGTCGAGGTGGAGTGCTGGCACAGTGGCCAGCTGGTATCATGGACCGTCAAGGGTTGGAGTGGCAAGGTTGATGGAACCGTGCGAGGGTGGTGTCAGATGGGTGGATGTGAAGAAAGTTGAGTGTAGGAAAGATGAACATGACGGGGTGAAGTGCAGCTTTAAATACCCAGTGTAAACACCAGCGACTCCAGAGCATCTCAACCAGCAGAATCCCCTTCTCCGATAACAACAGCTTGCAAAGATTCGTTTCAGCCTCAACGAGTTGAAGGATCGCCTGATAACACGCACCAACTTCTTAGTCCAGCGGTCCCGGGTGGAGATGGCGCACTACATTAAAGCCTCGAATCATGCACAGCATCGCCAAAAGAGTTCGATGGCACACATTCGCCGGCTCAGTTCAGTGCAGGTTCGAGGCTCTTACGGTGGAAGTGGTGGGTAGATCACGCAGTGTTTCTGCCGTGTGGAGTATAAAAATACTGCCTCTCCCCTGGCACACCTTGCTATCTCTAAGCCCATAGCACTCGCATCAATGAGCAATTGAGGACAGTAGAGATGCTGAAGGCGTCGGGCCCGGTGTGTGGTATGTGTCCATGAGCTACTATTACTCGGAGGCTTACAAGTAGATCAACAGTAGATAAATTGTTTAATGATGATTCAGTGTGTAGTACCTTTTCATACGCTCTTGATCAGTGACAGTATTGCCGATGCGGTAGTGCATATGTGAATGGATCTCCACATTCGCAAGATCATTCGTGACAGGATGATAGTGATCGGGTGTATATATTGATTCCACCGTCATAAAGAACAAAAGAACTAAAGAACAGTCAGAAAGCTACTGATTGAGCGAGTAGACAGTCCATACCGATTGCACACCTACATGCAGCACGCCACTTCTACTCATCATCACCAACTATGATTTTCGCAACTGCCTTGTAGTTCTATGAATCAATCAGCAAACAGACCGAGCTTGGAGTTTATCGCTATTTTCGAACTCGAAAATGCGCACTGGGATAAGCGCCCCGGCACTGCACCAGGCGCGTAGCAGCCACTTAGCACATTGGAAGGATTCACCTCGTCGCCAACACGACCAATCACCAGGCTTGATTAGCCGCGGTCTTACCAATAGAAGGAGTCCGAGATGAATTCTTGATCCTCCTCATGGAGATAGTTCCTAGACCCGCGTTTGCCAAATTAATATCGGGTGTGTCGGCGGGACTTGATGGTGGTTGAGCTGTGCCGTAATGGTGCATCGACGGCTGCGACGAACGCGGTCTCTTGTATCTGGCAGGGGACGAGTATTGAGTCTTTTTAAGAAGGCGCGGTACTTTGGACCTCGGGGCTTAGTTGGTATTCGCCTTGGTAATCGGTGTTTTCTTTGAGTACCTAGCTACCTGCACTCGATCTCATCTGCGCAAACACTGAGCTCTCACGTTATTCTGCCTGCTCGAACCTGTCTCTTGAGCACGTTCGCGGGTGTGATTCGATAATTTCTTGAATACCCTAACCATTAGTTGATGATGCGTTCCAGGAGGCAGTTTGAATGTGTGGCGGTAGCAGTGTTCATGCTCTGCGCATGGTTCGTCTTTGACGCGCATTTCAACACCATTCAAGAGGAGGCTGTCGAAGCCAGCGTTGAAAAACCATGGAGATACGAGGCAGTGGAAGAAGACCAAAAGATATTCGAGCAGCAAACTATCCACGGCGACACGAAAGAAACATCACCAACCTCCACCACCCCTCAACTTACAAGCACGCCAACACAAACTTCTGCCGTAGCAACACCTAGCCCCGCGCTCCCCGACCGCGTCGTAATAATTGCAAAGCTCCCCACAGACGACACCCGCTGGGTGCACACCGACCTGCCGGACTGGCAATCCGCAATCTACTCCATCGACATCTCCACCCCCCACAACATCTCCCCTCACGACCCGCTCACCAACCGCACCCTCCGCACCCTGCGCAACAAAGGCATGGAAGCCAACGCCTACCTCGCCTACATCGTGCAGAACTACCACGCGCTCCCCGCAACCCTAGCCTTCATCCACCCGCACCGAGACGGCTACCCGACCGCCTGGCACACCGACAACCCATCGCACTCCAACGCCGTCGCCCTGCAGACGCTCAACACCGCCTTCGTGCAGCGCAACGGCTACGCCAACCTGCGCTGCGCGCCCGACCCGGGGTGTCCCCACGAAGTCATGCCCTTCCGCGACCCGCCCGAGGCGCACCGCACGATCGAGGCCGCGATGCCGGCCGCGTGGCGGGAGTTGTTCGGCAACGGCGACGTGCCGCGCGTGCTGGCGACGCCGTGCTGTGCGCAGTTTGCGGTGTCGCGCGCGCAGGTCAGGCGGCGGCCGCTGGAGGCGTATCAGCGGTACTACACGTGGCTGATGGAGACGCCGCTGAAGGACGAGACGAGCGGGCGGGTGTTTGAGTACTTGTGGCATGTGCTGTTTGGGCAGGAGGCAGTTTAGTGAGTACTTTTTGCCCGGGCGAAGGACTGGGTGGGCGGTGCTGACTTTGCGTAGTTGTCCGGCGTTTGAGAAGTGCTATTGCGATGTGTATAACAGGTGTTGAAGATAGGGGCTGGCATTTGAAGGCGTATTCGCTGCGGCGGGTAGACGCGTCCAGTCTCCCCGAACGGATTTACGATAGACGGTTGTGCGTTCTAGTCTTCAGTGGTGGTGTGGCAGTTTGGACAGCGCTGTTGTGTGTCATCCATCGTGCGGTATACGTCCGATCTAAACTACGCTGTAATCACGTATAGGACTTGGGCCTGCAGAGAAGAAAAAGAAAACGCACAGCGAAGTAGGAGAAGATTCGAAGAGAAGAAAGACAAACCTCGCGGAGAAGGACAAAGAACCCCGAAAGAGAAGAGAAAAGGCGGCTAACTAAGAAGAACGCCCACCGTGCAGGACCCTAAATCGGCACTCTACTTTCGACAGCGCGTGCTCGAGAGCGAGGAAAGGGGAGAAGAGTCGGTGGTAAGGGACACCCTGCTTTCCTCAGCTCTCGACCGGAAGACTAAGCGTAGAGCGCGAATGAATCGAGAGACGGCTTTGCGGCGGTGTGTGTGATCTGTGTGTGGGTCGGGGCGTCGATGTGCGGTGTTGAATGTGCGGTTGCGGGCTCAAACTGGTGCCGGGGCTGGAGCTGAGGTGGGATGGAAATTGAATTGGAACAGGGGATGTGGGGAAAGGGAATGCGATGGTGAAGGGGTACGGTGTGCTGGATTGAAGGAACAGGGCGCGTATAGGAAGAGTAGTGGCTGTTACGGACTGCTGGACCAGTACTGCTCAATCTACGGTCTTTCTCCCTTCATCTCGATGGCAACTAGGCGACAAAAAATGGCGTTACTTTGAATTCATCATCTCACCAGCCTGTGTACCGGCGTGGTGGCCCGAACGGGGGTTCATGGCAGTGCTAGTCTGTCGCTGGGGTATATACAAGCTGTGCATCCAGTCCATTGCTGTGGGGGGAGCGCCTGTTGTGCGGGCTGCCGCTGCGCTCCTCGCCCTCCGCACGCCACAGGCTTCACAGGCTTCACAGGCTCCACGTGCTTCGCTGCTTCGCTGCTTCGCCGAGCGCGCCCCGGGTCTTGTCCGTCTCTCGTGTCGTCGTGTCTGTGTGGTGCTCATGCGGGCTGCTCGTACGCGCGCTTGATGACGCGGGCAAACTCTGCGTGCTGTTAGCTTGTGATGTACACGCTTTTTCAATGGGATACTCACGATCGAACTTGACGTTCTCCCTCACCACGGTGCCCTTGGCCTCGTTGTCCTTGTTGATCGGGACCTTGACCTTGCCCGCCTCAACGGTCCAGCCGCACACACTGCCCACAAAGTGCTCGAACTCGCTGCCGGACAGGTTGAGCCACGACTCGAGAATGCTCTGGTCGACCTCGCGCACGGCCTGGCTGACCGTCGCGGCAATGCGCACGCGCATCAGCTCCTCGAAGCCGGCCACGTCGGCAATCAGGTCGGCGTACAGGTCATCCGAGTCGAGCGTCGCCCAGAAGGCGGCGTAGTCGGCGCCCTCGAGCTGGTTGCGCAGCTCGTTGAGCTTCTGGACGGCTTCGGACAGCGGGGCGTCGCCGGCGGCGGGGTTGTGGGCGGACGACGAGAGGGGCGCGAGGGTGTGCACGGGCAGCAGCGACAGGCAGAGGGAGAAGTCGGGGCTGGGGAAGACGGTGAGGGCCTTGACGAGGATGTTGGTGATGGTCTCGTCGCGGGCCAGGTGGGGGTTGAACTGGTAGCTGCGAGCGGTCAGTCGTGGCCGGCGAGAAGTGCACAATACGGAGCGGACGGTGTTGCGTTCAGATAGAGCTAATATGATAAGCCCTCAGTGGGGGAGGGATTCAATCTCCGGACCTCGGGAAAAGAAACTTGTGGTTCTTGTTTCATCATGCAAAGAGACACGGCGGGGGGCAACGTACAGCTTCAACAGGGCCAGGTTCGCGTAGCAGTCGTATGTCTGGTTCTCGCACTGCGCCATGACATAGTCCTGGAAGGTGCCCGTCGTCTCGGGGTTGTATCTGTCCAGGCCATCAAGCGTGGTCTGGATGTGCTCTGGCCGTTCCGGCGCAAAGTCGAATGCGGCGCCCATGGTGATGTGTGGTGTCGGGTGTTGTAGTGCAAGAAAATCCGCGTTGTGCGTGGACTCCGGCAAGCGGGGCAAGCCACTAGTGCACCACCAACACAGCCTCAAGACTCAAGTCACATTAACATCTGCAAACTAGGCGTTGGAACATTGATTCATTATTGCCATCATCTATGTACAGCCATCACTCTATCGATCCTGAAACGCCTTCATCCTCTGTCCTATTGAGTGGCTAATACTGCCTCTGCTGCTCTTATGATCAGTGGGAGCGTGGATCATACTGGGCGTTATGCCCCTCACAGGTACAGCGCCATGCCCGTACTGCACCTGATCAAACAAGTTGTCGTACTTGCTGCCATCAGTAACCGAGTCCTTCCGCCTCTCCTTGTCCCTCGAAGAGGACGGCTTGGCGGGTCTGATCGTGCTCACATCGCTGGTCTCAGATACGATGGACCGGCGGCTGCTGCGGTGCTTCTGCCTCGACTCGGTAGACTCATCTGACTCAGAGTCGTCGTTCGTAGAGCGCGACTTGTGCGAGCGGTGAGAGCGGTGTGAACGGTGCGAGCGGTCTGACGACTTGCTGACAGTTGTGCCAGCCTCGGACTTCAGCTCGTCTGTCCTACTGCGATGCTTGCGGTGGTGAGTGCGGCGCGATGAGCCGACTTGGCTAATGCTATCACTGGGCACAACCGTCTCATAGTCGTCTTCAGTAAGCTCATCAATGTCCAAGTCATCGATGAAATCACTATCAGCCGACGACTTCTTGTCACGGCCTAGAATGCTGCTGACAATCGAGGATGCCCTTGAGGCCTTTTTCGACGGAGCTACCGAGGCAGGCGAAGATGGTGAGGGCGAACGGTCTTCTTTGCTGCGACTGCTGGTGTGTCTTGTATGCGAGCTGCGTCTCGATGTTTGACTATAGGATGAATCGGCCTTGGATCTACTGGAGTGGTGCGAGTACTCGCTGCCCTCAGGTCTTCTTGTGAAATTGTCGGGCACAAAAGATGAAATGAAAGAGCTAGGTGCAGCGCTGTGGGCAACGCTCTGGGCTCGTGAGGGCGCTCTGCTCTCCGGCCTGGCAGTGGAATACGATACATCACTCCGAGCTGCTTCGATGGTGCGCATCGTGCGCATCTCAGGATCTGTCATAGAGCGGGAGGCACTGAAGCGCGAGCGCATATCAGACCCTGCGACGGACCGTGCAGGTGCATACTCGATCTGGAGAGGCTCTCCCGTCTGCGATCGAGATAGAGATACATTTGAAGGCGGAGGCGCATAGTAGCTTGCGGGTGCAGCCTCGATCTGTCTTTGGCCACCACTGGGCAGTTGCGACGCTCGAGACGGTGTAGCAGAGACAACAGACCCTGCATCATTGTTGCGGTGTGCTGATACGACCGACCTTGCCACCGAGGGGGCTGGTTCGTAGACCGGTGGTGGGTCTTGCATGGGTGGCTGGGGTGGTGGTGAGGCCCCAGCGAACTGGCCCACAGCAGCCGTGATCGTGTTCTTCGCCTCCATGAAGGCACTGAAGTCCGATTCTTTCTTTGCGCTATCCCTTTCGCTGCGCGAGAACGCGTAAACAACTGCTGCGCCCGCGGCTGCTCCGAGGAGAGTGCCGACAAGAGTTTTGGCAGCATCGCCATTACTGCTGGCGGCGGGCGGGGCTACCTGTGGCACTTGAACAGGCTCAGAAATACTCCTCGCAACGCTCGGAGCTAGCGAGGCAACTGATGGAGCTTTCGCAACAGATCTAACTGTGCGTGAGCTCGTAACGCTGACATCTTCGCGCATGCTCCGCGACACTGTCCGCTCCCATGTTATGACTCTGCTGTGCGAGACCACAGTTCCGTCGTCTCTGTAGTCTGGTGCACCACTGTACACAACCTCGATGCTGTTACCATCCAGGTCGAGGATTGCAGCGTTGAAGTGGGCAGCGTCGTCAGTTCGACATGCTGGCGAACCGTTGGGTCTCGCTCCAGCATTCAGTGCAGCAGAGTAAAATTCCCGAACAGCCGTACGACTTGTAGCGGTGAATGCAATGTGTGCTGCGCCCGCCTTGATTCTGCGTTGCTGTTAGTTTGCGTGCACTTGAACACACTCGGCCTACTTACCCAGGGGTCTCCTGGCTCAGGAAGAAATCTGCTTCGCGGATTCCAAAGGCAACTTGATGACCTTGCTGTCCGAGATATCTGTAGCCAAGAGGCTGGAGAGCAGACAGAAAGAACGACGAAGCAGCTGGTAGGTGTGAGACCGTCAATCCGACGTGAGAGACCGGCATTGTCGGATATGTCGAAAGGAAGAAAGTGATTACAACAAGAACATGTATATGAAGAAGACGAGCCACCAAAGACAATATAGAATGCAATTCAGTTCCGGCGAGACGCGCGTTGTTAAAGGAAGAAGTACCGGTACAGCTCTGTAGGTTTATATCGGGACCCTATTCAGCTGCAGCATCTCGATGCATCGTGAGCGGAGTTACCAAGCCCATGCCGGAAGGCTGCGCCTAGCACGCCCCACTGCTCCTGTAAGATATCAGGGAGGCCGTTGTCAAAGTCTTCCTCATGCTGCCACATGTCCTGCATCTGCAGCTAAGGTAGTGGTAGTGTAAGCGAGCGAGCGGTGATTGTGATTTGGTCTGCGCGGCGGGCCGGAGCCGTTAGTGAATTCTAATCCGCTTTGCGCTACGCGTGAATATTGACCGCCTGTCGCGCGCATCCGCTTTTATCGGCTGCGGTCTGGAACTGCCACTTGTCGACTTGCAGCACGATTGTTATGGTGTGACGTCCTCGTACGTCGGTGTCTTCGGTGTGAGAGGTACACATACAGTGAGGCCAAGGCAGGCACCATGCAATCAGATTGGACCCCCTCATGGGGCTTAGCGATGACGCACGTCAGCCTTGATATCACATAGTAGGGCGCCATGGATGAACCGCACCAGTACCTCCACGTTGTTGTATTGAGATTCAAGAACATGCAAAGAGCAGCATATTGCTTGTTGCTACGTTCTCCGCATAACATGGGAGATCGGCACAGCTTCCCAGCCGCTGCACGTCTCCCGATGCACATGGCAGGCGCGACAAGCGAAGTAACCTCGATAAGTATAGTGAGAAGTGCACAGCCAGGAAGATACTTGTAATGCAGGCCCAGCAGATCGGGTCACAGTGACGACGCGTGACGACCTCTCTTTATTCGTGTAAAATCGGAAGACCGATATTTATTCTATACTAAGGCTCCGACACACGATCAAGTCGCAATAGCCTATACCTATCATGAGTGTCGAAGTGCGACCAGATAAGCTGGATCGGCACCGACAGTGGAGGTACTTGCTATCAAGGTCACGAGATGACACTTACGGTTCGCATCTACACAACGTGTAGAGCCAGATGACAAGGAAAGACACAGGGTGCGGAGCAAGTTGAAGTGCTCCGCGATTCTTACAAGAAGAACGATGTTTGGACGTTGAGCCAGAGATTTTGTTTTGTTGTAAAAGCAAACTCAAGCAGACGCTCAAAATCAATAGCAGTAGCGCACAGGCTGTCGATGTTGCGATCTTGGCCAATGTGTGCTTCCTGCTGCCTAGATTTCCCGTGCTTTTCGTTTCCTCCTCTTTATTGTGTCGATGGCGGGCCAATAGTCATGGAGACTAAGTGGCGTGCAGTATGACGACGTCGTCATGGTGTGACTGGCGTCTAGAAGATGCCCCAGACGTCCTCTGCTGCGTGGCAGAACTTGCTGCATGCAACGCTGGCACTGAGATTGAAGTTGCTGATTCCGATGCTGTCGTCCTTGATCGCGTCCGCAAAGTCATCGTTGCCCTTTGCCATGGCACCAACGAAGACTGCAATGCTCTCGTTCTTGTTGAGGCTACCAATGTAGTCGCTCAGCCGTACAACCTCTGCGTCGAAACTGAGAGTGACCTTGCGGCAGTTGGGCGGCAGGTGGTCTGTGATAGGGTTCTTGATCACCTCAATTAGCTTCTCTTGAGACGAGGTCGATCGAATCTGATGCCTGTGCAGCAGCTGCACCATCAAACCAGCAAATCGCTTGAATGTTCGCGGGATGCGCACGGTAGGGCTGACCCTGATGAGGACGTTGCGTGCAGTCTGGATGTAGATCTGGAGCTTGCCTGACTTGTTGATAGGCGAGTCGAGGAGGGTGAGCAGACACTGGCACCACGTTAGCTGACCTTGTTTCCTGCACTGCCAAATCGCTCCAACGTACTTGGTGCGTGATATCTGGACGCGCTTCGCTGATGTCGCGGCCCATTTTGCGCATAACACCGATGTGATCGTCGCTGTTGAGGAGATTGTACTTGTCCTCCCTGCCGCCGGGCCCACGGCCAGAGCCATGCGACGCTTTATACGTTTCAAGCGTGGCATTGCAGAGGACGACAATCAGACGCTGAGAGTCCTTGTCGTTGGTGGGGATTGGCTGGTGCTGTTCAGCCACGAGCCTTGGCAGTTCTGGGGGTGGCATCGACTGGGTTCCTGGCGGAGGAGCTGGGTCAGCATGCGCCATGTTGGATGGGCAAATAGGCCTGGGACAAGGACATACTCGCGCGCTTCGTGCCCCTTTCGGGAGACTCTCGGGAAGACGTCCTCTCGTGAGAAGACTCTGTCTGAGGAGTGCCAGCCATATCGAGCAACGTGTCGGATGATGATGCAATGAAGTAGTGCAGATGCTTTCGTCTGGTTCAATGCGGGGTGCAGCTTTTCGATCCTTCGTGCGCAATGTCTGGAAAGTTAGGGTACAGTCGAAGCGCAATACACACCGATCTTCAACAGTGGCCGATGATAGTCTATGTAAGGTGAATTGCTTTCTGGCGTTGTAGTCAGACAGTTCCTGGCGATGTAGTCAGAGAGTGCTGAGAAAAGGCTTTTTCTCCGACCAGTTAGGCGTTGGCGCATTGTGGATAAGGCCGCCCGGCGACGGAATGTTTAGCCGAGACCACGTGAACCAGATGTGCATCCTGGTACTTCATCTCGAGTCTGGAGCAGTCATCATCGCAGTTCTCTGGATACAGGTTCATTATTGCCACGACGCGCACGCACGCCGTGCCGTGTGCCGAGGCTTAGAGGTGTCGCACGCCGCCCCCTGCTCTGCCGCGACTGTGAAACACTATTGGCATCGGATTGGCTGGTCAGGCTGAGCACGCTGCTTCGGACTTCGCGACTGGATATGCCCATAAACATCATGCCTCCTGTCTCAAGAGCACTTAAGATCAGGTCAACTATCCGACGTTTGCCGTTTGCGAACGCGCCGCTTATGCGCCCTACTTAGTAGCCGTGATCCCTCGTCACCCAAGGTTCCGTTGTTTCTAAGCCGTCTGTCCATCTTGCAGCGCCAAGCAGTCACTCTCTTCATTTCTTCATTTACTATTTTCTCGGTGGCAGCTGGCTGTCTTTTCTGTCTCTACACATACTAGCTTGTTCAATACTCGACAATGGCCTGGGAGTTTCTCGCACCTATCCTCACACCAACAGCCCTGCGCTCGGTTCAAGCAGATGCTCGGCCACTGCTCACGCTGCTTCTCACCATCATCGGGCTGTCACTATTCGTCAGCGTCTGCTTCTACATCAGCTTCGTGACAGGGAAAGCGTATCCGAAGAAGAAGGTGGAAAAGAAGGGCGGGTTCTTGGGCTTCGGCAAGAAATGATCCCACAACACATACCAGCCCATTCAAGGAGACGGTCACAGTCGATTGGATGCGTAGCAGTGAGTATATATGGGTTGAGTGGTCTCTACAGTGTGACTGACACCCTCTTAGAGCGCTGCGCGTTTTGAAGGAGTGATGAGCATCTGGTTCTGACTTGAGACCAGCCGTCTGATAGACAGTGAAGCGATACCCACGTAGCATAATAGAAAGAGAAGCATAATAAACGTCCGCGTCTTACCCGTTATTCGTAAATACATCGCAACGCTATCCGTTCGAGCTGACCTTACAATATGAAGAGAAGAGACAATTATTCATGTTATGATATTGTTCATACTCGCTACAAATTTTCCTTATATATGGTTCGTCCAATAGTGGGTATAAGGCCAGAAAAGTCGCCTCGGATTTCTCATCTTTGGACAATGACATTCAAGCACTCGTCATTCAAGTAGAGAGAAGCAGATTGATATTACCGATCAATGATGCCAGTGGAATCGCTTGTGGTGGAACAATGCAGTGTCAACGTTCGAGTCCCATAACTCTGAATTAAAACTGATATCCTCGCCGCGTCTGAAGCTGCCCTTAAGAGAATAACTTGAAGCCTAGCCCAGAGATTCGGACGCAAGGTACACTGTCAACGCGGTCCTCTTTGGACCTGTCAAATCGGATAAGCTTGACGATGTGCCTAAAAGATCTTTGGCGTGCCGCTGAAGACTACGGTTGTTGAGCACAGGGCCGGCACTACTGCCACTGCGCGGCTTGTCTACCAGCTGGTGAGTGGGGACTCGAAAGACCCGGGACACACTGCTCCGCTTTAAGCGGATTCATGATGCCACAGAAGCATTCGGCTGCTGTCGCTGTTTCTTGTGAGTGCTTGTTCAGGCGGGTTCCTATGCGGCGTTTGAGTTCCAAGACTTCAGATGTTTGAAACAAAAATAGCTATCGTGCTGAGCAAAAGCCGGACTTGTTAGTCAAAGAAATACAGCACAGGCTGATGGGACGGAGCATTGGGCGAACGATTGGACTTTTCACTAGCAACCGGGAAGAGCGACGCGGGCCCAGACATGAAGGTAAGCGATCGCGTGAGAAATACGATGTTCCAATGTTTTTGAGGGAGCTGGGCTTCGCAGTCTCGGGATTCGGGAGATATCGGGGATCTAAGCACAGGGTCGCGGTTACAGCTGTCACTTTCTAGCCTCACCGATGAACTCCCGCACGTTATCCTGGTCATGGATCAATATCGTCGAAGTTCCAGAGTCATCCGTGTAGCCGTTGGTGAAAAGAAGGACCACGACGGATCGGCAACTAGTCTCAAGTGGGCTGCAAGCGGCAATGCGAACCGCCAAGCGTTTGAGACCAGGCTCTCCGACGAATCTCAAACATCTCACACAAGTACCCATTAGGGGAGCCAAAAAACGCCACATCAACTCGGGTTTCATGGCACTTCCAGTCTAGGTGCCGCAGCCTCATGTCAACGAGGCTGAGCTTGCTATTCGCCCGTAGGATGCTCAGCGCTGCCCTGGGCGCCGCACCTTGCCCGTACGAGGCGCATCCATAGGCTGTGCACCCTGCTGCGTCGCGCTTTTTCAACCACGAACGCACGAAAGTGGTTCGACTCCTGCTACCGTTTCGCTGCATGTGTTAAGCTTCGCTGCCTTCTCCACGCGTCATGTCCGGTACCCACATAACCTCGCTCTGATAGACTAACTGCCATCCCCTGCTTGCCATACCCATCCCGCTTTGCGCATGCTTATAGGCTTTTGTTTCCCCTTCGCCCAAGAACCTCCGTTTTCATGCCGGTGCCTCTTTAACCGGGTGACCTAAGATACCCATTGTCTTTCTATTCGTCTGTGCAGGCACTTTTAGTGAGTTCATAGTCGTCGCCTTTGGCGATCTTCACCATTCTAATGTACATGCAGATATTGCGTCCTTATTTACAATCATCGTGAACTATAGCCACCTTCAGCAGGCTCTGAATAGCAAGGGCATCTAATTTGGCACCTTGCCTACACCACATTCATCATGTCGTCTTACACCTCATCTCTCACAGGCCGTGAGCGGTCAAGATGGCCGCCTCTCACGCGAATGCTCATGTCTGGCGAGATGTCAGAAGAGAAGGGTCGCGCGCTGACCCGCAAAGAAAGATTTGACGTGTGGATGGTCAACGAAGGATACCGACGACTTTTTGTCTTCACATTTGCGATCTTGCACGTTATGGTCTTTGTGTTCGGTATGATGAACTACGGACTGAAGGTAAGGAGTAGCGGACTCTTTTGATAGCGTTGACTCACATCCTACAGGATAATTCAATAGGCACACGTGCGAAGTTTGGCATAACTTTTCCTATTGCTCGTTCGGCAGCCTTGACACTACACGTCGATGTAGCCTTCATTCTCTTCCCCGTGTGCAGGAACCTGATCTCGATGGCTCGTCGCACACCACTGAACGACATCATTCCCTTCGATAAGAACATCACATTCCACAAACTCGTCGCATGGGCCATTGTGTTTTTCTCTTGGGTCCACACCATTGCTCACTGGAACAACCTCGCCAAATTTGCCGCAGTCAACGAACTTGGCTTCATGGGCTTCATTCTCGCCAACCTAGCCACAGGACCTGGCTGGAGTGGTTATGTCATGTTGTTCTCCCTGATGGCCATCGCTCTTACCGCAGCTGAGAAGCCGCGCCGCGCGAACTTTGAGCGCTTCTGGTACACGCACCACATGTTCATTGTCTTCTTCGTTTTCTGGTCTATTCACGGCGCATTCTGCATGATTCAGCCTGACTTTGCGCCCTTCTGCGATGGAATCGGTGTTTTCTGGGAGTACTGGATGTACGGTGGATTTGCCTACCTTGCCGAGCGAATTGCCCGCGAGGTGCGAGGACGTCACAAGACCTACGTATCCAAGGTCATCCACCACCCCAGCAACGTCTGCGAAATCCAGATTAAGAAAGAACACACTACGACCCGTGCTGGCCAGTACATCTTCCTGTGCTGCCCCGAAGTCTCGATTTGGCAATACCACCCTTTCACCCTTACCTCGGCGCCTGAGGAGGACTACATTTCTGTCCACGTCCGTATGGTTGGTGATTTCACCAGAAAACTCGGCAAGGCGCTTGGTTGCAACCTTGACAAGAAGGCCGGTGGTGAGAAAGACCAGGACTCCGAGGAAGTTGCTATGCGCCAGATCCTGCCTCGTGTGTACATTGACGGTCCATTTGGCTCCGCATCCGAAGACGTGTTCAAATTTGAGGTTGCTGTCTTGGTCGGTGCCGGTATCGGTGTCACACCATTCGCATCCATCTTGAAGAGCATCTGGTATCGTATGAACTATCCCCAAAGCCGTACGAGACTGAGGAAGGTGTACTTCTTCTGGGTTTGCCGTGACTTCGGGTCATTCGAGTGGTTCCGCTCCCTTCTTCTTGCTATTGAAGCGCAGGATCTCGACGATCACATTGAGATCCATACTGTAAGCCAGCTTCTCTCCCTTCGCATTTAAGCCGTAAATACTAAGACATCATAGTACCTCACTGCCAAGATCAAGGCCGACGACGCAACGAACATCATGATCAATGACGCCAACGCCGAGCAAGACGCCATCACTGGCCTGCGCGCACCAACAAACTTCGGTCGCCCCAATTGGGACATGATCTTCAAGTCTATCCGCAAAATCCACTCGCCCGCTGAGGCAGGTGTATTCTTCTGTGGCCCCAAGGGATTGGGAAGCACGCTGCACGTAAAATGTAACAAGTGGAGTGAGCCAGGGTTCAGTTTCGTTTGGGGTAAGGAGAACTTCTAGAGGCAGCGCAAGAAGAGACTTATATCCGATTATCATACATCGCAGATACAAGATTGGGGGACTATTCAGCATTCATCGATGAGAAAAATGGTGGATGATATTACGCATGTTGCAAGCTATTACAATTGTACATAATTGGCGGTGGTGTTGCTTCTCAGCCAGGTCCGCGCGCAGGACACTCGGACTTTCACGATACCATAGATGATTAATCAAGACAAGATTTTCAGATTCTGCGCGTTTGCAAATTCAGGCCATGTCTCCAATATCAGGCCACTCTGCATTTGCATGAATGAGTCCATACGCGTCGTGTTGCAACTCCACTTGGCAAATCTTCCGAAACGAGCGTCGCGGATGGGCTGATCCGATGCGTCACCACTGTGAGAATGCTAAGCTTTATGTCTCGGGAGCCAAGGTGTCGCGACAGTAGACGTTGTGTTGATTTCAAAGTCAATACTGGTAACATGCCCTGTCTGACAGCTGCGCTGGTCGAGTCTGTAACCGGTACCCCGGCACATCGTGATATTCGAAAACAGCCCAGGAGTCTTGATGAACAAAACACCTGGTGTGATTTGTGGGATGTTGTTTGTGTCTCGAAAAAGATGTGTCCTTTAATTGTAGGATGCCCTCAAGCCTAGAAGCGTCGTCAGCTTGCTCATGGCGGCGAAATCAAAGGCATGCTCCCCGTAGAGTGTCCATTTCCTCACTTTCAGCCTTCAGACCAACCCCAGCAGTCTTGACGCCGCAATGTCATTCTTGTGGAACCTGTGCATTGTTAGTGGTTCGGTTTATGTTGACGTCCACCCTTCAAGACCCTCTTCAATAGACGCGTGGACTTACCCGGCCAGCTGATATAAATCATGCAATCAAATTCAATTCTCTGCACAGATAATATTGAGTAAAACAGACATGGAAGGGGAAGGTCGCACTTGCTGAGGGTTCGCAATACAGCAGGCAACCTACCCAAAGGTTTGGGGATCATCGAACACTAACAGTCAATATACTTCACATCCTGAAGGATGTGCCTCCAATCAGAAATCAGGAGCATGCAGGAACAGATTCAACGATGTAGAGCTTGATCAAGCGAAACGATATGCACGAATTCATGGAAGAATTCGCCGTCGCTTGCTTCCAACGTCTCTTGGAACCCCGTCGCGCTGTGTCTGGTGACTTTTGCGTTTCCAATACTCCGTACCCCGACTTCTAGTGGCTTTTGAAATTGGTAGCAATATCTGATCAAGTCTTGATCTTAATATAAATCTCGTATTACATGTTCGGGGTTGCAGGCGTTGAGCTCATCGAGTGAGTCTTTTTGAGAGGAGTCTTCTCCGCGGTACTGTTTCTCATGCAGAGCAGAAGAACCGCATGTTCTTGCAAGCAGTACCAATTTGCGAACACGAAAATGTTGGATTGGGATGATCATACTGAAGGGGCGGGTGTTACCTTCCACTTACAGGCAGGCGTTGTGGGGACGGCGGCGGCTTCGCTCCTTGATTGGCTGGCAAAGTCGTTCGCGCCACCCGCTGTTCCGCCGGCCACCGCATCTTGCCCAAATGCTGTCATTGCATCATACGACATACGACGACATATCGGTCGGTGCCACCGCCAACTGCCGAAAAGTACATACAATGTGTTGTCTTGTATCAATAAAAGTACCTAAATATGCTCGACGCATACGGGGTAATTCAAACCAGTTTTCTACGTGCTCAATTCTGTGGCTGTGGAAGCTATAAACATTCAACAAAGAATTAAAGGAATTAAGAACCCGTATATTTCACTATCACAGCCCGGCGCTACCCCACACCCGTCTGCCGGAACAGTGGAGATCACTAAAAGGCGGCCAAGTGATAGTCGGCGCTTGATGAACACGGCATTTGCTCCGTGCAAGGTACGCAGTATAAAGAATGCAGAACGGTATGGCTCCGTAGCAGCTATCATCAGTTGCACCGAGTTTTTTTGCCCACTGAGGCTAACGGCCAACCATGGTGTTCCGCAGCATTGCCATATCGCTCCTATTCTTGACCACTTCGTTTGTAAATGGTCAAGATGATCTCGGAGTCAAGAACGGCTTTACAACGTTCGATGCTGGAAGCCTCAAAGGCAATATTGTCAAGAGCTCCCAGACACTCGCCTCCTTGAACTCGACTGGAAATGCGTTCGACTTCCTTCCATCGGATCGGCTTTCCCAGCTAGCTTTCAATGGCGCTCATCACCTGGGCGATATCACCCTCCGTTACCGCAGAGGTGGTAATGCATGGACGAGTGTCGACTCTGCGGCAGCACGCAAACCTGTCACGGCCTTGAGTCGTCTCGGTCGAGGCGTGATCGCTGGAGCCGATTTGACGCCCACTCTGCCCAGTGGACTGCCTCTCAAGGTCACAAGAGAATGGTTGCAGTACGAGAACGGTCTTGCTGTGCGCTTCAACATCACAAACAATGGCAGCAGCAGTGTAGAATTGGGCAGTCTCGGGTTCCCCGTCAGCATCAACAACATCTTTACTGGAAGAACCGCCGAAGAGACTCAAGACAAATGCGCCCTTGCCGATCCGTACATTGGTCTGGACGCTGGTTATGTGCGCGTGTCCCATCTGGAAGGCACTGGTAACGCTCTTGTAGTCACACCCATTGGAGCAGCACATTTCGAAGCTTGGAGGTTTCTTCGCGAACCGCAAGGTAACTTCGGCTATCAGTCGCAGACCTTTGAAGGGAACTACGAGTGGCAGGTTCACAGTCTTGCTTATGCGCAGAACGAGTGGAATGCCACCACGCCCTGGAATCAGCCGACCTCCAAGGCTTTACAAGGCGGGGAGGTGTACTCAGTCGGGCTCCGATTCTCGGTTGCGGAGAAGATCCAGACTATCGAAGACGCGGTCACCAAGGCTGGGTCTCCACTTGCGATTGGTATTCCAGGATACGTTGTCCCAGCCGATACTTCAGCGAGACTGTATATCAATCATACTTCGCCAGTCAAGAATATTGATGCCGGAGGTGCTTTCACCATTGCTAAATTGGCTTCTGCCAACTCCGCGTACAAGCTCACCCCAACAGCTTCTGCATGGGGCCGGGTTCGAGTCACAATCTCATACGAGGATGGCAAGACTCAGACGGTGCACTACAAGATTACGAAAGCAGCCCCTTCTGCTCTTGCTGATATGGGCAGCTTCTTTTCCACTGCCGCCTACTTCAATGACACTTCAGATCCCTTCAATCGCGCACCATCAATCATGACATACGACCGCGAAGTCAACAAGATTGTAGAACAGGATGCGCGAGTCTGGTTTGCTGGTATCAGCGACGAGGCAGGAACTGGAGCATATCTGGCAACTGCTATGAAGCAGTTCGCTCAGCCAAACGCTGCTGAAGTTTCGGCTGTGGACAATTTCGTGCACGAGACGGTCGTAGGCACACTGCAGCAGAATGGTACCTTCGGCGTTGTTGCAAGTGCGTTCTACTATGAGCCTGCCGCAGTGCCCAACTACAAGTATCAACCATTTGACTGGGGCTCATGGACATCTTGGGACAAAGCACGAGCCTACACAACGCGTCGAGCATACAACTACGTTCATCCTGTGGCGGCTTATTGGTCGCTTTACCGAACTGCCAGGAACTTCCCTGAGACAAAGCTCCGAGCTGAGTGGTCATGGTATCTTGGTCGCGCATTCAACACTACGCAGTACTGCTTGTCAAACAGGGGTGCTAACTGCGATTACGCTCTTGTTGGGCTCATGGGTGAATGGGTGTTCGGAGAGCTCCTCAAGGACCTCAAACGAGAAAATATGACTAGGGAAGCTTCGGCCCTCGAGACAACCATGCGCTACCGTGCGAATCTGTGGGAGACACAAGCCATCCCCTTCGGCAGCGAGATGGCCTGGGACAGTACTGGTCAGGAAGGCGTCTACTACTGGACCGACTACTTCAATCTTCCCAAGACCCCATCGAAAGCTATCAGCAGCATCCTGGCGTACATGCCTGCTGTTGCCCACTGGGGCTGGAACGGCAATGCACGCCGCTACTGGGACTTCATCTATGGCGCGAAGATCCAGCAGATTGAACGTCAAATCCACCACTATGGTTCTGGTCTTAACTCGTTGCCAATGCTGCACTGGTACGAGCAGAATCCCAAGGACAACCTCTATGCGCTTCGTATTGGGTTTGCGGGTAACACTGCCCCGCTCACTAACATCGATGAGGGTGGCTTCGCCTCTGCAGCGTTTCACTCTTTCCCCGAGCTACTGAAGTGGGATCCATTCTCTGGCGACTACGGTCAGGGCTTCCTGGGTCTGACTCTGGGACAAGCCGTCTACATCGTGAAGGATAGCAAATTCGGTGTACAGGCTTTCGGTGGCGACATCGATGAGGCGCGCTCTACTGCTTCATCAACCGTCGTCGTGCCCAAGGATGCTGTCAGGAAGCGAACCTTCATTGCTGACCTAGGACTGAAGGTTGAAATCAGTGCTGGCGCGATCAGCGAGATTGTGTATGACGCAGGTACGCAAAAGCTCAGCCTCACGCTCATCCCTGCTGTTTCGACGAAGGCGCTGCAGGCCAAGTCTGCTATTGTCTGGTTGGAGCAGCCAGCTTCGGGTACAGTTGGCTTCGCCGTGGCAGGTGCTCAACAAGCACGCGGCGGCTATGTTGTTGACCTCAAGAGTGGAAGCGCGAAGATTGATATTACGAAGCGATAAGTAGTACATAGGTAAAATGCATCGTCTATTGCCGATCAATTATAGCAATACCAACTCGACCATTCCTACAAGTTCGAAACATTCCAATAGTCCATGAGATGCAATTTTGTGAACAAAACGAGTCAATCGTGTACTTTAATGCTACACAAAAAGTCTACTAGCCGAAAGATGCTCGTAAAGCCTCTCATATGTGACAGGAGCTCTTTATGTCGCAGCGCCCCAGAAACGATTGCCCCAGCTACAGCGTCTGGCGTGTGACGGTTGAGAACCGATCTGAGGATGCCGTGTTCCTCTTCGAGCGCAGTGCCAGCGTGCAGCCCTAGAAGCCCCTCAACAATGATGGGTCCAATGAACTTCAGGGAAGGGTCTAAAGACGCAGGGCTTGTCACTGCAAAATGATCAAATACGCAACCAACGCAGCGCCATTGAGGCATGCAGGGAGGTCTTAGCAACGGACAGCACATGCAGAGACGGCTATGATGGGTCAGTCGGCGCAGCAGAGAGCACTTGCCACGGATCAAGCAAACGCCGAACTTTCAATGTAAAATGCAACTTCAGTATAGGTTACGAACGGATAGGGGTCTACCTCCAACCACGGTTCGCCAGAATTGATGGAGTCGACCCCTGAACATGATGTTTATTTCGTAACAGCTTTCAGTCTTCTCCTCCATCTCTACTCAAACCAAGTACCCCAAATCAAAGCCTCAAACTGATAGCCATTCACCATGTCTACCTCCAGCATCTCTGTTGTCCTCAGGCAGCCCTCTCGAACGCTTCCGTTCCGGTCATTTGGTGCCTCCCTAGCCAAACTGCCTGAGGAGTTAATCCTTCAAATCCTCGAATATGCGCTATCGTCTCCCGGGTTCATTGCGAAAACCGACTTCTGGGCAGGAGAATGTGAATGGCCAGAGTGTCACTGTCAAGGCGCCTGGAAACACGTTCCAGCGAAGACATTCACACAATACACCGTAGCCCCTCTCCTCGCAGCGCCAAAGCCGATCCCGAGGCTCGCACAATTGGCCTTCTACGCGAATAATACTTTCCACTTATGTGGGCCTCAAAACGACATGACGTGGAATGGATCCGGGTTTTGGCTGCCTCCTCCAGGGGTCCGACACTGGATTCGGCACCTGGAAGTCGAAATTCAGATCGCGATACCACGAGCAGATCCCTCTTCATCATCGGGAGGACAGAGAGGCTCCGTCTTCACCCCTGCGATCGATTGGCAATTTCTTCGCCGACTACAGCGAGGCGTCCACGGATTCACCGGCCTGAAAACTCTAAAGCTGATGTTTGAGGCCTTGTATGTCACAACGCAAGATAGACTCTATATTCTCGACGAACAGCTAGGCAGAGCCGAGCCTTTCTGTTTTCAAACGCAGACTCTTATCGTTGAGGTATGCTCACCCTGGCCGATATGGCTGGACGACGATGCCTCTTCCGGAGACATAATCCGCGATGAATCCCTGGGAATAGTTTTGAGGAGACACATGTCTGCGACCGGCACCTGGTCGACAAGGGGAGAGGTCGAGTAACAAGCGAAAGAACGGGATTGGCCTCAGCGGGTGTCTGCAGCTATGCGATAGCAAAATGGCCCGTCCATGTCCCCGGTATCTTAAAAGAAGCTCTGATTGAGACGATAGTTAGTCACTGTCGATGGTTCTCACTTCTAGCGTACATGCTGGTACAAAGTTGCTTGCGTATTTGCGTACGATTGTGTGAATGAATGGTACAGTCAGACTATATCACACGTACTCTTCAATGCCCAGTAGCGTTGAAAATCAATATGAGTGATGACGAGTCGAGTGATGATCAAGTCAAGTGACGACCAAGTCGTGTGATGCGTGAGTGGTGAGTGAACTCTTGGTGGAGGCGCGTTTGCGACCATGCCTGTTTAGGTACAGTGACGCACTTACCACGGCCGTTGTTCGGGGTTGCCGCTTGAGTGTTGATGTGGACGACTAAACACCATCAACCGCTTTGCGCCTCGCACGATAACTCCCAGAGCCTGCGTTGTCAGGGACCATGATTTTGGTGGCCGGTCCGCGAACACAGTATGGCATTTGAGGTGTCGTACAACCTCGAGAATGAGCAACAGTTCTGGGATGGTGAGAGTTCTGTGCCGCTGTAACCCCACCACCAGAGACTGACATGCTGCGCAGAGCTCGACGACATTGTGTCAACACGATGCCGGGACGAAGAGAGTATAGATAACTCTCTGCGCGCATTTCTCAACGTCACCACGAGCTACAGATGTAATAATTACTCGAAATACACCGAACATCGTTGACCAAGGACAGCCGAGTACCTTGAAACCGACTACAGTGTGGCGAAATGCATCTTTCGAGTGTTGGAGGGCGAGCTCTTCAAAACACATAAACAATATGTGCGCCGACAGATGATCTACTGTCTTCTGCAGGTATGTTGTCGCAAGCGTCCAGCATCGCGCGTGTGCAGAGGAAGCTGACATCTTCACAGGAGGAAGATAACCCTACCATTCACCTAGTCGCAGCCCTCCTGTTGTACGACGGCCGAAATAGCGGAGACGATGTTCTTTTCGACATGATGCATACCGAAGGCAGCTTTCCACGACTCGTGGAACTAGTACAAGCCGATGATGTGCAAGAAGACACGAGACTACATCAAATGCTTCTGGAACTCCTGTACGAGTCTTCTCGAGTACAGAGGCTTGATTGGGAAGACTTTGGTACGTCACATTAGCCACAGGAAGCATTCTAACAACGGCTGACACATTCATCAGCCGCGGTTACCGATAACTTCATCCTGTACCTCCTAGGGATTATCGAAGGCGCCTCAGATGATGCCGAAGACCCGTACCATTATCCAGTCATTAGAGTTCTGGTATGTAGCTCCGACACCAGTGTCGTCTATGAGACTAATCGCTGAATAGCTGGTCATGAACGAGCAATACCTGGTAGCCTCCACCAGCCACCACAAAGATGGCCGTCCCCCAGTGACCAACCGGCTGCTCAAAGCATTGTCAAGTCATGGTATGACATACAAGACTTTTGGGTGTAATCTGATTCTTCTTCTCAACCGAGAGTCAGAAACCTCGCTTCAACTACTGATTCTCAAGGTGCTGTATCTTCTCTTCGGCAACCCTTCAACCGCCGAATATTTCTACACGAATGACCTACACGTACTGATCGATGTGATTCTCCGAAACCTCATCGACCTTCCACACGATTCGAGCGCAGCCAACGCTCTGCGACATACGTACCTTCGCGTCCTTCACCCCATCTTGACGAACAGTCAGATCAGCAAGCCACCACATTACAAGCGCGAAGATATCCTCAGGCTCCTTCACCTTCTTGTGACTAGCGGCAATCACTTTGCGCCAGTAGATGAGACAACTCAGCGCCTTGTTGTACGATGCACCAGCGTGCCATGGTTGCAATCGACGGCTGCGAGAAACAACTCGGCTTCTGGTGGTAATGACAGTGCAACATCACCTATCGACCACCTCGCCAATGGCCAGAAGGAGCTGGCGCGGCGTGCTCTGGGCATGAGCGTACAGGACGGCGGCGAGAGCTCAACGAGCGTTCTTGAGATCGCTTCTCACACAGAAAAGCCGGGCGTCCAGACCCCCAGCATCGCACATCCAGAGCTGGCATCGTAGAGCCCGAACTTGCATCAAGTCTCGATGGACTACATCACAGCCATTTTTTCAATCTGCTTTGCAAGTTTAGATCTGGTCCAGAAATAACGGGTTTACCTCTCCTTCGGCATCGATAGCGCACGGTTCAGAATGCATGCATAGCTGGCGTTTCGGGTCTACGAACTTGTTGGACAGTCCTCTTAGCTGCGTCCTTGTCTTGCTACGCATCTTGCATTGTCTGCTGGTGCTCTATTCCGGTCATTCGTATATCCTCTCTATCACGAGCTGTTCTTTTTCACTAATGGACTGTAATTAGCTGCACCTGCTGAGCACAGCTTTGCTTCAATACAATTTGACCCCCACGAGACCAACTTACCGTGATTACACTGCAGCAGACAGTATGACCGCTGCCAGGCGGAACGATGCCGAGCGCATCCTTCCAGCCACAAGTCCTTGGAGGTATCCACATTGCAAAACCGCCAAGACCGTTACGGGACTCCGGCATTATCTTGATTTGAGCTATCTGCGCAAGGACTCGGAGGTACAAGATTGGACCTTGAGATGTATGGACGGATCTACACATCCTGCGCCACTGCAGTACGTACGCCTGCATTGCGTTCCGCGTGCGACAACAAGTTAGGACGCTGTGTGAGGACAAGATCATCGTAGGCTTGGCTGCTGCTGGGCTGCGCGGCGGTTGCAGTAAAGAATGTGGCGTAACATCAAGAGTTGTACAATGGCATGGCAGACGTTTATGCTCTTGGTCATTTCTTCTTCCCTCGGAGGCAGTTGTGAGTCCGGGAGCCCGCCTGACTACATGCCTTTGTACCTTGGCAGGTTGACACAAGGCATGTGATCACACTTGGATGTCTCAAATCTAAGTCTTTGGTGAAGTTACGTCTACAAGTCTCAGCGCTAAGTATCCGGCCCAGGAGCCGAAATCGCTGACAATCTCTAGGTTACACGAACATTATCCCTGCTCAGGTTACACTTGGTCTAGACCTGACCGCTAAGACGCACGCAGTATGGCAATCATGTTCCCCATCCATCCCTTGTACCGGCTGCATCTCACCTGCGGATGGAATAGAGCCGGCATGTCTTGACCAGCCGGAGTGCCAACGTAGTGCCGAACCTTGCCGATCGGAGAAGCGCATGAACGAGTTCCGGTCCAACATGACAATGCGGTGCTGAAATTGGTGTTAAACTCGAGTCGTAATTTATTTTCAAGAAATTATGAGGGCTTATCGGAACCCTTGGCACAATTGAGCTGGCCTGCTGGCGCTTGATGTGTCGTGTTTCTACGCCTGTGACAGCAGCACGTTATCCCTTTAGTACTGACGCCAGCTAAAACAAGCGAATTCTGCTTCATACAGACACGTCAAAGCGGACAATCAATGAATTCGAGCAGGTTACACGCACGGTTGAGGTATACTTGCACTTACGACAGTACTTCAGCGGCGCCTACGACTAGCACCAATCCGAACCATCCAGGGTCAGAGGCTAGACCATGTCCACCCACGGTAGGCACAGTGATGCCCCGCTACCCGCAAGCCACTTCCGCAACGATGCGGCAGTGGCGGCGAGATCTTACTTAATCTCAATAACCAGCAACCCAAGGTACCATCACCCTCCTAACATGCATGACACAAGGTTTCGTGATTGGTTTACGCAAGAATGTGCTCGAAAAGTCGCAAATTCTTCTTCGTGTTTTCCATGGACAGCGCCTATGGGCATGGACGTTTGTGAAACGGCGGTGGCTGAGGTCCTCTACACAAGGTTCTGTGCATGCAGATCATCAGCGTGACTGAGCCGGGTCTCGCATCGAGGACCCCAAGTGATCTGCGCAGTTGCCTTCACACTTCGGCGGACGTCTCCGGAAGTCGGAGCTTGCCAGCCAAGCCGACACCGGTGAACGTGGGATTCACATCTGGAGCCGCGAACGCACAGCTTGGGGATCTGCAGCGCACGTCGGGTGAAGTAGGGGGTGTAAATTTTTCAGGGTAGCCCGCAAACGATTGCCTCATGGATGACGACCTGGATAATGGGTGCTCGACTGCGTGGCATACATCAGCGACCGCGCGTACGGTATTTTTTTGCTTCAGCCAAGAGGAAAGTGAAGGATCTGCAATCATCCACACGATTGGGAAGGCTGTTTGCGATGCACGGGAACAGAAACACCGAGCTAACGGTGATCGTGAATCTGAAGGGGAGAGAAAATTTGCTCATAGCGGTCCATGTGATAATATTGAATAAATGTGGTATATCGTAAACTGATGCTCAACCAGCCGTTAGGGAGCTCCATGCGCCTACGTTCTTTCATAAAGTGACAAAGAATCGAACTGCATACGCTCCCGCTCAGGCCTCAACGTGATCGTAAATGAAAAGTTTGTGGAATCGTGTGCTGTGAACAGAGACGCCGTCTAAAATTGGGGGAATCAAAGAAAAGAAACCAAACATGCTTTTAAACCATGCGCTCCGGTGATTGCGCCGGCTGATCAAGCTTTTCGCGGGAGGGCATCCTGCTAGGAACGCGAGTGGGTGCCTGTGACATGGCGGTAGGAGTGACCATACCGGCTGCAGTAGCATCGCTGCCCAGTCGAAGCTTCTCTTTGGTGGATGCTTGCTTACGAGAGAAGTGATGCGCAAAGCTCTCGCCATCGAAGCATGGGAGATACCACCGAGCAACCATCATGCAGATGAAGGACAGGAAGAGATTGGTACCTGACCACATCTGGACGGTGATGTAGGTGTTGTACTGGGTGACGAGGTGCCCAGCCACTACGGGGCCAACTAGAGCTGGAATAGCAGCGCAGCTGTACATCATACCGACCCAATGGCCAAGCTTTTTTTTAGCCAAAGCCTGTGTTTCGGGGGTGGTGTAGGTACAGCTCAAGATGTTGGCAACGGACGCGGGTGGCAGTCCGATAACCATGCCGGAGAAGATACCGAAGACAACGCAGAAAGCGATGGCATCTGTCTCAGATTTTGCCAAGGACCAGAAGACGAGAGTGAGGATGGAGCATGCAAACTGGGAGCCGATGTGCATGTTGAGCGGGCCGGTTTTGTCGGAGAACTGAGCCAGGGTGAGGCGGCCTACTGTAGAGGCTCCGTTCATAATGGTCAGGAGCCAGAAGGTTTGCAATGGCTTGTTATCAACAACCTGTGGCTCTGGCTCTCCAACGGTGTTTGCGCTGCGAGCACCAAAACCCATGACAGCTGCCCACTAAGTATTGTTAGAAAACAGGTTTCTTTGCGAGACGATTCATACATACCTCTTCAAGGTTGAAGAACACAGGGTAGAAACCGAAGAACATGAAAGCCACGGCGGCAGTGAACCAGCACCAGGCCTTATTGTGAAATGCGTCTGTGTCAAACCAGGTACGGACTTTGGACCAGCTCTCAGGCTTGTGGAACTCATGAGCTGGGTTCGGTGTAGCAAAGATAAAGGAGTAGATGCAAGTCAATGCAGTCAGTGTAGCAACGTAGCGGACTGCATCGTTGAAGCCCACTGCCTCAATCAAGTAGCGCAGCATGGTGGGGTAGATGACACCAGCAATACTGGCACCGCACGCAACGTACCCTACCGCAAGTCCTCTGCGCTTAGGAAACCATGTAGCAGCGACTAAGGGTTGGTCAGCGAAGTCGCGATCAGACTGTTTACAGTGACTTACCTTGTGAACTGGAGACAAAGAATGGAGCCATTCCCAGGCCAACAACAAGACCCTGGGTTGCCCAGATCGGGCCAAAGCTTGCGATAGCCTCGACGTTGGAAGGGTGAACGGCCGAGAGGATGAACAGACCAAGAGGTACGAGGACCGTGCCGAAGCCGATCACCTTGCGGTAGTGGCCGGCATCCAGGAGTCGCCCGACTGGGTTGGAAAGAAGGAGGACAAGGAAGCATTGCGAGCTACCAATGAGGTTCAACTCTAGTTGATCGACATTGCGCAAGGAGTGGCCGACATAGTACGAAGACCAGGTTCCGTATGCGTTCACCAGCCCCCAGGAGTTGAACATGAGGAAGAAACACCCCAGCAAGCAGGCGTACGCGCGCCATGTTCGGGGCCAGTCAGGCTCATCGTCATCTGACGAAGGGCGTCGGAATTCGCGCATAGTTGGAGCACGAGAGGCGGTCGATGTTGACAAAGGTAAGCTGGCCTCGCTACCTTTGCGCTCCTCTTTGTCGAATGGTTGTGAGTTCATGGTGGTAGTGTTGTCCATGTTGTGATGTGGCGGATATTCAATGGGGAAAGCGCGACTAGAGACAAGTGTCTGGCAGCAGGGACCTGTCAACTTTGGAAGTCTAGGTGCTCAACACGTGCTTGTGTTGGAGGGGACGCGCTCGATAAGAAACACGTGTAATGAGGCAAAGTTTATTGACACAGACAACGGGCGAGGGAGAAGGTTATATGTACTGGTTTTCACAAATGTACTCTTGTGCATTTGAGGCATGGATCCGGGGCATGTAGATACGAGTCCGGCCTGACATGAAGGCCCACCCCTCCCCAGCACGCGCGTTCTCGTGTGGCTGGCTCCTTATCCTTGGTGACGTGGTAGTAAAACAGTCCGTGCAGTGATGGTTTGCAAGCCGCAGGCGTACACAAGCAACGCAAGGAGCAACCCAAGGAGGGCCAAGGTCGCGGGCCCACACCATGGCAGGGTCCTCGACTCCGGGAGCCTCAGAGTGATGCCCATTGACGCGCTCGGACATCCACTGTAGTCAGCCAAGGCTGCTGTGGATACAAGCTGGCCAGATGCGGGAGATAGCGCACAATGTGTGTCCGGTGTCATCTTAGTGTTGACTTTCCCCACGAGCGGCATCCCAACCTGGGGGTGGGACTGTACCCACGTCTATGACGACGGCGCAAGATGGAGCAACCTGCTACAAGCTAAGTCGTCCCTTGAGGAGAAAATTGCCACGGCCGCGATAACATCATGGGTTACCATGGGATTCCGCGGGCGGACCATGGTTGGAATATGCAATGTTCTTTCCTCCTCTTGGCAGCATGTGTGACGACGGGCGGCCCTCATAGGCTGAAACAGAGCGTTTGTTCGTTCCACGGATCTAATATCATCGGGCAGGCGCCGCACAGGTGCCACCACGTCCATTCACAATAATGGAGATTAGGGGCTCCTCAACACTAGGCGGAGCGGGTCTTCTTGGCAAAGTCAGCGGGAAGCATCTGCGTTCTGTCGCGGGAGGTTCCACACGCCAAGAAAATCCTGTACATTCCGCCTCAGACATGCCCACCAGTCACTCACGGCTAAGAATGCATCCAGGCTGACTGCAGTACTACCGCTGAGCTTCTGGGCAATATCGCCGGACGGTGGCAGATGTTTGCAAGACGTTGCAGCACGCTCGGCGCTGCCAACACACCGCGAGCGGCGTTCAACAATGGCCGAAAAGCAAGCAGATGTCAGCGTGGCCCAAGGCGTTGCCGACAGGCATCAACCTGCCCAACGTGGTAGCAGCATCGAATGCCAATACCAAGATGGATCGGTTGCCGGGATATAATTGCTTCGTTATCTTGACACAGCCTCAACCGCTTGTTCGGGCCGGGGAGGGATCGACACGCTGTTCCACGCTTGCTGTTCTTTTTGCAACAATCGCAGATAGGAGATGCAGCCGGTCGTCATCCCTATCCTGCAACGCCTGCGATGTGCGGGAAGCGGAGCCTCACCATGAATCATGGTGCAGCGGTGAGAAAAATGCGTGGTACACTTGTCGCGCTGCAGCGACCCGCGCGTGAACCTTCAGTCAGTTGTGAGATACCGGTGCTTGTCCTCCCTCAGAGGTTCCAGGTGACATCAATCGATCCCTGGCAAACGCGTACCGCGGAGCAGATCTGATAAGGGCCGCAATGACAAAGAGCGCGCGGACAACAAGCACGATTGCGGCCGAAGGAGTGCTGGTTAGGAGTGGGAGCGAGGGCGAAAACGTCCCCGGATCAAGGAGACTTTTGCCAAGAGGATCAGCGTCCATCCCTACACGTCCATGAAGGGCAATTGTCGCTCATCATCGACCGAAACAGAAGCACACCGTCCATTTCGAGACGATGATCGGGTGCTTAGCCAAGCCCGACTTTCCCCTAACTATCGCAGATCACCTATACTCAAATCTTCCTCGACAAGCACATCATACTTCGTGCGCGGACAGAAGAAATTGAGTCAGAAGTTTCCCTGTTGTGGGGTTTGTATCTGCAAGCAGGATCTGCGCATGGAGCACCGCCACGAGGCAGATGATCTGCTGGACATCATCATTTGAGCAGTGAGAATGTTATCTGCGTTCTCAAGCCGGCTCTACGCAATAGTACTTCAGGTATGAGCTCGATGCACTATCAAGATTGACGTGTAGCTCAAAAAGACAATGATGGTGGAGAGCCGAGCAAGATACCACGCGTCTCAACATATCCTCGACTTGCAATCGGAGGCTTCAGCATCACCCTCCCATAGGCTGGCTTCGATGTTGTTTTGTAATGTTCCTAAACCTAGCATCTAAGCCTACTTTGTTCAGTAAGTCAACTTTCAGCAAAGCCTAGCCACTGTCTTCATGCATCGGATCTTGATTTGACCGCGGTCCTGGTGTAACACCAACAGCTGGCCGAAGATCGGTCAAGCGCCAGTCGATCCCTGCTCCAGCTGTGAAACCCAAGGAATTTTACTCGGCACTACATATGAGAACATTACATCTGCATGTCTGTTGGCTACTAGCCGTTGCTTCAGCTAGGTACCTGTGACATGCCCACATAAAGTTTTGAAGGGTTGTTGTCAAATGGAATCGCACGAGGTACCACAAACCGACTTGTCGGCAGGTGATTGTTGACGACCAAGACTAAACCATATGATCGGACCTACTTTTGGTCTGGAACCAATGTTTCCGTAGCTGCAGCTGCGGTAGGCAGCTTTGGTGTGGCTGATAACAAATGGTGTCTTCTGGATGTTCGTAACCTTGTGCTCATCACCGTGTTTGGAAGCCAACGCGCCACGCTACCAGTGATATTCCAGCTGCTTCCGATGCTTGGGCTCGGTGGGTCGTGGATCCTGGGCCTGTGTGGTGATACGAATGTTCGCCGGCGCGATGAATAGGCTCTACTTTGCGCCCGTTTCGGTGCGCACAACCTTCCCACCGTCAGGGCTTCCTACCTCCAACGCTCTGCCCAAACACTCGGACAGTCTGTCAGAATGACCAGCCCAGCTCAGCCCGATGTATTTCCCCTTTCTTCGAGCCCAAGGCCCCTCCAGCGCGCGGCAAGCTGTGTGCACGTGCGCACTCACCAGCAACAGAATCACGATGCTGGAATCATCATCAAACACGAGACCGCCAATCCTCGGCACGATAAGTTACGCAAGCACACAAGACAACAACGGACCACAGCGCTGTGCGAATAGACAAATACGGGCGGGGAGGAGCGGAAACCACGCCACAGAGTGTCAGGCCATCAGTACCTCGCTTGTATGCTCGGCATGCGTCGTGGTTAGTCACGCCACGGAGTGGACAAGGCACAGTTTTCGCCATGCATCAGCCCACCGCGATTCCACCGAGAGTCTTCCGCGACCTGTCCGCGTCCGCTCCGTGGTCCGCGACTATGCGCATTTGAGGCCTGTCCGGGATAGCATGGGGTGGAGCGGAGTGCAACAGTTCACGCAGGAGAGTCTGTCTCATCTCCAGGACCTTCGGACAGACCCTGATCGCTAAGAATACGCGGAATACGCTGCCATGAACATCTGGCCGCTGAAGTAGAATGAGAGTGAGTCTAATTTCGATATAAAGCCTAACAACGCCACAGCACTGCTCAGACGCAGAGTTGAGGGCTGTGAGAAATCCGTGCCGCTTTCCGCTCGATAGATTGCGTCCGCTCCGCGAATGTCACGCCACCCGTCCGTTCCGCAACCATGTCAAACTGTGACTACCCGACTAGCAAGGTAAGGGAGGAGCGGGAAACTGATGTCGTCGTTCAGTGCTTGGAGTACAATGTCCGCTGCGCTGCTGCACGCCTGTTGACCGAAGATCAACAGCCACAGATGATGCTAGGCCAAGCAGCTGTGGCGATAAACGTCAAGTTACAGCGGTCATGATGAAATTTTCAAACATCTCGGCTCTGCGATTGATAGGCGACAACATCACCCATACAGCGATGCGCCACGCCGTCCAAGCCCGACACAATACCGTGATCGAGTCATTCTACGAACCCAGATAGCCGGGTGCCGAATGCCTGCTCTTTCCACCACACTTCGGAGTCAGGCAGTCCAGGCCATCGTTTCCGGGTGCCAGGATACGCCGCGCCTTGTCCCGCTCTTCGCATGATGTAGGCCCGAACGTGAGAACACTCAGCGAAGCCCAAGACGGGCCGGAGCAAAGAGACCAAGCTTCCTCGGCGCAGCATCTCATCACAGCAAACGGTTTTTTGAGATGAAGCTATGAAACTGTAGCCTAGCGAGCCGGTATCAAAATCGTGCTTGGGCGCCAATATCAATAAACCTTCGAGCACCGGCACTCACTCTATAGAATCAGCGAGGCCGGATTACTTCCGTTATCTGTACTCATCTCATCGCAATGCCACAACGTGCTACATATACCGCCCGCTTCACCAACGATTTGCCCCGCATCCCTCTCACCTTTCGTGACGTTCTATGCTAGACTACAGCGTACAAAACTATCCTTGAACTCCACTCACAGTGCCCACATGGCCCCAATCCAGCTTAACAGCCAAGTATGATGAGAGAGGGGGTGCTTGACCGAAGCAACATCACAGTGAAGCAGTGTCCGACTACTACACACACCAGCACATAGCGCGTCTCTCGTCTCGTCCCTGCCGCTTCTAATTCACACGGAAGAGTATTAATGCCGTACTACTTCTCCCGTTATAGTCAACTCTTCAACCCACGTCTTACTTCATTACTTGAACACTTCAAAACACGAACAGTCTAGTACGGATGTTTCGTCGTCTTATGATTACTGCAAACACGAGAGAACAAAACAACACTTCGGCACTCCGACACTCCAATGCTTCAACACTTCAGAACTTCAATCTCACAGTCCACACCTTGTCGCGATACGAACCAGCCAGTGAGCCCGTAGTTCTGCGGTCCCACGTTTTTGCGACACATCTCAGCCCATATCTCACTCCAACACTTTTACTTCATATCGTACATCTCACTCTAGCACTGCCCTTCTGCATCTCACTAAAATCATACTGTGCTACATTTGTCACGTTTGAACAAGGCCCATTTGCAATCCTTGAATAGGGGTACGTGTACACATCTTTCTCCTCCCTTTTGGTCGCCACGACATCTCACCTCGACATTCTGCATTTCCACACTCCAACACATTAATACTCTAAGATCACCTCACCCCAGTATCTCAACACACCAGCACAGCGCAAAACAAGACCCTTCCGCCCGCCACACAGCACACGAGCCACCAGCCCGCAGCCGCAGAACCCCAACGCACAGTCTCGATGCAGAGTCCGAAATCCAAACGCGACATCGCAGAAACGAGCCATAGAGCCGTGATGCAGAACTGCAACGCAGAGGCACATCCCCCCCCCCCCCCCCCCCCCCCCCCCCCGCCCCTCCATCCTCACAGATCTGAAACGTACACCCGCCATCGAAGAAGCAAATCTACTCCCGCTGTCCACGAATCGTGGTGCTCTGCGCTGCACTGGCTGCTCATATCGCACCGCAGCGCAGGTCCAGATGCATATGGCGGTGCATGTAAAAGTGTTTGCAAGGCGTGTGGTTAGGTATGGTTGAGTGAGGTTGAGTGAGGTAGTGCGGTGATGCGGCGTGGGCAGTGTAGTGCAGTTGATGGCTCGACTACATTGAGTGTGGCAGTGTGGGATGGTGTGGGTCTGGGATGATGAAGGTATGTGATTGAGTAGATTTACGACAGTATTGGTGTGCGATGGTGAAGGTTTGGGATGGTGTGGGTCTGGGAGAGCGGTGGTCTGGAGAAGGTGCTGTGTCCGCGATGACGAATGTGCGTGGTTTAGGGGAGTGAGCGAGGAAGAGCAGTGATGCGTGGGACACCCGATGATGGCTTGGTCTGCGAGCACGCTGGTGCAAGATCGAGGTGTAGTACGACGCTCCACCGAGTATGTGGTTGAGAGTATCGCACTGGAAAGCAACCGCGACGGCAGCAACCGTCGCCTTCGTCCTCACAGCCCCGAGACCACCTTCAAGCATCATCACATCATACGAAGCACAGCACAAGCAACTCCGCACACAACAGATGATGAGTAAAGATATCATTTCGACGACGCAGCTGCGCCAGCCTACCAAATGCAGAGAAATTGTGTATCCAGAAGAACGCCCTGCTTGCAACCGCGCGCGGGCAGCAAACGATTAGCCCGCCCGCCAGATCCCTAACGCCAGGCATAGCAAACAGCCGCCGAATTCCGCTGGCTGAAGAACGCAGATAAAACACAAACCCGCGGCGCGCACAGGGGGCGCCGCCGTCTAGACATCCGTCTTGGGTGCAAAGTCAACGAGAGAGAGAAATCAGATGCCCTTGATGGCCATGGTGCGCTCGCTGTTGAGCTTGATGGCATTGCGCTCGTGGCTCTCCTTCTTGCAGTCCTCAAGGCCCTCGCACTTGTGGTCCTCGAGCAAGCGGTGCTTGCCGCAGAAGTGGCCGTTGCAGAAGCCGCAGTCGCCGACGATGCGCTGGGCAGCGTCCTTGCACGTCTTGTGGCTGCAGCGAATCTTCTTGGGCGGCATTCCACCGCGCAGCGGCAACGCCATGTGCAGGGTGGCGTTGGGCTGGATGGCGTAATCAGCCAGCGTTGTGCTGGCGCTGCTCAGGTGCTTCCCTGCGTAGACGAGGCGCAGGTCGGCGGGCGAGGGCAGGTTGGTGCGCAGGGCGAGCAGCGTGCGCAATGTGGAGATGGAGGTGTTGGCGGGTATCGAAAGGGGGATTGCTGCGCTCGTCAGTATGATGCTGGGAGGGCCTGGGGCTGGCCTGGGCCATTCCGAAGTTCGGAACCCGAGTGCCGAGCGTGTAACTTACTGGCATCGCCGGATACGGTCTTGACGAAGATGTGCATCGTCTCCTCGGCGTCTGAGCCCGCGGAGCTGACGCTGGAGATGGAGTCGGAGCGGCGCATCATGGTGGCGGCGGTGGCGGCGGTGATGCTGGGCGTGCGGAGGCTGCGGCGACGATGACGCGGTTGTGGTTGAGATAACGGAGATAGCGCCGGTCGCAGTTGAAAGCGGCAGGTGAGGTTGTCGTGTGCTCAAGTGACGGTGCGGCAGCAGACAGGCGGCAGCGGGCTTATGTAGGGTGAGGGCGTGGGTAGTGAAAGGTGGTTGAGTGAGTTGTTGGGAACGAGTGCCGTGGGAGCAGTGCAGTAGCTGGGTTGGTGAAGTGGTAGGAGGGAGCAGGACGGCGAGCAGTGGGCGAGTAAAGGTGACGCAGGCTGGGGCGCTTCCTTTAAGCAGTCCAAGGTCCGGCGAAGCACGCCAGGCGACCGGATGACAAGACAATGCACTGACGGTCGGTGAGTGATGCGCTTGCACGCGACTCGAGCCGGCCTGCGTCCAAACCGCCGCAGCGCATAGTGAGGCAGATGACATGATCGGTCGAGCGCCTTCCACCGCCTTCCAGCTACCCTGCAGTGCCTCACGGCCAGATCAATGCAGGAACAGCGCTACCGCATCGAGCCGCCGTCTCCACGCGCGTCGTGATGGCCTCTCGTCCTCAGTGTTGCGATGCTCCCCTGGTGTCACGCCTGTGCTCGCCCATCGCCTTGTTTGAGGCTCAACCCCAAGACACTACGCCGTCTGCGTATTGCCTGCCTCGCCGAACCTGCCTCGGTGACAGCATGCAGGTGACACGTACTCGCACCAGAGGACATGCTGCAGCGGGCGACAGCGGCACTATCAGAGCGCTGCCTCCCGTTGTTGTGCCACCAATCTCGCTGTGTCTCACGCACATCATGCAGGTGCAGCTGCACGGCGGCCGCTTGGGGCAAGTAACACGTGGACCGACAGCAGCTGGCACTATCGCCACAGGCGGCTGAGGCGCGTGCCGGCGCTGGCGATTGGACGAGCCGTGCGAGGGTAGGGGTGCGGAGGCAGCGCCAGGGACATCCCCGAGCGACGATCCTCACCAGCTCGTCGTGGAGATTGAAGGTGAGGCTCTGCTTCAAACATCACAGCTAGCCATCCTGCTTGACCGCTCCGCTCCCTTGACGCTACACACAGCCCGTCTACCAGTATTGGCCCGGCGCGTACAGATCAATAGTCTATGTGCACTCGGCTATCGGCTTGCAGCGACATTGTTGTATTCCCCAACGTGCTTCGCCGACCCAGGGACCAAGGTTGCTTTGCATTCCATGGGAGTGGTGTCGTACAGCAGAATGGCACACAGCGGGGCGGCCATGTTTGGAACCTGTTTGACTATTTCGAACCTGTCAGTGTCACACACGTTCCAGAAGCGTTCACCTCCCAAACTTCAACGGCCTTGTGACACGCTCGCTTGCGATCCCTGGGACCCTGGAAACCTTACCGACCCCAGATCGACAGATGGAGAACAACAATAGAACAACCGTTTCGTTTGTCTACCCGCTAGATATGCTACGCCTCTATCCTACATCACTTCTGCTTTCGCCTACAGCATACTCTTCGGGAAGTTCTTATAAGCCTGTCTTACTCCCAGATCGGCCAGAATCTCTTCCGTTCCACCCAGAATCGCATCGAACTTGTATGTGCGATGGAACTCCTCAATGTACTTGCCCATGCCGGACTGTGTTATGCCGCGTCCGCCGAAGATATTGGTTGCCCTGTCGGCAATCTCGTGTGCAGAGCGCGTAGCGTACGATTTCAACAACCCAATCGGCCCGCCAAGCAGTTTTGATTGCTGTGAGTAGGACATGTGCGTCATCTGGTACGCAATCGACTCCAACCAGGCCTGGTTGGCTTCGACGAGGGAGATCATCTCTGCAAGTCTGCGGGTGTTGTCAGTACACAGCCAGTAGGTCGATTAAATTGCGAGTCAACTTACTTTTGTCGAATAGCGGGCTGCTCGACGAGCTTCTTGCCGAAGACGATTCGCTGGTTGCACCACTTCAGGCACTCCTCAACGATTGTGCGCGAGTGTCGGATGACAGCGCAGGCCATCATGAAACGCTCGTGGTTGAAGTTGGCCATGATGACGGCAAAGCCCTGGTGCTCCTTGCCGAGCAGGTTCTCCACAGGCACCTTGCAGTTGTTGTACTCAACAAAGGCAGTTCCAGCAGTTGTCGAGTAGCTGGTCTTGATGAGCTTAGTCTCGAGGTTGTCGTCTCTCTCCACCAGGATCACCGAGAAGCCCTTGTGGGTCTTGCAACCGGTGACGAAGTAGTCGGCGAACATGCCGTTCGTGATCCACTTCTTGGTGCCCCTGATGATGTAGTGCTTGCCGTCCGGCGTGAGTTCGGCAGTAGTCCTCAATCCAGCAACATCTGAGCCGGCGAAGGCTTCTGTGATAGCCAAGCACATCTTCTTCTTACCGCTCAGCACTTCGTTGACCACGCGTGTCTTGAGCTCGCTCTCCGGCATCCACTGCAGCACAGCAGTCAGAGAGATGGTCATGCCAGCCATGTTGCCATCCTGGAAGCCTCTCGCGTTCGCGCGCACGCCCTCTTGCGCCTGCACAAGGTCGTGGAGGTAGTCAAACTCCTCGCCCTTGACCACACCAAGCAGGTTCTTGCCGTGCAGGTGCTTTCCGGGACCCAGGCGCATAGCCAGCATGTCGTTGTCCGCCATCTTGTCGATCAGCTCCTGTGGGATGTATTTGCCGCTCTTCTCGCACTCCTGCGCCACGGGCCGGACCTCCTTGTCAATGAACCGGCGCACCTCCTTCTGGAACTTGCGATGGCTGTCGGTAAAGTACGGGCTCTTGAACTGCGGGCGCAGCCACAGCGGCTCGGCGTACGGCACGGGGCTCAGGTCGCCGGGCTGCGGGACAATGACCTCGGATTTCTCGCCCTCGATCGTGCCGATGCACAGATCCGAGTACTTCTCCAGCACCTCCTGGCGATGCAGGTTGTAGAAGGCGATTGTGGCGTCGGTGCCGGCGACTTGCTCGAGGACCACGGAGCCGCCGGGGTGGGCGTCGACGAAGTCGCTCAGGTCGTAGACTTTGTGGTCGATGATACACCACATATCCTCCGGAGTGTTGTGCTTTGCGACAGCATCGCGGGTAAGAGCTTCGCCAGACATAATGGGTAGATGTGGCCCGGTGAATGTGGGAGTGAGTGTGGAAGAAGAAAAGGTCTCCTGCAGTGCAGAAAAGGAGCGTCTCAGGCTACATATTGCTGCACCAGCCCCCAGACGTTGTGCCTCGGCCAAAAGTGTGGGCAACCTGGGGTAGTTCGTGGCGTAGTGGGTCAGTTCTGCCCCGAGGTAATCGTCTGATGTTTGATTGGACACGACTGGCGCAGCGCGACTTTCTTGCAGGGGCTGTTCCGGCGCTATCTGTAACGGGACACATTCCCAACGTCGATGGTCTGACATGAGTAAACAATCCGCCGTCGTCTACCGACATGCATCTAATCAATAAAATACACAGTCTCAACTACGCAGTCTCGTGGTTCGGTATCGCCAAAGATGACAAAAGCTCGAGTAAAGCACTAAACGCCACACCTCCGCCATAACACTTCCACAAGAAGACACCAAGCACCGAACCAATGACACCCCCAGTCCCCAGAAACACCTTCAAAGCATATCTCCTCCCAACTAACACCACCCCACGCACCCCCCTCACCCCCTCCGCTTCCTCTGAACAGCCAACAACCACCCCGCCGACCTCCCCTCCAACAACCTCCCCTCCTCCCCATCCACCACCCCCCCACGCTCCTCCAACCGCCTCAACCGCTCCAGATCCTCCGCCTCGCCCTGCCGCCTTTCAAGCTGTCGCCGCGCGATCTCCGCTTTCTCGGCCTCGATCGCGGCGCGCTCGTGCTCGAGCGATGAGAGTGCAGTGTAGGGGCTTGGCGGGGAGGAGATGGGGGAGGGCGCTGGGCGTTTGGCGGGGGTGGTGGTGTGGGTTGCTGGGGCTGGGGCTGGGGTTGGGGTTTGCTTCGGCGTTGGGTTGGGGTTGGGTCTGGATTCAGGCTTCAGCACACGCTTCTGCACAGGCTCTGGTTTTCTTTTGACGCGTAGGGGTGGGAAGGGCTCGGGCTCGGGCTCGTCGTAGAACAAAACGGGGTCGTTGTCAGTGGAGCTTGGGGTCGTGGGTCTGGTCTTGTGTCGCTCCGTGGGTGCTGTCCTTGTGGGTGGAGGCTTGTACTCGAGCTCGTTGTAGTACGCGTCGTAGAGGGCCTTGCTTGGGGTCGTTGATCTGCCCTTACGCGTTCCCGCGTGTGCGTTCTTCGTGGTCGTGGGCTTGGTGATGCGGTTTGGGTGTGTCTTTGCCGGCCTGGTTTGTTTTCTGGGTTTGGTGATGGCGGGGACCGAGAAGATTGAGCGTGCTGACGGCGGGGCGGAGGGCTTGTAGACCATGACCTCAGCATCGGACGAGTCGTCGATTGTCATAGTGTCAGATATGACAGTAGGGCTGTTGACGTATGATAGGCCTTCAGGGAGCTTGGCGGGCGGATGGATGTCGAGCAGCTTCTCTACACCTGTGACCGTGTCAGCGAATGGCTATCAGATCTGGTGCCTCCTGCCTACCTCTAGCTTTCTTGACGGCATCTTGAATCACAACAAGCGCGCTCCTCAACGTCTGCTTCGATTCCATGTCAAACGGTCCTTGGAACCCCGCAGCCTCCCTAAATATATATCGCACAAGCACAGTCAGCTGCTCTTTGCCTTCGCTATTGCCCTTCTCCGCCAGAATGCTGAACGGATACATGTTCACCGGCAGACGATCAAGGTACGCCGCCGCCGTGGATCTGTTTGAGAGGAAGCTGAAGTGGACGTACTCAATATCGTCTGGCTTCAGCGGAGACGACTTGAGTCGCGCCCAGCTCTGAAAGTTCGCCGTCTCGCCGAGAAAAAGCAGCTTTCTGTCTTCAAAGTATGCCTTGTTGTCCGAGACAGCGAAGATATATGTGCTTGGCTCTGGAAGCAGGTCGAGAGTGTCCGCAAGCCCCGAGTGTGCGATGAAGCTGTCGATGTCTTGAAGGTGGAGGGATCGCGATGGTCCCAGGAGACTGTCGTTTGCATCAACAGTACCCTTCGTGGTCTTTAGAATGCTCTCGTCCGGAAGCGGACTTGCCATCTGTTTGACCGTGTCGCTTTTGTTGCCACTGTTGACGATGCTCGCCTGAGCCTCAACAGGCTTACCGATATCTTGTGCATATTAATACTGATTGAATCTACCTAGATATGATGAAAATGACTACAAACCGGGAGCTGCCGAAGCACGGTGTGTGGACGCTGCAAAGTGAGCCGGGTGAACCGGCGTATTGCCAGTTGTGGGCACTTCAATGCGACCACGCCGCTCTTCTTGAGAGGCATCTGCCATGTTGTTGTGAGTAGAGGTCCGCGTGGTGTGGAGCGTAAATGCAATGCGCGCTTTAGCTGGAGAGAAATTTATTGGCGCAGGTGGGCCCGTTAGTCAGGTCAGCCATAGGAGTGAAGGACGAAACTCGAAATACCATAATAGGTGCGCCGCTTCACTCACGCTCATTCTCAGTAAGGCAATGAGATTTACGATAAAGGCATCTTCAGAAAAGGTGAATTGCGACTACAGAAATACTCCCCGGAACTCAGACACTATGGTATACCGATATGTGCCACCCTCAACGCCATGCTATGCTTAAGAAAGACCAAATGTACCCCATAACAAGCTTCTTCCACGACATCTAAAGCCCTTCTAGACACTCCTGTACAACCGCCTCCACCATCTTTAGCCCATAGAACCCAGACACTCTAGCATACACACCCAATCTTTTCTTAACCTCGCCACGATCCCTTGTCCCTACCCACTCGCCCGCGCAAGCACAGTGCTCCATGAATTCATTGCTCCTCAGCCTCTTGCACTTGGCGCATTTGAGATCCTGCGTGCACCACTCAAGCACGCACCTCTGCACATCAGCAACCAGTTGCTCTTCAATGCGCAGCCTGTTGTACGGAGCACCACAGACGTCGTTCTCGCACTTCCACTTGGGCAGTACGGCGGGCGCATCGCCGTCAACGATGGGAGGGAGGAGGGTTGCGTCGCGGCACAGGTCTAGGTCGCGGCTGCTGGTGCACTCGTCGCAGACGACGCCTTTCACGACAAGTGACGCGGAGGGGTTGGCGAAGGTGGCTTCGGCGCTGAATTCGCGGATTTCGAACAGATGCAGAAGCTCCTTGCGGAGGAGTCGCGCTTCGAGGGATATGGCTCGGTCGAGGGACAGGACCTGGCATATGCTCTTGACGAGCTGCAGCACAGGATTCGTAAGATTGAGGTGGGAGCCTGGGAGAGACGGGAACGTGTAGTCTGCTGCAAGCTCGGGGTGTAGAATCTCTGTGTGTTGTCGGCGGAGGAGAGTTGAGATGTGCTTGTACAGGCCCTTCGTGAAGGTCTTGGGCAGGATTTGCGTCTTTTCGTCTGGGTCGATTGTGAGAGGTCGCAGAGGAATCTGCGTAAGGCGTGGCGTCGAGCCGTCAGGTCCTGGAGTAGGACGTTTCCGCGCATGCATGAGGTCAATAAATTCAAGGACCCACTGCTCAAAAACTGGCTGCAGGGTTGGAGGCAGGAAAGTCGTCAGCTGCCAGCACATGATGTCGTCCAGCGTCTGTTTGTCTTCCTCAACGATGGTAGCCGTGCCTCGACCACCGTAGTTGAAAGCATCGTACCACACGAGATAATCCCAATACTCCTTGATCTCCAAGTCCATGAATTGGAACAGCGGTTTCGCCTTGATGGTCTTGATGATATATTGGCTGTACGCATATGCGTTGCCGACCTCAGCTTTGGTCGTCTGCAGCAGCAGCCGGTTGGGTGAAGCAAACACGATGTGGCTTCCTACGCGTTTAAAGTCGGACATGAGTTGCTGCAGCGTCTTCTTGCTCATCATCTGCACATAGTAGTGCAGACTGCGGTCGTAGAGGAACGAACCTGGCGAACTGACCCATCGAACGAGGTGTTGCACCATGACGTCTGCCATGCTGTACCCATTCCCTGCGCCCATAGCCTCAACCCACCACGCTTTCACCATCTCACGTAAGACGGTAATACCGGCAGACGCGAATGCGTTGTCAGAGTAGATGGTGTTGGTGCCGTCATCCGCTGAATCAAGTGGCGCCGCAGGATTGAACGACACACTGTCTGCGCCTTCGAGGTCGTTGACTAGCGCAGATGAGAGGATGGTGTTGATGGCGAGGTTGCGCAGATTTAAGTCGATGCAGACCGAAGAGTATGTGCCAGGGTTGTTGATGGATGGCATTTCGACTGTCTCGAGAGGGCCGAGGATATCGTCTTTTTCATAGCCAGCATGATCGGGTTTGGCCTGACCGGACCACCAAAGGATGACTCGATCCTTCTGCAGACGTCGAGCATAAGCAATGTCGATGAGGAAGCGCGGATCGTTGCTTTCCAGGTTACAAAGTGGGATGTCACCGTAGCGCGCAAGCTCCATCAGGTGAGATGCCCATGAGCCAAGGTCGAGATAGTGGCCAACGAGGCGCTTGGCGATGAATGACTGCCATCCAAGGGGAGGCAGTTGCTTGTCTGACTCGTCTGGATGCAACGACAGGATTGGTAGATCTTTGAGAATGGGAATATCGTGGGACAACAACTCCTGGTTTGGTGATTGCATAACAACGACGACTGGCTTGCTCTCGTCTGTCTTCATCTTCTTGATCATGTCGCCGAGTTCCAGTAAGGCCTTTCGTCTCGTAGTAACGACCGTCGTCTTGAAGTGGATATCGTCTTGATATTCGATAGCCGTTTGCCATGGCTCGCCTTGAGCGTCTTCCATTCGGCGTTGAAGTGCATCGGTGTATATCCTGTCGACATTAGGCATGCCTTGAGGATCCTTCGTTTTGTTTTGGATGACGATGTGTGCATCGCTCTTCGAAGTGGAGAAGACCGCGTAAATGTTACGATCTCCACTACTGACATGGTAAACGTAAAGGTAGGTGAACGAAGCATCAGCGAGGTACGACTTCTTTGAAGGAATCTTCCGCAAGGCGGATAAATCGAAGCCCTGTTCTAGACCTCTACCAAGAACACCCTTCTGCGACTCATCAAATGTGCAGGTGCTGCCTAGCTCGAGGATGGCGCGAATGTTGAGCGGTACTTGCTTCTCGTACACGCCCTCGACGCTGGGGTGGTTGAAGAGTGCCGAGATGATGTTAGCTTCCTGGACGTATGTTTGCTCGGACATCTGAAGTTTGAAGAGATGGATAGATGGATGTCCGTTCGGAAGAGTATGGTTCACAACCTTCTCCACGGAACACCCACTGATCGACACGTTGGGAAGATCCTCGCTGCGAAGGTTGAGATACAGTTGACGCGGCACCACGATCTTCAGCGTGTGGATCTTCTTATCGATCAAGACAAAAGCCTTGACCTCTCCAGGAGTCTCAGTTGGCCGTAGCTGGATAAGCTGCCAGGTGCTGATGAACAACATCTCCGCCTGGTTCCTGAAGAGCGTACCAATGGCGTCCGAACTATCCACAGGTTTCTCTCCGAACAGCTGACGCCTGCGTATTCTTGCTTGTCGCTGAATCTTCCACTTCTGCTTCTGGTACATGAGCCAACCAGAGTAATCCTTGGTGATGTCAGGCATGACCTTCGGCAACGCAGCGTACGGATCTGTCTGGACAGGCACGGCTGGTTCAGGTTCCTTCCGCTTAGCGACCATTTTCGTTGCGGCGCCTCGCTTCATCTGCGGCAGCTTTGGCGTACCAAAGTCCTCGAGGTCTCCGGAGAGCTTGTTGTTGGCGATGTTAGCATCACCATTTGTCAAGGCTTTCTTGCTCTTGGTGAACATGTCCGTCATCTTGGTTTGCTGAAATTTGTCCTCCTTCTGACGAATCCTTTTGGCCAGCCAGTCGGGATGAGGCACCCTAGGACATGGATTCTTGACCTTCTGTAAAGCCGCAGGAATGGTGATGAGCTTCTGGATGACGGATGCCAGACGCTCGCGGTAGTAGTTCCAATCCAGAATGCTCCTGATGTCCATCTCACCCGGATCTTCGCGCATCCATTTTCTAAGAAAGTAGCGCTTGACAGAGTCTTCGGCAGAGAAGATGGACAGGGGAATAGCACGCTCTGTGACTGGAGCGTTTCGGGGTCGCGAGGAGATGATGTACTTGCAGTTCAGGCCTTTGTCCTTCACCATCTGCTCCCCCAAGAACTCGGCAAGGCGCTTGGCGGTAGTGATAGCAGTAGACTTTTGCGCTCCGTACTCTTCTAGCGTTTTGGTCATGTTCTTGTTTTCAACAATGAGATCAACAAGCTCTTCGTCTGCTAGTGTTGCACCGCGTGTATCCAGGATGTCGAGCCAACGGTTGGCAACATTTGCAACGGCGCCGTATGTCTCTTCAAGCGTAGTGCCCTCCAAGAAGAACTTGAAAATTTGCGATTGGAAATTCTTGATGAGCTTTAGTTCACCACGTCGCTTCACCTCAAATCCCTTTAGTTCCGCAAGACTGCCATCGTGGTTGAATACAGCGTAGCGCTTCTTCAAGTTCTTGTCTTCCTCCTTTGATGTGGGCAGAATCATAGCTCTGTAGGGACCATCGACTTCGAAGAAGATGGTGTTGTCGCTATGTTTATCGTACTTGAATGTTTGCGGATCTGTGAGTGTTTCGTACTGATGGTTGGTGAACTGTTCGTGGACCAGGTGGTTCAACATTGTGCAGGGGTAGGAGATGGTCATTTTCTTGCCGTTGCTCATCTTGAACGCAAAGTTCTCAGGGAACGTTGCGGGCAGAATGGCCCAGATACCATCAGTATCCAGTTCCAGCGGTCTTCCGACTCGTTCGACCAGAGATCGGGCAAGCTGAATAATACGCGCACCCGTCAAACAGGTAACACCAGCCATCTCAAGTGAGTACCAACGTGAACCTTTACGCATGACGTAGCCGTAGAAGGAGTTCAAAATAACCTTATGCGCCAACTGCATAGAATCGAACAAGACGACCATCTTCTTTGCGTCCTCGATCTGCGCAGCTGATGCACCAGCTTTTTTCAAATCCTCAGTCTTGCCCTTCCACACCTTCTGTTTGCCTTTGAAGTCATAGCGTCGATCACGGAAAGCTACGACTGTATCAACGTAGAAGGGATTCTCGCGCTGGCAGATGATTGCTTCGCGCTCTATTGTCGTTTGGTCGTGAATCTTGTGGTAGATCTTCTTCGAGTAGTCCGTCAAGCGCTTCCTGACAAGTGTAGCTTGCTCGTCTACTGGAAGTTCCTGGAATGTTCTTGTCACAGAGTTCGCATACTTCCCGGGAAATCGCTCGTTCTCGAGTGCATTCCGCACCATATTGTATTCGTCGCGTTTTGCTGGGAGGTACTCGCCTCTCCAGGCCCACGGCATGCGTCGATCACACGTTTTTCCAGGTCGGTTGAAGTCGCAGGCTGCACAGTTGGACTCCTGAATCATCGAATCGGGTTGCAGTCGGTTCGTTGTCATGATGTTCGGGTACATAGACGCGACGTCCAGATGGTAGATGAGTGGTCGTTCGCTTCGATTTGGCGTTTCCTTGAGCTGCATCAGCTTTTCGATGATTTGACCCTTAATCTCCTCGTAGTTTGTGACATCCTCTAGTTTCTTTTTCTCCTCGACTGTGATGCTAAACTTCAGCGCCGCATCGAGATCCCGGATCAGCTCATCAATAGCTGTGGGATCTACTGCGAAGTCGTAGGGGATATCACTGCGGAACACGCCAGCTTCGATACTCTCGACGTGACCTCCGACGTATGTCTCAGACTCCAACAGATGGCCATCCCAGAAGGCTTCCTTAGGTGCCTGATGTTTGTTCGGAAGAACGATGCCCTTTTGGTAGGCTTCCACCATTAACAACATCTCGCAGAGGGTACCAGTACCCTTTCGAAGCGTATCATCCGGACCCAGCGGGATGATCTTACACAAAGCGAAGATGAAGGGGTGCACATATTTCATGTACAGATAGTATGTTGCAACAGCGTCGGAAACCGAGTACTCGGCGAGTGTCTGTGGTCGTTCAGAGGCGTAAGGTGTCATCAGTTCAGGGTCCAGCTCGTCAGGATCGTAGCCTAGCTTAGCCATAGTCACAGCCTTCAGGCCACGACTACCTTGAGGTAGGTAACTGTCTCGACTGACCCAGGCGAAGGCGTCCATGTGTGCGCAGTAATCAGACTGGTAGATGTCTTCGCTGTTTTTCCGGAAGCCAATCTCTTGATACATGTCGATACCCAGCACACTGGCTCTTGCCTCCACGAATGGCCAATCGAAAAAATCTCCGTTGTATGTGACCATGACTGTCGGCCTGGCTTCTTTGATGTGCTCAAAGAATCGTTCAATCAGACCTTTCTCATCCGGCTCATTGAAGATCATGAACGGTCCCTGGTATTCGGGTTTTGGTGTGTACTCGAAATCCTGGATATCCTCCGACACTATCTCACGATTTGTGATGAGAAATCCCTGCCCGTCGATCATGTATGAAACCATCATGATTTGATCGATGACAGCGTCAGGGAACTTCAGTGGCAGCTTTGTGGTTTCGATATCGTAGGCCATAACGACGGGATCGGCAGGTGTAAGACGATCCACTATGCACGTGATGCTGATAACGCCATGCTTCGCCTCCACTGTATACCAGTTTCCAATTCTGACGTCTTTATCGATGGCGACTCGGACGTGGTAGGGGACATCGTATTCGCGGATGTCAAGGATGTAATCGCTAGATTCAACAACAGCCGTAAATCGTTTCTCATATTCGTAATCGTCGTTGTCATAAAAGTCCATATCCACATTGCCCGTCGCGACCTCGGCGTATGTATCCATGGCATTGACGTTCTTCTGGTTCTTCTCCACTATCGGCGCGACTGCCCTTCGAACTGCTAGGAGGTCGTTCACGTTGGCGAAGCTGAGCTGCAGCAGTGTTCTCCTGTATCCAGTGAGATGGTTCGGCATGGACAGATCCTCTTTGTCCACCCTCTTGAATTGCTTGACAAGCCCTTCGAAGGCTCTTCGACACCACTCCTCGACCTCCTGCTCTTTCCCCTTCTTTACTGCGAGCAAGAAGTACGGATCGTACTCCAGCGTCGCCTTGAATGTGTCGCCGTCCTCGCCGATGAAGTAATAGTTCACGCCCGATCTCCCGCCCGGTACGTGCTCGTCCTCTATTGTTGTCGAGTGCATGTTGACAAGCCACCCGATCTTCTTCTTGCCGGACTCGAAACGAGGGAAGCCCATGGACTCATCGATGCGGTTTGCCAAGCGTGTGGCTTCAATCTTCTCGTCTTGTGATGTTTGTTCGGTGCTTCGGAGCGACCCAGCGTCCACGGTCTTGCGTTTGTTGTGCCCATAGTTCGACTGCCCGCCTTTGCCAACCCGACGGAAGGGTTGGCCTGCTCGTCGTGGTGCGCCCATGTTGTGTGGTATGTGGAAGAAGAATTAAGAGGTGTAAATCTGGCATATGCAGTTTAGGGTATCATCTGAGCAATTTGAAGTAGAAACGACGCGGGGTATCGAAGATTGGCAGCGTGTATGTGTGAGGTATGAGCGTGCAGAGGGACGCATAATCCTCATAGAAAACACGCTGCACGCGCAGCGCGTTCTCGCGTTTGCGGCTAACCGCATTCGCTAAAGTGGTTTAGCCCCACACCAGCTCCCTCATCCTTGCAGCACTCCAGTCGCGCAACCTCAATTACGCGACAAACAGGTCGCAGAGCTCAGCACTCACAATGTCGACCGATATCGAGATCCCCGACGCCATGGCCACCGATGCGCCAGCTGCCACCGACACTCAAGCCCCAACCCTCTCGCAGCAAACCTACCGTCAAATCGCCGCGTCACACATCGAAGCTCTTAATAAGCTCAACAGCAACTTGCCGGACATCCTCGCTCTGATCGCAGCCGCACTCTCGCAACTCACCAACAACCCAATCCAATCCGAGCAGCGCGACGACTCGGCCCAGGCGCGCGACGACGACATCCGCGCCTTCAGCAGCGCCATAAAGTCGGTGATGCAAGGCTTCCGGGAGGCATTGGTGGAGCAGATCAATGATCTGGAGCGCTTCAAAGTCATTCCCGAAACCATGCCCAAATTTACTGCCTTGTCAAGCACGTCATCCAAATTGAATGCGCAGCAGCAGCAACAACCGGCGTTGACGAAGCAGGGTGCCGATGGGGGTGTGAGAAATGGAGGGTACGGGAACTTCGATGTGGGGTGGCTGAATGCACAGGTCGCGTCTGGGCTCGTGGGGGGAGACAATACTCTCGACAGGGTGAGGGCTGTGCTCGATGAGCTGTTGGAGAGGAGTGGGCAGAAGACTGAAGGGGAGGAGATGGCGGTCGATGGCTGAAGAAGTGAGGATCGTCATTCCTGGAAACAGTTATCGCGAATAGCCCATGCGCATCGTTCATCAGGACTTGCGTGGACTTAAGGGCGGGGCCAGCCTTCAAGGCATATCTCTGGCGGAGTCACCAGTCGACTTCGTCGTCAGGCTACAAATGAGGGCTCGGGAGGACCTATCGTATTGGAGCACATCCAGTGGCATAGCCGGGCTGGACGATGAAGCCTACAGCAGGGCCTCGACCTCCAAAAGGTCTGCTTGTCTAGATACCATAGCTATCCGCGCACGAAGGTACACCGCGGAGTATGTCACATCACATACAAGCCAATACAACCAGCTCAGCCGAAAGTCTCAGGCACTTCCCGGCTGCAGCACATCCCTCATAACCCCGATATCCTCCGGTGTCGTCCTGCAACACCCACCCACCAACACCGCTCCCGCATCAGCCCACTGCCTTGTCTTCGCCGCCAGCTGACCCCCCTCCGTCCTCTGCCCCTCCCACTCCCGTGCAGCAGCATTCCACTGCTCGCCCGAATTAGGATATACAATCATCACCCAGCGCTTCCCTTCCTGCAACGGCTTCAGCGCCCGCAGCCCCGCAAGACCAACGTCATCTGGCGTGCAATTGAACCCCACGGCTACGACCTGCGGCGCGTCGTCAAAAAGCGCTGCAATCTGCGCCAGCGGCGTGCCGTCGGCAATGTGGTCTGCGTCGCGCAGCGTGAACGTGAACCAGGCCTCCGAGTCCGGGAATTCCTGCTGCAGCAGCTCGATCAGGGCCTGCGTCTCGCCCAGACTGGGGATGGTTTCGCACGCGAGCACATCTACGCCGGCGTCGACCAGAGCCTGAATTCTGCCGCGGTGGAAGGTTTTCATGTCGTCTTTTGCGAGCTGGTAGTCGCCGCGGTACTCGCTGCCATCGGCGAGAAACGCGCCGTATGGTCCTACGCTGCCTGCTACGAAGAGACGATTTCGGATGCGGGACTTCTCTGCCGAACTCGAATCTTTGGTGTGCTCTTCAACCCATTGGTCTCTCGCTTCTTGCGCCAATTTTACACTCTTTCGCACAACATCTTTTCCCTCCTCTTCATCTAAATTGAGGTGTTTGCTGAGTCCTGCGAGGGACGCTTGGTAAGATGCTGTGATGGCGACCTGGGCGCCGGCTCGATAGTAGTCCAAATGTGTTTGTTTGATCAGAGAGGGGTTCTGGAGTAGAATGTCTGCCGACCAAAGAGCACCAGAGATGTCTGCACCCAATGTTTCCAGATAGGTAGCCAATGCCCCGTCCAGAATGACTGGAGAATTGAGATGCGCGGAGAACTTTTGAGATACTGGCATATTGGGTATGTTGTTTAGTCTGCTGGATTTTTCGAGGTCGATGGTACAAACTCTGGTCTTAGAAAGGCGAAAGCTACGCCGATTGCGTGCCGATGTTCGGGGTGGAACTCTGGGGAAAGGCCCGACTCGTTCAGAACTTCACTGTCATCCAAAGCCCAGGCACATGCCACCAAATATCGCACGGTGCTACAACATCTTTGGTACTACTTAGGGACATGCGATTGATGAGACAAATGTAGTGCTGTGCATGATGACTAGCCTCATGCAGGTGTGACGCCCCAGCTGCACATCTCAACTTCCAGCAGCACGACAGCCTCGTGCATCCTCCATCAACGTCAGCACTCTCACTCGCTTCTTGACATCACAGAACCATCATGTACAAGGCGATTGGCCGCGGCAAAATTTGCTACATATTATACACTAGAGTTTTGGCAGCCATAACTAGAACATATTGAAGAAAACCTGTCCAGTTAAAGAACACACAGCCCTAGAAAGATCGCCTGCCGCCCACATCTGTGCACATGACCGGAATACGCGATCGGTGCTGGGTTCAGTAAGAGATGCAACGGAAACATTGACGCAAAGCCACGGAAATGTGCTTGGGCGATCAGCCACGTACACAGATCACCCGTGACGAGAATGTACGTTTACGCAAAGAGCGCGAACGCCAACGCGATGACGATGGCAGCGATGGGGCCTTGGCCTACAGCGATGGTCTGAGCCACGTTGATGGGGATCTCGATGTAGGATGGAGAGGGAGAAACGACGGTACCGTTGGCACCAGAAGGCTGAGGGGAGCTGTACAAGAGTTAGCTGGGCTCGGAGACGGCAGCAGTAAAATCATACCCGGATCCAGATGGAAGATATCCTGTGCCGTGGCTCGTGGGAACAGCATCAGTGGCAGTGTCAGTAGATAGGCTACCTGATGGTGAAAACCCGGGATAGTTGAAGCCGGAGCTGGTGGCCGTCACGACAGGATATCCATCAGATGCAGTCGTCAGGGTGTTCGACTGTGTGATGGGAACAGATCCAGATGAGTAATTCTGAGGGGCGCTGGGTGTGCTTTGGACGGGAAGTGCGGTGGTTTCAGGAATGTAAAAGCCGCCCGAGGACAGCTCTGATGCACTGACGCCAGAGGGAGCAGGTGCAGAGTCTGTATTTGTGCCAACCGGGCTGGTGTGGCTAGCGCTGCCTGGAATACTGGACTCTGGATATCCAGACGTAGGAACAGCATCAGTTGCAGTGTTAGCAGGCGAAGACGGTGAACCAGGACCGCTTGATGGCGCAGAACTGGAGACTGAGTGGCCAGAAGTGGGCAGGATATATGTGACTGTGTAGCTCGACGCTGACGGCGAAGCTGGTGCTGATGCTGAGTCCGATTCTGGCAGTTGTGAAAAGCCAGGAAGAGTAGCGGCGCCAGAAGTGGGAATTGAGCCGGTATTGGTGGCAATCGAGGGCGTAACGGCTCCACTCGAAGGGCTAGCACTTGGGGGCGGGACTCCATAAGAGGGAATGAAGTCTGTGGTGGGAAGAAGCGAATGTGGGATTGAAGCGCTGGCATCGACGCTGGAGCCGGGAGATCCAGAAGTTGGAGACGCATCGGGGACGCTGGACACAGATGGCGTGATAGCATCGCTTGAAGGGCCGTCACTCGGACCTGGGCCAAAAGATGTTTGCACAGCGTCCGTCGCGGTGTTGCTTGTCGCTGACGACTGCTCTAGACTATTCGATGGGGTAACCCCAGAAGTGGGAACGGCGTCGGTATTGATACCGGTGGTAGGCAGACCTGAGGCTGGACGTGTAGTTGCTGACAGCTGCGGAGGGTCATAGCTCATCGAAGAACCAGGTGCCGATGTACCAGGAGGGAAGGAGGTGGGGACCGAGTCGGTGAGGCTGCCAGTCAGTGGAGCGGATCCGCTTGGGCTGGGCTGTGGGACAATAAGTGTATCAGAGCCTGGAAAGCCCACGGACAGCGCTGAGGTTGGATTAGGGGGAGTGTAGACGCTCGAGGGCCCAGATACACCCGGCAGGAATGAGGTTGCAATTCCGTCGGTACCTGTGACTGGCAGGGAAGGAATTGGCACGCCCAGACTGACAGAGACGCCGACCGACAGCAAAGGGTCCGTAGTCGAAGCTGTGCTCTGAACAGGTGGGGCGAAAGCACTCGAGGAGACACCTGGTGGAAAAGATGTGGGAACAGAGTCAGAAAGAGTATTCGTCACGATTGGCAGGCTGGTGGCAATAGCTGAAGACGGTGGCACCTGTCCGGGGAGTGATGAGGGAAGACCAGGAGCTGAGGGGCCTGGGCAGACCGTCGCCGTCACGCTCACAACGGTAGTCGACGTGAAATGCTCCGTAGCGCTGGCAACGGCACAGCTGATAACACTTGCAGCACACTCAGTGATGGTGTATGTTGACGTTGTATAGACTACAAGGGTAGTAGTGCCGTCTGAGACTGTGGTCAGCAAGGCTGCAAGTGGCATGCAAGAGCTGAAAGGTACTCACCATCTCGACCGACGAGAGTCTGAACGGCGGATGCAACACCTCCGAGAAGGGAAGCTAGCTGGAGTACCTTCATGGTGAGGTACTGCAGTGATGTGAGGTGATAAGGAGTGGACACAGGCTAAGTGGTAACAGACTGGTGGTCAATTGCCTTGGGCTGTAAAGAGTGTAGGAGGTCGGTGGAAAGAAGAGGACAGGTCGAAAGTTGGAACGATATTATGAAGAAGGCGAGAGCGCCAAGCTCGTAGCGTCGATTGCTGGTGGAGAGGGAAGTCGCTGCGGGACCATAACAAACAACACGAGGACGAGATCAAGACATAGAGACTCGCAATTTGCAGGAACCCGAGGACCTACGTCATTGAGCACATTAATGATTTCTCACATGCAGCTCAACGAGAAGGTCAACAAACGCGTCTCTAACACGTGACGGCCTTTTCACTGTTTAGCGGTGGGCAAGGCTTCGTCGCACTGCCCACTTAAACATGTTGAGCCGGGACACAGTTCACTGGATACACAGCTGAATCATTGGATCTCTCTGCTACTAACCAGTAAACTAAATTAGGCTGTTTGCATTTGCGCGACATCAATGTTGCACTGTGACTCTGGAAACGCAGCACAGACGCGCTTGCTCCCCGCCTCGCCGCCGGCCTCTCTTTCACTCTCACTTTTGAGCACTTTCCTGGTCCCTGCGTCACCATTGCACGCCGAAAATTTGCAGCAAACGCGTCACGCCGCACGCGCCTAGCTTCCATATCAAGCTGCCGTTTCCCCTCCTCTTCTGATCTTCTCTACGACACACCCTCAACTTCATCGTGCAAGCATTCGTCAACGCTGCAGCAATAGTAAACATACTTCCAGCTTTACCGCATCACAATCTTACGCTTACCACTATCAACATGGTTGCCTTCAAGTTTCTCGTTGCAGCTGGTCTCGCCTGCATCGCCGCTGCTCACTCCGGTTCTCATGACAGTAAGCGCAATTCCCACCTTCATGTATCGCAAGCTAACTTGAACCGTAGCCGCTTGTGTCGCCCCAGTCACTGTGACTGTCACCGAGACCGTGTGCGGCGAGCCTGGTGTGCCTGCTTCCACCCCACCCGCGGGTCCCTCTTACGAGGCACCTCCACCTCCACCCGCTTCTCCGGTCACTTCGCCTCAGTCTACGGTTACCGTTCCTCTGAGCGACCCTCCTGTCAACACTCCCACGGTCGTCCCACCTGCTCCTCCCGCGGAGACGGTTGTTCCGCCTGTCACACCCTCTGGCAAGGTTCCTTCGTCCGACCTTCCCTCATCTGTGGCTTCTTCGACTGGCGTCAAGACCTCCACTGCTTCGGCTCCCGGTACAACCACCGTCCACTCTACCACCGCTACTGGCCCATCATCGTCGGGTAGCGCTCCCCCGGTCATGACCGATGGTGCTGCTCTAGCTGTGCCCTATTCTGGTCTGGGTTCACTGCTCGCTGCTGGTGTTGCAGCAATGGCTGTCATCGCCTAGATGCCGACTTCACTACGTTCGTCATGGTCAGGTCGTGGTTCAGTTGAACCATGTCGCCTTCAGAACATCTGGCTCTCGTCACTAATAAAGATGGTCTATCGTAATATCGGTCTCATATTTCACGGTACGATCGTTGGATTTGGCGGATTTTGGCAGGACTTCTCTCATCGGTGAACAACAGGTCTATAGCTGTCTTCCCGATGCGCTTTAATGCAATGTGAGTTGATCACAAATTATCTAGCTCGCTGTCCATGCTGAATATGATGGATCTTAATTTCCCGTCTTGCGAATTTTGTGGGCAGGTGATGCCTTGATGACACGTCCCTTTGGCCGTCGTACACAGTAAGTTTGCACTCTGATGACGACTGAATTCCTTCTGAGGGGATGTCATGAAGCTGAGGCTGGTGACATTGCGACAGACAAAGAACGTACTCCACGTCTAGAGTTTGACCGAGATCGCTTTGGAGACGTGCCAGATATTACACGTGTTGACCAAAGGTCTCTTCATCCTAACCCTAGTCAGGATGTAGACCAAAACGTCAGCAGGTACATTGGTGTCGGACTCAGTATCGCTCTCGATCGATGCCTGTGTAACAAAGAGCATTCGCGCCCGTCACGCTCAGTAAGCTTGCGCATGACCTTAAGGACACAGAGGCTAAGAACTCAGTAGATAGTTGCAAAGGCACTACGCAGGTCAACAAGCGTTAGCCGATTGTTTCATGTACTACTTATACCCCTCTTCGATCGGTCCGCAGCTTACTCTCCCCAACAAGTTTTGGCATCGAGGCCTCGTACGTCTCCAGCCTATTGTACGGCAGATTGAAAGCTGGCTGTGCACGTTACAGCACCAAAGACTTCACAAGATCATGCAAGAAGGAAATGAAGAGGATGGGAAATGCACAAGGGCAGCTACGATGAAATGACTCACAGCGTTGATATGTTGGAGCAAAGCTGGATAGTCGAAAGACCTTGTAAGCGACTTTGATTTGCAAGCGGGATCTAGCTGGGGAACAGACATGTGCACCGGAACTAAAGCATGTCCGCAGTACCTCGTGACTCGACTCAGTATCTACTCTTCCACCTCTTCAAAGCTATTCAAAAAGATCTCTTTCGAAACAAACACTTCGGCTTCACCGTTTTTCCAAGGCTGTCGCACCACGATACCCCTCCCTTCCCTGTCGAACAGTCGCAAGAACACGCTTGCCGCTATATACACCGACGGGTCCCACACATCCAAGCACAGCCATTTGAAGCCTGGCAGCTGATCTCGGATGTACGCGCCCAGCTCTGCATACGACCTCTCCACGTCTACCGTGCTGCAGTCTTCTTCATATGGCTGCACGAGAAGGCTCAGGATCTCTACGTTCGCCCTTGCTCTTTCACTCAGCTGCTTGAGCCACTGTAGAGTGGCGTATGCCTGATATCTGCCCCGTGGACACGGACCGGTGACAAAGAAGAAGTCTCTCTCGTGGTAGAGATACGGGAGGGCCTCGCCATGAATCTGCTTCGAGGTTTGTAAGATGGTTACCGAGGGCCGCTCATTGAGTTCGGTATCTAAAGCTGGACGGAGGATGTTGAACTGGCCGTGGGCGGCTTGTAGTACCCATAGCCCTTCGCCTGGGGACTTAAACTGGACTTCTGGGCCAACGCATTTGTAGCGAGTGTATATGTGCTGACCTTCATGCTTAAGGTCGGCACGAGGACATGTGCAGGGATCGAGTTGCGTTGGCCCGGCGAATGTAGTGTTACTTGGGTTGTCTAGATATGGCCAGTGCAGTGTGTAGTTGATGGTCGTAACGTCTTCTTCAAGGTACGGTAAAAGGAGATACGCATAGATCTTCTCGCGTATGGATATTGGAAGGTCCAAAAACCCGGGGCCTGAGGCTTTCGCTGTCATATGAACCGACAGGAAGGCTCACGTATGATGAAATTTGAAAAAGCAGCAGGCAGCCCTGATCAAGTCTACAGAGTCCTTCACTCCGAAGGACCCGGTGGTACTTGCCAGCCAGCTCATCAGCACCACACCAAGAATAGCACGGCACGCAGACCGCCTCTTACGACGTAAGGACGAGCAAGCATATGAGTACACACAGATGGCTGAATCAGGCAACTTCGTCGCGAGGTTGCCAAATATAGCAAGTCGGGTTGCAAACTGGAATGGAGGCGTGAGACCAACTAGCGCAGGCGATGGATGCTGCTTGGCCCGCCTGAAATGCGAGGCTGCCGGAGAGACCAACGAACGTCAGGGGACGACGCATATGCATCCTCTAAACGGAAGCGCAGATAGCGATGTGCTTTTCTCGGATGATGTACTCTTCTCAGCGCATACGCTATTTCCAGCCACGTACACAGCGCGCTACGGGTGACAAAGGTATGTACCGTCCAATTTATTTACCTTCGCTCCACGAGGTCAGAGACCACGAAGAGAAGGGGGTAAGCGGACGCAATATGTTCTAACCTCCGTTTTCCCCTCCATCATCCTCATTTGAACGAAGAGCAGAGTGAATACGAAGGTGTTCAGTTTATGTATGAAGAAAAGAAAAGTTCCTAGGGCCGCGGGCGAGGTAAGCAAAATCGAGATTTGCGATGACTAAACAACGCTAGCATTGTCGTGGTTAGACCAGCGTCCTCGTCGCGCAACCAATAGGAGAAGCTGTTATGTGGGAGTGTGATGATGGTGGGGCTGACATGGCGGGGGTGGAATTTGTGTGAAGGCATAGGGTGACTGTTGTGTACCAAGGTTGAGCATTCTGTTTGATTGGATACTTCATCAACCGTACGTTTTCGATTTTTGGTTCGAGCGTAAAATCCTAACGTGCCGTTCTTCAGGGTTGCTCTGGTTCTCATTCAAAATCTCGCCTCTACCGAAAACCAACCCTAAACACCCAACTCTTCTCCACGAACAACACCTGCTAGCACACGACAGCCACGCGGTCGCCAGTGCACTCTCAACACTAGCGCACACTCGACCTCACACGAGCACGAGTGAACGTACCTTATAACACAACACCCTTTACACAGTCACACACATCGACATCATGTCTTCGGCACGCGGTCGCGGTGGCAAGTTTAACAAGGCCAAGCGTGGAGGCGGCAAGCACTTCTCGAGAGATTTGCAGCCACTGAACGCAGAAGGCGAGGTCATGGGCATGTGGGGCGTACGTAGATCCAAACGCGGCGATCGAGGCACAACAGCTAACAGCCTTGCAGGAGCAGCCCGCAAAAGTTGACGAGGAATCGAGCGAGGCAGAGTCTTCCGAGGAGGAGTCCAGCGATGAGGAGGGCGGCGACAAGCCTCAGGAGGAGTTGACCCGTGAGCAGCGCCGTGATGCTGCGAAAGCCCGCAAGCAGGCCGCGATAGCAAAGAAGTCGCAGAAGGTCCCCGAAGCTGGCGACCTACCGACCTCAGACGAAGAGAGCAGCGAGGACGAGGCCATGCCTGCGAACCCCAACCACACCGTCAAGGCCCGCACGCAGGCCTCAAAAGCCCCAGTCGACCCTGACGCACCACCCGCCGCCAAGGGCAAGGGCAAGCAGGACACCTCCCAGCTGTCTCGTCGCGAGCGCGAGGCTTTCGAGAAGCAGCAGGCGAAGGAGCGATACGAGAAGCTGCACGCAGAGGGCAAGACCGACCAGGCGCGCGCCGATCTCGAGCGTCTCAAGCTCGTCAGGGAGCGTCGTGAAGCGGAGTCTGCGCGTAAGAAGGCAGAGGCCGAGGAGCGTGCGGAGATCGACAAGGAGAAGGCTGAGCTCATGGCGCGCGAGGCCCGCAGGAGAGAACAGGCTATGGGCAAGGCCAACCGCCTCGCCAAGGGCGGAAAGAAGAAGTAAACTGCTGCGAAGCGTTCGGCATCTTTAGGCGCACTCGCCGCCATCACGGCCGTTGCGCGGCAATGTGGACGGCAGAGCTCGTTTTGCATAGCCTGCGAGCGTTTTGGCGTGCTGCTGTGAGATAGGCTGGTGATGTGGCATGACCGCATATGAGAGCAACTCTCAGACGGAAACCAGCGATTGATAGAGTGTATACGAAACAGCGTCTGATCATCTCCCAAGCCTCTTCCGCGTGCCGCAGTGTTATGATCATCAAATCTGATCTATTATGCTTCAGATCAAGCTCTCTCCCAGGTCTATAACGCGTGCTTGAAGCTTTCGTGCATTCTATGCCCGGCTGATCAGTGGGTCGTAGTCATATGCCCATCTCAATGCCTCCTCGCGATCAATACACTCCACTGTGCAGTTCGAGCAGAACAAGTGACCGCCACATTCCGGCATCGCACAGCCTACAGATACTCGTGCATCGTATGGCCCATCATTGCAAGCACACTGATTGACATCGTTAGTACCAATCCTACTTTATATCTTTCAACAACGTGCACATTAGGACTTACGCAGAAGGTCGCCATATACGAATGTATGGAGACTGTTCGCACCGATTGCGATTGCAACGGGGGGTCGACATGCATCAGGTACGTGTCATTCTGTTTCTCCCGTGCATCCCCAAGAGCCTCAGGATCGGCTCCTGTCTGCGATTGTGACTGCTGCGGGAAACCGCCTTGCGCGTCATTCGGATGGCAAGATGGCCGCTCCTCCTCGAAGTCAACGTCAAGAAGGAGTTCGATCATCTTGTGCACCGCTTCGCCGACTTCGATTTCGTCGACGTCTTGGTGATTAGCGGCAAACCAGGCGTCCCATGGGTCGTTGGGATGGTGATGGTCGCTCTGCTGCGGTATGGTACCGAGGACGCAGGATCGTTGTAGGAGGACGTCTTCATGTTCTGAGGCATAGAGTATATCCGTCTTGAGCTTGATATCCTCCAGTTTTGTACTTACTGCGCTGTAGAGTAATACTGCTTTCTCTTCGAGGAAAGGAAGCTCGTTGTCATCTGAGGTCAGGGCGGGAGTGAGCAGTCCAATCTTCACGTCTCCGGCAGCCCCTTGGTCGTATCGACATTTAAACTTGTGAGACCCGCATTTTGTCGACTTTCTTTTCACGCATTTCTTCGGAGCTTTGGTGTGCGCCGACGAACTCTTGCGATTCTTTCGGGGTAGCACACCTCTCTCGTACCACTCGTCGAACTTTTTCTTATACTGATCTTTGCTTTAAGGGGACTTAGTACTTGAGAAAATCGCAATCGTAATCGATGCTTACGTGGCGCGAAATCCGTAGCAATCCTCCATTTCTTCCATCAGTCTCGGACGAGTCATTTGCGGCCATAGTATGTTGAATATTGGGAGTAGTTCCTCCCACTGTGAGCTTTGCGATACATATCCTCGTCTTCTCAGTACTGTTCCGGTACTAAATCCCGCGACAGGCGATTGGTGGCAGAAGGCCATTGTCAAAGTATAGTTTGAGTGCTGAATGTAATAATTGGCACAGTGCCTCGAGAATGAGCATTCTGAGGAAGCAGCACAAGAACAACAGTGAGCATCCGTGAATGCGCTGAATGTATAGCATACATCACACTGTAGCTCACCGGAGTGCTGTGCATGTACGTGAATTTGGTGATTGGATTACTGCATGCTTGTTTGGCATGTGCCACAGATGAATGATTGGTGCCCACGAAAGTGCTTTGCATCACGCCTTGCTCTTGATAGATTAGACTTCTCCGGTGGCTTAAACATGCTCGTCGATCTTCCAAGGTGTACTCCAACGTTGCTCTGCGCATGCTCAAATACTTCTTCGTCTGAAGGATCAGAGACAAGTCGTCAGTGAAGCAAGCCTCTAACGGCGAAGTACGTCCACGGAACTCGGACGCGTACTACCTACCCCATAGGCATAGCACATTGGAATCCATGGTTCCCAGTAGGATCTTGTAAGCACGTGCATTTTGGCTGTCTTGCATCCTGGACGCATCGACTTTGAAGCTTGACTGCTCCTAGCTCGCGTCGCACCCGCGTCATTACAGACCGAACTTACCTTTCATGCGCCCTACCAACAGTTTATGTCTCACACTTGCCGGATCCTTCTACGAATATGATCTAGAAGCTTCGAAGGTCGTGATTTTCTCGTATGTTGGAGTTGGCAGCTTGGAGCGCCCTTCGACTCGCAGCCCGACTGGCCGGTGGCGCGCCAGATTCTCAACCCCAGAACATCGTCATCATCCACCCCAGCACATAAACACCGCCATGCGTCCGTCGATACTCGCCACCACGCGCATGTGGCTACGCTTGCCATACCTGCAACACATAATCGATCATGGCTGAACCCATACCTGCTGAGGAACAATCCAATTATGAAACATTCCGCGACTGCTTGAGCGAGCCCATCATGAAGGCCCTGGCTCTGCCAGCAGAGAAAGAGAAGACCAAGACGAAACGAATAGCCAAGAAGCGCGCAAAATACAAGCCAGCAGGCATGTTCGCGCCAGCCAGACCGCAGGCCGAAGCGCCCAGCACCACCAGCACTCCATCTGCAACCGACGCAGAGGACTTGGGCGAATTCATCAACGTACGCCCGCACTCCCCGCAGCGCTCCACACCCCAACTAAAAACCCCCAGTACCTGAGCAGCCTCATCTTCCCCTCCCTCCCACCCCCCCTCCGCACCCTCTCGTACCCAAAATTCCGCGACTCCTCCACCCTCCAAGACACCTACACCACGCCGCTCTCGGCCTCAACATCCACAGCGCTCCTCTCGACCCTGCCCCCCGACGCCCTCGACAGCCTAGAATCCTACGCGCTGCTGCCAACCCCGCACGACGCAACCGACACGCACAACCTGCTCACGCCCGTGTTCGCCGCGTACTGCGCCGCCGCCACCCTCCCGCCCCCTTTCTGGGCCACGACGCGCACGACCGAGTGTGAGCTGTGCGGCCGCGACTGGGTGCCGCTTACGTACCACCATCTGATACCGAAGAGCACGCACGAGCGGGTGCGGAAGCGGGGGTGGCATGATGAGGAGGTGTTGAATAGCGTGGCGTGGTTGTGTCGGGCTTGCCATTCTTTTGTCCATAGGTTGGCGGGAAATGAGGGGCTGGCAAGGTATTATTATACGGTGGATTTGATTAGGGAAGGGGGGGTGGATGCGGATGAGCAGAAGGCGCGGGAGGTGGAGGGGTGGGTGAAGTGGGTGGGAGGTGTGCGGTGGAAGAGTCGGTGATGGGGAGATGTGGCTCTCGCGCAAGGTGGTGGGTATCTATTACGACGACTTAGAGACATCGATGAATGAACTCGGATCTCTAGCACAGTCTTGACTTGAACCTATGCATCTAACCCCAGCACGCGCACCTAGACCCCATAGTCCGCTCTTTCCACCTCACATTCACAACACACGTTCTCCTCAACTCACGTAAGCTCAATAATCTCAAAGGCCGCTTCGGGTGTCTAACCTCGCGACCCGGGTAAAGCACTGTCTCGCGCAAGCCGTTGTTATGTGGTATTGGCCTCCATGAGTAGTGCTACTACAAGTTTATGTTGGTATTGAGTAAAGGGTCTGCGAGCTTAAGGAGAAGATATGTTCCAGTCGTTGGTGACGTCGGCTGCTATCTGTGGAAGTCGGAATGTCGAATGCTATGGCGAAATGGGCACGAGATGGCCATCGTAGATGCACAAGGGGTGTTGGTGTCAATGAAAGTACTTACAATGTCGCAAAGCTACTGCTGTCAGATCATACGTTCGTTAGCACGTCTTGGGTGGGACAAAGAAGAATGCAGAGGAATTCGTTGATCGAACTACCTAGAATCCAACCTCCTCCGCCTGTGATATCGTGTGCCAATCGAGTAGCCGCAGACAATGTTGTCGATGCAGACTCGGCACAAAGAGACAAATGAAACACCTGAAACCTGAACTTTTCCGTCGTAAACAGATCTGCCGTGTTACCGAAGCTCCACATGCAAGCCTGCCGTCAAAGTTGCAATCGCCGCCCTTCCATGAACGTCCCATCCGTCATCCTTGACCCTAGTGTAGTGTCGGGAATCTTGACTTGGTCATCCTAGATGAACCACATGACATCCTTGAGACCACGAGAGTTGTGCAGAGGCATGAGGGGAGGCACCTCAACGTGACGCTTGTTGGCGCTACTAGTCTCAGTGGTGCGCTCAGCGTGCGACTCCTTCTTGCCGGAGGAGACTGGGCTATCGTTAAGATGAGCCCGAGCACGGTCGGCAGCCAGGTGGGCGTAGTACACCGCAGGGTGCAGCGACACCGGAGTCGTAGAGCGAACGTACTGGTACGAGTGCTCGAAGATGAACTGCTGGATCTCAGGAGCGGCCCACTTGCCCTCATTCAGAATGCAATGATAGTGAATGGGACGAGCAGTACCCTTGATAGCCACATGTGAGCACATGTAGAAATCGAACTCGAACGGGTGAGTGCATCCAGTCTCGACCAGAGTACCAGGGATAGGGTTGCCGTTGCGATCGCCCTTGCCAGCATCGGGGAAGAATCGAATGTGGTGGCGTTTGCCAGCGATGACAACGGTGAACTTCGGAACGACGCCTCCTCCGAGTCGGCTGAAGAAAGTCTTCATGTCACGGACTTCTTCCTCAAGGACGGCAGCATATTGACCCTAGATATGTTAGCACGTTATTGAAAGGATCTTCAAGGATTACTCACTTCGCTAACACCGTCACGGATGTACATGACACGCTCGGGTGCCTTGCCTTGGCCGAGACGCTGCATCCAGTTCTTAGCCATGGGACCGAAGTGATCAGTGATGTTCGATGAAGTAATCATCTCAACACGGTTGCCGTTGGTCTGCACATCAGCCCAGTACTTGGTGAAGTTGATGTCAGCTGAGACCGTGATGGCGGCAAATGAGGCAGCGTGCTCTGATCCAGCACCGGGGGCAGGATGAGAGACGTCGGCACCAACAACCATGGTCGGGGTAGACGGAGCCCTAGGGTTGATCTTGGGAACTAGTAGATGGTCAGCTCGCAATACACTTAGCGGGAAGAGTGTACTTACTGAGGGTGCTCTTTGCGACACAGGTAGCGCCGCCCAGCTTCGCGTTGACCTTCATGCACACGTTGGAGATGTACTGAGGAGATGCAGACATGACGTGCTTGGCCTGGAGAACCTGCGAAGGAACGCCAAAGCGGATATCGCAAGACTTCTTGATGCGGCGGTACATGTCGACGTTGCGATCGTTGACGACGAACAGGAGGAGCACGGGCATGGCCTGGTAACGGTTGCCAGTCTGGTTCCAGACTTTCTGGACTGTGAGATGTTAGTGGCAATAATGCAAAAGTTAAGGACACGACTCACCCAGTTCACCTCCATCAGCAGGGCTGCCTTGACCGATCCAAGGAGTCTTCTGGTGTGTGGGGTGAGAGAGGAAGACTCCACCATGGCTCTCGTAGATCTGTATGAACTTGGCGACGAAAGACTGGACCGCTGGCAGAGGAGGAGCACGGCGATCTGCGATGACGCAGACGCCCCAACCCTTGATGGGACGAGCCTGGTTGTTCATGGCGAACTTGCGACCATCAAGACGCCAGCGACCAGCCACCAAGTCCTGCGGCTTGATGGTAGGTTCCTTGGAGCCAGTACCGAACATGACGGTTGGAGAGGGCAAGATGCGGGCCTTGACCTTGGAAGCGCTGTGAATGTCAGTGATGAGGTCAGGAATACGAAGGGAACACATACTTGGGGTTGATCTGCAGTCCATAGTGCTTCAGATACGGATCGTTGGTCCAGTTGAGAAGGCGAACACCTTGTTGAACGGCGGCCCAGCGGTCCTTGGGAAGGGTAACAGCAAACTTGATCATGTTCGAGGTTTGCGACTCGCTCAGCTTCGTGTTGTATCGCTGGTTGTCATCGATGTGGAGGATCTCCATCGGCATGAATACATGCGACTTACGGATCTTCTTGGTCATCTTCACAACAGGAAGGCCGGCCATGACGTTGATGCTGTACTTCGTCTTGAAGTAGGCAGCGACGGTAATCTGCTTCCGCTGGTTGTCGGGAATATCGCGGCGATCATCAGGATCAGGGAAGGTGGTTTGGTAGGCGTCCTTGCTGTGAATATCCTCGATGGTCCACTGCGTGTGCGGCTTGGTGTGAATGGCGCTGACACCGATCTTCTTGAAGGCGCCGAGTTGCTTGCGCATAATGGAGTTGTACCAGTCCCGCTGGACGGCCTCCCTGAAGCGAGTAATGAATTGAGGAATGGCCATGCCGAACATCTGGCTAATGGCCTGGTACAAGTCAGTGACACATTTGAGGGATGGGGGTAGGGGGAAACAGTTACGCGAGTGAGCTCTTGCGAGCGCCAAAAAGTACCGTTGGCGACGTCAACGTTGACTGACAACGACTTCTTGAACTTGTCGTCTAGGACAGGTCGAAGGGAAGCGAAGACGCCCTTGAAAGCCTCGACACCACCTCCAAGATCGAAACGCTGCTCACCGCGCTGGAAGAAGGACTTCTTGATCTGCGTGTACTGACGAGATGGTCCCTCACGCATGAGGTGGTCGAGAAAGTTGATGGTGTCGATGCACTCGGGGGACCAGGAGGCTTGACCGCTCAAGAAAGCTCCAAGGCCGCTGAAGTCGACTTGTCGGGTCAAGCGGAGGTGCACGACATGCTTGTTGCCACGAGCGCCAGGCTTCTTACCCTCCTCAGCGTCGAGGTCGACAGGGATGCGATTGTCATCGCGAGGGAGGCGTGTACCAGACCTGCGTACTGTTAGTGCAAGACGGTTGTAGATGCGAAGCGAACTTACCAAGCAAGCTTGTTGCCGTCGTAGATCCAATGCGCAGCCGGCTCATTCAGCTGAGACTTGACAGCCTTCGAGCCCCAGATCTTCTGAAGAAGCCCACGCTTGGTGTACTCCTTGGAGTCACCAGAGTACGCGACATCGTACTGGTACACGACGATGTTCGGTGGGTTCACGACGTTGAAGGTGTTCAGCGTGAGCGTGGTCTCTTTGCCGAAGCTGTTGAAGGCAGGTGGGCGCTGAGGGAGCGAGTCTGGGATGGCCATCTGGGATTTGTGTGAGTCAAAGATCATGTTTGCATGTCGGGGACGGTAGGAGTAGATGTCCTGATACATCGTAGGACCGTTGGCAGTAGACATGATGAAGGAGAGAGAACGTCAAGGATACAAGAAAGTGTACAGTGACAGTGTGATACAGGTAGGAATGTTTGGGAATGGGAAGTGTTTCGAGGATGGTTGTGCGAGATGAGGAAGAAGAGACAGCAAAGGGGGTGAGAGCTTTTATGCTCAGCATCCACGCCATGCAAGGCCGGCACATGAGCGCTCAACCTGTACATGACCTGGACACGGAGCAAACGATTGCTTGCATGCATGCGAATGCATAATGATGGGAGCGTTTGTACTTACACCACGAGCTGCATACCATCCACCCATGCCGAGGAACTCCGATAGGTTCTTCAGGTCATTGGGCCGGGTATGATCAAGGACGCCCTGTCCATGACCTTGAGGATCCCGGTTGCCGTCGAACTTGGGGATAGAGAGCTGCGTAGGGTTGTGCGACGCGGAAGAGTCAGAGGGAGGCGCTGCCTGCGGCGGCTGCTGCTGCTGCTGGCGCTTATCCTTCTTCGCGCGGGCCTTTGCTGCGCCGGCCATGATGAGCTCTGGGACATGTTAGCGGTGAGCAGGATTGGATGCCGTATCACAAGGCGTATGCACAGGCGTTTGACTTCTTCTGCACTGCAGATAGCTGTCAAGTCGACGGCACACGCACACTGCGACTGGCGGAAGCTGCAAACAGTGACTTACCTTGGTCTCAGACCTGTGGCCTGTAAACTGAAAGGCGTTGAGGGCGTTTGCGTGCGAGCCGCGGATCGGACTGAGGCTGGTCAGTGAGGAAGTTCAAAACAGCGAGCTGCACACGCATGTGCTCACTGCTGGAAGGCGATGAAAGAACAAGCAAGGCGAAGTAGGTGACTGCAGCTTACCAAAAGCGAGTGTGTCTACAGTGATGTGATGCGATGTGGTAGAAAGATGGTGGGGGAGAAGTGATGGAGGGCAAGCCCGAGAAAGTCAAGGGCAGTGGGGCATGTGTAGTGGCGTCAAAACAGTAAAGGCAAGTGCATGGGCGCCACAGCAACAGTGACGCGGGGCCACCTGCAGTGAACGCGGGACGGCGGGACGGCAACGTGCATGGGCAGTGACCCGTGCAAGCTGCCAATCGGAGGAATGCGTTGCATGCAGAGAGAATGCGAGATGAAGATACATACCTTGACGTCTTGAGCGGTTGTCTGGCCTGCAGAGGCGTGCGGATTGTACTGCCTGCAGTGGTGAATTGTCGAGCCTGCTCGTGTGACAGTGGTTGCGGAAGGCGTTGTATGCCGCGTAGAGGTGGATGCGATGGACGAGTTACTGCTAGTTGACTTGCTGACTGGAGTGTTGTGAGGTAGAGAAGACAAGGAGGAGGCCTCGTATGAGCTGCTTATATGCCCCCAGGACCAGCTCCAGCCGCGCTAGTGACTCGGGAGAAGGTGAGAGAAGACCCACTGATGGTGAGGTTGCCACTGGTGAGAGAGAGGGAGAGAGAAAGGATATGCTGGGAGCGAGACAGCGTGAGAGCCAGAAGATATGAGGTAAGAGATATATGCCCAAAGCAAACACAAACCCAGGCAAACATCAAACCGAGACCCAAAGAACAGAGCGCACAAGTAACATGTAAACAGAACCAGTCCCTACACCAGCCGTTCAGGACGCAGACGTGCCGAAGCACCAGCAAGGACCGTGAACAGAAGCCATGCAGACGCCCATCAACACCGCACCGCATACTCACCCCCGAGCCCGCCTACCCCCAGCAATACGAGAACCCAGCTCTCCGTACTTACGAACCCTGTCGTCTACCTCCCAAACAAATCCAGCAGCCCAGCAGTCCGCAATCCGCCCGCCCGCCCCAAGCCATCCGAACGGTCAAGCTTCATCCGCCCACCGAAGTCATACCCCAGGTCCCGTGCGCCCGCGCGACCGCACCACCACACCACCACACGCCTCATCGAAAACATCCAGGGCGCGTATTACACGGCAGCAGTTGCAAGACTCACAGAAGGAAGCACCCCTACAACGTCTGCGTAATCCCGCCCCGCGTCCAGCGTCGCCGTGGCGCCGTTCCTGCAGCACACCGCAGCCGCGCAGCGCGACATCTCGCAGCCCAGCCACACAGTCGCACCTCAGCTCCAACCCCGGATCCAACGGGGCGCGGAAAGAACGTTGGGATGGATACACGCAGGGGCTGAGGAGGTGCGGGCATGGATGGAGGTTGGAACAAATTCGCTTGCAGCGCGGGGTTGGCCAATGAGGGTTCGGGTCGGGTGGGACGCGGGACGAATGCGAGATAGAGAGGCGAGGTGGAGGCGACGCTGTGGAATCGGGGTAAGGGGATTTTGCTGGGTTGCACGGGCTCTTGGGCTCGCTGTGTGCTACTCTGACATGTTGGTACGCCCTGTGAGTAGGTGGGTCAGGCGCGCTGAAGATTGATCACGTAGGGGCGACGTCCAGATGAGGCTTCACGATGAGATAGATGTCCACGGTGATGAGATATGAGCTTAGATTCGCACGACTAATATCCGTCTTTAGACTGCAGTGGTCCAATACTATATAAGCACGTTTTCAACCCAGTACCCATCTCATATGTTCAGTGGACATGATCGAGACGACCGAGCTATGCTTTGAGTTGAGCGGATGTGCCAACGCCGAAATGAGACCCAATGCGAATGCCTTCCTAGTCCCAGACTGCTTTTCAAGATATCAGTGTGTGCCATGAACCTCCAATGCACGCGGAAAAGAAGATTTGACTCGTATGGATGTGCTCGGAAGAATTGATAATATGCCTGGAACTGCTCGCGGACGATAATGGCGGCGTTCGACAGGATGCTGATTGGATGTTTTGGTTTGGCCATTCCAGATTGTTGCCAATGTTGCTTTGATGATCTCATCTACAGAGATGGGTTTCTCCACCCTGCTGTGCCTTTGACAGCAACTGTATTGCGAACTACATCCGCAATGCATTACGATGTGAAGGAAGTGAGTCTCCCGCCAATTCCGCCGATTTACTGCGGCCAGGGATGTCCACCGTGAGGCGCCGGTGCGCCAGGGTTGCCGTATTTCTCTTGAATACTCTGCAGTTGCTGCGCGGTTGTCGCTGTAGTGCCCCATCGCTGCGACGCCGGCAATGTGGGAATTGGGATAGCGGCGATGTTGCGCAGCATGTTGACCATCCCTTCGGCATTGAAGCGTACCTCGCGGTAAGTGTGCGCTGCGGGAATTATGCCGAGGAGGAAGTTGATCTCGCGCGGCAGAGGGGACGGGCCTTGAGGCAGACCAACAGGAGTGCTGCCGCTCGCAGCCATGTTGCGACGTGCGGCGTCGAGGCGGCGTCCTGCGGCGCCCTTCAATGGTGACTCGCCACGAGCGAGCTTGCGAGGTTGCGCACTTTCCTCGGCGTCTTCGAGCGGGCGTTTCGGCGAGTGTGTAACGACTGGCAGATTCATAAGTCGTGGAGAGTTGACAACGTTGGATGGTGGCGAGGCGATGCGCGGTTCTTGAGCTTGACTGAAAGGAGGTGCGTTGGGCATGACCTCCTCTACGGATGGCATGACGGAAGGCATCAAAGGCATCACCGGCTTCATCTGCGTTCGGGGCGAGATGATGGGGCGCACAGTCGTGGGATCGAATGTGGGGTTCGCGAATCGCCGTGAGAAGCGTTGCAACTGTGGATCTTCGGGGAAGAGTGTCGCCATGCGCTGCTCCATCTTCGTGATTTGAGCCAGTTCGCCGAAGTGTGCCTCGTATTCGTGGAAGAACAGGAACAGAGGCTTGGTCCTCTGCACGTTCTCAGGCTTCGCGGTGAGCTTGCCCACAATGGTCTCAAAGACGGCTCGTGCATCTGAGACAGTCAGTAAATGATCGACGGCTGAGAAAATCGAACTTACTCGTAGAGTCATTGAGGTTGATGAGGTGCTTGATGTATTCCAGCGCAAAGTGCTCGTCCTCAGGGAACAACTTCATGCCGCGCTCGAAAATCTTTCCGGCAGCTGGATCCTGGTAACAGTGGTGTTCGATCTGCGCGCTCGCAACATATGCATCACTGAGCAATTTGCCCTTCCTGCGGGCTTCAGTGAAAATGCCACGGAAACCGGGGACCTCGGAGTTGTTTCCACCCTTGCCCTGTACGCGTCTGGTCGCTTGCATTAAAGCAATCCAAGCAAACGTCAATGTTCTTTTAAGGGTCTGAGTTTGCGCGTTGTAGCCTGCTGAGATGGCATGCACTTGCGCGTTGAAAGCAACGTCTTTCTCTTGAGCCCGCCTTGTTGCTTCAGCATCGTCGTCGTCATCGGCGTCGTTGGCGTTGCCTTGCGCAATGGCCCGAGCCGCATCGTCAGCAGCTTTCTGGGCCTCAAATGCCTCCTTCGCACGCGCAATGGAGTGCTCCTCGCGCTTCTTCGTCTTCGCAGTGAGATCGTAGAGAGTGTCGAGCAGATCCATGTAGGGCTTCTTCACGGCAATGCCCTTGGCAACTATCCCAGCCTGGCCCTCCTCAAACTCAGTGCTAAGCTCAACCTGGTTTCCCTTCTTGAAGGCTAGGAGGCAGCTCTCAGGGTTGGCCTGGATGCCATCGTCCAAAAACTTGTCGCCGTCTGTGGGCAGGCCATTTTCGTAACACCATTCCGCAGCCTCATACCAAAGCTCTGGCCAGAAGCGAAGGGATCTCAATGCACTCCTGTAGATGTGTAGGACACGCTTATTATATAGGGCACGGTCATCAACAGCGCATTCAAGCGGGTCACTCTTCTCCCATTGTACCCACTGTTTCCAAAGGCGGACTTGGTTCATAAACTCTTCATACCCGTCAAATCCCGGCGCAGGCGGCAGCCTGGGTAGTGTTGTTCTATTCAGGCCGCGTGTGATGTTATTGTCCAGGACGTTGATGGCGCTGCGTGCTGTCATGTATGACGGGGACTTCTCCTGGAGGTTTTTGCGTCCCTATGCTTTGTCAGTGTTGTCGATATTTAAAACCTACGCTGCGCCTTACCGTAACCTTGTTCAGGCCCATCTCGAAGCGATCGTAGTCACGCCAGATCTCCAGAGTTGCGCCAGTCGGAATCGACACTGCGCGTTGGTACAGCTTGCGCAAAGTGTCCATCTTCTGCATGTCCTGCCAATTCGTGCCACCGAGCATACCAGGTGCTGATTTCTGCAGTTCAATATAGTCGATCCAAAGCTTGCCAGCGTCAACGTCAATGCCTACTTGATCCAGCACGAACTCATATGCCAGCACAATCGTCTCCCGACTCTTCCCGGCAGTGTCATTTGTAAGGTTGAATCTGCGGCGCACGAAATCGATGTAACATTGAAAGACAGGAACATAAGCGCCATTCGGTACTGCCTTGCCAAACAGTTGCTCCACCCTCGGGAGCTCGTCAAGCTCTGTCTCAAAGTTGATATAATCAACCCATACCTCACCCTAGACTTATCAGCTGGTGCATGCAAGTTAGAATATCAATGCGTACCGCTGTTGGGAACTGCGCCAAGAAGCGGTTGAAGACATCGCGGGCCTCGTCATACTTGTGTCGCTTACGCTGCTCGTCAATGAGACTCAGCCATGCCTCAATGTCACCACGGGGGTCTTCCTGTATGCGGTCGTTGAGGATGCCAATGCGATCCTGAGGAAGACGAGCCTTAGGCAGAGCAGCAGGAGCAGGAGTAACAGAAACGGACGCCTGGCGAGCATCGGTAGTCAGAGGAGCTGCTGGCTTAGTAGCGTCTGGAACAGGCGTGGTGCCATTGACTGGAACAGAAGCAAGAGAGGGAGCAGGCTCATTGACAGCGACAGAAGCAGAGACGGATGAAGCACCCTGATCTTGTGCACTATGTAACTGTACATCTGGTGTGGGAAGTGTATTGTTTGGAGTGTTTGTAACTGAACGCTGCGGAGACTCTGCGCGCAGTAACGCAGGAGCTGCCATCACTGGCGCCGCAACAGGCTCCTCTTCCTCATCCTCGCTCTCATCGACGAACCCACCAATGGTGCGCGGCTGCTTCGCCGGCGTGGGCGCAGCGGACGTGTCCGCTGAAGCAGGTTTCAAGCCGTTCTCACCCTGGTTGTCAGCCGAGGGAGGCGAATTCGAGGACTGCTCGGGCTGGGCAACCTCTTCGGCGGCCATGTCGCCTGCAGGGTCATATTCTTCTTCGTCCGCGGACGCCTGGTCAGCAGGCCAAGCCGCAGCTGGATCATATTCCTGCTCTTGCGACCGGAGGAAGGCGAGCTCCGCGTCGTCGGCCATGGTGTCGTATTGGGGCGAAAAGACTGCGCGTTATTAGATCAATCGCAGATAGCGATGGACAATGTAAGTCGTGGCGCAAACGAGCTGTGTCACAGACAGTAAGCTCTCGTCGCGTGTATCGTCAGGAAGGAGCGGCTTGGTGACGCGCACGTATGGACTACGTCGCAGCCTGTCGGTGGCTACAGATTCGGTGAGCTTCGAGATGCGCGAGGGTGATGTGGTGGTGCGCAGTGCTCCAGGTGGGTGGAGTGAGGAGGATGAATAAAGGTTGCTGCACGTCGGCGCTCGAAGCAGCCGTCGGCCTTGGCGCAGGTGTGGCTGGTGCCGGCGATGTCATCGTTCAGACATAACAACATTACCCTCGCTCGAAACATTGACCCATACAGCAGCTCCGGCGAGCTCGTCTATCTTTTGGTAGTGCGACCGAAGTCTGCAAATAACATCAAGCGCGTGCGAAGCTCATCGGACAGCTCTTGACGCTACCTGGCGCATACTCGACGGCGCATACAATGAATCCTCAAATACAACTCCCCCGACCAAATGGCGGACCTTCAAACTTCGGTTCGACGCCATCGACACGGCGGAGCGAAATCCGCATGCCGCGCTTCTTCAAGCGTTTGTTCAAGTTTCCGCAGATGGACTTCGAGATGGCCATATGGGAGATCATGAGCCTGATAATAGCACCAAAGAAGGTGTTTCGGCAGATATACTACCACGTATGAACGGCAAATTGTTTTGGTTTACGCAGGCTGACTTCGCAGAAACAAACCACCAAGACATACCACCGCCCGGACCCGTCGTTCACCTACCTGCTCTCGTTTTTCCTCACACTGACGTCGCTCGCCTGGGGCTTCGCATACGCCGACGGATTCACGCAGACGCTGCACATCACGCTGGTCTTCATATTCGGGCACTTCCTGCTGCTGTCGCTTGTTACAGCGACCTTGTTCTACTTTCTTGTGGGCCGTCTGTTGGGGCCGGGGAACTCGCTGCTGCCTGGGCGGAGGCGAGGCTTGTATAACCTGAACGACGGCGAGAGCAAAGAAGAGCTGGAGTTTGGGTACTGCTGGGACGTGTCGATACGTGCGTTTGTGCCGGTCTGGGTGTTTCTCTACGTGGTGCAGTTCTTGTGCATGCCGCTGGTCGGGACAAATCATTGGTGAGTCCGGACATCGTAGAAGTTGACGCCTGCTAATGTTCCTAGGGTCTCGCTCCTCTTGGGGAACACGCTGTACGTGTTTGCGCTCACCTACTATTTCATCATCACTTTCCTCGGCTACAACGCGCTGCCGTTTCTACACCACACCGAGCTTCTGCTTGTCCCAGTCGCGGTGGTGACGATATTGTGGTTCATTTCGCTGTTTGGATTCAATATGGCGAAACACTTTGCGCCGGTTCTGTGGGCGGGCGCCAGGCTGCGGAAGCAGGTAGGGTGAGGGAACGTATTACACACTATCATCAAAAGAATTTCTGGGTCAAGACAGCATGGCGAATCTATTAGCATCTCTAGCGATTCAGCATTCTCGGCGTTAGTAATGGCAGCACAGCAATGCACCTTTCGCTTGCAACTACCACATGATCAGATCCAGTGAACTATCGAAGCCTGCATGAATGCCAGACTGGTCCAATGGATTAGTGTTTGTAATAATTGCCCACCCTGACCAACAACGTCGTTGTCTTGGAAGCCAGTAGGTCGAGATCCTCACGTGACACAATGTCGACCTACCACCAATTCGACTATCAAACCACCAATAATCCCGCACCACATCTCCACCCCATCTCTAACGCCCCGCCAACCTGCATCGAAATATCCTGGCACACCAACAAAAGCCCCCAATCCGCCATCTCCCCACAAACTACCTCATCACTTTGCACTCAACCCACCTGCCCTCGGACGCGCTCATATCGTATCTTTTCGACATGCCCGCTTCACATCACCCCAGCGAGTAGGTATCATCATTTTCTTGTTTCTATGCCGTCGGAGCCCGAAATACTCCCGGCTGTGCGATTGCGTAGTCCCCACCAAGTCTGTTCCACGCACGAACACTCCGCTCACCCGCAACACACTGCTCCGTAGCTTGAATATACTGCTGCACGTACGGTCTCGTATAAACGTTCTGTCCAACTGTCACTGAATTGCTCGTATACGTAGTGGATCCAACTGCAGATTGCCCATACCTCAAAGAACCAGTCTTTACTGCAACCCCAGTTCTCTACCCAGCATAACCGATTCGGATCCTCGGCAGAGCGGAAGACTTCAAGCGACTGGAAACCCTCCTCGAGTGTTATCTGCTGAAGCATGGTTTTGTAGTGCGACAGGAACTCCTCGATCCGTTCGGGCCGGACGGGACATTCGACGAACAACGTGAAGCCGTTTTGGTTGGAAGACGAAGACATTTTGGACCAAGCTGGGACGTACTGGTATTCAGTTGCAATGGGTATCATTAGCATTATACATACATGTCGTAAGGAGCCGATGCTTCCCAGTTGATGTCTTCCGTTAGAGCACAATTAAGTCCGACCGCAGTCTCACCGAACTCCACAACAACTGGATGACACAAATACCTAACTTGTACAAGTACGCCCAGAAAGCTCCGGTCGATCCCGCCCGGCACTTGTTCCACAGTGCGATGGCTAGGCTTCAATGTGGTCTCAAGTAGCTAGCTAGGTACAGAAGCAACGCGTTACTGGTATTCCCCGGAGCTAACATATCCTATATGGGTAGCTTGTGCAGCATACACTTCGTACTTCATCAAAATTCGTCAATTCATCTTTCCCGATTACTCATCAACATCCCGACTGTATAGCTCTGATAGTACACAAAGGAGCTAGCGGCCATAATGGGTTGAGTCGCATGCCTTAGGAAGCTCGCGGAACGGCGAGTACGACGTTGAGTGGCTTCAACAAAAATGAAACACAAAATGGGCCTGTCTCCAATGCCCCATACTATCGACGAGAAACGTTTATCATCGTTGGTGCTGGTTTGAAGTGAATACAGCAAGCCAGCACTCTTCTTAAAGATGGTTCTCACACTTAGAGACACCCAGATCTTCGATGCTCTGAACGTTTAAGGAGGTGCACGCCGATCCCTCTGGAGATTGCTTCTCTTCGCCTCTGTTCGTCGTAAAGTAAGGTCGAGCCAGCAAGCAAACCGATACTGCACCAATGCCCCGATCAGACCACTCCCAGCATTCCCTCATGGCGTATCTGGTACAGCGACACTGGATCAGCAACCCCGTCTGGCAAGCGTAGGTGATGAATCGCATCGCCGTGGGACCTGATATCAACGTCGTGCAATGCTTCCTTCTCCAGCCGCAGGTAGCAGAGCCCAGCGACCTTCTTCCAGGACGCGACGACATCCTCAGGGAGCTCGAGGTTCCATGTGCCGCGCCATGTCAGTGTGGCCATAGCGCTGGCAGTGTGTCGCTGGTACATCAGCGCGCAGGCGTGTCTCGGCTCGCTGTTCCAGAGCACCATGGTGCTGAGCCGCGGCATCGTCAGTGCAGTCGTACTGGCGTTTCGCAGCAGCGTGTAGATGTGTTGGCGCGGAGCCCTGCGAGCCAGTGTTGATGCTGTGAGGGTCAGCGACTGCAGGAGAGGCCAGGGACACTGGCACAAGGTGAAGAACAGCTGGGCGTCGATCATGTGTGAAATAGATAGGTGTTCCAGATGAGGGCTTCTGGCTGCAAACGCTCTGGTTACCCTAAGAGGCACAGCCGGGATGATTCCGACATCTGAGTCTAGATTCAGATGTATCGTGGCGTTGTGCGATGCCAGGGTGAGTTGGTCATTGTATGATGCCAGTGTGAGTTGGTCGTTGAAGTCCCTGAAGATGGACACTCTTTTGACGTGTTTTGGAACACTGGACTCGAATAAGGAGGCTAGTTCTATTGAGATGTCAGAAGATGTTAGAGACGTGTTTTATATAAGTAAATGTGTAGGGGGTCCCACGAAAGGGTATGATATAGGGTCACACGTACCAGACTGCATGTGCATATAATAGAAGTGTCGTCTAGCACGCCACAGCTCGTACACGATACTTTCCAGCCGAGGCAGCTTCTCCCACAAGGCCTCCAGTACGCGCGGAAAAAGCTCGTGTCGAAGTTGTCGACGTATGCAGAAGCTGGTCACGGCCTGAACGATAGGAAGAGTTTTGGGAACGCTGGAACAGAGCGGAGAGAAGAGGCGCAAAAAAGCTTCTGGATCAGGGAGTTCAGCCTGATAGCCAGCAATCCAGCCGTGCTTTGGGTCGTGCCATCTGAGAGCTCTTTCCTGTTCGGTCCAGTCTGTTGTGTCTTCGTGGCCGGGTCCGAAGCAGTAGTTCTTGAACCAGTGTTGTGAATCACTCGGTGAAGACGCGCTCAGCTCGAGTATCAGCTGACCTGCAGGCTGCCAGGTACTCAGGATAGAAAAAAGCCTTAGGATAGCCTTCCTAAACAGGGCGGACGTCTGGCCGTACGTGGCTTTGCTCCGATAACAAGCGTGACAGCCGTATCGAGGAAGCTCGATGTAGAAACAGATGCGCCGGACAAGAGGCCTTTGTCGGATAACGAGGGTTTCCAGGCCATCGAGACAGGATAGCTGCACTGTTAGTTGGGAGAAATTTTTGGGTTCAAGAACGGCCTGCCATTCTTTGCAGACGGCTGCGCCTTGCGCCCAGCCACGATTTTTCTGGCCTGAAATTTCGTCGAGCACCAAGAGACGGATGTCTGCAGGCAACAAGAGCCAGGGAAAGGCAGTGTGGTTGTGTCTCGTAGTCATTGTGAGATGGAGGTTTCCTTTGCGGTGTCTGTGGGTGTAGGGAATTTTTTAAGAAGTACGACCACCCGCCTACCGGCAAAGGTTCGGGTACGTAGTGTGGGCTGGGTAGGGTTCGGGGTCGCAAGGACTCTGGGTAGGGGTCTGGTCAGGGTTGCGTTAGGTAGGTAGGGTTGTCAGACCTCAGCTCGACCCTTGAGGCAGGCAAGCCAAACAAGGATCACGACTCACGCTGATATATAGTTAGTCCTCAGCCCGAACAGTATACACTACCCTTTATACGGAGCCAATAGCATAGGATCTAACAGTATCCTACTTTCTAAGGCGCTGTAACCCAGAGCTTGCTTAAATGTGCCACTAGACCTTCCAGCAGTTCTCCGCAACATCGCTATACTATACGCTAAAACATTCTCAGCTACCTAGGCAGTCATATTTACACAAATCAGGCTCCCTTCGCCCTGCAATCCACTACTTTAACCCACCTGCAGTCCCCTCACACGAGATGCGAGACTTGAGTGTGATGTGGTGTGACGTGATGTCAAAGTGAAAGCCACGACTATTGAACTTGAAACTACGATACTACCTTCACGACTCGCACTACGTAAACTACTAACCTTGGAACCATATTCATTATTGGCGCTTGTAGGTATGTACGGTCTCCCCTCCTTTTAGCCCGATACCTCTCACTGTTGGCCATGTGCCAGGCAACTAGGATCTTTGAGTGGCTGGATTTTCTGCAACCTAGACATAGTGGAATACTCGGTCTATGTGCAAGACTACAACAACTACTTATGCGATCTGTCTAGGTAACGCCACTCAAATCAACGTGATAGTTGACTAGACTAGGTAATATTTCAGGGACCCGACCACCCTCACCCTCTAAACTGCCTTCACTAACACCTACAAGCCTGCACAAACGAGAGTCTAGGTCTTCGCATACAGTATTCTCAGGTAGCCATAGGACGAGCCTGCATACCCAACGTCTTGCCAACAACCACAAGACTTACCTAACCCGCACCACACAAACCCACCTCTACTATCTCCAAGTTCAACGCGTCACGCCCTCGGTCTGTCTCGACCAGTCTCGCTACTTCGTATACTCCAAACCCAGACCTAGAACCTCCCTTAACCACTCACCCCACCCAGAAGCCAGTCACTCTATCTGCCGCAAATTAGAGCACAGCGTCACAATACAGCCCACCAGCACGGTCACATCGTCGACAGTGACTGTACGTGTGGTTTGCCTGCGAAAGCATCACTTCCTAATCTGCCTCGACGATCCTCGGATCAGCGACCGGGCTACCGTATTGTGAGGGCTGTACCATCTTCTTTGCGGCCATGTACACACCCGGTTGTCCTTATGTTGTGCTGCAAGCGAAGACAGGTTCTGGACACTGTCGTGATGCCTTTGCACCGCGCCACTCAACCGTCGAGCCGACACACCAGGAAGTCTCCATGGGATCCGGAAAGACATATTATTTTGCGCAGACACTGAAAGCGGAAACTCTTACATCCGCCTCCTAAATGTACGACGGTGTCGTAAACCGCATCACCGTCTCGCCTGAACACCATCACGTCTTCTCAGAAGCCAGCACCCCTGCCGCTGCCACTACCGCGTACACGCCTACCTGCCTCCACCGGAGAACCCCGCGACACGTCGTTTGTGGGGAAGCGAGGCTTGGAGACTGGTTCTGCGTGTGCGGTGGGATGGGTGGTGGAGGTGTGGGGGAGTGGCTTGGTGGGGAGGGATATGTTGGTTCGCGCACTTGGGGGGGGGGGGGGGGGGGGGTCTCTGGTGTATTGGTATCTTGTTGCGGTTTCCGTGTGTACGTCTGTGTGTATGTCTGTCTCCATCTCTCCGTCTCTCCGTCTCCGTCTCTCCCCCTTCCCACCCCCAATTCCAAACCAACCCCCCACCCCTCATCTCAAATCATCCGCCCCGCGTCAAACTGCGGCTGCGGCAACGTCTCATTCACCGCAAACACGCCGTAGAAGTCCACCTCACGGCGGCGCTTCCCCATGCAGCGCTCCAGATGCGGACTGACATAGATCTCCATCCCGCCGGACTGCTCAACGCCCTTGTTCTCGCTACTAAGCTTGTACCCGACCGCAGCAGCATTCCCATCACCACGCACCGCAGCGCCCTCCGCAGCACCGTCGGCTTCACTCGCCGCAGCACCCCCCGCCACAAGCGCCAGCCACCGCGGCTCCGCAACCCGCTTCACCACCTCCTCGACCTCGAACAAATCCCCCATGCTAAGCTCATACACGCGCCCACTCCTCCACTTCCAGAAAAACAACACAGAAACCTCCATACTCGCCAGCGCCGTGCACGCCCCCAGCACTTCGTCCACGGCCTTGCACAGATCGCGCGCCATGCCCTCGTACTCGGCGCGCCGCTGCGCCGGCGTCGCCGTGCGGGTGAGCGTGAAGTTCCACTCGACGTACAGCCGTGCCCTTTTAACATGGGGTCGCAGTGGCAGGCGGAGGAGATGGGGCGAGTACACGAACAACTCGTTCTGGAACTTGGTATTGCGGAGTTCCGCATGCAGCGTCAGATTGGCCCGCGCCCAGTACAACCCCAGCACCTCCGCGCGCGTGGACTTGTTAATCAGCAGCAGCGCGGGCGGCACGCGGTGCGCGGCGGGCACGCGCGGCGCGTAGCCGACGCTTGCGTGGCGCCAGGGCTCTGAGGCTAGCATTTCCGCGTTCCAGAGGCAGGTGTGCAGGTCGGCCGGGGGCGTGGCGGGGGGGAGCAAGAGGGCGAAGATCTGGGCGCGCAGGGGCGCGGGGAGGGACAGCAGGGGGGACGAGAAGGTGCTGGGTGTTAGGTCGAGGAGGCGTTCGAGGTCGCGGTAGAGTTGGGATTGGCGGTGTTTGTGGGGGGCGGGGGTGCGGAGGGAGAGGTTTTTGTTGACGAGGGTGGTTGTCATGGTGGTGTGGTTGGTGTGGTGTTGGTGGGCGGTGTAGTGCGGTGTTGTTGACCGTTGATGGTGGTGGTGTGGTGCTGATGCTATGCGATGCCGGTATGATGCTATGCGATGCTGGTATGGTATTGATATGATGCTGTGCCGAAATGCTTAACGCGGTAGGAAATGTCGAAAATGTGAAGGCCGGAATATCGATGCCAGGAATATTATCAAGCCAGAAACACCTCCCACTCGCACTATCCAACACGAAAGCCCGCAGGAAAGATCAGCCAAAAGCCGCTATTAAGTATAAGAATAAGTATACAACACAACAACACAACAATCTCCCAGGACCAATTGCAAGTATCTATCGAGCTGAGAAACCCCCCGGACCGGACAGCGACGCAATAAGATAACGAAAGACCAGCGACGACATAGGAGCGATGTGGAACGCGAACGAGTCATGCACGGTGCGCCAGCCGGGTTTCGGTGCGATGGTGCGGAAGCGGGTGGAGCCGCGCGTCACGTGCGCGGCGCGGGTTTCAGGCTGGTGCTGTTACGGATTGGATTCAGGATTCAGCGCGGCTCCTTGATGCACGAGTGCGCGTTGCAGGTTGGGGCACGGGAGATATGCGGCGGGCACGGATACCTAGAGAATGCGTGGAATTACTAGCTTTGCGTGATGGGTATCTACTCGACTGGCGTTGGTACAGGTACAGGTATAGGTATAGGTATTTCAACGCCCCCCGACCGACGGCGTGGCGCTGCGCACAAAGCCCGAGATGTACAGCGCGACGTGTCTATTACTCGGCCAGCCGCCCCAAGCCGGCACGCTGGCGATCTGCGCTTTGATGAGCTGCGCGATGTCGGCGGGCGCGGCGGGGCGCGCGTCGCGGCCCTCTTCCAGCCAGCCGCCGGTCGCCGCGCGCAGGGCCACCAGGGCGCGGAACAGCATGTCGGAGCCGCCGTGCTGGGCGCGGGCGCGCGCAATGACGGCCGCGTTGTGCGTTGTGAGCCAGGTGGAGAAGGAGTACAGGCCCTCGTAGTCGCGGAGGATGCCGAGGGCGCGGACGTAGGCGTGGAGTTGTGCGGGGCCTGGGATGTGCGGCGGGATGTCTGCTGCGTGGGCCGCCTGCGGGTCGGCGCTCGCGCCCACGAGATGGTGGAAGAGCGTGCGGAGACGGTACGAGCGGGTACGCAGAAAGTCGCGGCCCTGCTCGAACGAAAACGTGCCTCGGTGCACGGCCTGTGCGGCGTACCTCGTCGCTGTGCAGGCAAGATCGAACAAGTCGCCCTCGACGTCGACATCGACGGATGCGAGTGTGTCGAGGAGCTTGACGACGATGCTGTATTGGGTGTTTGTAATGCCCATTGCACTGTCCTTCTCGTGGTAGAGCGAGCTGCCGGATTTGCTGAACACAACGCGCTCCATGAACGCAGTCCACGCAGGTTGGTAGCGCGGCTTGTAGTGCAGGAGCAGAGCGTACGCGTACTCCAGGCGGTAGTTCTCGTTGAACATGAACTGACGGAGGTGCTGGTCCGGTGCGAGGAAGGTTGTGCTGCCCGAGAGTGCGCTCGTTGGGTGGCCGAAGCGGCACAGAAATCGAATAAAGGCAGCCAGAAAATAATCGGGGACCAGGACGGTATTCATGTCGTGGGTTCCGGTCAGCAGACAGCCGACGCCGCCGTCAAAGTCATCCTTCGCCTTCTCCAGCAGCTTGAACATGGTAGCAAAGTCTGGGTGTGTCTCGAGCAGGAACGCCAAAAGTCGCCGCCGAGGCCGCATTTTCTTGATCGTCATACGGTGATAGAGTTCTTCGTACGACGGAACGGGCTCGCCGAGGAAGACATTGTGCAGCGGAGAGTGCGGCTCAGCCGAGACCTCTTTCATGTCTCCCGGAAGCAGAGACGGCGCGGGCGGCTCGGACGCATCGTCTTGGTGAGCGACGTCCGACTGTCGCTGTATCTCCATGAAGTGTAGCTTCTCAAACATGGCCAGGTAGACCTCCTCGTGCGGCGACGCACCCGAAGCTTCATGAGCAAGGAAACACGCCCACGCCTCTCGCCTCGTCCTGGTTGTCCGGATACGCGCGGCCCACAGCTGATTAGTGTGGCTTCCTCGGAAATCAAACGGAAGCAGCGCGCGCGTTTGGATGGTAGGACTCAAGTCGGTGTCCCACCCTGCATACACCTCTGCTACCTCTTCCCAGCCGCGCGCAGCATAGCCTGCCTCGAACATGCGATGCAGGATCTTGGAGGCGCGAGAAGCTCCATATTCGTAGCCCTTTTCGTCGTCCATGGCGGTCTTGCTCTCTTTCCACGGAGGCCACCAGGGACCTTTCAGCTCTGCCCAGTCTCTCTCCTGCTCGGTCTTTGCGTGCGTGAGCTGGATGCGTGCAAGGGCTCGGAAACCAGTTCGGGTGACCGCAATTGACGGATCATACCGAGCCATGAACTGCAGCACACGGAATTGTGCGTTCTCTTGATGGCGAGCCGCGATCATCGGCCGGTGCGATGCAGGCAGGGACAGCAGGGACAGCAGGTTATTGCAGAATTGGGTGATTTCACCGTAGCTTCGGGGGGCGAGAGCGTCACTGGCGCCGCCAATCCCGTGGATTTCGGCTGCCTTGTCGAGAAAGACGGTAGAGATCCAGGGTAACGACTCTGGCCATACTTTGCGCGCATGTCGCAGGACTCCATTCATTAAGACTCTGAAAGCGCTCCAGGGAATCAGCTCCTGCTCGAGTCTGGCGCTGAGGTGGTTGAGAATTACGCCCAGTGCGTATATCCTGATATGTTCTCGTCGGAGGAACAGCGAGAGTAGGAACAAGGGCGGCGTCCTCGCGCCACGCTGGAAAACGGCAGCTGCAGCATTTGAGTTTGTCTCCAGAAGAGACAAGGCCCATGACTGTATCACGACCTGGGTCAGGTTCTCGCGCTGGAGCAGTTCGTGTTCCCGCTGGGTGCATATGAACGGCTCGTCCTGCAAGGCTGGTGTGGTGAGGTGGTCCAGATATCTTGCCAGGAGCGTGGCCACGGACGTCGGCGCGCAGTGTTGTGAGGGTGGTGGAGCGGGGGGTGCTGGAGCTGGTTGTCTGTGGCGAGTAGGCGGCGTCGAGGAGTAGAGGTTGCGAGCAGCGGTGTGTATTGAGTCCAGGACGGTCAGAGGCCGACTGCGCCGGGTGGCCTTGATCGACGTACGGCTCTTCTGCGCACGGAACGGGGTGCGTGGACGGGGTGCCGAATAGGGTTCTTCTTCCTCCCATTGCAAGGTGTCGTGGTGCTCGAGAAAGCCAAACATGTCGTCTTCTTGATCGGTGCTGAAAGCTGCTCCCCTCTCCAATCTGCTGAATGTCGATTGCGCGCCCCCCTCGTCCTCAAGAAAGCCAAATTTGTCCTCTACATCTGCATCTGCAACACACTCCTCCTCGGCCCGTCCAGAGCTGGTTGTCGAATAAGGCGATATGTCGTCATGGGCAGTCGGTGCGCTGCGGGCGTGCAGGACGGGGCGACGAGCTCGACGATGTGCGGGGCCACATGCTGGCAATGGCAGGGACGCGGTCTGATGGAGGCGGGCGAATGTGGCGGCGGGTGCGGGCTGCTGGCAGCAGTTCACGGTCTCTGGGCGGGCGCGGGCGGGCAAACGCACGCATTGCCATTGCGCAGCGAGGCGGGCCGAGGGTCGGAGCAGGCGACACGGGCTACCTGGAGCTGCCAGGGAGAGAAGCAGGGGCATTCATCGACCGCCGGGACCGAGACAAGCGCGCGTCGAGGTCGAATGCAGCGCGAGGAGGAGACGCGGGAAAATTCACGGCTCGAGCAAGGTCGGATGCCGAGGATGTACCGGGGGTCGATCGCGGCTGCAGCACGTTGGAGCGTGTGCTGCCAGCCGCCAGCGATCTGCCTATTGTACGGGACTGCGACTGCGCGCCTCTGCATCTGATCCCGCCGTGCCCTTGCCATCGCCGCCGTCCCGCTGTCGCCTGCCCGCTGCCGTCCAACGCGTGTCGAGCGTCTTTGTGCCCTCTTGGCGCCGCCCTGCGTGCCGCTCCCCATTGTCGCGAACTTTGGCCAGCGACCAGCAGCTCACACGCCGTCACCCGCACCCACGCCCGGCCCGACCGCTGCGCCTGCGCCTGCGCGTGAGATTGAGCTCCGCCGACGCGCAGATCCCGCCTCGCCGCCGCCCTTGCTGGGGGCATGTACTGACCCGCCTCGACGCGCGCATCGCGACCTTCATCACCACCATGGCCGCCGCCAACGGCACCCTCGCCCCGCCCGCCCTGCCCACTGCGCCCGAGTCGCCCTCGATCGCCAAGCGCAAGCACGCCGACACCGCCGTCGTGCTCTCCAATGGCGCGCCCGCCGCCCCGAAAGAGGCGCCCGACGGCACGCTGCACGCCGTGCTCGCCGACGTCGCGTCCGTCTTGGAGGGCTTCGACACGCAGCCGTCCATCCTGACGCACCCCATCGCCCCCGCGCCCGCGCGCAGTCCCTCGGGCGAGGCCGACACCAAACGCGCCAAGCTGGGCGACCCCACCGGCCCTGCGACCGTCGCCGACCGTGTTCGCGCCGGCTCGTACGCCTCGCTGCGCGCGCTCGAGGACGACGTAGAGACCGTGGCTGCTGCGATTCTGGCCGCCAACACCAGCGACGATGCCGCCGACGACGCGAAGCTGCACGCCAAGGTGCTCGCCTTCCAGAAGACGCTCCGCAATCTCGTCGAGCGTCAAGAGGCACGCGCAAGCCAGATCGAGCAGGACACGACTGACGTCGCCCCCACCGCCGAGGCCGTCACGCACGACGATGCCGTGCAGGTCAAGCAGGAGGACGACGACGACGAGCCGGCGCCCAGCAGCCGCACCGTTCTGACGCTGTTTGGCACCGCCCAAGGCCCGAAGCAGCTCTTCTCGAGCCTGCAGCAGCCGCACAAGATCGCCCCCGCTGACGGGATACCCTCCTTCGACGCATCCGTCAAGATCACCCTGCCCCTGCGCGAGGCTACCCTGCCCCAGAACATCCAGACAACCGAAGTCTTCCCGCTCTCGGACCAGCCAGACGAGAAGAAGAAGCTCACCACCATCGGCGACGTCTTTCGCGCGCCTGCACACTTGCCCCAGATCAGCCCTCCAAAGATCGCAAGGCCGACCACGAGCAAGGGCAACACCATCACATTCGCCCATCCAGAGCCGACCAAGCCCAAGCGCAAGGGCTCGCAGTCGTATGCTCACCAGAGCCTCTCGGCCGGCTTCTGGCTGGGCTACGGCGGCGTCGACGCGCCCAAGGACCAGACGTCTCCCACGGCACGGCAAAAGAGCAGGCAACGCGCTCTCAGTACCGGCGAAGCTCAGCAACCGCCGTCTGAAGCCATTCTGGTCGCTGTCCAGCAGGCCAAGGAGGACGCCATGTTCCGCAGCGCATACTCCAGCTTTGCCCCGACGCGCGACGACTCGACTGCCATTGTTCCCGAGGAGACCAAAAACAAGGTCTGGTGGCAGAAGGTCGGCGAGAAGCGCTTCAACGAAGTCTTCCCCATCGACCCGCAGCTCCTCGACGCCGACGAGCTTTCTGAAGCCAACGGCACTGCTGTGGATGAGGAAGATTTCGAGGCGTTGGTGGAAAACTACGTCCCGGCCGAACCCAACTTCTTCCTCGAGTCCGAAAACGAGCACGACAAGGACATCGCCGAACTACTCAAAGACATTTCAGAGCTCATCGAGACCCTTGCCTCCCACCAGAGGATACGCAATTCATCACTAACCACGAACCCTCGCACGCCAGTAGTGCAAAACTCGTCGCTCGCCCAGCTGGTCGGCAGTCCCTCGACGCCCTCCTCGGACGAAATCGACGTTTACCAGATTCTCAAGTCTCAGCTGACGTTGATGATATCGCAGCTGCCCCCGTATGCCGTCGCGAAACTGAACGGCGACCAGCTCGAGGAACTCAACATCAGCCGCACCATCCTGTTCGACACGAAGGAGTACAGGGGAATCATGGAAGAGGACCAGCTGTCAAGACTGGCAAAGGCACCTGCCGTGGCCCCAGTCCCACCGCCTACACTTACCCGCGCTGGCTCCGGCTCGCAGCCCCTCTACCCGGCTGGCAGCACGCAGTACGGGCGACCGCCATCGTCTGCACGCCCTGTGCAGGCAGCCCCGGCATTCCACTCACAGCGATCGTCTTCCATACAGTACCAGCGCTCGCCATCTGGACCAACACAAAACTTCCAGGCCGGCGCGGGATCGTACGCTACCCCTGCGCGACCAGGCTATGCTGCCACTCCGAGCCACAACCTGCAGACACCCCGACCAGGTGGCCAGTACTACCAACAACGCCCCTCACAGTCAAGTAGCTACGGCGGGGCTGCAAGCTCACAGTTCTACCAAGGCACCCCCCAAACCCAAGGCCAGAACCGCTACACCACCCAGCAGACGCAAAACGGCTACTACCAGCGCTCCACAAACGTCGCCCCCATGTACGCCACCCCGCAAGCCCGCACCGCCTCGCCCATGAAGCCCGGCGCCACGCCCGCAGGCTACGGCACCCGCACCGGCTACGCGCCCCCCGGCGGCCAGGTCGCCAGCACCTACTACGGCCCCTCGCAGTACGGCACGCAGACCCCCGCCGCGCGCCCGCCCTTCTCCCCCGCCGGCCCCGCGAATCCCCAGCAGATGATGCTTGACCGCCAGCAGGCGCAGGTTGCGGCCCAGTCGCAGGCGCGTATTGCTGCGCAGAATAGCTTTGGGCGCCAGGGCTCGGGCACGCCGCAGCCTAATGGGGGGTTTGCGGGGGCTAATGGGACGTCGATGGCGTGAGGTGCGTGAGGTGGGGGTGTGTGGTGTGGTGAAAAGGTGGGTGTGGTGAAGGTGTGGAGAAAAGGTATGGCGTTGAAGGGCATGCATAGGTTAGGAATCGTGTATCTTAGGGAGTGTATTGTGGGCGAATTAGATGTAATCAGACTGCGCGTCGGTTCATGTTTGTGGTCATAGACACATGGGACTCGTTGTTCTTGACTTCTGTGCATGCTGTGATGTCTTGATTTGTTTGCATGCTGTGATGTCTTGCCAAGCCATGTACCGTTTGATCCGCTAGAGTCCCTGCGTCGGGTGGGGCGGGCGTGTTGTATGGCACGACTCGGGTAGGCGGTACGTCAGAGCGACCGTTCCCCGAACCCCAGCACCGAGACAAACAGCTGCAACGCCGCACAAAGCCATGCCACGACACCATGGCGCACCTACTACGAGGCAAGCAAGCAGGCGTAAACACCGACCTCTCGCACGGGCTGGGCCCTGACCTGCTCGTCCTGGATCACGTATGTCTGCCACAGTAATATCGAGCACGGCTAACAGCACAGATGCGCAACTATGGTATCAACTCTAAAATCACACAAGTCACCTACGACCCGGTGCAGTCGCTCCTCGCAGTCGGCACCGCCGAGAGCCCGTTTGGTGCGGGCCAGATCTATGTCTTCGGGCAGAAGAGGGTCGAGGTGGTGCTGCCGCTGTCGCACCGCGCGTCGGTCAAGATGCTGCAGTTCTGCGGCGAGAAGCTGCTGTGCGTCGACTCGCGCAACGACCTGTCCGTCTTCTCGCTGGCCACCAAGGCGCTCGTCAACGCGCATTCGCCGCCCGCCAAGATCACCGCCCTGCACTGCGACCCCACCCTCGACTACGCCCTGCTCGGCACCCAGCAGGGCGACGTCTTCGCCTACGACCTCGACCGCCAGGCCCTGACGCCCTTCCGCATCGCGAATCTCTGGCGCGAGCAGTTCCCGCGCTCGCGCCTGACGCCGGTTGTCACGCTGTCGCTGCACCCGCGCGACATTGGCTCGCTGCTGATTGGATACAGCGCTGGTGCCGTCATATACTCGTTCAAGCAGAATAAGGCCCTGCGCTGCTTCCACTACCGCCTCCCCAAGGGCGCGCCCGGCGGCGACTCGGATCCGGCCTCCGTCCACTGCGACCGCGAGCCGCCGCTCACCCAGGCCGTCTGGCACCCGACGGGCACCTTCATCCTGACGGGCCACGAGGACAGCAGTATTGTGGTCTGGGACCCCAAAGACGGCCGCATCATCCAGGCCAGGACCCTGCAGGACGTGAACGTGAACCTCCCCGGGCCCGGCACCTTCAGCCCCGGCGCCGGCGAGGGCACGTTTGCGCTCAAGTCGCCCATCTTCAAGATCGCCTGGTGCGCGAACCAAGACCCGGATGAAACTGGCATCTTGATCGCCGGCGGCCAGCCGTCCAACATCTCCGCCAAGAGCCTGACCTTCTTCGAGCTGGGCCGCACGCCCATCTACAACACCTCGTCGTGGCAGGTGCTGTCCAACCACTTTGAGAACCCAACCCGCCAGCGCATCCTGCCGTGTCCGCCCGGCGCGGAGGTTGTCGATCTGTGTCTGATTCCCCGCTCATCTCCGCACTTTGGCGGCTGTCAGGACCCGATAGCCATTATTGCTATCCTGGCCTCGGGCGAGCTGGTGACGCTGTCTTTCCCGAGCGGCATGCCCATCACGCCGACGAACCAGCTGCACCTGTCGATGACACTCGTGCATCCATACATCGGCTATGCGAACCTCGCGCCCGTTGACCGCACGAGGTGGCTGGGCATGACAGAGAAGCGCCAGCACGGTCCGAAGCTGCTCACGGGCGGCGCGGGAGCGAACTGGCCGCTGAAGCGGTTCGAGCATCGCAACATCGTCCAGACGGCGCACGCAGACGGCACGGTGAGGCTGTGGGACGCCGGGCATGCAGACGAGATTGAAAACGACGGGCTGCTGCAGATTGACGTCGCGCGCGCAGTGGGCTGCCAGGACGGCGTCGAGGTCACGACTACGTCCTTTGCCGGCGCGGCGTCTGAGCTGTCGGTGGGGCTGAAGTCGGGCGAGGTCGTCATCTTCAGGTGGAACGTCAACAAGCACCCCGGCGAGGAATTCCCGCCGGGCGAGAACAAGCCGCAGGCGCTGACCAACATCGTGGATAGGAGTGAGGCTGCGCTGAAGGAGGGCTTGCTCCCGTTCACCCTGCTGGATGAAGGCAACGGCCCGGTAACTGCGCTCAAGCACTCGGATGTTGGATTTGTCGCGGCTGGGTTTGAAGGAGGCGGCCTGGTGATCATCGATCTCCGCGGGCCGGCCGTCATCTACAGAGGCTCCACGCAAGACTTCAAGTCGGAGAAGCGCGGCAGCTTCCGCCGCTCGAAAGAGGCTGCGCCCAAGCCCGAGTGGCCGACGTGTCTCGAGTTCAGTGTCATGACCCTCGAGAACGAAGACTTCTCCAGCATCCTCCTCCACGCCGGAACCAACCTCGGGCACGTGGCCACCTTCAAGCTGGTGCCCGAGTCCAACGGTCGCTACGGCGCAAGCTTCGCCGGCGTGTCCTCGCTCGACGACCGCGTCATCAGCCTCTGCCCCATGCACGCCGAGTCCGGACGCCCCGCATACGCCTCGCAGTCCGCCGTCGCCGGCCTGCGCAACGGGTCGAGGATCAACGGCGTCCTGCTCGCCGTCACCGTCTCCGGCGCGCGCCTGTTCCGCCCCGCCTCCCACAAGGGCGCACATAAGACCTGGGACCAGTTCCTGTGCGACTCGGCCGCGGTCGTGCGGTACGAGGACCTGGGCTACGCGCTGCTGGGCCTCTACGGCGACGGCTGCGCGCGCGCGTTCTCGCTGCCCGCGCTGAAGGAAATCGGCGCCGTCAAGGTCGCCCCCGTGCTGGACGTGCGCCGCTTCGCCGACGCCGTCATCACCAGCACGGGCGATGTGCTCGGCTGGACGGGGCCCGCCGAGATGGCGCTCGTGAATGTGTTTGGCACCGGCGTGCGCCCAGACAACAGCAGAGACACGCTGCTCAACCCCGATCTCACCGTCCCGCCCCGCCCCACCATCAGCAACTTGCAGTGGATCTCCGGCACCCAGTACGTCACCCCCGCCGACATGGACCTGCTCAGTAAGCCCCCCCCCCCCTCTCTATCTCCCCTGCCGTCCTAACCCCCCCAGTCGGCGGCCCCGATCGCCCGCCCTCCGCGCGCATGCTGGCCCAAACCCGCGCCGACGAAGACCACGCGCGCCGCGCCGCCCGCGCCGCGGCCCCCTCCTCTTCTGCCGCCAACCCCAGCGCCTACCCGTCCTACCCGACCCCCGCCGCCGCGGGCAACGAGGGCTGGGGCGCCTGGGCCTCGCGCCAGTTCGCCGAGCGCACCGAGAAGCTGAATCAGGTGGGCGACAGCATGGATAGTCTGAGTAGTAATAGTGCGGGGTGGGCGGAGGATGTGAATAAGTATGTTAATAAGCAGAAGAGGGGGTTGGTTACGGGGATGGTGAAGAGTAAGTTTGGGCTGTAGGGTGGCGGGATGGAGAGAAGGAAAGGGATGGGGTGTGACGGGTGACGGGTGACGGGTGACGGGTGACGGGTGACGGGTGACGGGTGACGGCCGGTGAGGACACAGACAGCACAAAAGCATAAGAAAAAAACTCCATGGAATGCTTTGTTGCCTACAGTGTAGGTACATTCTCAACTCGGTTTGGGGTTTACACATTGTGAAACCCTCCAGCCGGCCCTCTTCTTCTTCTGCTCCGCGATGCGCCACGCCCTGTGTACCCCCCAGCGTGTCCCGTGTCTCGTGTCTCGTGCCCGAGCAAACGCGCTGCCTACCTCCCGCCACCCACGGCGCACGATCCCCCCCTCGTGTCTGCTCGCCGTGCGGCTGTGCCGTTGTACCTGCTATCCTGCAGCCCGGCATACACATACACGCCTTTTCACACCGCGCAGCTCCCGCGGCCGGCGTGCGTGGCGGGATGCTAACGCAGTCCCGTGTCCGTGTGTCTACACAACTTTATCTTTCGAGTGCGGTACACCGTTCGAGACCCGATCCACCGGGCCAAACCCGAAGTCCCTAGCTTTTCAGTGTGTGTACACAACAACACATTCCCCTACCACTACAGGCACTCCCCAGATGTCAGTTCGACAGTGAATACACGTGCCTCGCTACCCAGTACCCCCCCCCCCTACGTCCCTTGACACTCCAACGCAAGAAGACAGCGTCTACACACCCGCCACAAGGCAAGACAGCCTGATACGGCCCGGGTTGATCTGAGCATCACGGCGCATGAGGGCAGACGGGACGTCGTGTGCATCACTGTCGATGACGAGCGCCGTTGGCTGTGTTTGCGACGACGCTGTGGACTGGCTTTGGATGGGCGAGTGGTTCGGGGGGTTCTAGATGAGGTTAGAGTAGGGATAGAGTGCTGTTAAGCTGTGCGAGACTGGGTGGGGTGGGGTGGATGGACACGGCATGGCGTGTTGGGGGGAAGAGGGGAGGTGACGGGCAAGTTGGGGGTGATGACCTGTTCTGGCTCAAAGTCAGTAGTTCACGTAGTGCGAGTCGTAAAGCAGTCAAGAGCTGACTTCATCACATGCATCGCATCACCGCACTGATCTCGAGTCTGTGTCGTGAGTTCTTCGCATTATCATGACAGCTTATCTCGGCGCTGTACTGCAGCGGCGATGTGTCGGTGATGTATAGTACATTCGACTTCCACCCCTCTACCGCCGGGGCATGCCGCGGCCGCGGCCACGACCACCCATGCCGAGCGCTCTCTGCGCGGCGCCGGGCGGCAGCTGCTGTTGTGGGGCCTGGGCTTGCTGGGACTCCTGGTTCTCTGTGTGCTGTTAGCAGTGGCGTGGGATAAAGAAGATAGACGTACTGATGGTCTCGTCAACGCTCAGGATCAGGCAAGCGGCTTCTGTGGCGGCTTGCAGAGCGTTGATCTTGACCAGACTGGGCTCCCAGACGAACATGTCCATGTTGTTTGCGACGCTCTCGGTCTTGAAGTCGACACCGGCCCAGGTGCTGCCCTTCCTGTGCTCGACGCGCAGCCTGTTGAGGATGTCTGTGGCGTCGACACCGGCGTTGTCGCACAATTGCCGGGGGATGACCTCCAGCGCCTTCGCGAACGCCTTGATGATCGGCTGCTGCTTGTGGGGGACCTTTGTGTCGGCGTAGTTGTGCAGGAAGGACGAGATCTCCATCTCGACAGCACCACCGCCCGCGACGATGTTCCTGTTCTTGATCGCGCGCTTGACGATCATGATGGCGTCGTGCAGACTTCGCTCAACCTCGGCGATGAACTGCTCCGCGCCTCCACGGAGCACAAGCGTGCATGTCTTCGCCTCGGGGCAGCCCTCGAAGAAGTTGAAACGCTCTCCACCAATCTGTCGCTCCTCGAACTTCTCGCAGGTTCCGAGGTGCTTCTCGCTGATGTCGGAGCAGGTCGACTGCAGGCTTGCGCCGGTTGCGCGGCACACGCGGTCGAGGTCGTCGGCGGCTACGCGTCCGGCGCAGAAAATGTCGCGATCGGCGAAGTACTGTGTGGCGAGATCACCAATGGGAAGCTTGCTGAGCACAACCTTGGCGCCGGTCTTGTACAGCGCCTCCATCTTGTTGTAGATGATCTGCCACTCGGCATCCACAATAGCCTGGTACTCCGAGACCTGCTCCACTCGTACTTCGGCGTTGTCCTTCTCGCTCTTGAGCTCGAGCTCGACGTTCAGGCAGACGATCTTGGGCTGCTGGAACGACTTCGGCTGCTGCTCAAATCCGGCGTACGAGAACGTCTTCTTGAAGGCGACTCCATTGACGAAAAGCGAGTCCTGGAGGGCGCCACCGGTGATCTTCTTGACTCCGATGAGCCTCTCGTTCAGCTCGTCCTGGTCGAGTGTGAGCACCGCGTCTACGACCATCTTGGTGAAGAAATCGGCGTTTCGGTGGATCAGCTTGCTGCTCATGGCAGTCGCAGCAAGCTTCTGCAGCGTGTCGCGCTGGTTGCCCTCGGCTGTGTCCACCGCAATCTCCACAATCTTGTTAACGGCGAGGTTCGACGCTCTCCTCAGGCCCTTGATGATTGTCTGGCTGCTGACACCCTGCTCGACAAAGTCCCTGATCTCCTTCAGTATCTCTCCAGCAATCACAACAACAGACGTTGTGCCATCGCCAACTTCGGCGTCTTGCGATCGTGCGATGTCGGTGAGGATGCGGGCGGCGGGGTGGACAATGTCGAGGAGCTGCGATACGTCAGCATGTGCTGTACTTGAGTATCTTGATCATATCTTCATGATCATACCTTCATGACTGTGGCGCCATCGTTTGTGATTGTCTGCCTGCCGTTCTCATCAACCATGAGCAGATCGCCGCCATAGGGCCCTAATGTGCCCTTGATGGTCGACTGAACTGCGAGACAGGCGTCGATATTGGAGAGGATCTGTCCTCGACCCTGGGACTGGTCGGTGCCTGCGAAGATCAGCATATGCTCCAACCCCCAGAGCTCCCTCCTTACCATCGCGCAGCACGACGATTGTCGGTGTTTGACCGCCGAACGACATTTTGATGTGTAGAAAGCTGTGGTCTAAAACGGAATGCGCAGAGTTCGGTGACTTGCGGAGCTAATACAACAAGTCGAAAGGGTATCGCGCGAACACTGCGTAGCTGTGTTGTCTTCCCCGCCAAACGCGTACAAATTTCGAGAAGGAACCTCCGTGCCTGCGCACGGGCCCTCCGGGCACCTTCCCAAAGCACCTCAACACCCGCGACATTGCGCAACACCAGGCTCCAGCTACAGGACATCGTCTCTTCTTGCTAACATCTCTTAACATTCGCTTCTCGTCGATATTTTGGTGGTTTGCTGTATACCGTGGACGTCGTCCCTCGTGACCGTGCCAAGCTCCCGGCTCCAGACCGCTTGCACGTGCTGCGGCGCATACGTTCGTCTTTCTACCGTTCTTCTCTGGACTTCCAATCTACTCTTCTAATCACCGTGACTGTCATGGCACCCAAATCACGCACAAAGAAGGTTAGTTGTGCATCTGGTCCACCGACCTGAAACACGATCTAATAGCGGGACAGGTGACACCTACTTCAAAGGCTTTTTCGGACGACATATGTATGCGCCGGCTGGACCGGTACTCCAAAGACTCAGTCGAGAAGCAGATATCCATACCGGAGACCATCACTGCTCTCGACTCGTATCCACCGTTTTTAAGGATACCTTCGGAGATTCGTCGTGAAATCTTGAGATATGTGCTTCCATCCTCGAACAACAGGTTCGTCCTTTACACCGACTGCGACTCGACGGTAATCAGCAAGAAGTGGAATCGCAAGTGCCGGCCGCACCCCGACAAGAACCTGCGGCTCGATATTTTCCGCACTAGCCGTCTCATCTATCACGAATGTCTCTCAGTCATGTACTCCGAAAATCTTTTCCATTTTTATGCCTTTAACTATCTGCCCGTCTTGGACTTCATACGACATCTGAGCCCTGAAGCAAAGAGCTTGGTCCGGAAAGTTCGACTTTCTCCTCTCACGGACAAACAAAACGACCCACCAGCAAGTCACGACATCTTCTGTACGGTTATTCACGACTCTCTTCCAGGGCTCAGCGAACTCCAGGCTGACCCTGTGGTTTTCTTTTAATGTCAGCATCAATCATTTCTTTCTCTTCTCCACTTTGGCACGGATAGAACATGAGCATCTTCACAAGCGGGCGTTTTGGGTACGACGTCAGGAACACAGGCGTCCAGGCGTTCAGTTACAAGCAATATCAACGTTGGGCGACCGTGTTCGTCACACCAGACTATTCTTTGATGCCTCATGATCGAGTCCAAGACCTCGAACAGCATAACAGAACTCAAACTTTCTACTTGCACATAGATTAACACCACATATTCCGCATCAATACAGAGAGTAGCGATGGCCGTAAATTTAAGCTTCCTCTAGCTCGCAGCGTAGTCGCTCCACTCGAGCGGCGGGAAGAAGATTCCGCTCATTCCGTAGGCGAAACTCGCGGAGATAAGCAAAGATTGGAAGCTGGGACACTTTCAGGAAGGGTAATGGTAGCATATTCAACCAGGTACGACAGCCTAGTGTGTCACAAACGATGCGGACATACATCTTTGTCATTGACTGTGTACGTACTGCGATCCAATATCAGCAACCGTACGTCGCCATTCATACATGGTCACCGTAGCATGGTTGGTTTTACTTCTAAAGCTCGATGTATCCAATCGCAGTGCTTTCAATTCATTGCAAGTAAATCAGCGTAGGCATTCATAGCGAGAGAGTTAGCACCAAGTATACCAACCAAGCTATCACCAAGACTGTTTCGCACTTTTTACTTGCTCCACACCGCTACCTTCTGCACCGTTACTCTTCCCCCACGGTGTCTCGTTCGAAGGGGCGGCGCATCGGGCTGCGTAGCATTCGCAAAATATCTCAACCGCATGACTCTGAGTGCCACCAACCTGCGAAGTCACATCCGCGAACGGTAAAACCTGGGTGACAAACTGATCGTACGTCGAAGCTGGTATCACGTCCGAGTAGCCAACGCGGAAGCCCGGGTCATGATAGCAATGATATGAACTGCCACGTGCCTGCGTATCATAGCCCTCCAGTATCTCAACGCCAGGGAACGAACGATACGAGCACTTGCCATTCGGCACCACAAACCGGAAGTCTACTGCTCATCAGCCGGCGAACTCCTCAGCCACACTCACCACAGCGACTCACTGCTCCACGACTGCTACTCCGACGCCAGCAGCGGCCCACACGGTTCTCTCAGTCGCCGCTCGGTATGCCGTGAATGTGGAAGCGGGACCAGACACCCTCCGCCGCGTCGCCAGTTCTCGGTCGTGGCGTTAACAGAACCTGCTCCAGCAGCGCCACACACTCGTCGCTGAGCACCCCCGCGCACCCCCGCTGCTCGTCTTCGTCGCGTTAAGCGGCGTGAAGCCGTACACGCTCGTGTCTAGCGTGCTATTGCTGACGCTCGGGAAGCTCTTGCGCGAGTACAGGTCCGGGCCGTCGTTCAGATCGTCGCCGTGTAGTTTACGAGCACGGAGAGGAGCCATGGGTGCTGGTGTGGAGACGAGAAGGAGACTTGGCCGCTGGAGGCGATGGAGGCGTTGTGGGGGGAGATGTAGGGAATTTTGAGTGCGCGGGGCAGCAGGACTCTGGATTTTCGATGCTTTGGCAGTGGAATGTGTGGTTTTTGAGCGCTGTTTGTGCCAATGTTGGTATTGGAGAAAGTACCATCATGAGCAGGGCGTGCTGGATGTTGGGACGCAGCTTGTGATATTGTTCGGGATATGGTGAGGTACAAATACAAGACAGGCCAGCATAGCTTCTTGTATGCGTGATTGCATTGTATTACGACCTTTCCTCGTGTACCAAGTACCTTGGCTGTCTTCACCCAGCGTTGGCAGCGAAATTGTGCTCACGTGTGGGCTTCCTGAGGGTGAGTGTGCTCAGCCAGTCGAATCAAAGCTGGTCGCCGCCCGAAGGTCGTCACCAATACAGCCTTGCTGGTCGCGGCAAACGCTTTTCATGTGAGCAATAAAGCGGCGTTGGACAAGGGGGCGATGATTCGGCTTGACGTAGCCTGGTGGTGACTAGAAATAATGTTTGATGCTCTATCAGTGTACATGAGATGGTGAATGCTTTGACTGGCATTACTGGTCAAGAAAACGCCGAAAAAGATCAGGAACAATACGTTCATGGTGGCTCCTTTGAGTGCAGCCAGCCAGTGAGCATTGTACGCACATCTTCTAGGGGTTGTAAAAACTGTACAACATTTCGTCGCCTACTTACTCCTTCGCTTCCTTCATCCTGACCTTGACACCATCCGCAGGACATCCAGTCAAGCTGAGCTTAGTCCTGAAGTACCCCTGTCCGCCGTTCTCTGCACTCTCCCAGCTGTTCCCAACACCAACAATCTCCTCAAACCGCTGTGCGAGCCTCACAAGCACGTAGCCAGCTTCTGTAAGTGCAAACTACTCGACGTCAGTATTGAATTTGTATCGCATGAACGGGGAATACTAACCTGCTGTCCAATACAGATCCTCGGCCCGCCGTTGAACGGCAGGTACTCCCACCCGGACTTCCTCCCATCCCAGCGGTCGGGACGGAACTCATCGGCGTCTTCGCCCCAGAGGTCCTTGCGGCGGTGGATCACGTACACGCTGTAGTCGACCTGGACGCCCTTGCGCACGTAGATAGGCTTGTCGCCGTTCGGGCCGCCGCCAGTGGGGATAGTAGTGTCCTTGAGAGCTCTGCGACCATCGAGCGGTACGACCGGATGCAGACGCAGCGTCTCGTTCAGGATCCACTGGAGGTAGTTGCAAGACTTCAGAGTCGAAAAGGTGATGTTGCGGGGGTTGTTGTAGGTACCGAACTCCTCGAGTACGACAGCGCGAAGCTTTTGGTAGACCTCGGGGTGCTTGATGAACAGCGTGTAGACGAAGGAAAGGAGAGACGCTGTGGTGTCGCGGCCGGCGAGCAGGATGGAGATCATGTGCGATCGGAGTTCGATTGGGTCGCGTGACGATTCTGCGAGCGCGTCGAGGAATACGTACTTCTGCTTTCCGGTGGAAGTCTGCTTCTCAGAGACCTTCTCTTGCGAAAGGGCTTTCTGGACGTAGTGGTCGATGAACTGCCAGCAGATGTCGCGGTGCTTCCTGAATTCCTTGTCGTAAGCTAGCCACCATAGCTCACCCAAACGAGACGCCATAGCGACTGTACCCTGAGATTTGTCGAATGAGTTTGCGAAGTCCTTCTCGTTGACGGCGTTGGAAGGTCAGCTTGATGCATAGTCTGGCAAGGCTGCAAGCTGTGAGTCTACACTCTCACCGAAAAGAAACTCGGTAGCGGAGTCGATAGTCAGCCTGAAGAACAACGGCTGGATGTCTGTGACATCTGTCCAGCCATCCTTGTTTACTGGCAGAACACGCATGAGGTTCTTGATGTGCTCCTCCTCGAGTTCGAGGTCGCTGACTTGCTCACGTGCAAACTGCGGGCGTAGCAGATTACGAGCGTGTTGCCATTCTGCGCCATCCGTAGAGAACTGCCAAGCAATTAGTGCTACTCCGAGTTGTCATTGCATTACAATGTGGAAGAGACACTCACGATACCATGTCCAAGTAGAGGAGAGAAGTTCCCGTTCCTCCTCTCGCCTAAGCCGAAGTCTTTGAACTGCGTAGCAAGGACAGCCTGAACATTCTTCGGGTTTACTGTGAAAATAGACTTCGCCCCCATCACCTTCATTGCGAACGTCGTGATAGACTTTCCTTCCTCGGCACAAGCATTGTCAACGCGTCCTTTGAGGTATTCAGGGACCGCGAATCTCTTATCTGCGGCAATCATTCTCCACACATTTCGAATGCCCTGGATATCGAGGAGCCTGAACTGGAATGCGGGCTCGCAGCCGAGTCGTTTCGCTTCTCTTCGGTGATGAAGCTCTGTGAGAACGTAGGCGACGATTTTGTAGAGAATGAACGATCCGCCTGCCCAGAGGGCGAGGAGTATCGTCTTGTGCATGACGTATGTACCCTCGGTGGGAGTATGGCTTCAGAAATCTCTGGCTTTGGGACTTTGGTATATACTGAATATGTTGTTGCAGGACTTGTCGCCTGACTGCCACGAGTACAGATCGCAACGTGTGATGATTATGTTTGTCTTATACGTTGCAGTGTCTTGTCCATCTGCCGTTGCTAGCGGTCCCTTAGCGTTCTCGGATGCTCGTCCGCCGCTTCAGTGGGTCTGACGGACGACACTTTCCTTACTGCATCTCTTCCCGCGCCTGAAATGTTACGAGGCGATGCTATTCCTCTGACATGATTGGACCTAAGCAGAAACCACCCCCGCTTCTTCGCGACGGTGCCCTCACTCGGACCTCTTGAGTTTCCCGAGCTAAACAGCGAATAAGCCGAGAAGGATTCTAAGGCAGATCGGAGGCGGTCGAACTTTGGGCCATCCACTGTTACCTAGTAAGGGTAGTTCGCAATCCGGGACAACTTCGACTCCAGCGGCGCCAAGATCTCCGAGGCGATGCGTCTGCATGCTGCAGCAAGGGTGGAAGCAGGGAAAATCGTCTATCCGCAATGTGGCGTTGACTAATATATCAGCATTATGTAGTCGTCGAATCTCACCACAATGACGAGCGATGTACATGTCAGATCACTGCCGTTGCATCAAAGAGATGCAAGTGATGACTATGGGTGCAGCTGCCCGGCCTGCAGGTAAGCAAAACTTGGCGAACGCCATGCCCACGCATGTCAGACCAGCCATCTGACAATTTTGTAGGATCCAAACCATCACTATTGTGGCCAATAAGCCGCGGAGAACCCACTAAATAACTCTATTTAAGCGTATATAGTCCAATAACAAAAACTGTCAGTAAGATCATTCACCGTTCTTGCCTAACGTTGCATTTGCCTAGTTGGTCGGACGCGCCTGGGTGCAGCAGTAACTCGTTTATCTCACTCTGCGATATGGCGAACCGGTTTTCTTGTAAACGATTTTAGTTTTCTACATCAAAGGCTAACTCATCAAAAGCACTATCTAACTGTAGTTCATGAAGGTCGTAATCATCTGCTCGTCATCTAGAGTTCGTCCCTCTTCCTCATGCTGGACTCCTGAGACTTCAGCCTGTACACACCAACGGAGTGCCTGTCGATTTCGGCCTCGAAGCGGCCGCCAGGGGCAAGGGTGCCCACCTGCTGGCCCCAGAGCGCAGGGTGCATGGCTTCGATGCCATCAGCATACGACATAGCAGTCGCATTGAACCTGGTGGTGCTGTTGCCGCTGATCTGGACGGTGGTTCCATTCATGCCAGCGAGAACGGCACCAGCCTCGGCCTCAGACATGCGGTTTGCCCACAGGTCGTAAACATCCCAAGTCTGGCTGAGCTCGGGTGGGGCGCGGTAGGCTCCTGCGGTGCGCTCATCAAAGAATACCTCGTCGATGGTAGCGTTCATGGTGCGCGTAGTGTTGCCAGCATTCAGCAGGGCCACAATACGGTCGCCGTTCGCCAGAGTACGGGTCCAGAGAGAGATCTCGCCCTCGCCAGTCGCATCAGCGTCGACCAGGTAGCGCCACACACGCTTGGCGGCACCAGCGGAGGCGTCCTGGTTGATAGCGATGATGGCAGGGTTGGCATAAATGGCGAGGTTGGCAGGGGACAGAGTACCGACGTTGGTTCCAATGAGCAGAGGCGAACTGTTCATGGCCCACATGCTGAAATGAACCACGTACTCGGAGTCAGTCTGGCCACCGTTGCCGATTTCAAGCATGTCCATGTCGTTGAAGTAGCCGGACATGGTGCGCGAGGTAATAGCCGGCATCTTGTTCAGAATGTTCATGACAGAGCAGTGGAATCCAGGCCATGCACAGCCAATGGCTTCGGTGCAGGGGCAACGGTCGTCAGGTCGGTTGAAAGAATCGTAGATGTCACCGGACATACGGCCAGAGTTTGCGATCCTGTAAGCCCAGTCGAAGGGGTCGTCGTTACCCCAGTTGCACATTGCGTAAACCATCTCGCGGCCAGTGGCGTTGAGAGCCTCCGACATGACATTGTAGCGGTCAAAGGAAAGCTTCGGTGTGCCGGACTGGCCCTGGTTGAAGCAGTTGTCGTACTTGAGGTAGTCGACGCCCCACGAAGCCCAAAGATCGGCATCCTTCTTCTCGTAACCAAGACTTCCTGGGTACCTCCCGCACGTCAAAACGCCAGCAGAAGAGTACATGCCAAACTTGAAGCCCAGATCGTGGATCTGGTCAGCAACAGCCTTCATGCCGCTGGGGAACTTGTAGCCTGGTTCATGGTTAGCATGCTGAGCTAATACATTCTAGGAGGTAACTCACTGTCTTCAACGAGGAAACCGCTCTCGTTTCTTCCAACGGCCCAGCAGTCGTCGAGGACAATGTGATTGTATCCAAGATCGCGCAGACCGTAGTCAATCATGTCCTGTGCGGTGGTCAAAAGCAACGATTCGTTCACATCGCAGTGAAAGGCGTTCCAGTTGTTCCATCCCATTTGGGGAACCAGGTTGAGGCCGTTATACGAGGATGCTCCAGCGATGACCACATCTGGTTCATCGCCTCCAACTTGTCTGCGTTCAAACATCTGAGCCTGAGGGGATGCGGCCGCCTGGCTGATGAGCATCGCTGCTGCGGACACCAATTTGAAGGTCGCCATCGTGATTGCGAATTGGAGATTTGACTGAAAAGCTTTGGAAAGCTCGAGGTGCTGTGCTGATAAGTCCACAGCGCAGACCGTTCTTTTATAGAATCAAGTTGAGATGCTTCCCGGCGCCGACGCTTCCCAAACCTGCAAAGACAAGACCGCATTGTCGCCGCCTGTCTCCGCCAGTCGCCGCACCGTCCAATCTACACTGCTCATTGCCAGAAGCAGAAGAGTGTCCGCCCCATCGTCATCGTCTTCAAAGGCCCGAGAAACTTTGCGAGCACTTGCGGGGATAGAAGCGGGGGCGGAGCTGGGGCAACCGCCTCTGACTGGCTCGTTTCTCCGCGACGGGTGCGGCGTGAAAGCTAACCCCACAACGTCCGCTGTTGAGCCAGCCAAGCCGCCACGCCCAGCCTCCAGAATGGATTCTTGATCAAGAGCCTCATCGTCTGGTGTGAAAGAAGCGGTCGTGGTGGAAGCTAGACTGCATGTGGAGCAACACCCGCTGTCTCCGAAGCTCCAAGGAGTTATTCGCCCAGCACTATCGACACTCAACACCATGCTTAACCTCAACTATGGGGTCTCCAGATGCACAGCAATTGCTGTGCTGCGTCCTGGGCTGCTCGAGTGACGATGCTGATACCCCGCAATATCTAGCGGCACGGATGGTGTCCCAGCCTATGACCGAATCCAGTCTACGCAAAGGTAACTTTCTGAGCGCAATGACGAAACGAACGCGTAAAGATATTGTGACACTCCTGGTAGACACGGATTGTGCGATATGCAAGGCAGTGTGTCGAACTGAGGCGAGGCATCATCTCAGGATCCTACATACACTTTCGACCTGCATGTTGAGCCTCACCACCAACTCCACCTAGGTATGCATACCAAGACAGAGCGGCCACATCTCCCATCTAGGAAACGACTCCTCCGCGCCTCCGTCAATGAACTGCTCGCATCCGACGAGCCGAACAAGCCCATCTCGAACCCCCAATGAGATCGACATGCAGACGCGCGATGAGTGGTGCGTTGTCGGAGCTGCACGAGAGCCTCAACTCTGACGGCTGGCTAACCGGAGGGAGACGTGGAACCGCCGCTCTACTGCACCCCGCACTCGCGCTAGCTCAGGTACGTTCGTTAAGGGCATTCGAGGCCGGTGGCGGATCGGGGAATATTGCTGGTTTGCAGCGATGGGGTGGGAAGGGCCGATGAGGGTTTGCTATTGCCGTCGACTGATGATTGGCGCTGACGAGGGTTGGCAGTGTCGTTGTCTATTTTCTAGTCTATGTCTAGTTGCAGCTCTACACGTCTATCGTCTATAGTCCAGTAGCGTTGAAGGATGCTACTCAGACCGCGCGACATCTCTCTTTCCCCCACACCCAGTGCAAAGCCCTGCCTCCTCAACCTTCAAGCACCACAGCTTCGCACCCTCCGTTTTCGCACCTCCCATGAACACCTTCACTGGCCTCGTCTTCCCTGTCTCTGTCGTATCGTTAGCGTGTCACCCTGCCTGCGTTGGATGGTTGTCGTCTTGGGTAGGACGAGACGTACCTTGCTCGTGCACAGACTCCGGCTCGGGGGTGTGCCACCGGTCAACTTCGTTGTAGCATGCGGCCCAGTCATACTCTTGTGCTTCCGATAGCATGGTTTCGGGTATCACTATCGTGGAGGCTCCGGTGGAGTAGTGTTGCAGAGCATGGCGCTGGGCGCGGCAGTGACCTATTTGTTGGGTAAGCGGAGTTGAGGTTGTCATTGTGGCGTATATTTGTTGAGTAGAAGTGTGTTTACTCGGTAGTAAATAGTAGTGTTGGTATGAATCGGTTTGTGCTGATGGAAGACGTCAGGGTACGACACAGCAAGTGCTTTTATATAGCGTGAGGCTCGGCCGCAGCGCGGCTGAGTTGCAGATCATGTATTTTCGGTATCAGTGGACACGGACGTGGCGAGAGTTGTGGTGCTGTCGCTCGCATTCTGGTGGTGAGAGCGTGGGGGTGGTCCGTGGGAGATCACCTCATGTCATTTCATGCCACTCACCTTCGTAGCAGCGGTGAGAAAGCGAAAGGAACATATGATCTGCAAATCCCTGCGTGCTTCGATAGGATTTCTGTTTAGAAATTCTTTCTCATCTTGCTACCATGTCTCGTGACAGGTCAATTGTGTTGTCGCTGCCGTTCTCCGTTTCGTGGCTTGCTGCCCCGTCGCACGGCAGGTTTGCTTTTGACATTTGCGGAAAGGACTGGTTGCGCAGCGCATCTGCCTAATCCTACACACGCGATATGCCTTCCAGCATTGATTTCGGATGTGTTGCTTGTCTCTGGAAGCGAGGTGAAGGTAAGATGAGTGAAATGGCAGCGCTTTCTCGCCGGAAAGCTCGTCTCAGCGAGCCTGCCTTCATTACCTCTCCACTCTCTCGCAGTACACCATAGTCTCCTCCACCACAGTCTTCAATTGTCGGCGACGCCGTGTCTGCGGAGATGCCAAAGAAGCGTACAGACTCCGCAACCACGCAAAGCCGCGATACAACGAGAACAAAGCGGCAGAAGCGCGGACCAGCGCCGTTTGCCTATTATCCGAATGATTGGAAGACATTTCGCGAGTTCAAAGATCAAGTCGTCTTACTGAAGACTCGCTTCGCGGACCGCGGAGGCCCTCAGCTCATCGTCAAGAAGGTTCTGGAGGTCCACGCTAACTCTGCTAATGACCCGAGGCCTTTCGAGATTCGCGCGCTTGCTTTGCTACCTAGATGCAACAGAGTTGTGCATGCTCTAACCTGCGTTGCCTCTGATGAGCCCAACTATGGCATCGCGCTCTTCGAGTACTATCCCCTGGGCGACATGGCGGTGTGGAAGAACCGAGAGTTCGACCTCAAAAACTTCAAGCCTGTACCCGAGAGCTATATCTGGAGGTTCTTCGTGCAGGCCACACAGGCCCTAGCATTCTTGCAGAACGAGATTGGCCACACCAAAGACCGCCGCCCTATGCTGCATCGGGACATCAAGCCGAAGAACATACTGGTGGTCGATATCGGGACTACATACCCGTCCTTCAAGATACACGACTTCGGCTGTGCCCTCTTGTGGCATACAAGTAAGCAAGATGTGCCGTCGTTCTGCGGAACGTACGAGTGGCAGCCTCCAGAGAACCCTCAGATCAATACCATGGCGGCAGAAGTCTGGGCGCTCGGAGCGTGCGTCCACTTCCTTGCGACGGGACAAAAGCCGATCGAGGACACTGAACACAGCAGGGCGGCTTTCCTGGAGAGGGTAGGGCAGGACCCAGAGAACTCGGAACAAGATTACTACTCTTCTTCGGATCGATACGTTACAGCCAGAATTCCAAGACGGGCGCTCCCAATCAACCTTGACGCACAGACACAGCTCAGCAGAGGTATCACAAATCAGGGCCCTCCGAATCCCCAGTATAGTGACGAACTGAACGACTGGATGACACGCTGCTTACAAATTGCACCTTCAAGGCGTCCGACGACAACAGGCCTGTTGGCCAGAATGGAGCCCGTGGCACTAGGCATGCTGAAGCGCATGGGAGGGTCGGTGGCGTTGGCGGACATGGAGGTGACGTTCTAGTGAGCGTTCTTCCAGATCCTCACAATATGGAGCTTCTCCCAGCCTGCCTGCTTCCCACTTGCCCCGACCGTCTCTGCCTGCCACCCAGATCCCCACTCTCTTATCTGCTGCTTGACAACGTCTGGCTTGTTTTGCGCGCACAGCAACACGTAACCGACTCCACGGCCGTCGCTCAGTATGTCCGGTATCTGCTCCAGCATCTTATTGGTCACCTCCATGCCATCTTCTCCACCAGCGTATGACAGCTCCAGCAGGTACGAGTCCTGCTCGAAGCTAGTCTTGGACTTTCCCTCGGGTACGGCATTGTAGTCGGAATGGCGCGAGAAGTCGGGCAGTTCGGCTGGAACGTATGGTGGGTTGAAGATGAAAACGTCGACAGAGTGCGGGCGAAGGGACGATGCCAGGTCACCATTTACGATATCTAGGAATATAGATCTTTCTTCATGATGCTCCTTCTCTTTGATAGCCGTTGACACGGTCTGCGAAGCCGCTTGACAGGCGAAGCTGTTGATGTCAGTCCCGAGTGTTAGTATGTCATTTCGACCAAATATGGTGCGCGCGTTTGCAGCGACGAAAGCCAGCACAACGCCTGAGCCGACGCCCACCTCGAGTACCAACGGCGGGGCTGTCAGCGCTGGGAAGCGCTCCGACAGGAATTCGCATTCGCTGGACGACGATAGAGTATCTAGCAGTAGATACGAGTCTTCCGCTGGCTCGTACACACGGTCAAAACAGACGTGCGAGGTGGAAGGCGTCGGCAGCATGTTGTCGATTGCGGATTTCCGGAGTGAGGCTCGAAAAGATTGGTCAATGTGCTCTGGACCCTGACCACGCTAGCCGAGGCTGAGGTCATCGAACCTCGATGACCATCACTCGATCTTGGATTTCCATCGACGTCCTCCAAAAACTCAATTGAAGCACTATGAGGGTATACTCGCGACTGCTAGCTACAGCAACAGATGCTGGTGCTGCGAAGGGGCCGTTCCGACCTGCTCCAGCAGCATTACTGCCGCCGATTCCTCTCTACAGGACGATCCTGCGGACACATCGAAAGCGGCTGCCAGTAGAACAACGTATGCTCGGCGATATGTACGTCAAAGCTGAGTTCAGAGCTCACAAAGACATCGACAATCCCGTTCAAATTGTAGGAACTCAACGCGGCACGTGACTGTTCAGGGACTCACAGCATCGCAGATAGGATTCCTTTCAGAATGGCAGATGTACGCTCAAGCGCTGCAAGGAGAGGGTTGGAGAGGAGAGAAAATGGATAAGGCCAAGATCGACAAGATGAGCGGTACGCAAACGACTTTTTATGAGGTGCAAAATACTGATGCGCCGTAGATCAGCAAATTGGCCAATTGTACGAGTTGATGCAAACGATCCAGAAGCAAAACAGCGAGGACGCCGAAACTGAAGAGGCTGATGTCGTGGTACCACTTGACGACTCGAAGAAGCCTGGTCAATGATCTGGTGGTGAATACTCCTGGCACTTCACGCCTAGCAGACGAACGATGAGCTTCACGAACGACAGCACGCGCACGAATGAGGCTTCGCATACTTCACAGATTCCCCAAAATGTACTATATATGTTCAGCAAATAACAAACTTCACATCGACACCCCCGTCTACCTTGATACACGCCTCTATCGACCGACAGGTTGTCCTCGATTCGTTTCTTCTACGCACCGTCGACATTGTCGTAGTATTCAAGATGTGCGGTTGCACCCTCTACGACTCTCCCACATGCGGACACTCCTGGCTCTCGATGTCACAGCCCTGTGGCTTCCTCTCCGACCTCATCAGCTGTCCGAATCGCCAGACCTATCAGACCCTCATTGCACCCGCCTTCACTTGTCCACAGTGCAACGGCGGCTTTGCAGATCGCGAGACGATTGAAATGGTGCAAGGACCGTGGGGTTGTAACCAGTTGATCCGAGGTCATCTTGGGGGCAGCCACGCCATTCCTGGCTCGTGGGGAAATGTTCCACGGGCAAGGAATAGCTGGGACGGAGGTCTGGGCATGAACACGGCTACAAGTATGTCTCCGAGTATGCCGTTGGTATCCTCGAGTCGCGCAATGGTGCCGGTTAACAGCTACGGGTACGATCATCGGCTCACCGGCCCCTACGGAACTAGTCCAGCGCTGCACGGTGGGTATAATTCCTTTCATGACAGGATGATCATGGACGACGACCTTTTGGATGATCTCGGTTATGGCTACGACGGGCGAAGGCGAAGGCATAAGAGCAGTTCGAGATACGTCTATCGGCACTCTTCAAAACCAGCGACCAACTGTGCGGTTATGTAGCTACCATGCTGGTGTAAATTCAGTACGAGTGAAATTATTTGCTGAACAGTGCTTGCCCATCTTCATCTTCTGAATGTCACTAGAACGAATGCAATCTGTATGGTCACGCACCCTCGCCGCCTATCAGTCACGTTCCAAGGATTAATATGCGTACCACCAAAGGAACCAATCACAAGCATCTACGTCTCCGCGGCAGGGACCGCCAGCCCCGCTACTACACGCGAAGCTTGCAGCTCTCCTTCACGCCGCTCCAGTCTACACTGGCGCTACGGCTTCAGCGCCACTGACGCTGTGCCAGCCTGTACTCTTGCTTCGACAACGTCGCAAAACCGTATCACCACTTGTCCAGTACCAAACACCAGGCAGCAGCGGGGTACTTCAGGCCGCCCTCGCACGAGCTCTAGCAACGCTCCAACACCACGTCACTACACTCAGCCTCATATCACACCAACAACATGGCCGGCAGGTTCTTCGAAGATCTCTGGGAGTCCATCTTCACCCCAGGACCCACACCGACCCTCCTCATCGCCACCAACGTCTCGTTCGGCGCGCTCCAGCTCCTCTTCTTCGCGCTCTTCATCGGCACGTACAGTGTTCACTTTGTAATCCTGTCCTTCCTTACCGGCGGGCTCTGGTACGGAATCAACTGGTTCGCGCGAGAGATTCAGATAGCGCAGAAGGCTGAGGAGGAAGCCAAGCGCATCCGCGCCGATCGTCGCGGCGGCCATGGCGACGCAGCTGGTGACGGCGAGCAGGCGGATATCGACACAGGCGACGAGACCGAAGTCGACGCAAAGGAGCAAGTGCAGGCGCAGAGCGATGGGCTAGCGAAGAAGGAGAAGCGTGCGCCGAGGCCAGGGACGCAGAGCACCGTGTTTGTAGACCGGCCAAGCGAGCGCGAGCAGACGCCCCAGGCTGTGCCTGCGAGCTCCTCGGGCGGTGGCCCGGCAGGCGCAAGCACGACAGGCGCGTCGACTCGGCTAGCGCCGCTGGTCGACGACGCCGTGAAGAAGAGGAAGGGCGGACTGGGAGAGAGCACGGGCGACCTGAGTACGGACAGCGAGTGGGACAAGCTGTCCGAGGACTCAGAGGAGCGATGAGATAGCTGCGATAGACTTCTTGCTATTGTCCTGCTTGGCCGGCTGCGAACCCAATGTTTTGTCAATGAGCGCCCACATGCAGCCACGTGAACACGCGCTGTCGCCCCGCGATGCAACCTCGACCGTGATTGACTCAGTCGAATGTGAGCTACCAGATACACAGCCAGGCTGCAGATTCCTATCTCCGAACACGCATTCCACGTACTCGACGCAATCCTCGCAATCCACGCAAGTCCTTGATTGCGACGCCCGTTTTGGCGCCCAAGCTGCGTCAATGCCCCACCATGCCATCACAGTCGTGAGACGCCAGGCACCGACGATTGCACCGCAACCTGACAGATGAAGCCGCGTAATTTGCCCTCCCACCGGTAGCAATCCCGGATCTTCAACATACACGAGCCCAACCCATTCATCTCTGCCAGCGTTCGTCCCAGCGCCGCCCACATCTCACCATGAGCTCGCGCAACGCGCCCAGCGTGGCCGAACTGGTCGCGCAGGCCGGCAACTACACATATAATGCGCAAATACCGCTCGCCAACTGGCTGCGCACTGCCATGACGATGCAGAAAGAGGTGTGTTGCGCGGCGCCGTGCTGTCCTTCTAAGCTGACATGCCCAGGCGCAAGTCTACGAAGCAGAGGGCAATGATGCGCAGACATACCTGCTGCTCTACCGGCACGCCGACCTCGTCCTACAACATCTACAGTCACATCCAGACAAGAGCAAGCCGGAGAACCGCAAGGCGCTGAACTTAGCGACTGCCGCCGTGAGCAGCGACTTGAAGAAGCTCGAGCAGATCGCCCCGCGGGTCAAGCGGAAGCATGAGGAATACGAGGACTGGAGACGGCGGCAGGTGGAAGCTTTGAAGGCATTGGAGGGCAAAAGCGCGAAGACACTGTCCCAAGAGCTGGACGGGCTGTCGATACAAGACCGGCGGACGTCCTACGGCGAGCGACCAACTCTGGACGCACGGAACCTCGACAACCACTCACTAGCGGCGAGGCTTGCGCAGAGAGAAGTACGGCGGCGAGATACGCAGCGCAGGAGCGTGCGGCAGGCTGGGGTGTCAGAAGAGGAGGAGCAGGAGCGGCGGACTGGCGGCGACTGGGCCGCGTGGGACGACGAGTACGCGCGAGAGAGTCGACCTGGTGACGACCTGTCGAGCCAGATCCAGGAGGTTGCTCGCCTGCAGAGAGAAGGACAGCGGTCATCATACTCTCAGGTAGGATGGACTCCAACAAGCAAGAAGCGAGCGTCACTGACAGATACAGCGCCCGCAATCACAGTCCTCGACATCGGCATACCACTATCCCTCCGTCCCTCACACATCCGCACAAGATCGCTGGTCTCAGTCCAGCTCACAACCGCCGCCACCGCTACCAGCCCGTCCTCCAAAAGAGCAGATCTACAGGACCTCAGGCACGCCCGCAGCGCCCCCACCTCTTCCACCAAAGCCTCTCACCCCCTCGCAACCCGGTCCCTATGACCAATTCCTCCCACCCCCGGTGCCAGGCAAATACACCTCCGGTCCTCCCCCCGTCCCCGGAAAACACGCCTCCCGCCCCCCAACCCCCTCCAGCGACCTCGATGCCTTCACCTTCCAGCCCTCTGCCTTCCTCGAAAACGGCGACCCCCTGCGCCCCGTCTTCCTCCCCTCCCAACTCCGTTCGCAATTCCTCGCCAGCGCCTCCTCCAACACACGCCTCAACCTCGAGACCTGCGGCATGCTATGCGGCATCCTCAAATCCCACGCCCTCTTCATCACACGTCTGATCATCCCCCTGCAGACCAGCACAAGCGACACGTGCGAGACGCTCAACGAGGAAGAAATCTTCGCGTACTGCGACGCCGAGGACCTGCTGGTGATCGGATGGATCCACACGCACCCCACGCAGACGTGCTTCATGTCGTCGCGCGACCTGCACACGCACGCGGGGTACCAGGTGATGATGCCGGAGAGCGTGGCGGTCGTGTGTGCACCGTCAAAGCAGCCGAGTTGGGGCTGCTTCCGGCTGACGGATCCGCCGGGCAAGCAGGCGATTCTGGCGTGTAGTAAGCCCGGTGTGTTTCATCCCCATGATGTTGATAATGTGTATACCGAGGCGTTGAAGCCGGGGCATGTGGTGGAGTTGCAAGATGCGCCGTTGGAGATTGTGGATATGCGGCCGAAGAAGAGCTTTACGTAGGGGGTTTGGAGATGTGAATTGATTCCTTCAAGACGGCACGCCATGTGCCCTCGATAGAGCCCATTCCCCTTCTTGGTTCTCTGTTACGCGTGCTGCATCTGATCCTTGGTGAACACGAATTGGGTGGGTTCAAATTGGAAATAAGGATGAGGCTGTGGGATGCTACTCGATCCCATTCGATCCCGTACCTGCCTTTGTTGCCCACCCCATACTCATAGTCCGAACCTTCGCCTTTTGATTTCTGCGACAAAAAGAGAGCTCCGAAAGAACGCGAAATGCAAAAAGCACGACAGCGGCAGGATTCGAACCTGCGCGGCCGAAGCCATATGATGTCTAGTTGATAACTCGTTCGAGTCATACCCATTAACCACTCTGGCACGCTGTCTTGATGCTTGTTGATGAAAAGTGCGACGCAATAGTGAAATATATAGTTTTTGCTCCAATCACTGTAGTACCCTTCCAGATAACGATCTTACAGCTTTGCAAGAGATCGTTCCTTTTGGATTTCTAAACATGTAGAATCCTTGGAGCAACGTGTCAACGCTATGCTGTAAGTGACCTTGAACCTTGCACACAATTGTGGGGCGTAGATCCGCTAGCTCGCTGGGTTCATGCAGGTCCGCTCTCCCCAGAGCTATCGCCGCGTGAGCGCAACCGCGAAGCGCGATTGCCTCAACCGTGGTCGAGCTTGAGGCAACGCTTCGCAGTCGCATAGACTAATACCGCCATGTGACTGCACACTCACTCACACATCCAAATCTCCAACCAACACCATGGACGCAGCAGCGAGCTCCAAGGCAGCCTCGCTGGCCTCGGCCAAGGTGGTCAAGAATGCGAAAGGCAACATCGTACCGAGCAGCCAGATGGCGCATATCGTATATGGCTGTGGTAGGTAGTTCAAAGCCCGCGAAAGAGTCAAGCTAAGCACGGCGTCCAGAACACATGGGCGAGATGTTCGAGAATGCGCGCAAGCAAACCCTCGGCCACTACCGATCGATCCTCCAGCTCATACACGAGAAACCGAGCGTGATAGCGCAGACATACGTCGACTCGGACAGCCAGCCTGTCGTCTCCCTTCGCCCGCTATACCTTTGTCTACAATGCCCGAACATCATGACGGACGAGCAGCGAGACCAGCACTTTGATACAAAGAGTCACTGCTTCTGTGGGTAGCAACTGCAATCGGCCTGTAAGCTCTGGCTGACAGTCTATAGCGGTAGAGTCGCGAGACGGGAATGTATACTGTGGGAATTGTCAGGACTTCATCTACGATCCCGAGCTCGAGATGAGACGACTGCTGAAAGGTAGGCATATCTGTTGAAGCTACCATGACGACCGAGCTGATGAGAAGCAGGCAAAAAACGGAAATATGAAGATGCCTTGACCGCCGACGACGACAAGCTTATCGTCACCAACTCTACGTTCCTTCCTTGCCGAGCGACTGGCCTGCGTGGGCTGTACAACATGGGGCAAACGTGCTTCATGAGCGTCATTTTACAAACCATCGTTCACAATCCGTTCATACGGAATTTCTTCCTCGCCGAAGGGCACAAGACCGCCGACTGTGAGAAGGAGTCGTGCGTGAGCTGTGCGCTGGACGAGATGATTGTCGAGTTCCACTCGGCAGAGAAGACCGAAGGCTACGGCGCTGTCAGCATGCTTATGGGCAGTTGGCTTGCGGGAGAGGTACATCGACCTACATCAGACTGGGGCAATGCAGGGCTAACATCCACGCAGTCACTCGCTGGCTATCAGCAACAGGACGCTCACGAGTACATGCAGTTCTTCCTGAATACCCTACACCTGACAAACGGAGGTACAACGGACTCTGAGGACTGCGAATGCATTATCCACAAGACGTTCTATGGTAAACTTCAGAGTACTGTCACGTGTGATAAATGCAACAACATAACTACCGCCCTCGACCCGTACATGGACCTCAGCTTAGACATACGGAATAACAAGAAGCGGAGGCACGCAGATAAGGGCGAGGAGGCGTCACTGGATCTCCGAGACTGTCTCGATCGATTCACTGCCAAAGAGAAACTCGAGTCAGCTCAGTATACATGCAGAAACTGCGACAGCCCACAGAACGCCATCAAGCAGCTAAGTATCAAGCGACTACCGCCGGTCCTCTCGATACATCTCAAGGTATGTACCATTTTCCGCATGACAGCTTCCACTTGCTGACAATCTACAGCGGTTCGAGCATTCGAAAGCGACATCCTCGAAGATCGAAACCAAAGTCAACTTTCCCACGAAGCTAGAGCTCTCCCCGTACACAACCGCGCATAAGGAGCACGCCAAGGCAGCCAAAGCATCAGGCCTCCCAAACACAAACTTTAACATGAACTCGCCAGCCAACAGTCTCACATACGAGCTGTCATCGGTCATTGTGCACAAGGGCAAGATCGACTCAGGCCACTATGTCAGCTACTCGAGAGAAGGCAACGACTGGTTCGCATTCGACGACAGCAAGGTGGTCCTTTCCAACGAGGCTGAGGTGCTCAACGCCGAGGCGTACATTGTGACTTACATGATCAGCTCGCTCGATGTGTAAGTCTGGGCTACTAGATACAATGCGTATTAATCCGTATCACCAGATGCGTTACAATTTCTTAATCGAATGAAGGCGAGCTCAAATCTTGGACTCGCAGATTTTTCTTGGTCGTCTTACGTCTTTGACCGCTTTGCACGTGTCCATGTACCCTATCCTTCTTCGTCGCTACTGTTAACACACTCTTAGGTTTTAGGATTCACCTGCCTCGACAGCGGTCATGTATGTAAATCGAGAGCAAAACATGAGGAATTCGTTAGTATTTCAATACCTAAGCCAATCATGCAGCAACAGCCACCGGGATTGGAGCAGCAACCCGAGTTATTTGCTCGCGAGCTCTCGCCACAGCCGCGCCCTTGGTATCCTTCTCCAGCCTATTCCACTCAGTTTTCCATACCTCCACCTCCTGGCCTCCTCTCAGAATACCCACCCGCATCGTCGACAGCAGGTTATGTGCCGCGTTGCTGTGCTCATATACACCGCCATTGAACAGCGCCGTAGCGTCCTTCCCGACTGCACTCGCAATCAGCGTCTTGCCGCCAGGATGATCGAGGATGAAGCTGCCAATATCATGAATCACTCCGGCCACAGCCACCAGCTTCGCGCCCGCGGCACATCTTGCCTGGAAGTCATCCCAGTCAACAACAGGCAGCTGCGCCAACGGAAGGCCCCAATCGAGCTTCGACCGCATACGATCCACTGCCTTCTGCTGCTGCTGCAACCTGCCCTTCTCGATCTCATTCTCGCGAAATGTCTTGAGATCGTACGCCATCGGCGCCATCAGGTAGGGAATGCGGACCTTGCTGAACGCAAAGATGAGCCATTTAGTAGGATCGTACTGATACCACTCAATCGCATTGCGGAAGTCGCTTGGGAACTCATGGTGGAAGTTGTGGTACCCTTCGCCCAGGGTAACCAGGGCAGTCAGGACGTGGTCTCGCGGCGACCGGCGGTCGTCAAACGGTTGCTCGCCGATCCAGTGCGCGAGACTGTTCACGCAGAACGTGGCTTGCTGCACAAAGCACGCGCGGATGATGCCCGCATACACCAGCCCGCCCCACCAGTCTCCCCACCCGAGGCCGGCGACTAGCGCGGGAAAGATCCATGCGGTGAATAGCAGGCACTTGCCGTAGTGCTTGTGTTGCCAGACCACGACCCAGTCGGCATCGAGGTCGGACACGTCAGTGCGGCCTTTGACTTTGGGGTCGTTGTTGAGCACCATCCAGCCGATGTGGCTGAAGATCAGCCCGCGCATGACACTGTACGGGTCTTTCATTGTGTCGGTCCATCGGTGGTGGGCGCGGTGGTTTGCGCTCCACCATCTGATGCTGCCTTGGATTGCTCCGGCGCCGACAAAGGCGAGGAAGAGTCGGAGTGGAAGACGCGCCGAGTAGCACCGGTGGGACCACAAGCGGTGGTAGCCTCCGGTAATTCCGAACGCAGTGAAGAAATAGTAGGCAAAGGTCCAGATCAGTGTTGGGCGAGTGAGTGGTGTGCTTCTGGCGAGGTGGAGGCCGTAGATGGGAATCAGCACCACGAGGGTGGTGTTGAGCCAATTGATCTTCTTATACCAGTTGCGAAAGCTCACGTCTTGGTACTGGATGTGACCGGGTGTTCCCTTTTGGGCGGGTGTGGCTTTGGGCGTGCTTGCGGGCGTGAACAAGCTCGGCCTGGGTGCGGGCTCAGCCATGGCAATTGAGTCTTCTGGCGACATTGCAAGGAACGGAAGGTAGCGAGATGTCAACCTGGCGGAATGCCAATCCGGCGGGCTTAAGCCTCATATACACATTGTACAACGTGGGACATCGGCACTCTCGGACGCCGTTGTAGCATGAAACGTGGGAGCCATGTTCGGCCCAACATAAATACTTTAGCATGCGAGTATCTACATCCTATCAAATGAGTCTGATCATTAATCGTGCTCCGAGTTCAATTCGTTGGTCGCGCAGTGGTGGAGTGAGATCCACCATCTCTAATGATACATGATCTCACTCTTTGGGATACACCAGTGAGGGTCTAACGCTTTTGGGACATAGTCGCGAGAGCGCTCGGCCAGACTTCAGGCCACCAGGTTGTTCCTCCTGCAACAGTCCCAACCTTTCGCGATGGAAGCCTCCTTCGATGCTGCCTTGCGAGAAGCACATGCGAGACGTGATGCGGAACTCCGACTGACACGTTGAGAAAGCAGCGGGGTTGTGCATTGGCATGCTTTATCTTGCATGCCGTCTCAACCAAAAACACCTTGCATGGTGTTGATTGCGAGATTCGAAGGGAGTGACGAATCCAAAGCTCGCATCCATCCGAGCTCTCCAAATGCCCCCAGGAGATGGCGTATTTTATGACCGTTCGTCTTCGTTCTCAATCTCGATATGGCCTTCAGCCGCCATCATAGTCCACACGGTCGCGCCATCCGCTAGGAGCTTGCTCTTCGCCATGAACGATTGCGCCATGTCGATAAGAAATAGGTTCGAGACGTTCCCGTTCTTAAGACTGTCTATGCTGCCGGTGAGAGCATACAGGTCGATGAGGAAGCGCCGAAGAGCACATGGCTCATGAGTGTTTTTGTATGCGAAATCGACAGCGTTGTAGCTCAGCCCAGACTCCACAGCAATCCCAACGATATCACTACGCAGAGCGAGAAGGAAGTCGTGATCTTCTAGAGCACTGCCGACAAGGTGTGCTCGAAGCAAACGCTCGAAGCGATCGTCGGCGGCACCAAGGGTGGGCGGAATTTCGTGTGAGTACAGCCACTGGACATAGATTTCGAAGCCGTCTGGGTCGAGTTGGTCAAGCGTGTGCGTCAAAGTCTTCGAGGTACGCTTCTCCCAGGCCATGCGGCATGTTGGGCAGTTGGAGCTCTTGGTTCCCAGCCATTGTTTCATACACTTTGAGTGGAAGTTTTGACCACAGGTCCGGCAAAAGACCGTCTCGGCTGTCTCCAGATCGTCCATACATACTGCGCACTCGCCGACAGCATCTTTGCGCACCTTCTGGAAGCGGTTCTTGAAGTAGGTTGATCGGGAACATAGGACGTTTTCATGCACCGAGAATCTGCGGTTGTGTGGCCCGACGAGCAGCCTGACGAAAGAACTTCCGAAACTGAATTGCAAGTCAGGACCGTCAGGAAGTGCATTGATGCAAGAGAAAGATGCCTGCTTACACGATTGGTTTGTGCTTCTTCGCTACTCGCGATACACCTCGGCCGTTGAGGGTGGGCATAGTGATACCTGCGCTCACGCGGGACGCGGTTCGGTCGTGAGTGTAGGGTGTTCGAGGTAAGAGCGAGCAAAGAAGCAAGAGTAACCCCGCCACGAAAGGAAGTGAAAGAGAGACGTGCTGCCACCTCCGCCTCTAACCCGACACGGCATGTGTACAGACGACATCCTCAATGTAGACCTGACATAATCTGTCTTCGTCGTTCCGGAACGGCTGTGACTATTGCCTCCCAGGAATGGTGTGCATCGGTTGTCGGATGCGAACGTAGATGCACTGGCGAACACCGTAGTACCCTCCTGGAGCTTTAATGTTTACTTATACGCACGGCGTTCACTGTGAGTATGATGAGTCAGTATTACCAGTCCAAATGTTCCAGCCTGTATCCCTCCTGGGCCCGATCCAAGGTAATTTGTACTTGTCTTAGAATGCTTGTGGCCATGTCAATTACATTTAAAATCAGCAGAATCCGATGAGGATCGAGAGTCAACGCTCCGGATTATCGTACAGACTTTGTCGTTGCTTACATGGACAATGCTGTTGGCACGAACAAACCTACCAGATGCTGCCATATATCAGTGTCCTTACAACCAATTCAAGGAGTTAAGACTATTGTAATGGGAGAAACCTCACGTTCTCGACGTAGAAGCTCTGCTTGGGGGTCTTGTGAGATCATCGCTAAAGGCCGTCTATACACTGGATGCCAGATATAACCAAGTCAAATGAGAGCTGTTGTATAGACAGTAGTCTCAAGTAAATACTTGTAGGGGTATCTAGCTACCTAAGTCTGATAGCATTAGCATGTGAACAATATGTATTCTCTTCATGTATGTGCTCTAGCGATACATGTGTCTCCAATCTACCGCTGAAGACTACTTGCAATTGTTATAGCCTTACGCGCTCAGTGTCTGCTTTTGATTAGGCCTACAACTTCGTGTTCTATGCAAGAGTAAATTTTTGATCTTAAAGCTGTTCTTGGTTCACTCGGATTCAATCTTGCTTAGCATCACACTTGGCTGCAGTGAATTGCAGAACGAGCGCATCAAAGCTACGTGCTTGGAAAGTATCAGGCGTATGCTTCTTATTCGACACACACTACGTCTTTCATAATAAGGGTATGAACAATATGTAGCTTTAATTACAATTTTTGGAGGTAGAGTGATGCGGCAAAGCTGTAGATAATCCTACATCATCATAGCAGACTCGCTGATGGGGATCATGGTCAGATCAAGACTCAAAGTAGCGCTGTACACTGCCGAACGCTTCGTACGCAGTATTTGCAGTTAAGTCGGAGTTCCGCAACAATGCTGCCTACCTATGTAATGCACGCCCGTAGACAGATGAGCTGGGTCAGTGGTACGCTCCAGTTGCCCACGTAGTGCTCATACCTATTACATTGTGTGTGAAACCCTCAGATCTGTAGAACACTAACAACCGTAGTCAGTGGCGGTTGATGGAAGCGGTGATGGGACGATCTTAACGAAGGTCGAGACGCAAACCGAGGTGCCAGCCAATGACCGTACGTATGATCATCTGCCAATAATGACGCACGCTAACCAGGAGCAGCCTCGATAACATGATTTGGGACCTGGCGATCGCGACATGGTGTTAGAAAACGGTTTCGGTGCCCGGGCAGGCTTGGAGTACGTCACGGAAGCCCCGGAATTAAAAACCCCGGGCTTAAGGCCACAGGCCTGGCACTTGATTCTCACACACTTTGGATAAATAAGTAGCTACCTCTGCCTGCTAAGCAAGCAAGATAGTCGTCATTTTCGATATCCAATATGTTCGGTACAACGATTCTGACTATCGCTGCTGCGTTGGGCCTTGCGTCAGCGCAAACAGGGCCCGGCTTCCCTGTCCCTGCTAGAACAAGTCTCATTGTCAGCTTTGGCAACAACACCATCTCGCCTGCTGGAGAGCTGATTCCACGCCCTGGTATGTTTGTACGTCTGCAAAAATGAGCGTTCTAACCTATCATGTAGAAACCGTGAACCCTCCCAACATCAGCACGCCAGTGTGGTGGGCATCGTCTGATCCCAACGATCCAACTCCACCTCGCGGAGTCCTTCTTATTGTGGATCTCGACGTTCCGCGCAATGGCTCTCGTGTCGAACTCGTGCATTGGGTTGCGACAAACGTGACACTAGGATTCTCTTCGTCGAACTCGACGCCGCTTATCATCCCCAACGGGCCTGTACCTTACCTACAGCCCTCCCCTCCCGTGGGCGATGTGCCACACTCATACAACGTCGTCGTCTTCCAGCAGCCTGCCAACTTTTCTATTCCGGCGCAATACAGCAACCTCACGAATCAGCGGCTTCCATTCAACGTGAGCCAGTTTGTCCTCGATACCGGCCTGGGTCAACCGGTTGCTGGCAGTTACTTTCAGGTTCAGAACTTGACTGGCACGGCTACGACTACCTTTCCACCAGCACGAACACCGACATCAACAAGTGGTGGTGATGGAAGCTCTCCGGCGCCGTTTCCGGGTGCCGCGACACAAGTGAAGGGTGAGACGGCACTGTGGGTGGGTGCATATACTGCGCTGATCGCCAGTTTTGCTGCTGTCGCTTTTTGGTAGCTCATAACAACAGTATGCAACGATAATGTCCATAATTTGAAGAGCTTCTGCTTCAGTACACAAATGTCCCACCACGTGCATTGCTGATGTCACTGGATGATTCGTTAGCGTGCGAGATTGCGACAGTCCGGGATCGCACTACCCCGCTGCCTGGTGGGGGCATGAGAGTCAACTGCGAGCAACAAACATCAATTGCGCGTCAAGATGCAGTCGCACGCGTTATTAGAGAAGATGTCCATAGATACAATGAGTAAATGAACAGCTCCTGTTTGAGCTACAACAACCCCCGATTCATCTCATCGACGTTTGCGTCGTGACTACTTTACCCTTACGCGCAAATCTTCTGATTGGACCAACTAACTAACGAAAAGTTGCAGGCGGCCAAGTCTGTTATATCTCCACGGCCGCCGCACCCAAACGCTTCCTGTCTCTTGTCACATCCTCTTCCACCGAACATGTCTACGACGGTCGTCCTCGGCGCCCAATGGGGCGACGAAGGCAAAGGCAAGCTCGCCGACATCCTCGCCAACGAATCGCAACTCTGCTGCCGCGCTCAGGGCGGTAACAACGCCGGACACACCATCGTCGCCAATGGTGTCACATACGACTTCCACATCCTTCCCTCCGGCCTCGTCAACCCGAACTGCATCAACGTCGTCGGTAGCGGTTGCGTTGTTCACGTGCCCAGCTTCTTCAAGGAGTTGGAGGCTTTGGACAAGCACGGCCTGGACACCAAGGACAGGATATACATCTCTGATAGAGCACACGTCGTCTTCGATGTCCATCAATTGGTGGACGGCCTTGAGGAAGTGGAGCTTGGTGGAGGAAACATTGGTGCGGACCTTGCATGAAAAAACAGGGAGAAGTGCTGACAGTTTACTTTCAGGTACCACTAGGAAGGGTATTGGTCAGTATTGAGTCATCGTGATAAGGGACTCGGGTACTAATGCCTTATAGGCCCAGCATACAGCTCCAAGATGACCAGGAGCGGTCTCCGCATGTGCGACCTGTTCGACGAGGAGGTCTTCGAGAAGAAGCTTCGCCGTGTCGCAGCTGGCTACCAGAAGCGCTTTGGTGACCTGCTGAAGTACGATGTCGAGGAGGAGATCGCAAAATACAAGGTAGGGGAGGCACACTTTGACACCGGCGTGAACCACGAACTGACAAGCCTTAGGAACTCCGCCCGAAGATTGCTCCTTATGTCGTCGATCAGGTGCCCCTTCTGCAGTCAGCGAAGGAGAAGAACGCAAAGATCCTCGTTGAGGGTGCAAACGCTCTCATGCTGGACATTGACTACGGCACATATCCTTTCGTTACGTCCTCTAACACAGGCCTTGGTGGTGTCATCACTGGTCTTACTCTGGGCTGGCGCTCAATCAAGGATGTCATTGGTGTTGTCAAGGCATACACTACCCGTGTCGGATCGTGAGTTCATCATACCACGTGTAATGAGTGTGAAAAGCTAACGTGTTCCAGTGGCCCCTTCCCCACCGAGCAACTGAACGAAGTCGGTGAGAGACTCCAACAGATCGGCCACGAAGTCGGTGTCACAACTGGTCGCAAGCGTCGCTGCGGTTGGCTCGATCTCGTTGTCCTCAAGCACTCCCACGCTTGCAACGACTACACCTCTCTCAACCTTACCAAGCTGGATGTGCTTGATGACTTTGATGAGCTCAAGATCGCGACATCATACTCGCACAAGGGTCAGAAGCTTGACGGCTTCCCATCGAACCCTGATGTACTGGCTGAGGTAGAGGTTCACTACGAGACTTTGCCTGGATGGAAGAAGCCTACTACTGGCGCAAAGAGCTACTACGACCTGCCCAGCAATGCGAGGTCGTACATCGAGTACATTGAAAAGTTCATCGGTGTTAAGGTAAAGTGGGTTGGTGTTGGACCTGCGCGTGATCACATGGTCGTCCGATCGTGATCCGCGAGATGGGACCACAGGCGGCAAGCCTTTCTCAATTTCCTTCTGTTTCCATACATGCGCATTTGCCAAAACCAACCCAGCGGTTCTGGTTTGGACAAGAAAAGCCTGAAGGTGTTCATTCTGGAGAGCTTCGGGTATTATAGACGTACATACAAATACATTTGTGCATTCATCACACTTACACATGATCGACAACACCAAAAGTGGGGTGGGACTGTAACTACCCCGCTTTCGTCATCGAAGCAATGCATCATAGGATGATTGGTCATGTATGGCACTGTACAGAATGACGCCTTGTTTATATATCTCTCGTACTCGTTCTTAGAGCAGCGAATCTCCCACTCAAAACGGCCTGATAGCAATCCACACCCACCCTATCGAAAATCAACTGCCACCGTTATGGGCAAAGACCATCCAGATGCAAACCTCCACCCTGAGGCGACCGGACTGGCAACGAAGATAGTGCAGGCCAGTCTGATAGATGTGGTTTTATAGCGCAAGCTGATAGTTTACAGGCACACTCCGCAGAGAACGACTTGAAGCTCTACTCAGGATGGTTCTGTCCCTTCGTCCAGCGAGTCTGGATTGCACTGGAAGAAAAGGGCATTGATTACCAGTATATCGAAGTGAACCCATACCACAAGCCACAGTCACTCTTGGATCTGAATCCGCGCGGCCTTGTACCTACGTTGCAATACCAGGGCAAGCCTCTTTACGAGAGCACAGTACTTTGCGAATTTCTCGAAGAAGCGTATCCAAGCCACACACCGAAGCTGTTGCCTGATGATCCCTACCTACGCGCACGCACTAGGATCTGGACCGATTGTAGGCCTCAAGGCTCTCCGTAAATTACAGTCCTTGCTGACAATTGCAGACGTCGGCTCCCGCATCATTCCCGCCTACCACCGCTTTCTGCAGCACCAGGGCGAAGACGGCCTCAAAGACAAGCAAACGGAGTTTCTCAACCATCTCAAGGAATTCACCAGTGAAATGGATCCCGAGGGACCTTTCTTCCTTGGTCAAGAATTCTCCCTAATTGATATTGTGATTGCTCCCTGGGCCAACCGACTCTGGGTGTTTGATCACTTCAAAGGCGGATCGGGCATCCCCGAAGAGGGTCAGGGCGGAAATTTCGAGGAGGTTTGGAAGCGCTGGAGGAAGTGGTTGAGTGCAGTAGAGAGCAGGCGGAGTGTCAAGGAGACATTGAGCGACAGAGAACATTATTTGCCGATATACGGGAGATACGCCAGAGATGAAGCGCAGAGCGAAGCGGCGAAGGCTATTAGGGCAGGTAGAGGCATTCCTTGAGTGTCGAACGATATGCGAAAAATAATTATACTCAATCTTGATCCTGAGGTGACTTGACGCACCAGAAAACGATGGTGGATGGCTCTCACGTTCCAGGAAAAACGACGGATAAGCGACTTCCAAACTAACCAACTTCAACACGGAACTTGCAGCTATTATGATACGTAAAGTCAAAACTTGGTTAGTAATTACCTATTCTGTAGGTAACAAAATGTGCTATAGAGTTTTCTTACGTGGTGGAATCCTTGGCTTACGTCCCTAGTCCGCCGTTCGCCCTGCAACGTGAGAGGAGGGTAGCGGAGATGAGGGAATAATTTCAGCCATCCTACCGATAAGATACTAACGGTTTGTTCTTGCTTCTCGTCGTCGACGACTTTTGGACTCCGTGTGGTAGATAAGATTGGATGAAGCTACTTCTCGCATGGTACCAGCCGGCAGCTCTCCGCCTTAACCTAGAGCATTTAAACCCCACCCCTAGCAAAATTGCTCCTTTAGCATGATTTGCTGGGCTGATCAAGGCGCTTTACGACCCCGCAGTCCCGTCTACGCTTCCTGGTCCGCCTAAGCTCAAAGCACCCATCTCAGCCCGACTCCAAGGAATAAGGATATGAACATCAAATTTTGCCACACTTTCATCAAGCAAACACCATCTGCTTATGTCAGCAATATCTTCGATGGGTAAGTTTGTGTTCATCACCATCTGCTCAACGTGTCCTAACACACATCCAGTCTAGTGGTCATGATTTCCGCTTGTCAGTGTGTCATCACAACGAGCGCGGGAGACCGGGGTTCGATTCCCCGTCGGAGAGTCATCATAAATCATCTTTTTTTCGATGTGCGGTTGTGCTAAGCGCCCTAGGGTGTAGATGTGCCGCGTCGACTTTTTGCTCGGCAACCAACCAATGGAAAACTCTAAAACTTAGCCAGGGTTTTGAGAGGCATGCAAGGAATGTTCCTGCTGAATTTGAGCAATATTGGTCCTCGTAGTGCTGAGATCTGAGTTGAGGCTTGTTGCGTTCGGCGGTTGGCGTCTCTTAGCGAGGCGGACTCTCAAGTTTCAGAAAAGACGGCGGATACAACCGTAAGCTTACCAACTTTACAGAACACATAACTTGTAGCTACTATGATACCTAACGCTAGGATTTAGTTAAGAGTTACTATTGTTGTAGGTAAAAAGGCTTTCTATGGAGTTTTTTAGTATTTTCCCTGCTTTGCTGTCGTGTGGTGTACTTCATATCCTTAACCCACCGTTTATTCTGCAACACGAGAGGTAGACTGTAGAAAAGTCGACTCCAATCAACAAAACTACTCTTGAACACGGACGTAACTCAGGGTTTGCGCTCCGCAGAGTAGGAAGTACCCCAAAGAAACAAAAACAGTGTTTGAGGTAGGCCGTGAGTATTGGCGAGAGCTCTGTTTCCGACTGGTTTACCCCTTGTTCCCCTTTCCCCCCCTAATAAAAGCTTCATCTCCGTTGCTAGATAATTGCGCGATCGCAATTATCGACTGTTTCTCTGCGATGGTTGTATGATCATCATCATTTCCTTTGCATCGACTGACTAGTTCGTCCGGTCAACCTTGACGCAGGCGACCGATCTCAGCTCATGGAGGCTCCTCGCATGGGGGCAACGCAAGAAATCGCTGTGTAGCCCAGATGCTCAGCCAAGGTGGTGGCCTTGACTCCATATCGTATAGATTAGAATCTCGGATGAGTCAGTGATGAGAATCGTTTTAGTACTCTACTCACAATTTATTGGTTGACTACAACATTTACCGCGAGCATGTGAGAATTTAAAGTACACGTTTTAAAGTACACGTTTATCCCAGGATGAAACGAAAAGTATAGACACAGCACTTTGATGGTTCCCACTCGCACAAAATCTTATCAAGTCTGTACAGACTTCAAGGTGGCAATCTTCTCTTCCTCGTTATTGTCATACGTCCTCCCCATACGTCCTTTACTGTGTGAGAGCTTCCCCGTCGCTCTGACAAGAGGGTTGACCCATGCCTTCTTTCCATCGGAGCCAGTCACCTCTTTGCTTGTCGCACCGAGACCTGAGTCGCAAGATGTTAGTTTACACGTCTTCGTTCTTCGGGCTTCAATGTTACTCACCGACGGGCGCGTAGTTGATGTAAACGCCTTCCCAACTCTTCTTCGGACAGGAAAACACCTCGTGCATAATGCCGATATGTGGGATATCCTTGGCTACCTTCCTCCACCACTGCATTGTCTTGCTATGCATTGGGCCGTGGGCATAGTCATGCAGATATTGCTCGTTCCCGAAGTACAGGATCGACATGAATTCACTTGAAGTGCTGTTGTCGCCAGCATTCAGCCAGTTTGACGACCCAAGGTATCCATACGTTGTAGCGTCGTCCGACAGTTGTGAAACCATGGCAGTAAACTCGTCGCCGACTTCCTTGAATCCCGACCCAAGCATACCAAGAGGGTGGTTGGAGATGACACCAAGAATGATTGCACATACTGTAGAATCAGCAGCCTTATCCTGTGTACCTTTCTCGTCCGGGAATACAGGAGTAGTGTGGCCTGCGACGACATTCTTCATGCGCGGGTTTGGCACAAGCCCAGTCAGGGTACATGCTGTGTAGGCGAGTTTGTATCCGAGGAACAGGAAGACTGGGAGAACAGTGACGATGTTGCGGTACGGTAGCAAGGCATATGCAGCAGCTTGTATAACGGCGCCAATCGAGAGCCATGTGGATATGCTGAACTGATCGCGAATCATCTGCTCTACGCGTTAGCTCAAGACTTTTGGTCGTAATTCGTCACATTAGTACTGACCGCCAGGGATGCATTTAATGGTCTCTTCCTTGATTGATCCTTGGGCCTCGTAGCGAAGGCATTGTAAATCGGTTGAAATGCCATGGCGAGGGTTTCCGAAACTGCCAAACTCCTGAGTTCTGTTGTTCTGAGGTGGAAAAGTGCAGACCCACAGGTATAAGGAGAAGCTTTATATGTGGATCTGCAGCGGGCCTATCTAATCGTTTGGGCTACACCGTTAACACTAAGCCTTCAGCTCCACACGACGTGTTGTGGCTGTCGTTGTGAAGCCGTTCCCGTGACGTGGGCCTAAAGGCGGAGCCAATGGTAAGCACTATGTAGAAATCTCACTGCTAAATCACTAATACACCGAGCCTGTCACAATTGCTGACACCAGGCGATCGCACACGTCGCTGGTACGGCCGAGAACCGTCTATGAGCAGGAGGCGAGCGGAGTTGGTGTCATGACCAAGGTATCGGCCGCAAAGGTCTGGAAGGTCAACGTAATTGGATGACAAGATTTGTAGACTGAGAGCTGAGAAATGGCTCGCTAGCGTTATTTCCAGCATAGCTGTGTGGCTGTCTACCTGAGTGCACGTCGCACAACAGTCCACAGGCTGCAAGTTGATTAGAAACCGTCATCGCCTTTGATGCCTTGGCGTTGTCCGGACATTCGGCGAAGGGTTGGCCCCACACCCGTACACGGAAGCGGAGGCGGAGGTGAGGTTTGCCCGAAGATGACGGTCCAACTGCAGCTTACTCCGTGGTGCGGATGCTGATGTCTAGCCGCGAACGGGCTGGCGCGGAAGAGCTTGCAATTTTGCTCATGATTCGCACACAACAGGCGTGATTATCTTAGCTCTAAGCATGCTAATGTAGTCATTGGCCGACGTTTCTTAGATATGTATACATTGTATTTTACTATCCCTTCATCAACAACATCCGTTATGGTCTAGGTAAGCTCAATCATCACCCCTCTTCAACAACACCATCTAACATTTAAAAGTGGCTAGGATACATCGCTCTCATAGCAAGCGCCGATGTGGCCGGGGTTCGATTCCCCGTGACGGAAGCATCTTTTTGCCCTCTTTTTGCACTTTCCGGGGCATCTGGAGTGGTCGGACGGACGTGAAGGGTGCTACACGATGTCACGAATCTTTTTTTTGGGCACTACGCGGACATCCGCATCCTTTGCGTGGACGCTGTAAAGATATCATCTTCTTGCGAAAAAGTTGTCTCGTACACAACACTTTCTTTTTCCGAATGTTCACGAGCAGCTTACAATTCGAAAAATCATAGATGCACAGAAAATTACTCTCTTCTTTTCTCTGAACCGTAACATGAAATTAGACTTCCATCTAAATGTGACTCTTCTTCTTCCAGAAGTCAGACTTCACTCCACCGGCCTGGATCAAGGTCTTCTCTGGCGGCTCAGCGCCCAAGAGCAACTTCATCTCAGGGTCTCCTTTCTCCATAGCTCTCTGATACGCAGGTCTGTCCCCAATGTCTTTCAAGTACCTTACAATATTGGGGTAGTCCTTGAAGCTCACGAGCGGGCCAAAGTATCGTTTCGACGTGAGAGAATAGACAGTCATGATATCCGCAACGGTGAAGTCGTCTCCAGCCAGCCACGTATGATCTTTGAGCCACTCATCCATAACCTTGAGGGTATCCTGCAGCCCGGCCATCGAGAACTTCTGCGCTGCGTTGCCCTGGGGAATCTGGCCGATTTCGAAGAAGGTGAAGCGGTTCATGAGCGCTTGCAAGGTGCCATTCGAGAAGTGATACCAGTAGATGAAGTCGGCATATCCCGGCTCACCATATGATTTTGCCAGTTTCTTTTCGAGGTTTTGGCTCCCAAGCTCTCCGGCCGCGTTCTTCGCGAGGATGTAGTCGCATATCGCCGCGCTTTCTGACAGTGTGATGCCGGCCTCGGAGTCTTCAATGAACGGTGCTTTGCCAGTGGAGTTACCAGGCACGTTTTTCAGAGACTCGGGCGCTGCAATTGGCGCGCGGGTGTGGTGCACAATTTCATAGTCGATTGCGAGCTCCTCACAGAGAAAGAGGATGCGCTCGCTCTGTGAGATGCCGAGGTGATGGACAGTTAGGACCATGTTGCTGGAATTGCTGTTGTTGTATTTCCTGTGACTTGGGACCAGTATTGCAATCGTCTTAAGGCCTGAGTGTTAACAACTTTCAAACTTGTCAATTATCTCCACGCAGTTACCGGGCTCGACTACCTAGGTACACTCTGAATAGCATGACGTCAGTCGCCGAATCAACGCTTCCGGAGCTGAGCAGCTCCATGTTGACCTCGGTAAGTATTGTGTAGTGATCTCTTCTGCTCAGTCCGTACTTGCTGTAAGATGACTGCCTCGCCTTGTCTTGAATATGTGGGTCGAATATAGCTATGTACTCGTCGACTGTAGCGATGTTCCGGAGGTCGATAGCTGGGTCCTTGTTGGATTAAGCGCTAGCGCTGTTATGTAATTCCATGTCGTGTACTCCCCTTCCCTAGATTACCTGCCCAAGCAACCACTTGATATCAACAACATCAGTCACTGGACTTAAAACTATTGACTAACATATCGGAATCCTATGCATCCCATGAGCTCGCAATATCCATAGGAGTACGTCTTGTCTGCTCTTGTCGGCGAACGCCGATACTTTCGCCCCCAGCCATAGAGAATGGCGCTTGATCTGAACGTATTTCACCCTGCAAAATTTGTCTAGAGCCCAGCTGTAGCTGCATCCTGCAAGAGAGCAGAGTACCTACTGCAGCGGCTACTTCCTGGCTCGCACGCTGCCGACCGGGCGATGGCCGGAGATGCAAGCGCGGAATCTGATGCTGATAAGGATTTCGGCAGCATCCGCGTCCACCACCAACAGTAAATGCCACCATAGTGAAGGCAACTTGACAGATAAGTATTGAGCGACCGCAGTCAACGGATCCATCACAAACACCAGAAACTCACAGATCATAATGTCGTCAATACAGATTACACCAGTTGCTCACCCTGCCAATTCACGCCGCAGCATTGGCGCTACTGCTACCAACCTCGATGTCAACAACCTGACTGAAGACGACTGGAAGGTCATCCACAATGGATTGTACACACACTCAGTTTTGGTTTTGAAAGACCAGGCTCACGCCACACCAAAGGCGCAGTTCGAACTTACACAGCGTTTCGACCCGTCATGCTCGGGCTATGGACATGGCAAGACGCTGGATGCAAAGCGCAGCATCCTGCACCCAGATCTCAAGACAATTCCGCATCAGCCTCAAGTGCAAGTGATCGGCAACGGCTTCGTGAAGGACTTTGAGGGACTCAAGGACATTACGCTGAAGCATCCGCATCACAAAACCTTCCACAAGACTACGGTCCCCGAGGCTGAGGATTTGGACTTCACGCGTTTTTACCGCTGGCACATCGACGCGGCGCTTTACGACCTGCAGCCACCGCGGGTGACCTCTCTTATGGCGGTCAAAGTACCTAAGGGGCGAACGCAGACGCTTCGCTACGATGATGGTACTGGAGACGAACTGCAGGTCCCGCTAGGCACGACTGCGTTCGTGTCTGGATATACGATGTACGATATTCTATCCGAGAGCGACAAGGAGTTTGCCCGCACGACCAAGGTTGAATATGCAGCGCACCCCTACATTTGGATGTCGCCGGCAAAGTCAAGGTCGACAGGTTTAGGGCTGGAGTCGGACGGCTTGGAGCTGGCCGCAAGCGAGCTGCCGCCGGTTGACGAGTCGAAAATCCTTCGGCTGCCAATGTGCTGGAAGAATCCGTTGACTGGCAAGCTCGCCCTCCAGATTCATCCCTCTGCAGTGCGCAGGCTGCACTTGGGGAACGGTTCCGTGATTGATGATCTGAAAGAGGTGCGAGACATCGTCTATCGACTGCAGCGACCAGGTATTGCGCCAGAATTGGTGTACTGCCACGACTGGGAGGAAGGTGATTTGGTTCTGTTCAACAACCAGGGTACGATTCACAGTGTTGTTGGTGCATTCGCGCCCGACGAGGTCCGCATATTCAGGCAGTGTAACCTGGCAAGCAATGCTCCCCCGGAAGGCCCAGACCGTGGTTCGCACGAGGCGTGGATGCAACCCCTCCGCACGTACGCGCCTGAAAAGAGCACGGAAGCCGCTGACAACGCATGGATGAAACCAATGCGCGCGTATTAGTACAACCAGCTATAGCAATATGATACCCAACCTGTTATTGACCCGTCCGTGCTCGTCGTGATTTTCGTGGACCGTGCTGAGGACGCCTTGACCGGTAGAGGGGCGAGGCGAATTTCGTGAGGCTGCCGCTGTGGGACTGTGAATCTGCGGAGTCCATGGCTCCACCAGCCACACTTCGCATCACCTCATCTACAAGCGTTCAAGGTGGATGACGGTGGAGAACGTGCAAAGTCTCGCTGTCCTCAGGGTCTGTTCAGCTGGCGGTCTGCGCAATCTTAACTCTGGCGCTGCCACGTTGCACGCGAAAAGCAGGAGGCTGGGACGCATCACCACGGGAGCCAACTTTGGCGCGGCCCTGCAGGAACAGGCCTGATTCTCCTCTAAAGGTATCCCCCGGGTGGGGATGATTGGCTGGTCCCTGTTGTGACGCGGGCTAGGATGACGTTGGTACGACTGCGTTGCCCGTTGTTACGCGCTAAGTAAACATGCCAGCCACCTCTTACTGTAGACCCGCCTCCTCCCCAGCCTCATGCATTTTGAGACAGCATAGTACTCGGTATCTGCAAGCGCGCGCAAGACACACTCTAAGCTATCCACTCTCGAACATTCCTCACATCATCGGGATTCTAACATTCCTACCCAGACTGCAAGAGCTCCCCACACGTGGTAGTCGAGAACATTGAAGCGACCCACGTACCGCACCTAAACACCGGCGAACATTCCTGGGACGGCAACAACGCTCGCGCAGACTCATCTGAGTGCATTCCATCGACCATCTTACCCGGCCCTCAGGGCGCAGGGTCAACTGTTGCGCAATAGGCACATTTTGCAAGGGACACAGAAAACATGGCGAACCTCAGATTTGCGGTCAGCATGCAACGTGGGTAGTCGCCGGCTTTGAAGATGGAATGTAGACTGACGACAATAGGGCTGATACCGTTTCTCGGTTTCCACCACATACTCATGATCTTGATAGCCATCGCTATCATCCTACTATGTAAGCCAAAACGCGAAAAACGCGCGCGACCGTACACTGACGTGACGCAGCACTACTACTGGCAGGATGCTCCTCCACATCGCCGCTCATTCCCGGCATCTTCCTCATCTCGCTCTGGTACGAGAAGTACACACCCACATACTCGACCGAGCAAGTCGACCCTGGCGTCACCCAGGCCATCGCAAACATTGTCAGTAACGCACAGCTCGGTGTGCGCGTTGGATACTTTGGCATTTGCATCAACCGCGATGGCGGTGGCTACATCTGCTCCAACAACGCGACCGCGCTCGTCACCAACTTGTCCATCGATCAAGACCCGCTCAATCTTGTCTGGGTCGCCGCAACCTTCAAGGATGCCGTCGTTTTCCCCTATCTCCTCATTGTCGCCATCATTCTCGCCTTTTTCACGTTCATTCTGCTCGCAACCTTCCCGGGGTGGCACGAGGAGAGGGACCAGAACACAGGCTCTGATGTCGATGTCAAGCCGTTCCCATCGAGGCCCGTGTCTCAGGTCGCTCTTGCGCTCATCTTCATCTCGTCGATCTTCGTCCTCGTCTCCGTACTGTGGCAGCACACAGCATCTGTCGCTGCAGCAACAATCGCGCAAGATCTAGGGAACGGGAGTGTCAAATCCGGCGTCGGCACCTCAGCCATGGTATTAGGATGGTTTAGCTTCGTACTGCTCATAATAGTGACCATCGGGTTGCTCGTTATGATTATCAGTATTGTTGTTCTCGACCGCCTGACCGACGACTAAGCGTGTTGCGGTGGCCACCCATTTTCTACGGAGAAGTAATGATAGAGGGACGATTTTGCCCGCCTTGTATTTTTCGCCGAGTGTACTTGGCTTTCGACTACATACCCTTTTTGGCGACGCGACGATTCTGTTTCCAGAACGATTTTTGCATATTAGGCGTTGGGCGGACTTTTGTTTGGCTTTGGCATCGCGAGACAAGCGCAGAGTAAGACCAGACGATGACACGAATGACGGAAGGGACGCATTGATGGGATGTATTTATGTAGTAAACGACAGAACAAGACGGAAATGTCGTAAAGATCAATGAACTTCTCTTCAACTCAATACTAGTTCGATTTGCACGTGAATCGCGTCTAACCACTCATACTGGTGAAGTCATTGATGCATCCGGAAAATCCTCGCAGACGAAACGCGGGGAAGGTGCTCGACACCAGAGCTGCATGCAAGTCGAGCGTTCGCACCGCAAACAGGAAAGCAACCCATGAGGCGCAAACAATGACAAGCGACAGCTCCGACGAGCCTCAATATTCCTGGAAATGAGGATGTTCGATCCCTACTGAGAAATCGGAGTCCGATGACCGGCTGCGATGGACAGGTGAAGCGGGGCACCTTGCCTAAATAGGCGTAGTTCGAGATGCCCCTCGCAAAAAAGTTGAGGGCGCGGCGTGTGGCACGAGGTTTTATCCATCCAGTACTCTGGCAAGGCTTACTTAAAACCTCTCGTCTTCGCTCTTCATCTCTCTTCATCCTTTTCGCCCCCAATCCTTTCTCCCCCCATCAATTGTTCCAACATGTCTAACTACGCGCTCCCCAAGTCCCACCAGGACGTATGTTTCCCCGCACGTGTATGGACAATGGATGAATACTGACTCATGACAGCTCATGGAGAAGTCCCTGGTGGACACTGACCAGGAGGTTGCTCAGATCATGGTGCGTAAAGCTTCGTTTTGGTATATGCACAGTCGCTAATAATCTGTAGGAACGCGAGATCCAGCGTCAGCGCGAGTCCATCCTCCTCATTGCCTCCGAGAATGTCACATCCCGCGCCGTCTTCGATGCGCTTGGTTCGCCTATGTCGAACAAGTACTCGGAGGGCTACCCCGGTGCCCGCTACTACGGCGGCAACGAGCACATCGACGCCATCGAGCTGCTCTGCCAGAAGCGCGCCCTCGAGGCGTTCGGCCTTGACAGCGAGAAGTGGGGCGTCAACGTCCAGTGCTTGTCCGGCTCCCCTGCCAACCTCCAGGTCTACCAGGCCATCATGAGGCCTCACGAGAGGCTCATGGGTCTTGACCTGCCCCACGGCGGTCACTTGTCCCACGGCTACCAGACCCCCCAGAGGAAGATCTCTGCCGTTTCCACATACTTCGAGACCTTCCCCTACCGCGTCAACCTCGACACTGGCCTCATCGACTACGACCAGCTCGAGCAGAACGCCCTGATGTACCGCCCCAAGGTCCTGGTTGCCGGTACCTCGGCCTACTGCCGTGAGATTGATTACGCTCGCATGCGCCAGATTGCCGACAAGGTTGGCTGCTACCTCATGATGGATATGGCCCATATCTCTGGTCTCGTCGCTGCTGGTGTCAACAAGTCGCCCTTCCCCTACTGCGACATCGTTACCACGACCACCCACAAGTCGCTCCGTGGTCCCCGTGGTGCCATGATCTTCTTCCGCAAGGGCGTCCGCAGCACCGACGCGAAGAGCGGCAAGCAGACCCTCTACGATCTTGAGGGCCCCATCAACTTCTCTGTCTTCCCCGGTCACCAGGGTGGACCCCACAACCACACCATCACCGCGCTCGCCGTTGCCCTCAAGCAGGCTCAGACCGAGGACTTCAAGCTGTACCAGCAGCAGGTCGTCAAGAACGCCAAGCAGCTCGAGAACACCTTCACCGAGCTCGGCTTCAAGCTCGTCACTGACGGTACCGACAACCACATGGTCTTGATCGACCTTAAGCAGTGGGCCCTTGACGGTGCTCGTGTCGAGGCCGTTCTCGAGCAGGTCAACATTGCCTGCAACAAGAACACCACTCCTGGTGACAAGTCTGCTCTTACCCCCATGGGTATCCGCATTGGTGCCCCTGCCATGACCTCGCGTGGTCTCGGCGAGAAGGACTTTGAGAAGATTGCTCACTACATTGACACTGTCATCAAGCTGTGCAAGAAGATCCAGTCCGAGCTCCCCAAGGAGGCCAACAAGCTCAAGGACTTCAAGGCCAAGGTCACCTCTGGCGAGGTTGAGGAGATCGCGAGCCTCAAGAAGGAGATCGCTGCCTGGGCCGTCACCTTCCCTCTCCCCATCTAAGTCTCCGACGTGCAGACTTGGTAATGTGTGTTCTTGCATGGCGTACGACGGCGTTTTCAACAAAAAGGATGCGCATCGGTTGATTGAATATTCAACATCTCGCGCAATTTGTGTTCATGATAGGATGACGGTGTGATACTCCCTGTTTATGTAGAATGAAGCCGACACGGCATGATCGGTGCTTAACCAGCGATCAGACGAATGAAAACTATTGACATAACTTCGCTGAATGGCTGAGGCGTGAGTGTTGCGGTATGGAAGATCCTGTGTTCGAGCGCCTTGACAATTGATGTATGACGAATGCTGGCAGCGAGACATCGTGTGGCCATCAGAGCTTTCGGCGCGACGATCCGGTGCCGACATCCGAAGCTCGGCGGAGAAGAGTCCAGCTACCCGACATTCGCCGGTTCTCACCCACAGTGCCCAACTCTCGCTTTCCTGGTGATAGCACGGTGCCGATAGAACACGCGTTTGCCTCAGAATTTACTGTATACATAAATTTCAAAAATGTGGTATACTTCATCAAGCAACAGCAAGCCCGGCTGGCACAATCGGTAGCGCGTGAGACTCTTAATCTCAAGGTTGAGGGTTCGAGCCCCTCGTCGGGCTTAACAGCATTCTTTTTGCCTTTGCAGCTTGCCCGTAGCTGTCGTGGTCGTCGAGATATCGGCTGTTGAAGGTGGCCGTTTTTTGGTAGGCCGGGGGTCCGTGCGCGTGTGAAATAGCCGAGCGATCGGTTCCCCCACGTGGGAGGCATGCGGCAATCACGTGCATGCACAAAACGGTCACATCGCCTCAGATGAGGACGAACAAAGATACATTCTTGCCAATGATAAACCAAAGTAGGCTGCAAATTCTAGCAAGTTCTGTGATGCCTATATTACATTGCGCGATACACTCAGGATGGTGATAGGAACCTTTAACGGTGGCAAAGATGCTCGATTGAAGGGCAAGAAGGCCGCCACTCATGACAATGGGCCTCTACACAAGGCCAAAGCCAACGAAACCTAGAATCTTGATTCTCAAACTAAATTGGATCCCTCCAAGCGCCAGATAAAGAGGAAGCAGAGCAGGCTAAGTACACCGTTGTATTGAACGAAGGCAAGCGTCTAGCTACTTCTGCTGGCTCCGCTGATGCCTTGATATCTTCAGCTGCTCCTAAGCCTCCTTTGAACTCTGTTCCCAGCCCTATCAACCCGGAGACTACAGATTCAGACGCCATGGACCTTGGCGATGCTCTCGACCCCATTGTCAACCCACCTGATGAGAAGAACATCATGGATTCTGTATCATGGAGCAATGAAACTGCGGCCGATCCGAATACGGCAAAGGGCTCTAGCGATGTGGGCTCCACGGATACTCCGCGCGAGACATCTTCTACCTTGAACTAACGCTCTTTGTTTTCGGGATCTGTGGCTTGCGAATCTGAAGCTGACCTCAAATTCGTGTCTGGATGGTTCTGCTCTGGGTCCAACACCAGATCTCCAGGCGGCGCCGCAACAGTTTCAGGCTTTTCACTGCTTTCAGACCCGATGAAAGAATCCGAATCTTCCGAATCTGGAATTTTTCTTGAATTCATGCCTGGACTGTTCTGTCCTAGGTTCATCACCGGAACTGCGGGGTGCGCTGCAGTTTGAGACTCCTCCATACTCTCATGTTTGGTTGGCAAGTCCATAGGTCGCCACTCTGCATGCTGTCTCAAGCTTATCCCTGAGTCGTTCTGCTGCTGATCTGCACCAATGATAGATCCTGCTGCTGCTGCTGCTGCATGGGGTTCTGAACTCACTGCAGGAAGTTCCGCAATTACCACAGACGGACCAGGAGGTTCCGCAATTGCCACAGGAGGACCTGAAGTTGCCTTAGGAGAGTTTAGAGCTGGTACGGAAGCGTTTGGATCCGCTCTGACGAAGTCTGTCACTGCAATAATAGCAACTGCAAGTAACTCCAAATTCGCTACGTCTGATTGTGAGTCGGCGCGGCCAAGTGTGCCCGAGATATGCGATGGCGACCTTAGCCTTCTGTCATATCGAGAAGATTCATTTCGACGAGATGGCGGTGATCTCCGCCTCCTGTCATCTCGCGGAGACTCACGTCGACGAGGTGATGGTGATCTCGACCTTCTGTCGTCTCGTGGAGAACGATACCGACGAGGCGATGGCGATTGACCACCTCTGTAGCTGGACATGTGTGTCGAGTAACTCCCGTAATCCCTTGGCGAAGGAGAACGTCGAGGCTGATAATGCGGACGATAGTGGTGGTCCAGCCGCCCGACGAAAGCCTGCTGACTCTCGCTTCCTATCGCCGGTGCTGCACCATTGCGCAACGCTATGCGTTGACGCCTGCTAGGCTTGTTGCGGGGACGATGCGACATCACTGTAAAACAGTGAAAGAAGAGAAGATGAAGATTGATGAGGAACGTTTCGCTATTCCGAAAAGCCTCAAACCAATTCTACCACGTACGTAATACGCTTAAGAACCAGCGACAACTGCGTACAGAATACGCGAGAAGTCCTACCCAACACTCAATGAAGAGGTCGAGGTTGGCCTGCACAAGTACAGTCCAATCGCTACACAGGGGTCAGCCAATGCAGGGTCTCAGTGCAAAGCAGTGTGAGACGAAGAAGCAGAAGTGAGCAGAGCCCTGAGAGCTATTGATATGCGACGCTGCTAGCTTGCGTGCCAAGACAGGTAGTCAATAGTCGAATGGCAAGAGAGAGTGACACATTTGGAAGGCAGGAGAGGGACGACACGACTTGACGGCAAGCGAGAGTGACACAACTTAATGCAACGAAATTCCAGATCGGATGGATTTCAACGCTCACGAAATGTGTTGTAGTGGTACGCACAAAATTCTGGACCGCGAAGTAGCTGCTGTCCGGTCGAAGCCAGGTAAAATACCTGAACGGGAGTAGCGGCCGTCCCGAACGCCGTTTTGAACACACAACTCGGCAATGGAAGTGCCTGACCAGATCTGATCTCTAAAGGTAGTCACTAGAAATGGAGCGATTTCGCCATATGCCCGTATTGTCGCACTGTTGAAGCCTCTCCAGCGTTGCAACATTAGCATCGCTATGCTCCGGAAACCAATCGAAGCGTTAGTTGAGTAGCGACCTGACGTCAAAATTTCATCAGGTACAAACGCGTTGATGCCATTGCTTGGGATACTTGGTAGGCAATCGTGGCCCGCTAGAGATCTTCACCTGAGGAGAAGACTCGGGGCGATCTCCTGCGTTATTCGGGTGAGGCCGAACTTGCACTCCAGAGTCAGACACACGGATTGAGAAGGTGTGTAAATGCGTTATCTCGCACGTGGCGGCGAACGACACTTCGAGGAGGTGCGAGGGAAGGTAGAAGAGTCTGCCTTCCGAGCGCCGTGTGTTTTTGCGGTTCGTCTCTGCTTTCGCCTTGGAGGTTGCTGCACATTATACATTCTTTACTTCTTCGATTGGACTTCTGCCACAGTGCTGACTGCCTCCAGCCTGCGTCGTATCCAACGCGTTCCTCAATCCTATATACATGCCATGAGCGGCTTCCTGTCCACGCTACTCATCACCGACCATGCCTTCGCGCTCTCGACAAACAACGCAGCCGCGCCCAATCGCGCTCTTGATGACGTGCGCATGCGCGACCTTTGCGCCAACGCTCCTGCTCCACCTGCCGTCGCTTTCCAGCGCATCGTTCGCGAGTTGCTGCTGCAAGGTTGCTGCGACACTAGCGCTGGCACTTGTCTTCGGCAGCAAGCAGCTGAGATGGAAAACGTGGCCGCACGCAAACCCGACTAGTGTGTCGCGGGACTTGGGCAGAGGGAGTTCCATAACTTCTTCCTCCTCAGCGGTGGGGAGGGTGAATGCTTCGCGACAGCCCGTGCAGTGGCCTGCGGGTGCTTCCACGGACGGATCTTCTGCTGGAGCAGGGTCGGCTACAGGCGCTTGGTTTATTGACGCAGCAGCGGTGGTATTGCCGCTGAGCACCTTTGCTGCAAGTTTGGGGTCGACTCCCTTGGGCCGTATGTCGACCTCTTTGCGTTTGGAGACTCCGTTCTGTGCGCCAGGCAATTCCTCGTGCACACTGTCTTCTTCATCACAGGGTATGACCTCAAACTTGACAGCCCGCTTCTGTCCCGCGCGGAGAGTGTCCATACCCGCCGCGACTTCACCGCGCAGCACTCTGGCTACGCCCTCGGATATCGAATGCTGGATCTCGTATTCGCGGACCATGCGGCCAATGCCGTCTCTGAGGCCTTCAATCTCAAGACCCTCGGGGATACGGCGAACGAGCTGAATGGGATCGATAGCTGTACCGACTTCTGCCAGCAAGCCTCTGATGAACTGCGGCTTATCCATCGAGTAGTCGAGAAGGTCGTTCCACAGATCTGGATCATCTTGCTCCTTTGCGAACGATATTGCGAAGCTGACATCGGAGAGCTTCTCGATGATCAGGTACAAGGCGCGCTTAGTCTGGCCGGTCTTCGAGAGTATGTGTCTAGCGTTGTCAGCATGGGCAACTTGTATCAGACTCAGGACTTACACAAGCTCTGGGATGTACTCCCTGGTCTCACAGATAGCCGTGGCCTTGCTGAGATCGAAGCTCTGCGACTTGCGGAGGAACTCCATTAACAATGGGCGATCGTATTCAGCGAACAGCTCAACCATGAGGTCAGAGAAGCCCTCGGCCACGATCTTGCCGTCTGCAGCCAAGCGGTCTTCAGCAACGCGTTCTTTTGCTGTCCTGGCCTTGCGCTCGTGCAATTCTGGCTTCCATAGACGTCGAAGGTAGAAGAACAAGAACGGCTGGAACGAGTCTCTCTTCTTGCTTTCTCGAAGCTGTGTGACGACCTCATCAGCCAGAATGGTTCCACGACATCCTTCTTCGACCAGCACCTCGATAGTCTCCGACGATGCTTCTTCCAGGTCTTCCAGTGGTGCGGACGCCATCTGCTCTCTCGATACGCGCAGTAGTAGAAACCCGGGAATATCGTCCCTGACAGCCTCGACGAGATGGAACTCGCGAATAATGCTCATAGCAGCATCGGCGTTCTGCAGGCGAATATAGCAGCGCAGTGCCTCGCGCTGGCGGCCACTCGCAAGGTACAGCTTCGCAAGACCATCTTGCAGTATCCGCCAGTCTCGGCCGTGTTCGTTGCCCTCGACAGAGTCTTCGGTTACATCTCCGGCGTTCAGTTTGGCTTTGATAGCTTCGATCACGCTGTTGATGTCGAAGAGATCCGGATCCCATGCCTCGAGCAGGTGCTTGAATCTGATCCGGTCATTGATGATGTAGTGCCCGAGAATGACCTCGTACACCATAGATGGAAGCGGTGGCTGCAGCTGCTTGGTTGGGATATAAGGAGAGATTTCGTCAAAGTGGTTCGTTTGCGCAAACTTCCACACCCAGTGCTCCCATCTCGTGGAGGTGCCTAGGACTCGGCCGGCAACCTTACCAGCCCCATTCCAGTTGCCTGCGTTTACTAACTGCTGCACCCAGAGGTCACCAACACGTCGCTTCTCCTTCTCAACAGCCGTGTTTTGATTTGCTCTTGCAGCAGAAACCGTATCTTGTGAATCAGTCTCGTCGGCGAAGAAATCCTGCAGGCTTCCTTGCTTTAAGACAGGTGTGCCAGCTGGCGAGTTCTCCGCCACGGATTGGCTGGCAGAGCTGACAACTTCCGGGTGGTCCTCTAGAAGCTCCCATGCATCTTTGTAGTTCTCGTGCTCTAGTTCCCAGTTGAAGTGATCTGTCAGGTCTCGCTTGATGGCCAACACACAGTCGTACGGACTGTGGATGAAGACTTTGAGGCCTGCGGTCGCAGCGTTTGGATGGACTGGCGTCTGTCGTCCACGAGCTAGTAGAGATGGCACAGTACCACTCGCAGATGACAGAGATGATGGCTTTGACTCTGAACCTATCGGTATGTTGAGAACACTGGCGCCGGAACTGAACATCCTCGTTGCACTGACACCGGCATCCCAAATACCTCCTCCGATAGCCTCGAGTGCGCTCTTCTGTGCAGGTGTCATGGCCTTGGGATGCGGTATGTATAAAGTTCCTAGGTGATAGTCGGCTGCTGAAAGCGTTTCGTATCTGCTGACTGTCAAAGAGTCGACTTCGACTTCCTCTTGGGTGACAGCGTCGATGAGCTTGAGCTCAGGAGATAGGCCATTCGCGCGCCGGTGCATGCCGCGGCGTGGAGTCGTTTCGACGGGGTTGTCATCGTCATCATGTGTACGATATGCAAGAACGAGAAGTAGGGAAGGGGTATAAAGCGAGATGCCAGAAACAATACAATCGTCAAACTTGAGACTAGTAAATGTTAGTCATGATCGCCCCAGATGACGAATAACTTACTGATGAGGAACTTCGATGCTGCCAGGAGACCTTTCGCCAGTCCTGCCATTACCGAAGACTTCTCCAGGAACAACATGAATGATCCACGCGGCATCTCCCCATCCTACGACCAATTTCTCGACCTTTTCTACCTTGGGCCCCTTGCCTGACTTATGCCTTCGGTGGTGAGGCAGAGTGGCGTCATCCTTGTTCTCCCGATGGCTGTTCATGCTCATGATAGCATCATCGTCTGACTCCAGTGACTCATCGTCGACCCAGTCTACTCTTGCTTTCCACAGAGCTGCCATATCTTGCCAGACACGGCGATTAGGTTTCCCAACGAAGCCTATCCTCTTCCATGCTAGTTCAGAGTCTGCGCTGTCGAGGAACAGGTTCGTGCGCATGAACCTGATGCCTTCTTCGTTGACCCATACCACGTACTTCCCAGACAACGACCATTTGATCGTACTGATGGAGCCTTCTCCCGAGTGCAGGATCGTGTCTCGACCGGTGTTTCCTCCAAGACCTATTGCTCCAAGCCATCCTTGCGCTGCTTGAGATGCCGAGCTCGTGTTTGCGGTTGCGCGGGTACCTATTGGGCCGCCGCTTGTCAGGATCAGTTCGCCAGCCAAACCTCCCGAGAGATATGAGCGATCGTTCTTGTAGTCTGGCGATAGTGCGACAGCCTGGATCGGACGGGCGAAATTGCGCAGAGTGACGTCTTTCGGGTCGATCAAGGAGGACACGCAAACGTGGCCATCTATAGATGCTGATGCGATGTAGATCTGATTTGAAGGGGTATTGGGAACTGGATTTTGCTGGGGCCTGCGAGGGTCGCGGCCAGGCTGCGGTGTGGTTTTTCGTGGCGCATCGACCTCTGGCGCTCTGGTGGGCGAGCCGATTTGATTCACGAATGACTGCGTGCGCGGGAGTGGTGAGACGGAAAGTGCGGTGACCGAGGCCGAGGGGTGGGCGTTGTATGTGCGCAGTATCTGGAACGATGGGATGGCGAGGGTGTGCTGGTGATGTTAGAAGGTATTTATGTTGCCGTGATGTACAGACTCACGATATTGCCATTGTGTGTGCCAACGATCTGTGTAGAGCTCAGTATACGGGTTGCGACACGCAGCTCTCGAGGAGCCCGAGCTATAACCATACCATCTTGTCACCAGCCACCAGGAAAGAGCTTGTCGCGTCGCCATTGCGATATACAGGACCGAGACTGCTCGTCAAACGGCTGTACTTGAGCTTGGGCTCTTCGTCTGCTTCGTCGTCCTCATCGTCATCGTCCTCGGCGCCATGCGTGTCGACGTGCTGGGCGGCATCTCTGCTGTTGCCAGCTCCATCCCTTGTCACCGCCTGCTGGTCATCGTCGGTCGGATCCGCAGCCATGCTGGCGACATGGGCATGAGCTGCGGTGGGCGTGGGGAGTTGCGAAGCTTAGATCGTGAGGTGTAGCTTGACGTGACGTGCGTAGGCCCAATGCGCTGTGGCTGGACCCTCGGAGCCGTGCAGGGATCTTCGCAGGCTCCACCGAAACTCTTTTGACGGCACAAGCACTGGCCTCCACCATTCGCCATGACCATTGAGCGTCCGAATACGGTATCACGTCGCCGGCGATGGCATTCTACGCGTCGAACGCGCCTTCCGCCTTGATACGAACCGCTGCAAGGTGTACACAACGAACGTCTCAAACATTAAATCACCTGCCGTTGCGTCTGACCCCAGCACGAGCATTCTCCGTCAATGCGTCACTCCGGAAAAAGCAGGAGGATGTGAATGGCAAAACCGAGGCGCCGAAACACGCGCCACGAAAGACTGCGGGGAAGACATCCTCGCTACGCAGTGTTGCTGTCGAAGCACAACGATCACGAACATTTGTCAAGTCGCGTGGCCGAACACGCTTCATCGACCCAGATGCCGAAACCAAAACAGTGACCGCGTACTGCGCCGCCGAGACATACAACATCGCCATCGCCGCAAACCTTGTCAAAGCCCAAGGCTACGAGCTCGATCCTTTCCAGACCGGACTCTACCCACAAGTGCTCCACATACAGACCAGCGACCGACCGTCTGAGGTCAAAGACTTCCAACAGGGCGACATCTTCATCTTCCCCTCTGGCACAGTCGTCACATGGAACGTCCGCGAACGGGAGGCTCTGAAGCTTGTGCAGCAGATCTTGCCTGCCGCAGCAGAGGGCTCACACCTCGAGCTTCTCGAGACCGAAGACCTCGACTACCTGGAGGATAGTTCACGCGAGAGCAGCGAAGTCGTTGGTGACACAATCGTATTGGGAACAAAGCCCGAGCAGGGTCCTGATTCTTCCATCGCAACACCAACTGATTCTGGTCCTGCATCGCCGGAGGTTGACACGGTCCTTGCTAAGATTGCGTTCTCGTCTGGTCTGGCACGGTCTACGAAGCTTGCTGTCCTTGAAACGCTCCTATCAAACTACCAACACTCGACTCGCGAGATTCCCAACATGCTCGCTGCAAAGCACACCCGCTCGCCCTTCACACGCTCCTTCATACTCCGAAAGACTGGCGAACTGCTTTCCATACGGGCGCAGCTAAACCTCTATTCAGAGCTCACAGACAGCATGCCAGACCTGTTCTGGGACTCGCGGCATGAGCTGGGGCTGGGTGGCTACTACGACGACGTCGGCCGCGCTTTGGACGTCGGGGTCAGAATCAAGGTACTGAACGAAAAGATCGGCTTCGCGCAAGAGATTGCAAGCGTGCTGCGCGAACAGCTGAGCGAGAAGCATGGATTGAGACTGGAATGGGCAATCATCGCGCTCATTGCTGTTGAAGTGGTACTAGAGTTTTGGAGACACTATGAGGAGAGAAGGGAAAGAGACGATCCGGCAAGTACGCAGGCATTGCTGAGAGCATATCTGGAGCGACTAGCCAGGGAAGAGGTGAGACCGAAAGCCTTATGACGGTAGCGAAATCGTCGTCCATTATGATACCCCACTCAGCAATGTAAAACAACTGTTCAGACGATACGACTATGAGGAGACCCGAGCGATCAAGAGTGTTGCATCCTGAAAGGTTGTGGTCAGAGGTGACAGTGCTTTTCAAATCAAAATCCTTCGTGCAAAAGTACTACAGTGAATAGTTTGGAGACCAGCGTCAGGAGCCACCGCAGACATCCAGAGTCTCACAAGCATTGCACCTTGACGAGTCGTCGATAAGGCACCCTACCAAATGAGTCTATCTTGAACGCGTCTGGACGTGAAGTTGAAGGCAAACGAACAGCAAATTTCGACACACAGAACTCGTTTACGCAACATGCGTGATCTCACTATGAGGGACTCTGTTGGAGTTGACTTGATGCGATTATCTCGTGTCCCCAGTACAGACGGGAGACACGACAATGTTGTCATCATGCTAAGGGCGTCTTGTTTTCGACAACCAGTGCGCTACCAACATGACCCAGTACCTCCATAGACAGTATTGATCTGTCGTAGAGGACACTGCACACACTCGACTTCCACACCATCCAAATCTAATACCCCAGCTCTCCAGCAGTCTCCACTAGCGCCTTAACAAGCCCATCCAGCGTCCCCCTCCTCGTCCCCCCGTTAACCACCACCCTGAAAAACTTTCCCTTCTCCCCCGGCGCATAATCAACCATAAACCCCCTCGGGATCAGCCTGTGCGCAATCTCCTCCGTCACCTTACCATTCGCCTTCGCGTCCTTCCCAACCACGCCGCCACGCGCAAAGTAGAAACACACCTGCAGACACGGCAGCGGCTCTGGCGAAATCGTCGCAAAGTCGCCGTGCCGCTTGAGCGCAGCAAGCAGGTACTCCGCGTTCTCGAACGCGCGCGCCACCAGCGCCGAGAAGTACGCGGGCCCGTAGTACTGCAGCGCGAGGAAGAACTTGAGGCTGTCGGCGCGGCGGCCGCACTGGGGCGTCAGATCGGCGAGGTCGTAGATATCGTGCGGGTTCGCGGCGGCGTCGTTGTGGAACAGGTAGCCTGCGGGCAGCGTCAGGGCGGCGTGGAACGTGCGCATGTCGCGGCCCAGCAGGAACGAGGTGGTGATGGGCGCGCCGAGCATCTTGTGCGGGTTGACGGCGATGCTGTCGGCGAGGTGGGAGGCTTCGAGGCGCGAGGCCGCGAGGGCGGGGTTGAAGATCACGCTGCCGCCCCAGGAGCCGTCGAGGTGCAGCCACAGGTTGTGCGTGCGGCAGATGGCGCTGAGGGCGGGGAGTGGGTCGAAGGAGCCGTGGACGGTGGTACCGGCGGTGGCGTTGACGAAGAAGGGGGTTTCGCCGCGGGCGGCGCTGGCGCGGACGGCGTCGTCGAGGGCGGAGGGGAGCATGCGGCCCGTGGCGTCGACGGGGACGGGGATGACGTTTTGGGTGCCGAGGCCGAAGAGGTTGGCGGCTTTTTCGAGGGAGTAGTGGCCGTGGGCGGAGGTGAAGAGGGTGAACTTGTGGGAGCCATTGCCAGCGGTCTTGGTCTCGGGGTAGAGGGTGTTGCGCGCGATGACGATGGCGGTGCTGTTCGAGGCGCTGCCACCGGGTTGCGAGATGCCGCCAGAGAACTCAGGGGGGTAGCCGAAGAGCGATGCGAGGTATTTGGTGGTGGCTTTTTCGATCAGGGTTAGGACGGGGGATACTTGGTAGACGTGGACCTGGGACGTTAGTTGTTGAAAAGATGGGGCAATAGAGGAGGATGTACGTTTGTGTTTAGCACAGCAAGAAGTAGTTCAGCAACAACTCCTACAGCGTTCGTGCTGGCATATAGCTTGTCCTGGTGTTGTCAGTGATGGTCGGTTAGGTGAGGTAGGTGCAAGGTTACCATAAATCCCTGGTCCCAGGTGTTGACACTATACTTCAGGATGGAATCAACCAGACCGATGAGCCTGTCCTTGCCCTTCTCGACATCATCGCCAATCTTCAGCTGCTCGTGCAACAGAGACTCGAGCTTCTTCGGTGGATGGTGCTCGACGAGCGCGGTGCGAGGCGCACCTCCTTTAATCGCAAGACCATGGCCGGTGTGCTTAGTGTCTGCATCGTGGTCTGCGGCAGCAATGAAAGGGATAATGAGCTCTTGTACGGCGTTGAGCAGCTGTGCTCATGTCAGTACTGCAGAAAGTGACGACGTTCGGAAGTGGATTCGGAACCGTTCCGTAAACGTACGTCGTTGACCTCTTCCGAGCGTTTGAGGGGCGCTTCGGCGCCGTTACCGTTGGCGAATCCAGTCATGCTGCAGGGTATCTGAAGAAAAGCAAGGCGAGATCTAGGTAGTTACAATAGTGTGCAGTATCAACACACAAACAACACGTTAGAATAGCACGGTACTAACACTAGTACGTTCGACTCATGAAGTGACATCTTCCATTGTTCCATACTAAAATCTCAGCCACTCGGCAAACTTCTCATGCGCTAAAGGTATCTAGAGATCAAATCAGACCCACACCAGGAAAGGTTAAAGCAAGCAAGAACGCCTTTTGCCGTGTTTGGCATGAAAATCGGACAGACTGCTCGAACATCATACATGCGTGCTTTTCGCGCCCTATTGCGCCACGAGCCTTGGTTTCTCCGCCTGCTCAGTCTTGTTGCTGCCCGTCGCCACGTTCCTCTCTTTCCGTCCCGTCTTCCTGCTATCTCTGACTGCTGATTCGCTCTTTTTCGGACCGGCTTTAGCAGCCGCGTGCTTCTGGCGTGCCCGCTCAAGCGCTGTCAAGTGTTTGCCCGGTTGCCTGTTCTGGGCGTCGCCATTGCCTTCGGGGAACGACTGGAAACCATCGTTGCCAGCGGTGTAGCGTGATTGCTTGACCCAGTCTGCGCGTTTGCGTTTGTACAGATCCATGCGCCAGTTGCGCCAGACTGCGCGGCCCACGAAGGACTCACGCAGGGCGCTCTCATTCTCAGCAAGCTCTTCAGCGATGCGCTCGCGGATGAAGGCGAGGCCGTGGGTGCCTTCCCAAATAGCATCGATGACGCGAGACGCTGCCGGATCAAGCGCTAGCTCGCCAACATGACCGTAGAACTGCTGGATCATTTTCCGGCGGAAGATGACTGATGCATGTGAGCTGTTCAGGGCTGCTTGGAGGGTTCGTGATGCTGTGGAGTCCCGGGCGAGATTCAGCGAGAGTTCCGGCGAAAGATTGGCGAGCGAATCGAAGATGAGGTTTCCAAGGGGGCCGTCCACTATCATCATGGCCTGCGCGAGCAGAGAGCCGTGCACCTTTTCTGGTGAGTGATCAGGCTTGCCGTGGACTTTGCCGTTGGTCTTGCCATCATCGGGCGTGTCGCTAAGCTTGAGAATGCGCGAGATCTCGAAACCATTGGGTCCGCTGTAGGCAAGCTCGAGTTGCTTCGTGATTGGGAGGGTGTCGACGTCTCGCGCTGCGCAACGCTCGATCAGGGTCTTAAGAATGGCAGTTCGGTTGCGCTCCACCAAGTTGGGGATCTGATCGACAATCTGACGCATGGCATCTCCTAGGTCTTCCTTGCTCAGTCGTTCAAGGATCTTCCCGGCTACGTAGCTAGCGATCTCGTTGCGGGCCAGGCTCCCCATGCGCTCCTTGAAGAACTCGCTGTAGATGGATTTGAACAGCTTTCCAGGTGCATTTTCGATGATGGTCTCGAGCAGACGCGAGCCAATGGGGTCGTAGACCAGGCCGTTGATGAATGCCGCGCTCTCTGTACCTTCAGCGATAGGATCGTCAGGCAGGAGTTTGTGGATAATAGACTGCTCGTCTTTCGCTCGGGACTTTCCAAATATCTTGAGCTCCAGCTTGAGCAGCATCTGCAGGGTCGGATTGCCGAGAGGGTGTGTCGACAGGGTGCGCAGGTAGCCCGAGTCCAGTCCTGAGACGCTATGGTCAATGACCTTCTCGAGGGCCTCTTTGAACGAATCGGGGACGTTTCGGTGTTCCAGAGCGAGGTCTGTCTTCTCTGCGCCAGCGACGCCGATCTTCTCTTTCCGCTTGCTCTGCATAGCCGACTTGTTCTGCTGCTCCAGCGGCGAGCCAGAGAGAATTACTACCAGCACGCGCAACACGTGCGAGGCGAAGCGGTCTGTCAATAGGAAGCCCAGGTGTTCGTCGAGCTCGGCCAGGGCGAGCAGGAAGAGGTTCTCCATAGAGACGAAGATGGCGTCGGGGTCGGACGAGGGGGCGAGGGCGAGGTCGGGGTTGGCAAGCTCCTGGGTGACGACAGGCGCAGCCCGGATGAACAGGGCTTCGCAGCAGTGCGAGGCGAAGCGGTGCTGGACCAGGTGGAGGAAGCTGTTGGCAATGTTAGCTGCTGCAATTGAGACAGCACATGTAACCTACTGTGAGCTGAACTTCTGGAACAGATGCTTGAGCTGGTCCGGCGTCGACAGAATTATGAGGCGCTCCATCAGGCGCGAGCAGGACTGGCTGTTGGCAATCTTGAGCTCTTTCCCGTCGGCCTCTTTCCAGACGTTGGCAAGGAACATGGCGCGCTCGTCGGCGTCGGCGAACTGGTTCAGCTCCAGCATTTCGTCGGCGCGCTTGAAGTACTCCTGCTCGTCCTCGTCCAGCATGCCGTAGAAGGGCATGGCGCCGGGCCCCGAGACATCGACGGCATCGTCCTGGAAGGTGCTGTGCTCGACGGGCGGCTGGTGGGCGTCGTCGTACTGCTGCAGGGTGGCCTCGACATGTTCCTCCCGCTTGGTGCGCTTTGCGTCCTTGTCGGCGTCCTGCTGCTCGCGCTTGCGCTTCTTCTCCTCGCGGCGACCGCGCTTCCTGTTCTCGGTAGGCATCCTAGCACACCGATAGCCGAGATCTAATCTACGGCAAAATCAACAAGTCGCAGCGCAGCGAATATATACGGGCACTCAAGCCGCGGCAGACGTGAACGGGGGGCAGCTCAGGCGACACGGCAGCCGCAGGCGTGCATTAAAGATGTTTTCCACCGGGCCAGCGCAGAGGCAAAACCAGACCCAAAAACCCGCTAAAAGTGCATCTGAATCGACGGCGATCGGGATCGGGCGCCGCCCCACCTGGCGACCGCGGCGCCACCACGCACACGTGCCGTCGTTCGTCGCAGGGCTAGGCGTGCTGGCCAGTCACAGTCGCACACCACAAGGACCAGCCGCTGCGCAGACAGCATCGTACGATTAACAGTACGATTAGCAGCAGACCGCGCCACTGCGCAGGCATGGACGACAGCGACCGACGCGGGGGCGACGGGATGGGTGCGACGGACGGCCTGGACGGCGACGCCCGCGTGCTCGACTTCCTCGACGACAAGCTGCAGACGGCCGGCGACCTGGACGCGCTGGACGAGCTGCTGGCGAGCATCACCGCGCGCCACGGCCTGCTGAAGCAGCAGCTCGACGACGCCCGCCGCGACCTCGACGGCGCGCAGCACCGCCAGCATGGCTACCACGACCGCCTGCAGACCACGGCGGCCGCCTTCCACAGCGCGCAGCACGACATCGACCGCCGCCTGCTGGTCATGACCGCCTCGGAGACGAGCGACGACGCCGTGCCGCGCTTCGAGGCCGCCCTGGGCACGCTGCAGCGCCTCGACGTTGCCAGCGGATACATTGAGCTGCTGCGCGACGTCGATGCCCTCAGGTAGGCCGCCCGCCCACCACCACGCCCGCCCCGGCTGACCCCGCAGCACCCACGCGCAGGCCCAGCTGCAGACGTCGAGCGAGGCTGCTCTCGCGCCCTACCAGCAGCTGCGCGCGCTGCACACCCGCCTGCTCCAGCTGCAGCACGAGGCCGAAGGGGCCGCCCCGCAGCTGTTGCACCACGTCGCCCAGATCACCCACGCCCTGCGCGCCCGCATCCTCGATGCTTTCGCCGCCGACCTCGACCGCGTCCTCAAGAAGCTGCACTGGCCCACCCCCAAGGCCATCGTGCCGCCACAGCTGCGCGAGGAGTGGGAGACGGCCGTCGTGAAGCTGCTCGACCTGCAGATGCCCGAGCTCGAGGGCAACGACTACGCCAATGCGGCCGGAGACAAGAAGCTGCCACCTGTGCTCTTTCCCTTTGAAGTGCTGGTGCAGCCCCTCGAGATGCGCTTCCGCTACCACTTCGAGGGTGCCAAGCCTACCAACCGCCTCGACCGGCCTGAGTACTTCCTCTCGCACGTCACAACCCTGCTAGATGACTACAGTAACTTCGTGAGTGACTACATGCAGCCCGTGCTGTTCAAGCACTTCCGCGGCACCGATCTTGCCTTGAACCCTGTCTACATTGATGCCATGTCTGCCTTCATCACCGCGCTCCTGCCTGTGCTGCGGACCAAGATCAGCTCGCTGCTGCCCAAGGTGGCGACCCAGCCGCAGCTCCTCAGCCACCTGATGCACGAGATCATGAGCTTTGACTCCGCCATCAGAGACACGTGGGCATACGATGGCGGCTATGGCCTGAGCGGCTGGCACGGCCTGTCGTGGGAGTTCCTCGTCCAGGGCAATTGGTTCGACCAGTGGCTGCGGGTTGAGAAAGAGTGTACGCAGCTCATCCCCGAAGCACGTCCAAATGCGATGCTAATTGCCGAACAGTCGCCTTGGGGCGTTACCAAAGCATCGTAGAGGCCGACGATTGGCGAGATCTCGACTACGAAAGCGTTGACCCGAAAGCCACAAAGCCTACCAAAGGAGCGATTCGTGTCAACGACTTGCTTGAAACGATAACCGGTAAGCCCGATCTTCCCAAAGCTGACACTGCACCGCTGATCGATGCAGATCGCTATCGCCCCTTGACGTCCTTTAAGCACAAGCTGGCATTCTTGATCGACATTCAGATTGCCATCTTCGACCAGTTTCATGAGCGCCTGAACGATAGCTTGGAGGCCTACCTCCGTATGACCACTGCGCTGGGTCGCGCAATGGGCGGTGTGAGCAGAGAGGAGCAGGATAAGCTGCTTGGCATTGAAGGGTTGGAGAGTCTATGCAGGACCTATGGCAGCGCCGACTACCTGGAAAAGGCGATGCGCGATTGGAGCGACGACGTCGTAAGCTTACACCACATGCGAGATCTCGTCTCCGCGCTAATCTTGTGTAGTTCTTCCTGGACATTTGGGAGGAGCTGCAGGATCGTGCCCAGCATGGCGGCAGCATAGGCACCCGCACCGTTGCATCCGTCGCTGAACGCACCTCCAGAAACGTCGGTGCCAGCGAAGCCGACGCCTCAGACGCAGGCGGCCTCTTCGACGAGACGGCTTCGTGGTACGCGCGCCTGCGCGAACGCAGCGAACAAATCATCACCGAGACACTTGTTTCCAACGTGCGGGTGGCGCTGAAGCCGTATCGTCAGATGTAAGTACACCTCATGCCATTGTCGGAAGAAGCAGCGCCCGCTTCAACTGCCGTCATGCATTTCCCATCCTGCACGTGTACTTACTTTTTCTGTCAGCAACCCTTGGGCCACCCTCTCCACATCCGGCGGAAATAGCAAAGATGTCAGCTCGACAGCCGAACTCGACCCACTCCTGTCCCATCTCAGCACCACCCTGACCTTTCTGTCTCGTGTGCTGGCCCCGGCCCCGCTGCGTCGCATCGCCAGGGCCGTCCTCGCCACCATCAACACCACCCTCTTCGACACCGTCCTACGCGTCAGCTTCTCGACCCACGGCGCAGCCCAACTGAACGCCGACCTCGACGCCATCCGCGCCGTCGTCGACGACAAGATCGGCCCCGGCGTCGCCGCCCTCGGCCTGCGCAAGTGCCTCGAGGGCGCAACGCTCGTGGGGCTCCCCGTCAAGGGTGGCAAAACGTCCGACAACACCAGCCTCGCCGACGACGACGATGGCGCTGAGGCCTGGGACGCATGGGCCGCCGACGACGCTAACGCCGACGCGCGTAGCGAGCCGTCAGGGGCGGACCCGCAAAAAGAAACTGCCGCCCCCGACGCACTCGACGGTGCCAAGGAGCTGGGGCTGTGGGAGGTAGAGAAGCGGCTTTTCGCCGACAACGCAAGCGCGCGGGAGGTCCTCGATGCGCTGGGCTTGGAGGTGCTGGACGAGAAGGAGGCGCGGCGCGTGCTGAGGCTGCGGGTGGAGCTTGCGGGGTGAGATGGTGTCTGTAAATGCGAAGACGAGATGGAGACGACAATCTTGGCGTCCTTGTGTGCATGTGATTTGCCCCTTCACGCGACGGCTGCGAGGATAGAGTGAGGTCTTGCTGCACCACACCACTCTGTTCACTAAATCCCTAACCCACTCTCCCGGGCCCGTCCACGCCGGTGCACTCCATCCAGTCCCCCCTGTCCTCTCCTTTCCTTCCTTTTGCCCAATGTCCCAGTGCCATGTGCGAAGTATAGTGCAGCGAGGGAACCCAAGACAAAGCAGGATTCCTGGGATATGTAGGGTTGACGCAGGTTCCCTCGTAAGTTCCCTCGCGTGTTTCCTCGTATGTTTCCTCGTACGCCTTCTCGTATGCTTTTTCGTATGATGTCTCGTTCGGGCCTGTACATCCGGAATCGCAGATCAATGACACGGCGAGATGGGATGTGCGACCGCGTGGTGCGATGTCCGGATGTGAAATGACATGTTGGTGAGGTGCGCGTGAGACACTGGTCTCTGACACGATACGGCAGGACGAGGATGAAGCGTGGGGTTGGACATTGGTGTGGTTGGTGTTTGGCTTTGGTTGTCGGGTAGATGTGGAAAGGGGAGAGGAGTCCGTGTAGGACACCTGTGTGCGCTGAATGGGAAGGTGAGATGGGCCGAGTACTTGGAGAAAAGCACTTTTGCACCTTGTTTGGTGGGTCGTCAGGGATTCGTCATAACAGTTCGTCAAGGCAGTCCGTCAAAACGGTCAGTCAAAGTGGTTCATTCGTCTACTTCTTCGCAACCTCCTCCCACTGCACCCCAGCCCACTCCTCCACATACCCCACGCCGCCCTCCTCAACACCACTCGGCGCGCAGTCCCGACTGCACACGCCCAGAACCACCGTCCCCCACTCCATCCCATCAACCCCCATCTCCTCCGCCTCCAGCTCCGTGATCGCGTGCGGCGTCAGCTGGACCTCAAACACACGCTCCGCGCCGCAGTTCGCACAGCGCGGCATCCCCCGGCCGGCCTGCACCTTCGCGGCCGCGCCCTCGGCACTGTGCGCCAGCGCCTTGCCCACGGCGTCGGCGTCGCTGTACAGCAGCGGGCGGCCCTGGAACTCGTAGCGCAGGATCTGCTCCGGGTTCTGGCCGACGCGGTCCGCGAAGCGCTGGAACGTGGCGTCGTGTGCCGACTCGTAGATTTCCTTGTCTTCCTTGCCGCTGCTGGGGCCCGCTTCGCTGTCGAGGTCGAGCATGCGCACGTTCTGCGGGACGGCGGGGGCGGCGGTGTCGAGGGTTTCGTATTCGGCGTCGAGGGAGTAGTAGGGGAAGGGGGCTGGGAAAGCGGATTCAGCGGGCCAGGGCTCTTGGGGGAGGGCAGGCTGAGGGAAAGGCGCGCCGGAGATGCGTGCCTTTTGCGCGAAGGTCTCGGGGAGGGTGGTCGAGGCTTCGTCTTTCTTCTCTTCAGGCGTGACTTCGATTGCAGGTGCGGCCGCAGGAGCTGCGCCGAAAGGGTTTGCGCCGGCAGAGGAAGCGAAGGGGTTTGCAGGCGCGCTGCCAGTATTCGCAGAGAAGGGGTTCGAGAAGGGGTTCGCGGGCGCAGTCGAGTTTGCGCTGGTCTTCACGCCGAACAGCGACTCCCCGATCTTGGGCTGCGGCTTCTCTTCCTGAATGATCTCCTTCTTCTCAGGCTTCGCGTGCGACTTGGCCGATGCGCCCTTTGCAACGCGCACCCCTCGAATGCCCCTCACGCTGCCTTCTTTCCTCCTGCAAGCCTTCCGCCGACAGCTCCAGATATACAGTCGTCGCTCATGGCCGGGGAAGTGGTCGGGAAGATCGCCGTTCAGCTCGAGCAAGAGGCTGAGGAGGCCGTTGCACACTTTGCACTTGGCGAGGGCGCCAGAGGGAGCCGTCTTGTCGTCTATCCAGCTCTGCGCCTGGCGTCAGCATAACATACTGTTGCTACAATTAAGAAACCTACCGGTGCGCCGCCAATGTGCGAAATGGCATCTCCCGTGGCGTCCTTGGTGGCATAGCCCAGAAGAACATTTGTTTCGGTGTAGTCCTCGCCTTCATCAGACGATTCACTTTCGTAAGGCGGCATTTTAGTGTCGTGAAGGTTTTGGTTACCGCGTCAGGTTGACCGCGGGGGTGAAGTCCCAAAATTAATTTTAGTGGGGCGTTTTCGGCCATTGGGCGCCATGCCTCGACGTCACAACTTTCGAAGTGACAAGTGCATATGTACATATCGTTCGAGCTGCAATGACGCTAACGAAGCACGGATTCTCTTAAGCAGAGGAAAGTTCAGCCTTAATCCACGCCAATGCTGGGCTACAACTACATCACATGCGTCGTAGTGCAAGAAAATCGGTATTATACTTTGATATTCATTACTTCGTATGCTCAGGCTCTTTGACTGGCATTGGTTCGTAAGTCCCGCTCAGTCTCTCCACATAAGGTCTCGCCTTCTGCATGCCCGTCGCAACTTTATGCAAGATACCATGCTTCTCGCCGTCGTGCTCATGGTGGTCCTCATGTGCAGTCTTGAAAGAGTCGTGTGAAGCGGCCGAATGGGTAGAGTCGACAGAAGCCCTGTTTTTGCGCTGCTTGTGCACTACCGGCGAGTCGTGTTGTGGAGCTGGATGCGCGTGTTCATAGCAGGTCGACGGAGGGTGCGTGGAGTCGTCAATGTCGAGCGAAAGGCGGGCGGTGTTTGGAGATCTAGTTGGAGAACTTGTCGGGGACGTTCTTGCCTGTGGCTTTTTCGAACATGTTGCGGGCTCCATCGGTCTGTTGTGTTGTTAGTATGTCTCTTTCCTGTCGAATCCTCGCCTTACAATCTTCTCGTTGACAGCGCGGTTCTTCTGTGTGTCCTGTCCCATAGAACCGCCCCACTTCTTCTCGGCAGCGTCAAGGCCTAAGACTGTTAATGGGTGAAGTGATACAGGGAGAGGTGTGCGTGCCCTTGTCAAGGTAGTCTTCCTTCTGACCGGCAGCAGCGTTGGTGTTTGAGTTCATTGTCGTGGTGGGAAAGTGCTGACGTGCGGGAATAATGTCAAGCTTTGTAGTCAAGGAACTATTATAGTGTAACGAAGTATGTGAGTTTGAGTGCGTATAGGGTCGTCATTGGTACTATGTATTTATACAACCGGCGCCTTCATGCTCCAGAACGCTGTTGTTGGGAGCCGTCGCATCCGGGTATTCGTCAGTTATGGCATCACAGCTTCAGATCACTACTAAAAACTATCATGTCAAACATTGCATGTCCACGACCACATGCCTACCACCGGGTAACAGGCATCAGCGTCGTCACTGACGAGCCAAAACTTGGCTTTCGGGCGCTTGAAACTTGGCTCTGGCAGCCAGGTTACCGGAAATAGTTCAGAGGCGACTAAGCATTAGCTACGCGTTTGTGGCTGTCCGGTCGAGCTCGAGAGAGAAATGGACAGTCCAGGCATGCTACATATTCACCTGACTTATTGACCGATGTAGGTTCCAAGAATTCATGTGTCAAACGAACGCTTTCAGCCACCCTGACGTCGAAGGCGGTGACGTCAGGCGTAATCGATAACGCTTATCAGCATGACGCGCGGGCCTTGTCATAGCGATGTCGGTCTTCTGAGCGATGCACGCCAGAAGCGGGTCTCAGGATCGTGCCTATTCTCGATCCCGTTGTGGCTCTTTTTGTGGAACTGAGCGTGGAGAAGCGTAGGAAAGTGGATTCTTCAACGCTGGGTCGTACTGGGATGATGACATGCAGTTATTGATTCTTTGATGGTTCGACAGCAATGCGCCGAAGAAGGAGCGAAACAGCAGCTTTGGCGAAATTTGGCGAAAAATTAAGGTGTGACTTCATCGGACTGCATTCTGGTTGAGCTAACTATACAGGCAACAAGTGCCGATTCTTCTATCAATTCGCTGGCATCGATCGCAGCATCGAGCCATCTACGGCCGTGAAGACATCATAACCCACACAATGACCTAACAGTCATCAACTAGATATACCGCCCATCAATGGACAAGGAACAGGCTGGGGTATCTCGGATGGGTATCGGCCTGATCTGCAGACGTAGCAGATCGCAGGCGTGAAAATAATGGCCGTTTAAACAGGCGGGAGATGTACAGGTAACCGGTAAACGCCAGTGCTAATACGCACGAAGATAAGAAAACGCTAAGTCGCAAGACAACAATTGAAACCACCGAGGATGTACAGAAGAATGTGACAACGTATGTGAAACAATCAAGCGAAATGCTTGATGAGGAAGTGCAACAGCTGGCAGAAGTCGCGGTGCAGCTCGACGAAGAAGTTCTCCTGGCCGACAATCTCAGCCAGGCTCTTGGGTCTTCCTGCCTCGCGTGATGTGCGAGAGAAGCCGTCCGGATCAATCCTCTTTGCGGATAGGAAAGACGATACGGGGGTGATGTTCCGTGTTGTGGGCGAACTGGCCGTGGACGAGAGGTTTCGGTCCTTCTGCGGTGAGGCAAACATGGGCGGCATCGAGGAAGCGGAGGTGCCCAGTGGGGGGGTGTCGGCCAGAGCAGAGGTAGGGCGTGACTCGCGCTCTACTTTCTCCGCCAGAGCAGTGATGCGGTTTGCAATGCCCTGGAAGACTTCGGTGACCTTGACCATGGCCTTGGTGGCCTTGCGGCAGTCGCGTCCGACCATGGCGATGAGGGCGTAGTGCTTGATCGATCCGCGAGCTCTCGAGTCCTGGATCCGGAAGATGTAGGCAATGGTGTAGCCAGCAACGGGGTCTCCGAACATGATGGCGCCTGACGAATTGCCGCGTGGGAGGACCTCTGTGGAGAGTGTGCGCATGCATGTGCGCTTCAAGGAGGAATATGTGGTTGGTGACTGAGGCTGGTTGGTAGAGATGTAGGTCAGGGTGTGTGTGTGTGTGCTCCTCGAGTTGACCAGGGGCGAGGGCGGAATAGAACTGGGGAAGGAGCTGGCGCTGCTCTCGAACGACTTGGACTGCTCGGTGTCGGACATCTCAGACGAGTGGGTGCTGCTGGCGTCGTCGCCGAGGTAGGGGCCGCGGACCGCGAAGTTCTGCGAGCTGCGCAGGACCGGGCTGCCGTTGCGGCCGCGGCCGTCCTTGCAAGGGCTGCCGGGGGCGCCGGTGGGCAGCTTGTCGCAAAACTTCTTGGGGACGACCATCTGGCAGTTCTCGCACGAGTCGGCGTCGGACTCGAAGCTGCTGCTGGGGCGGCGGCCGCCGAAGCTGCTGTCGGACGAGGAGAGGCTGGGGAAGTAAGGGTTGTGCGAGGGCGACCGGGGGCTCGTGGGCGGTGTCTCGAACGGCGACAGCTTGGGCGGGCGGCCCATGCGCAGCGTCGAGGGCTGGTCATAGAGGCCGAAGCTGGAGTAGGACGAGTGCGGCTCGTCGGTGGGCGGCGTCACGCATGGGTTGCAGGAGGCACATGGCGCCGTCGAGGCCTGCGTGCAGATGATGGACGTCGGACCGTGGACCTCGCAGAAGTGTGCAAGCGAGATCTGGCGGCGTCAGTGGTGCAGACACAACAGGCGCACGGAGCATACCGTGAAATCCATCTTCTCCCTCTTGTCGTCTACGGCCTCATGGTGTGCGGGAACGCGTGCGGGTGGGTCGGAAGGGCGGTTCAGCTGACGGAGGAACGCCGAGGGATGTGATCACGCTGCGCGATCAACACCACGGCTGCGACGGGTGGGCTGCGGTGCGGCTGTGAGTGGGCAGCGGCGCGAGGAATGCTCCACAGGTTTCAGACGAGGCAGTGGCAATGTCGCGTGGTGAATGGCAGCGCTGTATGTGGCGCCGGCTGGATATATACGTCCCGGCGTGGTTGCAAACGCTCCGCTCAAAGGGATTATAAAGCCGCCACCAGACACAGCAGCGCGGCAGGGCTACACCAGATGCGAGCGACGAGCGCGACCGAACAGTGTAGCGTGCATGCGCCCAGGGCGACGGCGGAACTCTGGCTCCACCAAAAGGGCCATAGCACCTCGTCGCGCTAGCAGGGGTACTGGATCTTGCGGTGAATGGTGCGCGCGTTATTGGCTGCCCACCTCTGCTGCCGTGCCTGTCCGCAGACTGCGACTGCGAGAGCATGCCTGCGGTGCCATGGCCGGCCCAGCACAGCACGGCACCGCCCGCGTAACGAGGGCGCACGTCGACTGCAATGCATTCCAGCTGCGCGCTCGCCTCCAGCATTTCTCCCCGTTTCCGGCGCTTTCGTCGTCTCGTGCGACCTCCGCCTGCGTCCGGGGAGCGCACAGAGCCCAATCCGAGGTTCCAGCAGCCCGGGCGGCGACGGCTGCGCGCGCCAATCACGACGCGCCGGAATCGAACGCTGCGCCGTCCTCCCCAGCCAGCCAGATGGAGGAGGCACATCTGCTGCCCTTTCCGATCTGGGCGTATGCAGCTGCCTCTGTGATCTGCGCCTGCCCTCACTCGCTCACCACCGCCTGCTGCCCCTGATGTGCGACCGTCCAACGTCATTCCTGGAACATCTTTCACCCAAACACTACGGCACAATTTACGACGCCGCACCCCTGGCCGTTTCACACACGCCGTGCGTCATGCGTGTTTTGGCTGAATGCACCGACTGTCATGCCGCCCTCAGATCCTTCCACTTGCATCTGCACGACTTCGCGCTGTGCTCCGCTCCAGGGTGGGATGGGGTGGACCGCAGACGGGCCCTTGATCTGGTCGCAATCCTTTTCTGCACGGCAATTCCCGGCCTCGTGTTGCCATTGGCTGCCAGCGCCTCGCCTCGCGCAGATGCCGGCCAATTGCCAGATGGGGCGTGACCTTCCACCTTGGTGACAGTCTTCCAGAAGGCATGCACGAGCTTCTTCGTCGTGTGGGCCCGCAGCCACCCAACTCCACAACGTCCGGCCTGTTCGCCGAGTTTTTGTCGTCGTGGGCGCAACGACTGCAGGGTCTCGCAGCCTACCAGGTCTATGCTGTATACAACTCGTGGCCGGTGCGGCGCGTCTGGGAGCAAGAACGTGGCATTGCAGCGTCGCCACCTGAGACACGCAAAACCACCGACGCGACCCAACGGCTATCGTGAAGTCCCAATTGGGATCTCATACATGCATGCCCATCCATGCAGGGTCAAAAACACACTTGTCTCGTACATCAAAGCCCAGAACACATCAACCACTGAGCCATCTCGTGTTGGAAGGTCAGGAACAACAACATCACACTAAAGGCACAAGCTTTGAAAAGAGCGCCCTGGACGTGCGCCGTGCCTCCACTTGCTGATGGGGCGCCGCGCTCTTAGTTGCCGCTGAGTATGAAGAACTTCCGTTTCTAGCGCGCTACGCACTCAAAGCTGTACGTAACATGCCACTTGGATGCATCAAAACAGACGAACTAGAAAAAGCTACGGCCACAAACCTCAACGGAGCAAATCTCACGATAGCTGACGACGAGCCTAGAATACACGCGTGACCAAGCCACGATATGAGTCCGAGAGGGCAATGCAGGCATTCGGTTTTTCAAATTACCGGGTTTCGTCTATGGCCTCCTGTCCTCCACTTCGTCGTCAATGTCCAAGCACTCTGGAGCCGACACGCGCAAGATGTCGTAGCCCATGATTTCGTTGATGTACTTTTTCGAACCCCGCAATTCTTCGTACCGCGCTTTCTCTGCGGCAGTGAAGGCTCGGCTCTCCGGCTTCATCAGCTCCGCTATCCCCGGCTCCCAGATTTGGTCGAGCTGTGTGATACCAACACTGGTGCACGGTATATCGTCTAGCAGTGCGGGCGAAACGACACCGACATCTTTCCAATGAGCCCGCCAGCATTTGCTCGCGTGCGGCGACAAGTGTGTGATGTGCGCGTGAAGGTGTCTCCTCCGGTCAGTATACGTGGGACACGCGAGCAGTTTCGCAACTTGTCCGATACCACCCAGTATGAGGAAGAAGGCAATATCTTCAGAGCAAGCCGGATAGCTTGACCATCCTCTCAGGAACTTGCCGACTGTTCTAGTCCGGCCTGCAGGGCGCAATTTCCGCTTCAACACCTGCAATATGAAGCAATACATGTAGAAGTACTGTAGCCGCAGGGGCGCATCCATCTTCTTCATCGTCTCCATGTCTTGGATGGTCATGCTCCCCGTGGTGCAGATGTCATATCCAATGTGCGACCGTGGTCGTATTTGTCCCAGATCTCTGTCTAAGACGGCTCGGCGATGCTCTTCGAGGAAGTAGCCAACACCAAACACAAGTGGCAACATTTTTTCATAGACAGATGTCCACAGCTGCTTCTGGCGAGATTCGACTTGGTCTTGCACATCACCCAGCAGGCAGTTGGCAAGCTGTCGGCTCAATCGAATTGAGGCAATATGCCTGCGCCGCATGGCGAGGAGATATGGAAAGTCGGCATCACACGGTCTTGCAGTTGGGTACAGACGCAGATGAAGGTTGCCCATTCGGTGCTTCACCCAGTAGCGACTGAGCGAAGGCGCAGAACCTGCCACAAGCACGTTCAGAATGCGACATGTCCTACGCAATGCTAGCAGATCTGAGATGGAGAGCTGACTCAAGATCAGAATGTGAAGCTCATTCGGCAGTCGCAGCAAGGCTTCAAAGAAAGGACTACAACGTTAGCATGTGACAGATTCCGAGGTTCGTCGACATACCTCGACAAGTTCGAGGACAGCTGCTCGTTCCAGAGCTCAGTCCGGGCACCTCGCAATGAAGCGATCAGCCTAACTGCCGCTTTTCGATAGCTCGGGCGTTTCCTCTTGATCCCCTTCTCCACAAGGGCCGCAGCAGATCGGTGCCCACTTCTATCTCGGTCAGGAATAGCGAGTCCACTGCGGGATTTCTCCAGCGGCATTGCGATCTTCCTCATCTCGTCTACAGACGTCTTGAGCCGCTTCGCAGCAGTCGGCCGATAATGACCGGGGCCTCGGAACCCAGAACAGCCTCGCAGGACTGGGAGGCGGAAGTTGTCGGCGCGGCCGCTCAACGCTTGTGTAAGGTTAGCTTCCAATCCAAACTCATGGTTGCGGTAGCAGCATCTCCAGGTCGCACGAGGAGTCAGGGTGAATCGAAGGTGGAAGTGGGTTGGCGAATGTTGAACGATGTCGCGCAGGTCGCTAAGCAGGGCGAGAGGCGTGGGGTTGGCGTGAGCTAAGGCCACGAGGTGCAGATCTGAAACGTCCTTTGCCGAAAATAGCATAGGTCAGGCGTGAGCTGCTTGTGGCGCATGTAATCCGTACGCGTAAGTTCCTGGATCCAAACACGACGGCTGACAGCTGCAGATCTGTAGCGACATGAAGCGGATCTTGAGGACAGATTGATGAGGCGCCGCATCTATGCGCGACGCCTCGGGGCCACCTGCGGAGCCGCTGTGAGCATTCTCACAATATTGAATAGTTCCGGAGCCTCCGACACACCGCTGGTGCCGCTGGCTGCCAAACGCATGGCATGGCGACTAGGTACACACGGACTTGATCGTTGCTCGGTTGCCTGCATACAACGATCCACCGTCTCGTACCCGATGGCAGTGCATTGAAGAGCATGTCTTCGCATCACTGTACACGTACTTGACAGCGACAAGCGAGCAGATTTCAAGATTGATGATCCAGCACCAACAGTTTCTGCGCAACACCCATCATCCAGCCATGCCTCCAGTGCGCACATGCATTCCGAGAGATAAGACGACATGGTCACCGTGGTTATGAGGCGTGACGTGTCAACGCAGACGCCGTGCCCCCGAACGTCAGTTCTCGACTGCAGCAACCACATGTCGCACAGCACTGCAGCCTCACAATGCCAGCCTTCTCCAGACGCATCCTTGCCCCACCAGAAACACAAGTGACATGGCGTGACAGGATCGTCCTTGTCAGCCGTCAGGCACTCGAGGTTACCGCCCCAGACGCGCCGTCTTCACAGGCAGCTCGTCCGCGTGCAGTACTTGGCTGCGTCGAGGTGCATGCCGACGTCGCAAAGTGGGCGGCACGGCGTATGCAGACTGTGCGCGGTGTTACCGTGTTGCCACCTCCCCGCCGAGGATCTGCATGGCCTTGGTTGGTGGGGAAGTGGCAAAAAGAGAGGGGCGGAGCGTATAGCGGATGAGGGATGTGGTTGATGTTCACCCATCCGAAGGTATGAAGGTCGAGAAGGCAGAATCTTCGCCCTGACTGCCTCCACCGTGCGGCCATTGTCGTATGTTGATGCTCGGTCGGTTTCCGTCTCGCGAACTCTGCGTCTTCTGGTGTTCCATCTTTCTTCCGTCTCTTCTCTGCTTCTGTTTTCCTCAAGTCCTCCCTTTCTCTTTGAACACTTTTCTGTTGTCTAGTCAATATTCAAGTTCTGTCAGCGCTTTACCCCCTTAAATCCGTTGCCCAGAAGCCTATCTTGGTTTTCTTTGGCCGTGTGAGTGGTCTCTACGTGCCTAGTGAGAGATTTCTGTGCCAATGGCTGTCAATGCCCGCGCTCTCTCAACACAAAACCTTGTCACCTTCCAGACTTCAGCTTTGTCTCTTGTAGAAGGAGCTGTGCTCATCTTAGAAGTGGCGAGTCTTGCTCTTAATACACCGAGATGCCAAGTGATCAGGATTTGGCCAGAGAACAAGTGCATTCCAGGGGCCTGGCGAGTAGAATTATTCGCAGCTCGCGACAAGTCTGACTGGACGTTGTGTTGAAAGTCTCCTTTTACGAACTCTCGTCGACCAACTGTACAACTTCAATGTCGTCCACTGACATTGCTTTGCTAAAGGTGCACTGTCTTATTGGACCGGAGTACCTTCAGCCTCATCCGGTTGTAACCAATTGCCCGAGAACACATCAGGAGGCGTTCACAGACATTTCCATGTTCGCATTAGCGCAAACATTGTCTTGAAGGTTTTCGAAATGCTGATAGGCCAGCCACCAATCTCGCTTGTCCTACTCCAGGTCGCCACTCACCACCCATCACCAACGTTTGTCTCAGGTTCGTGTTGCGGAGGTAACATTTATCGAGTTCCTCACCATTATGCATGCGCTTGTGTCGGCCACTACACCAGTTTGCGACAAGCGTGAAGTGCTACAGGAAGAGGAGAATGTTGAAGTGACCGCAGGATGGAACGTGTGCTTTCAATGTTTTGGTGGAAAGGAGGACCATGGAGACCTTCCTTCCCATGCAGCAACAGCTATCTCCCTTGATACCACTTGAAGGACGTTGTCGTACGCACATAACCAGTTGCCGCCTGTCACTCGAAACCTGCAGCCTGACCAGCCTGTACCCCATACAATTGGAGTCGAAGTAGAAAGCCTTGCGAGCACACCAGACGTCCTCACGCTTCTGTACCTCCGCCCCCAACGTCGCCCAACAAAACCACCGTACGACATCTACCCTCGCCATCGTCCCCAATCATCTCATCCCGCATAAACTCTCTCCAACCACCATGCTCACCACCACCGTCATCTCGGTCCTCCTCAGTCTCTCCACAGCCAGCGCCGCCTTCCCCGCCCTCGCCCCTCGGGCCTGCACAAACCATCTCGCCAACCCGTCATTCGAGTCCGGCAACGTCAGCCCCTGGCTCCCGATCGTGGAATCGGCATGGACGACACGCGGCGTTTTCTCTGACTCATTCACTCACGGCGGCACGCACCACTACTACGCCCACGCCTCGTCGGCAGTCTCATCCAGCTTCACGCTGTCGCAGTCAGGCATCAGCGCGCCCGCCGGACACACTGTCGACTGCTACGCGTGGGTTGCGGGGAGGCGCAGTGAGGGCGTCACAATGATAGAGGTGTTTCTGGACGGTGTGAGCTGTGGGACTGCTCAGCTTGGGACTGGAGAGAGGCGGTGGGAGAGGGTGGGCTCGAGGGTCAGGGTTGGTGGTAATGCGACGGGGATGGGCAGCACGATTGCGGTTGTCGCTACTAGTAAGGCAGCTGGCGATGATGGGTGGGATCTTTGGGTCGATGATGTTGGAGTTGTGGGGTGCTGAGAGTGAGGCAGTGTGTGATCGCGTTGAGACTTGTCTGAAGTACTGCAATTTAGGTTTAGGTTTAGCGAGCTGTTTGATATAGGAAAAGAGCGTACTGGCGTGGTTTAATGGTGTGATATACAGGGAAATCCATTTCTTATAATCGGTGACTAGCAACGTATACGAACGGCTCTGTTGCTGGTACAAAATTACACATATTGACATCGTACTACCGTCACCTGTTTCTATCTCCGTTCTCCCCTGTTGCCTGAAATACAAAAACGGTTCAGATGTCTTACCTTCCATATACCACAGACACACTGCATCACATAACGCCAATTGCGATAGTCAACAAAACCCTCATTCTACTATACCAAGGCAGTAACGCTATCTAAACCAACACAACAACAAATATTAAGAACAACGTTATTAGATCAAGCCCTAGTGCGCATACTCAACCACAGAAATACGCAAGAGGCTTCGTCTTCAGCCCATTCGCCTTCCGCGACATCCTCGTCTCATTATAGAAACCCGACAGCTTGACTAGACTACGCAAACTGCGCCTCTGACGCGTGTACGTGACGCTCTTGCGCCGGGGCCGCGGCTTGGGGCGCGCAGAAGGTGGTGTGAAGCGGTATGCTGCTGGTGGAGGGCCAACAGGCTTCCTGAGGTGAAAGGGGTCCATGTCAGTCATATTGGGCGCGTGGCGGTGTTTGTGTGAGCGGTTGTGATGGGTAAAGATGGGTGGTTTACGGCGGTTAAGTATGGAGGTGCTGGACAAGGGGACAATGGAGATGGTGCATTGTGTGGAGGATGTTGGGTTTTTGCTCTGGATAGGACTTGGTGTTTTTCTTCTTTGTTGTTAAAGAGGACTATGGATGCTATTCCGAGAGCTTTTCTTGTAGGTTTAGACGCAGTTCACAATGTCCGCTTGTACCGACACGATATGTTTACTACATCAGGACGTGAATATAGATGGCCATTCTGTTGTATGGTATAGGAAGGTTGCGTTGCTCTTTGTTCTCCCCTCCAGTCGCACTTGAACCTCTCGAGTACGAAGTGCAGCCACAGAGAGGATATGGAATCGAACTCATGGATGTTTACCATTTTTTGCAAGTTCAAGTGCGTGAGAAGGCTAAGTGCGCTTACGTTGAAAAACCTCCACTATTCGATTCTCAAGAAGTTAGCATACGGCATGCATGATCCCATTCTATATAGTAAGGCCGAACGATCAGTGCCGATGATGATGCTGATCGATTCAGTCTTTGCTTTTACTGGTTCATGCTTGCTTTTTCGGTCCGAGAATCGCCTGCTGCATGTCGTATCTGCTATTTCAAATCCTGTCCTTCTTGTCTGTTTGACGTTTATCACAACTTCAACGACTTCTCTACCCATGAACGTGCCACGGTTTCAACGTTAATCTGCGCTGAGACATTTCGGTCAAGATGCTAGTACTGCGTATACGGTACAAATGCACAAACCCCAGTTTCCCATCATGAAATGTCACGGGGCTACAAAATATGAATAGAATCCAACGTACCGAGCGTGTGGGTCTGTATGAGCGGTTGCCCATCCGGTGTGTGCTTGCGTTCTTTGTTACGTCTCGGCGACCTCGAACTGTGCCGCACCCTTGCGTAACACAACATTCAAGTATACATACACACCCGAAAACCCCAGACTCTCAACCATGTTCTTAAAAGCTCAAAGTTTCTCATTGTAAATATTAAGCGCAGAAAGTCAAAATGGGTGTCATCAGCGCTCTTTACGCAAACATTCTTCTCTCGATCGCAGACGTCTCCGCACGACTCTTTGCGCCCCCGCAAGAATACCAAGAGATAGGCGTATGTGATATGAAATGGTCTCGGGATATGAGGGGAAGCAAAGATCACGCGAGTTGTTATGTGTGACATGATTATCCTGAATTCAAGAGTAAGCGCCGCCCCCTGCTGGTGGGTAATGGGCAAGGCTGACTGACATTGGTGCTATCCAGACACATGCCTATAACTGGTGAATTGTTTTCAGCGAACTCTAAATACAGAGAGGGTGGATTGTACGCGAAAATTGTCAACACTCGGCAATGTATGTCCACATACTATAGCATATTTCGGCGGAGTCCAGGAGAGTACCTCGGTAGTAAAGTGATGATTGGGCCTGTATATTTTCACTTCTGGGTGTGTTTTGCGGCTACTTACCAATGTGCAATCAAGCGCGCGCCTTTGTGGGACTGTTCTGAAACAATGGTCATTTTGCTGCGCCGCGAAAAGCGCAACCACATACGAAAATTCAAGGTGTTGCTCTAAGATACTTTAATTCCTTCTGTACTGTCGAATGTAATGTAGTGCTCATGCTTTCACCGAAAGCTCGTCGCCGACTTGTACGCCAGAAGAGATACACGGTAGATAGAGCTGCATTAGCAAGCAGTCATTCAGCAGTATCAGAGTCGGCTGAGCAAGTAGCTGTTTCGAATTCCTCGAACCGTCCAGAGATCTTGTCACAGCCTTAAATCAAAACGTCCTCTTCACTAGAGCCATGATAGTCAACCGTTAAAATGACATTCAGAGTAATAGCGAAAAGCCATGTTGAGAAGTTGTACATGAATCAACATAGGAGTTAACAATTGTAAACTTCCCCTCCAGTGTGTCTGTTTGCTTATGTTAACTTGGCTTGGAAGTATGTCGTTGTCGCAGAGATGCCTTGTTGACTTGGTCGTTGAGAGATCGTTCGGTCCGCACCAAAGTGCTACGCCGTATTTGCCAAGGGCGTCTAACTCCTGAATTAAACCTATCCCCTGGCGATAAGATATGCTGTGCAAGAATTTGTCTCCACTGCGACTGGAATCGACCAAAGAACCCGGGGGCAGTAATGCAAGTACGCGCGCGCGCAATCAAACCGTGTCCAAAACGTCGAATGCAAGTACGCAATTAACTGCTGGACCTAGTGGTCGGCTCTATGTCGAGGAAAAGAACTCACCTCAATCAGATATATTGACGCAGAGCCAGTGCGGAACTTCTTTGCAGTATCGCCTACTATCTGTCAAGCATGAGTTTAAGTCCACAACCAAAAACCGGTTTCGCACCATCACCAAAACCTAACAATATCCAAGACGTTCGTGTTGTTACAGACAACAGCTTGGAGTACGTCAGTCATGTACAGCTATGTTGCATTGTTGTCCTAACCTTCTAGTATCACTGGCTCGTTCCTTGAAGTCGTCGTCGGCAAGGATGGGAACCAGGAGAACTTCTTCCTCCACGAGAGGCTCTTTACATCACACTCAGTCTTCCTGAAGTGTGCGGCAAAGAGAGAGTGGATACAACATAAGAACGCGGTCCTGCTACCCCAATATGACCCGGCAACGTTCCGATTGTATGCAGCCATGACCTACTCTGGCTTTCTGGCGACGAAGGGGTTGCCGTTTGAATGGCAATCACTTGTGGATGTTTATGTGTTGACTGAGGAACTCCAAGACTCGTGGGCTAAGGACCACATCGTCGATGCCATGCATAGTTTTGCGGCCGAACACTTACCCAGAAACCCTGTCTCCAACGGGAAAAGCAGATTCACAGACTGCATCAGCACTGCCTCTCTATGCCAGCTCTATGAAAACACACCTACTAGTAGTCAGGCGCGTAAGCTTGTCGTCGATCTTTTCGCTGACAACGGTTCCGGAGAGTGGCTGGCTTCGGCAGGTGATCTGCTCCCACACGAATTTATCCTTGGGGTTGCAATTCGCCTTATGCCGAAACCAGCCTGCGTTGTTTTTGGCAATATGCTGGACCGTCCCTCTTCGCGCTACCATGAGAAGGTTCAGGGGCAGAGGATACCCTCGAACACAAGGCCCGCGACAGTGAGGTTACCGAAAAAGGTTCTCGATGACCATGGACGATTAAAATGGAATGCCCACAGCGTAACTCCTTTCTTCAATCCCTCCAAAAGCACAGAACCGACTCCGGCAAAGTCAGGCCAAAGAACACCTTCCGCTGCCACCACCAAGGCGTGAAAGAAGGGAAATGTCTGACAGGTTAGCAACTCTTTCTAACATGTTGTAGAGATGGGTCACTTTCTTGTCTGTGCTTGCTTCGCCTTCAGTTTGGAATGCATTTAGTCCACAAGAATGATTGATGATATGACGGCGTTCGTTTTTGGGATTAGTTGGTCATCTTGATACCTGTCAAAAACATGATTCATCACGCACAACTACTGGAATTCAAATCAGTAACGTTACAGACGATGTGGGCAAGCATGATCCACAGGTAGTGATATCAGAGTTCATGACAGCTGTCTCCAGACACTAGCAGACCAAATGTCGGTTGAAAAACAAGCTCGATTGTTTTTGATTGTGGTTACTCAAGGCGTTCAGAATTGTGAGAAGAAGTGGAAGGCTGACGAGGCTCGCTAGCGTGCACGTGCTGATAAGATAAGCTTCCATTCACTGTTCCAGAACTTTTTCCATCTCTCGCAAAGAACAACAAAATGGCCGCACCAAAGGGACCACGAGGCGTCGAAAAGAAGCGAAAGTCGAAGAAGAGAAAGTCAAGAACCGAGGGTACGACAGTCACATCGCCCTGTATTCAAAAAGCTGACCACGTGAAGTCTCATCCTCAGAATCGTCCAGCGAAAGTGAGGTAGAACAGGAGAGCAGGAAGAGCCCATCGACCGAGCCAGAGGTTAGTGCGACCAACAAAACGTAACTATCCAACGCCTGACAGTATCCAGTCTGCGGACTCTACTCCAGAGCCCACACCAAAACCCGCCAGGAAAGAGAAGAAGGCCAAAGCCACCCCAACAACAGATGACGATACCCCTATGATTGACGCCTCTCCTTCTTCTTCCCCAGAACCAGTTCAAAAAGCAGCCGCCCCAGCCAAAGCTCAAGTACCGCCTGCGAAAATTGACGAAGATTTTGATGCCATTTACATCCGCAAGATTACCACTGAGCTTGCGGATGATTTGGACAAAGTGCGCTCAGCCCAGGACTTCAAGGCAAACAGTATCCCAATGCTCATCCACGCACTGAAGCAGGGCGAGAGCTTGTTCTCAGCTGAAGAGAAGAGGAGGGTTGTTAAAACTGCAAAAGCTTGATGCTACACTATTAGTCTAGTATGCATGGGTGGAGTTTGGAGTCTGCATAAGATGGCTTTTGCTTATTAAATATAATCTCTTTTCAACCAACAAGTCCTACTGTGTCCCTTTCTGTACCAGCTAATACGCCTCCACATCCAGACCTGACCGCCACTCCAGCTCAATCTGCCAGGCGAGATGATACGGATGCTTGATCACTACCATGTCGTGCGCCAGCTTCATGACCTTCTCTCGCTTCTCCTCCTTCGCGCCTGCGGGTAACACAAGCAGGGTATCATAAACACGCTCCAACAGCTTTTCCTCGTACTCTCGTCTCAACTCGTCGTCGTTCGTCCAGTTGATGATCTCCTCGTATATCCCTTCCAGCGGGCTCTGGCTGTACACTTCGTTCTTCACGCTGGATGTGGTGGTTTCGAGTGTCGCACCCAGACGCAGGCGCCGCTCGTCGATGAGCTTCTTAATCGCCGCTGTCTCCTGTGTTTCATGGATCTCGGCGATGCGCGTCAATACTGCTGAAGGTTGGGGTAGGCGACCTTCCAGGTAGGAGTAGATCGGCGATGAAGGCAGCTGGGTACCTAGTGCACGCGCGTACTGTGTCTTTGTACCGTGCTTACGGGCGTGGTCTACGAGCTTGTCGATAGCAGATTGGCTGCGATGAGCGTCGTCGCTGGAGTTGTCAGCTTGAAATCTCACTTCCCAAGTGAGGCCACATACATGTTTGCATATATCTCTGCCAACTTAAGGCCAACCTCGATGTTCTCGTCGACGTTCCTCCCACCCAGCCCCTCGTACATGCCTCTCAGGCCAAGCCATGCCTGCGGGTCTTCAGGCTTGATCTTTGTTGCATCGTTGTATGCTTTCGCGGCGTCGTCATATTTGCTCTGACCGTCATTGGCGCGTCCCAAGAAGAGCTTTGCGAAGTAGTTGTTAGGATCCTTCTCAAGCACCGTGTTCGCCTGGTCGATAGCTTCCTCCCAGTTCTTCGATTCGATCGCGGCTTTCGCAGCCTTCAAAGCAGATTTCGTGGACATGACGTCGTGCGTATATTCGTGTTGGATATTCAGGCCGTCGGCACGGCAAATCTGGTGTTATGAGCATGCCATTGAGTCGTAGATGTAAGTGATGTGGGGCTCATTGAATATCGAAGAGCAGGCAATGACGCAGGTGCGCTAGCGTGACCCACCAACCGTGGAAACGACAAACATACCTAACCACTTCGTGGCCACGCGCAATTCCCCTTTTCACCATCTTGTCGTCGTTCCTTACGTTAGAGAAGTATAAAACCTGTCTTTTTCTTGTTCTGCAACGAACGGAGTCCAACATAGGAAAGAGCTGGATCGAAAAGTTCAGCAGTCATGGCGTCACATGCAGACAGCGCGCACGACCTGCTGGATCTCGACATTGGGACACTGCGGCGATACGTCGAATTCTTCCCGACAGAGGGGCTTTCAAAAGTTATTACTGGTTATTTGAGTAGCGGTGTATCAAAGTACCCGCTGGTACAAGAGAAGGGAGAAGCTCCAGATCTGAGCGAGGGCGGGGTATCCTTGAGCGTTGACACGCCTGTATCGCAAGATGATTGTTTGGCATTGATGACAGTAAGTCTTTTCCGCTCAGACAGTCCGACTATTTTCCTGGAGTGGCCAAGCGAAGGCTGAGTCTCCTCATCGCGCTAACAGAAAGAAAGGAAGGCATTCTGGAAGCTAGGAAGTCCGCTCTTGCACATGTATTACTAGGAGACTTCTATCTCTCATTGGAAGAATACGAGAGTGCGGTGGAGTGTACTAGGAAGGGCCTGAAGCTTGCAAAATCGGAAGCTAGAAAGACCGATCTGTCGTTTCAACGGACGAGGGATGCGTTGAGCAGTACTCTTGCAACAGCCCTCGTATACTACCAGGCTCCTAGGAACCACCTGGAGGCCAAGCAGATATTCCAGGAGATCCTGAAACGGAAACCACGGTTCACAGCCGCGCTTATCGGTCTGGGTCTGATCCTCGAGGAGGACGAAGATTACAAGGAAGCTGCAGATTTCCTGGAGCAGGCGCTGAAGCTGGATCCTGAGAATGGACGCATCGGCGCAGAAGCAGCGTGGTGCCAGGCACTCGCTGGCGACTACAAGACCGGTCTCGACAAGCTCCAAGGCTACCTGGACCACCCACATATGGATGCTTCCAAGCCACGTGGCCGAGATCTGCGAGCTCAGACTCTCTATCGAATCGGTGTGTGTATGTGGGAACTTGATCCTTCCAAGGCTGCCCGAAAGAACCGTCAAGGAGCCTACGCCATGCTTCTCGCTGCCATCAAGGCGAACCCGAACTACGCGCCCGCCTACACGCTGCTCGGTATCTTCTATGAGGAGTACAATAAGGATCGCCGACGAGCAAGACAATGCTTCCAGAAAGCTTTCGAACTTTCTCCCTCTGAGATTGTAGCAGCAGAGCGACTTGCCCGGCTTTTCGCGAACCAGGGCGAATGGGATATTGTCGAAGCTGTTTCACAGAGAGTTGTTGATTCTGGAAAAGCGAAGCAAACGCCGGGCTCGAAGAAGAAGGGCGTCAGCTGGCCTTTCTCTGCATTGGGTGTTGTGCAGATGAACAAGCAGGAGTATCAGCAGAGCATCGTGTCCTTTCTGTCGGCTCTTCGTATAAGCCCAGACGACTACTACTCTTATGTTGGTCTTGGCGAAAGCTACCACAACTCTGGACGATACAACTCTGCACAGCGCGCCTTCAACTATGCGCAAAATCCCACAGACGGCGTGGTCATGAAGAAGACAGAAGACGAAAGCTGGTTTACCAAGTACATGCTTGCCAACGTCAATCGCGAGCTGAGCGAGTTTGATGAAGCGCTACAGGGATACGAAACCGTCTTGTCGCAACGACCACAGGAGTTCGGCGTCTCCATCGCTCTCATTCAGACTCTAGTGGAGAAGGGCTGGCATTGCATTGAGACTGGCTTCTACGGAGAGGCAGTGGACAGCGCTATCCGTGCCATCGAAGTCGCCAACACAGTCACGTCATACAAGCCTGATGCGTTTAACCTCTGGAAAGCTGCTGGAGATGCTTGCAGTCTGTTCAGCTGGGTGCAGGAGAAGCTTGACAAATTTCCCTCTGCTGACGTCGAGCGCTTACTGCAGAGCAAATCAGATGTTGGCGTGGATTTTGACGCACACAAAGGCCTTGATGGTATTGGCAAGGACGAGCTTGCAGGCCTCTCTTCCAGCGAATCATCGGTCTTGACAAAGGTTCTCAAGGCTTCGATACTTGCGCAGAAACGAGCCATCGCAAGTTGCGAGCATGACATCCATGCGCAAGCTGTAGCATGGTACAATCTCGGCTGGACCGAATACCGCGCCCACATCTGCCTGGAACAAGAGGGGAATGAGGAGCAGAAGCTCACAACTTTCTTGAAAGCTGCGATGAAGTGCTTCAAGCGCGCTATTGAGCTCGAAGCTGGCAATGCCGAATTCTGGAATTCACTCGGTGTAATCACCACCACACTCAGCCCGAAAGTCGCACAGCACGCGTTCGTGCGTTCTCTCCATCTCAGCGATCGCAATGTGCATGTATGGACGAACCTCGGTACACTGTACTTGCTACAGAACGACTTGGAGCTCGCAGACACAGCGTTTGGACGTGCACAAGCGCAAGACCCTGACTACGCCCTTGCCTGGGTGGGCGTGGGCCTGATCGCGCTTCTTAGTGGAAAGGAAAAGGACGCTTTTGCCCACTTCACGCATGCCTTTGAGCTCTCCGACTCCTCGCTGCTCCTGACGAAGCGACAGTATGCTGTCTCGGCCTTTGACTTTGTCGTATCGTCGTCGTCGTCTTCCAGTTCTATTGTCGACCTCATTCAACCGCTGTTCGCCCTCCAGCAGCTCAACCGCCAGGCTCCATATGACCTATCACACAAGCATCTCACAGCGCTATTCCTGGAGAGAGTCGGCAACTACGATGCTTCAGTGGCAGCTCTTCAGGCTGTGTCTGAGGCTGCCGAACAGGAGTACGAGAAGTCAGAGGCGGTGTCTGCTCTTGCGCGTATCGTACAAGCCAAGAACGACCTCGCACGAAACCAGCTGGCTGTAGGATCGAACGAATCCGCCGTCGAGGAGGCCGAGACAGCCTTGGATCTCCTGGCCGAGCTTGAAGGCGACGCTGGCCAGTCTATCTTATCCGCCCCGCAGCTCGACAAAATCCGTCTGTCTGCACGTCTCACAGCAGGCCTCGCACACTACTTCAACGGCGCTCTCGACGCCGCGCTGCCCTACTTCCGCACCTCCCTCGAAGCCACCAGCTCGCACCCCGACATCATCTGCCTCCTCGCAGAAGTACTCTGGGCAAAAGGCGGCACCAACGAACGCCAAGTAGCGCGCGAACAGCTCTTCACCGCCGCCGAAACCCACGGGTCCCACGTCGGCATCCTGACCCTCATCGGCGCCATGACCGTACTCGATGACGACACCGACACCATGCACGCCATCAAAGACGACCTCGACCGCATGCGTACAGACACCTCGCTCGCGCCCTCGCAGCTCGCCCGCATCGAGACGGTTCTGGAAGCTATCTCGCTTACCCTCGGCGGCGCGAACGATCTCGACGACGCGCGCCGCAGCGTTGTGCTTGCGCCGTGGAAGCACGCGGGCTGGGCGCAGCTGGCGCAAGCAGCGGGCGATGCGTTCGCGAGCACCCTAGCCAAGGAGACGGCACGACGAAATGCGCCGCCGAACGGGGCACTTGGGGCTGTTGGACTTGCGGGTGCGATGGCAGCGACGGGAGATGTGGGCGATGCGCAGAGGGCGGTTGTGCTTGCGCCGTGGAAGCAGGAGGGCTGGGCGGGGCTTGTTGAGTGTGTGCAGGGTGCGTGAATGGTGCGAGAATGCCGTATACCCTTTGACGTGTAACATTTGAAAAGTGGAATGGAAACCAGTGCCAGACGTCCTGACTAAACATCATTGTACCTGTCAAGTTTAGAGTGCCTTCGTCTCGTGTTACAACACTTCACACAGCCAGCAACGACCGCAAGCAGCAATGCGAAAATGGTATCAATTCTGTCTTGGAACCGTGCAACAGCCACAACCCAGCCACTCCCCCTCATGCGCATCTCAGATCTTCTCCTCCAGACGCGCCGTCATGCCCGTGACGCTGGTCCGCTTATCCTCCTCCCACTGCTGGACATGCAACTCGCGCTCCGTATTCGTCGCCAGAGCGCGGGCCTGCCGATCCAGCAAATCGTCGACAACCCTCTCAATCTGCTGCTCTGCCTGGGCGTCGAAGAGAGCCTGCAGCTCGGTCTTGGTGGAAGAAGCGAGCTGGGCCTCGAGCGCCTTGATGGCCTTGATGCCGAGATCCGAGACGGCTTGCGCCAGCTTGTTATCTTCATCGTGCTTTGCTTTCTTGGTTGCGGACTCCTGCTCTGTTAGGCTCGCGGCTTCGGCACTGCGCTTTTCAGCCCGGGCTTTCTCGCGCCGTGCCCGGGCTGCCAGGTAGGCGGCAGAGTGGCCAAGTGTTCGCCCGTCCTTGGTCAGAGGCTGCGAGACGTTAAGAGGCGGCGCTGTGAAGAACAACACGCGGCCCTTCTCGTCCGTTTGGAACTGCTCACGGATATCCTGCGGTATGCTTGCATTCGCGTGGTCGTTCAAGATGTACACCTCAACCGGGAGTGGGGCCTTGTAGCCAGGCGGTGGTTGGGTGTACGGCTGTTGGTAGCCTGGCGCGGGCCGGGGAGTCTGGTACTGCTGCATCGGCGCTGCGGGCTGTGGCGTGAATGGGACGTGCGGTGTGATGGGTTGGTAGGGCGGCGCTTGGGGCGCTTGTTGGTGGACGTGTGGTGCGGGCGACTGGGAGGCGTGGTAGTGCCCGGTATGTGTGGGTGTGTAGGCAGACATGTGATGGTGCTGAGGTGTGGGAGCAGCCATTGGTGTAGGCACTGGTGCTTGGGCGAGGGGGTAAGATGACGATGGAGCGACGGCGTAACTGGAGTCCGCTCGAGGTAGACTTGGGGTCGGCATCACGGGCGCTGGGGGTGGTGTTGGCGGGGGAGGCGGTGTTGGTTCTGGTGGTGGTGAGTCTTTGGGATCGCGCGGACGACGGTGGACAGCGCCAATTTTGGGGGGAGCATTCTCCGCGCCCCACTCCGGCTTTGGCAAGTCGTCCGTCTCCTTCTGGTCATCCTTGAGCAGGTATGCAATAGGACTCGGCACCTTCTTGAGCTTCTTCTGCGAATCAAACAGGTCCATGACATAGTCCTTGTCACGCACTTCGTCTGGAAGACAGCTCGCCCACGTCTTGATCTTGTTCAGCTTGTGGTTCTCCTCGTTGTAGCGTGCTTCGCAAACATAGATCTCCTTGTCAGCGGGAAAGTCGCGGGGACGGCCCTTGTTGTATCTTGTGATGAACATGACGAAGCATCGGTCCACGACCTCGTCGATACGGTGGTCGCGGTATTGGCCGGTCTTGACGACCTCGTTCTCGAAGAAGTGACGGTCGAATCGATGGACGGTCTGCTCAGGCCTGTAGTACCAGCAGGCATTGACCCACTTGCCGCCTTCAGAATCCTGCCATGTCCGGTAGATCTGCGCAACGATGGGTTTTGTGAGGTCGTTTGTGTTCTGAATGTGCACCCAGTCGCCAACCTTCCAGAGCTCGCCGTTGTGCAGGATACCGTTGGGCATGGGGATGCGGCCTTCCTCCATGACGAAATCGGTGTCTGGCTTCTCCTTCTCCGTCTTGGCCACCTTGCGCGACTCCTTCTGGAGGTGCACGGCGTCCTTGTAGATCTGGCTTTCTTCCTCGTTGTATTGCTTGGCGTTCTCGAACATGAGCTCGACGTCGACCATGAAGTGATCGACCGAGTTGTACTTCTTGCGCTTGAGCTTGCGCTTCAGAATGTCCATGGCCATGGGAGTGCGAATCTCGGCGTGGTACTCGGGCATAACAGCCTTGTCCGGCACGCGCTCGAATGCGCTGACCATGAGCTTGTTCGCCTGGTTCCTGGGTTTACGGATCGCCTTCATGATGGCCTTGATGCGCGCTTCCATGGGCGTGTCGACCCGCGGTGGGCGCCCGCGCTTCTTCCTCGACTCGGGGTCGTCGTTCTTCTCTCGCTCTTCCCTCACTCGTGCGCCGCCCTCACGCTTAGCAATGGCTGCTGTAGAGCGCGGGCCCCGCCTTCTCTTCCGCTTGCCCTCGCCATCGTCTTCGTCGTCGTCCTCTTCATCGACTTCAAGCTCCTCCTCATCGTCTTCGTCGTCTTCCTCCTCCTCTTCCTCAGGCAGGAGAGGGTCCTGCTCAGGGATCTCGCCAAGATACGGCAGCGCAGCCACTGTCTCGGTGACGGTGCCTTCTGTCACCAAACGCTTCAACTCGGACAAGACGACCTTCTTCAGGTCTAAGGCGTCGACGTAGGCCTGCGAGTCTTGTCTGTTGTAGACTTGGGCGTTGTGTGGAATGAGGGCAAGGTCGCGCACGAACTCAGAAAAGCTCTTGTAGTCCTTCGCTGCGACACGGCCCTTGATGGTGCTGAGTGCCATAGGCTCCTTGATGATGTCGTAGTAGTCGGGCACCGCACGCTTATTAACCTTGCGCTGGAAGAGCTTGGTGGGGTCGTAGCCACTGGGTAATGTCAGCGCATATTTGATGAGATTGGCCAGCTTGTAGCGCTCACTCATCGTTCCTGTAGTTGTAGATGTTGGTTAGTACGTCTGTCATGGCCTTGTGCTCGGCCTCAGTGACGGTCGAGGCAGCGCCATCAACACCCGGGTCGGCCTTCTCGGTGGTTGGCACGGGCGTCGAGCTCTGCGCGCGTGCGGACGCCATGATTGCTGGATTTGGCGGCGGTGCGCGCGGTGAATGTGCGCAAGCAAATGCGACGTTGGAGACGCGCCTGGGAGCAAGAGGAAGTCGCGCCTGGAAAGGTGGCCCATGCGTCGACAGGGGTGCTAGCTGCCGCCGTTCGACCCACTGCCTGCATGCTTCCGGAACATTCACCTCACGCCGCCACGTCGGTCAGCGATCGCAATAGTAGGATTCCATAGCTTACAATACACTTTCACTGTGCACGCTCCAACACCGTTTGTTTCACGCAGCTGCTCCCTCCATACTATCCGTCCACCAGATCCTACCTGATTGCACCTTCCCCTCCAGCCCCGCAACTCACCCATAGCTTCCGTGCGCAGTTGCCACACGTCACTCATAACACTGCTCACTCTCCTGACTGCCACAGCAAGATGCCAATCAGAATCCGCCTACGAGCCCCGAACGGGCAGCACACACTCTCACTCGAAGACGATGCTGCTGTCTCCGACCTTCTCTCAGCTATCACAACATCAACAGACCTCCCGCTGTACGAGCTGAAATGGGGCTTCCCACCGCAACCGCTCGATCCGGCTCTATACGGCCTTTCCACGCTGCTGAAGGACACTGATCTCAAGCTCAACGGCGCACAAATCATCGTCATCGCGCAAGAAACTGGCGACCCCAGTGAGAAGAAACAGGAGACCACGCCAGCAGCACCTCTGTCGCTAAAACGGAAGGAGCAGCCGGCGTTGAAAGATACACCGGAAGTCTTTGTGCCCAACAGAAGCGGTACCATGGTCCTGCGCGTCATGCCCGACGACAACTCTTGCATGTTTCGCGCACTCGGCAGCGCCGTCCTGACCGACAACCTCGATTCAATGACTGAGCTGCGATCCTTGGTCGCCCAAGCCATACAGCGCGATCCCGAATACTACAACGAAGCAATTCTGCAGCGATCGCCGGACGAGTACTGCAAGTGGATTCAGTACTCCGACTCGTGGGGCGGAGGCATCGAACTGAGCATTCTATCTCAAGAATTCGACATTGAGATTGCCAGCATAAACGTCCAAGACCTGCGCGTGGATCGGTTCAACGAAGGCAGACCGCGGCGCTGCATCCTCGTCTACTCCGGCATACACTACGACACCATCGCCTTCGTGCCATCTGGCTGCTCAACATTCAGCTCTGAGAACGACGTTAAGCTCTTCGACGCCACCGATGATGCAATCCTGGACGGCGCGCGGCAGCTGTGTGGCGAGCTGAAGAAGCAGAAGTATTACACCGACACACAGAAATTCGACATCAAGTGCAACGTTTGCGGGTGGAAAGGCGCAGGAGAACGAGGCGCTGTGCAGCATGCAGAAGAGACAGGGCACGTCGACTTCGGCGAGGCGAACTAGACGGAATCTCATCAACGCATGCATGGCCATAGCCCGACAAGGGAGGAGATCATGGCGCGACGGAGATTGACCAAGTAGAATCATTAATAAAGCACCATATTCTCACCTTGAGTTACCGACATGCGTTCCTCCAAGCAGCTGCTAACGTCACCAGATCGCCAGCAACCAATAACGCCTCTCCACGCCCTCCTACGACTCTCCCAATTGTGTAGTTCAGCTGCTTGGAAGCGTGATATACTCCTACCGAAACAAATTCTCCTATTGGTTTGGAGCATTGCTGGTCGAGTGTTCAAAGCTGACCAAGAGTTGAGGATGTAGATTTGATGGAAATTCGTGATCAGAGGTGTCTCTTCCATACTCATCAGTTGCATACCACACAATTCTATGCCGAAACCGATCCCGCGACGGCTTCCGTGCTACGCAATAACTATTCCCTGAACTCCACTCACGAGGTTATTCATAATCCGCACATTTGTCGCCATCTGTATCCTTTGCCCGCCACTGAAGTTCAGCACGTGGCTCATCAGCTCAATCCACCTCCTGCCTGGCACGACCTTCGCTCTGACAGCATCCGCAGAACTCGGCACTGGAGGCTGGTCGGCTGACTGTGTTGCTTGGCCGAGCACTGCTTCGAGCGTGAGGTGCGCATAGCAGACGGCTTCATGCGCGTCGCCCGGTATGCCGATTGCGTGCAGTGGCTTAACCACGACGCTCTCGGCAAGCTCAGACTCGAGATAGTCGACGATATTGGTGTTCCGCGCGCTGGGGCCGCAGAGAAAGAGTTCGTCGACATGCTGGCCCGGAGGGAAGAAGAGCTGGAGTAGCCGGTTGTACTGCTTGAGAATGTTCTGGGCGGTCGCTCGAGTGACGGTGGCGATGGTGTCGGCTTCGGACATGCTGTTGTACAGACACTCGTCTATGAGCTGCTGAGCCTCGTGGTCGCCGAACATCTCCGTCGCCATGCTCATGGCTGGTGTTTGGCGAAGGTAGTCGCGCGTGTTGAGGAACTGGTCTATGATGTTTTGGTTGACAGTGCCTTGCGCGCCCAGCCTCCCGTCGTGGTCCGATGACTGCGCGTTCGAGGTGCAGTAGCGCATGGCGTAGTCGATCAGGAGACTGCCAGGCCCGCAGTCGCGAGATAACGTAGCGTGCGCTCCATCGTCGGCGTGAGGGGGTATGAAAGTCAAGTTTGCAATCTCGTCGATATTGAGGCAGACACGGAATCTGGTCGTGTGCCGTAAGAGAGCTCGGTTGACGTAGGCGGTCGGGTGAATCTGGGAATGAGTGACTGCATGCTCGGTTATCGTAAAGTCAGAAACAGAACTGATTCCAGTCTCTGCAGCGATCAAGGAGTTCCAACGGAGGGGTTGCTCCCTCGCGGCTTCTCGATCCGTCAGTGCTGTCAGATTGTTGAGGGCGTCGCTGTGAGTGCCCACGAGATCGATGGAGTCAGGGTCGATGGCATTCTTGCGGCAGAAAGTCTTGATGCCGTTGGAGAACAATCGGCTTAGTAGATCATCGAGTGTTGGCGCTGGCTCAGATCCGTGCCGGCCGCCGCGAAGATAGCTAACGATGGGATCTCTGACAGACGCGGGAACGGGGATTCGGTCAAACTGCGTGTTTGATGAACAAGCTGGTAAGGAAGCAGGGCTGTGACCAAACACTGACCTGTTGTAGATTTACGCGTAGTGGAGCCGATGGACTTGTTTGACGGTATCGAACTAACGCGCAATCAACGTGCCCCAGCCCCGTGCCAGTGCACACGCCCAATACGGCGAGGTCAAGGTTGTCCGTCACTTGATGCCCGTTTTGCTCTTGACTAGGAGAGATGCTTCTGATATCCATTGCTAAGTCTTTGCGTCGCATCGTGAGGATGAACTGATTTAATTAATTGGGCTAGAGACGCATAGCAGGAGGCAGGGTTATCATGTGGAGTCCTTCTTCGCAAGCTGACGCGATGTACACCTCCCCGGGACAATCTGCCGTGTTATGATAGAGCAGACTCGTACGAGTCGTCTACACCGGCATAGCGAAGAAAATTACAGCGTGCGGAGGCTAAGGCCGTTGTGCAATGACTCCTCCAACATACACAATCACGTTTTTCGATGAGTTACGTATGTAGACGGGCATCACAATAGCTTGCGCGGACTCAAAATATATGATGTGCACCGAGTTGAACACTGAACGTTAGCAGTGCTTATCGTTCGTCGGTGATTCAAACGAAGCCAGGAGTCGGATTTCTTGATCGCCCTCAAGAATTTATTACCATTGAGGAACTCTGCCGAGCTACTGAAACGGTTACGGGTGGCAGTTAGGTAGGGAAACAACCGTGAGTAACTGCTTCACGTCTGCGTGAGGAGAGACAGTACATGCGCCATGTTCGCACGACATGTGTTTGCTGTCAATATGTCCATCATACCATGAGGGGAAATGACAGGCCGCAAGAAACTGCGGAAGGCTTGGGAGATGTGCGCTAGCTACGGGTGTCCTGTGCAGAATCCTGCTGATGCCTGAGTTCACAGTCGACGTAGGGCTGGCTACACTTGCTCCACAAATTGAGCATTGAATCGATTACAACATAGATAGTCATCATGGAACGAGCGAAGGGCATGTCGTCGACTTCAAAGTTCAAACTTGGATCGGAGAGCGTGGATGTCACTTGATTGGCTAGGGCAGTATCTCTGGAGGAGGACTGCAAGAAATCAGTGCGGCGTAGACAACAACAGGCGCAGCATACTCAATACCCTGTGACCCACCACGCCTTTTGTCTCAAGCCAATCCACTCCGGCCACCTTCTATATGCCTTGATACACCACATTTTGAGTCGGTCTTAACGTGAGAATCCTGAGATGTGCGGATTATGATGTAACAGACCTCGGCGAACTCCTCCGCAACCAACGCGTTATGACCATGCTGCATCTTTACAGAGCGTTCAGGACCACTAACCTGGTCTTATGCATGTCATATGTCTGTACACAAGGTCTGGCCCATGCCTTAGACTCTTGGTAAGTGATGCTGCAAACTGTCACGCCACATGTATGCATACGGACACGTTCGGAGTAGGATCGGGGAATATGGATCAAAGATGTTGGAAGTTGACTGGGACAAGCAAGCTGGCAGTTACGTGCCACAAGCCTTCGATTGTGATTTGAGATTGTCATTTCGGCACATTCACCCAAAAATATCACGACCAGAGCCTGTGGCTGGTACTACGCGAGCAAATTATACTTCACGCGGAGTTTGTACCCGAGCAAGGGACCAATACTGAGATAAAAGAGAAATCGAATGTTATATCTAGGGTATTGTTTGAAATTACGCTCCTCCTGATTCATCAACACGAATCCTGGTCCAACCCCCATTCCTCTTTCAAGGCATTGCTGATCCAAGCAGTTGGCCAAACATGAGATCTCTCAAAATCTAACAGGAGCTGTAGGACTTCGTCTCGTTCCTTTGGATCTGTCACTAGCGGTCCCCAAACAAAGATAGTGTGACACAGGGTTATCGAGAGCTGCACAGTCTCAGGTGTACTCTTGCATGCGCCACAAATTGCACGTGCATGCTCCAAGATTTGGTGCTGGAATTTTTAGCTCAGGATTCGCCATCTAGGCTATATCGTTTTACATCTGTGTTTGAGAGACTTCCAACACTGCGGATGGCGAACCGCGGCCCCGGCTTGAAGCTGTGAAGCATGAGACAGGCGAAGTGATACAATCCAAACGCGACCGCTACATATCAATTAGTAGACGTCGGCTGGAAGCAATGGAAACACTTACCATGCCAATCAGCGGTAAACCATATATGGGAAAAACAGCTATCTTCTGCTGGCCCTTGCCAAATTGGACTGAAGCCCTCAGGCCGGTCCCTACCCCAGCTTTGGACGAGGTCCCAGAGCTCACGCCATCGAGCGAGCCTGCTGTTTCGATCTCGTGAAGGGTTTGTCTCGAAACAAAAGTTGACAATCAGGGCTGTATTCCATGTCATCTGGTTGGCCCACGCAGTTTCCAACCGCAAGCGCGCCAATGGATGCGAATCTTGCATTGAGCCAGGCGTTGGGTGCAGCTGTAGTGAGAAATCTACGTCAAGTGGTTGCTGGTTGGTTGTCGCTGTGTAGAGACATTGCCGAACATACACCCAGAAGGAAGCTTCACGCAGCGTCGGCGCTGAAGGGTCTACATAGTGATTACCTTGAGACGCACGCAATATCGCAGAGGAGCCTGCTAGATGCCGTGCAGCATCTGAGCCGGTGGTGGAAGGTACTGCGAGTGTAAGCCGGGACGCGTCAGCCTGAGATGTGAGGCCTACCATTGAGTTGTTCATAAAACCGTAAGATGACTATAGCGCACAACAACATTTCATCGTGGCTAGCACTCGCCTCATCCAATCGGTTTATGAGTAGGGCAATGCATCGTTGGTAGGCAGCATCAGCAACATTATCTTTTCTTTGGTGACGAGCTGCAAATGACAAGACTGCATGGCAGAGGACAGGGCAAGACTTGACCTTCTCCGGTACTCCTAATGTAAACTGCCGAGTGGCATCAGTGCAATCGAGCCAGCGGCCAAGATACTCTGAGTAGTGATGTACGAGCTGTGCTTCACTCTGTGTGAGTGGAACGGCTTCTTCCGAGTACGGACGAGTACCCTCCAGCACAGGATGCCGTAGTAGGCTGGCAACAGAAATTCCGCTCTGGGATCGAGAGCCCGGTGTGTTTATGGCAATCGAGTCGTCTGGTGATGGATCGCTCATTGACCGTGACGTACTTGCGGAGGCAGCGATGGCCCGTCCAATCCCTCGCGCTTCATTCGTCCGCGGAGGAGAATGCCGACTACCCAGGCTTTCCTCGTCATCAGCCCCATCTATATCCATATTCTCACTGTCACCTTCGCCAGTAGTAGATTTACTGGATGCTCTCTCCGAAGGCTGGTAATCCTTAAATTTGGTATGGAGCGTTTCCCATTGACATGGTCGATTTTTCTTGCTGCAGGCGTTGCAGACAGGACGCGTTTCGTCGCCTGAACGAGATTAGGTGCCCATCCAAGGTGACAGAAGGGACAACTTACATTTAACACGACGGGCTCTGCAGGTAAGACTGGGCGTTGCTTTGTTAGCTTTAGCGTTCATGGTCTGCTAGCATCTACTCACCATCCGCTTCTGGAACGGTATTTGCCCATGATTAATGCGATCGATCCTCAAACTTGCCTTTCGAATCGAGGGTCGTTTCAATGCTCTAATTGTGCTTCTCTACACATACGGTGAGTAAGAATCGCGATTTGTCGGCTCGAGATGGCATATTTTGGGGCAGGATGTGCGTGCGTCATACTTACAGTACCGCCGCCCATTAAGTGATTGATTTTTGACCCGATTCTTGCTAAGATATCTCGATGCGTAGCGAATATGCCTTGGGGTGTGACAGCGTCGAGTCAGGCGAATAGCAGATGCAAGGGTCTTCACATGAGGGACAAGAGCTGCTCTCGAACACCCATGCGCTGAGCTACGCTACTTCAATTCAAATCAGGATAGTGAAGCCTACCACAGATTGTGGTAAGGTATCGTATCCGGCGATGATTCAACATGGCACTGAACGGTCAAAGGTGTTGCGAATGGTACCTTGTCTTGAAACATTCCTGTAGACGCGACTCGATCAGACATGGTATTCTCGATGGCAATGATTCACCGGGAGTACACTGCGGGGTACATCGGATCAAAGCAGGCGTGTAATTGGCGTGGCCTTCATCGCCGTCGATCATTTGGTTGGTCAAAACCTCTACGTCTGGGAATACAAGCTGGAAGGACCTATTTGTGCTGAGAGCTCGAAGGATCTGAACAACACCTCCACTATTGGTGCGATCGTTTGGGCGGACGCTTCAGTGGAGACACCACCTTGTCCCAGTGAGGGCACGTAAACTCCGAGTCGGCCGACACACCAAAACCACTGTACTTGTGCGCGTAATATTGAACAGAAGACGTGTTGCGTGCTGGAGCATCGTCAACAGATATGATCATTGAATCGCGACGATAAGTGCTACGCTAGCCGTGAGCGACAGAACGCGCGCGCCACCTGGAGGCCATGAAACTGAGGCTTACAAAGGTAATTCGTGACGAAGTTTGGCGGAGAAACTTTGCCCATCGCAATTTTAGCTTCCATGAAACTTGATCCTACCTTTATGGCCTCCGCAACGCGCTGTAGCATCCAACTACCTGCTTTCGTAAGCTTAACAGTCATGATAGAATTCCGCGACGCTCCAGAGATCCAGGCCAGAGTGAATGGCGACTGCTTGAGACTCACCTAGTTCAAAGAGACCAAGGCCCTCTCATGACATACGCCCATTCGCCACTGTTCGTCAGGCTCACAAATCATCGTCGGGATAGGACCTCCAGCACGGTGCTGCGATCTGTCCGATGCCAAAAAGCGCGCAATCCTTTCGAGAACCATAATACAATGAAACGGCGTCGTTGGTGCGAACAACCACAGCCCGACACTCCAGCTTTGCTAAGACGCACATCGTGCCATCTGAATCCGTGCCCACTGTTACTACGAGCTCGTGGCGGTACCTCAGGCATGGTCTGTCACAGATGGAGGGCCACGAAGAGATCCAAGAGACATCCAGGACTTAGGTGTTGAACACGTACAACGCTTGTCTCGTTACAAACATCAACTCTGCCGGATTCCAGACCTGTAACGATTCGGTTGCAGGACTATGATGAGCAGATGGCCCGCTATTGTTGTCCTCCAACGGACGACGACTATGCAAGCGCTCTAGCAACCAAAGCGCCTGCACCGAAGACTCGTCGAAGGGTGACCTCCAGTTCATAACATCAACGAGAGTGTGAAACATCGTTCGAACCTCGAGGTGGGTGAAACCAGCGAAAATGAAGAAGTAAAGCAGTGGCGCTGATGATGGCATCAAGAATGGAAGTTAGGTTATAGTTGACGCTAATGCCACACGTTGATCCAGAACAGCACTGCAGCCACGACTGGTTCCTACCTCGATCCCGCCGAATCGCGTCATTGCAAGCCGCTATCATTTTCTTAGACGACTTTGCTTCCATACACCTAGCAGCACCGGTGGGTACACAGGCCGTGGAGACATATGGGACCTCCGAATTGGTTTTCGGCATTCAGGGATAAGACCGAGGCTTTCTGGTGCGTTGCGGTGGCAAAAAGGCACAGCAGCATCTCTTGAAGCGACGGCACCATAATGGCCCAATCCAGAAGGTGACGCTACGCATCGAGGGGCAAGAACCTGCGAGGATCGGGCGTCCCTTGACACGAAGATTGGTGTGTTGCAAGGACAAAATCACATTAGGCAGCATAATATAGCTCCAAGCACAACCAGCAACAGAACTCTCCGAGCGCCACGTCTAATGTTGACGGAATCTACCACCTCATCAAAAAGTCTCGGACTTTTGCATGATAGAGGGGAGAGAGCTCGCTAGCTGAATGCCATCTTGTCGATTGGGGATACTCCTTTCGGCAGAGAGGTGGCGAGGACCTTATCCTGCGGGGTAAGCCACGCGTGCATCCAACTCGTCCAGACAATACAGAAGAGGCTATAGGACACTTGCATCACAGTAGGATTGTTGATGAATCTAGCATAGTGAGCTCATCCCACGACAACGGTTTCACGAGCACACGGAAAATGATCACGCAAATGTGCGCTAGGTCTCGTGACAGGACCGGCCTCCTTGCTCCCACCACACCATCTTTCCTCACACTCAACGACGTGAAGCTGTAAGGCCCGGTCATCCTCTGGTTCAATCTCGCCTTCCAGTTTGATCAAGCCAATACGTTCCTGTACGTCTCCGACAGCGCAGACGACTAAGCCGTATAGCTTGTCGATTACGACAACCTTGAGGGGCTCTGCGCGGTGAATCGGATGGAGACGAGGGTCTTCTGTGATAGAAAACATGCTTCTTAAAGGCCAGGTAATGCGCACCTTTTGACCGCCGAATGTCATTTGGGATACCGCGGCTAATATGACGGGATGTTGCGCACTCACAAAACCAAATTCGGACTCATGAACGGGCGCCGAGAGTTCGCTGAAACAGACACGTATTATTTCCGCTTCAATCAGAACATTTTGGCTGTAGCGTAACGGCGTTGAACCGTGACTGTCTTTGAGTTCCGCCGTCGCTTGCTCCACAGAGACAGGGTTGCCTTCTGGAGTTTGGAACTGAATGGCACAGACTGTATCGACGACAGAATTCGAACCAGATCCAGAGAACAATCGTCTTTTCTCGGTTGATCTCCCAGATTTCATCCAGGTTGGGGCCTCCCAAGAGACCGGCGCGATCCATCCACACCAGGACCAACTTGGAAAGCCCTCTCTACGGCGCGGTGGCACTGCTGAGTCTATGTGCCAAAGCAGGCTTGGCACAAAGAATTTTTGTATTCCTTCCTTGTGGCTTGGTATGCCCCACCACTGTATGACCTCTTGAGTGCTAAAGAGATGTGCAAAAATGCCTTGTAAGCCGTTGAGAGCGTCAGATTGGAAGCTCGTCTCTCTTTTTGTGTACTCGCTGACGTTATATAAGAAACTGTCCCATCCAGTCCTGTCACCTCGTAACAGCGTAGAAGTGGTTCCCTTGCTGGCAAAGCGGTGTGGATCCAGGATCAACGACTCGAAGAAACAATCGGGACCATTGCATTCGAACAAAACCTGAGTCTTCGTGAATAACAGCCGCTGTCTACCAAATAAGCCCTCTTGGAAGGTCCACGCTCGCGTATTCCATTTCGAGCGAGCCACGCACTCCCGCGGGTCCTCTAGTGCTGACACCCACAGGCGCCCCTCGAGGGAAATCATCGGCTGAGAATCTCGTGGACATGATACACCTGGCAATCCAAACGTGGCGCTGTCTCCCGCAGAAGCAACAATAGTAAGTGCTGCAAAGTTGTAGATGAGGTCCATCAAACGCAGTTGCCGATTCATTTCTACGGAGTCGCCCTGGTCGATGCAGTATTGATCAACCCATAAGTATTGTAGCCGTAGACCGAGCACGACGGCAATCGCGTCTTCAATAGTCCTTGGCATATCTGGAGGTAAATAAACCCGCCCATCATCGGTATGAATACAAGGCACAGTCGTAGCAGATGCTCCCCATACATAGCTCAGCGCTACGTATTCGGCATCACCACTGAAATTACTGATTTCCCGGGTTGTGCAATCGATGATTTTTGTGTTGAAAAGACGGCCTCGTTTGTGAAGCTTGGGAGTCGAACAGCTGGTGTGGTGATGCTTTTGGCAATATGACATCCACATTCGGACTTTTTCCAAAGTTTACTACGGTTGGCAAGAGCTGTACAGCCAGTGGAGGACGATCTCTGTGCAAGTCGCCTTCGAAAGGGATGATGAGCCGTTTTGAATGTGCGGTCCCACTACAAGACCTCAGTGATACTTGCGGGAAGCTCTGACGCGGATAGAAAGGGCTGATATGGCACTCTACATCGAGAGTAAGATTGTCGTCGTCTGCAGTGATGTCCGCTGCAACAGTGGCTAGAAGGAACTTGCACATAGGACATGTAGCTTGTCTGTTTACCTTCAAGCTTCCCTTGGGAGGGCGAAGCTGGAGATGCCCTGATAAAAACCCAGCAATGTCGAGTTTGAGACACTGAGAACACAGCTCGTGCCTAGACGAATCTTTGATTAATGGTATTGGAAGTTCTGCCGTGTCGCCATGGACGTACTTGCAGCAGGTGTATCGCTTCATGACGATTCAGTGGACACCTGATGATGAGATGATTGTCATCTTGGAGGCCGTACGGAATAGATGCCTAACGCCCAGTGCGGCTGAATCCCCAAGGCTGTGTGGAAGGCGTTCATGTCACGTGATATGTCAGCCTAGCATGGCGGCAAGGCGAACGATGTGAAGAAGAGAAAAAAGTACCATTGCAGAGAAGCCATCTAGAAGAGCCTATGAATCCAGTTGCAAGACACCAAGCTCCTAACAATGGTTCCTGTTGTTGTACAAGTTTAGCGGCCAGTAGATACACAACCGCGTCGCTATACCCTACAGGCCATATAGTCCCCTCCTTCTTTGTTCTGTGCCTGTTAGGATACCCGAAGCTCCGCGTACTGGCTAGATTTTTGTAAAAGTCGGCCCGAGAAGCTTCTCAGCAACTGAGCGGCGGCTTACTCTACATTTCTGAGGCTATTCTCCAGGCAGACAGGTTCGAACATGCCCATTCACTCCTCGTGGCCTAAAGCAAGATAAAACTTCCTCCTTCCGTTCGCATGGCAGAGTTGCAATGCGTTGGAATATCAGATGTAAAGGTCGATTAATCATTGCTCTTGTCAAGGCCGTCGGCGACCGCCTCGTCATCGTGCCGAGACCTTCTCCGCAATCTGCAGGGTAGCGCCGCTGATAAGGCCAGCCTCGGGACGGCGACAACGCAGGGACGATCCAGGCACCAAACCACATGCACGCGATAACCGCACCTGACTGGCCGCATCATCGCTGATCACCATGAGGCTCGAAACGGCGCCGTGTGACCATTTGCAGCGCACGCCGAGGACTGCGCCCTGAGTGGCTGTGACGCCTATCCTTTGATACATCAACACCCGCAAGCCTCATCTCGTTGCCCTCCATTCATCTACCTACACCCTAAGCTTACAGCTCTCGGTCGTCTCCACCGTGTCTTATTGCTGCAGGCTAGCAAGCACCTTCCCAATCGATTCTGGTCGTCCACCCACATCGGCGTCGACGCGCGAATCAGATCCCCGGCCGTGAACGCGTGAAGCAGCAGCTGCCGCTACGGGAGAGGCTCGCTCCGCAAAGCTTGACAACGCTTGTGGCTCCGAGGCTACTGCAGCATCACAATACATCATGCCCGTGATGCTAGACTCGGGCGAGTTGCTGGACTCGTTCGTAGCTGCCGCGAAGGAGCAGGTACAAAGCAGCGCTGTTGCCGCAGCTGCTGACGCCGTATCAACCGCCATGCCTTCTCTCCGCACGCTTGGGAAACTCGCTCTGGGTGGTGCGCAGATGGTGCTGGCGCAGGGTGGTGTGAACCCGTTCGAATCATGCTCGAACCCGCAGTTGAGCTGCCACAACACGACGGTTGTCCAGGACCTGTGTTGCTTCAATGCGCCTGGTGGACAGCTGCTGCAGACGCAGTTCTGGGACACACATCCCGTCACAGGTCCGGTTGATAGCTGGACGCTGCACGGCTTGTGGTGAGTGACCCTCGCAAACTAAAGGTAGCAGAAGCTAACAACGACCAGGCCCGACCGCTGCGACGGCACCTACGATGCCAACTGCGACTCGTCCCGCTCCTACTCCAACATCTCCGCCATTTTGAAATCGTTCGGCGCAGATGACACACTCTCCTTCATGCAGACATACTGGAAGGACTACAGCGGCAACGACGAGTCGTTCTGGTACCACGAGTGGGCGAAACACGGCACCTGCATTTCCACGCTCGAGCCGGAGTGCTACACCGAGCACAAGCCCACCGAGGAGGTCGTTGACTACTTCAACCGCGCCGTCTCGCTGTTCAAGACCCTCCCCTCCTACGAGTGGCTCGCGGCCGCCGGCATCACACCCAGCAGCTCGCAGACATACACATTCCAGGCCATCCAGAATGCGCTGGCAGCAAAGAGGCCCGGCGTGGAAGTGACTCTGGGCTGCAAGTCTGGCCAGCTGAACGAGATCTGGTACCACTACGACGTGCGCGGTTCTCTGCAGACCGGCGACTTTGTGCCTGCCAACCCCGACGGCACAAAGTCGACCTGCCCGCAGACGGGTATCAAGTACCTGCCCAAGGGTGGCAGCCAGCCATCTGCAACCAGCACCACTGTGGGCGGTCCGGCGCCGACGAGTACCTCTGCACCAGGCACGCCGTTCAGCGGGAAGGGGTATATCAATGTTGAGGTCAGCGGCGCGAACAAGGGCTGCATCATCAGTAAGGGCACGTGGTACACTACCGGCACCTGCGCGACATTCACAGCCACTGAGCTCGACAGCGGCTTCACATTGTCCAGCTCGAAGGGCAAGTGCGGCATCGTTGGAGGCGCGCTGACCTGCGATGCAAGCGTTAGCTCTGGCACTGGATTCACAGCAGTCGACGGCAGTCTCGCAGCCGGTGGAAACGCCGTTTGGAGCGCTGACAAGGCCGCCAGCGGAAGCACGCAGGTACCTGTGTATGCGGGAGGAGATCACGCGCAGCAGTTCGCTCTGACTTGGCAGGGTGTGTAGACGTATAGCTATTAGAATCCGGGTATCAAACGCCCCAATGCATCTCGTATTACTCAATTGCTGTCCGACTTCGAGTGTCGAGCTGACCTGCGGAGGCCGTTGCGCATAAAGGCCCCAGAGTGTAGCTCCAGCAATGTGAGCTCCTCGACGCTTTTCTCCTTCCTCTTCAGCGGGCTGGACTTGCTCGAGGCCCACTTCCGACCTTTCGTACTTTTCGTGACTTTCTGGGCCACGCCACGAGTCGTTGTCGTCACTTTGGAGCGAGGTGTGGCCTTTGGTGGGGTGTTCAGGGCTTCTTGCGGGATTAGAGAGGTATTTTTGATCTGCGAAGGTTAGTCGTGCTGACAGAAAACAAGGTCGTACCTACCTTGATCCTGACGATTTTGCTCTCTTCAGACAGAGTGGAGGGCGCGGACGACAGAGTAGATGTGGTAGAGGTGGGGCTTGTAGTCTTGACCTCAGGTGCAATATTGACAGGACTTTTAGGTGGTGTCTCTGGCATGTTGAATTCGCTCTTCTCGTCTTTTGCCCGTGGTGTACGTCCAACAAGCTCGTGGTCTCTACGAAGTTCCCCTGCTTGCTCGGGCGCAGGTACGACGTCTTCAATTTGTTTCTTGCTGTCATTCTGAGGTGCATGTTCCTCCCGGTCAGTCTTCTTGCGGAGGAGATTGATGGCAAAACGGCGAATGCTTCCTGGACTCCGAACATTGACTGGGCTGGACGCGCTTCCACTGACCTTGGGATACGGTGTGCCTGGCTCGACGGTTGCTTCGTCGGAAAGAGCAACACTGTTATCGTTGAGTGACTGCGTCAATTCACTGACTACGTCTATACCGTCGCCGTCCTCTTCGTCGTCGGAGAACATGGGAGGCATCGGTGTAGGAGCGCGCGCCAGAGGATCAAGGAAGTCAAACTCGCGATACACTATGACAAGGTCAGCAAAGTCCCGCTAGAACACAGCTCGCGTTTACCTCCATGCTCGTCAGTGAAGCCTTGTGCATTCCACTTGTACGTGCCATCATAGAACTTGCGCGACCGATCACTGACAGCCAGATCGTCCGGCAAGCGATACGCAGATGCGGTGGGGGCGGACATCTTGTAGAAATTCAGTGTGAGATTAGTGAAGGTAGTGTGCTTGTGTTGTGTTGTGGGTGGAGCAACATAGCATGCACAAACGGAAGCGAGAGCAAACGGGCAGGTGCAGAGTGAGGGAAAGAGCGGTCGCACGCAACACCGCCGCTCACCCACATCAAACGCCTAGACACTCGAACATGCTCGAGTCTTTCTGACTGATTGACAGGGCATTGCTTTTCTCGAGTAGTGACGAGGTTGAGAACCATGACAATCTGAGACATTGACACAAAGACACCAAACAAAGCAGACAATGAATGAAGTGAAATTGAACCACAGAATCTATCCTTTAAGGCTTATGCTGCAGTGAAGGGATAACGCCGTACAGCCAGATGAGTACAGCCATGGCCATGCGAAACACCTTGAACACCACTGTTGTATATCTAAAAGACTAGAACTTTCCACTCTGTACCGTACAGACCTCAGGGTCGTATTCCGGGGAGGGAGCGAATTGCAGCACCTGCAGCAGGACAAGTGTACCGAAGTCTGGACGATAGCGCCACTATGCCTTCAAGTCCCGCCACGTATGCACACCGGAAGGGATCTGCGATTGCATTTGCGATGAGAAAAGGCCAAACGGAGGCAGTTGTCCATCCATACGGCGTGGCAAATCAGCGTCTTGGTACAACAGACGCTCTGCGCGATCCATTGCGCCAGGCTGGGTTATGATACCTATGAGCCGGGCGTGGGTACGCCTGGCGAGCTTTCCTAGGCGGATCCAACGGGGCCAGCCGTGCCTGGCGTGGGTTGCTTTGCGATGGACTCGCCCAGTTTCTCTCGTGCGATCTTCTCCTGTTCCATCGCAGCACGGTCAGCCTTGGTAACACGAGGTTTGCGGACGGTTTGACCACCACGAGAGCCAGGACCCCCGCCGCGACCGCGCCCTCTACCAGCCGTCTCGCCTCGTGTTGTGCCGCCGCGACCTCGACCCCGCCCGCGTCTAACGGTGCCATCAGCCCTATGCTGTCAGTACAATGTTGTGTGCAAGTAAATCAAAACATACCTCTCCACAGATGGCTTCTCCTCCGTCACGAGAGGGCCGCTATACACAAAGAAGCCGTCTTTGGCCATGAGTGCCTGCTGCTCCCAGGCAAGTTCTGTGTCGTCGATGAAGTCATCCTCCTTGTCGTAGTCTTCCTGCTTTCGCTTGCGCCGCTTCTTGCCGTTCTCGGTATTCGAAGCGTTGTCGTCCATTCCGCCCATCTCGACGTTGCTCTCGTTTTCGGACAGATCGACTGACATTTCATCGGCGGACAGACCAGCAGCCCGCTCGAGGGCGGCACTGGCATTCTTGATCTGGCGTTGGCGTTCTTGACGAGCAGCGATGCGTGGGTGCAGGGCGGCGAAACCATATTTCTTCTCGATCTCGAGTGCAACGTTGATGGTGGTGTTCTCGCGTCCCTTGAGGTCGAAGGTGAGGTATATGTTTGGTGCAGTCGGGCCCTCGGCGCCTTTGACGGTGGTGGTGACAGGGCCGAACGGGGTACCAGAGAGCAGCCCACTACCAGTAGGCAAGGGCGGGGGCGCCTCTTTCTGGCGGACAGATTTTGTGGGCGGGGTTGGGGCCGACGCGCCGTTTGCTGCAGGGCTCACCTTCCGCGCCGTGGCCACAATCGGCTTTGAAGCATCAGAGTCAACGTCCATCGGTGCAGGGCCGGTTGGGACAGCAGGTTGAGGTAAGGGTTGTGGTGTTAATTGTTGCGGTTGGTGTTGGGGAGGTGGAGCTGAGTAGTCTTGGGAAGGAAGGACCGACGCTGGTCGAGTGTGGAAACTGGCAGGCGACTGCGGGGCAGATGTGATGGATGCCTGCTGCTGCATCTTCACGGGTGGGGAGAAGAAGGAATTGCTGGCAGAAGGCGGGTCGATCAGACTGGTTATGGATGGCGATGCACTCGCACGGTTGATGGGAGGCGAGATGGGCGGCGGCGCGCTCGCTGGAACCTGTGGCTTATCTTCCATGATGCCGCCGCGAATTGGATCATACCGCTGACCTGAGCTGGACGGCCGTGGTGTTGATGGCGCGACATTGATGTGAGAAAGGTTGGGGTTGTTGTAGAGTGTGGGTTCCTGGGTGCTCAACACGCGGGGAGCTGGTGTGATGGCAGGCGGTTGCTCCGGCGGTTGCGGTACTGGGACTGGCTCACTGGGTCTTGGTTGAGGAGTAGGCGAATTTTGTACAACAGGTTTTTCTTCAACTGGTGCTGGCTGCGCTTCTAGAGAGGCTTTGGTTCTCCGCTTGCGCGCTGGGGGTACACTTGGATCTTTGGGTTCTGCAGGCTTGCGGGGCTTTCTTGTCTTTTTCTCCGGCTCTGGGGCATTTGGATCTTTTGCTCTTGGCTTTGGACCAGGCTTCTTCCGTGGCTGTCCAGATGCTGTGAGACGTGTCGCTGGTGAGGTCGCATTTGCAGGGGTGCTAGTGTTTGCAGCAACACCACTGCCGGAAACTCGTGTGGTGGACGTGGGCGTGCCTTCAGGCGAGTGTGGGGGCGAACTCAGACTCCCTGGCGAGGACGCATCGTTTGCATCCATGGCTGCGAAATTGCAAATACACGCAGATTGTGAGGAATGCCAGTGTGCAGCGGAACTATTCGAAACTGATACAAAACTCTGTACACAGAAACGTCGCAGATTAGGGGCGTAGCGTGAGCAGCTGTGGCAGATTGCTGGCTGGCGGCTGGCGAACTCAACACCAAAAGTCGTGGACGTGCTCGATCGCAAGGTTGTCGAGAACACCAAAGTCGATGTGTAGCCGCGTGCCGGGCCGGGGAGCACTGAAAAGGAACCTGTTGCACGGAGAGGAACGCGAAGTTTCAACCCCTAATTACAATTCGATGGCCGCGATCACAGCAAGTGCGGTCTTGATGAAAAGGTAATCGCAAGTGGCAGAATCGCACATTTGAGAAAGAGAAAAGGAGAGAGAGGAGAGACGCGCTGTCCGCATCAGTTGAATGGGGGCTTCAGGTATGAAGAGCGATCTGGCACATGGGCCAAAGCGCAAGGTTACGACGAGGAAAATCATTTACGCCAGCGACTGTCTCCCCGGACTGGGCTGCCGCTGTTCATCTGTGAATGAGACCCTGGAAGCGGGCTGTCAGCGGACATGCGGCTGTCGGCATACATATCAACTTGATGTGCGGTCGATGCGCGTGCGCTGTGACGACTCCAACGCGGACTGCATTGCTTCTTGCTGCTCTTTAATCACTTGCAGCTGATGAGCAGATGGTCTCCTGATCCCTCAGGGCACGCTATGAGGAGCGTGTAGGGTGTGTTCCTCATTGAGCAACCAGCGCGATCAGCCATGCCTGTTCAAATGCCCCGGCGCGCGAGCCTGTATGTGGTGCTGACGGCCTCCCTAAAGCTGACTGCACTACTAACTAGACGCAGTTCAATGTCGACGAGCAGCAACCCACGTCCAGCTGCGAAGGCGTGCCGCGCTTGTGTCTCTGACTGACATGTTCCTGATGCGTGGTTGTCCTGTCCCAACGGGCCGGTTTGCAGGGATCCACTTTTCGATCCTCACGCCTTACCCGGATCGGACATGGTTCTCATCTGATCCATGACCGCGGTGGCGCAACGTAGTTTACTCGAGCTGTCAATTCACGAAAAATGTACTGCCGTCCTCCCTAATTCTATTCCAAGCGCAGCAGAGAGAAAGAGAGTTGCTCGATCACTGATGTTTTGAGACTGGTGAAACGTGCGCTACCAAACATCAAGAAAATCATTGGCGATCACAGCGGGCGAAAACGTGAACGTTCATCTTCGTAAATTGAAATAAATGTCATCGCAACGCGGTCGTACAACAGACCCGATGCTGCAGAACGCCGTAAACGCCTTCCTGGCTCTACAACGCCGGAGGGAGTATATGCAAGAATACAGAAACAATGATACATCAACTTTTCGTAAGACTGGAGTAGTTGATCATGCCTTGCTCTTCTTCTTCTTCTTGGACTCGCCATCGTCGGCATCCGCTTTCCTCTTCTTCTCCTTCTTGGACTTCTTCTCCGAGACCTCCTCGTCAGCGTCCTTGGACTTCTTGGACTTTTTCTCCTTCTTCTCCTTCTTCTCACGGCGGGCCTGCTCAGTTGCGCCGGCAGTAACACCGTCGGCCATCTCAACATCCTCAGTCGCGGTGGCTGTGGGGTCAGGAATACCGATATCGGTCATAACGGCGTTCATAGCCGCCTGCATGACAGCGGCGTTCTTCGCTGGCGGCGCGCCGGAAGCGTAGAACTCGATCCTCTCCTCGACCTGGCGCTTGAGCGCTTCACCGAACTTCGAAGTGGGGGTCTCAGAGAAGTTGTCAATCCTGGACGCAATGGAGCACTTGTTGGCCAAGAAACGCGAGATTCTGCCCTTGGACTTGGCGCCAGTCTTGCCAATGAACGACGAGTGGTAGATCAAACCGTACTTGGGGGTGTTGCCCTTGGTCTTGAGACTGGGAGGAGTTAGTCAAGTTTTTGAATGATATCGATTAGCTTACGCTCGGAACAGAGCCTTCTCGGCACCGAGAATCTGGACTGTCGAGGCGGGGTACTTGGACAAGTTGGTCAAAGATCCAGCCTTGGAGATGAGGCGAGCGCCGACAGTGTCGCCGATCAGAGCAGCCAGGTTGGGTGCGACCTGGTTCATCCTGCTGGAGAGGTAGCTCGAGAGCTGCCTGCGGTAGGCGGCCAGGGAAGCGGTGCGCTTGGCAAAAGCCATGACGATCTCCATATCGGCCGCAGACAGATCGCGACCCATGGATGTGCGGGCAGCCTTGATGATGGCAGTCGCAACAGCCTCGTCGTCATCGACAACGGCGGCGAGGTCGTGAGTGTCATCGTCAGTGAGACGGGACTTGTCGCCAATGGTGAGGACGACCTTGGCGTACTGGTCGTTGCTCTGGACGATCTTCGACAGCTCGGGAAAGTGCCATCCGTAGTTCTCGCGAAGACGCATGCAGAACTGGTTCAGCTGGAACGGGTCAGTACTGGTCTCGGACGACTTGGGACGCACAACTCACATCTTTGTCAACCTGGTCAAGAGTGGCAATGGCCTGGATGATGTGGTTGTCCTGCTTGTTGACGCTGAACTTCACCTTGGCGCGGGAGTATGCGTGACCAAGACCGAGGATGGAGCGGTCAATGTCGCCGGGCTGGAGCTTCTTGATGAGCTTGCCAGAGTGCTGGCGGAGGCCACGGAGCAAGTCAGCGACGACTTCGGAGGTCTGGGCAGTCTCGCAGGCAAGGTTGGGGAAGGCGGCCTTGATGCTACCAGCCAAGTTGCTCTCGCTCAGTCCGAGGGTGATGGTCTTCTTCTTGCCGGCCTTGGGGAGGTTGGTCTCGAGGGTCGCGCGCAGGAAGTCGGAGAGAATGCCCTCGGAGATGTCGTTGATCTCCTGCAGCGCATCCTGAGTGCCCTGGAACGGCGCAAGGCCGACGAGCTCGACGGTCTTTCCGAACTTGTCAAGATCCTGCACGGCCTTCTGGACTTCGGCAAGGCGGTTGCCAATGGTGTCCGGCTGCAGAACTACTTTGAAGACCTGCACAGCGCATTAGACTTTATTCGAGCTACTGCTCAGCTCCAGACGTACTGCATAGCCGATGGGGCTCTCGTGGAGGAGGTAGTCGACCGACATCGTGAGTCGCAAAGCTTGAATTTTGTCGCGATGTGGTGACGCGAGTGCAGTCCGGCGTGTGGTCGTGTGAATTGAGCTGCTCTGCGAATGTGAGAAAAGATTCTTTGGCGTCCGTGCCCGCGCTGTGCCGAAGAGCCCCCGCCGCGCTTCCACCAAAATCTCTAGAGGGGACGCGCTCGGGCAGGCACGCGAAGCAGCACTACCCCACGCTGCCACCCTGCTTTTCTTCTTGTATTGTTCGATACCCTGATAGACGTCTTGCAATATGTCGGCCGCACAGCTGTTGAATCCGAAGGCGGAGTCGAGGGTACGCCCCTCATTGTTTGCAAACACTGGACGCTAGCTAACATTTGCACAGAGGCGCGGGGAAGCTCTCCAGGTGAACATCTCGGCTGGTGAGGGCCTGCAGAAGGTGCGTACTTGGTGTGGATATTGTTGGAATGCATATACTGACTGAATAGGTCCTTGCCTCCAACCTGGGACCCCGCGGTACACTGAAGATGTAAGGATGCCTTCACGGACGAAAGAATACGTCGCTAACGATTTCAGGCTCGTCGACGGCGCTGGTGGAGTACGTTGTATGCCATGGTTTCTGAGCGACCCTGACACATTCACAGATCAAGCTCACAAAAGATGGAAGTGTTCTGTTGAAGGAAATGGTAAGCCGCCGCCGAGATCTACTCTTCACGACTAACACGCTCGCAGCAAATCCAAAACCCCACCGCCGTATGTACCTCGCTCACGCACCTCCGCACAATCTAAAGTAGGACAGGTCATGATCGCGCGCGCAGCTACAGCACAGGACGACATCACAGGAGACGGAACGACATCAGCAGTGCTTTTGATTGGAGAGCTTTTGAAGCAGGCAGACCGCTACATTGGCGAGGGTCTTCACCCCCGTGTCATCACAGATGGTTACGACATCGCGAAGACGGAAGCGTTGAAGGTACGTGGTGCGCTCAGTGCGCCAATCGGAGGCTGATAACTGCAGTTCCTCGACGAGTTCAAGCTCGAGAAGGAAGTTGACCGCGAACTCCTGCTCTCCGTTGCCCGCACATCGTTGTCCACGAAGCTCGACAGCTCGCTCGCCGAACAGCTGACCCCCGATATCGTCGATGCCGTGCTTGCCATCTACCAGGCACCGGAGAAGCCTGATCTGCACATGGTCGAGATCATGACCATGCAGCACCGCACCGCCGCCGACACACAGCTGATCAGGGGTCTCGCGCTTGACCACGGCGCCAGGCATCCTGACATGCCCAAGAGGGTGGAGAACGCATACATTCTGACCCTCAACGTCAGTCTGGAGTACGAGAAGTCCGAGATCAACTCTGGTTTCTACTACTCGAGCGCAGAGCAGAGGGAGAAGCTCGTCGAGAGCGAGCGAAGATTCGTCGACGATAAGCTGAGGAAGATTGTCGAGCTGAAGAAGGAGGTCTGCGGCGACGATCCTACCAAGGGCTTCGTTGTTGTCAACCAGAAGGGTATCGACCCCCTCAGCTTAGACGTGCTGGTCAAGAACGGTATCTTTGCGCTCAGGAGAGCAAAGAGGAGGAACATGGAGCGCCTCCAGCTTGTCTGCGGTGGCACATCACAAAACAGCGCCGACGACCTGACACCGGACGTGCTTGGTTGGGCCGGTAACGTCTACGAACACACTCTGGGCGAGGAGAAGTACACCTTCATCGAGGACGTCAAGGAGCCCAAGTCGGTCACACTCCTCATCAAGGGACCCAACTCGCACACCATCAGCCAGATCAAGGATGCCGTCCGCGATGGTCTGAGGAGTGTCTACAACATGATCGTCGACAAGAGTGTCGTGCCTGGCGCTGGCGCGTTCCAGATTGCCTGCGCTGCCCGCCTCAACAGCGAGGAGTTCAGGAAGACAGTCAAGGGTAAGGCGAAGTGGGGTGTCTCCGCTTTCTCTGATGCGCTTCTCGTCATTCCCAAGACACTGGCTGCCAACTCCGGTCACGACATCCAGGATTCGCTGGCTGCTCTGCAAGACGAGCACGCAGAGGGCAACGTTGTCGGTCTTAACCTGGCCACCGGTGAGGCCATGGACCCCATACAAGAAGGTGTCTTTGACTCGTTCCGCGTGCTGCGCAACTGCATAGCTTCGGCTACCGGAATCGCATCTAACCTGTTGCTGTGCGACGAGATGCTCAAGGCACGACAAATGGGACGTGCCCCTGGCCCTGGTGACGACCAATAAAGTAGGTTGGTGAAAAGCTCTACGATGTTGTGAGGACTGAGAACGAGCGACTGCTTCCTCTCAGCTCCGCTATACCTCGTTTTAAATGAAACCACATAATCAAACGATTGAGCAATACTGAACCGGTGAAATATGTTGAGCAAATACCCCATAGAATGTCCACCTACTTGAACCCTGCTTTTGTACAACGGCCTTAGAAACTGGGTGAGGTTCGAAGCGAGGAGCACGTGCCTATGAGGGGCTTCCTGGCATTCCAGCTGATTCTCATACTCGCTGCGGGGCAAACGTCTTTCAGCATCTTACAACTCCAATTCTCGAAATGACATTCCAACATGGCTAACCAGATGATTCCCTAGGACGAAGGGTTAAGAAAAGACTTCAACAAGGTGCAGCGCGACGCACGTTACGAGGCCAGTGTGATACACGCGCTCAAGCACGGCCACTTTCACCATCTGCGGGCACCCTCGACAACGCGCACAAACCAGGCCCACATATGGAGAGGTAGGCGAGCGCGACGCCAAAATTGTGGGTACGGAGCGAAATCACTTTGGAGCACTATATATTTATCTAATTTTCCATGACTGGTTGTGCAGTGCGAGGATTTGTACGAACTCATTTCTTGCCTTTTACCAGAAGTGACCGCGAGTCCCGCACAACACTGCACTTATTCAATCTTTGGACCAAACCTCATGGGTTCAACCCATACTTTTTGCTAATTTCAACATTGTCTCATCTCATAGCCCTATTCTTCTAGTCTACAACGCAGTTGTCGTCTTATTTTTGCCGAGTTTCCTCGTCGAGCTGTGCTTTTTTGAAGTTATGCTGGAGCAAGGACGGTGAACAAAGAGCCTGGCGCGTGCTCCGTCCGAGCGCTTCCTCGACATCCAGGGTTGTTCACTACACATCACCATTTCAATTGTTCCATTCACTCCTCACCAGAGATCAGCTCATGTTTCGCCAGCCACCGCTGACAGCTCGTTGTGCGCGGTGCCTGTGCGAACTGAAGCTAGACTCCCGCCGTTGTTTCTGCTACGCCTCCTTACGAGTAAGTGTTCGACCTGTCCATCGGAGGATATCGCAGCACAACGCTTTGAAGGTATTACAGCCTGCACGATTGAGATAAGACTGGAGGTAAGACTAGAGGTAAGACTGTCAGCGCTGCTTTGAAGTCCATCATGTTGTTTCATTCCGCTCTGAGGCACAAGTGATCCTCAAGCACCGTCAAGAAGCGTTGGTAGGTCTTACAGTCTCCTAGCATTTCAAAACATTTTTCCATGCAGCGCCTCCGGAACAGCAGTGGCCCTCAATCGTTTCAATCTCTGCTCATACGTGTACTCTTCTTCATTTCTTCCTGCCTTTGCGCGCTCTAGTTATCGCCCAACCGCCCAACATTCCTCTAGGTGGCGCGTGTGCTTTCCCCGCCACGTTCGGCCATATCCGCGCGTGATGCAAGAGCTAGATTCTGGTATGAGCGAGCACATGCTCTGTGACTGCACGAGGGAGCTTCCGGTATGGCGTGCATTGAGCTGTGTAACACGCGTAGGTCCATCCCTTCACGGCTTCTCGCTAGACGCGTCCTACTTGCTATTTCACGTGAATTCTCTAGAACACATCGATAGTACGCGATGATAAGAGGGGCATTCTATCTTTTCTGACATGTCGCTTCAGATGCAAGGTGTGGTGCGCCGTCACGTTTCAGGTGTCGAGAGCTCATTTCAGGCCTATCCTGTGTTTCGCCTCGTACAGTCTCATAAAGTCGAGTACCTCCAGAACCACTCGCGACAGACAATGTTCTCACTTTGACGTTGGTGGCTACCCAGGTGGTCCACTACAACGACTGGTCGCTAGCATACAGGCCTTGAGGGTTTGCATCGAACGCGGGGTGCAAGGGTAATTTTCCGGTGCAAGGAAACACTACAATCTCGAGGGCCTTCGGCGGAGCAATATTTATTTTCACCTGACAATCGCAGTTGCCCTGGCGGCGCGCCAAGAAGCAAGGTCGACGCAGGTACAAACGGCCATCACGCCTGCCTCCCTTGCTTGCACCTCCCTCTCCACCACTCTTTACGCCCACTTTCCTTCTGCACTGAAGCTCCAACTCGGCTCAGCCCGACTCACCTTCCTTTCAATCCAGCTGCAGGCAGTCAGTCAGTCACTATCGTTTGCTCGAGCGTCATCCTTGCACGCTAAACTTGATCCCCCATTCACATTGCGAAATACAACTACTCGAGCATTCCGTAACATTCTCTTCATACCATGAAGTCCATCATTATTGCGGGCGCTCTCGCCGCGATCCTGGGCACTGCGAGCAGTCATCCCCTCAGTGCGTTGATCGCTTTTGACGGACTGCAGAAGCTGACCCTCGCAGACTACAAGCGCGACTACGTTACTGAAATCGTCATCGTCACAGAGACTGTCACCGACGCGTTTGTCTATGTCGATCAGGATGGCAAGCCTTACTCGACTTCAGTTGTGGGGCAGTCCACTGCCGCTGAGTCTGTGGAAGTGGTCACTACATCTGAGGCAGTTTCAACAGCTCCCGGCATCTCGTATGCAGCGCCAGTTTTCGAGGCTTCTTCTGCGTCGGTAGTTCCGACGGTAACCCCAAGCATCTCGTATGCGGTGCCAGTTCCTGAGGCTCCATCTGCAACTCCGTCAGCTTCCGTGACTCCGCCTTCGTTCTCTCTCGTGCCCGACCCCGAGCCAACGTCGGTCCAGGCACAGAACGAGCCTAGCACGACTCCCGCAGTCGAGTCCGTTGCACCTGCTACTACATCGTCACCAGAGCCTTCGTCGCCCCCACCTGCCCCAGTCCCTTCGTCCGCTGCACCCGCGTCCTCCCAGGTCCCTCAGGTTGAGACGGCAGATGCCGGCGCTCTCCCTTTCGGCGTAACCTACGACCCCTTCACTGGTACAGAGGGCAACAGCCGCTGCAAGACTGACGCCGAGATTGCCGACGAGTTCAGCAGGATGAGCTCGTACAAGGTCGTTCGTATCTACGGCATGGGCTGCAACATCATCTCTCTTGCTGTCCAAAACGCTCAGAAGAACGGCCAGACACTCATGGGTGGTGCGTATCTCAGCAACAGGGGCAACGGTGAAGACCTCAGCTCCGTCATCACAACCTGGAAAGACGCTATTGATAGGGATGCTGGAGGCAGCTGGGACATTCTGAAGCTCTTCTCTGTCGAAAACGAGCGCCTCAACGACCACGACATGACTGCTTCTGAGATCGTTGACGCCATTCGCCGCGGCCGTGACCAGCTTCGTGGTGTCGGCTACCAGGGTCCTGTTGGAGCCGTCGAGACTGTGCCCGCCACCATTGACAACCCAGCAATCTGTAAGGCAGCCGATGTTGTCATGGTCAACTGCCACCCCTTCTTCGACCCAAACACTGCCGCCGAGGACGCCGGTACCTTTGTCAAGGGCCAGATCGAGCGCGTCAAGACCGCTTGTGACACCGACCGCGTCATTGTCACCGAGACTGGCTGGCCCCACCAGGGCGATGCCAACGGAAAGGCTGTGCCCTCCCCAGACAACCAGGCCAAGGCTCTTGCTTCGATCCGCAGCGAGTTCAAGTCTGACGTCTTCCTCCACAACTCGTTCGACTCTCTCTGGAAGTCGGACTGGGCCTCCTCCTTCAACGCCGAGCGTTACTGGGGAGTGATCCAGTAGATCTGTTGTAGGCGTCTTCTTGATGTGCAGCTAGGTTCTGTACATCCATCTCATGTGTCCACCAGCAGCTCGGACTGCACGTGTGGCTGGCATTTCTTGGCCATTACGGATCATAGGATATGCAACATGTAACATAGATACCACGAATGAATGTATGACGAAAGTCTCATGTATTCCAGATACACGAAATTGTTTGGGCATTTGACATCGCTAATATTAAATGAGAAGAGTGTCTAGAAACTCCGGCCAATCACCAAACCGATGGTCTACTCAGCCTGCGCATTCTTCCGCGCAGCAGCTTCGGCAACGCCCTTGAGTGCAGCAGGCGCGTCGTCCCATGGCATGACCAGCTCGACAAACCGCATCTTCGTTGTGTCGCCGCTCTTGAACTCCTCATCGTTGAACAACTGCTCGACCTGCTGCTTGCTCTCCACCCGATATGTCAGCACGCTGCCCTTTGGCGCGCCAAACACCTCCGGTAGCTCCTTGTACTTCCACTCGGGCACATCATTGTATGCATCCTGCCAGCCGTGGATCAGCCGCTCGATCGTATACCCGTTGTTGCAGATGACAAAGATGATCGGATTCAGCCCGTTGCGAATCATGGTGCTGACCTCCTGCGCTGTGAGCTGGAAGCTGCCGTCGCCGGTGAACAGGATCGTGCGCTTGATGCCCTTCTCGCGGGCCGCCAGCGCCGCGCCCTGGCACGCGCCCGTCGCGTACCCAATGCTGCCCCACAGCACCTGCGAGATGGCGTTGACACCGGCCGGGAAGCGGGTCTCCCAGATGCCGAAGTTGGAGGTGCCCGTCTCGGTGATGACGACGTCGTCGGGCTGCAGGAACTGGCCCAGGCGCGGCCAGAACCAGGCGTGTGTGATGGTGGGCTCGGGCGACTTGAGCTCGGCGTCTGGGATGGAGTTGCTGGGCTCCGGGCCGGGGTGGATGTTCAACTTGCCCAGGCGCTCGGTGATTTTGGCCAGCACGCCGTTCATGCGGATCCCTGGGTACTCCGAGTAGCGAACCTTGACGGCGTAGCTGTGGAAGTCGATTGTGTTGAGCTGCGATTGGCGGATGGTAAAGCCGGCGGTGTTGAAGTCGGACTTGATCGCACCGATGCTGAGGACGAGGTCGGAGGACTCGACGCGCTCGCGGACGCCCTTGTTGCTGCCGTCGCCTGCGTAGACGCCGCCGAAGTTGGGCAGGGTTTCGTCGACAGCGCCCTTGCCCATCGGCGCGACGAAGGTGGGGAGGCCGGATTTCTTGACGAAATCGTGGGTTTCCTTGAGCGCGCGGTGGCGGATGGCGCAGGCGTCGACGAGGATGACGGGGTTCTGCGCGGCGTGGAGGTACTTAAGCACCACGTCGACTACGTAGTCTTCCCGCTCCTGCTCGTTGGGTGGGTATTCGAGGTCGAGGGGTGTGTTCAGTCTGTCGCCGTCCACCTTCTTCTGGACCATGTCCGAGGGGAGGGAGATGTACACCGGGCGAGACTGGAGGATGCATTCGCGGATGGCGTTGTCGATGAGTGTCGCGGCTTCGTGGACGTTATTCAGCATGGAGACGGCGCAGGAAATCTCCTTGGACATCCTGGAGAAGACAGTGAAGTCGCCGTTGCCGAGCGTGTGGTGCAGGAGGGCGCCATCGCGTTGTGATAGTGTCGAGGGATAGCCGACGATGTGGACAATAGGGACATATTCAGAGTAGGCGCCGGCAATCGCGTTGACTGCAGAGAGCTCGCCCACGCCGAAAGTAGTCACGATAGCAGAGATGCCCTTCACGCGGGCGTAGCCATCAGCTGCGTAGCCTGCATTGAGCTCGTTGCAGTTGCCGACCCACTTCAGACCGGTCTTGGGAATGTAGTCGAGAGCAACAAGGTTGTAGTCGCCAGGAAGACCGTGGATGGACTCGACACCCACCTGCTTCAGGCGTCGAAACAGATACTACATGAGGTGAGCTTGGTTGGGTGGGGCATTCACTGCACTGACCTCTGCAACGTCAATTGGATTCTTGATATCCTGCGATCTCAGGTCTTGTGCCATGGTGCCAAGGAAGACGGTTGGATACCAAGGAGGATGGCTGATATGCTCTTGACTGGTTAGATGTTGTATGTTCTGGCGTCGTGGAGTGGGTGCTGCGAGTGCTTTAAGGTCAATTGATGCTACGATGACATCAATTGACCGGGCTCGCCGGAAGGGTCCATTCAACGCAGAAACCTCAACAGCGCACGAAAGTAACGCGACGTGGGTTAGTCAAGATCAGTCCTCCTGCATCAGCTCATGGCGTGAGCGCTGAATGCGGCGCCAGAGGCAGCGCAGCTCATCTTGCGGCAGAAACACTGGATCGGTCGACCGACTGTCTCGTCGCAGTGGCATGCGCGATAACGGTGTGGGTTCGTATCGCATGGCCAGCGTGCAGTGGTGAGACGCAGGACAGCACGCACGATCTCAGGTGGTCGAGGTGGTGTGCAGGGGGTGCAGCCGCATCACGGCCGATCATCGATGCAGCCTTCGTGCTGCTCAGTACTCGCACCGGCTCTGATGATGCCGGCGGCGGGAAACGTGGGCTGCATCGCACCTGTCAACCAGACTTGACGCCAGCACCCTGAGGGCAGCGACGAGCGACGTGAGGCAGGCGCGCCGAGGCCGCCGACAGGGCGCACGGAGAGGGCCAGGCATTGACAGCCAGCATGACGGCGCCGGGTTGGCCTGTCTCACGGCGTCTGTCTGCGGGCCGGCGCTGCAGTGCAGCAGCGTGCAGGAGGCCGCGCAGCCCTCAGCTCGCCTCCAGCGGCTGCAGCTGGGCCTCACTGGACCTCACCACCCTCTGCGCCGTCGCAGCATCGCCCTCGGAACGTGCGCGACGCTTCTCTGCAGCTCGTATCCGCGCAGTGTACCGCGCAGTGTCCGGAGCAGTGCGCCTTTGTCTCGACGGCTAAGCGCCCCAGCCCAGCCGTTAAGCGCAGGCGCCGCGCTCAGCTGCCCTGGACGACGTCTCTCAGCGTAGATCCCGCCGTCTCTCAGTGTAGATCCATCGTCGAGGCCGTTCATGCGCCCACCCGCTGCGCTCCCCAGACCGCCGTCCCAGCGCTGCTAGCCCGCGCGTCCCCACTCCGCACGCTCAATCTGCCAACACGGGGCCGCCGCACCGCACCAGGCACCGCTGCAGGCACCGCTGCAGGCACCGCAGGCACCGCAGGCTCCGGCACGCAGCACACCAACACCCAGCACCTCTGCTGGACACGGCCGTCAGCGCGGCACGACTGAGCCCGCCCGACGCCGCCCCGGCCGTCATGCCGTGATGCGCTGAGCTCCTTCACAGCCCTCGCACCTGCCCGCGCTCCGTCGTTCCTTCCGCCGGCCGCCGCCCCAGATCGCACCGGCCGCCGCGCTCCCCCAGCGCTCCCCCCTCGCGACTGCCTCGAGCCGGGGGCCAGCGCTGCCCGACCCGTCGAGCCTCCGCAAACTCTCGCCGCCGGGCGCACCCCGTCGCCCCCAGCAACCCCTACAACCACCGCAGGGCGCTGCCCACCTCTCGCCATGTACCAGCTGCCGCCTCCCCCCCGCCAGCCCGCGTCGGCGCCCGCACAGCACATGGGCCTGCCACCACCGCCGCCGCGGCCCTCGACTGGCGTCAACATACCCCCTCCCCCCCACGGCGCCGCCTATGCTGTTGGCTGGGGCGCCCCCCCGCCGCAGCGCCCCCAGCAGCAGTACCAGCAGCCCGGCTACAATCCCAGCCTGTACCAGGGCTACCAGTCGCACCTGCCCCCGCCGCCCGGCCCGCCCCCGCTGCAGCAGCACATCGAGGCGCCGCTCACCTCGGCCACGTACATCCCTGATGGAGAATCGTTTGGACCTGGCGTCGGCATCCCAGCCCTGCAGTCGCATGCCGCTCGCCAGTACTCGGAGCCCACCTTCTACCGCGAGGACGGCTTCCCCCCGAATGCCGACATGTCCGGCACCAGCTTCCTCAACCTGCACGACAGCGTCCAGAGCATCCAGTATGGCTCCAGCGCGCCCCTCGGCTTCGCCCATGCCGCCAGCCGCAGCCACCACGGGTATGACCAGCTTGGCTCGAACACGACTATGCAGAACCACTACCACCGCCCAGACGGCCCTATATCGCCGCCTGTCGCCGAACAGCAATGGCCCGCCGAGCAGGTGCAGCGATGGCTGGCAGACAACGGCTTTTCGAAGGACTGGCAGGAGACGTTTCGGACACTCGGGCTTGAGGGCTCGCGCTTCCTCGACATTGGACGTGGCCACGGCTCCAAGGGCAACGTCGCCATGATGCACCAGGTCATCTTCCCCCAGCTCGCCAAGCAGACCACGGCAAGCGGAACGGGGTGGGACCAAAACCGAGAACGAGATGAAGGCCGCAAGCTGCGCCGGCTCGTGCGCCATATCGTGGAGACTGGAAGCTCTGGCCCGGTCCGCATGCCCCAGCGCAGTGATACTGGGGTGACGGCCAGTGCAGGGACTGATGGAGGCCTCGAGAATTCGCCGTTCATGCCACCAAATCCACTGGGCTTTGGCTCGACGCCGACCACAGCCAACGGCGAAGACAGCCCAGGCAGGCCCTTGTTGCACTCGCCCTCTGCCTCCGCACCCCCACGACGCATCTCGACGCAGCAAAGAAACTTCACGGCACCAACAATCGGCCTGCCAGACTACGCCGACACCCGCACCGCCTTCTCCAAGGAGATCCTCCGCGACCTCGAACCCAGCTCCAAGAGGCACAGTCCCAACGTTTCAGGAGACTTTGGGCCCTCTGCGTTTGGGTCGCATCGACAGGCCAGCCCACAGCAAAGTCCAGCGCTCCCATCTGCGCGGCTTGCAGCAAACGGTGGTCAGCTCAGTGCAGGCATAGCAGCCAACGGGCAACGCTACTATTCGCATGCCCGCGGCAACAGCTCCGAGTCTAACCTATCCACATTCGCAAATACAGGCTCAGGACCTCCCACGGGCCGCTCTTTTGCGGAAGGCCGATCGGACAGCCGCAATGAGAGCAAGAGGAATGCCTCCGAAGCGCCGCGGCCCGGGACAGGACTCACACGCTATGACAATGCAGAGCCGTTGAGTGCGAAAGACCACCACAAGGGCTTCTTTGGCAAGATCATGGGCCGCGACAGGAAGAAGCACGACAGCCATCCCTCTCCCGAAGACGCCAACCTGGATTCTCCCACCAGCCCCGCAAGCCATCGCCATCACGCGAGCGGATCGTTCTTTGGCAAGTCTGGCATGAACTCGAGCGAGACCTCCCTGAACGAACGCCCCCGCTCTCGTCGGTCTGCGCAGACGGACGCAGAGAGCCGGCTGTCCGGCCACACGCGAACGTCGATGCGCGACGAGCGTAGATATGCATTCGTCACGCCGGACGGCTGGAATTACCGTTTGATCGACGTCACCAACGCAGACACCGCCGCAGCCATACGGTACATGTGTTGCGAGGAGCTGAACTCGGGTCTCAGTCAGACGCCTGGCGTGGAGCTCTACTTGACAACACCAGGCCAATACGAGCACGACGGCGCGCTGTCCGACTCTAACCTCCTGGAAGCGCGCTCGCAGTTCGGCAACAAATTTGGAGAGCTGAAGATCTTCGTCAAGGTCCCACAGGAAGGGCCGCCGTCGAACGGTTTGGGCGTCTTGGTGGCGCAACCAACCATCCTTGATACCGCCTCTCAGGCTGGGTCTCCTGGCAGTCTCAAGTCTGCGGAGTCGACGCTCGTGCCTGCCCAAGCCGCAGCACTGCGCCAGCTGACAAAGGAAGAGCCCATGCCTGATGTCAGTTTCCACCGGCCGAATGCGAACAGACCGATAGAGCCTTATGCTGTCGACGATGGCCCCGAGCAGGAACGCCGCAGGATGCTCGAGCTGGCTGCCGAGGAGCACCGCAAGGAGACGAAGCGGAAGCAAGAGGAGTACTTCAAGGGGCGCATGCAGCGGCTGAAGGGCACCAGTCCTGACCCCATGTCCGCTTCACTGTCTGCGTCTGGCGACAGTCTTGGCTTCCGAAGCGCAGGGGTCATCGACTTTGACGAGCCGCGCAATTCGCCCTACGAAGAAATCAAGAAGCCGTTCGAGCCTCAAAAAGCCACGAAAGAGCTCGTCCCTAAGAGGCAACCGCCACCCGTACCAGCTGACACAACAACACTCCTCAAAGCTAACTCACTCTCAAGAAGCAAAAACCGCCCGCCATCCTGGCCAGAAGGTGACGATACCTCGAGCAAGCGCAAGTCGGCCGAGTCGGAGACAGCCAAGCGGAAAGCCATCCCTCAAGGCCCAAGTGGACTTTCTAACATTGCGGCTGCTATCATTGGAGCAGGCATTGCCGGAGGGTCGGTGGGTGCAGCCAACAAAGCACTGCCCAAGCCCCCTCCTAAGCCAGAGATGCACGACTCCTCGCCCGAGAGTGTTCGTCCTTCGCAGCAGCTCTTGAAAGAAAGTGGCTTCGGTGCCGGGTCAGGCAGAAACAGTCCAGGTGGGTCTCCCCGCAGCCCTGGCGACTTTACAATGAGCAAAGGCAACATTCCGTTCAAAATACCTGACTATGTGGAAGTTTCTCCAGATGCGATGGCCTTCGATAAGCCCGAACTCACCCTCGCGATGCCCACTCCGCCCCGCCTGACCGAGGACAAGTCGAAGGAACAGCGGCCGCGCACGCCCGACTTCAGCCCGACCTCCTCCCGCGCCCCCGCAAGCACACTCACCCGGGAGTCGTCGCGTGTCTCCATCTACGGGCCGACGCACGACTTTGAAGAAGCGCGCGTATCGTTCCGCGATGAGCCGAATGTCGAGGCCTCCGACTCTGACGACGATTCTGACGACGGTCTGTTCGCCGCACCGCTCGCTGGTCGCAGCCCACCCCCTGCACCGGCACCAGCACGGAATGTCTCTATTGCAAGGAACACCAGCGGCCATCGGGCACAGCGCCCCAATCTAAAGCTGAAGACGTCACGTTCTAAGAATTCACTGGCTCAGGTGGCCGAGCAGCAAGAGCAAGACGAGCGCCAGTCGCACGTCGACAAGATCCCCGAGTCTGCTGCTTCTACGACCTGGACTGACTCCCCACGTGACGAGCCCGACTTCAACCGTCGCGACTCGTTCGCTAGCAACGTATGGGCAAATCGTCCACCCGCCGAAGCCCTTGTGGACCACCTCGACGAGCTGTTCCCCAACGTCAACCTCGACCAGCCGATGCTTGAAGAGGAGGAGACGGATTCTAGTGATGCGCCTACCGAATCTTCAAACGCGAGCTTCGGTACCTTGACGCCAATGTCTTCAGTCGACAAAGCCAGTCCCAACCCGCCGTTGAGCCGCGGACAAACTGGCCTCCAGTCTATCGCCCAGCGCAACATGCGGAAGTCTGGCGCAGGACTCGGAAGGACAAAGTCGATTCGTGAAGTTGTCAAGTCACAATACCACCCCATGGAGAAGCGGGGCCAGGCTGCTGCCACGGGTCCCTCGCGGGTCGCTACACTACGCAACGGTGGCGACATCATGAGGAGGAAGTCGACCAAGATGTTCCACGCCAGGATCGAGCAGGTCAAGCCGTCGCGAGGATCACGACTCATCCAGCTCGAGACCATCCCGCAGGACAATCTGCCGATGCAGCGCCAGCCAACATTCAAATGGATGAAGGGCCAGCTGATTGGCAAGGGAACGTTCGGTCGCGTGTACCTCGGTATGAACATCACCACTGGTGAGCTTATTGCGGTCAAGCAGGTCGAGGTCAACGCCAAAGCGGCCGGCTCGGACAAAGACAAGATCAAGGAGCTCGTCAAGAGTCTCGACCAGGAGATCGACACGATGCAGCATCTCGACCACCCCAACATCGTGCAGTATCTTGGATGCGAGCGCAAAGAGTACAGCATCTCCATCTTCCTCGAGTACATTTCTGGTGGCTCAGTCGGCTCCTGCATCCGCAAGCACGGCAAGTTTGAGGAGAGCGTGGTCAGCTCTCTCACCCGCCAGACCCTGCTCGGCCTGTCCTACCTCCACCGTGAAGGCATTCTGCACCGCGACTTGAAGGCTGACAACATCCTCCTCGACCTCGACGGCACGTGCAAGATCTCCGACTTTGGTATCTCCAAGAAGAGCGACAACATCTACGGCAACGATGTCACAAACTCCATGCAGGGCTCTGTCTTCTGGATGGCGCCGGAGGTGATTCGCTCCCAGGGCCAGGGCTACAGCGCGAAGGTGGATATCTGGTCCCTTGGCTGCGTCGTCCTGGAGATGTTTGCTGGCAAGCGTCCCTGGAGCCGCGAGGAAGCCATCGGCGCCATCTACAAGCTGGGCTCCCTCAACCAGGCACCCCCTATCCCCGAGGACGTCAGCAGGGCCATCAGCATCGAGGGGCTGAGCTTTATGTACGACTGCTTCACAATCGATCCTACCGAGCGCCCGACAGCCGAGACGCTGCTGCGGGCGCCATTCTGTTTCTCGGATCCCAACTACAACTTTCTGGATACCGAGCTGTATGCGAAGATTCGGGGAGCGTTCCAATAGCGTTTGCGCACGTACAGCTTTGTAATGAGCCATGTTCCGCGATCTACGGCACATTTTCTATGTTTCAACGTGTATTTCGAAAGGATTATATACCCCTCTTTTGTACCTTCATTCAACCTTTTCACATGTAGCTTCAGGGTCAACGACCAATACCAATTTTGTTATACTCAGGAGCTCGACATCTGGTCAACACAGCCACAGTCAGCTGAATCGGTGTCCGACTGTACGTGCCGAGATACCGATCGGCATTTGTTCGCGAGGGTTCTAAGTTTACTCGGGATCTTCGGTGACGTGACTTGTGGAGCAGACAGTGATCTGAATAGGAGTGGAATTGAGACAGCTTTGGGAATGCAGTCGTCACGGCGTCAGTGCGAAGAATTGTGGTGCTGCGTGTCGTGTTGAGGCGGTGCTGTCGATCCGGGTCCTCATCACGCGCGTCGCATTGCTTGTGCAGTCAAGCTTTGCAGACTCGACACAGCAGTCGAATGAGCGACGCAGCCGAGGATGACATGTGGGTTGAGCGGCTGGCGTGGGCGCTGGTCGTGAAACACTGGCTGCGCGCTGGATGCAGGATGCAGATCGCGTACCCTCTCATCTTGCACTCGCGAATTCGGAAAGTGCGAGTCTGCTTTCGACATGCCTGCAATGCTGGCGCCGAAAGGAAGTGTCTTCGAGCAATTACGCCTGAAGAGTCTGTGCAAGTCGTGCAATTCGTGCAAGTCGTGCAAGTCAGGCAAGTCATTACTGTTTCCTCGCCAAAGCACTGACGATGGGCCTCGGGCAGGCTAGACGTCGCTGGGCTGAGCCGCATGTGCTCGAGCTTGTCAATTGTGCAGGAGCGGGTCGTCAATTTTAAGAACTCTCCCGCTGTACAACACACACGGGCGGGGCCTGTATCTCCAGAATACGGTCTCCCAGCATATGTCCGAACTGGCGTGAGCGTGCGTGCAGCCTTCCCCATCTGCGGTGGGTGCCGTCCAAGCGCCCGCAGACATGTGCGCTTTGGGCTAGTCAGGGGCGTAGCTGTTGATCAGAGCGTGTTTCGCAACAGCAGGGACTCGCCAATTGCCCACTACCGCCGCCTGCGTCCAATCACGCCTCGTCCACGACCTCGAATGCGGCGGCGCCACCAGCTCGCACTCCACCGCCGCACCTGTGCGGGCAGCTGCGGGATCAGCTTAATCCCAGTCGAGCATGGCTGCAAATAGGGTGTTTGATATATGACCCGACAAGCCGCCCCTGCCTGCTGCGGTAAACCTCGATTCTTCGTGTCTCTTGACGTCGGGTTTCGTTCAGGACCAGCTTTTCCCTCTTACAGACCGAGGACTCGATCCGACGTCGTTACGCTCATTACCACGCATCGCTCTTTAATTGCTCTCCACGTTTCTCTTCTCTGGTCATTTCTTCACCATGGCAAACTTCAGCAAGCCCGAGAACATGACCACCATGTTGTTTGCGTTTTTCGCTTTCCTCCAGTTCACAGTCGCGCTGCAGCACGGAACTCACCACCAGCACGCTCGCCACTCGCACGACGCCATCATCAAGAGGCAGATTGACGAGATTTCTGACAGCCTGGTTGCCCGTCAGTCGAGCGGCTTTACCGCTATCACCGGTGTCTGCAGCACCAGCACCAACAGCGATGGCTCCTGCAACAACAACGGCCGCATCTCGTCTCCCCGTCTTGAGATCCGCCAGCTGAAGCAGAATGCCGACCAGTGGAACTTGTACCTGCTCGGCATGGAGAGGTTCATGGCCAAGGACAAGAATGACAGGCTTTCCTACTACCAGGTTGTTGGTGTCCACGGCCGTCCGTTTGTGACCTGGAACAACTTCCCCACTCCCCTGCTCAACCAAGCCGGTTTCTGCCCCCACTCCAACACCCTCTTCGGTTCCTGGCACAGGCCGTACCTTGCCATCTACGAGCAGGCCATGTACCAGAGCGTTCAGGAAGTCATCCAGACCTTCCCCCAGAGCCAGCGCGCCCGATGGCAACAAGCTGCTGCCACTCTCCGCATGCCCTACTGGGATTGGGCTATGGACGGCGGCAGCAACACCGTCCCCACCATGATCCGCGACCAGACCGTCACCGTCACCAAGCCCTCTGGCCAGGTCACCATCGCCAACCCTCTCTACTCGTACAGCTGGGGCAGCTCGCTCCCGTCCGAGATGGGTGGTGGCCCGTGGAACAACTTTGCCAACACTCTCCGCCGCCCGGTTGCCAACCCCACCCGCAGCAACAACAACGAGATGAACGCCCGCTTCAACTCCCTGCGCACCTCCCTCCGTGACCGTGTCTTTGCGCTGTTCTCCAGCAAGCAGGCCTGGGGCGCCGCCTCCACCTCGCAGATTGGCGTCCGCACTGATGTCAGCGGCAGCGGTGTTGACAGCTTCGAGGCTGTCCACGACGTCGTCCACAACACTGCCGGCGGTGAGACTGGCGGCCACATGTACTACCTCGACATCTCCTCCTTCGACCCCATCTTCTGGCTCCACCACACCAACATCGACCGTCTGCTCGCCATGTACCAGCTGATCGTCCCCAACACGTACGTCGCCAACGGTAACATCAACCGCGGCATGGCCCAGTGGCAGCAGGGCGAGCCCAAGAACAGCTACACTCCTCTGAAGCCCTTCACCAAGAACAACCGCGGCGACTACTTCACCTCGCAGGACGTCAAGGAGACCCGCGTTCTTGGATACCACTACCCCGAGACCAGCGACCGCACCTACTCCCAGGTTGCGCGTGCGGTCACCAGCCTGTACGGTGCCGGCCAGCGCTCCATCACCAAGCGCGACAACGAGACCGAGACCGGCCAGTACCCCGGCCGTCCTCTCAAGGAGGGTGACTACCACCACATCCTCTCCATCACTGCTGACAAGTTCGCGATGGAGGGCTCCTACACAGTCCACTGCTTCATTGGCAAGCCCGGCAACTCCAACTCGACTGTCCCGTCCAACTCGACCGCCCCCTACCCGATCTCCAACTCGACCATCCCCTACTCCAACAACACCGAGGCTGACTACGACCCGTCGACCGACTACACCCAGGACCCCAACTACGTCGGCGCTTACGGTGTTCTCGGCGGCATGAAGGCTGGCGGCGGCAACGCGACCTACCCCGTCATGACCAAGGGCTCCCTCCCCCTGACCAGCTGTCTGCAGGGCAAGGAGGCCGCCGGCGAGATCAAGTCGCTGCACCCCGATGACGTCGAGCCTTACCTCGCTGAGAACCTCTACTACAAGGTTGTTGGCGTCAAAGGCGAGCTGAACGCGGACGACATCCCCAACTTCCACATCACCGCGCAGTGCACCAAGGCCGTCCCCGCCGCCTCTGACGACGAGCTCCCCGATCTCAGCGCGCCTTACCAGACCCTCCCCAAGGCCACCGAGAACAAGCCCGCCGGCAAGCCCTTCACCTACACCCCCTCCCCCATCGACATCCCGCTTCCCGAGGGTGCTGAGTACGAGGAGGGTCCTGGCTACTCCGGCCCTGGTTCTTCCGGCCCCAGCCCCTCCAGCGCTGGATCCTCGCCCGCCTACCCCTCCGCCCCGTACCCCACCTCCGGCTCCGGCTCCTCGTACCCGACACTGCCGTGGGAGGAGCAGGGTTACTGCGTCACCAAGCAGACGATCGAGTACGTTGACCAGGACGGCAACTTCCTGTACGCCGAGATGTAAGATGTGATCTGTAGATGGATGTCGTAGAGTAGTGCCTTGATGCCCGGATTGGGTGTTGAGATGTAGTTTCATGTGTGTATATTCTTTTGTTGCATAATACCTTCAATGTACTGTTCGAGGATTTCCTGCTTACAGTTGAATGTGAGACTGCGTGAGTGTGAGCGTGCTGTAAGAATATAAAGCGTGTGGGTGAAGTCGAATTAAGCTCGCCCTACCATGGACCCTCGTTTCATCGGCGGCTTCCCGGCGTTCACTTACGGTCCTGTAGGGATGGCAAAGGGCGAGGTGCATGAACGTGAGGTGCATGAACTACGTGCGTTCTTTGGCGAGCGCGAGGGATCCCTGTCCAATCTATCTCGTCCTACGGTGTTTATTCATCCATGTCGTGTGATGTCAGTTGTCTCACCATTCGTCTCAATACTGCACAACACAACATAGGATAAGGATGTCATTCAACTGTCTATGGCTCGTGTAATACGCGGCTATCTCGTCTAGACGCTCGCTGAGGGAAAGGGGGTATCTCATGCAGATGCAGAAGCGGCAAATTAAGAAGAACGGGGAGGGCGGTTGCTTTGCTGTTGATGGGTTAGGGTCGTGTGTGGTGCTCGTAGTTGTGTAATCGTATGTCGTGGCCGTGTACTCGTAGTTTGTAATCGTATATCGTGGTCGTTGCTCGCTTTCCAGTCATCTAGGAATGCTACACCATGTGCCTACTTCATCAGCAACAGTCTCAACCCAATACTTGCACTACTCACCACAACGACCCGCCGCGGAGAAACCTACACAGGCTTAGCACTCGCCATGCAAGAGGAGCGACCTCTCGGCTCAAGAAAGGAGGTCACATGACGACGCACTTTTGATCCGCGTACACTTCGCCGTACTGGTCGATGCCGGCCATGTGCTCGTTGTAGCGCTGCTTGGCTTTGACTTCGTCGGGGAACCATTTCTTCAGGAAGGCCGCGAGGTCCTGGTCGAGATTGTCTGCGAAGTTAGCACTAGATGTAACAATAGAGAGATCACGCACCAGAATTGGCGTCAAACACCGACCGCGCGCGGCAGAACGGACAGTTGTGCTGCTTGTTGTTCTGCATCACAATCAGACAGCGGATGCAGAAGACGTGCCCGCACGACAGCTTCACCGGCCGCCACTCGATCTCGCAGCACATAGGGCAGCTGTAGTCGTCGAGCTGCGGCACGTGGCTCAGGATGCGCGTGTTGACCTCCGCACACACGGCCTTGGCCAGGTGCTCGCTGAACTCCGGGTACTCGACCTGGCGCGGGAACGAGCGCTTAACGCCAAGCGCGGTGCGCTTGTCGAACTTCTTCAGGATCTTGAGCATCGCCGCGTGGTTCATCTCGCCGAATCGCAGGCCCTGCAGGATCTCGCGGTTGATGTGCATGAAGGTGTTGAGCGCGGCCATGTTGTCGCCCTTTCTGAACTTCTCGACGAGCCCCGCGCGCGCGATCTTGTGGCTGAAGAGGGCGAGTCGCTGGGTCGCTTTGTCCGCGTCGTGGCTCTTGTGGTCGGCTTCCGTGGTGCCGAAGAAGATGCCCTCCTCGATGTACATCTGGAACACCTGGCGCCACGCGGTGATGGTTTTCTTGTTGGACCGCTTGTTCACGTCGGTCAGTTTGGCAATCTGCGTCCCCAGCGACTCGATCTGCACGTGCATGCGCTTCTCCTCGCGCTCTTGCAGTTTCTCCAGCCCGGTGACTTCGCTGGTGAGCCGCGTGAAGAACTCCGTGTCAGAGGTGAGCGGCACTTCCACAGTGCGGTAGCCTGGCCGCGAGCCGTGTGCGGGCTTGTCAGACTCTGCTTTCTGCGAATCGGCGTCTTCAAACACCCTCAAGTCGGTCATGCCGGTCTCGACGGCCAGCATCTGGAGCTTGCGCTTGGTCTCCTCATCGACGCTGGCACTGTCTACATCGCCGTTCTTCTCATTCACGTAGAACAGCAGTTTCGGGTGGAACAGCTTCTTCGCCTCGGCGCCGCCGTTCAGAATGTACTCGAACGGGCGGTCCTGGTCGCCGTCCTGGGCCGAGGCATTGAAGTCCTCAACGTGCTTCAGCAGCTTCGACAGCGTGGCGGGGTCAAGGCCGACCTGCTGCAGCTCGTCGGTCAGGCGGTTGATGACCTTCTTGAGCTGGCTGTAGGAGATGGCCGAGTCGACCCACTCGGGCGGGAAGCCCTCGTTCCGCAGGCACTGCTTGAAAACGTGGCCGAACTTCATGGCGGTAGGGCTGGCGACTCAGAACGTGAGACTTTGGCACGTGGGTGGGGTATTGGCTGTCGCTGTCGGACCACACAAGCTTTCGTTCCCGCAGATTAAGGATCGAGCCAGCACCTTGCGGCGATCGAACGTTGTTGCAGGTGCATTCAAAGATGTGGAAGTCGTTTTCTCTGTATGCGCCTTATGCGGAGGTCATGCGGGCGTCGAGGTCTGCCGGTAGCCGAAGCTCTTGAGTCCTCGACGCGGGGAATCGAGGCTTTATAAGAACCCATGGTGAAAAACGCGCAGGCCATTCTGGCTAGACCGGCCATGTGCCTCTTTCACACGCTGTGCTGTCGCCGTCGCTCAGGGTTTTCTCACCGGCCAATCACCGCCCGCGCGCATAGCGTTCCGAGCTGGTTCCGAGTCACTTCGGCGAGCTTAGACTGTGCTTGAGCAACTCGACCGACTCACGATGGGCGCTTCGCAGTCGACCGGCGCGGAGGAGCAGAGTGGCGACATCAAGACCAGCTATTACGAGCTGCTTAGCCTGGAGAGGAGTGCGACGCAGGACGAGTATGACATCACCTGACGTGCGTCCGTAGTTAATATTCGTAGAATCAAGAAAGCGTACCGCAGGAAAGCGCTCGAACTACACCCCGACCGCAACTATGGCGACGTCGAGCGTGCGACCGCCCTCTTCGCCGATGTCCAGCACGCATATCAAGTCCTGTCAGACGAGCAGGAGCGCGCCTGGTACGATGCGCACGAGGCTGATATCCTGCGCGGCGGGACGGGCGAGGGCAAGGGCGAGGACCAGTACCAGGGCAGCATGAAGGTCACCACGCCGGAGGAGCTCACGCGGATGATGGGTCGGTTTAGGAGCAATGTGCAGTACACGGACGCGCCCACTGGCTTCTTTGGCTTCGTGCGGGACACGTTTGAGCAGCTCGCAAAGGAGGAGCAGTACGCCGCCGACTGGGAGGACGTCAGCATCCCGAGCTACCCCTCGTTCGGCCACAAGGACGACGACTACGAGGGCGTGGTGCGCGACTTCTACGCGGCGTGGGACGGCTTTGCGTCGGCCAAGAGCTTTGCGTGGCTGGACGTGTACCGCCTGTCAGACGCGCCCGACCGCTACACGCGCCGGCTTGCAGAGAAGGAGAACAAAAAGCACCGCGACGACGGGCGGAGGGAATTCAACGACGCTGTCCGGACGCTGGTGGCCTTTGTCCGCAAGCGCGACCCCCGCTACACGCCCGACACACGCTCGGCCGAGGACAAGGCCAAGGCACAGCGAGAGCTCCGGAAAGCGCAAGCCGCCAGGGCCCGGGCCGAGCTGAACGCCAAGCTGGAGCGCGAGGTGCAGGAGCTGCCGAGCTGGGCGACCGAGCGGCCGGCGAGCGAGCTGGAGGAGTCGGAGGAGGAGATTGAGGAGGAGCATTTTGAGTGCGTGGCGTGCAACAAGACGTTTAAGAGCGAGCGCCAGTACGAAGCACACGAGAAGAGCAAGAAGCACCAGAAAGCGCTGAAGGATTTGAAGAGGAAGATGCAGAAGGACAATGCACATCTCGATCTGGATGTGGATGTGGATTCGGGGGTGACGCCAGAGCCGGACTACGTATTGATGGAGGATGAGATCACAGCAAAAGCAGCAGACCTGGAGTTGGATGACCCAGATAGCGAGGTCGACGTCAAAGACACAGCCACAAAGCCTGAAAGCGAGGTCGATATCAATTACACAAAGCCTGAAAGCGAGGTCGAGTTCAAGGACACGGCCAGCACTATCAAGCCTGAAGACGAAACCGACGACGACTATGCACCGCGCTCTGACGTTGAATCCCGGCTCGCTTCCTCAACCTCAACACCTGAGCCCTCGACCTCCGACCCCCCCCGCTCCGAAAATAGGCGCCGCAGCCAAGAAGCGCGCGAAGAAGGCCGCCAAGCAGACCGAGACGGAGCAGGCAGCGAGCGACAACAAGTGCAGCGGGTGCGATGCGTCGTTCCCGTCAAAAACGCGGTTGCACGACCATCTGAAGAAGAATCCAGGGCACGCGGCGCTGAAGACGGAGACTGGGAAAAAGCGGGGAAAGAAGAGGTGAGGACGACTTACGATTTATGATGCATTAGACGGGTTAGATGGGTGGCACTCGACGTTATGAACGTATGAACAATTGGAGTACAATACACGGTTTGATAATAGCTCACGATCTTGATAACTAAGAATAGCTATGGTGGAGTTCGCTTATACATCTGTCCGCAGCCAACCATACCGCTTTCGGATAGAGGAATGGTAGCCTTACATGAGTGCTGACAGCTGACGGCTTGTGGCTGAGTATCGTGGGTGTATAATATGGTGGATCCCGAAAGTCTGTAAATGTTGCCGGTCTTACAATGGCTGCAAATTTACAATGGCTGCAAACTCATACTACAACGCGCCGGGCGAACATCATCTGTATCCCTCCCCTCTCAGTGATCAGTTCAGCCAACCGCCAACTCCACTGAGACCGCTCTTCACCCATACCGGCTACCAGCAAGTCGGTGCCCTCGAAAAGCAGGATGACCTCAACCACGCACTCCAAGAAGATGCAGTACGTCCACCCCCCACGCACCGCCCAAGCTAACCCTCCAGCACCTCAAAGCACGCATCCGCCGTTTCCGCGTCATCTCCCGCACCCTCAGCACCCTCATCTCCATCGGCGTGCTGACCCCCATTGCCATGACCGTCGCCAAGTTCCTGCAGACCCAAAACACCTACCGCGACGTGACCCGCCCGGACGGCACCACCGTGACCCGCACGGCCTGGGCGCACGAGTCGCGCGTGTGGCCCACGTACTCGTACTTTGGCGTCGCGCTGGCCTCGACGCTGCTCAACCTCGCCACCATCTTCAGCTACCGGGCCAGCGTCAGCCGCGCGAACAGCGTCGCCATTGCCACGACGACGTTCTCGTGGGCGGTCATGCTGGGCAATGTGGTCGTGTGGGCGGTCGCGGCGAGCGTGTACCGCAAGGAGAAGGACAGGGGCGGGAAGAGCGATGATCTGTGGGGCTGGACGTGCAGTGCGGCGGCGCGGCTGGTGCAGAAGGAGTTTGCGGGCGAGGTGGATTTCAACCGGTACTGCGATGTGCAGAGTGCGAGCTGGTATATCGGGCTGGCGCAGGTCGGAGCGGGCGTGTTGACGGTAGGGATCTATGTCATGGTGTTCGTGAGGAGGAAGAGCAAGAGGAGGGTGCAGGAGTTGTCGATTGGGGTGGCGCGGTGAGTGGTGGCGGTGAAGGATAACATAAGCAAAAGTAGAGGACGAAATTATGAAGTTACAGTAAAACACATGGTTACAGTAAGACATGAGGATTTATTGTTGTGATTCACAGGAACATAGAGTAGTAGGTCGAAACTCGGTCAGTGTGGAGGCTTTTCCAGCGCTCGTACTGAATAAGCAGCCAGCCTTCATTGAAATAGGAGACCTCAAGGATTCACGTCGGCAGCACAGTATTGGATGGGATGGTTCTGTTTCTACAGCTTGTGAATTCGCTGCTCACTGCCTATCTCTTGCCAGCCATGGCACATCCCAAACAATGAATTCGGTTCCTCGTCAAATACCCACGGTGGGGACGGATAAGACCTTTTCATGTTAGCGCGATCAGCAAGGGAGATATACACTTACTGAAGAATCTACTATGCCTTCTTGCTACGTAAAGCCCTGGTCTCGTCGCCTACCGCCTTGATGACCTTTGACAGGGTCTTGAGCTTCGGATCAGACTTTCTCTTCCCAGTATGCTCTGCTAGCCGGTGGAATATCTTCTCGTAGATCGGGGGACAGAGACAAGAACCCAAAGAAATAGGAGCCACGGGACGCCGATACGTAAGGCCGGCCACGTGGTGGTTGCACTTCTCTTAGGAGTCGGTGGAGGAAAGTAATATGGCTACAGTCCAGTTAGAGGACGAAATCATAAAGCTACGGTAAGATACGTAGAGTTTGTTGTTTTGATTCGCACAAGTATATAGAGTAGTAGGTTGGGGCTTAGTTAGCACGGAGGCTTTCACAGTATTTAGACCAGACGAGCAACCAGCATTTGTTTACCTAGGGGGTCTTTAAAGAGGATCCTCCGTTTTATCAGCACAGTGCCAGAAATCGCGGCAACGCTTGTGCTCGTGGTAGCATCCTTCACTGCGTTTTCTCGTCCCAATCTTACCTCGGATTGGCATCACTCACGCACGAGTCCAGGGCAGTGTTTCAAAACTTGTTTCATGTGGAGGCTTTTGAGCTAGCTTCTACGCTACTTGCAAATATCTCCAGATACCTAGACTCCGACAAGCTGGCACCGATTTGTCCGCGGTCATCATGGGAGCATTGTGATGTGTACGACTCTACCTGTGGTACAGAGGAGAGCTCTTGACGAAAGCGTCCAGCTTCTCCCAATCGGCGACAAACTGACTCAAGAAGGGGTCGTTCTTCATGTGGTCAATATCCAGCTCATTCTCGAGCTTACGGTGAGTCTCAATCAACTTGCGTTCGTCCGCCTCGAGCTTCTCTATCTCGGTAGCGAGTCGGTCGGTCTCAGCGTCGAAGTCCCTCCTCTGAAAAGCCTTGCGCTTCACGAGCTCCTCTTCCATCTTCTCCCTGTACTTGAATCTCGTATTGTGCTTCATCCGAAATTCCGCCCACTGGTCCTTGGTAATCGCCCACACGCTGCTGATGTTACCACACGGAGCCTGGTTGTAGCCACCAGCATAGTAGTAGCCCTGGCTCAGACGACAGAGAAACATTTCGGCCACGTCAGCATACGTATGTGTGAGCAAGAGACAAACAGGCTGCATCACTGCCGCAGGATGATGGCCCCATTCTTCAAGCAGATACTCGGTCAAGTTGAACAGTGCGTCTGTACCCAGAGTTTTCTTGGCATGCTGGTCAGCTCGTTCCGCGGCCTTGTGGGCGTATCCCACGTAGTACATGGTCGGGATATGGGTGTGGTTAAGGGCCTCCGCATGGTCAGCCGCCTTCTCGATGTTCTCGCCGAATGTCTGCAGAACGCTTTTCTTGTATGCTGAAGGCATACCATTCTTGTCGTGTGTCAGAACACGAACACCGTCTTCTGACAGTTCGCGTGTCCAGTCTGGACGCAGCTTCTTGTCGATTATGTAGGCCTCCTCTGCTTTGGAGGGCTCGGCGCTCGCGTACTGCCTGATGTACAAGGCGATATCTCTGGCCTGCTCGACCGTTATATCGTCCTGGTCTGGGCCGACCACGAGCTGCCGGACGTAGATGCTGGGAAACTCCTTGGCCGCCCCCACTCCGTAATCCTTAAGGGTAGACGCCAGAGGCTTGTCGGTGCGAAGTGTCTTGGCAAGATTGACCCTCTTTGCTAGAATGTTGAGCACCTCTGGAACCGTGCCGGCGAGGGCGTAGTCGCAGCCCCGCACCCAATGCTCCCAAGTCATATGTTTGACCGAAGCGCTATTCAGGACCTTTTCATCTTCCCACGCAGCAAGGATCCACGGAAGATAGCCAGTATCGCCAATGTCCGCCTCGAGCTTCGCATAACGAGTTTGGTCGATCTGCTGGGCGCGCTGGATGGCTTTGGAGTGGCCTCTGAACTCGTCTTCTTCGGCGGAAGCCACTGGCTGGGGACGGAGCAGACGGCGGATAGACGGATCCACCGGTGGAGGCGGAGTGAAGTCCAAACTATAATCGGTAGCAGGCGGAACTGTCATGTGTCTGAACGGTTGGCGAGCTGCGTGGTCCAGTGTGACGGCGGAGCTTAAGGGCGTGGCATCATCAGTATCTTGAGCCGTTTCTCGGACATTGTTGTTGTCCATCGTGGCTGTGGTTGCTGCGGTGGAGTGAGTGAGAAGTTACAGCGTGTGGGAGCTTGGAGATATCTCACTGCCAAGTGCGGCAGAAGCGGCGAAGACTGCTGCCTGAAGGTAAACGACCAAGCTGGCAGCTGATTGGTGCGTGGCGTTTGTTTTTCGGGAAGGTGCATGAGTGAAGGTGTCTCCTTCCTCTCAATTTCTACGTCCTCTCTAGAACCTTGCACAACACCACCAAGATACGATTCGCGTCGTTTACAAGCTGCTGGCTAATTAGCGCCATGGTTTCTAAGCCCAATCGGCCGGGGAGAAATCCCATGCTCGAACAATGGGAAACGGTGCTTACACTGACGGATGCTCTCACAACGGATCTGGCCTCTGCGGCAAAAACTCCGTATGACGCCACAGAGATTGAGCGGAATCTCCAAGCAAAACATCAAGATTACTATGTAAGTCTGATGGTTCGAAAACAGCATGCGACGGTGACTGTGTTTAGCACGATTGGTTCGATGCTAGAACGCGTAACAACCTTCCGCGACCACGTGGATGAAATGAAAGAGCAGCAACAGAAAGGTTTGGATGACGCTCGAGAGTTGGAATGCAGAAAGGGGGAGCAGATTGTCAAGAGCCTGAACGAGTGGGTTTTCTTCTCCGTCTGATGAGCATAACTGATCACAACAGCATGGACACCACTCTCCAAAGCCAGCTGAGTGACGCTCAAGGCAATATTGGCAGTCTCAAACATGCAATTGAAGTTGCCGCCGCCCTTACGATTGACAAGCACGCGTCGTTACAAGATCAGCTTGCCGCGTTCTCTGGTGGTGTAGGCTCTAAGCGGGGAGGCGACAAGCACGCGCGGGAGCGTGAGCTCGACGAGTTCAACAAGGGCATGGCTGAAAAGCTCCAGACAGCCTGCGATGCCCTGGGATTCGCCTACGACTAGAAGCTTTCCTCGCGCACTGTTTTTGGTCGCCTTCGAAATACTATTCAGATTGCGTACGGAAACCACAAGACAACACAAGAGAAGCTCGACGCGCTCCAAAAGCCATGCTGGACCGGTCGTGCGGTCATCTGGCACACTCAAAGGTCCTTATTGCCGACTTGCACGCAACGATCGAGAAGATGGACGTTGAGTTGAAAGCCTCCATAGACATGATGGAAGAAGAGCTGCTGGACTGAGTCTTGCTATACAGGTGCATGGAGAAGTACACCGAGCTTCAAGGGTGTTATTGTGATGTATATGTAGACAATGAATGATCTCATCCAATCTCGGTGCAGTTCGTTTGCCATGCCGCCCCAGGCCGTTGTGAGCTTCTTGAAGAGTTGATGACCTTGGACCGGCCCTTGCCCAAATGCGACAGAAGACACGAAAGCCTGGGAGCGTGCTGGTTGCTGATGGTTCGGAAGAGGTAGAGGTGTCGACTCGTGTTGACAAGTATAGAGCAGGAAGTGCGTTATATAAGCGGGCCTCGGAGAACAGAAGGACCTGGGGATTCCGAAAGCAATTTGTACAAGATCATGTACAGCTGTCGGCTCGTATAGCAGTAGGAGTGGAGGTACAAGTAAGATATTGGTTGAGTAAGGTGTTACCTGTTGATGTATCGTGAAGAGTGCAGATGGTTGCTACCTAGGTAGTATCAAACCCAAGTCGGACCTCAGGACAGCAGGGAACCTGGGAATTCAAAACAGGCGCGCCATGTGCGCAAAGAATTCGCTAATCTGTGCATACTTCAGGGCAAATCCAAAGGAAGGCACTGCAACGGATGCTCCGTGGTGAGCGTGTGCATCTGCACTGTGCAGTTGAACAGCATCGCAGAAGCCTGATACTTCTTAAAACTTACGCGCTGGTATCTATTGCAACTTGGTTGTTGACTTGTAAGTTTTACCACAATCGGAGCGATGTAGCGTTTGTTATGTGTGCCGAGCAACAGGCTGAAAACTCCTCATACGTTCTAATGAGATTATCGACCCTGATGCTGCGCTTCACCAAGTAGCTGGTCGGGCACAACAATCAGGAGAGCGGCCAGACCAGAATTTTTGGAGATCTATCCGAAGAGGTGAGTTGTCAAATCGTTCGTCTGTCGTATCACTGACATCCTTTAGCATTCGTACCATATCGTATGTTGCTTGTTCGTCAACTACACGGTGATGTTGTTGCATTCGTGGATGACATCACCCATGTGCGCCTTTGCCGCGCAAAGCTTAACTGCGTTAGCGCGAGCTTGTTAGCGGCAGATCGCTCTCCGCAATCTTCCTCTGATAGGTCTCGACGCGCCTCGTTCATGGATTAAGAGCGACTTCTTGCGCGATATTTCACGTCCTATCATCGCACTCGAATCATGACAGATCCACTAGGGGATAAGCGGAGGCGAAAGTTTCTTTAATTTGGGCCGGCCGCTCGCTTTCCGCCTGTCGTCGATTCCCTCGCATTATGGCAGCCAACGACCCCGGCCTTGCGGCACTGAGCGCGCCCGCCGAAGACCCTGTGAAGGGCGCCGTGGAAGTTCCCATCGACACCGAGATTCCTGTCGCGCCGGACCAGTTCGATCCTAAGTTCGAAACAACGCGGAAAGAGATCTGGGCGTACTACGCGTACTACGTCGGCGACAATGGACTCACGCTGTTCAACTTCGGGCCCACGGCGTTCCAGAACTTGATGTACCAGGCCGCTGGGGATTCTGAGGTCCTCAACTTCATGGGCAGAGACAGGTCCATCAACAGTATCGTGCTCCTCTGCAATGGCATCAGTTTCGCTATCCAAATCGTGGTTTTTCTCGTCCTGGGCTCCTTCGCGGATTTTGGCACGTGGCGACCCAACATCTTGATCGTGCTCTCCGTGATTGCCTGTGGTATTGGCTTCGGCTGGCTGGGGGTGCACACAGAGGAAGACTGGCACATCGGCGTGGGACTGTACATTGTGGGTTTGATTGCCTATCAAACGACCATCACCTTCTGGACCGCGGCTTTTCCAGGACTCGCGCGGAACACCAAAGATCTCCGGATTAAGGCCGAGGAATTTGCTGACGGACGGATCACTCGCGCGGAATACGACTTTGCTGACATGATGAAGAGGAACGAGCTGTCCAACACCGCCTTCTACGTGCAGTCGGTCTGCGAGATCGGCATCCTGGCTGTGATTGTGGGCATCATGTTCGGTCTGCGTGTCAACGACAGCGAGGAAAACAACAACTGGGGCCTGTCCGTTCTTATCGCCTTCGCCACCGGCGTATGGATCCTCTGTGCCGTCCCGTGGTTCGTCCTGGAAAAGCGACGCCCTGGCCAGGACCCGGGACGGACCAACATCATCGTGGCCGGTTTCAAGCAGCTGGGGTACGCGATGAGCCAGATCTGGCAGCTGCGTCAGAGTCTGGCATATCTTGTTGGCTACTTCCTGCTCGGCGACAGCCTCAACACTACTGTAACAGTCATCGGCACGCTGCAGAACGAGATTGTGGCCTACAACAGCTTGCAGCTCACGTATCTCCTCATCGTCGGCATCGCTGCGCAGGCTGTCGGTATTGGCGCGTTCTGGCAGATTCAGAAGCGCTATGGCTTGTCCACGAAGACGATGTTCATGGTGGTCGCTGTCTGCATCGTGTTGCTTGACGGGTGGGGCATGATTGGCATCTGGACACAGTCATTTGGATTCCACAAGACGTGGGAGGTATGGATGTACCAGGCGTTCTACGGTCTGCTCGTTTGCCCGTGGTACAGCTACTCGCAGACCATGATCAGTGAAGTCACGCCACGTGGCAAGGAGTTTCTGTTCTTCAGCCTGTTTTCGATCGTTGGCAAGACCAGCGCATTCATCGGCCCCCTGGTCAGCAGTGCTATCATTGATGACACTGGCAACAACAGCAGCCCATTTTACTTCCTTTTTGCGCTGAGTTTGGTTAGCTGCGCGTGGCTCTTTTACTTTGTTGATGTCGCGAAGAGCAGGGTTGAGCAGCAGGACTTCCTGGAGAAGGAGAAGAGCGGTCGATCAGAAGTGGTCAGAGTTTAGTCATTGATTAACACACGAATATCGATTATAAAGTCAGGTGTGAGGAAAGCGGCTCCTTGAAAGACTCCTGGTCTGGCCCCTCACTTGCAACACTTGTATCCTCCTCCGAAGTTTCGCCCCCATCCGAGTTGGCAGCACTGTGCAACGTTGTTTCAGGTGCGTCTGCTATTTCCTCCAGATGTGACCCTGCAATGATTTGATACAGCTTGTCTTCTTCCAGTGCGGTAGTCCAGGCTGTACGTTCGAGGCGGTCCAGCTCAGCCCTGCGCGCAGCTATCTCCTTACGCTTGTCCATGAATCGGAGCTCGAGGAGATCTTTGTTTCGCCCAAATTCTTCAACAACTAGATGGGTTTCTCTCCGAAGCCGCGATAGTTGTCTGGCGCAAGCCTCATCCTCGAGTAGTACAGCGAGAGTCTCTGCGTCAGCTAATAGTGTTTCAACTCTTCCCGCGGTGATCCGGAGCCGATGTACTGCAGCATGCCTGATTTGGGATATAGAATTCCGGAGATCTGGGAAGGGTTTGCCAACTGCTGCGAGCTTATCTGAGCTGAAGAGCGTTTCGTGGAATCTGAAGATTCCCATCCAAGCATTGAGTTCGACACAATCGGGGCTGTCCCATCCGTTTTTGCGAAGTTCTTGCATCATTGTTCGCTTCCCAAACTTGTAGCACGCATCTTCTAACATATCCTGCACCTTTCCCAATAGCCGGCGCTGACTTTTGGCAGGGAGATACGACGGGTAAAGGGAGTACTCGGCAAACGTCTCCAGTCGTTGTTTTTTCTGAACAGACGCAGGTAGTGGTCCAGCTTCTCATGTCAGTATCAGAACCCAATTGAACATCACACACCTACTCGATCCACTTATCTCATTTTCCGGTTCTTCTTGCTTCTCCGGTTTTTCGCTCGGACCAGCATATTCTGCATGAGCAGGCGTCGAGATGCTTCCGTCTTGCTGCCCAACGACAACCTCTCTTATCGCCTCTGCTTCATTCTTTGCTGCTTCGACTTCGGACGCTGCTCGCTCTGCAGACTGCGCAGGAGAGATATCGAAGAGCTCCGGAAAGTGAATTTTGGCTCTCAGTGTTGACGCAAAGACATCGCCTTCGAGGAGAGCCTTTACCGAATTGCGAACATTGTCAATGTTGTGCTCTTTCAGTAGTGCCTGGATTTCTTCGCTGCGGGTTCTATACTTTCGAATTCTCCTCTTGATGGCCTTGTCGGTTCGTAGTCTGGCATCCGGACCTTTGAACACGTCCTTGAACGCGAGATAGATCGTTCTTTCGTCGGGGGGTATATTCACCATCGTACTTGTGAAGTTAGGAGCTTGGATGCAGATGTTAAGACACATCTCTCGAGATGTCCCCTCACACTAGACTTGAAGCGTTGAACATGTATGACGCATGTAAATAGCTTGTGAAACCTCATTGATAGTCCGAGCAAAATCACAACAACTGCTCCATTCCACAAGAATTTCGGGTACCGACGTACAGGTCGTAGTCTTGTTCGATGGTGGTATCTACTCGATCTATATTGGTCTGAACAAGGTCTATAATACATTAATACCACTGCTTCTTACAACGACCACACCTCCAGGTTGCGGTACTTGGCGATCAACGGCTGCATACCGCGGAATGCAATCCTGCCCTCCCTGACCACAGGACCCGTGTCTGTCTTGGTGTCGTCAAACTTGAAAATCTCCAGCCCGTTGATGTAGAAGCTGGCCTCCCTCTTGTCCTTGACCACCGTGATGTTGTAGTATTGCCCCCGCGTGTCAGCAACATCAGGAATCGGATCCGCACCCTGGGCAACAAGATTGAACCCCGGACTCTTCCTCAGGTTGGCGACGTGAAACTGCCGCTCCTCGGGCCAGCGTCTGCGGAAGTAGCTCGCATGCAGCAGCCGGATGTCGCTAGAGTGGTACTGCGGGTAGCTCCCATTACGCGGCTTCAGACTGGGATCGAAGATGCTCCCGCCTGCGACGGATGTTGCGCCAAAGAAGAACATGGCCAGGCCGGGCTCCTGGACGGGCTGGAAATCCCACGAGATCCTGATACGATCTGGGAAGATTTCAGGGAGCCAGTACACAAAGTAGTCGTCGATTTTGCCGGCGCCACCAAGCGTCAGCGTGTTGTTGGTCACATTCGCGACAACCGGGCCCTCGGCAGTCCAGGATGCGATGGCGGAGCTGTTACTGAAGGTGTTGCGGTAGAGCAGCTTCTCCGCGACCGCGCCGCTCGCTGCGACGGAAAACAGGGACAGCGCTGACAAACGCATGCTCGCAATCGTATTCAGATGTCACTGTTGCAATACGGGTTCCGTGTATCCTGACAGGCCGCACCCGGCGGGACGGTTGCCTTTAACCAGTCCGTTGTATTGCGCCATCCTGGAGTGCAATGTGCTAAGCATCCCAAGGACGAGCTTCATCTCCGCGAATGCTGCAGGCCGACCAGAAGAGTAGAGACTTGCTTCCCACGGTTAGCCGGCATCGTGATGCTATCGACCAGGATCAAGACACCATAACGATCGGGTCGACCTGCACGTTCTGTGAAAATTGGGATTAAATGATAATAAAGCACGTGAAGTCAGATGATTGGAGGATCGGAATGAATTTTCGGCTTCGCTTGAATTTGACCGACCCGTCCCGCCGGTCCTCTCATTCGGCAGTCCACCTATCAGTGCCACCGCTGTCAGTGAAAGCTTGCGAGTCATTGTCTTGTACGAAGTGCTTGGGCCGCGTTGATGCGCGATTTCTCGAAGCCCGACCGTGGCTTGAGTATTGCCACTTACTATGCAAAGCAATGACACTGCTTCTCCCATGACAAGTTGGCGACATTCAATGCAGGAGATGAATCGGTGGTATAGTCTATATTTTGGTCTGACATGCCTCATTACTAAATGCTGATTGCGATACGAAAGTGACTATTCTTTAGCGCGAATCTCTGCGGACTGAAGCTCAAACGAGTCATTGCTATCAGGCCTCCAGAACCGCTTGTCGCCCTTGATGGCGCGGATGAACCATGGCTGGTTGCGAGCAGAATCAGAACGGACTGGACTTGTTAGCTTTGTAGCTGATGTAGGGATGTTAAACTTACAGCTCCAGTACTCCTTGTCATCGTAGTCAGGAGGCAGGACGCGGCCTCCTGAGATGGCGCCGAGGGCCCAGGTGACAGAGTTGATGATGGCGTAGCACATGATACCAGCGACCAGACCGTACGCAATAGAGTACGAGAAAGGCATGAACATGAGCGTGACGAATGCCGGGATGGAGTCTCCTGGGTAGTTCCAGTTGATCGCCGTCATTCCGCGCATCATCATGCAGCCGACGAGAATCAAAGCACCGCCAGTCGCCCATGGTGGGATCGATGCGAAGATGGGCGCAAAGAAGAGCGAGATGAAGAAGCACACGCCGGTGGTCATAGCTGTCAGGCCCGTGCGACCGCCTTCCTGGATGCCAGAGCCGGACTCGACAAAGGCAGTGACGGGCGAGGAGCCGAAGAGCGAGCCGATGGAGATGGCGAAGGCGTCAGCGCTGTACGCGATGGTGCTCTTGGGGAAATCGCCCGTGTCGGGGTCGACAACACCAGAAAAGCGGGCCATAGAATACAAGGTGCCGGTGGCGTCGAGAATGTCGACGTACAGCATGGTGAAGACAGCGAGGATGAACTGGCCAGCGGCGTTGCCGTCGATAGTCGAGAGCGTCCAGTCCTGGACAACCAAGATCCGCTTAATCGGGTGGAAGCCGACAACGTTCTTGAAGAACTCAAAACGGGCGTCACCGACCTCTGTGCGGGGGAAGAAGGTGATAGAGGTGTCGCGGGGCCAGGAGAAGATGGACACCAGAGCGATGCCGACAATCATGGCGCCTCGGACTTTGTAGGTCATGAGCAGTGCTGTCATGACGCCGCCAACCATGAAGCCAAGCCAGAGCGTAGGTGAAGTTGCCTTGTGAGACAGACAAGAGCCCGTGTCGGGGTCGAGGTATTGAGGTGGGCAGCCTCCGAGCTCCAAAGGGGTGGCCTTTGAGCCGGTGATGGCGCCAATACCAGCAGAGTACGACAGTCCGATCAAGGTGAGGAAGAGACCGATACCAGCACCGCAAGCCACTTTGATGGAAGCGGGGATGATGCGAGCCAGCCACTGACGGATTCCGAGCAGAGACAGAGCGATGAAGATGAAGCCTTCAACAAACACTGCCATCATGGCGACGCGGTAGTTGATCGGGCCAGTTCCGTGGAAGCCGACAATCTGGTAGGCAAGGTATGCGTTCAAACCCATGGCAGGTGCAACGGCGACCGGGAGGTTGGAGCTGATACCCATGAGGAAGGAGCCAAAGGCAGCAATGGCAGCGGTGGCAGTGACGAGATCGCGGTTTACCTCAACCAGGCAGAGGTTGTAGGCGGGATCGGTAAGACAGGTTGGGTCGTTTGCATCGTTACAGACGCATGTGGCACCCGAGTCTGTGAGGACCGACGCCTAACGAGGATCAGCCGCTGTCAAGCGCATTCGAGACAGTACTCACGTTGACGGCAATGATGTATGCCATGGTAAAGAAGGTGGTCAAGCCAGCCCGCAGCTCGGTGGTGAATCTCGCATTCTTGATCTCATTCGGCTGTGGTGGTCAGCTTGGTCTTCGCACTTGGTGGCTAACGTACGTGACCAGATCCCTCAAGGTGGAAGTACCGGCCCACAATGGAGCCTGACACAATGTCGTTCAGTCTGGCCTTATACGCTGCAAAACCCATGGTTGCAGAGGTGAGCAAAAGTACAGATGCTTTCCGCAAGGAGTTGTGCGCAACCTCAGGGTCGACGACTACTGTACTTAAGAAGACGGTTTGACACCTCGCCGAACTAGTCGTAGTAGCTACGACTAATGTCGGATATACTCTTTTGAGAGAGTTGACACTCTGCATGCTCCAACGTATAGCATGGTTGCGCACGTACCTGCGGTCTGCAAGCCGTGGCTAGTGGCTTTTCTGCACGAAGCCACAAGGATGGGAGTTTCACTAGCACACGGCGTACCGGGCCCCTTTACCTTTTCCTGTAGACAAGCCGGCCTCGCTCTACCGGAATCGCGCCATGGCCACGACTCCCGCTAGCCGACCCTTTTCGACGATCTGTGCGCCCATGGCACTGGTTCTTAGATTCGTGGTGGGTATGACGATCAGTGAGTAACAGCTGTGTGCATTGAGCTGGCAGATCGCGTGTTTCCCAGATCCTCATCTCAACGGCAGCACACCAAACGCATCCGAGACAGCATGACGGGCAGGATTGCCAGCATAAACTGAGGCCCGGAAATGATTGATGAATCAGACTGGTACTGACAGGGACAGAGGCCTGGGCAAGCGCCTCTGATAATTAGACCGAAAAACGCCACCCAGGCACGAAGCTGCAGTACCTGTGAGGCCCCCCGCGTTGTGTTATTGGCCCGGTGGAGCGTCCAGGACCGTAGCCAGCGCCAGCCAGTTATGTTCTGGAAGGTGGCATCATTATGGAGCAGGGACCCGTCCAAGCTCAAAGACTCCGATCAGTCGGGACCGTTGGTGTTGTTGAGCGGCGGAGCATGGTGAAGGCGGCCGGGGATCCTCCTCTGAGCAGCACTGGCGCGGTGGAGAGGTCCGTGCGACTCCACCGGTTCGCTTCGCGGGAGCGGGACAGCACTCGACACTCATCCCCCGTGCGCCTAACTGGCTGCCGTGCGACGCGACCCAAGGCCGCCAGAGTCAGGGTCCCTGCTAGCCAATGCGCAGCAGGAACGTGCATCCTGGGAAAGTCCTAGCAGCCCGTGCAGCCATCCTCCCCCTTCAGGATTGTCAGTCTGCGGATTGAGACGCCAACCGTATCAATGCTAGCCGACTTGGGCGCACAAGTGTACGCGAGGACAGAGTCATTTGGTGCAGCGCTGTGATATGCCGTACGATTCCATCCGTGTGCAACATGTGCAATCCTCGTGCTCTCTGATTTCGTATATGTTGATAGTCGAGATCGCTCCTGCCGACTAGGCCCGATAAACAACTCACTTTGGTGATCTCTCCACTGCCACCATGTTTCCCACGTTCGACGTCCCTCCCCAGCATGCCGAGACGGTAGGCGCTCGCAAGAACAGGAAGGCGAGAGAGGAAGAGGGCATCAGGCGCTCTTCGACTGCCACCTCTCAGTCATCAGGGAGCAACCGGAGCGTCAAAGCCGAGTCGAGCGCCGCGTCTGGCAAGAAGAGCGGATTTGGCTGGTTCGGCAAGAGCAAAGGCGTGCAAGAGATCCCCAAGGTGCCTGCCTTGAAGACGAAGACCGCTGAGCCGTCACCGCCGCCTGCGCCGGTCGCTCCTGCCTCGCCGCAAGACCTGCCCTCGCCTGCTGTGTCCTCTCCCAATGAACTCGCTCCCCAGACGCAGGAAAGACGGCCATCAACCCGCTCCAACTCCGATCTCCAGTATCAACACCAGCAACGCTTCCATGTTCCTCCGCCGTTGCAATCGCTCCCTCCTCCGCCGACCAGTGCTCTCCCACAGTTGCCGTCCCCTGGTCTGAATCCGCGAGGTACGTGCATGACTCCCCTGCTCGGTCTTATCGTGATCTGCGAACGATGCGATTTGCAGATAACGTGTTGCGCAATTCCGGTGCTTTCTTTTTCAAGCAGTTGGAGATCAGCACTGTGACGATCCCACCGAATCAACGGCGTTCTAACATCAACACAGGCAGGATCGACACAGGGCGTCCCCACGACAATGATCGTATCAAGTCAAGCTACTCTACTCTCTCACACAACTCCTACAGCACAACAACTACTTCATCTGCTCGCACTGGCTTCTCTAACCAGAGCATATTCTCGCAACCCTCTCGCCGTCAAGATGACCTTTTGTCGGAGAACAGCTTCTACGGTGACGACCAGTCCATAGCCTCCAAGACGCCCTCACCTATCACTCCACCCACATACGTCGACCGGAGGCCGCCCCCAACCCGCCAGCAACCGGACCCTGCGTACGTCAACAACGTCCAGATGGAGCCGGTCGAGTCACGAACGGGCAGCCGCATGAGTGATGGCCCTACCAAGGCTGCCCAGGGACCCTTTGCCCGTGCCTTGGGTAAGATGGAGTCCGCCGGTGCCCGCATTGTCTCTGCACGGCTGAGCGAAGAATGGGAGGGTCTTGACGACGACGACGAAAGCTACCAAGAGGTCGTCTTCGAGAAGCGCCTATGGGCTCTGACCGCTTACCAGCGCTTGACGCAAAACAAGCAGCTCCAGTCCCCTGCACACGACCTGCTTGCCAACAGCCGACCGGCCGAGCAGAGGCGAGTGCTGCACCTTCACGGAAACCTTGCTGACGGCTGGGTGCTCGCGACGCGCTACCCTGCAGCGACCGTCTACACGCTCTCCTCCGCAAACACATCGAACCTGCCAACATCGCACCCCGCACCCTTGAACCACCACTCGCTGTTCTCGCCCTCGATCTCAGCAGCAATGCCATTCCCGGACAATTACTTCGACGTTGTGGTCTCGCGCTTTGTTTCCACGTCCCTGCGCAACGACGAGTGGGCACGTTCCTTCTTCGACTGCATGCGCGTCCTCAAGCCGGGAGGCTCCATTGAGATTCTCTCCGTGGATGCTCACATGAACGGCGAGGGGCCTCTGCTGCAGAACTGGGTCGACGAGCACGTCACCTGCAGACTTGAAGCCCACAACATCAGCATGGTGCCCTCGGAGAGCGTTCTCGACACCATGGAGATTGTCGGCCTCGAGAACATTCGCCGCGCCAGAGTCGCACTTCCTGCATATCTCGGTTCGCCCAAGGCGGTCGCCCGCGCAGCACCAAGCAGCAACGGCCTCCCTGCTCCATCGCCACAGGACGTTGTTGATGCCAGCCGCATGATGGCGTATCTTGGGCGTCACTTTTATCAAGACCTCTACGGAAAATTCGTGCGCCTATCCCAGGGCGAGGAGTGGTTCTGGTCCCGGAAGGATGTCCGGGATGAGTGTGAGAAGTACCAGACGAAGATGGTCCTCACTATTGCATGCGCCCAGAAGCCAGGCGCAATGGCGGGCAACGAGAGCTACCTCAACATTTGAGCTTGTAAGCTTTCTTCGGTTTGAACGCTTCACCTAAAATTTCACTACTGTACATCTCGCTTTTCCGTTCTACATGATACCACTTTTAGACAGACTTTCTTATGTTGATACGCCACCGTACCTCTGTACATGAACAATTCCATTTCTATCGTCCTCAACTATCAATATGCAGCTTGAAGATTGCAGTAGCTTGCATAATTACTATACATACATTGGTAACTTCACACGCATCTCCTACTGCACTCCTATCGACACCATACACCGTTTCAGCCTGCCGGCGCAGTCTACATTGGGTGCATATCTCAAAGCGGACGAAGACTTACGGAAACAGCTCCTGCTGCCTTTCGCCTGTCTCTTCGCCCTGTCTTCGGCTGGCGCTGCACGTCGGAGGGCTTGCAGAAGGCTGAGGGGAAATGCTCCTATTGGCCCGGACGTCCGCCTCTCCGATCTGTCCTACCGAAGTGTAGACGGCACTAGCAGGCCGCAGGCGCAAGCTTGACTGCGCCAAAGCGATAAGACGCAGACGCACGCCCGATCGTAGTGTGCGCCTCTTTTTTATTTACGCTTGCAATAGGAGACTGAACTAATATTCGTACAAGAGCCTTGGCTGTAATGCTGTGAAGAGGCGGCAAATACGTGCCACGGCATCTTCCACCGTGAGTCGGGGAACCACCGAGTGAAACCGAGCTGACGGTACTTTCCAGCACGAGGTTCTGACCACAAAGCCAGGCCATCCCGTCAGCAGTATTCTGGACGACGCCCAAGCTCAGCTCGATGCTGTGTTGTTGGGCAGCTACGTGCAATGATGCAGCTGAGACGCAGGAACCCACAACGTCACCTAGTCTACCAGCAAACACCCGCGTATTCGCACGGCCTCGCACACCCGCGACTCCACAACGCACGTCGATCCCCAGAGTAAGGATGCCAACGGTGCAAACCTTGAAAACAGTTGAGCAGCGTGCTGCATGAGGACCGGCCAGGACTCCGGTGCGCTGGGCTTGGGACCCTGTCCAACACGTCCAGTTTCAGCCGTGTTGCATATAACCGTTGGGCTCACATGTTTTCTTCCCCATTCAGCGGATGTCGGTGTCAGATCGGGAGGCGCTGCTATGCGGATTGCAGACGTCGATGGCTGGAAACAGCTCCACCCCCACAGCAGGCGTCGTTTCGAGACGCGAGAGCGAGATCTCAACGGCGGATCTCAACGTCCTCTGCTTCTCGGTATGATCGCCGGTTGGGCCATGATGCCCAATATTCGTGTCGAGGTTGCCCCCGCAATAGCGTTCCGGCGAGTACTTTCTTCCGTGCTCTATCTTGTGGACCACTAGGTACCTCTGCATTGTGCGATTGACTATCGACAGTGTTTCGGGCCTCGGTCGTTTGAAGAGCTTCTCCTCGGATGAAACCTGTCGCCGACGACGCGGCATTGCATTTTGACGTCCTTGTCGAAACATCAGATGTCAGTCTCAGCCCAACAGCCGAACCTTGTTATCAATTTCTCTTGGCCCCACCTGTTTTGGTAGTATACTACGAGCAACCTTACGCTGTTCTTGTATCAGGACAACGGGTATCAGTGTCGCAGGTCCTGTCAGCCCATTTCCATCTTGATAATGACAGATCAGGTTGTCAGCTGAGCGGTAAAGTGCACAGCAAGCTTCCATGCGTCGACATGCCCTCTAACGTGCATAACCATTCTCTGATCCTCAAATAGGCTGTGCGACTCGTCTCGTATCCTATTTCGCGTACACTGCCGACGTAGGTCTACTGGCGCAAAGTTTGACGCATAGAGGGAAAGTTTGCTACCACGTCTACAAGTCGCTGCAAAAATCAATCCGGTCTTTCGAAGAAGCTCCGTTCCACTGGCTGTTGCTACCTAGATTGCGATCTATCACTATGTCAGAAATGTAAGCGAACATAGCAACATGAACGGAACGATTTACGCCTGCAAAACTACGCCCAATATACAACTTTGAACATGGACGTCTTCAAATCCGCTATGTCTGTGTAGAATATGAGTATCAAAAGTTGTTACTTAGAACATGCTGCTTTTTTTTGGAAATGGTAAGATGTCAGTGAGTCAACCACGCCTCGACCTATTACGTCACCGGAATCTTTCACGAGGCAGTACTTCGCTACTCCACCACACTTTATGCTGCATGTTAGACTTTCTTCATTTGACAGCTCGCAATATGCGTAACAAAAATGAGTGTCAGGAGTTGCTGAAATCCGCCCTTTACTCATAGATAGTTAGCACGTCTCTGCCAACTACCTCACCTGGGTCTCTCCTCTCCACTGCCTACACAAACGAGGTAATACTTTGCGAAAGATCACGCTGGCAGCTTGCGGCATTCATCGATTGTCCGAATGTCCGTATGTCCGTAAGTTCACTTTCGTGAGGTTATGACTCTTGAAGCTGCGATATAAAATCAGCCTCCAAATCGTTTCGGCCAATATCCACTCTCACAAGAGACCGCCGAAGCCATGTCTACCTCTACCAACCCGTCTCCAATTCAAGCCCCGCAGCACGTGCTAGACCTCCTATCTCGTCTGCACACCGCGTCTCTAGAACAAGAAGCTGCGATCTCCGGCAAGAAGGTGTTCTCCTCGGTAGTCATCGGAGACATCGAGGATAGGCTTGCCGGTCAGGGCGATGCTAAAAGTGAGTTCGACAAGCTCATGCTGGACAAGTTCATCGCTCTAGACGAAGACAAATGCCACTTTGTCTATCAGTTGATCATGGCCATGGGAGCGACCAACGTCGTGGAGGCGGGCACCAGCTTTGGCGTTAGTACAATCTATCTAGCGCTTGCCACAGCTCAGACCAAGGCTGCGACAGGCAAGAAGGGTACAGTCGTTGCTACGGAGAAGGAATCGCAGAAGGCAGCCATCGCTCAAGGCTACTGGAAGGAGTGCGACGTCGAAGAGCACATAGATCTCAGAGTTGGCGACCTCCTCGAGACGCTGAAGGGTGACTTGCCCGAGATCGACCTTCTTCTGCTTGATAGTGAGTGTCACATGGCGATATATGCGAAGGGCTAACAGTTTTCAGTCTGGTCAGCCCTAGCGCTGCCAACTCTCAAGACCGTCCTGCCAAAGCTCAGGCACGGCGCCGTGGTCCTCACCGACAACACCATCTCAGGTGCCGAGGGCTACAAGGAGCTGCTGGCATTTTTGCGTGCGCCGGAGAATGGCTTCCAGAATACCACCTTGCCTTACACCAACGGCTTCGAGATGAGTGTGTATCGAGGTGGGATGTCAGATCGCCAGAGCGTGTGAGTGCGCCCGGGCAACAGTGCGTATCGACCGATTCCCGAGAGAGCATCAAGGCCGCATTCTTGGAGAAGCCCAGACCATGTAATTTAACACATTACCCAGCATTCCCACAACATATCGTGCATTATGAACTCTGTCTTTCAGCGAAAACTTCCCCAATCGTTACCTTCATCAGCGTGAGGTCTTGCATCTGTACAATGACGTTCTACGGGTGCCAGGGCCGATGTTGCTGGGGGAACCGGCAGTATCGTGTAAACAACGACAGCACGTTAGCGGCCGGCGCTAGCTTCCATCCCGTCCGCGCCTTCCCAGGTCACATCTTGGAAGACTCCACCGACTTTGCGCAGGCGCGTCTAACCCTACCTAATACACCAGCCTCGACAATGTACAGATACGCAGCGGGCACGCCCTGCCCGGCGCCGTCGGCCGCGTCGCAGGCAAGCAGCCGTTATTACGATTATGGGTCTGTTTACTCCGGCCACATCGAGGACGGCACGACCGCAAACATCGAATTCACGACCGAGATCCAAGCAAAGCCGCGCACGGTCAAGCCACGACGGCCAGCACGCGCAGCGCGTCCGACCAACTTCAACCCCACTCTCGACATCTTCGAAGACGTTGCGCACGAGGAGGAGCGTCGCACAGAGGTGGACAGCAGGAGGAGTCGTCGCGCAACAGTCCTGTCCGACGGCGCGAAAGTCAAGAAGAGCACCCTTCTTGCGCAGCCAGCCCAGAAGATCCCAAGAGCGCCGCCGGTCCAAGATCCAGTGCTCAAGTCGCATCGCAAGCGCGTGTCGCAGGTGTTGATGGACCGGGAGTCGCCGAACGTAAATGCGACCATCAAGCTGCAGGAAGACGTGCTCGACAAGAAAGACTTGAAGCGACCCAAGAAAGACCTACGACGAAGGACCATCTACGTGCCCTCCGACGACACCACATACTTGACGATTCACCCCGGGCAATCCGTACACGAACCGCGCAAAGCCCGGGAGACGTCGCCGGACATTGGGCTGGACCTGGTCACGGTATCGGACGAGGACACTACAAGCTTGGTCTCAGTGCTCAAGAAGGAGAAGGTCCCTCGTAAATCGCTGGCTGCACCGCCCAAGCGAGGCCCTCTGAGCACGTCTTCGCGATCACTCCAAAGCGTGTCGTTCTCGAGCGATGTGGCAGGCTCTGGAGACGGAAAGGAGAATCTGCCGCCCGGCACGGCCAAGATTGAGAAGAAGAGCACTGGCACACACATCGAGATCAACTTCCCCAAGGCGCTGACGAAGAGCACGTCCGTGGCCGAGGCAAAGGCCCGCGTCAAGTCTTCGAAGAGCTCTGATGTGCCGTCGGCAAGATCGGACGTCAGGTCTCGCGTGAAGTCTGAGGCCCGGGCGCGGCCAGAGAAGCGTTTGCGAGAACAGACCAGCTGCGAGCGCATTCCAGCGAAATCGATCAAGGCTCGAGCTGATGGCACAGCCTCTGCGGCCAGCAGTCTTGCAGCGCACAAGGCAGCTCTCAAGGAGCACAACGCAGCCATCAAGAATGCCAAACCCAGAGTCACCAGGACGCGCCCAATTCTGCCCTCTTCGTCCTCGCCTTTCCACACCGACAAGACCCCGCCGGCTGCATTGCGTCGCCAGAGAGCAGCGCCTGCGAACATCCAGATGATGCACGTCGTTGGGAAGCCGCAGCAGGCACGCGAGAAGTACCCTGTGCTTGAGGAGGATATTGCGCGACCGGAGATGTACGAGGACAACTGGCTCACATATCAGGAGGTCGCCATCACGCAGCTCTTGAACTCGATGTTTGACTCGGCCAACACCAACCACGACGAACAGAGTCCTGAAGAGCTGAGGAAGAAGATGCTGGCGCTGTACCACGAGCCATCGATGCCTCCACTGCACAAACGCCTGCAAGCCTCGCTCCAGTTTGGCGCCTTGAGCATCCCGAAAGACCTCCTCGCTCAGACTCTCCGACTCAAGGACGATGTTGGCATGAGGAAGAAATTCCTGAACCTCTGGACAAAGACGTACGATCTCAGCGCGTTGCGAGCGGCCGTCGAGACGATTGTGGGACGCCAGATCACAACCCCCTCACGACTATCGACAGGCTCGACGTGCTCTGACGATGGCTCGCGTGTGTTCCGCGCCGAACGACGAGCTATCGAGCACTTCCTGGACGCTTTTTTGATTAAGAACGAGGATGCTGTTCGCGTTAAGCCTGGTGTTGGTAGCATTGCTAGCATCACGCGTGGGGAGGACGATTTTGGGTCGCAGGGGTGGTCGTGGCGGCGTACGGCGCTGCGCAGTCTGATGCTGGTGCTACTGCTCGACAAGGCAAAGGCAATGGACGTCCTGCCTGGCTGCCTCTTTCAATCCACATCGCCTTACAAGACGTCGGTGGATGTGCTGCACCACCTCTCGGCCATGCTCCTCCCTTCGCACGGCGACATCACGCGACCGCTGGGCCATCTAAACTACAAGGTTGACCACGCCCAGTACCCGCTGCAGGAGTACACTTACCACATCGACAACATTGCGGTTGACCTGCGGGACGGTATCATCCTCACTCGTCTTGTGGAGTTGCTGCTCTACCCGTCCAGCACACTCGCTGCACAGCACGATGAGACCGTCACCATCTCTTTGCCGACCGGTGAGCTGCTGACTTCCGACACTACGCAAAAGGACAGCTGGGTCATGTCGCAGCACCTCAAGTTCCCAGCCATCGGCCGACCGCAGAAAGCCTACAACGTGCAGGTTGCCCTGTCCGCGCTCGAGGGCGTTCACCAAGCAGCAGGCGCCGTCACTGCGTCTGAGGTTGTCGACGGCCACCGCGAAAAGACCCTCAGCCTTCTCTGGTCGCTGGTTGGCACTCACGGGCTTGGGAGTCTGGTTGACTGGCCGCATATTGTGAAAGAGATCGCCCGCTTCAAGCAGCAGTGGTACTCGCGCCGCAACAAATTCGAAGAGGACGATCTCGACTCCGACTCCGACACCGAGCTCGACAGCCCGACCACAGACGATCTGACGCACCACACGCGCCTGCTGCTCGACTGGGCTCGTTCGATTGCACGCCTCCACGGCCTGCGCATCACCAACCTGAGCACCTCGTTCGCCGACCCCAAAGCTCTCTCCTGCATTATCGACACGTACCTGCCCGCGTCCGCCGCACACACCAGTCTCGCCGCCAAACTCGCCGCCGCGGGCTGCTCGGCCTCGTTCACCCGCCTCTTCTCCCCGCAACACCCCTCCGCCAAGACGATCCCGAGCAAACCTTTTACCACGCTCGCCCTCGCCTTTCTCGCCTCCCGCCTACCCCCGCTCCTCGCGCACCACCGCGCCGCATCAACAATCCAGACTGCTTTCCGCGCCCATCTTCTCCGCCGCACGCTCGCCGCGCGCCTGAAGACGCTGCTCGTTGCGCAGGCCGCGGCGCGTGTGGCGCGTGAGCGTATCAGGGTGGTGGATGCGGTGCGTGTGCTGCAGCGGCGGTGGAGGGGGGTTTTGGAGCGCAGGAGGGCGGCGGTGGAGAAGGCGATTGGGTTGTTTCAGGGGCTGGCGAGGGGGTGGGCGGTGCGGAGGTGGGCGAGGAGGGTTACTGTTGGACGGGTTGGAGGGAAGGAGAGGGTGAGGAGGGGGAGGGGCGGGTGGTGAGTTGAGTTGAGGCGGTGTAATCGTGATGTCGCGTTTGAACGGTCCCACGCAGAGGAGTTTCTGTTGATTAATGTTGTTCGTCATTCTTGTCAGTCGTTTGTGCTAGTTAGTTCTATACCTCCCTATCCTGTACTGATAGACGTCGCATTCATTCATTCGTTCCTTCATTGATCTAGAACCATGTTATTCATCCAGAACCAAGTCATTCACGTCCAACATCAACATCACCATCACCATCACCATCACCATCACTAACACACTCACACGTCTTCGAAGAATCCCATGCATTAGGGGAGGAGGTATATATCCAACAGCCTCCCCCGCGCCGCAACGCAGCGACAAAGTCTATCTACCGAAAGAAAAATACGAATAAGGAAAAGGGGAAAGACAGAGCCACAACCAGCCCGTGGTATTGGTATATAAAAAGCGCTAGAAACCAAAGAAAAGTGTGCTGTTGTGTGCTATGATGTGGGCGGTACGCAGGGTACGCGCGGCCAGAAAAGTGAGACCTGCAATGTCTAGACAACCCAAGAGGTGAGAAGGGGGCTACACGCTCCTCTCGGGACTCTCGCCCTCGGCAACAACGGCCACGCCCAACCCCCGGTCCGGACTCTGCAGCACGAGCTGCTCGTGGCGCCGCGCGCGGATAAAGTCGCTCACGCTCTTGATCAGAATAAACCAGCCGACAATCATCAGCCCGTACGCCAGCCAATCACTCCCGGACACGCTCGCGCTGCTGCTCGCCACCGCGTCGCCGGCGCTCGTCGCAACCTCGTCGGGATTGAAGCTGTGGGCATTTGGATCGGCGGGGACACCGGCGTTGAAGTCCGACGGCGAGTCGTTGGAGGGGTTGGAGGGGTTGAGGGTGGCGGAGCGGAAGCCGAAGCCGAACTGCACGAGGGTGATGCCGAGGCCGGCGCGGGAGCCGTTTTTGGCGGCGTGGGTGGTGTGCAGCAGGTACGTCAGCAGGAAGCCGACCAGCTGGAAGGACATGGAGATGAGGGCGTTCCAGATGAAGCTGAACAGGGAGCCGACGGGGAGGCCCTCGACAAAGACCTCGTCGCCGAAAGTGCCGGGGGCGAGGATCGTGGTTTCCCAGTACGGTGGGGTGGCGTCGGCGGCGGCCTGCTCGTAGGTCTGGGTGTGTTAGTGGGAGGAGAGTTTGTATGTGGGTGACAGGCATACCGGAGGCTTCTCTTCAAGATCCTCGCCTCGCGTAGGCTTTGCGCTCAGGTTGGCCCATACGCCGCCGTTGCCGCCACCGTACACGCGGCCGCTGGCTGGAGCCTGGGTGTTGAAGACCGGCAGCTCGGTCATGCGGCGCTGGATGCGCGGTGGTGGCTCTTCGTCTTCGGGCGGCGGGTTCCCACGCATCAGGCGCTGGCGGTCGTCGCGGCCATCTTCGTCATCATCGTCGTCGTCGTCCGAGTCGAAGGTGTCGGCCAGCGTTCGGTCCTCGGGCTGGGCGAGGGGGTCGTCGGACAACAGGCGGCGGGTGGAGGGCGACGAGGCGCGCGAGTGAAATGACGGCGGCGGCGAGGCGGGCGGCCACTGCTGCTGTGCGGCAACGGGCGAGTCTGTGTCGTCGTCGGCGGCTACCTGCGTGGTGTCAGTGCCCGTCGTGGGCGTGCGGCTGGGGGCAACGCACCCTTTCGTAGCCTTGGCTCGGCATGTTGGCGTCCGCGGTCTGGTGTGGGTGTGGATGTGGCCGCGAAAAGTACGAGCGAGCGTGAGGTCGGGGGTGCGTCGGCGGCGAGGAGAGTCAGCAGTGGAGGCAGGTGCCGTGGTTTCGAATGGACGAGAACGGTACGGCTATCCCGGCGCATGGCCCTTCCCCAATCGTGGCGCAGCTGGACCCACCACGTATGACCAATGCGGCCGCGCTAGTGCAGACCCCGGCGCAAGTCGTCCGCGGCAAAGACATCATCATATTTTGGTGGATTTAATTGTTTGCCCGTGACGGCGACCACACTCACACCATGGCGAGCACAGTCAGTATGCCGCGACGTTTTAAATAATTGCTAACAGTCGCAGGTAGCAAAGCAGTACACGCGCCTTCTGCGCCTCTGGCCGACCGACGCCCTGCGCCCAAACCTGCCCTTCACACGCGCCATTGAAGCCCGCGCGCTGCCCTACGGCGTCGCCCCCCTCAGCCCGCCCACAGACTCCGCCCGCACGCCCGCCAAAACCTCGCCCGTCCCCTCGCCCGCCGACGTCAAACCCACCACCGCCTCCACACACGCCAACCCCAGCCCAGCGCAGGAGTCTGCACAGATCACCGCCCTGTTCTCGCTGCTGGAAAACAGATACGCAAAGAAATACCCGCTGAGCGACGCCGTGTTCAAGCCCACGAGTGCACCCGAGCACTACACCGAGCTGATGGCTGAGATCGAGCGTGCGCCGCTGAAGACGTGGTGGCAGGCGAAGGTCGACGAGTGGAAGATGAAGATTAGGTGGAAGTAGGCGCTTTGGACTGTACAACATGTGTATTATTGGAGCATTAGTCTGGTGTTGTAACATGTAGGATAAGATGGCCAAGTACAGCGCTTCGAATGTTAAATGATATCCACTTCACGTCACTTCATGAAAATAGTGGCCACAAACTTCACAACTATCACTGCATCAGTCTTGTCGCACGCCTTCCTAACAGACGACACTCTCGCGTTTCCACGGAAGGTGCCGCCTGCCGCACGCGCTGTCACGTCGTCCTCACCTGACATCCCTTAGGAGTGGCTCAGACACGACCGCAACGTACGATGGAGCGTGCACGTCCTACAGCTATCCAGATCCCTGTCTTCTCCCGCAGGATACTAGGGCGTCGGCGACTGCAGCACTTTCAATCTTTCGCGAGGCTATACTGAGCAGCAGGAATGGGTCTGGTCGCTGAGCTCCACCTGTGGCCGCGAGGTGTTGAGAAAAAGAACAACGAAGAGATAAGACCAAGGAAACGGCATGGGATATCATTAAATCTTACAGTGAACACTCCTGTCTCATGCAGCAGACGAGGCGAACAGCACCTTCCTCGGGTTGCCCATCGTCAGCGTCTTCGGCCCCTTGCCGCCGCCCTCCAGGTCCTCGAGCAGCCTGTCCATGCCGCCAATGTCGAGCTCGCCACGCGTGAGCAGTACTTGATCAGCCACTCTGCTGGCCTCCTCTTCTGCGGGCGTTGGAGCGAACAAGTCCCGATCCTGAGGCTGGTTCGTGCTGGCGGAGATTATGAGGCGGTGTTCTGCTGCAATCAAAATGTCTCGCCCGATGGCCATCCGTGTCGCCGCAGCGGTCGTGTCGAACTGTACGATCGAGGAGATGGACTCGCCAAGCAGTGGGATGTCGTAGATCTGCGTGACGCCCGGTCCAGGCAGAGACTGTCCACGAGATGCAGAGGCGTTGCGAGTCCAGAACTTGGTCAGGTCTGCTATCCTGTACACCTCCGAGCCGTACCAGAGAACGACCGAATCCTCAGACACAGTGCCGTTCGACGAGACCAACGAGGCGACAGAAACACCTCCACGCGTGGGCACAGCGATGCCAGACGCGCTGCCGTGGAAGAGATGGTCCTCCTTCCTGCGGCGCGTGTTGGGCGTCATTGGCGCAAGTGAGTTCCGACCGCCGCGCTTTGGACTGGAGGGGCCATTACTTGCTTCTTTGTCGACTGTGCCTATGAAGCCGCGCAGGGAAAAGGACGCAGGGTCGGTTGGAGGATTGGGCCCCGACTTGTCACAATCCCACACGCCCCACTCGCCGTCCGCTAAGAGTGCCAGGATATGCCGCCCATCAGACACCCAGGCCGCGTCCAGGATTGCTTTGCGAGTAGCGAGAATAGCAGGCGTGAGTGAGTTGCTCTTCATGCTCTCGAACGAAGACTTGAAGGTCGTGATGAATGCACCGGGCTCGGTCTGGCCGCCTGCACTGCGCTTGCGACTGGCGGGCGTGAACGGGTCGTAGATGCGCGCGGTGCCTGTGAGATCAGTGATGAGGAGCTGGGCGTGGCGACGCTTTGGATACTGTGCAGTGTTGAACGCAATCCTCGAGGCAGGCTTGCGTAGGGTTACTGTCTTGTAGGGCACGATTGGGTGTGCGCCGTTGACCGAGGTCTCAGTCAGTTCGAAGCGCCAGATCTTGAACAGACCCCCGACTTCAGCCGAGTGAGTCGCGACCAGAATGTCGAATCCGGCCACAGTCGGTGCTCGTGAGCGGCTTTGCTGCGTCCTGCGCCGCCGCCCTGGTGTTGCACCAGCGGGGCCTTGCACATCCACTTCCATCTCATCGTCGGACTCGTGCTTCGCGCTCGGCTCTCCTCTCGACGTCCAGGTCATGGTCACACCTCGCGCAATGCTTTGATGCCCGTGGAATCTGACAATCTCCTCGCCGAATTGCGAGCCTCCATTCACTGGCCTTTCCTTAGCCGAGTTTGGTGGGGGACTTAGCGGCAGGGTGACGATGCGAATGGTCGAGTCGGTGCAGGTAGCAGTGAAGACGAGTTTCTTGCCAAATATCGCGGGTATTGACTCCGCAGGTCGCAGTGCAGTGGCCGTCGGTACTTGAGGCACAGCAATGTGCAGCACTCCTGTGTTAAAGGAGAGTCTGACTTGCTGCACGACTGACGGATACGGCTGGTCTGGGTCAAGCTCCTCCTCTTCGTCTTCGAACTCGGCCTGGGGCACGGCCTGCGCAGGGGCTTTCGCGGGCTCGTCGTCGTCCGAGTCGATGATCATTATTGCATCATTGCTTCCGTTGACGTTCTGTGGCTTTGGCGCCTGCTTGGGAGGCGGCGCAGCCTTCTTCAGCGGCCTGCCTCCCCTCCAGACGACGCTGACACCTGTGTCGTGCGCGTAGAGGAGGATGGTGGAGCCATTGGGAGCTTTGACGGGGTAGATGGTAGCTTCGTGGACGCGCTGTGGGAGCTCGTACCTGCGAAGATCAGCGATCGGATCACAGAGGGAGGAAATACATACCTGAGCTGTGTGAGCTTGCCCTTGGTCGTCGCGACAGGCTGCATGGTGCGGCGCTCAATTATAGCTCGCTGCAACAAGGTAACAATACACAGGCCTTCTCACGTGACAGAATAAATAATCTGCACTTCGGCGGAAGCTCTGCTGGTGTTTGTTGTCGAGTGCAGGTGAAGAGCTCGGAGAAGCCGCGGAGGTCAGAACGAATTTCTGGGGAAGGCGCGAGCGCGGCACCGCAAACAAACAACAGCACCCCGCCACGCCCTTCTCGCGCCACGCCCTCATGCCGCGAAGCGAGCCTCCGCATGGCCTCACTTCGCTCCATCGGGGTCCATAAGCCCGCTGCGCTGCAGTATCTGGTCGCCGAGTCCATCCTCCACGAAGACTGCACCGAGCGCGACTATGTCTGGGACACCTACGCCGACGAGAGCCCCGAGGGTGCCACCGACGAGGTAGTCACCACAAAACACCATGTCGTATGGTCGCGCGGCGGCATAGTGCGCAAGGTCTTCAATTTCGAGATCGAGAAGGAGGAGGTCGCGCAGGCTCTGCTCACATGGTTTCCTCTTGAGGGTCCCTCCGAGGGCCTGGGGCCAGAGCACAGCCATGACCGGTTCCTTACTCAGGAAACGCAGTCGGCTACAGAGTCCGGCAGTGCAGCGGAGGGTGCCAACGGCGTTGAGACGAGGGCGCGGGCACTGGTTGTCTTCCTCCGGTCGCAGGCCCATGTTTTCTTTCTCTCCGGGACTACACATATCGTGAACCTTGCGTTTGAGGTCGACAGAGCATTTCCAGCGGCGCGCGGAGTTGTGGTCCAGAGGAAGATTGCGCCTCCCGTTCAAGCACCCCTCAGCCCGCAGGTGCCTATGGCTCCACCAAACTCCTTCCTTACCAACAATCAGTCCTTCCTTTCGCAGACCCTTTCTCAAAGCTTCACACAGACCCACCGCCGTAACAATTCCTCCGTAGCCACAGCACGCCCAAACAAACCTCATCAGAATGGCTCATCACTGTTTCTCGATGATCTCTTCAAGTCTGCTGCAACCTCTAACACGGACGGTCTTCCTCGGCTGTACTCATTCACAAATCCTCTGTCAGAGCTAGGCTTGGTCGTCAACGTGCTTACAGGTGGCGAGCGCAGTAGCATGCTCTTGAAGAATGGCGAGGACCATCGTAGAACCGAAGCCATCGATAAAGCTGAAGAGATCATCTACGTCTCGCCCCAGAATGAGGTCACGTTTGATCGCAGCGGTAGCGACAAGCCCCTTCTGCTGATTGTCACGGCAAACTATGAGACCAATGTACTTACCATCTGGTGGGCAGCCTACCGCGAGCCCAAGTTCATTGCATCCTCTCGCAAACAACACGCCCCTGTGCCATTGTCCAAGTCTCGACGACGGAGCTCGCACGGTGCTACCTCTACAGGGACGGGTGCAACCACGCCTGCAGTTCGAGGCGGCGACAGATTGAGAGACAGCTTCGGCACAGGTCCACGTAGCAAGCCACCAGTGCCGTCTTTCAAAGATGTCTCTCAGACGAGGGGGAAGTTGACTGATCAAGCAGTGGACGATGCGTTGGCTTCACAGTTAAACCCTGACTTCAATATAGATCGATTGCCGGCAGAATCCAGACGTGTCAGTTCGCTGCTCTCTCGGGCTGAGTTGTCAACGACTTTCGACAAATCAGCGTTTCAAGACCTCGCAACCCACCGACAGAGCGTGACTAGCAGCTTCAGTGCAAGCCAACGCAGTCGGCGCTCGTTAGGCACTGACCGTACAAGCTTCGGCTACTCGCAGTCTCGCAACCGAGCTTCGACGCCGGGCAGTATTGCTTCTCGGCTGAGTTTTGGTGGAGCTGATATTGACGACACATTTGACGACACCATGGAAGAGAGCCAATACGATCTTATGGAGGAATATGATGAAGTCGACAATCTGTTCTCCCCGCCGGAAGTTGATGGTGAGGCCCAACCAGGCGCTGGATTACGGAAGGAGCTGGTAATGGAGGCAGTCGGAGAGATCCCAGCCACGCAGTACCTCAAGCCTGGGCTTTTTGCGCTGAGTGATCCGACTGCAACGACAAAGGTAGGAGATGAGTCCGCGGCTGCTGATATACGCTGACCTTTACAGGCGAGTGAACGTCCAAAAGTCCTGACCGTGAACGCTCCCTTCAACTCTGCGGCCCTGCATGAACGGAAACTTTACCTCTACATCTCGCATCCATCGATAAGGGCGCCACTGGAATGCGAGATTGTCGTGACCAGGAAACGCCTGAGAGTCCCAGCATCCACCTTGCGCCTCCAACCGAATAGCGATGTCAATAGATATGCATGCTGGCCAAAGCTGAAAGGTACCAGGCTGCTCGATGAAGCTACGGATCTTGTCAAAGTGCGGTCTGGTCATGTAGAGAGAGTTGCACTACTCAACTCCAGCGAGTCGAGCTCTTACGTGTCTTTGACTGCAGGCTGGGGTACTCACTTACCTGCGAACCTCGACCTGGGGCCTTTCAAGCTCTTTGATCCGTACGCCATTCTTGAAGATGACCAGCGGGCCTCAGCAGGCTTCAAGAGGACCATTACTCCCAAACACCCTCTTCGACAGCTCATGTCGCCAGGACGCGCTGGTCAATTTGAAGTCATTGATGCAGACGAGCGTAGACACCGTATAGAACTCGGACTTGCACCTGCCCATGACTCTGTCCGGGAGTCGTTTCACGTGCTGGCCACGATTCTTCCCAACTACGCTGGCGATTTCCTCCTGCAGATATGGTGGAACATCCGCAAGACTCTTCCGAACGACACTGCGAGCATCCTGAACAGCGACTGGATGGCGTTCGTCGCTACCATCTTCACGCTCGCGGTCCCTCTTCTGGACGACAAATCGAAGAAGCCAAAAAGCCGGGTGAAGACTCAGCGCCGCAGCTTAGGGCGTCCTTCGAGTCAGGTGAGACCGGATGAACTGATAGAGGATGATAATTCAGCGTGGCGACTGATGTGCGATCGTCAGAACTCTTTCTCACAGTCGAAAAGCTGGGCGTCTCCGCCGTGGGGATGGGCGCTGCACTCTGACCCAGCTGCAGCCTTGACCTCGAGACGTACATCGGGACTCCATTCAGCACCTATATCGGGACAGTTGAGGACCAAAGAGACGCTCATAACAGACTGCGTAGATCTCGCGCGACAATTCTGTCAGACACCGCTGGGCGAGACTGCAAACAAGCAGTGGCAAGCTGGGAAACAAGACCTGCGTCTATCCACGCTCTCCGAAATACTGGTCTCTCTGCATCTCCACTGTGAAGAGCGCAAACTCAACATACTGTCACAAGATGTTGGCAAGCTGCAGGTCGGAAATCTTGTCCCAGTGCTTGCCCAGCTCGGCTATTGGCTACGATGGGACGGCTGGGATTGGAAGAAGGGCGGTTTCTACGACCTGGCCGGCGCTTCGAGCGACAACTGGACGTATGATGAATCAGCTTTCGGCCCCAAGGTACGGCTACACGCGCGACCATCAGACGGACCGCCGCCATCGGTACTGGACTGGCTCAGCACTGTTGTAGGCCCTCGACGATATGCGCCGTTTCCCACACTTGCAATGCTCATCAGAAAGTCCAAAGCATCCCCTCATTCGTCCATAAACATCGACGAGATCATCGCGGATGTAACTCCCAGGACTATGGCCTTGCACGCATTCTTTCGCGATATTGACCCGTCGTCCAGCCCAAGGAAGGTTGTAGAGCTCATCCGGACTTGCGGGATCAGCACAGATGTCATCGCTACTCTGCCTGAAGCCGCAAAGGCGCCCCTGATGGAAGCGATCACCAGCTGTCAAGCCAATCCGCCCACTACCTGGTCGAGTTCTCTGCTGCAACTCGTGCAACGTGAGGATCTTGATTTGACCTCGACTTCGAGCGATGGCTTCGTTCACGATGTCAACCTGAATCCGCTCTATGCCACTGCAGCACCGCGTGATGTCCATACAATCTGTCAGAGCGTTGAGCGTCCGGAGCCGATACAGTCTACCGCTGAGGTCGATCGCCACTACATCACCAGGCTCATCTTCCGCGAAGACAGGCGATTCATGGAGGTCCACACACTGCTCGAACCGTTGAGGCAGACTGTTGCGGAGTATCGCGCCGACAGTAGATCTGACGAAGCTGCGATTTTGGAAGGACAGAAGATCATGATGCAGTGGGTCATGATTCGCACCTTCTCGCTGCCAGTCGGTAGCTCCATGATCAAGTTTGGCAGCAAGAAGCCCCTGCTTACCGAGAAGTATCCACTCTACGGCTTCTCTACATCGTGCTTGATGAAACCAATGGGCAATGTCGTCACTGCTGAACGACAGAATTACTCAGAAGAGAAGTACTTCTGGGCTTTCTTCAACGCTGGTGTTGCTGCTGGTCTGAGCATCTCTCGAGACGCGCAGGGCATTGATACCTCTTGGATCATGTACAACAAGCCTGCCGAGCTGACCAACAAACATGCAGGCCTTCTGCTCGGGCTGGGTCTGAATGGCCACTTACGCACAATCGCCAAGTGGCTGTCTTTCAGATATCTGACACCGAAACACACCATGACTTCAGTGGGTCTCCTGCTGGGCCTCTCAGCCTCCTTCATGGGAACTATGGACACGCTTGTCACACGCTTGCTATCTGTTCACGTGACCAGGATGTTGCCAGCAGGAGCAGCAGAGCTGAATCTGTCTCCATACACGCAGACGACCGGCCTAATGGGCATTGGTCTGCTATACTACAACACACAGCACCGACGAATGAGCGAGGTCATGCTGTCGGAGATTGAGCACGTCGAAGTCCCAGATCCGTCAGAACCTCCAGACTCTCTCCGCGACGAGGCTTACAGGCTGGCCGCTGGATTTGCCCTTGGATTTATCAACCTCGGTAAGGGCAGGGATCTGGGCGGTCTTCGTGATATGGAGATTGTGCAGCGCTTGATGACTGTTGCTGTGGCGCCAAAGTCGGTCAACGTCGTGCACATCCTCGACCAGGCAACGGCGGGAGCGGTCATCGCAGTTGCGTTGATCTACATGAAAACGCATGACCGCATGGTTGCCAGCAAAATCGACATACCCGACACGCAGCCACAATTCGACTATGTCCGACCAGACATCTTCCTTCTCCGCACTCTGGCGAAGCACATCATCATGTGGGACGACATCGAAGCAAGCGAGGAGTGGATTATCAAGAATCTACCAGTGGACTACCGCGGGGATTTTGACCTCACAGGCATCAACAAGCTACGTAGCGAGCAAATGCCCTTTTACAACATCGTTGCAGGGCTGCTCTGGAGTATTTCCCTGAAGCACGCAGGCACAGGCGACGTCCAAGTCCGAGACTTCCTCATCAAGTATCTCGACCAGTTCATGCGCATCGCCAGACTCACGTCCATTCGCTACGATTCTCGTCTCGCTCGAAATACGGTCCGCAACTGCCAGGACCTCATCGCCCTCTCCGCCGCCACCGTCATGGCTGGCACAGGTGACCTCGAGATCTTCCGCCGTCTGCGTGCCCTCCACGGTCGTATTGGGCCTGACATACCATATGGCAGTCACCTCGCGGCCCACATGGCCTTTGGTGCACTGTTCATCGCGGGCGGCACACAGACCTTCAGTAGAAGCAACAAGGCTATTGCAAGTCTGATCTGCGCATTCTACCCGCTCTTCCCGTCAGACGTCCAGGATAGTCGGGCACATTTGCAGGCATTCCGCCACTTCTGGGTGCTGGCCGCCGAATCGCGATGTCTGGTGGTGCGCGACGTCGACACGGGACGCGCAATCAGTATGCCCATCACAGTGCACTTCAAACACGACGCCCAGCCGCCAAAGAAACTTGTCGCGCCCTGTCTGCTCCCCGAAGTTGACGAAGTCAGCCGCATCGAAACCACAGACGTGAACTACTGGCCCACAACCCTCGACTTCGCAAACAACAAAACCCACATCCGCGCCTTCCAACGCAATCAAACCCTCCATGTCCGCCGCCGCAGCGCCAGAGACACGTACGCGACGGCCTTCTCTGCCACTCTTGTCGCCCTCAACGACGCGCAGAGCAGCCGCACCTCACACCTCCTATTCCACTGGGTCTTCAGTCTGCCTGCTGTCGCCGCGCTTGTTGGCACCTCCGACGCCACACTTGTGCTACCCATCGATCCGCACTCCAAGACCCTGCTCGATCCCAGGAGCACCGTCGTCGAGGCCAGACTTGTGCTTGGTCGACTGGCGCAGAGCTGGGACGTGGATGAGCTGAGGGTGCTGCGCGGTGTGTTCGAGTGGGCGGAACGCGAGAGCAAGAAGGGTGGACGGTTGAGGTGGCTGGGAAGTGAGGTCGTGGAGCGGGTGAGAGCGGGGGTGCTGGAGAGGGGGAGACGGATTGGGGTAGGAGAGACGCAGAGCAGCGAGCGATGAGATGAGTGATGTGTATTTCAGTCATGTTCGACGAATGCAATGAACATGTCCAAGTATCTTGTAGGTCTGTCTATGGTATCATCCAACACTACGAACTCTTAACCTCGATCTTTGAAACCAATTCTCCTCCTAAACGCTTGATCTCATTAATAACCGCCTCCCGGTTGACCCTAACTTCAACTCCCTTCTCGCCCTCTCCAACCTTCACCTTCACAGGCACACTATTCCACCCCACCCTGACCTTCCACCCGCGCTGTCCCGTAACCACAGGATTCCACAGCCCCAGCACACGGTCCAGCGACGCAGGGTCCCAGAACCAGAGCACCGCGTCGCCGTAGATAGCGCGCAGGTCCTGTGCGAAGAGCAGGGGGAGCGGGGGCGCGGCGGGGGTAGGCGTCGCGGCGTGTTGGAGGGCGAGGTTCTTGAACTGCTGCGAAGAGGTGGATTTGCGGGTGTGCGAGGTGTGTTTCGGGGAAATGGTGATGGCGATGTCGTATTCGGAGGTGGTGGGGGTGAAGAGGGATTCGGGGGAGAGCGCAGGCGCGGGGTCTGCGGTGCTGTTGATTTGGGCGAGGAGGCGGGATTCGTCTGTGCGGAGGGCGAGCGCGGCGGCTTTTGCGAGCGCAGTCAGGCGGCCGGCGACGACTTTCTCGGGTGACGCTTTGTCGGTCCATGTCGTGCCCTCTTCGTCGAGGTTGGTGGCCGCGAAGAGCACGACGCGGTTCATGGCCGGGTCGATGCGGCGCCAGGCCTCGAAGCGGGTCTGCAGGCGCTCGAGGTCGCTGGCTTTCATGCCCTTCTGCTGGCTTGCGTCTTCCAGGTCGGCCGGGTTGGCGGAGAAGGTGGAGCTGAAGTCGACGATGAGCGGCTCGTGGCGCCAGTCCCAGCGGCCCAGCCAGGCGAGGGTACGCAGGAAGCCGGTGGTTGAGGTAGAGGGCACGGGCCAGGGGTAGGGTTGCAGGAATGTGCGGATAACGAGGAGTTCGATGAGCTCGGGGGAGAAGTGCGGTGAGAGGAGGTGGGACGCGAACCAGCGCTTTGTGAGGCGGATAGAGGGCGACAGGGCTGGGAAGCGGGTGCAGAGTGTCTGCAGGACTTGAGAGTGGAGAGGGGACTGCACAAATTCGCGCTTATACAGAGCGAGCGATGCAGCTGCGGATTCGCGAGAAGGCGCATCGAGCGTCTTGTCCTTGAGTTGGCGCTCGAACAGGGTCACCTCGCGGTCGTGGTAGATGCGGATTCGGAACGCGTAGCCCGCAGCTGACGTGACATCCAAGAAGGCTTGGTTCTGTGCTGGCTGTGATGGGTTTTCAAGACCAACTCGCGAGACATACTCTGATTCTGACTCAGTCAGGACGTCTGCGATGCGGAGCAAGAAAGCGATCTTGGTCCTTTGGATAGCGCACAGGTCGTCCGGCCAGCGTCCAGAGCCCTCAAACTGGAGGACCACCGATGCAGGCGCATGTCCAGCGGTCGGGGGCTCTACAGACGCGTAGCGCAGTTGCTCGTCTGCAGCTCTGATCGAACGAAGCTGCAGCGGCAGGTCTTCCAGGGCGCGGATGTCCTTCTCCATTGTAGCGAAAGCATTCATGATAGGCAAGAACGGGGCCACGCCTGAAGCACCTTGAATGCGTCCAGCGTTGACGAGGTGAGCAAAAGCATCGCCGGTGAATTTAAGCGCATCCACAGTCTGCACAATCTTGTGATGCTGGAGGACGTAGCGCACGATCTGCTCGAGCACGGAAGACGCATCTTTGACAGACCAGACAATGCTCTCGGTGATGCTTCCATCTTTGAAGCGTCTGAGCTCGGACTTCTCGCCCCAAAACTTGCGGAAGACTGCTGCCTCCTGCTTGTTCTCTGCTGCCGGCCCGTGGTCCACCGTTCGGTTCGCATTCGCTGGGTCCGTCACAAAGTTGACAAGAATGCTCTTACGCTGCTTCTCGTGGGGCCGTCGTGCAGTGATGGGCCAGGCTTCATCTCGTGGCATCGTGAAGGATATCGATGTAACCCGGTCGGTGAGCGCGTGCTTCAATGTGTCGTAGAGCTTGCGGCAAGCTGAGCTGAGCTGCTGGTCGTACTCATCGCTCGCCGAATCAAGGCCAAGTGCTGACAGGGGAATCTCGAGGGTAGCGTCGTACTTGAGCTGCAGGAGCTCTGTCTTCAGGATGAAGGTCGAGTCGAATTGGTCGAAAACGGTGTCGCTCAGCATGTCCACGGTCGCCTGCGCCTCTTGACGGAGGGCCGCATACGACCACTGCGTCATTCTGAACAGAATGTTCTGACCACGAGGACCGTCGAAGAAAACCGGCGTGGTGTCGCCCTTAGGAATGACGATGTTGTGCGCTTGCAGGACCACCGCCTTCTTGCTCAAATCATGACGAGCAAGGAACTGAAGCGTAGCCTTGAACATCTGATAGCTGCTGTAACCAGGGGACAATGGTTGCGCACCAGTCGTTTGGTTCGGCTGCAGCAGGAGAGCTACCAGAGCCGCCCATTCGAAGTTGCCAAAACCGCCCTTTCGGACCTGGCTTCCAAAGCCTCGCTGCTTCAGCCAGATGCGACCGAGAACACAAGCATCCTTGAAAGCATCGGCTTTGGTGGCGGTCGCGTAGAGAAGTTTGAGGTACGCAGTGACGTTCGCGTCTGACTGGACCGTGCTGTTGTAGAACGGTGTTGGCGGCAGCGTCTTATCAGTCTCCTCGTCCTCGCTTTTCGGCCTCACCGCATTCGAATTCGGTAGCAGCTTGTTCTGCGCGAACACATTTTCAGGCAAGGCAGGAATTATGTTGATGATCGCCTTCGAGCTTGTGAAGTCATCTGCGTCGCCCTTTCCACTCGGCCGCACCACGATGATGGGCTGGAGGTGGTTGCCGTGCCTGCTCTCAAACGACAGCTCGAACTTGTGCTTCTTCGCTCCCTTGATGCCGGCAGCGAGGCAAGCCAGGTAGTACGCGCGCTTGTAGAAGTATCGGTGATTGAGATAGTCCTTGTCCTGGAACAGCGACTTCGGCATGGTGACTACGAGGTCAATCGCAATGCCGTCGTCTGACTTGGTCGCCGTCTTGAGGGGGTAGCTGCCGGTTGCGTTGATGCTTGACGGTCGCTCGAACGAGAGCTTGTACTTTGCGTCTTTCGGTGGACGAGGGCTAGGGAATGGAATGGCGATGCCGGCGGATTTGAGGGCTTTCTCAGCGTCCGAGATCTAGAAATGTTAGCAAAGCACAGGGAGGACGAGGTGGTGACGTACTGACAGAGCATCTCGATTCGGTATCGACTCGATGATGTCCTTTAACGTACGCATAGCATTCTCAGCCGGTGCCTCCTTCTTTCCGTACTTCGGCTTGACCTGCTCCAGAAGCTCGTCGACCTGCAGCTTGAACATGTTCGACTTGAACGACTCGGACGTGTAGATGCCATCCTGGAGTGTCGCCGCTGGTCTCTTCGATGTTTTCTGTGCGGGAGCGGGTGCAGCTGGGGCGGTCTTCTTGTTCTTCTGCGCAACGCTTTCTTCTAAATCTTCATCATCACTCTCCTCCTCGCTGGCTGGTGCTCCCATCGAAGCATCGCTGTCTTCAGCCTCTTCGACATCTGATGCAGTGCCTTCAACCTCGTCAAAACCAGCAAAGCTGCCCTCGCTCTCGTCGTCGGACTGCTCGAGCTTTCTGCGTTTCGAAGCGGGCGGCGCCATTGTTGTGTTCGTGCGGTGCTGCGGAGTTGTGTTGCGGAAATCTGCGCCCGACTTTTAGAAAAGTTACTGCGGGTCCGGACTTACTTCGGCCGATTGAGGTGACTTCCTTATCGATAAGCCCCGGATTTGGCACCACTGGTGACGTTCGCAGCTCATGCACCCCTCATTGTCAAGCTCGTGATTGCATATAAGACGCCGTAGTTTATGTCGTTCCTATTCCTGTCCCTCCTGCTCTGTATATTTGTGTAGCATCTGCATGCAGTCAACATCTTGTATCCTGCCCATCCTGCATAGCCTCAAGCTGTCTCCCCTCGCTCTCCTCCGCCGACCGCTTGTCTCCCGTTCAGCTCCAAAACCACACCTCCTTCGCTCCCTCACCATGGCCTGGCGCTCGTCTGGTTCGACTAATGCCTCCCTAATCGCCAACCTCGAAACAAACGGCCTCATCGAAACTCCCCGGGTCAAAGCTGCCATGCTGCAGGTACTCCCCACGACGCGCCTCCGTGTCCATCCCCTCTCCTGCTACCCTAACACTCCCAGATCGACCGCGCACACTACGCCCCGCGCAATCCCTACGACGACCGCCCGCAGCCCATAGGCTACAGCGCCACAATCTCCGCCCCGCACATGCACGCCAACGCCTGCGAGTCCCTGCTCGAGCGCCTGCCGCCGGGCGCCGCTGTCCTCGATATCGGGTGTGGCTCGGGCTATCTGACGGCGGTGCTGGCGACGCTGGTCGGTCCAAGCGGGTCTGTCATCGGCATCGATCATATACAGCCGCTGGTTGATATGGCGCGCGCCAATATGGCGAAGTCGGAAGACGGCCGTAGGATGCTGGACGAGGGGCAGGTGAAGTTTGTCACGGGCGATGGGCGTAAAGGCTGGCCAGAGGGCGCTCCGTATGATGCGATTCATGTCGGGGCTGCGGCGGCCGAGCATCACCAGGAGCTGACACAGCAGCTGAAGGCGCCGGGGCGTTTATTCGTGCCTGTGGCGGACGGCGGGCGGCAGCACATCTGGGTTGTTGATAAGAAGGAGGATGGCACCGTGGAGCAGAAGAGGTTGTATGGCGTGCAGTACGTTCCGCTGACTGATGCGCCGGAGTCGAATGAGGGAGGGTAGAGGAATGCTGGAAGTCGAGATGCTTTCAACAGCACATATCATTAACGAACTCAATGCTAATCCCTAACAACAAAGCCTCGAATCGCTCTGGCAGCATGACCAATGTCAGACATCGTTTTAAATGAAAAGGCTGGGTATTGAGCTAGAATATGCGCCGCTATACTATGCTGTGCTATACCAATACGGAGACATGTCAATAGAATGAAATCTTCCCAATCGTGAAGGCGTGACCATCAACATAACGCAGAACTCGCTCAACGCAGTACCAAAACGCAAGATCAACCTGAGAATGCAAAGCGGTTGAGGTTGAACAAGGGCTTGCGGGGCGAGCAGACGTCGTCACCGTCGCTTTCATGTATAATAAGATCTTCGCTGCCTTTCAAAGACGAGCGCCGTCTTTTCGCAGGTGTAAATGGTGGCGATGACGCGGGTACTACTATCTCAGAATCGAGAGCAGCCCATGCCGAGTCTTCGAGGTCAGGCTGGTCGACAGGGGGCGGTGTGCCGGGCACGACACAGTCGACTTCGGCATTTCGTGTGCTTGTAGAGAACTCCAGCGGCAGAGTTGGACGCGTGTGTGTCTTTCGCCTGACCGACCTACTTGCCGCTGTGCTTGTGAAACTCGACTCAGGGCCCTTGTAGGTGAACTTGGCCCGGAGCTCCTGCGAGATCGTGGCGCTGGAGATGCTCTCCGGTTCTGGAGTCCCAAACGACGACGCGGGAGTGAGAATTCCGGAATCTTGCGACTCAGTTGCTGACGTTCTGGTGGTGGCAGTTGACTGCGTGTCGCTCTGTGTGTCGCCGAAAATTCTCAGCTTCTTCTTCGCCTGGGAGGCAGATTCTTCTAGGTCCGCCGCTTCAGCCATAGCCTCGCCAAGGGAGTCGTCAGAGTACAGTTCAAATCCACCCTCCGTCCTGCGTCTCCCCTTCTTAGTTGGGCGAATCGAGGGGCTTGGCTCAGGCATGGTCGAGGCAAAGAACTGACTCCGAACAACACCCTCTCCGCTGGCCGAAGGAGTGCCCGGCAACGAGTCAGAACACAAGCGTTGCCTTTTAGATGGTGGCGCAGATCGCCTGCGTCCTGTAGGGTCCGAGGTGATGCGTCTCGCAGGCTGGGGAGCGGTGCTGGGAAGGGACAATCGTGAAGACTGCGATCGAGGTACTGGCACTGCGACCCAGCCGGTATTGTTTCTTTGCTGTTCCATCAGGACTTGCTGACTCGGCGATGGCGTGAAGATATTCGGATCGAGCTCGGCCAATGGCGTGCGCTTCGCCTTGAAAAAAGAGTCGATCGACTTGGTGCCCTTCAGATCTGGAGTCTGTATGTTTGTCGACGTCCTTCGGGATGCTCCAAACACCTTGCTCCGGGGAGTCGACTTCGCCGCAACAGCCATAGGTAGCTTGGTACGCGGATACAAGTCGCCCCTTGCTACACCAGCTGCAAGGTGCGCCAATACCTCTTCGCCTAAGTATGGCATATCGGCAACATCAACACCATCGACGAGAGGTGTCAAGTTAACGAGGCGGTTCTCGACCGGACAGAACACCCACTGGTACAGGAATGTCTTCTCAGCCTGATCAAAGTCCGCCATGAACCCGGCGGGTACCTTCAGCTTGCCATCAAACTGCGCAGCCTTGACCAGCCGTTCCACAGTCTTGTGTTTTCGAAGCATGCGATAAGCCGTCTTCAAGCCTAGGCCTCCAATGCCAGGCAGGTAGTCGCACCCGCTGAGAATCGCCATCCGCCTGAAGTCTGCATCCGACCAGCCCACCAAGCTAATCTCCCTGCAAGCTGTGAAGTGATTGCGGTTGATCTCGACGCAATCTCCGTACTTGTCCAGCTTGGTTATCAGACATTTCGCGCCGAACACCAAGAGATCTGAGTCTTCGGACAAAATCCCATCTACAATACCCTTGCGCTCCAGGTAGACCATCTGCGAGTCTGCCTCGTAGGGCGCGACGATGTACTGAACATTGATGGCCTTCAGCTCTTCGATGAACGCCCGGGCCATCTCCGGTGTGACGTCAACAGCCTTCTGCAACTCGAGCTGCGCTTGTGATGTCTTGCCAACCTTGAGTAGCTCTAGTCCAAGACGCTTGCCCTCCTTTCTCCTCTCTCGTCTGTCTTTTTCGGTTCCGGCTTTGCTGGGCAAGTTGTCTCCGTCGAAAACGAGGTACGGTGTAACGCCAAAGTGTATCAGCATACGGACCCGGTGCATGCAAAAGTCTATGTGCCTGGCCGGGTAAGCTGATGGTCGCATTGGAGAGCTGCGCAACATACTTGGTAGTCGGCTTATCCAGGGCCAGATCAATGGCACACGCAGCCGTTCCCCGATGCAGCCAGCCATAGGCGTCTACGCCAATGGTCTGGCCCGCGAACTTCTTGAGGTTGCATGGCTTGTGGATGGACTTGAGCAATGGCAGGAGTCCTGCTGATGTCAGCTCGTGCTTGTACATGCCCGATTGCGTACATACCAGAGATACCCATCTTTGCTGATTTGCCCCTCACGCGTCAAGCCTAACAAGGGCTTTGACTTTTCTGCTATCACAGCATGGGCAGCTCGGGTTCTTCTGTGACGTCTGAAGAGGGCCCTGGTTAGTAAGAGATCGACCTAAGTGAGGGCAGCCTTGCGGCCTGTGACAAGCAGATGTTCTCGAGGTGTGGAGCACTTGTCGCGTCGTAAAAGGGATCCACATACGCGCCTGCACTAGCGAGATCATAGTTAGCGCCCGTCCAGTAGCGCCTTCCTAGACCCTGTCGTCGACGATTTTCGAAAAAGTTCAGGCCGAGCAGACGACAACATAACAAGAAAACCGGTCATCATGGTCAGCGATAGGTTCAGCAAAGTACAGAAGCAGATTGCCAAGAAGAAGGGCAAAAACCCAAACTTGCACGAGGGCAGCCGGGACACAAAACGCATGCAGCGTGCACATGCTCGCGACGACAAGCTCAATCGTCTGACGAAGTTGAGAGAAAAAGAGAACAGACACTACTGTATGTGCGAGCAGAAGATTTGTTTTCCCTTCTGACATCGGTTTGCAGTGAACAGAGTAAAGGCTTTCCAATCATACACAGCGGAGCACACCGCGCCCCTCAGCGTCAAGGAACTCCAGGCCGTGATCGAGGACTACGTGGGCCGTGATGATGAGGAGCTTGCCAAATTGAAAGCAGAGCGCCGTACAGGAAGACCGCCAAACACCCGCCAAACCCTTTTGGAGCAAGCCAGGGCAACCGAACAGGACGAGTACGCCGCTGGATTCTGGGTGCCGGACCTTGAGGATGAGGACGTTCTGAAAAGGTTAAAGCAGTGGGATGGTAAATGGGCCAGTCTTGCGACGCTGAAATTCGCAAGGATCTCCACGGAAGGCCACAAGAAGGTGTCGAGTTTCCCACCAAAAGGCATGTCGTGAGCGTTCAGCAACCTGCACTTCTGTCGTACAGTGCGACAGGATTCGGCTGCAGTAGCCAGCGGCTGCGTACAAGACCCGACCTCCTACTGGCTATTCGTGTCGGAACTACACCTGCTCAAGAGAATGACGTCACAGCCTGCTCCAACCCAGAGCATCTACAGAGTGTCACCTCAATTCCAGATACGTGACACGGTCTACTCAGAGTCGAAGTACGTACATGCAGTTCGCGGTCATACTTTTGGTGTGTCAGGCTGGAAGAGCAGAGGGACGTTGGTCGGTTGCTGGGGATTTGCTTTAAGAAACCACAGACAACGCAATTCTGAAAATCATATCGCTGAGTGCTCGAACGTCAGCTTACCAGTCACTGGAATCAATCACGGGCAGTGTCATGCTCCACCATCTACTCTCTTTGCATTTTGCAGGTGCTAATAAACACCAATGGAATATATGCCATTACTCAACGATTCCATGTGAAGGTCACACTGCATCCCATGGGTTACGCCGTCGCAGATCATGTACAGCATCAAGTGGAGAGACCGCATGCAGAACGCACCACTGACCAATAGCGAGCTGCCGATCGCCCGACATGCAGCAACAGCGCATTGGGAGCTGAACTTGCGTTGATCAGAGCACTAGCGAATGCCAAAAGAAGCAGCTTCGTGGCTCTTGGTGCATAGTAAGTGCAGTTCGGGTTGGCCTTTAACTACGGCGGTCCCGAGCTATGAGTGCCCAAGACATAAGCTCTCCCTTCTCGCTCCCAACCGCAACTAAGAAGAAACAATGGGGTTGACGCAGAAACTCACCAAACCGTTCATCGACCTGTCTGTCATGACATGGGACTTTGGCATCTTCCTGGCTAATCTCATCCTTCCAGCCCATCCGCCCAACGGCGTCATTGCTGCAGGTATACCCGGTCACGCAGGGTCATGGCCGGAATATACAGCACCACGCGAGGGTGACTCTCGATCCGCGTGCCCCATGCTCAACGCAATGTACTTCTAGCATATCTTGGAGGCGGCTGAAAGCTGACCAATCCCAGGGCCAACCATGGCATTCTCCCCCACGACGGCAAGAACATCACCTTCCGCGACCTGAACACCACTGTACGACAGACCTTCAACTTTGCGCCATCGTTCTGCTTCTTCGTGCCCAAGTTCTCTGCTGATTTCCTCGGCCGCTCGTACTGGACCGGCAAGTTCGATCTCGAAGAGCTGAGCAAACACAACGCTATTGAGCACGACGCGAGTCTCACAAGAAGAGACGCAGCGCAAGTGCCTGATCAGGGGAAGCCGGATCTACCGCTTGTCGAGGAATTACTGGCTGTTGCAACCGGGAAGGGGGAGAAGGGGGAGCCAATCCTGACGAAAGACGACCTGAGCAAGCAGTTGGCGAAGAGAAGGAGCGAGGCGAGGGCAGAGAATCCAAACTACTCGGAAAGTCGCTTCCACAACATGTTTGGGAGCGCGAAGTAAGTTTGCTGTGAGTGGTTGGGCTCGATGCTAACACGGATGGCAGTTCTTCGACGATGCTCACCATCTTTGGTGGCCGTGTGGATGATCTCAGACCTATGCTGGTGGAGGAGCGATTCTCGGAGAATTGGGAACCGCGGATTCGCTCGCGATATGGCCTCACAATGGCGGCATTCAATGGGACGGTATTGCCGGTTGAGCGAGGAGTCAAGCAGAAGCTGAAGGAGCTGTAGGCAGGATCTCCAACTTGTTTGGAATGCCACGGGCAGGCGTGTCAGCCCCCTATATTCACTCCAGTACTACGATAGAGACGAGAAGTAGTCTTTTGCTTAGTACGTCAGGGGTCTGGATAGACGATGAAGGAGAATTGCAGAGATTGCTGCTGTTGCTTGTTAAAGTCTTACCAAGCCTGTCAGAAATGGTCTATTGTGAACCGTGAACTATCTTCAAGGATTTTGATTAGTTATGGTCGTGGCAAGGAGGTGGCTATTCATCGAGCGCACAGACTGACGGCCACATCGTCATGGCGTCGTTCCTCTCAGTCCATCTCTTCCACCCCCCCTTCGATCAATCCTCACCTCAGTGTCAACAGTTTCCCTTTCTTTAGTAGCCTCCCAACGACGAATTACACTCCCGTCAACGGATCAGTCATGTCGCGTGTCCGAAATCGGAATCCCCGCGGAATGGCGAGCAGCTTCGCGGACGGCTACTGAAGGCGAACTCGGAATAGAAGCCGACGCGGCATGCAGCACTCATACTTCAATGCAGTACTTCAATGCAGCTCATCTCCAAGAATTGAACGTCTTGCAACAGCCCAGCTGCCTAATAGGTCAGACGACAGTTTTCCCGGATACCTTATCCACCAGAGGTACATTCAAGAAACATCAGCAGCAGCTTAAGTACCCCGCGAGGCAACCCCACCATCACCCTCAACCCCAACTATCACCCCGAGCGACGATCCACCACACACAATGGCTCCAAATGTCCCTGCTTCCGGCATCTGGGTCCCCGCCGTGACCTTCTTCGACCCCGAAACCGGCCGCATCGACCTGGCCGCGCAGAAGAAGTACTTCACGTACCTGAAATCCACAGGGCTGGCCGGCCTCGTCGTGCTCGGCTCCAACGCCGAAGCCCTGCTGCTCACCCGCGACGAACGCATCGCGCTGACCGTTGCCGCCCGCCAGGCCGTCGGCCCAGACTTCCCGCTCATGGTCGGCGTGTCGGGCTTCTCCGTGATCCAGGTGCAGGAGTACATCGACGACGCCAAAAAGGCAGGTGCAGACTACGGGCTCCTGCTGCCGTCGGCCTACTACGCGGGCGCGACGACCAAGGACGTCGTCTACGGCTTCTACGACGAGGTGGCCAAGACTTCGCCGCTGCCGCTGGTCATCTACAACTTCCCTGGTGTCGCGAACGGCGTCGATCTCGACAGCATCACAATTGCCGCCCTGGCGAAGGCACACCCGGGCCGCATCGTCGGCGTGAAGCTGACCTGCGGCAGCGTGGCGAAGATTACGCGGCTGTCGGCAGAGCTGCCTGCAGACACCTTCGCGACGTTTGCAGGGCAGGCGGATTTCCTGGTCGGCGGGCTGGCGAGCGGGGCCTCGGGCTGCATTACGGGGTTCGGCAACGTGTTCCCCAAGACGGTGGTGCGCATCTATGATCTGTACCGCGCGGGCGATTACAAGGAGGCGCTGGCGCTGCACCGGCGGGCGGCGCTGGCGGAGAGCCCGGCGAAGGCGGGGATTGCGAGTGTGAAGTATGCGGTGAGTCAGTACAGTGCGGTGGCGGCGGGGATTGAGAGTCCGGAGGCGAAGTTGGCGCCGCGGAAACCATATGTGCCTGTCGCGGAACCGGTGAAGGCGGCGATTAAGGCTGCAATGGAGGAGGTGGCGGGGCTGGAGAAGGGGTTTTGATTAGCAACCGGTGAAAGACGTCTCTGGTGCGATATACATCATAGAACGAGCGATTGTAGAATTAAATAAGAGCGCGTCTACATATCTCGTTTAGATCTTCGTACTCTCGAATCTAGGCAGGCTGGAATACTCTCCTGGCAATTTCCCCTGTCTTCACCAGACATCTTCACATCTACGGCACAGCGACCCGGACGGGATCCTGATCGAAAGAGAACAAAGACATGAATTGTTTCTTCTGCCTTTCATGCTCTTTTGCTGCAATGTTCGTGCTTGGGTGCTGTGAGACTATGGATGCAGGTGGCGGGCCTGGTTGGCTCTAGAATCTGATGTACATCTGTACACAAAGATTGTGCAAGTGCGGTCGTGGTGATGAGCGAGCCTGCTATGCCTGTCTTCGACTCGTACTTTGGTATCTAATGCTCTTCCAAACCCATTCTTCTCAACACAGCCAGCTACACACTTTTAGCTAGACAAGAAGCCGCTCGACAGAACCTCACAGGCGCGGTAGACCGTATAACAAAGCCTAAGGCAGCGAGTCGCCCAGATAATCTACCGGAAACTCCAGTTGAACATTGTCTCCAATGAGCTGGAAATAGTTGTCAGGCCGAGACTCGACAACACATGAAGGACGGTATGCTGAGAGCACAGACGAAGGGTTTGCGCGCGGATTGCGTTGATGTATGACAGTTTCTTGCAAATACGCCATGTTTATGTGGATTCTAGAGGTGTGATGCGCAGTTGTGAGACGTAGAAGATCGAACTCGATGCAGCCGTCCGTATGAGAATCCGAAACCACAATCTGGCGCAGAGAAAATCCTGTCGCTTTACGAGGTCTGCTGTGCGAGGTCTTCGTTTCGCAAGACCGCAAGCGCCATCTCATCCTGCGAAAGATCGACTTCAATCCGAGCGTCTCGCAATAGCTCCCATGATGAATGAGGGTGTGTCTGTGCTGCTGTTCCCACACACACCATACAGTAGTCAAAGTCCGGGCATTCTTTGCAATGAAACATATGGACGTTTCTGATGGTAGTGATTTTCTGAAATAAACCTTAGCAAGTGGAGATCGGTCGTCTGCCTATCACTTACAGGGGAAGGTTGGCAGCCATCGCAGATCCGCGTATTGACCTTTCCACTCCGGCCAATCCTAAACTGGTTGTGCGTTGGGGGTCTCGAATCTTGATGAATAGCCGGATGTAAAGGACTGTTGGTCCTCGAAACGAGATTCCAGTTCCTGTGCCATGCTGCAATGTCAAACAGTGACCAGTTCCACGGAGGCTGTTTGGTGCTTATCGACGTCGGTTGGAGTCCTGCTTCGAGTAGGAGATCAATGGCTTCGGTCGTGTTTGCTTGACATGCTAGGTGTAGCGGCGTCCAGCCACGGGTGTCTAACGTCCATAGTGGAAGGAGCAACCGCAGACCGTCAGCTTTCGAAGCCATTGCCGCATAGTGCACCGCAGACCACCCTTTCCTGTCTTTTGTGTTGCACTGGAATCCCAGACCTAGCAGATACTGAATACTTTCAGTATTCCCAGTGTAGGCAGCCATGTGAAGGGCAGTCCGTCCGTCGTCATCTACCGCGTCGATGCCGTACCCCAGGTCTTCAAACACGAAGCGCAAGCCTGATACACCCAGTCTAGCGGCCATTCTCATATTAATACCATCGATCATGCCGATGTTCGGGTCTGCTCCCGCGTCGATCAATATCTGCACCATCTCGAGTTGTCCCGTTCTTTGGGCGACTTGGAGCGATCCATCATTGCAGTCTGCCCCAGATTCAATCAAGAGCTCCAGCAATGCCTTGCTTCTCTTGGACACAGCGAAATTCAGAGGTGTCATGTTATATACTCTTGCTGATGGATTTGCTCCAGCCATGAGCAGGCGTTTAACGAGAGCCGTACTAACAGGTTCTCGTTCCACGGCTGCAATCAAAGCTGACCTATGGATGCCTCCATAGATAGTCAGGTCAGCTCCGGAAGATAGGAAACAATCAACCAGTTCAACTTGCCCACTCCAGGAGGCTAAGTGTATCACGCAGCCATAATGTCCAATTCTGAGGTCAACATCTGCGCCTGCGTTCAGTAAGTGCTTCACAGCTTCCACCTCCCCACTGAGCGTGGCTACCGCCAGAGCACTCTCAAACAAACCACAGCTTCCATTAACTTGGGCTCCTGCATTGAGCGCATCATCAATGAGCTTTATACTGCCAATCCCGGCAGAGAGATACAAACAGGCATTCAACCTGCTTTGCAAGCTATCAGGGTCCGTGACCAGTTGCTTAAATAGAACAGATCTTGGGGGCAAGTTAATGATATTTGACCATCGGAGAAAGCGCGATGAGTGTCCAAGTAGCAGAGTCCGTGCCTGCTGTAACAGAGTCGGGTGATCGCCGGCACGACGAAAGTGATCAGGCCAAAATAAGGTCGCATACACAAAGAGCGAGTCAGATTGGTGTCGACTACGAGCCTGATCCTCGTTCTCGTAGTTGTGGTCGTTGAGATAGACGAGACAGATAGTACACATCTGCAGATTGACCAGGCTGGGAGTCATGGGCAGTGTTTCGAAGTCCCCACTACCAATCCTACCAGAGACAAGGTAATCTTTCACGGATGCGTGCGAAAGCTTCACCACGTGACGTCCATCTTCCTGGGAACGTTTGATCAGGCTACCGCAAATACCAAAAATTTCGTTGGCGTCTTGGTATTCCAGCATGGGGTTGTACTTGAGTGTTTCTAGATCTACCGCAAGAGTTGCAGCCAATTCGGGAAGAGTTGGAGGGCGTCGCGCAAAGCATAGCCAAACAAGTATTCGTAGCGCATCCGGTCGAACTTCCGAGTCGATACTAGCCAGGATCCGTGCGTAAGTGTCGTCAAGTGTTGAAGGGAGCTTTGGTATGGTCTGACGCAATGCGTGTATGTTCTTACATTTCTGCAATGCATCGAGGTGGAGTTTGGCAAGGCGGAACATGTCCCCAGCCTTTCTCACAACCACCTTGGCTATCCCCTTTTGGACATTGATGGGCCATTTGCTCCACGCCCTCCCATCTTGCATTCGCTGTCTGGTGTACTTTCGAATATCTCGAATGTGCATTTTCCCCTCAAGACTGACTTGGCAGAAGCCCTGGAAAGAGTTCTCGAATTCTTCTTCGCTACGACTCGTCGCCATGAGGTGAAGGGAAGGAATCGCCCAAAGTTCAAGTTGCCGCAGAATCCCCAGTATTTCTGTTCTATTCTCGGACTCATCAACAGCGTCAACGATTAAGTAGACATCTTTAGATGCGTTCAAGACCGCGTGAAGCACTTCCAGGAGCCTCTTTTCGCTAGGCCCTCGGACCCCTCCAGAACTTTCGGTGTACAACGTCTGCACTGCGTTGGGTACCACCTCATTCTGAGCGATAGTCTGAGAGAGAATCGATCGGAGGAAGCTGTCTGCAGTGCCCTTTGCGCGAGAACCGAATTCAAAGAAATAGTAGGCCAGCGTTCGGGTTCGATCCTGCTGGCAATGTGCTGTCAAAGTTTCCACCACTGATGAAGCGAATACCGTCTTCCCGCATCCCGGAATTCCGTGCAGCCAAATGTTTGAGTGCGGATTGTTTCTCCATGCAGTGATCGACGGGCTCTCCAGCAGCCAGGTGAACGTATCCGCGGTTCGAGTCTTCTGGGCGTCATTACACGTGGACGAAAACGGTGCGGGATCCAGCCAGTTGATGATTTGGCGTCGTTGGTTTTCTAAGGAGTGAGCATCTCCTCAGTAGCTATCAGCAGATGGAAGTCATACCGCGTTCTTTTTCTGCGAACGAAGACCGGAAGGCCTCGTCTTCCCTATGCGTATGCAAGTGCAGTGATCTTGGCAGGTGTCAATAACGAGAGCGTTACAAGATAGTAGGTGTGTGCGAACGTTTGGTCGGTCTGCATGGAGAGCTGCAGGTCTTGCTTCAAGCGGGTCAGCTTGTCTAGCCGACGGGCAAGCGCCTTCTCTTTCAGTAACCATGGAAGCGACAGGCCAGGCAACTTGGAATCCTCGACCTTTTTCAGCTCAGCCTCGAGATCCTTGATTTCGTCTTCGCAGTCCTTGATGACCTTGGCCAAGCTTGACTTCGAACATACTTGCGCGTAGCCTGTGTCGGTAGCGGTAAGTTGTGTAATTACAGTCAAAACGTGACGAAGGCCATCCAGCTCCTTGACAATCTGATTCAGCTCTTCTCGTGCCCCCAGACTGCCATATAATCGAAGACAGATGTTGCTGACATTGCCAACGAGCGTGATGACAGCAATGGCGCTTGCAGCGACTTCCATTATAAAACGTTAGAACAAAGTATCAGGCTGGTGCTTGCAAGCCTGCGTCATCGATACGGTGCTGTAGCTTTATATTGTGCAACGCCATAGCTGCTTACACGCATTGCCAGAGCTGCGCATTGCCAGAGCTGCGCCTTGCACAACCATGGCGAGGCTTGCAGATACGATCAACCAATCACCGCCGAGATCCAATGCCCGCCGGCTGAACCAAAAAGGATACGATACATCAACTATCTTACAAGACCTTCCTTCCACACGTGTTCAACACTTCATTTTGATGCCCCTCCTCTTCTCCGCCTCGCGCCACTCAAACATAAACTGCACGCCCGTGAACAGCGCAACGCACGCCGTGGCCAAGAACGCCCACCCGGACCACGACGACGTAATGCCCTTAATCAGGCCATCCAGCCCGTCCAACCCCAGTGCAAATCCCACCAAGTTCGCCACCATGAGCATGAGGACCTCGCCCACTGCGCCGACACCGCACAACATACGGTATAGGTCCGGATTATTCTTGTACTTGCGCGCTGGAAACAGGTAGCCAGCGATGATCTCGGGCAGCACGAAGAGCGTGACCAGCCAGCCCCACATCAGCAGCCGCAGCTGGATGTCGTGCCAGATAGCGATGAATGAGAAGACGGCGAGGTAATTGGCGATGCCCCTGACCTTGCCCCAGACGCCCGGTATCGCACTGCCACCAAGCGGAATGTAGAGGTAGCGCAGACTCCACTTGTTGAAGGAGCGGTGCCAGCCGCGCCAAAACTGCATCACCGAGTAGTTGTCGCTCATGCAGCGCACCATGTTCTCGGGCGGGTCGACGCCGTCCAGCAGCGCCCAGAGGCGGAAGAAGCGCCATGGAATTAGCAGCTTGAGCCAGATGTGCTTGAGGTTGAAGAAGCCGAGCATGCTGAGCTGCGCAGGGGTGTAGTTTGTCCAGTCTGGTTTGGCGTGGAAGATGGCTACCATGTACATGTAGTGGATGATAACCTCCATTGTGAGCAGCACGACGATAAAGCGGATGGCGTACATGGTGGTGCGCTTCGACGTGATGCTGTGTGGCCTGTAGCGTGCTTGCGAGATGTAGTCGTTGAAGGTGAGGATCGGACCGGCAAGGTAGAGCGGGGAGTACATGGTGTATGCGAAGTAGTTTCGGAAGTTGAAGTCGTACGGCTTAGCAGGGATGGAGACACGGTCGCGTTCGGAGAGATTTGACGGGTCGAGTTGCTTCTTCTTGATGTTATTAGCTTGATCGAACACGGCCAGACTTCATACGCACCTCAAGAGGACTGCTGGAACGAGTGTTGAGACTCCAGTAGTAGTCGAGATTGAAGCTGATCAACCGAAGGACAGTGAAGTTGAAGAGGACGTCCCAGCGTGGGATTAGGCCGCCATAGCCGTCAAGCGTGTGGCCAAAGTTCTTTGCTGGTGTGCCCTTCTCAGAGATCGTCAATGGGACAAAGGAGCCTACAATGGCAGAGTAGTGATAACCGTGGAAGGTCTCGTTGGCGAACAACACAGCGAGATTGAAGATCCACGTTGCACCTGGCACATAAGCCCTGGGCAACTTGAAAGCAATCTGATAGTTCAGGTACAGGATCGCCAGAATCTTGAATATGGAAAAGCCATGGAGTGCAGCCAGAAAGACCACTGCGAAGCCCACGTCGAAAGAAACTCGCTGATTCATACGGGCATCTGCGGCAGCTGTAGGGGTCAGGCCCATGGTCAGGCCTCCAGCAGGCCGAACGTGTGTGTAAGTGTCGGCTCTCCAAAACGCATCGTAGGCTTTACGCAGAAGAGGGTGCAGTGTGACCACTATAAAAAGATAGGGCACATTCTGACGGAAGCCGGAGTACTGCGCGTCCGTGTTGTCCTACACTGTCAGTCGCTGCTGACACGTGACAGGAGCATACTCACGACTTTGCGGCCCGGTATCCAGCCATCAGTTAATAGATGGGAGAACTTTGAGTAGTTTGGATGTGTTTCTATGCTGCTGTCAGCAAGATAGGAGTGGTTTATGCCTCACTAACCTTGTGAACAATCAATTACAAGCTTGAACATGAAGAAGACACTAGCTGATATGGAGACATAGTAAAAGTAGAACTCGTTGGTCTTCCATCGTGCTGGCGGAGCATGGTCTGTCCCAGTCCTCTTGTCTTTGCCGTTTGGAGTGTTGGCAGGGTCCACGTTTGCCTCTTCGAGAGCCTCTCTAGGGGGTGCGGTGGCCGGAACAATGAAGCGTGTGTCCAAGGTGTCCAGCGAGTAGAGCTGGCGTAGATACGAAAGCGCCATGACCCGGTGCTATCTCTTCATGTCCTATATTCAATATATCCAGAGCACATGTGGGGAGGCGGTGGTGTTGATGTGCGGGGAGCGCGGGAATGAGCTCGAGGTGGAGCTGTTCGCGACTTCCTGTCGGTCGCGCCCGCGCAGCTTCCTCCACCCCAACACCAACCCCGTCATACCGCTTGTACCCGTGTCGCATACCTCCAATCACGCGTCAATCAATTTATTAACCTACAGCGCACTATTTGAGAAGCTCTAGAGCGTGGGGGCTGCCGGCGCAATGAACATTCCCAACTCGTCAACCGCGCCGACCGCGGGCGAGTACGCTGGAGGTAATTGCCGCCTTGTGAAGCTTCACGGTAGAGCCTGCTGACACAGCAATCATAGATGAGGTCTCTGCGATCGTCCTCGACCCTGGTTACTCGACTACACGCGCCGGTTTCGCGGGTGAAGACGTGCCCAAGAGCGTCTGCCCTTCGTTCTACGGACAGAGCGACAATGACTCGTACCTGTTCGGTGAGAACGCGATCCACTCGCCCGTCGGCAACCTCAACATCAAGAACTACTGGGGCGCAGACGGCATCGTGGAGGACTGGGACGCAGCCACAAAGCTATGGGAGTACTCGATCACAAGTCGTCTGACGGGCGCGAAGGCGGGCGACCCAACGAAGAACGGGCTCAACGACGCCCCGGAAAACGGCGAATCAATGGACGTTGAGATGGAAGGCGTGGAGAACAACGAGAAGCCCATGGAGGACAGCCCGCTGCTCATCACAGAACCAGGCTGGAACAGCGCCAAAGCGCGCGAAAAGTATATTGAGATCGCCATGGAGGACTGGGGCGTGCCGGCGTTCTTCCTGCAGAAGACGGGCGTGCTCGCCGCGTTCGCCTCGGGCAAGGCATCCGGCATCATCATCGACGTCGGTGCATCGCACACCAGCGTGACCCCCGTGCTCGACGGCATGGTGCTGCGCAAGGGCGTGCAAAAGTCGCCGCTCGCCGGCAACTTTGTCTCGGAGCAGATCCGCCACACGTTCAAGAACACGACGCCCGAAATCCCCCTCACACCGCACTACCTCGTCAAGTCCAAGACGCAGGTCGACGCCGGCGCGCCCGCAACCGCGACCTACAAAGACTTCCCCGTCCCACCCAGCGCCTCCTTCCGCCTCAACGAGGAAGAGCGCGTGCTCACCGAATTCAAAGAATCCGTCGTCGAAGTCTGGCCCGGCCCCGGCCGCTTCACAAACGGCACGAACGAGGAGCTCGCACGCAGCGCGCCGGGCCGCCCGTTCGAGATGCCCGACGGCTGGAACAATATCTTCGGCGCCGAGCGGTTCCGCGTCGCAGAGGGCCTGTTCGACGCGTCGGCCGCGCTCACGTCGGACGCGCACCCGCGGCCCAAGGACGAGTGGACGATCCCGCGCCTCGTGCAGGCCGCCGTGGCCCACGTCGATGCCGACCAGCGCCCGCTGCTGCTCGCCAACATCGTCGTCACGGGCGGCTCGTCGCTGCTGCACAAGTTCACCGACCGTCTGAATTTCGAAATCAACGCCGTGTACCCCTCGACGCGCAATAAGCTGATTGCACCCGGGTCGGTGGTAGAGAGGAAGTATGCGGCGTGGATTGGGGGCAGTATTTTGGCGAGCCTGGGGAGCTTTCATCAGCTGTGGATTAGTAAGAAGGAGTATGAGGAGCACGGCGCGGGGATTGTGGAGAAGCGGTGTAGGTAGGTTGGCAGGCAAAAGCAGGGGTTGTTGGATGGTACTGCAGTAGATGAGGTTTTAGGTCATTGATCATTGCCTACAGCGATGTACGGCTCATCTAAGATTGTTATGGATGCTCGGTCATCATGCAGCATCAAATAATTCAGTCATGTCATAACTAATCATATTACCGTCCGTATTGCCGTCTACCGGCGTGTACAGTTCATGTCTCGTGCTCATAACCCTCGTTCCTATGTGTCGAGGTCCATTGTCTCCGCCGTCGCCGTCACATCCTCGTCCTTGAGCTCCGACACGGTGACGTACTTGCTGATCTCCTCCTTTGTGATGATCTTCTCGTTGAGCACGGCGGTGGTGCCCTTGGCGAAGCGGTAGTTGCGCTGCTTGGGCTGCCTTGTGTTGGGGGTGATGTAATTGCGCATGAGCGTCGTCTTCTCGGCGGTGATGACAGCGACATCGACGTTGCTGCCCGAGCCCAGGTCGTTCCAGATACCGGCCTCGATGGCGTTGGCGCACAGCTTGACGGCGTCGTCGCGCGTCAGGTTCGGCTTCCACTGGGTCTCAAAGACGGACATGGCGGCCAGCGAGCCGGAGCCCATGGTGACGTAGGGCAGCTTGTCGGTCGAGCCGTGGGCGTGCACGGTGAAGAGGTGGGCGCCGGTGGGGTCGACGCCGGCAACGACCAGGTAGGCGCCGATGTGGCCCTGGTGCCGGAACAGGTGCTGCTTGAGCAGGGTCATGGCGGTGACGACGCGCGACTTGCGGCCGGTGCTGAGGGCGTGCAGCTCGAGGTTGGACGAGATGATGGCCGTGGTGAACTCGGTGTCAGCGGCTGTGCCGGCGCCGGCACACCAGATGTGCGGGGCGATGAAGTGCAGCTTCTCGCAGTTCTGGGGCAGTCAGCAGGGCTGGGGTGGGAGAGCTGTGGGCGGGCGGGCGTACCTTGTCAGCGACGATGGGCCCGCTGGTGGCGCGTGTGTCGGCGGCAATCACGACGCCGCCGTCGAACAGGGCGCCGACGATAGTGGTGCCGGTGCTGGTGGCGGTGGGCAGCGGCACGCCCTGGGCGTGGAGGGCGGCATTGCGGTTGTGGTTGGAGAAGTCGAAGCCGGGCATGGCGGCGGTGATGGAAGCTGTGAGGGGTGGTGGTAGGTGCTGTCAAGCTGGTGGTGCTATCAAAGCTGCTGGGTGAGGGATGGTGGTGGTGTTGGGTGCTACCAAGGCTGCTGATGCTGGTGGTGGGTGCTACTGAAGCTGCTGGTGCTGCTGGTCGGTGCTGCTGGTCGGTGCTTCTGAAGCTGCAGGTCGGCTGCTGAGAACGGCGCTGGAGAGAGCGTAGGCGGCGGTGATGCGGCGGCTGGTAGGACGGAGCTAAGCCGACCAACGCTAGTAGCTCAGCTATTTCTTAGCGAACCAACCTAATAATTCAAACTCTAAGCTAATTAATCTTTTGTTAATTGGTAAGGAATATAATAGCTTTTTTTCCACCTTATTCTAGGTAAATTCTTAAGACATTCTTAATAGATTAGAACCTTAAGAATATACCTTAAAGTAAGTTTAGAGTTAGACTTAGCTTAGAGTTAGAGTTAGAGGTAGCCTAAGGTTAGAGTCTTCTAGAATCTATTTGCTTTATTTTATTTAGAGATGTAGTACTTTAAGGCTTATTATACTAGGAACATATTAGTTTAAATTGCGAACTTAATTAATAGATAGTTAGTTAAACGTACTAATAGACACTAAGAGCAGAACGTAGATCTTCGAGTTCTACTATGTAGTGTTGGTCGGCCCAAGTGTACGCTCGGCGGTTGTGCGGTAGGCTGCTATAGCTGCGCGGCGCGGTCACGGTCCATGGCCCACAGCTCCACCGCTTGGCACGCCAGCTCTCCAGCGCGTCGCTTCCTGCCAGCACTCAGTGCGTGTAGCCCGAGCAGTCCCGTTTTGGTGCCTTTCATCGAGGCACGCAGGCCTTCGCCCTGGCTCCCCCGTCGAGATTTATCGTGCCCGGTGCTGCCACTCTCGCGCAGATCGAACGCGCGCGCGCCGAGGCCAAAGCGCGTGAAGAGCGAGAACTTGCTGAAAGACTGGCGCAGTCGCAGGGCTCCGACCGCAACTCCCCAACGCCCTCGCGCCTGACCCCGAACCGCCTGCTGCGTACGTCGCTGTCGACCGACTCGCCCGCCGCCCTGCGCCTGAGCGTCGACGGCCCGCGCCCCAGCCCGCAGCCGACGCCTTCACGCTCGCATTCCGCCAAGGCGTCGCCCGTGCTTGCGCGCACCAGCTCGCATGACCCGTCGCCCAGCCTGTTCCGCAGACAATCCGCGCGCCCCGATCCTCCGCGCAGCATGAGCGCCGCCGACAGCCAGAGCGGCCCGCCCGCGACCACCATGGGTCCGGACATGCCCACGCTGATCGCAGAGGAACTGACCTTTCGCGCCCTCAGCAAGGGCGCCGAGGGCCCCAAGAAGCTCAAGATCCTGCCCACCCCGTGGCCCACCGACAACGTACCGCCCGCATGCGTGACCCTCCTCTCCGTCGCCGCAAAGCCCGGCCTGCTCGCCGCCGCCGGCCCCGATGTCCTCGTCCTGGCCTCGACCGCCAACGTCAGGTCCGCATTCCAGGCCAAGGCCGACGAGTGGGACGTCATCTCTGACTTTACCCCGGACGCGACCATGCCCGTTCCCAAGCTGCGCCATGTGGCCTTCTCCGCCGACGGCGACTTCCTCGTCATATCGGCCGAGGACGGCGGTCTGGCTGTCTTCGACCCGACCCAGCTCCTGCAGCAGAACTTCAAGCCCGGCAACGAGATCGCCACCGACAAGCAGCCCGTCCGCGCCCTGCTGCCCAATCCCACCGCCGAGCTCGAGCACATCTTCGCTGCTGTCCTAGACAATGGCAAAGTCTGCCTGGTGGATCTCGTCAAGGGCGCCTTGCACACCATCCGGGAAGAGGGCGTTGTGTGTGCTTCCTGGAACCCAAAGGGCAAGGCGCTGGCAGTTGGTCTGAAGGACGGCACGGGAGTCTTGTACATGAATGACGGCACACAGAAGGGTGTCATTCCCCGTCCACCAGACGTCAATGGAGGATTCACATGTACGTCGACGTCAGCCTGTAGATGGCACAACTAACAACTGCAGGTTCCAGCATTGTCTGGCTCTCGAGAAACGAGTTCTTCATTACCCACTTCCCCAAGCAGACTGCCATTGACTTGGGAGAGCCTGAAGAGGGAAAATACCACTACGTCGAAAGCAACAAGGACTGGACCGAATTCTCCTTCCACGCGACCGCAGAAGAGCCTCTCCTCCCGGGGTGGGATGCGCCCGATCGAGCCTTTCCGCCTCGCCTTTCTGTGACACGCCTGCGCAACTGGGAGCCGGATCTCGATGACTTGCTCATCATCACCAACTCGCACACGGACACCATCATTACCGTGACGTCGGCGAGCGAGCCGCTGGCCAAGGACGAGGCGAAAAACACATACACTCTGACTGAGATGAACGAGGGACAAGGAGCTCAGGTCCCGCGCAGAGTCTTCGGCGAGGAGGGCGACAGTCTGTTGATTGGTGAAGCTACGGATCTGTCTGCCACTGAGAAGCTCGAGCGACCCATCTCTTACAATGAAGAGATTACCGTAGCGCCCCACCCTCTGCCTGCATACATGTTCCTCACGCATCAGGGTATCTTGTCCGCGTATTGGGTAGTTTGGAACCGTTCTATCGTGGAGGGAAAGCGCTACCCTGGTCTGGTTGGCCCGACCGCCTCCTCAACGGCAGGTACGCCCGCGCCTCAGAAGGCAACATCGAAGATCCCTACACCAGGGGGCTCGGCCAATTTGCCCGCCAAGGCCACCTTTGGTGCTCCCTCCACACCCGCTGGAAATAAGTTCGCTTCGCCATTTGCTTCCACAACACCTGCCACAACCTTTGGAAAGTCGGGCTTTGCATCCACAACCCCAGCTACAACTTTCGGGAAGCCAGCCTTTGGATCCACGACCCCGGCTACATCCCTTGGACAGCCAAACTTTGGGTCTGCTACTTCAACTTTCGGGCAACCATCACAGCCCGCGAGTTCGACGCCTTTTGGCGCTCCTGCTGCGATGGGGTCAAATCCATTCAGCAAGCCCGCTGCTCCAGTGTTTGGGCAGGCGTCAAAGCCTACTGACGGCCATGCTTCTGCACCTGCCTTTGGCACACCCTCGGCGCCTACCTTTGGCGCTGCTGGAGGAATGGGGAAAGCATCTCCGTGGGGCGCGCCGGCGCAAAACTCCTCGACGCAGCCCAATCCGTTCGCCTCTGGCGCGGGCTCCTCTGGATTTGCTAAGTTTGGGCAGGCAGCTTCTGGAACCGGCTCGGGTTTCTCGAGTTTCGGAGGTGCCAATGGAGGCTCGTCTGGGTTTGGAGGTCTAGGGCAGCAAAAGTCTGGATTTGCAGGTCTGGGGCAGCAGAAGTCTGCATTTGGCGGAGCGTCAAACACTGGCTCTACCCCAGGTATCAAAGCTGAGCCGAGCTTTGGATCCACCGTCACAGTGGACTCCAACAACGGATCCACGCTGCCTTCTTGGGGGAACACGCCCTCACAACAGCAGAGTTGGTCCTTCGGACAGAATACAACGAATTCCTCCTTCGCTTCCAACGGTAGCGCCGACGCACAACAGAAACGCGACGAGGCCACCCCCCAGCCAGCTTCAGGTCTCAATGGCCTTGCCGGTGGCTTCAAGCTCGGGACTTCTTTCACACCCGATGGGTCGGCTAAAGACGATGCTGCAAAGCCCGCTGCACCTGTCGGTGGCGGTTTCTTCGGAAGCGATTTCGCATCGATGGTTCCCAAGACCGGGCTGCAGGCCCCCAAGACACCAGGAGACAATGGATCAACGACGCCCCTCTCACCAGAGAAGAAGTCGTCGTTCTTCCCAAGCACTACACCGCAGGTACCGCCACCAGCAAAAAAGGTGGACGACGCACCGCTACCACCGGACTTCACCAAGACAGCGAAGAAATCCGAGCCTGTAGACGATGCTCCACTTCCGCCAGACTTTGTCACAGCAAAGCCGAAGTCCCAGCCTGTAGACGATCCTCTTCCACCCGATTTCCTTCCGAAGAAACCGACCAAGTCTGCAGACGACGATCTTCCCCCGCTTGCTGGCAGCCCTGGTGTCAAGGTCGAGGTTCCCAGCTCTTCGCCTGAAGCGACGCCTCTAGACGATGACGATGAAGAGTTCTCTGACGAGGAGGAAGAGGAGAACGAAGATGAAGCCTACGATGATGATGAAGAGGAAGAAGAGGAGGAGGAGGAAGAAGAGGAGGAAGAGGAGGAAGACCGCCCTCCGCCAACAACGCTTGGCAAGTACGTTCTACAGCCATCGGAAGCGCAGAGCAAACCAAAACAACTGTTCCCTCCTGCTCCGACACCTCCGGTCGCCAGGTCGGAGAGCACTCCACAGGTCCCTCTGTTCGGAGCCAAGCCTTCCACCGGGCAGGCTGCTCCCAGCTCGTTGTTCGGCGCTCGGCCAGCATCTCAGCCAACAAACCCGCAGCCGCTGTTCGGAAAACCGTCACAGAATGCACCATTCTCCCTTGGTCAGCAGGCCAAGCAGGCCCAGCCCAGCTTTGCACCCCCACGACCGCAGGCAGCTCTTCGCTCGCCAAGCCCCGTCCGGTCTTCATCATCATCTAGCCATCGACCGACGACACGCAGGGAGCCTTCTGCCCAAGGAAGCTCTCTGAGCGCATCCTTCCAGCAGTCGAAGCCATCGACACCGCACGTGTCCGACCTCGAAGACGACGAGGACGAGCGCATCCGTGCCCAGCTGGCACAGGCGATCGAGCCCAGCAACACACTTGATGACTTCGTTGCGCATCAGAAATATGCAGGCACTTCCGCAAAGACAGGCCACGCAGCGCAGATCGAAGCGATCTACAAGGACATCAACGGCATGGTGGACGCTCTTGGTTGGAACGCTCGGTCCATCAAGTCTTTCGCAGCATTCCACAAGCAACCTCAGCACAACCACAAGGTTGATCGACAGACGCTAGAAGACGCAGAAGCTGACGGCAAAGACGGCGAGTGGTTTGATGATTTCGCTCTTAGTGAGATCTCTGCTCTGAAAAATTTGGAGGATCAACTGTTCAAAGACCTCGCTGCCGGCCGCATACAAGATGTCCATGACAAGCTCTTGCAGCTTCGCCGCGTCTTCGTACAGAATGGCAAGCTCATGACTCGCATCAACGACATTCGCCGGCAGATCATCAACCGCAAGGACCCAGAGAGGGCAGAGTCAAGCCGAAAGGCCCCTCTACCTAAGGAGCTCGCCGAAACGCAGAAAGCCCTCCGCGCCGACTACGCCAAGCTCCTGGCCCTGCTCGCCCAAAATGAAGAAGCCGCCATTCTGCTCCGTTCCCGCTTAGCCTCACACAACGCGAGTGCCGGCAACACGAGCGCAGTGCCGAGCATGGACGCAGTGAAGAAAACCATCGTCAAGATGACCGCCCTCGCCGAGCGCAGGAACAACGACATCGCGCTCCTCGAGAGCCAGTTGCGCAAACTTGGCCTGCAGGATCCCAGCCGCCCCACATCCTCCTCGCACGCGAACGGCGCCACCACCCCCCGCCGCGCCCGCGGTACAGACCTGCGCAAGAGCATCGCCGACACGCCCTTCGTCACGCCGCCGACCCGCGGCAAGATGAGCCTCACCGACCTCAACCGCCGCGCCCTAACCCCCGAAGTGGCCGACATCACTCCCAGCAAGGGCTACGGGCTGTTCTACGACGCGCAGGAGAACGCCGCTGGCAACGACCTGGCCAGGCTGAGCGACATGGTAGACGACAGCATGCCCGAGCTGCGCCAGATGGCCAGGCGGAGGCGCACGGTTGCGAATGGGCTACGGAAGGCGCTGTTGGAGCGTGGCGTCAGGACTACCACAGTCGCCTGAGGTGTGAATTGGAGTTGGAATGCAGTGTCTGGATTGAATACTGTGGGTGGTTTGGGATTGGGATTGGCGTATAGTAGCACCTTGTACAGCACAGATTGAGATTGCTCTTGCATAGCAGAAAAGTAGTCTTCGAAATAATGGCATAGTAACAACGATATCGAGGTCCTGTATTGTCGTTGTGTTGCGTCTCAGATACACCGATGATGTCACTTGATTGTAGAATTTCCACCCGTCTTCTTCGCCTTGACAAACTCGAGAACCACTCTCATGTCCGAACATACTCAGACATACCCTCGAGAAGAGCCGGCGCCATCACTTACCAAACACCGCTGTAGTGCTTGCTAAGCTTTCCCGCCTGACTGATCCACCTCCCGTACCTACGCTAAGTCCGCCACTCCGCTGAGTAACATGTATCACAACACTACAATGGCACCAGGTGTGCAACAATTCGTGCCCGCTCAATTAGAAGCAGCCCCACACATGGCATGATCCTGCTGATAATGACAACATTCTCGTGTTGTAATTGCTGTCAGCATGCCATCTCTGCTTACCTCATCTTGAACGGGCACGAATTGTTGCACACCAGTGACGGCACACAGAGATATTCAAGGCTTCCCAAGCTTTGTCAAGATATTCCGAGCGTTTGGGGGGTTGCGAGCTGCAGCAAAGACCCAGCTCGGAACCCCCACTTTCCTACTTCGTATAGCTCGGGTGGCGACGGCTATGGGTGCGCAGGAGGGGAGAGGTACTTAGCTTGCGTGTTTTCCTGCGGTGTACAAATTACCTACGTTTCTTGCATGAGCTGCGTACTGCGTTTGTGAGCACCCGAGACCACACTCACCGCTGTCTATAACCTGTGACGTCCCGTGCTTGTACCCAACCGAACAACACCCCGCCATGGCCCACCCCGTCACCGAGATCGCATACCTGCCTATCAAGGATGGTGTTGATTTGAACGAGGGCGACAGCAAGCGCATCTGGGACGCTACGCTGCACACGATCTCGCAGCAGTCCGGATTCAAGAGCTTGCGCTGGGGCGTGCAGATCGAGCACCCGGGGGTCGCGCAGATGGCCATTGGTGCGTCCCCTCCCCCTCCCCCTCCCCACACCACCACGCCTGTGGAACTGGAAACCTGATCTGACGGCGCCAGAATGGGACTCCATCGACGCCCACCGCGCCTTCACGTCCGCCCCGTCCTACACCCCTTTCCTGGAGTCCTTGGACCCCCTCCTCAGCGCCCCGCCGCACATCTTCCACCTCTCCCTCCCCCCCTCCCCACACGCCGGCTCCTCGCCCTTCGACGCCCCGGTCACCGAGTGCGTGAGCCTGTACTTCGACCCCGCGACGCCCCCCAGCGCATATGACGCCTCCTTCGCGGCCTTTGTAGCCGAGGGCGCAAAGGTGACTGGCGTGGTGCCGACGGGGATGATCGGCGGGTGGGGCGTGGAGGCGCAGAAGGCGGACGATGAGGGCGAGGAGATGCGGTTCTTTGGCGTGTTTATCGGGTGGGAGAGTGTGCAGGCGCACATGGATTTCCGCGCGAGCAAGGAGTTTCCCGGCGTGGCTAAGTATTTGAGGGAGGGCGTGGGGAAGGCGAAGATGCATCATGTGGCGTTGAAGAGGTATGGGGCGTGAGGGGTGGAAGTATGGATACGATGAAGTACGAATACTACGAAGTACGAAAGTGCAAAAGTATGAATACTGCAAAGTTTGAATTCTACAAAGTTCAAGTTCTACAAGGTACTAATACTACAAAGTATGAATATTACAAAGCACGATCTCTAAAAGTACGAATTCTACAAAGTACTGCACTCAAGCACGTCCAACCAGCCGCTTGGCAAGAATGAAAAATAGCCTCATTGGGAGTCTTCCTTCTTAGACTGTATACGCTTAAGCGGAGTAATCAGTAGTTTCTCGACAGCTTATTGGCTACGTAGTGATGGTCTGGAACCTACAAAAGTGCGTAGTGGCTGATTAGACAGTTGGAATGCTACAAAATAGGTATAAATGCCGACTACTACAAAGTAGGTGTTCACACGAATCTTGGACTCGAAAAGAGTCATTGTCAAGATGCGCAAATGCCGCATACACGGTTCCTGTCGATCCCAGAGCGTACCAATACACACCGCTCCCAGGCACAATCTCGCGTGGAAATAACGCTCAAGCCGCTCGTGCAGTGGCGTGCGCGGACCGAAGTCCAGCGACAGGTGACAGACCGCTGTGCCGTTGTGGAAACGAGCGCAGGGATGCTACACACGCGAACCCAGCTCGAGGGTGGAGCTAGAAGCGTCGTCGACTCAGCGAGATGAGCAGGACTTGAGTGTCAAGCTGGATGCCTCGGTGTGGGAGTGCGCGGGCGCTGTCGGCGTCGAGAGGTGAGGTGCGAACGAGGTACAACACGAGGTCTGGATCAGCTGACGCCATCGCCGTTTCCCCGTATAGTAAGTACCTACCCCAATCGCGACGCCAGATGTCAATACAATACCAGGCGTGCGGCTCGCAGCTTCCCCGCGAACTTCTCGAGCAGCCTCGGCGCGGGGGATCCTTGCTCGACATCAATCAATCCCACCAACCGCGCCTGCGCGCCAATTGCAGTATTTCCACCGGCGCCGCCAGGCTGCTTTCTGCCAATTCGATACATGCACACGCCAGCGCCAGTATGCTTCCTAGTCCATCTCACCACGCCGCCTAGTCTATCTCGGATTATCACCACGCCCGTGCCCATGGCCAACCAGAAGCCGCCTCGGTCCGCAGCGGACGAATCTGGGGCCTTCCCATCGCCGAGGCTTCCGTAACGTGACGTACACATGGCCGCCCTGTGGTAATATCCTGCACACTCGCGCTGGCGTGCAGACCATCCAGCGCACGATGAGTGGAGCCCAGCCCGCCGCAGTGCTCCTGGCGAGCGGGCGAACCCACTGAATGGGCACGGGCTTACGAAAAGACGGTATACCTATGCGTGCTGGGGGTTGGGGTACCTTGCTCGTATGTAATCGTCACCGGGCCTGAGGTGTTTAAGAGCACGAGCCGCCGCGATGTGTGTGGTGTTGTGGAATCCGAAGTTCGTCTCGCCGTCATCGATATGTTGAAGCTGGTCACTGTGGCTGCCCTGCTGGGCGCGGCACTTGCGCAGAACTCGTCGTCTCTCCCGACTGTGGATTTGGGATATGAGATTTACCAGGCTGCAAGTTTCAATGTAGGTCTTGCTACGTGAGGATGTGAGATAAGATGCTGATGCAGACAGAATACTGGTAACTTTTATAACTTCTCGAATATCAGATATGCGGCGCCCCCAGTCGGCAATCTGAGATTCGCGCCACCAGAGGCGCCTGCGGAGAACAGGTCGGCAGTCAACACTGGTACCCTCAACAGGATCTGTCCTCAAGCTGGCCCGGCGTGGTCTGGCCAAGCTGCTCAGTTCTTGACTGCCCTCGCTCTGGGTGTGCCTTTCAACACCAGCACCAACTATGTGCCGCCTGGCGCAAACGCGAGCAGCCTCGTCCCAGCAGCGGACCCGCGCGAGAACGAAGATTGTCTGTTCTTGGACGTCTCAGTGCCCCAGGACGTTCTGGCCAAGGCAGGAAAGGGATACGGTGCTCCGGTGCTTGTTTGGATCTACGGCGGCGGCTACACGGGTATGCTCAGCTCTCGGTTCACGTAACTAGTACTAACGAGTACGCAGGTGGTAACAAGAACAACAACCCAGCCGGTCTCATTGCCGCTTCTGGTAACTCTACCAACGGCGATGTCATCTACGTTTCTCTGAACTACCGTCTTGGTGCATTCGGATGGCAAGCTGGGCCATCGTTCCAGGCCGAGGGTGGAACAGCCAATGTTGGCCTCTACGATCAGCGCTTCGCTCTTGAATGGGTCCAGAAGTACATCCACCTGTTTGGAGGCGACAAGAACCGCGTCACTGTCTTTGGCGAGTCTGCTGGTGGCGGCAGTATCATGCACCAGATCACCGCGTATGGGGGTCTCAAGGGCAAGGCTCCTTTCCAGCAGGCTATCCCACAGAGTCCTGGTTGGCAGCCAGTCCAGTCCAACGTTCAGCTGGAGGATACATACCGCAAGTTCCTGAACCTCACAAACGCCACATCGCTCGCTGAACTCCGCGCTCTACCTTACGAGGCCATCAGGCGTGCCAATGTTCAGCAGGTGGCGTACGATACCGCTTGGGGTCAATTCGCGTACGGACCCACGGTCGATGGCAACTTCGTTCCCCAGCAGCCCGGGCAGCTCCTTGCGCAGGGCCGATTCGATAAGGACGTCAAGATAATGGTTGGTCACAACGCGAACGAGGGACCTCTCTTCACAGCTCCCTCCATTCAGTCGGACGCTGCACTGCGCAAGCAGCTGAACACAGCGTATCCGCACATGCCGAACTCGTCCGTGGAGTACATTACCGACGTTCTCTACCCACCGGTCTTTGACGGCTCGCTCCCTTACACCACCCAGTACCAGCGTGCGACCCTGATCATCAGCGAAGGCATCTTCACCTGCAACACCTACTACTTGTCCAAGGCCTACAACAACGAAACCTACTCGTACCTGTTCGCCGTCCCGCCCGCCTTCCACGGCTTCGACGTAGCCTACACTTACTTCACTGGCGGTGCGCCCAGCCTTAGTGTCTCGAACCGCACGGTCGCGATTGCGCTGCAGGAGTTCATCACCAGCTTCGCGGAGGAGGGCGCACCCGAGGCTCCTGGTGTGATCAAGTTCGACATGTACGGCGAGAACGCGAGTGTGCTAAGGCTTAATGTTACGGGCATTGACGAGATTCGCGACTCGAATGCGAACAAGCGCTGCGACTGGTGGCAGTTGGCGCTGGTTTCGTAGATGGACCACGTAAATGGGATGTTTGTAGATGTCTAATGTAAATAAAGTATGACCTCGCACGAATTGGATTCCCAGAGTGACTTTGTACGAATAGACGCTGATGTGGAAATGAAGGTAGCACCTTTCCATTTAAGATCTGGGATACCTGCAATGCAGCAGCAGAACTTGGATCATACGACCACCGATCCTTCCAGCAGATACCAGCGCAATTCCTGCATGTGCAAACTCTCCCCAGCTCGATGTCGCGATCCAGATCCATATTTCTCCACTTCCTCCTCCCAGCTGTCCCCATCCGGCCTAGCGCTTGGGAGCTATGTGATATGACGTCTGCATGATGCGTTGCACCAGCCACAAGCTCCGCGAACGACCTCCATTTAAGCTCTCAGTCGCGCTGCTGTATGTTCTCTTCATACAACGAATTCCACTGCCAATTCCTCCAATTACCAATTCATCAACCAAACCTAATTTCTACGTAACCCGTAAACCACCACCACTCCACACATCACCATGTTCCGCTCCCAGATCGCCCGCCAGGCCCGCCTGTTCTCCACCACCCCCATCGCCCGCAAGAGCCCCGTCGAGACCATCAAGGACGCCGCCAAGGCCGTCGACAGGACCATCTCGGGCGCCGCTGTCAAGGGCATCGAGAAGGGCGGTAAGTGACTTGTCCCCCAGCCCATCTTAGGTATTGCGTGAAACGGCTCCTAACACCCCGCAGAGCAGGTAGCAGAGGCCGTCAAGGAGGCGACACCCGACTCCGCCGCCGAGGCCAAGGGCCAGGCCAACGAGGCGCTCGGCGCGGCGAAGGGCAAGGCGGCGGAGCTCCAGGGCGAGGCGAGCAAGAAGGCTGGTCAGGCGCAGGGCGAGCTCAGCAAGCAGGCGGGCAAGGCCGAGGCGGAGGCCAACAGGAAGTTGTAAGAGATTGCGTTCGTAATGCATTGAGGGATGAGGTGCGGGCGACATTTGATATACCGCGGGCTGGTGTCGTGGCGCCCTTGTACGATTGATTGACTAGCGCTAAGGCGACTTTACGAATTTCAGACATTTTTCGTTCATTGTTTGATATGGTTGTTGCTGTGATGTGTGTGGTAATCACGCAGTAGGTGTGCATCAAGGTTATCACGGGTTCAGCAAAGCATACGCAAATCTTGTCTCTACCTACACCTTATCCTACTGCAATTACACACATTGCTGCAGTCATAATTTAGTCTCGATCAAACGAGGCTGATAAGAATTACATTCATAGGCTCATCCGGCAAGTAGCGTACTGGGCCGCCACTATCTCCTTGCTCGAAGAGGACCCTCCACAAAGCTACTATCAACTCATGGGAATACCAACGGCCATCTGTGATTCGAAGTCAGCCTTCCAAATTGCGAAGCTGGCTAATCAACTGCGTGATCCACGTGGCGTGCTGCAGGTAAGCAGAGCCCCACCATACGAGACCCAAACTCTCCAATCGAGCTCGTGATACCTACACAAGACTGTCGCCGGATTCCCCTGTTCCAGACTACATGGAGTTCGTTGCGAGTGTCATCGCAGTCCTCCAACTAATGAGCAAAATCAGCAGTGTCTGCTACGGCCTGTACAGGAGCTATGGCACGCGCAGAGACCTGGATGACGTTGTCGACGAAGTCGATGCTCTCCGCCGCGTTCTTCAGCCCCTAGAAAGAATTACCAAGTCGAGCCCGGAGTATTCTGCAATGTGTTCGGATGCGTTGCTGCTGGTTCCACTCACAAGATGTACAGAGGAGCTTCGGTGTCTTGAGGCAGATCTTGCAAAGATTGAATCAGCACGGTTTCCAGGCCGGACTATATCGTGGATGTTGAAGGATACGGATATACATCGTAGTCTTGAGAGGCTGTCTCGTCTCAAGCAGACTTTGCAGCTTTTCCTGGAGACGAATCATACGTACGACTGCTCAGCCTCAATCGCAGCGCAAGCTCAGACTCTACAGTTCTCTACTCCTTGATCTGCGCATGCAGTCAGTCTCTATTATATCCTCGGTTGAAGATGCAAAAACAGGTACAGCTTGGTCAAATTAAAGGGCGCTGGATATCACTGAGATCGAACAGAGCAGCAATATCGGTTAGTTGCCGAGTGGCTGGGCCCAGCCTTCGGGTCCTCAATCTGCGAGAACGCACAAAGGGCAAGGGCCGCCGGTACATGTAGCTGGTTCTTGGCTGGCACGAAGTTCGCTGCGTGGAAGAAAGACACCTGTTCTTCGCTATGGCTGCACGGTACTCCTGGCTCTGGCAAGACCATCCTTTGCTCCGCAGCCATCGAAACGCTAACAGTAGAATATCACAACGACCCTGACAAAGTTGTGCTCCACTATTTCTTCGAGATCGCAGCTCGTGAAGGAAATGCTACCAACAGCTTTCTTTGCTCTCTATTGTCTCAAGTTCTGCTCTACGAAAAGACCATTCATGTCGCGGTACAGGCAATGTATACGAACAGTCACCAAGGCGCTCAGAGACCGAGCAACAAGGCTTTACTGAGCGCTTTACGTGCAATCCTCAAACAGCGACAGCATGTTGCTTTGGTCATTGACGGTGTCGATGAATGCAACGACCGCTGTGACCTATTAGAGGTCCTGAAGCAAATCCGAGACTGGAGTCTACCAAGTCTCCATCTCCTGGTAGCGAGTCGCTTCGAGAGAGATATCGAAGACGCCTTAAGTCCCGTGCCCCAGGTCCGTGTCGTGGGCCAAAAACACACCCAGGATATTCGGCAGTACGTCGAGCAACGTGTCGCGACTGAGCCGTCTTTCAAGAAATGGTCGACTGGGAAGAGAACCGAAATCAGCGAACATGTTGTGACTAAAGCTGGCGATATGTTTCGTCTTGCTGTCCTGCACCTTGATGATTTGCAATCCTGCAGAAATCTAAGGTCTCTGGAGCAGAAGCTTAGCGTGCTACCGACTACACTGGATGGAACGTATGCTCAAATGCTCAAAGAGGTTCCTTCTGAGTGTGCTACGGAAGTCTCGCGGATCCTGCGTTGGGTTTGTTTTGCCCTCCGACCACCTACGCTGCGAGAGCTTGCCGAAGTCGTCGCCATTGACACTGAGATGCTGGAGTACGATGAACTGCAAAAATATGAGGATCCGGGGGATGTTCTCGGCGTGTGCAATAATCTACTGACATGTTTTGCGGACGATGGGTATGTGGTCAAGTTTGCACACGCGTCAGTCAGGGACTATCTCACCTCGAGGCGGCTCCTTGAAAGCGAGTTGAGCCATTTCTTTCTGGATCCTCTGGAATCCAATGCTACTTTGTGTGTGGCCTGTCTGACCTACTTAGGTACCCACAACTACAGCAGCCGAGCAGAGGCCCGTCTAAACTATGTGGAGCATTCATTGATCAACTACACAACAAGCTTTTGGGCCGAGCATCTGCAACGTGCCGGGAATGACGCTGCAGCTTTGAAGTTGGCTTCCGAGCTTCTTTTCGACCCAAACTCAAAATTCGTGGAGTGGGCGTGGATTGGGAGTTTCCTACCCTCGGGCTTCTACTACGAGTTGCCAACCGGAGACCTGGATAATCCCTCTGTCAGAGCTAACATGCTCCTCTATTTTGCGACGTTTACTAGTAACATCGAACTCATCGATGCGGCGCTTGAGCTGGGCCCGAACATCAATGGGAATGTGGGCGACTGTGGTACTTGCTTGATAGCGGCGGTCAGAAGAGCAGATATCGCAACTACCAAGTACTTACTGGGTCAAGGGGCGGACGTCGATCACCAGGTTGACTCGTACGAAGATGCGCTTACTACTGCATCCTATCTCGGATACGACGATATGGTCGTGCTACTTTTGTCGTCTGGTGCCAAAGTCAATTTACCACGAAGAGGACGATATCCAACCTCCCTCGTTGCAGCGGTATGGTCCCCTGACAGGTCAATTCGAACAATCACTCTTCTCCTGGAGGCTGGAGCTGATACCTCAGGCCAGCATGAGCTTATCCATTCACCATTGAATCTGGCAATAGCCGCTAAGGATAACGAAGTCATACGATTACTTCTTAACGCCGGTGCAAACGCTGACCAAGGGGCTTTATCCATCGCGCTCAGATATGGGGACCTGTCTCTAGCGTCCACCTTGATCAGCCAAGGTGCAACACTCCATACCAAATATGGCTCATACGAAGCGCCCATCCGCGCAGCTGTAGCCCACGGCGTCTCGGCTATAGAGTTTCTCGTCAAGCAATCGGGGGTTGACTTGCTTGCACAAGACGAAGAAGGCAGAACTGCACTCCACTTCGCTGCATCGTATGGGAGTGAGGAAACTATCACCTACCTCCTCCAATCCGGCCTCAACGTCAATCAGAAAGATAAAAAGGGCTGGACCGCAGTCCACTTCGCAGCCTCTTCATATACCTCGGAGAATCTGGAGCTACTGCTACCACATTGGGAGCTCGACGCATCTGGGTGGAACCCGTTGCACCTAGCCTGCCGATTTAACGAGCCAGACGCCCTTGACCTACTCCTCGAAGCTGGTCTCTCACCTTCGACCATCACCACAGAGTACCCTGCCCGCCACTGGACTCTATACGACATCGCCGCGTTGCACCAAAACTCAAAACTCCTTACTACATCGGGCCTCATTCTGCATGAGGCACTGGAAACCCCGGACTCCGACAGTAATGAAGAGCATCTGCAGTTGTCTTTTCTCGGGAGGCACTGTGACGGATGCCAGAATGAAGGAGTCAGTATGTCCCTTGATTTTGCGTGCCGGCGCTGACTGTCTAGGATCCGGGCGCTCTGCAGATGTACGGTCCCGTGTATCATTGCAGCGTGTGCCCCAACTTCGACTACTGTTTCATATGCAGGGCTACTGCTGAGCTGACGCATCCACATTCATCATGGGAAGTAATAGAGGAGCTTCCTGTGGCTTCATCCCCGGAGCAGACCTCGCGAATCATGAGTAAGGCGACGGAATACTCGCCGTTGTATTTAGATCCACTTCACCCGTCGCATTGGAGTCGAGGCACGTGAAATGGGCTCAAATAATAGCAGGATATAAGACCGAGGCCGCCAGTAGAGCAAAGCTATAGCAAACAGTCACTAAAAGCCAGTCAAGATCTCTGCATAGAACGAATGAAAGTCTTCATTGCCCTTCGACTCTCACAGCCTGACTGTACTCCTAGCTCGTATACTCTCTCCGTACTTGATAAATAAGAACGGAATCGGCACCAGCGCCAACGACACAAAAGCCAGCAAACTGTTCCCCCACCCCAGCCCCATCGCCGCATACATCTTCTGACTACTCAGCGGCACCAACGCCGCCATCAAACTACGAAGCACCGTGTTCGCCGCCATCGCACTCGCGGCGTGCGTCGTAAACACGTCGATCAGATACGTATTCGCCGGCATGAATGTCAGCAGCAGGCCGAACCCGATGATGCCCGTGCCCACAAGCGGCACCATGTAGTGCGTCTGGAAGTACGCGGACCAGCCGTAGATCAGCAGGCCGATGGGCAAGAAGAAGCCACCAATGCACATGATATGCAGGCGCTGCTCGGGCTGGAAGTCGCCGCGCTCTATGTGTTTCGTCACGCTGCGGTTGCCGAAGTGGATGTAGACGGACTGGCCGAGGAGCGAACCGACACCCAGCCCCAGGAAGGAGAGGCCAGTGATGCCGCCGTGCCAGTGGTATTGGGTAGTGAACACGGCAGTGAAGGTGGTGAAGAGGATGTAGAGGTAAGTGTATGTGATGGCGACGTAGAGCGAGATGGCGAAGCAGATGGTGGAGCGGGTAAGCATTTTGGCGGGCCGGATGATGGAGAATTTGAAAAGCTCCTTGGGGGCGAGGCCGCTGTCGAGCTTTGAGCGTAACTTGTCGTTTCCCGTTTCAGCTCGCAGCTTTTTCGCTTTGTGTTCTAGGATCACGGGCGCGGATGTCTCGCTCATTAATATGAGGGACATGATGAAGAACGCACTCGCCTGTGGACGTCAGCGAAACGACCAGTGATGGAAGGGTATGGACTTACTACGATAGCCACGAACCAGAAGTTCCATCTCCAGCCTTTTGCGACTGTGAGAAATCCTCCGATTATCGGTCCAACACATGGCTGCAGCGGTTAGCTAGGTGACAGTCTCAGGTATCAGAGTGCTTACTCCAATGGCTGAATCGGTTAGCTAGGTGACAGTCTCAGGAGTCGAAGTACTTACTCGGTCCCATCATCCACACAGACATTGCGGTACCCCTCTGCTCGCGAGGTATGATGTCGGCAATCGTTCCTCCGCCTATGACCATTGGTGCTCCTCCAACAGCTGCGATGAGTCGGTAAATGCATGATGAACAGGCAAAGAGTGTACTCACATCCCATTAGAAACCTGAACACTATGAACATCTCCATATTTGTAGAGACAGCTGCCGCGATGGTAAAGATGATGAACAGCAGATTGCATGAGTGATACAGAGGCAACCGCCCATACATCTCCGACAAAGGCGCGATGACTGTCTTGTTAGCCTTGACTTGAGCGAATCATTTCACAACATACTCAACGGCCCAAAGCTGAAACCCAGCACATAAACAGACACCATAAACCCCTGCAGCATATCGTTCGTCGAGCCAAAGTCGCGCATGACTTCCGGCACGCCGGGCGCGAACATGGAACTCGCGAGCGGCGTCAGGAACGTGATGGCGGAGATCAGCGAGACCATGCCCCATTTTTTTGTAGTCCCCCAGTTCATGGGGTGCGTGGGGTCGTCCGGGCCGTCGAAGTCGACGATGTTGGGGTCTTGCTCTGCTTCATCGGGTTCTCCGGCTATCGAGGTCGACGCAGGGCTCGTTCCTTTCTCGATGTCCTTGTCAAACGTCTCAGTCTTGACATCTTTCTCGTATATGGGAGAGTGTGCTCGTGTAGAGGGAATGCTTGGTACGTGATGAATCGAGCCTAGGTTGGTGGGTATGTCGGCGTCGTGGCCCTCTTGAGCAGCAAGGTCGATAATCTCAGCATCGGTCGGCTGGTGAGGCTGTAACGAATGTGTCATCTTGGCAAGTAACGATATGTAAAGATGCGATGCTCATGCAATCATGCAAAAAGAGGTACGTATTCAACAACGATAGTCGAGTGAATTGGTTATGGCGTCATGTGATCTGCGTAGCCGTCACGGCAACAGAGTCTCTTCTGATGTGTTGAGCGGGTGTGAGAAGAGAAGCAGAAATGCAGCAGCTACATACCCTACCAAGCAGCAGCAGTGCAGGTTAGTCATAACGGAAGGCGTCTAACCAGTACCGAACCCATGGGGCAGCTGCCGTATTTCCGCGATCCATAGCGAATGGCATGCTTAACTCCGTGGACATGGCGGTGGGATGTGCGGAATGGGATTAGAATTGTGGATGCGATCTGGAGAAGCTCGTACGAGGTGCATGAGGAAGTCACCGCTTAACTATGATCGGTAAGAGGCGTGAAGGTGCTGCGCGCAGGACCTCGGAAGGACTGCTTCCCCGCAGGAACGCCACCTCTCCCGCAGTTGCCTTTCTACACCACCAACAATCTTAATTTCGTGTCATGTGTTCGAATCAAGCAAGTGTTTAGTTCATACTTGCAAGTTGTATCCTGGGAAGCACTGCCAGTAGACGTGATTATGCCATTGACCGCTGAGTACTGGCTCTGGTGAATGACTCAGTCTCCCACACCGACAGAATTGCAATGCCACTCATCATGATCGGGATTCGACAAAAATGATTGTAAAAGTCGCTTGGGTACAAAGCCATCAATATTTGATGTATCGAGGACACTTTGCTAAAGGGGAGAAAACATGTTGTTTACTTTCAACCTTAGTAATGTCTCAATCGTTGCACACTTCTCACGGCGATTTGTTCACAATGCGATGCGACCACGACACAACCTCGCACCGTAGCCTGCTAATCCACTGTGTTTAGACGCGTATTGTCAACTGAGACGACGCATATGCCAAAAACCGCACCCCCAGACTTCAAGCCAGATTCCCTGTTCACAACATGACAAACTTCTGTCGTATCTACAGTCCACTCACCCAACCAGCCATTCTCTAATCTACGTTTTCACACACGTCTTGAAGTCCCTCACACGAGCTCCGAGTACCGCGATACAACTGAAGTAAACCCGCACAGAAGCCGATAAATTGAGGGTTCTCAGTCCAATAAGCAGTTCATTCAAAACGCTCAAAGTTGCATATATCTCAAAGCTGCGTATATTCCAGGCAGCCGAAGATTCCTTATCAGCGGGCTATGCTACTCGTAGCTCTCTGTGCGCAGATCGTGCTTCTGGTGCGACTGCCCAGTGTTCTGAGTTTATAAAGACACGGAAGAGAAAAGATTGTACTCGATAGAATGCGCTGAGAATGGAGAAGGGTACATGGAGACAAGCAGAAGCAAGTATACCTTGTGCTGCCCTGAGACTCGCATACAATAGAGAACACAGTGCTGCTCCAACCCGGGCGTTCCGCTGTCTGCGAGCGGTCGCGTCCCGGCAGGGGTGAAACGAGTGGGGCATTTTGGCCACACTAACTGCTGCCAAACCTCATGCGTATTGGCGGGCCTCGACCACGGCACGTGAGGCGTGACGACGATCAAAACAACGCGTGAAATCACACAGCAAAAGTACGGAAATATTGAACTTATGGGTTGACATTTGTTGCATCGACACGACGACAGACATCACGTCGCTGATGCACCTTTTCCTGAAGGCGAAGAGAGAAATACAAAAATCCCGCCTGCACGAACACGCCAGAACGCCCAGCCAACATGATGTAGACAGAAAGACAGATCAACACCCCTTAGTAGCACCATGGCTAATACCGTTCCACCGAGGATTGTAGAGAGAGAAATGGATATCACGTTACAAGCTCTTTGCGCAGACGGTGTGAGACGCCGCAGAAGAACAACAGATCATGTCTGCGCGTCAGAGCTGGTTAGAGAAAAATCAACAGAGAAAAAAGGTGCGGATGGAACCGCTCATGCCTTCTTCGGTGTCGCCTTCTTAGGGGTGGCCTTCTTTGCTGTCGCTTTCGCAGCAGCAGCCTTCTTGGGCGCACCCGCCTTCTTTGCTGCAGGCTTCGTGACGGCGCTCTCCGGAGCCTTGGTCTTGGTGACGCGTCCGGACTTTGTCTTTCCGAGAACACGTGTGACTTCCTTCTCAACAGCAGGGGCGGGGCCAGCGGCGGCAGGGGCAGACTTGCGAGGCTTGCTGGCGTTGGCCTTCGGCTTAGCAGCAGCAGCGGTCTTCTTAGTGGTGGCGGGCTTCGCGGCAGCGGCCTTCTTAGGTGCTGGTGCCTTCTTGGTGGCCTTTGCCTTCTACACAATCGTTAGCGACTGGTGCACATTGCAATCGGAAAGCACATACGGTGGCAGTGGCCTTGGCCTTGGGAGCAGCCTTGGGGGCAGCCTTGGGAGCAGCCTTAGCCTTGGTGGCCGCGGGCTTCTTCTCCTTCTTATCCTCCTTCTTGGGCTCAGCCTTCTTAGCAACAACGGGCTTGGCCTCCTTCTTTGCGAGCTTCACTGTGCCGGAAGCACCTGAGAGACGCGTCAGTATACCTGTATATGATGAAGATTATACGTGTAGAGCTGTCGGAGCAGGTGCATGCAGTCATTGGAGTGGCGCAGGGTGGGAGGCTTAGCACATACCCTTGGGACGCGAGAATTCGCCCTTCTCCTCACCGGAGACGATGGCACGGTTGACGTGGTTCCTGAAGGCAACATCGGTGAGGTTGTCAACCTTGTTGTTGGCCTTGATGTACTTCTGGATAGCTTGACGGCTGGGAAATCTGTCAGCACAATTCTCGAGGCGTAAAAGGACGCAAACATGATGCGATGCGAAGGGCATCAACAGCTTGCAAGAGAGACTTACCTAGATCCATTGCGCTCCTTTAGCTGTAAGATGCGAAGGGCACGTTAGCAAAGATGTTCTTAGAAAAAGGTGTCGGGAGCTTTGTTGTTCTTTGAGGCCGAGCTGGCGCGTTGGCGTCGCACGCCCAGAAGCGGGGGTCGTGATGCGCCGGAGAATGTGGACTTACGTTGATGATGGCATCTTTAACCATATCTATTGAGAATAGTCAGTAAAGGTCGGCGAACATAATGAGACCAACGCGCTTGTCGTGCGACAGCGTGGTGTTGAGAGATCATGCAACATACCGATGTAGGAGCCATGGCTCGGAGCGGCGGCAACGGCCTTCTTGGGAGCGGCGGTGGTGGACTTCTTAGGAGGCATTTTGGTAGTAATTGTAAGTCGTGATGGACGCGTATCTGATGCTTCTAACGAGGGGGCAAACGTCGAAATCGATGGGGTGGATGTTGTTGTGGAAGCGTCGAAAGTCACTGGGGGTGGGAGCACCGCGCGCCCCGAAGCGGGGGGAAGCTACTTATCTGACGGCTGCTACCGAGCAGGTGCATCCAGATCAACTCTCGCGCGACACAATCGTCCATTCCTATTTAGGAAGGATTTTGGTATTCGAGAGGCTTTTCTGATCTCAAGTACACTAAGGGCGCGCTCTTACTGGGTGATGCGCGCTGGTACCAGAGCGTTTCTGTCAGGGTGTTCTGCGGTCGCCGCTCGCATCCGTCCCGTTAACCTCGTGCTTCATCCCACTTCATGATCTCTGCGTCCTCGGAGCTTGGAGTCCTCTCCCTGATCTCCCTCGCCTGTCGGACATTAGGCAGACACTGTACTGCTGCTTAGATCTCTTCAAGTGTGCCTAATCTACGATGTGACTCGACGTCGCTGCCTGTCCATGAGGCTTCGCACGATTCTGATCTGACGCGTTCCCTCTCAGACTGATGCAGACATTGCGCGCTCTTTGTCACCGTATGATGGTTCTGAGCAGCCCTGTGGCCTTGCTACCGAATTCTTTGATGCTTCGCTGAATGTTCTCAGCCTTGAGTCCCTCCCAACTCGAGATCGTCGGTGTTGTTTTGATTGTTCACGCGTCGCAACTCGCGTTGTTTCGCTTCGACCTCAACACCCCTTTAGGTTTCGATATTGATCCCCACACAAAGAAGTCGAGTGGCTTCACAATTTGCTTGGAGTGACAAAATCATCTCTTGCCTTTTCTGTTGCATGTCGCTTTCTATGGTAAATTGTTCTTCTTCCTGGCCTGACCTCGTGTCAGTCATGTGCGCTGTTGATCGACCTTTTGATCATGCGCACAAAGATTCAACGCCTTTCCCAATTTTAAGGTTCAACTCTCCCGACGAAGTATCCCTTGTTGTCCATTGCCAACGCATGACCTTCAGAGGCCGATTAGCGTCTAGCCACTCCTCTCATGATTCAAGTGGGCACGGCCATCGCGTTGTGGGGTGTGCCATCAACCCTAGGTGTCTGCCACGCATGGGAGAAGACCTACCTCGGCACCTCTACGCATTTTCGCCTGCATGAGTCCATAAGAATCATCTCAGAGAAGTTGTTCTGCTAGCCGACATTTTGAGTAGTAGCTACAGATTAGTAGAAAGAAGACTCGAGGTTGTGCCTTAGAATGTTGCGGTGCAATCACAATGAGCGTTTGTCAAAGAATCCGCAGATTTTGGAAGACATGTTCATCGACTGTTCGATTCCGAGCCCGCTAGAAGGAGATTCTTCGTGTTTCCCACGGGCCCGCTCGTCATTGCGTGTGAAGGGCATTGATGTTGATCAAGAGAAGGCGCGCTGGGAGCGAGGACAAAGATCAAGCAAGGGGTTTGACCAGTCCTCCGCAGACCCACGAGTAAGTTTTGATGAACACGTAACACCAGATAGAATTGGATGTTTGGAGACGCCGACTATGTAATTACAACACGTTCAGCTATCCATTCTGAGTCCTCCTCAAGAGCCTCGTTCTATATCGTTCCCATACCACCCTATGCACGTCCGGCCAAAGCTCGGTCTATTTCTAAGACGTGGGCGACCTCTAGATTATCTGTATACACAGTGTAGAGGACTCCGCTACTTCCGGTATGAATGTTCAGGATAGCGGGAAGCTACCGTTGTAAACACTACGAGTGTGCTAGTGGAAACGAACGTACTGGCTGCAACCAAGCCTTAAAGTCTTCCCATTGTGCTGAAACTACCTGCTCCTTAGCATCATCAGAGATACCTCGTACTAACGGGTCTCATGATTGGGACTACGAGTCCGAGGATCATGTGGAGTTTGCTGCTCTCCTCCACGACTCGACAAGCTTTGTGAAGCTGCGCTTTGAAACCGAGCTAACGACTTCAGTCGCAGGTAACGTGAGGTTTCGACCTGTGGTTATCACGAGTGTGTTTGTTTATTGCAGCAGAAAGAGCCGATATTTTCGAGTCTAATGATCCCAGAGTGATTATGTATGCTCGAGGTTTGAAGAAGGGCTTTGGCCGACCGAATCTAACCCTCCAAAAGCTTGCACACTTCGCCGGAAATTCTACCATGATACTCAAGACTGTCAATCAGTAGTCACAGTGCATAGAAGTCATTGTTTGCAATGATGCAATCATTCGTCTCTAATTGTCTAAATATATACAGTTGAAACATTACAAGCGTAAGCGTCTAATCCATGCGAGTGTAAGGAATGCTAAATGCTAACAAAATCGAACGCTCTAATCATGATCCGCTTACTGTCCGGCGGTGTAGGAGCAGGAGATGGCCTTGTCCTCCTTGACCGCGCGGGCGCTGAAGCCGAGGCAGCCCTCGTAGCCGGCGGGGTTGGGGGTGCTGTTGAGCCAGATAGAGTAGCCGCCGAGGGCCTTGCTGGGGCAGGCCTGGAAGCCGATCTCCTGGTCGGACTGGTCCTTGAAGATCAGGTTGTTGTTCTCGTCGAGGGTGAAGCCGGTGCGCTCGCTGTTCCTGGGAGCGCCCTGGGCACCAGTGGTGAATCCGAGGACACCCTGGCCCATGCCAGATCGGTCGGTGTAGAAGTACTGAGGCGGGTTGTCGGTGTAGAGGTACAGCTCGCCGGCCTCAGTGAGTTGGAAAGAGGCGTAGTTGACGGCCTCGCTGCAGGAGGCATTCTGCTGGGCGACGTTGAGGACGAGGCCACCGTTGGCGGCCTGCAGGGAGCCGTACTGGATGTCTGAGCCAGAGCGGAGCGTCATGACGCGGAAGACATCGCCGGTCTTGATGTCAGAGTCGGCGGTGGCAGATGCGCAAGGAGTGGCGGAGACAAGGGCAGCAGCAGAGGCGGCGATGGCGGCGGTGGTGAACTTCATGTTGAAGGTGTTGGTTGGTAAGATTGGTAGTAGAGGAGGTGTTGTAGTGTAGTGGATTGATGTGTTGATGTTGTGATGATGAGAATCTATTGGGGGCCTGGCGGACCTCTTATATATCTACAGATCTCTGTGCTGGCAGTGCCATCTCGTTGACATAATGCCGCTGCTGCCGACTCGAGGGCGATGAGGCTGGTGTTGCTGGGCACTGGCCGTATGGCAATCGTATGAAGTCATTCGGGCCAAACACGAGAAGAAAGTGGTCTGTCCGCTCGTGTTCCCCATAATTTACTTGTTAACAGTGGGGTGTGCCACAGCCGGCACCCTGTAGTCGCCTCTTACCGAGCGCGGCGCCTTCCTCCTGTTGAGATTCGTCGCATGCGAGGAGCCGGCAGTAACGCTGCATTGCCACAGCCAGTCGAAGGGTGATCGTTGCATGAGCGGTCTACTCGCACTTGGCTCAATCTGGGACGCTAGAATGTTCCGAAGGTTAAGGTTGGTCACAACCGACTAGTCGACGACAAGAATAGAATCCAGCAGACGTTCTAGCGTTGCCGACATCATGTGATCCAGAGTTCGATCAACTTCTATGGAGATGGCCACGGATACGACACACACTGGCATAGGTATCTCGTATTGCCAGTAGTACTGTACCTATATTCGCTCAGACTATATTCTTTCTACTGACGTTAACATGATGCTACGGGCTACGATTTCCCTTCAGCAGTCAGTACGAGATACGGGCTCTCAGTACACGACAAGCTGAAAGAGAGATCATCGCTGTTCTCAATGCCACTCGGTGATTGCAGGCTCAGGCATTTCAGGGGCTTGATTGTCTCTCCACACCGCAGTAGCCAGAGCGTGCACCGACCCAGTCTGCTGTCATCTTCAAAGTTTCCATCAAATTGAGAACATGCATCAGTGCATTGTAGATACACACCGCGAGTATCTCTGCGCGGTGTGCGGCCGTAGCGCCTTCTCTCGGCGTAGCTGAGCCGAAAATAACAGGACGTCGGGCAGGGCCGTAGGCCGCTGCACTCGCGGCGCAGGGTCGCTTCCGCGGTAGTATATCGGCGGACCGAGGTATGTGCGCTCCCAAGCATTTGCACGCTACGTGGAGTAACAGTGGTACTCGCTGGCTGTCATACGATGGAAAGCTATTCTTGTCAGAGCTTCTTCCTAGGTACTCTTGCTAGGCAGCATGCGAGAAATATCGGGTTTACTAGGTCTCTAACAGATGGCAACTCGGACGAAGCGTGCCACTGGCAGCAAATGATTTTCAATTGTACAGAATTAACATTTCACAAAGAAACCGTTCGTTCGTGCCAATGCAGTTTCGACGTCTAAAAGACCAAGCTAAAGCTTGCTCAATCGTAATGCAAGAGTGCCAAAGATCCCTCCAATGCAAGCTGCTTCGCTATACACAACGCTCCTTATTTTCGCCGTTGTACCTCGCCTGAACACCATTTACTCGTCCAGATACCCAATCTTACAAAATTGATTCAAACTCCTAACGTCGAGGTTGGACGTGAGCAGAGCGCCAAGCATCGTCTCCCGGCGTGGGAGAAAATCTGCTTTGACTTTCCACGCTGTGCCATTGAGATTGAAAATTTCCATGTCATAATCCTCCTCGTCATCCTCTTCATCATGGCTCAGTGTGCCGTTCGTCAGTGCGCTCTTGACCAGTGCGTCGCCGCCCTTTGACTTGTCGCCCAACCGCTTCAGTGTTGATAAAGCGCGGTGTACGATGAGCTGGAATCCTTCGCGATCGGGCTCCATCGGCCTTTGGCCGCGGTGGTTGGGCGGCATTGGTGGAGGTTGAATAGCGGCATCAGTGGCGGAGAGTGACATCGCAAACTTGAGTAGGCTATTCGCCCAGCCATCCTCTGACTCAAGCCAGGAGCGGCAGATGTTGTTTTCAGCTCCAGGCGCCAAGCTGGCGAGTATGTCGGCTGCGAGCATACCTTGCATCAAGTACGCTTTACGCGATTCTGCGATGCGTGCTTCGAACATGCGGACCTCCTTTGGACGCGATTCCTTCATCTGATACATCTTGTTCTCGATGTAGTTGCGATCAGGGACAACAGAGATGGCCAGTGCGAATGCTCGTGTTAGCAGATCGTAAGCCGGGCTTGAAGTTGCCTCATTCACAAAGATCTGTTTATAGTACGTCCGATTGGGATCATCGCGCGCGAGTAGCTTGGCCAGACTGTCGACCGCAGAGGGGAGGTAGCGGTGAATTTGCGGGTTGAAAGAAGTAAACTTTACTGGGCTGCCAGGACGCGGTACGGGAGCAAAGGCGCAGAGGAAGTGCAAAATGGCGTAAGCATCCTCGCGAGAAGGTAAGATAATCTTCGCACTCGTGTTGGAGAAGAGAGTGATGAGGTCTTTCATGAAGTCGAAAGTATTAATATGAGATCGAAGGAGAAGGACACGAGTACCGACCAACCGTATGAAGTTGGACAGGAACTTCAATACTGTCGGGCTGACGAGTGAGGCATGATTGACTTCTAGGAACGATAGGTTGCGGAATATGGTCGTAATGGCCAGCAAACGGTCTGCCGTCCGGTCCAGGGTGTACTCTTTTGTTCCGACTTCAGGTAGTTCCTGTAGTGTCGCAGCTTCCGCGCGGCAGTGGTGCAATACGTCCTCGTACGGTGTAAGATCCAGGATGTCGGTGACCTCGGGATTGTCATTCCCCAGTACATCCAGCTGCTCTTCTGCAAAATCAACCAACACATCAACCAAATCCTCGCACTGCCCAAGATCCAATTGCACGTTGTTGTCGTACGTGATTTTCGCAAGGGTGTCTAGCGCAAGTCTTGTTTCTGCGTGTAAGCCAGATCGCAGACTCATGGTCAAAGCTCTGATGTCGATGATTCCTGCTTCATGTAACAACGGAACGTTTGGCTTGTAGTTGACGATCATCTCAATCATGTTCTTGAAGTTGTCCGAGTCGAAGTCCAAACCGCCCCAGGTATCTTGCGTACGGTATGCTGGCTGGTAGACCCGTGTGCCGTCGTCCTGCTCGATCACTGGCTGCCGTTTCTCAACAACCTCTACTTCTGCAGGCGCGGAGGCAGCTGCAGGCTCAGGCTTGTCTGGTGTCGCCATGGCATTCGCCGGCTCCTGGCTCTGGACAGGTGTCCCTTCTATCTGCCTGCTCATACTCTTGCGCGCATTGTTATCTGCTTGTGGTGTGCTTCGTCCGTTGAGATCTGGGAGAGACGCGTTGTTTTGGAGCGGAGTCGACTGTTGCGGCGTGGGTGGGGCACCGAACTGGGGTTGCTGTGGGGTCGGCGGCATCGACTGCCTCTGCTGTTGCTGTTGCTGCATAGCTTCTTTTGTCCTTTGTAATTGCTGGAGATATTCTTGCTGTGCGGCGTTCTGTGGTGTGCCTGGCATTGCAGGTCTTGTTGGAGACATCTGTGAGCCCATTGCACCACCCATCTGGCCCTGTGCAGGCATGCCTCCCTTCAGCTGGCTCTGTCTCTGGATGTATGCTTGCTCGTAAAGCATCAGGTTTTGTTCGTAGGTTATGCGAAGCTCTTCCGGGGCGGTGGGGAACTGCTGCGGCGGTATCGACATCATCTGCGCGACTCGCGGCCAGCCTTGAGACTGTGTCACGTAGCGGTAACCTCTATACTGCATGACGATCTTGTATAGATTCTGCAGGTTGATCACACGGCCGGCGACGGTCGGGCTGGGGTTGAAGCTTCGCCCTTGTTGCTGCATCAGCGCACCAACGTTCTTCGTGAAGTGCTGTAGCGCGAGCTGAGGGTTCTGCTGCGCCTGCGCCTGTGCTTGTGCCTGCGCCTGAGCCTGTGCTTGCGCCTGAGCCTGCGCCTGCATGGGATTCGGGCGCATGCCGGGATGCTGCATACCGCCAGGCATTTGTCCGGATTGGTGTCGCTGTTGCGCAGCCATGTTCGCGGCGGCCAGGTTCCCCATGGACCCGCCCATTGGTCCGCCCATCTGTTGTTGTTGTTGTTGCACCGCTTGTTGCTGATGCGCCTGTTGCTGCAAGCGCATCGCGTACTGTCTCTGGGCTTGCAGCTGTCGCTCCTGCAGGTTCTGCGACAGCTGCACTTGCTGCACAGGGAACTGGCCGCTGGCGTTCGAGTTGAAGCCTTGGTTCATCGCGTTGGCCTGGAAGTTCATGGGCGACATCTGCGGCCCGTTGGGGTTTTGCGCGGGCGACGACGTCTGCATCCTCTGCTGGCCCATCTGCCCCATCTGTCCCGGCATGAAGTTCTGATTCGACATGGTCGGCGAAGGCGTGTGGGTGAAGCCCTGCTGCTGCTGCAGGCCGAACTGCGGTTGCGACGGGGTCTGGGAGCGCGACATGGCGGGCATGCCCTCGGAATTCCGCTTGATGCCCTGCGGGAAGCCGCGCGCGCCGTTCATCTGGGGATTTGCGAGCGCGTTCGGGTCAATGAAACTCGACGGGTCGTACATGCCGTTCTGCTGGGGCGACTGGAAGTCCATGTTGCGCCGGGAGGGTACGTGGACGTTTGCGGCGAGCGCAGGTAAGAGGGGCGCGGCGGGTAGTAGTGATCGATTGGAGGTGCAACAGGTAGGCGTGGAGGCATTCAATCCCTCTGTACTGCGCGTCAGCAAGCATGTTGATATGATAGACGCGACTAATGGACGCAGCACTAGAGCAGCGCGGCGCAGGGAGGGCAGGGCACAAGGTGAAGGAGCTCGGAGCAACATACACCGCGCGACATATGATAGGCGCTAGAAGGGTGTCCTCATCAGGGCAGTTTGCGGGGAATGCTCGGGATGGGGTTGACTGGAAGTCACGTAGCGCACGCTCCTTCGACGCGATGGCTCTGCTGAGGTTGTGAGGAGGCAGGCGCGAGCGGCCGGGCGCTTGCTTAGTCAGTCACGAGATCAAGTCCTCAGCAGCTCCGTCGCCCATAGTGGCAGCGCCAGCACAGCGAAAACAACAGAGGGCCGCAATGGAGAGCAGCGAGCTGCGGCTTGGAGGGAAGCATGCACCGTCGCGAAATTCCAGAACACGCGTTTGTCGCATTGCAACCAGTGGAGTGGCTGCATTGCCGGCACTCACAAGCCTGAGCTAACTGGATCGATTCCCCCGGAGCCGATTCATCTGGCCGTGTCACAATGTCTCTCTCCACTTATTACAGCACCCAGGTTCCTGGAGAGCCGCGCTGCTTGTCTGTTGCGGCCTTGTCGACGACCGCTGAGACTCGCCCAGCCCAACCGCGTCATGCCCTGTCTGCCCTGTCGGTCCCGCGAGCTGGTTGCCTCCGCTTACCCAGAATCGAGTGCGGGAGTCCGGGAGGGGTTTTGCGTGCTGATCTATTTCACTTTGCCTCCTGCAAGCCCTAAATCTTAATCGTGTTGTATCACAGTGCCCTTGGATGGCCTCGTCACATCCTCGTTCGCGTTCGACCACGTCAACGCACCAGGTCTTGTGAATCTCTGCAATAATGGCCATGCGATTACGACTCAAACTAGTGTGATCTTCCTTGAACTCTCGTGCCTTGTCCTTCAATGTTCGATTAAACCGTGGTTGCCCAGGTGCTCTCCAGATTGCTCCTGCACGTGATGATGATGCACCGGGCTTGGCGACCGGACGCGCCGACTTACGCCTTCCATGAGCTTCATCAACATTGCGACAGGCAAACGACACCCGGACCCTGCAACAGCCCTTCACCTGCCCACTATACCCACTCTTGCAGCCTTACCCCTACGGACCCCCGCACCAACACTCGACACGAGCCTCATCCACCATGGCTGACGCCGCCGTTGAGAACCCGCTGAACACCGTCCCGCCGCACAAGAAGCAGCTCCCATCCTCGATACCGAACTTCGACACATTGGAAGGCTTTACAACAGACGGCGACGATGACTACTCGACCTTCAAGAAGCTCCAAAGGCAATTAGAGTATGTCATCTGCCTCATCCAGCATCACAACTACAGGTGGCTAACTGGCGCAGGTACATTCACCTCCAGGAGGAATACATCAAGGATGAGCAGCGGAGCTTGAAGCGCGAGCTGGTGAGAGCACAGGAGGAGATCAAGAGGATCCAGAGTGTGCCGCTCGTGATCGGGCAGTTCATGGAGGCTATCGACCAGAAGTACGTTGGGTTGAACGTGTCACGTTGAGCGCATATGGCTAACTTTGTCAGCACCGGTATCGTACAGTCTTCGACCGGCTCGAACTATGTCGTGCGCATCCTTTCCACCCTCGACCGCGAACTCCTCAAGCCCTCTTCATCCGTCGCTCTGCACCGCCACTCGAATGCCCTCGTTGATATCCTGCCTCCTGAGGCCGACTCGTCGATCGCCATGCTTGGGCAGGACGAGAAGCCTGACGTGACCTACGCCGATGTTGGTGGTCTGGATATGCAGAAGCAGGAGATCCGGGAAGCTGTTGAGCTGCCCCTTACACACTTCGATCTGTACAAGCAGATCGGTATCGACCCACCGCGCGGTGTCCTGCTGTACGGGCCCCCGGGTACAGGAAAGACTATGCTTGTCAAGGCTGTCGCAAACAGCACAACGGCATCCTTCATCCGTGTAGTTGGGTCTGAGTTTGTGCAGAAGTACTTGGGTGAGGGCCCGCGTATGGTCCGTGACGTCTTCCGAATGGCGCGCGAGAACTCGCCATCCATCATCTTTATTGATGAGATCGACGCTATTGCCACAAAGCGCTTCGACGCGCAGACGGGTGCCGATCGAGAAGTCCAGCGTATCCTGCTGGAGTTGTTGAACCAGATGGACGGTTTCGACCAGACTTCGAACGTCAAGGTCATCATGGCGACCAACCGCGCCGACACACTCGACCCTGCGCTCCTCCGACCCGGTCGTCTCGACCGAAAGATCGAGTTCCCTTCGCTCCGCGATCGTCGTGAGCGCCGTCTCATCTTCTCCACGATCGCAAGCAAGATGAGCCTGTCGCCCGAAGTCGACATGGACAGCCTGATTGTCCGCAACGACCCGCTCTCGGGTGCCGTCATTGCGGCCATTATGCAGGAGGCGGGTCTGAGGGCCGTCAGGAAGAACAGGTACAACATCATCCAGGCGGATCTGGAGGAGGCATACACGAGCCAGGTCAAGGGGACGGCCGAGGCCGACAAGTTCGACTTCTACAAGTAAACGCAGAGCTGGCGTGGTGGAAGGGGGAAGTGGCCTTGTACACTACGATAGACGCAGACCGCTTGGTCTGGATCTGCATGCTGCACATATGCTTGGCTGCATGTTTAATGCGATGAATGACAACAAGGATGGTTTTGCTATTGCACAAAGTGACACTGGAAATTCCTGGGTATCGACGTAGAACTTTGACCAAGACAGTCGCTTTGAAAGCTCACAGCACCACTCAAAACCCCGATACACGCAGCATACGTAACACAGTTGATATACACTTGTTTGGATTCCTATCTACCCAGCGCTTTAACCCGCTATCCAGACGCGTATCCCAGCAGCCAGCACGCACCCCCGCGCCAAAACCACGTGACAATTATACTACAAGGCGCACGCTCCGGCCCTCGCCCTCCACAGGCCACACAGGCCCACACAGGGCGGCCCCAGGGCGCGGGGCTCAGCTAAGCAACACCCGCGAACAAGAAGAACGGAGAAGGAGAAGAAGAAGAGGAAGATGGAAAGCGGGATTCAGATCAGAAGAAAACACACAGCAGAGGAGAAGAAAAAAAGGTTCTATCAAACACCGGAGGCTAGCAATGCCGCTCAGCAAACACGCAGCAAGCACAAACATAGATAGGAGAGGGCGCGGAGAGGGCGTCTCGGCGCGGCGGTGGAGGGGGGCCGGAGCCGGGGCGCCGCCGGGGAGAGTACGAGGAGAAACAAAGGAGAGGCGGGGCGGGCAGCGATGGCCGTCGGGGCGAGGGTCGAGGGCTCGTGGTGGTGGTGGTATTGGTATCGTGCAGTCGCTTGCAGCAAGAAGAAAGAAAATCGAGAGTCGGGACAGCGCGGTATGCAAAGTGCGTGGCTTTTTTGTGTTCCAAAACATGAGGGCAGGCTTAGTTGACCCGGATCGACGTCTCCAGTGGTGTTCGCGGCAGCTCCTTGTCCACGCTGCTTCGACCCTTGGCCTCCTTTGGCGGCGTCGGTGGCCCAGAGTGCCTGTTATGCGCGTAGTGGTCATCCTTCGGTGGCGTCGGGGGTCGTCCTACGCTTCCTGTTGCTGAGTCCTTGGGAGGTGTGGGCGGTGGCCTTCCGTGCTCCACGTCGCGTGCCAGAGGCCTTTGTAGAGGTGACGCTTGGATTTCTCCTGGCGGCGGTGGCGCAGAGCGGGTCGGTGCGTCGTGGGAGCGGTTGCTACGGCCGCCTAGGCTAGAGGCTTCGCCTGCTTCTTCGACGACGGGAAGCGTGGTGCCCATCTCGCCGCGTTCGGCAGAGGGACTACGGACCGCGCGCATTTGAAGGTTGGGGATTTCGCGTTCGGGGTGCGTTTTCTCTGCTTGGTGTTCGGCCTTTTCCATGACACGGTCTGTTGAGCTGCGTGAAATGGCGCCACCAGCTTCCTCAGGAGGATGCAGGGCTGCTTCTGCCTTTTCCCGTTCAGCGGCTTCTTTTGTCTTGGTTACGCCAGTGATGAACTTGAGGAAGCGATCTCCGTAACGTTCGGGAGGAATGGCGGAGATCTGGGACTCAGTATTCGTAAGGCCCTTGAAGAAATGCTCCATTCGCTTGATTAGGGAGTACTGCAAACGTTAGCTGGATGACAATGGCCTTGTCGGTGACAGAACTTACATGTGTCAGACAGTCGATGATACCCAAGTAGTAGATCTCTTCCCCAGCGCGATCGTCCTCGTGTGTAGCTTGGAAACCACCATCGTCCGAGTAGAAATAAAAGTGCTTCTTAGAGTCCTCCAATTCGTCCGGCATTCTAGCAGAGGTCTGCTCCATGGGTACTGGTTTTTGAGTCTTGACTGATTGTCGAAGCTCTCGTGCCTTGCGTGCGGTTTCCAACTTTGACGGTGTCCGCATAAGCTGGTTGGGTTGAGGCTCCTCGGCAGCTTCACCGCCTGGCTGGAACACCTTCAATGTCTTCTCGCGCAGGTTCTCCTCATTGCCCTTTTCCAGGTCGTGGACGCCAATGAGCATGGAGTAATCCATGATGTGGAGCTTCTGCATCAGCTTCACATCCTTCCGCATCTGCTCAATAAAAGCGTCCTTCTTCGTTGGCCCGAGTTCTAGGTGCAGGTCTCTTCGTAACCAGTTGAGGTCCTTGAGTGTTGCGCGGGGGTTCTTGTCGAGGTCTTCTTCTCGGAAGTCGCGACCAATGGTTGACCCCTTGAGATCGAATGTGTGGTGGATGTCCCGGTGGGGAGGGAACAGGTTGTTCATGACGACGAAATGGATCTTGCGTCCGTAGGGTATCTTTACGCGATGTAGGCCATAAAACTGAGAAAGCAGGGTGTTTGGGTTTTCTTGTACGTGGTTGTAGTAGTCCTTCAGGATCTTTCTGAGGAACTTGTGTTCGGCGTGATGGATGGTCTTGATGATGTATTTGTAATCTCGGGAGAAATAGAAAAAGCTGCCGCTCTTGCCGGGCGAGCCCAGCTCAGACAGGATGTACTTGCTCGTTAGCGATACCAGGTAGTCGGCAGGATCGAGCTTGAAGGTGCCGCGGAGATGGCGGAAGACCCAGGGGGCGTAGTCCTTGAACTTGAAGTCGTACTTGGCCGAGGGCGTGAGCTCGTTGCCGGTGATGTCGAAGGAGAACTTGTGCTTAGCATCGAAGTCCGCGTCGGTGAGCTCACGGTCCATCTTGGCATTGGTCCTAGACACGGTGAAGCGGATGCCAGTGAGCATGTTGTACGCGGTGACCCAGTTGACGTGGTTCTGGTCGACCTTGGTGCCCACGACAACGCGGTCCTCGTCCTCGTCCTCGCGGCGCTTGCGCTTGCTGGCTCGCTTCTGGCGGATGTGCTCGGCCCAGCGCGCGGCGTCGTCGTCCTGCGGGACCTCGTCGAGGTGCATGTCGGAGTTGATGGAGCGGGTGGTGCGGCGCACGAGCGACATGGAGCCGCGGCGGCGCGAGGCCGAGGTGGGCGAGAAGCGGCCGCTGGCGGTGACGACGTCGTCGGTGTTGTTCTGCGAGTCGCGGGGGCGGGAGCCGGACAGCTTGGGCACCTCGAGGGTGTGGCGCTGCTGCAGGCGGTAGGGCGGCTGGGCGGGCGAGGGCGAGGCGGCGCTCGCGGCGGACACGCGCAGGGCGCTGGACTCGGCGGGCGACGTCACGTGGGGCACAAAGTCCTTCTGGGCCTCGCGGGCGCCGTCGAGCGAGTTGAGCTGGCCCAGCTTGACGTGGGTGGTGCCCAGCATGTCGCGCGACTCGCTGCCGTGCACCGAGGCGAAGTAGCCGTCGTCGCGGGCCATGACGTCGGCCGTGGCACGGCTGTCGGTCGACTGGCGCAGGCTGTGGCTGTCGCGCTCTGTGTCGGCACGGCTGCGGCGGACGCTGTCGTGCGAGACGCGGCGGTCGCTCGCGGGCTTGGCAGGGCGGGCGTGGGCGGGCGGCGCCTGCAGGGGCTTCGCGCTGCCGTTCATCTTCGCGGGGCTCGCGGCGCTGCTGGCATTGGGGCCGCGCTCGCGCAGCGGCAGCGACCGCTCGGACGGGGTGCGGTGCGGCAGGCCCTTGGGGGTGTGCGGGTGCGGGTGCGAGAAGTTGGGGGCGTCGGCGGCGCTGGGCTCGCGGTCGCGCTCGGCCGCGTACGGGGCCATCATCTGGGACTCATGGACGGTCGTCACGCTCATCAGCGAGGCGGCCTTCACGCCGGCGTAGGGCGGAGACGGCGTCGGGGCGTGGGAGGCCAGCGTGGGTGCAGGGCGGCCGCCGGGTCGAGGTGCGGTGGAGCGGTGCGGCAGGAGGCAGGAGGCTGGTCGCGGCTGCCGGGGCGGGTGGGCGATGACGGGCGCGGCGGGCTGCTGTCGTCGGCGGCGGTCGTCTGAGGGAGGAGTGCTGGGGCAGGAGGCAGCGCGGAAGGGGACAGCCTCGCAGTCAGACGCCCGAGCGATCAGGGCCGTCGTGTCTTGGAGCGGTGCCGATATACCCACCAGCAGCTCCAATTACCAGTGCGCGCTGCGTCGGGGCAGGCACCACGCCGATGCAAACGCTCGCCCGTGTGCGCGCTATCGGGCTCACGCCGTGCAGTGGATACGCGTGCAGCGTGCGGACTGCTGCTGCTGCTACTACTAATGCTACTGCTGCTCTCTTGCGTGCTGGCTGCTGCAATACAGTGTTCTGTTGCTGCTGCCGTGAGCTGTTCCCACACCAACGTGCGTCGTGCGCCATCAGGAAATTGGCTATTCTCGTCACCCGCACTACTGCACCCTCACAGCCACACCGCCCGCATTCCATCATTTCCCTCGCACATCCATGCCTGTGGCTTCGTCGCGGCTTCTGACACGTCTGCCGCAGCTGCTCCAGCGCACGCTCAGCGCTGCACCCACGGCCTGCTTCGCCTGAGCTGCTGCCCGAGATCAAGTTTCTGTGCAGCCTCTTCCCTTGCACGCCACTCGGAGCGTCGGATCGTGCCTAGCATGCCCTTGCTGCCGACCTGCTCCATCCAATCTCGCGGCGAGCGGCCAACCCATAGTGCCCACGGCTTTCGTCCGCCGTGTCTCGTATTCATCGTATGTCCGTGGCCATACATCATCATGCACGCGTTTGATCTTCAGTCAGAGACGTGATTACATACATTCTTCGGCGCGCGTTCATGTAAAGTCCGCCCGCTTTGAAAATTCTATTCTACCTTCTGTGTACTCGCACCATGCAAAGCTCTGTAGCTGGGTATACGCCAAAGAAACAAAACGAAATCACGACAATGCTAAGCCGATGTACGACGGGTGTGCAATTGACCCTCATCCAGTCATCGCCACGCTCTTGCGCAGACCCCGTGGAGCTGTGGGTCCGTGGGACCGACGCGTAAAGATCTTCAAATCCCTCCAGGGGCACCGACCCAGGTATACATCAAAGACCAATGCGTACGATCAGAATTGCATGCAGTAGCAGTAGTCTGCTGGCTTCTTTCTCATCCCTCGCAGCGCCTTGCGGACAAAGCCTCGTGAGATACCAAACGAACTGGCGACTTGACCAACTAAGTGTAAGAAATGTGTTTCCCCAAAAACGCTGGCAAATGCTAGTTTCATAGAAATGAATGGCAGGACTCAGTCTCGGTGTATCCTCCAAGCTTACCTCGTCTTGGACGTAGCAAGTGTCGCGACCTCGACTCCTTGTTGAACCAGATTAAGGCCAGGAATTTGGGCCTGCTGTAGCGGATATACAACGGCCAAGTGGCCGCGAACATCGTCGTACCAAAGATGGTTGTTTGCCATAAATCAGTTCTCCCTCGGACCACCGAACTCCAAATTTCAGTCATCGTTCGATACGTCGTCCTTCGCCCGATGCTAGAGTAACAACATCGGTGCGAACAGTCCGGCGCTTCTCAGCATGGCTGTCCTGGAGTAGCTTCGTGATATGGTCGATGGTAGATTTCGTAATGCGAGTCTGCTTGACAGACCAACCCGAGTTGTCCTTGTCGGCGTCGTGTGCTGATATCCAGGCTTTGGCATACAGGTCACGAGCGATGCGAACGCCGCCAGGAGAGCCAGCAGAGATGTTCCCGCCCAGGTACCATGGATTGTCTACGCAGTCGAAGGAATGCAGTAGTGCAGTCAATGGTAGAGCCGACTCTGAGACCAAGTGAGAGGAGGCGTAGGAGCGGACGATGTCATATGAGACCCCATGCGGCGAGTAAATGACGGATAGTGTCTTCTCGCGGTCACCGTTGGGCGATGGCACGATCGTTCGAGGCGACGATGCGATGGTCATGGGTGACCCCGGCGATGCAGGTGGGCTCATGGGAAGGTCTAGGTAGTACCCTGCCTTCGTAGCCGACAATACTGTGTATGGTGGTCGATAGGTGATGCCAATGGCATGGTGTAGCTTCGAGACATCTCTCTTCTCCGGCATCCATGCTATGGTGACCTCGCCGCACGACCCTCTCGGTGTCGGCGGCGGCAATACAATGCGGTGGATGGTTCGTTCATCGCCTTGCACGTATTTGGGCAAGGCATGAACTAGCTCAGGCCGAAAGTGTTTCCACGACTGGATCTTTCTAGCGGCAGGCGGGGTCGCGAGAATCGTAGATTCACAGTCCGTCGACAGCTGACGGAGCGTCGCTTCGTGGCAGTGGTCAGGTTTGTCCTGCGAGATGAGAATAAGATCCGGTTCGTGGTCCAGTTCCTTGAGGTGAGTTATACATGGCTGCGTCTTTTGGTGCGAAAGGGAGAAGATGGGGTTAAAGATGATGGAGGGGCCAACCAGCCAAGGATCGATCAGAACTGTGAAGGATCCTGGGAAGAGGCCAGGAGAGGACAGTGGGGCCACGGGGGGGCTGAAGGTGAGCAAAAACGCGGTGTCACCGTTCAATGACTTCACTGTCACAGACATCGCAACTCAGAAGCTGAGTTGTCGGATGTAGGACTGTAGATCAGCATGAGGTGCGTGAGATAAGAGGAGAAAGGCTGGCTTCTGTCCTGGCAGCAGGGAGGGAGTTGAACCGTCATCACCAGCCTGGATGTGAGTGCGCCATCGTCTGCACCTTCCGTCCTAGGAGGCTAAGGGTCTCGCGGCGGGAAGGTGCAGCCTCGAGCGAGCAAGAAGAGCCGGCGGTGTGGAGGCACCCACGAACAGACTCGGAGGCTCCCCATCGAACTAAGACCGTTGTAGGAGCCCCAAATATCTCATTGTAGTGTTTAGCCACCTCGAATACCAAAGGTCTCCACAAGTCATACTGAAATGTCTTGACGTGGTGACCATTGCGGCCTGCGCGGATTTGCGCACCTTTAAATTGAGGCTGTTGGCGCTAACCGTGTCAGCAAACATGGCACTTCCACGCGAGTGGCTCCGGGAAGACAGTTCATCGAACTTGTCGTGGCGCTTCTGACCCAACACTCCAACACACTTCATTCCTCAGTATCCATCGGCAAATTCATCAAACGGCAGATGCTGTTGCATCGCAGTCATCATCGACTGCCATCTGTTACGGTTGTTGGCTGTATTCGCAGGTTGCTGGCTGCCATTGCGCTCTTCGCCATAGACTAACGAGCCGGTTGGCTCGATTCCATGCCCGTCCCGTGACGAGTGGGCTGATGTCCAGCAGCGAGCCGCGAAATCGGTCAGCGCACAAATCGAAGGTAGGCTGTTGTCGCGACCATCGAGCGATGGCTACTATCATGGACATTGCAATGCTCGCCGGGCGGTTGCTACAGTCACGATGAGTGCAAGTGTCGCGCGCAGGCGGTGAACAAGCTCACCGTTCTGCTGACCAGGGAAAGCCGTCGCAAAAGTCGGCGCAGTGCGCTGCACTAACCCTCGCAGATGCTTACCGCCAGCTCGAGTGAAGGTGCGCGACTAGGAGCAGGCTTGTTGCGCTCTAGAGAGCAAATTTCGCAGCATTGAATCATGACGGCCGCGGTTCATTGGGCACCGCTGAAATCATCAATGCAAGACTCGGCATTGGCCAGAGCTCGAAGCTATCGTACCCTGACAGCTGAGCTCTGAGCTGAGTGGGCAGCGACATGGAGCAGAGCTTTCATTGATAGTAGCAGCTCAATCACAGCTTTCCTCTCCGAGTACTATGCTCTTCTACCTGCGTTTGCATGTCTGAAGTTCGGCAGTTTCACTAGTCCTAGGCACAGCTCTCAGCAGACGTCAAAGACAACCGGATCAGGACTCTACCCCGCGCTACCACTTCTTTCACCCTCGACCAGCATTTGCTCCCGGAGCTTGGTGTGCCGAACAACTCAGCTGCTCACCTCTGCGACACGTTGCCGAGCTCAAACACAGCTTCACCCTGGCGCTGCAGAGCACTGCAAGTGCCATTGACGCCCACTTCCCCACCCAGTGCGTCCGTCTTCAGCTGGGGCTTATCCCGCACCTCGCAGACACGGCGGATAGATGCTGGCCATGCCGCCGCGAGCTTCGCTCACTGGATCCTTCTCGGTTTCAGACGAGAACAATGTTGTCGTCTGCCCGCTGCGCAACCACGACAGCTCGGCCTGTCGGAAGCGCTGCACTGGGGTGAGTCCTCCCCGAGTCCCTTGAAGTTGGAGCTGCGTCCACGTCATGGCGACCGCCGCCACTGCCCACCAGACCTCGAATAACACGCCGTGCTGCGCAGGAAAAGCGGTACCGCTCCATGCAGGAGCACATTCGCCGCGCCCACCCCGAGCATTACATCTCGAAGCTCCCTGCTACCGAGGAGAGCTTCACGCTGATGGTCAACACCCCTCCACAAGAGCGCCCGCCCCCGCCTCCCCAACCTACCAGCGCAGCAGGCCCACAAGGTTGGTGCCCTCGTCTCTCCACCAGCAGCGGAGACTGACACATTGGCAAGGCTTTGGTGCAGGCGACTTGAGCGCCTTCTACAACGACGACTACAGCTCGGGCGACCTGCGCCTTTCGGACGACCTGCTGCGCCGAGGGTCGCTCCTGCCCGCGGCCACTGCTGCAGCCGCCCTTGCATCGTTGCACAATCACCGCCCAGAGTTCGAGTGGGACTCCGACCCGGTAAGTCCCGTGTCGCGGCGCTCGGCAGCGTCCCTGCATCAGGTAGTACAAGGGAAGGCTGACGCATCTATCGTGATCAGGATGCAATATCAGAGCCGGATTCGAAAAGCTACAGACCCCGTGCTCGGTTCGCTCCTACCGCGCTAGAGCAGCACATCACCACCGAAGAGCCATACTACACGTCCACGTCCATCAACCGCGAGCTGTTGCCCTCTTCGCTTGCACGATCGCCGCCGGGTCGCTCCTCTACACTGCCGCCGGCTCCTCGATCTCGACCTCGTAAGCCCTCGGTGGGACAGAATGCTCGCAAAGGCAAGCATGAGCGGCACAGATCCAAGGATCATACGCGTAGGATGAGCTATGACAGGAAAGCGTACTCTGCTGAGCCTCAGACAGCTGCAGCCATCCTTGGTAAGCGGTGGGAAGATCTCATTGACGCTGCTGCATCCGCCACAGAAGAAGACAGTCGAGATCTCACTCCTGTACGTACGACAGCTCCCTGTAGTTGCTGAGCTAACTGCAGAAGGTGCCGCAATCGCCGTTCATGTCGCCACATATGATGGATAGCCGCAAATCGTTGCCGCCCTTTGTAGCCTCACAACTACAGTCCTACACTGCATCGCCGCTGGTGAACTCCCTAACACCGCCACCAGCAGACATGTCCGATTTGCAGCCATTTCCCTCCGTGGAGTCGTCCATTGAATCAGCCATCTCGGGTCAAAACTTCCACATGGCCTCACAAGGCCTCTCCGACTCGTCTCCTACCTATCCTTATCCTGTGCAGATATATTGTGCTGCCTGCCGCAAGCTTTCGAATCTCAAAGACAGCTATGCGTGCTCCGAGTGCATCTGCGGTTTATGCCAGGAGTGTGTTGACGTGCTCGTCAGCGAGCACACCCGCGGCCGAGCACCACGGTGTCCACGATGCAGTGCCATCGGCGGCAAGTTTAAGCCCTTCCAGCTGGACATCAGATGATTCTTTGCCTCGCGTATTCTTCCCCACACTTGACTTTGTCTACGGCGTTATGAGTGTATGACACAGTCCAAAACCTTAGGCGGCTTCTTGATACACGGCTATCACGCATTACTAGCACAGCTGACGAAAATGGCGTTTTTGGGTTCGATTTGGGTTTTGCATAGACCACTGGTCGACATTAGGGTTGGCGTTTTGATTTTGGCGTTCACCAAGTTGCCCTCGTGGCGCGTGTAGATGTTGGGAACAGGCTACGCATCGATAGACGCTCGTTGCAATGAAGTATTTTTGACTGCATGCTTCGGCATAGCAATGATATACCTGCCTACTCTTTTATCTTCGTGATGTATGGCCAGAGTGGATCCTGCACGGCTTGCAAGGCAGCTCTGGTAGGCAAGAAATCTTGTGACAATGGTGCAACGAGCAAGCGAGGAGATGGTAGGCTACTCTCGCGTGTACGAAATAGGATCAGTGTACATATACGTGTATACCGTCCAAACGATCTGCGGTAAATCAATAATTACAAATAACGCTCCTAGACATGATAAGCGATCTGCACAGTCGCGGCCAGACCAAGCTGTGTAAGCACGCTGCAATGGGACGTCAACAAACACGTTACACGAGCTTCCCGTGACAACACCTCTCTTTATCACGAACGCTCAATACCTTAACAACGTTAGACTGCAGTAGTGCCACTATTCCGTGGGGCTGGCTCGGCAGCGCCATCTACCAAACCGTACCCGGCCTTGTCTAGACTCGGAAGCGAGCATGACGACGTCGATGCTGGAAACAGAGAAGTGGTGAAACGACCCATGGTTCACGCTCTGTCGGGAGCTGTCAGTGTCCTACAGCGTCCCGAGGAGTCGTCAGCCGCGATAGGAGTTGGGAACAAACATTGTTGGGACTCAGGAGAACCCCTTCAGGGTCAAACATGCCATGCGCCCACAAGCATGTCACAGTCACACTCCTGCACTGCACAGACAACGCGGCAAAGTCCCGAGGGAGGCGTTGCAATACCCGAGGTTCTAGAAGGCCGTCCAGGCACGCAGAACGGTGCGGTACGGGTGGGAATGGGGGTTGCGAGATTGCACATGCAGGGCAACAAACCCATTTGCGGCCTCATAAGAAACTTCGCTCTGCTGCAGGGGCAGCCTCCGTCGCCAGGTCAAGTGGGGAGCGTCATGACTTTGCGAGGGCTTTGGCTGCGTTCCGGCGCGCCACGGCTGCACTTTCGCTCGCACCGCGGGCGCCTGGTGGGACTGCGCGGCCGCACACGAGCTTTAGAACGGGTCGGGTCCCAAGCTTCAGCGTGGTTTCCAGGGGCGGGCGCCCGTCCGTACGTGTCACGCGCAAGACGGCGTTTGGAGGAGTCGGCGGCCAAGAACGAGAATTCTTGTTGAAAGCTTCGGAGCTGTCGCGTTGGGCTTGGCGGGCTGCGAGTGGTGTTAGTCGGGGTGCAGCGGTTCTGGAGACGACGGGCGCAGGCGTGACTCGCTGCCGGCTGATCGCATATGCACGAAAGACGCAAGACATCGCATGACCTCAATTTCGTTGTCCGTTGCGCGCGAGGCCTCAGCCACGTTGTTGTCGAGGCCAATGGGAGGGGTGTGCTGGCTATTTGACTGCCTTGCAGACCAATGCGGAAAGCACTGATACAAAGAAGTGGTCAGGTAGCAACGAGCGGTGAATGTGTGGCCGATGTCTGGCAGCCGTCGCTACCCCGCCACCGATGCACCTCCTGTCCCAAAGCGAGCATCTGTTCCTGTCTAGTTCTCCATCCTCGGTGCACCTATCTTTGGGTCGGGCGTCTCGGCCAACAAGAATCCGTGCTTTGGTAACGGTGGGGCCACGCGTGTGGCATCCTTGACGTGCCTGGCGTGCAAGGATGCAAGTGCAGCGAGCCTGTCGCGAGCAACGTTGGAGATCGGCGGCTAGTTCAGGGTCGCCCTGCGGTCTGGATGTTTTACACGGGGGGAACGTGGTTTGGACTACTGCGGGTACTTTATTGGGTTGTATTAATGCGGGCAAGTATGTCGGTGTGGATGCCTTTGTATATAGGTGCAAGGAGGTGTCGCGTGTTACTGCTCTTTTCTCCTTTGATCTACGTTCACTTGGTCCTATTAACATTATCGGCTGTCACACATACGGAATCCGACATAGTCAATATCAACAGACAACTATACCAACACACAACTACACCAACATGGCTCTCCTACGCACTCTCACCACTAAGATCAAGACCAAGATGTCGCCGTCGTCATCACCCGCTACGTCACCAACCTCACCTCAAGTCTCTTCTTTCGAAAGGGTCAGTGGACGTAAAGACTTCAGCGAGCAACGACCAGAGATCCAGACACGGATGGACTCTTTCACCGAAGAAGACGACGAAGTCTATGAAACACCCAAAGAGACGGAGAAGAAGAGCAAAAGGGTCAGCCGATTCCGTGAGGAGTTGTTTGAGTGAATGTATCTGCCAGTTGATGTCTAACGGGTATGTTCTTCTCGTGGTGTCCTGCTGGGATCCTCAAAGCTAATCGTGCTACAGTCAACATTCCATACTCATCATGCTGCATCTGCTCCTGTCTCGGCAGCTGGCTCGTCGGGTCCACTCTGCACAGGCGTGCCGATCTGAGGCGGAGCTTGAGGCTGAGCTTGAGGTGGTCCGCCAGCCTTCGGCGGTGGAGGCACACCGCCCTTGCCTTTGGGGGTGTAGTCGTCCTCTTTGCTCTTCTGCTCGCCTTCCTTGAAATAGTCATCCAGGCCACCGCCTCCAGGCGCAGCAGCATGCGTCCGCTGCTTCCGCTTCGGCGGTCCGGTGCCTTGCGGTGGTGGAGACTTCGCGGGCATGGCAATGTTCGCCGGCACGAAAAGCTCGGATCCACTACCGGCGCCGCCTGGACCAGATGAAACGTCAGAGATCAGAGGTCGCTTCTCATCGAAAGATGTTGGCGCGCTGTTCGCAGAGAACAAGGTCTCTCCCGGTGCTACTGGTGGCTCTTCTAGTGATGCCGGAATGCGGTGAAGAGCCCCAAAGCCTAGTACGCAGCCCAACGCTCCTTCACCGCCCCAACTACGCGTTGGCGTGATGGTGACTGGTCGTGTGACGTTGTACTCATGGTTGTACACGAGAAGTCGAAGTGGGCGGTTCATAAACTACACTTGCGTCAGTCTCATCAGCATTGGACTGGAAAGAGATCCTCGTACATCGTCGACAAGTTCACCCAAACCTGACTCGCCGCGGACTAACCCTTCTGGGCTGCCAATGACATAGTCGCCATATGGCAGTAGTCCAGCAGTGTCAGCAGGAGAGTTGGGCGCCACGTCTAGGATATGCCAGACATCCTCTGCGATAGTAAGAGGTGACCATTGCAGCGAGATGCCCAAAGTTGGCTTCTCGGCTGGAATGCCTATGTAGACTTCGCGAATCACTTGACCCTGATGAGCAAGTTAGATTTAATGATTGAAACGCTACTTTCAACCCATTAATTGCAATTATCAATCTGCTTACCTTTGCACTGAAAACACCCACACTGATCGTGTTGCCCGCACAGTTGCGCACCTCTGTCGCAAACAACGCTGGGTCAGGGTTGTCCTACATGCCCCGTCAGATCCATCTATCCCAACTTGACTCATCTTGCACTCACAATGGTCCTGCCGTTGATCCCAATAATGAAGTCAAACCAAGGCTCCAAAGGAACTTCCTGGTTCGCGTTTCTCAACACCTGGAAGCCATATGCGCCGCCAACACCGGATTGTTGCTGGTCCTGCGGGGCAGCATCGAGTCGAGAGATGAAGCGATTCAACGCTCCAAACATGGTAGACATGATGCGTGCAGGTCTCCTGTTAGATGGTGTTGTGGTGTTGGTGATGATGACAGGTCGCGTTCGGCTTCAGGGTTGTGTTGTGGCCAATGCGCATGAGCGCTAGTGCGCAGTTGAGGATATTCGGACCATGCATGGTGTTGCAGATCAACCGCAAAATACGACCGAACTGGGAGGGAACTAGCTGTAATATCAAAGCAGCTCGTAGTATGAACCTAATAAACATGGCAATGTGGAGACTTTGACAGCGAGTGAGAAAGTCTTGTACTAGTCCTGAACAGGTAAGGCGTGTTGAGGCTACTTTCTCTCAGGCTGCGAGAGTCTGCAACCTTTATTGCTACCATACTTCTTCCGCGTACCTGGACGATCCAGTTTGGCCTGTACCGATATCCTGATATTTTCTTCTACGGTGGGATTCCAGATACTGGCAAGAAGCCAAGCCTGTAGAGGGCATCTGCCCAAGCACCATGGAGGAGGTACCAGATGGTGTTCACCAATGGTTGAGCGTTGATCAGTTTCCTGCACATCTGCAGAAGTAAGTCGCTCAAAACATAGACAATCTCAGACAAGAGTGTTGACAGTAAACAGATACTGGTTCCAGCGGTTCAAGATCTGGGATAAGTATGATGAAGGCGTCTGGATGACGGAGGATGCATGGTTCGGTGTCACTCCAGAGCCTATTGCGAAGTAAGTTTATTCCTCCGTCCAATCTGAACGTCTGCCTGACAGATTAAAGCAAGATCGCAGCCCACATTGCAGAGTCGGCGCCTAAAGAGAAGACCGTGATCATCGATGCTTTTGCAGGCGTAGGCGGCAATGCAATCGCTCTGGCTCGCTCAGGCCGCTGGGAGCGCGTTTTTGCCATTGAAAAAGATCCTAAGACATTGAGATGCGCCAAGCATAATGCAAGAATTTATGGTGTTGAGAAAAAGATCTTCTGGCTTGCAGGCGACTGCTTCGAGGCGATCAATAGATTCGCTGGACAGAAGAACACTGTCATATTCGCTAGTCCGCCATGGGGAGGTAAATCTCATTACTCCGATCTGTTGAATTTCAGGGCTGACACTTGCAGGTACCAGCTATGGCGAGGACGACGTATTCGACTTGACAAAAATGGAGCCGTACAATCTCGACAAGCTCTACAAAAGTTTCACAAAGCACAGCAAGGAGCTTGTTCTGTACCTCCCGAGAAACTCGGATCTCAATCAGATTGCAAGCTACGTGCCTGAAGACCAAAAGCTTGAGGTAGCACACTACGCCATCATGGGTGCCAGCAAGGTATGTAGGGTCGGTCTAGTGCAAGAATCAGGACTAATATCATGTAGGCATTATGCACATACTTCGGTAATTTCAACTTCGACGTTGCAGAAGTGGAAGAGGAGTGAGATCAATCGAGGCAAGATTTCCAATCTGTTCAATATTACATGCTAGATGGCTGCGATACATGCGTTCGTGCACAACGTGCCAAGACGTTGGTTCAAATTCTCTTTTAGGCGTGAGTGAAACTCTACCTTTGAAACACGAAAACTCATTGTCTCGCTGAAAATGTGTATTTTACCATTCGCGTTCACGCGTTGTTCGGTCTGAACCTGTTGGTCCGTGCATACGAACCGTTCTCGAGCTTCTGCCTCCATCGAAGCAACACCACAACGCGCCCGCGGGCAACTGCGACGTCGCCACCCTCTGATATTATACACGTGTTGTCGGCAGCGGACTCGAGTACTCGTCAGATCGCCGAAAGAGTCTAGGAGGAGTTTATATTCTCAGACATAGCTTGCGCGCGACACCGTCGGCGGCGGAGGCGTGCATGAGGCACGACGCACCCCTCGACGATCAACCCACCGCGCGGGTTACTTCACTGTCGACTCTCGGGCATCCAACTACCGTGCGCAACCCTCGCGCTTAGATCTCACCTTTGCGTAAGTCGACTGCGCAACGCCCGGTACTGCTGCGCTGCACGCGACCATGTCTTTCGAGCAAAATCCTCCTGCAGACGCGCCAATGGAAGACGCGGACGATGACGACCTAGGCAAGCTGCTGCAATCAGCACAAGTGGGCGCTGCAACGGGCGGCGAGGATTTCTTCCAATCGTTGAACAACCGGGAGCTCGATCGAGGAGAGAAGGCGGACGATGCCATCGACTATGAAGACATCTCCGATGGTGATCTGCCGGACGAGGAGTTTACGACAGAGACCGATGGAATTTCGAACCTTCAAAACTTCAGTGGGACTACAGTGCAAGATTCTGGCGAGAGTTTCGAAGATGGCGGAGATGACATGGACGATTTATTCGGCGACGGACTCTCAAGCCCTGTTCTGGAACGGTCGCATCATTACAAGGACAAGCCGGTCGATTCTATCGAGGACCTCCTCAACGGAACACAATCACATATTGCAAGCGCTGGAAGTGGTAGACTGCAATCTGTGTCACAGAGCGTTACCTTTGGCACAACACAAGAAGACGACGAGGATGACGACCCGGAATGGCTTGAGCAGAAGCGCTTGTTTGAGCAGGCGCGTACTGGCAAGGAAGGCGAAGGCGCAGAAGGTCCAAAGACCACACGAGAGGACTTCGAGAAGATGTGGCCTAACTTCGAGGAGAAAGTGCCCCCGCGTTTCTTCAGCTTGGTGCCACGTAACCGTGCCTTCTACATCCCCAAGGTCCCGCAGAAGCAGCCAAAGATCATGCCTTTGACTAAGGCCAGTCTCGAAATCGCAATCGACCAGGAGAAGAGCTTTCGACTACCTGCAGCAGGACCTACAACCGGATCAAAGCGGCAGTTGGAGGAAGAGCAGGGTTGCCTAATCTACATTACGAGGGTTGTCAAAGAGGAGCAGGAAAGCGACGACCAAATGGAGTTAGACAACCTCGACCCACTTGATGATCGTGAGAGAATTGGCAATGTCTCCTGGAATGATCTTAAGATTGCTTGCGAAGACTGGGATATTCTGGATGACGGAAGTACTTCGGACCCCGACCAGCTCTTATCACCTCCAGATACGATCCTGGGGGATGACGATGGCGACTGGATACGTTCTCTCGTACCTTCCAAGAAGCGAAAGCTCGGCAGCCGAGAAACCCCAGTTACATTCTCAGTATACGATCACATGGATCTTCCGTCTTGGGATGACCCAGAAGCAGAGACTGCAAGGATCGCAAAGAAGATCATACTAGATATGAACGACCCGCATCTCCTGCTGGACATCCAGCTGCCTAGTGCAGAGCCACCAAAACCGCGCACTATGGGCCTTGGCCTCAAGCGTGACAATCGTGGCAGTCTCGCGAATCCTATGTTTAAGCGATACAACATCTCCAACGATGAGGCGTACGATGCGCTTAAAGAGAGTAGCCAGCAGAAGGTCCGCAGCACAATTGGTCACATGAATGTTGAGCATAGTTTGCCCGCGTTGAAGTTGCAATACCCCTTCTACAAGGTCAATCTCACCGATCGCGAGCTGCGATCCTTTCACAGGCCGACGATCGAGTTTAGACCTGGTGAGCGAGCCAGCATCTCGTTGCTCAAATCCGTCAAGCGAAAGCACAAAAAGAATCTCAAGCCATCGGAAGCATTCGCCACGGCCGAGGATCTCAACGTTGGCGACAACTCGGATCTCCTACTTGCTGAATACTCTGAAGAGTACCCTACGTCGCTGTCGAATTTCGGCATGGGCATAAAGATCCTCAATTACTATCGTCGCAAGGATATGGAAGACAGTGCTCGACCGAAGCGTGAGGACGGAATTGGAGAAACCTCGGTGCTATTGCCTCAGGATAAGAGTCCATTCTCACTCTTCGGCCAAGTTGAGCCTGGCCAGGAAGTACTGACTCTACACAACGCCATGTATCGAGCACCTGTCTTCAAGCATACGCCTGAATCGACGGACTTCCTTATCAGCAGAAGTAAGACTGGTGTTAATGGCACCAAATACTACATGCGAAATATCCCTCACCTTCTCGTTGTCGGCCAGCAATTTCCTTCAGTCGAAGTACCCGGTACGCACGCGCGCAAGGTTACCGAGGCTTCGAAGAAGCGACTCAAGATGCTTTCCTTCCGCATGTATAGGAGGGGTGAGACGTACAACATCAGGCAGCCGTGGGTCAGCAACGAGATGATCAAGCTACATCTTCCGGGAACCGAAATCGCACAAAATCGATCCCGCATGCGCGAAATCATGAAGTATGACAAGGACCTTGGTACCTGGAAGCCACAAGAAGGCGAGACGATTCCAGACGAGCCCATGTTGCGCACCTGGATCAAACCCGAGGACGTGTGTCTTATTGATTCAATGCATGCTGGTGACAAGCAGCTTCAGGACTCCGGTATCAAGTCGAACGACATCAGAGATGACGAAGAAGAGGCGGAAGGCGAGAATTCGGCAGTCAAACTGGCACCCTGGAACACCACAAAGAATTTCCTGAACGCTTGTGCAGGCAAAGCCATGCTGGAGTTGCACGGTGAAGGTGATCCTACCGGACAAGGTCTGGGATTCAGCTTCATCAAGGTCTCAATGAAGGGTGGTTTCCGCGACGTCGGGCAAAGTGCAGCAGATCAGGTCAATGCCAAGAAGCAGAAAGAACTGAGCGGTCACAGCTACAACGTTCAGCAGCAGCAAGCGATGTACGAGAATGCCATCAAGCGTATCTGGAACAGACAGAAAGAGAACCTTTCAGCAACAAACCCTCCAGAGGATATAGAGGAGGATGTGGATTCTGCTGCTGCTCGCAACGCACAACGCGGACGTTCTGAAATGGGTACACCAGCTCTGATGCGCGACGACGACACTATGAGTCAACTCAGTCGCAATAGTAATGCGGAAACTCACGGCAAGAAGTTGCGCATCACACGAACCGTCAAGAACAAGTACGACGAATTTGAAGAACAGGTGGTAACGGTCACCGATCCCGAGGTTATCAAGATGTACATCAAGCGCAAGAAGCAGGATCGCCTGATGAACATGCGTCTTGACGACATCAAGCCCACGGGTGACGCAGAGTACGATCGTCAACAACAGTTGAAGCTCATGGCTGAGCTGAAACGCCTGGAGCGCAACATGGAACGTCGACAAGGCCGTGAAAAGGCCAAAGGTCAGGCAACAGGCGACGGAGGTCCCGGCAAGGGTGGTGCAACACCTAGGAAGTGTGCCAATTGTGGTGAAGTTGGCCACATCAAGACAAACAAAAAGTAAGCTACATGCCGTCATGACTTTCAAGTTGACTATTTGCTAATGGTTCTACGCAGGCTTTGCCCACTACTCAATGGCCAGAAGAAGCAGAGTGATACCTTTAAGGACGCTTCCGCTGCAACTCCTGTACCTGCCACTCCCCAAACGGCTGGCTCGCCGCTCTAGTATGCTAGAGCCAGTCCGCTCCATCACATGCTCTACTAGCACTCAATGGGCGGCATATTTGATTTTTACACAAGCATAGCATTGGCGCTGGTGGTATTGCAACCTGGATGCATTATTCATGCTCGGGCCAGGGAAAATGTGTGGATTCGGCGCGTATGATACAAAACACTGCTGTTCTGATACCCAGTATTGCAAGGGAAACAGAAAGTTGACAGTTGAATGATACCAAATATTATTCCAGTCTGGCTCTGATTACGTTGCCGACCTGTCCATCTTAGTGTCTGGTACCCTACTTCGTAGCGCGGGGTCGTGCTGCGACCCGATGCTCTTCCCAGCGACGTGATGATCACGGGTTCCTCACTTCTGAGTGCAAGATCGTTTCTCGTGTCACCTGGATGCCGCCCAAATCTTCTCGTACCTCCACAGTGCTTGCATCTTGTAGGTCTGGTTTCGTGTGCTTGATGGAGCCCGATCTCTCGCTATCCCAGCCGTCCATGACAAGCTCGTCATTCCAGGTAGTCGGTATCACATGGATACTACGGTTCTTACCTCGACGTGCAGGTGTGCTTAGGGTGGACTTGAGGGGCTGCGAGTCGCCGTCTTGCAGGGAACCGCGACCATACTTGGAGCCGCCGGCCATGGAGTGAATCTTCTCGACACCGCGACGCGTCAGCGGGTAGATCATGGGAACGTTTCCGATGACGACGGCAACGAAGGTTTCGCGACATGCCCAGCTTCCTGCCGCTTGTGCGCCGTTGATCGGGTCCCTAATGATGAGGGCGCAACGCAGGATTCCGGCCATCATCACGAACACGCCACCTCCGAAGACAACGACAAGTGACAGTTTCCTCTTGAGCTCCAAATTGGCCTTCCACAACATGGGCATTGGGATTGACAAGAGATATATGTCGGTGAGGACGTTGAGGACCACGGTCACATACAAGTCAATCTTGGAGACAGCTGGCTGGCAAAAGTCTGCAGAGTCGGTCAGCCCTTGCGTATGCATGTTATCTAGCGCGCTTACTGCCCGGGTCCGGTTGGATCTGCCAGTTGCGTTTGAAAGGCTGACAACCCAGCAGGATGGACAGCTCTGTAGCGATGTATGTCGCACCGATCAACGCATAGCCGACCTTGACACGCAACTCAAGGTAATATAGCCCAGCTCTGCATATTGTCAGTACAACGTCGATTGAACCATGTATACTGGGTAAGGAGACAACTCACGTCAGTCTCGAGTAAAAGTGGCACATGCACAACTTCAGCGTCCATAGGAGAAGTGTGTACAGACTCCAGCCTACCAGCTGCGTCTTCGATCCACCTACCCGAAGCGCGTACTCCTGTGACTCAGGATCGAGTTGTATTCGCTGCTCTTCTGTCATGCCATTGTTCGCAAGTCCGCGCCACCATGCACCGACAATGTATGCAGTTGCTGTTTCGAGACCGTATATGACCTAAAACCGGGTGAGCAGAGACTAAGACCGGCGAAGCAATCATACGAACAGCAGCAAAACACATAAGATAATCGTCAAACTGGAACTTATGGACGCCTACCGCGACCGCGCGCGCAACAATCCTCAGTGCGATGAAGGCGGTGCCCACGCCAAGGAGCGTGAATGCCTCAGTCGTGAAAGAGTCCGCCATGTTTCTTCTAGGTCTCGTTCGACCGCGGTCGAGAGTAAAGTTCAGGAACAGGTCTGCCACAGGGCACTGACAGCCTCGGTCTTAATGAGCGACACATCGGTCCCCAGTCATTGTCCATCACTGCGGCGAACAATGGAGCCGTTTGCAAGACAGCAAGGTTTCGCAGTGACACTATACGCTTGTGGAAAGAGAGGCGGATCATCCGTATCTTGATTCGTCTCAATCTTGTACACATGTGGAAGCCGAGCGGTCGAGCCGGTATTTGCACGTCCACGAACAATGGAGTCAAACGCTCCTCATTCCGGTTACAGTCAAGTTGGGGCCGGGGAGGAGAGGGCAATGCCGAACGAACGGGACTACAAACACGAAGGGGCCAACGAACGGAAGAAACAAGCCACTCACTGGCTTGATCACACTGTTCGTCCCTACACCTCCTGTCTTTGTCCCCCTTGCTGCCCATCGACACTGTTCTGACCAATAGGCCCGACTGGCATGTTGCAGTGTGCTCCTCGGGCACTCGCTCCGTTCCGGCCGTCTGGTTGTCGCGTTATGTGATGCGCGTCTGGGAAATAGATCGACAGCTGTACGACTGCACTCCTTTTGACATCCGAGACCTGAATAGCGATGCTTGCAAATGGGCGCATCAATTTCTTCGGAGGCGGCGACAACTGCGACAAACCGTTTCGCCGCGCACCGTGAAGATCGCCTCCTCATCAATGTGACACGGTGAACTAAACGGCTCGAGCCGTTGAGGCGGACCCGGCAACGGCATGACGACGCAGGCCTGGCGCGCCCCACACCACCCCGTTCAAGGCTCGCAACCCGAAGTCAACGATAACAATCACCTTCACTATGAGATCCCGGTGTTATGAGTCGCTAAAATTCACCGAGAGCCCACAATTGTTGTTCCAAATACGCTTTCCGCATGGTCGAAAGGGAAACCGAAATGCATCCCATCCTGCAAAGCCTTACATGTGGCACCTTCCACTAGTGGTTCACGACGTTTCCGTGCTCCTGGGTTTGCAAGCATCTGCAGGTCACACTTAATCTGGGTAGACCGGTCGCTCCCCTTCTCTTCCGTGGTTGCTTTGTGGTTGCTTTTCTCCATCCTCTAGTCAACAAACGAACTCAATCGACATGGAAGAAGTTGACTTGGTCGTTGTGGGAACAGGTAGGTTACGCGTCGATCTTGTTCACTCCAGGGCGGATACGGCGTGCCCTCTCAATGCCAGGATTTATAGGCAGGCGTTGTGTTGTCGTGTCAAATTCTTTGTTTGAAGTTGGGTGTTACCACGCCATACGGAGGCATGGGAAGTGGCTGTCAGATTCCCTGCAAACACGAGCTGTCACTTCCTTTTTTCGAAAACCATGCTTAGCGTTGGGATCGCACAGAGAAGCATCGCAACACCTTTTCAAAAATCAATGCACAAGACTGACATCAACTCGCAGGCTGGTACGGCCTTGCCGCAGCAAAAGCATACATTGAGCTTCACCCGAACGAAGATATCGTCGTGCTTGAGGGCGGCCCGAGCATCGGCGGCGTCTGGAGCCATGATCGCCTCTATCCTGGGCTGAAGTCCAATAACATGCTCGGTACCTATGAATTCAGCGACTTTCCAATGGACCCTGCCACGTACGGCGTTCAGCCAGGAGAGCACATCCCGGGCTCGGTTCTGCACAAGTACCTGACCTCCTTTGCAAAGGAATCAGGCATCTATCCTCGTACTCGGCTGAATACTCGGGTCGAGTCTGCTGAAGAGAACCTTAAAACTGGCAATTGGACCTTGAGTACGAGAGATACTGTGACCGGTAAAGAAGCATTTCTGCACACCAAGAAGTTGATTGTCGCCACTGGACTCACTTCCGAGCCTCACCTGCCGAGTTTCGTCGGAGAGGCAGACTTCAACTCGCCGATCTTCCACTCCAAAGACTTTCATAAGCAAGCCGAGACTATCTCAACGGCTCGTAATGTTGTTGTTCTAGGAGGCGCCAAGAGCTCGTGGGATGCTGCGTATGCTTACGCCAGTGCTGGAGTCTCGGTCGACATGGTCATCCGCCAGAGTGGTCGTGGACCCGTGTGGATGGCACCGCCCTACGTGACGCCTCTCAAGAAATGGTTAGAGAAACTCGTCCATACACGCTTCCTGACGTGGCTGAGCCCTTGTATCTGGGGCGATGAGGACGGGTACGGTGGCATTCGCCGCCTCCTACACGGCACCTGGCTAGGGCGCAAGATTGTCGACTCGTTCTGGGGCATTCTTGGCAGCGACGCAATCGATCTTATGGAGTACAACAAGCATCCCGAGACCAAGAAGCTCATCCCCTGGCACTCGGCATTCTGGATTGGAAGCGGCCTTAGCATTCGCAACTTCCCAACAGACTTCCTCGAATACATCCGCAACGGCCAAGTCCGCGTCCACATCGCAGAAATCACGCAGCTGTCCAAAAAGACGGTCCATCTTTCCTCCGGCGAGCAAATCAAAGCAGAAGTCCTTTTCTGCGCAACGGGCTGGAAATCACGTCCCCCTATCAACTTCCTCCCGTCCGGACGGCATGCTGAGCTCGGTGTCCCCCACTACTCCGCGAAGCCCGATGCGCTCGTCACCGAAGCCGACTCGCTCATCCTCAACAAATTCCCCCGGCTCCAGAACCAGCCCAGCGTTGCAACCTCGACTCGCAGCGAGACGGACGCCGAGACGCCAAACCAGCCGTTCCAGCTCTATCGCTTCATCGCGCCCCCGGCCACGATGGAAAAGCGCAACATTGCGTTCGCGGGCATGATGTCGACGATCAGCACCTCGATCTGCGCGCAAGCACAGGCGCTCTGGATCTCGGCCTACTTTGATGGGAGGCTGGACCGCCTCCCTACCGCGGAGCAGGCGCGCTGGGTTACGACGCTGCACGCGCGGTTCGGGCGGTGGAGGTACCCCTGTGGCTATGGCGCGCGGCTGCCGGACTTTGTGTTCGATGCTGTGCCGTATCTGGACATGCTGCTCAAGGACGTGGGCCTGGAGAGCCACAGGAAGGGCGGAAGGATTGCGGAGTGGACGGAGCCGTATGGGCCGGAGGACTACAAGGGGCTGACAGGGGAGTGGGCGAGGAAGCATGAGTGAGGCGCAGGGCGCGAGGTGAAAAGCGGGATATTCGTTGATTCGTTATTCATGCACGTCATTAGCCGGTGCGGCCATGTCAGATACCAGATATGCAGTCTAGCCTTTGTTTCTGGCCTCGTCCTCGTTTTCCTCGAGCACGATCTCATACCCCGACCCGTTCTTCACCCATAGGCTCGCAAGACACCCCACCGCGCTAACGCCCGCGATAGCCCACCACCCCACCCCCAGGATCCCCCTTTCCAAACCAACCCCGAACCAATAACCTCCCGCCACGGGACCCAGCGTGCGCATCGCAGAGCTCACGCTCTGCCCGACACCGTGGATAGTGCCGAGAACGGTGGGGTGTGGACTTGCGTTGTTGACCAGGATGATGGAGGCCGGCAGCGCGAACGTGCGCGCAGAGACCTGCAGCGTGAGCATGAGGACGATGCCGAGCCAGATCAGCACGCCCGACGCCGGCTGGGGCGGCGCGGTCGCCGACGGCAGCAGCGCGAGATACGGCGCGAGAGCGTATGCGAGGGGGAAGAGGAGGAGGGAGTAGCGGAAGCACCGCATGAGTCCGAAGCGCGCGTTTGCCCAGGGGTAGAGCAGGATTTGCAGCGCGAGGCCGACGATGCCCAGGATCGCTAGCGACGAGCCGAGGAGAGACGGCGAGAAGGCGAGGCCGCCTGTGAAGTGCACGGCGTCTGTTCTGGCTGTTTGATCTGGTGTGGGGCGTGGAGTCGAGAGGAATATGATCCACAGGCCGGAGAAAGCGCCCATGTGCAGATCGAAGATGGCGACACTGAGCAGTGTCCATAGCACGTTCGGTGTCCAGATCTTCGAGAAGGGTAGCCGGGCTGATTGGTGTCCATTTGGCCCACGCTTCTCGAGGATGCTGTGAGCATTCTGTCCGTTGCGAGTAGACAGAACCGCAACAACGCCACGATACATGTCCGTCATCTGATCTACAAACGACCGGTCATGCCTTTTCGTGGCTAGCGTTTCTTCTAGGAACACTGTGACCAGTCCAGCTTCTGCAAAGAGAAGAGCAGTACATAGCAGACTAGGCAGCGCGTATGGAAAAGCCTCGAGGACACTCGACACATACGCTCCGCCGAACAAGCGCGGGTGTGTCAACACAGGATGCACCAGAGCACCCCCAACAACCGGACCAAGTATGTTAGCAACATTGAACGCGACCGGCAAAAGTAGAAACGCCCTCGAGTGCCACTTCTTGTCCACGCTCTCCGCGACCATGGTCCTGGCAGCGCCCACAGTCCCGTTGACCGCCCCTCCCAGCACCCTCCACGCCACCATCTGCGCAAAGCTCAGACTAAACGCCACCCCTACGCAGCTCAGCCCGGTCCCCAGAAGCCCAATCAGCAGAACCGCCTTGCGTCCCACGAGCGGCGAGTCTGCCGCACGGCCCCAGAGAATGGAAGTCACGATCTGCGCGAACGTGAATGAGCCTTGCAGGACGCCGGCCTGGTACGAGAGGGAGGCGGTGGGGATCCCGATGTCGAAGGAGCGGAGTTGTTCGACCATGTAGGACTGGAGGGACGCCATTTGCCAGAAGTCGACGAGGCGCGAGAGCGCGAGGATGGCCAGCGCTGTCTTGTTTGGCATGTTGAGCCATGTTGGCGTGATCTCCTCGACTGTTTCCTCACTCGGAGTCTCTATGTCGTGGGTGGGTCCGCCCGGTTCCGTGATCCGGATGGTAGGTGTGGTGGGTTGGCGGGGCGAAGGGAGAGGGTATTGTGCCGACTCTCTGCGCTGGTGCAGCGACCTGCGCGCATCGGAGTTCACATCTGCGGAGGTGCTTTGTTGTCGCTTATGGAAATTGCTTAAGATCATCTCGGACACCTCTTCCTCCTACAACAACTGGTGTGTAGGAAAGACTCGGTATTCAGTACAGACCATATACCTCGAACGCAGGCCGGTTGTATCGCGTCACGGGAGGGCAACCTCTGGGGAACTCTTGTGCATGGGCAGCTGTCTGCGCAGCAGTTATGTAGCCTGAGGCCACAACAATATAGTCCTGGATGTGAGGCAGGACGCATACGAAGTACACAGTAACGAGTAGGAACGCAACCACGTAGGGAATGTACGAGACGAACTTGTCGAAGCGTTCGGAAGACATATGGAAACAAGATGGGGAAAAATTGGAGTTGGTCGTGGTATATGCTCGGAAAAGACGGCAGTGTCGAAGCTTGAATGTGGGAATGAAGCGATGTGAGAGGGAAATACAGAAAGACGTATGCACACAAGCTTTCACCCACATCGCTCCACTCCAGCGATAACCCAGCTCGTTGCAGTTGCGTAGACGCGGCTGGTTGGCGGCGTGATCGGGGTGGGTCTGACGTTCAAGCAGGTGGAGACTTCCTGAAACCCATTGACCGCGTTTGATCGGCGACGGTATGCGCTGAAATCCAGTTTACGTACGCGTCATGTTCGGCCCGTTGCGCGTCCTCATCTTGAGTTATTGAATCCGGGGTCAAAGTGTGGTCCCCGTTGCGATTAATCGTGCGAAACCTGGTGACACAATTTTGTACTGTCGCGTGGTATAGGGATGTACAATCCATTGCATCTGTAAAGTGTAGCGTGGCTTGGCACTATGTAGCGTCCGACTTCCTTCTATAGCACGAGACTCCATGGCAATAATGCACGTACTATCGGTATGTATATCTGATCCACGTCTTGTGTCATAAAGGGTATCAATTATAGCTTTGTTACAGATCGGCTCAAGAAAAGGCCCGTAAATACACGCCGATCGCTTCCCTCACATGCTGTCTGTCGTCTCCAGCTTGTGATAATTTGCATCAGATCGCATGCCTCTTCCACCTAGAAATCCTGGAACAAACGAAACGAAGCGGTCATGTCCCGCAGCACCGAGTCTAGCCAGCCTCCTCTTCCCCAGTATGAAAGACACACCACCAGCGACAAGGAGGATTAGAACCGCTGGGATTGTCAAAGCCGACAGCGACCACCCGTGGGCAGTGTACTTCAGAATCGGGTAGTAGTTGACCGTGTTGACACCCAGATTGGTTGTGTAGTTCTCGCCACGATCACCGACCTCCGGCATCGTCTTGTTGAACTCCTCGCCTTCTTGGAGGGGCTTGATATCGTCGCATCCACGGTCATCACAACCGAGTACGATCAGATCCGAAGGCACGAAGGTCTTGACGATGCTCGATCGTCCTCTTTTCAGCGGCTTGTGGTCGGCGTCCAACGCCTCAGCGTATGCCCAACCTTTCGAACTTGACAGAGTGTATTCCGTCTCGAAGCCAGTCTTGTTGGCTGTACCAGCAAGCTTCCATGGTCCGTTTGACGAGTCAGCCGTGAAAAAGTTCCAGTAACGCACTTCTGTTGCACCGTTCCAACTGACGTAGAAGACTAGGTTGGAAGAGTCGGTGCGAGAGTAAGTCCATAGACTCGGCGAAGTCAGAGGCTCTCCTTTCCAGACGTACTTGTTGCAGCGGTACATCATGACGTCGCTTGCACGTTGAGCAACCTTTCCGTACATAACAGCTTCCCCGCTGGGCAGATGCTCGGAGAAGTACGCATGATCGCCCCAACCAATAAAGAAATTCTTCTCAGGCAAGATTTGCATGTTACCTTGCGAGCCAGATAGAATGCCTCTTTCTTCTGGCGCTCGCCATTCGTGAAGTTTGCTGGCAGTACGCTGCACGTGGTTGATACCAATGAGCATGCCGCGCGACTCTCGGTTCGTGATGTTAAAAGTGTTGCTTGCATTGTCGAACAAGCTAATCAATGTATGTGTCGCATTCTCTTTGAAGAAGAGCGCATGGTGCTGGCTCGAGAAATGCAGATTGACGTTTTTGAAAGTGGGATTTGCACCATTGAGTTGCCAGATTACCTGGCCAGTCACGCCAGAGATCTTGTAGACCGCACCCACGTGTCGAGCAGAAATGAGATAGTCGCCCTCGGCATTCTTGTCAATCGAGTTGATGTGGAAGAAGTCCCACGGCGTGTCTCTTGTCAACCCATTCCCGCTCGTGTCGGTGCAGTCAATGCATGTATAGGAGAAGCTGGGGGCGATGTGGTCCAGGGCGCGCCACTCGAAGAGCAGTTCTCCAGTCTCGACATCAATCTCCTGGAACAAGCTGTCGTGGATCCAGCCGATGCCGGGACCGACACCAAATGCGCCTAGATCGTACTGTCGAGGTTGGTAAATTGTAACCAACGCTCGTTTTCCGCCATCAATCAGACGAAACTCATGCATGTCCATCTGGGTTGCAGCGCCGACAGCTTCCACAGTCCGTACAACGCGGTAGTTGTTGTTCATGATGACCCCATGTCCGCGTGCCCACCCATGGTGCTGATTCCCTTGAAAGAAGCAAATGTGGTCTGCGCCCTGGTATTCGCAGACATGCGGATTATGGGACGTTGAGCCGCCCAGTGTACCCGCGCTAGACCATACAAGCTGTCCATTGTTGTCGTAGATGTACGGTCCGGGGTCTGTATTCCGGTACGGAGCAAGGAAGAGGTATCCTGGGGCCAAAAGCTCCGGTCTGAGAATGTCGAAGTTGATAATGGGAGCATGAAGATCCGGTCGCTAGCCATGACATCAGACAGGCACTACGTCTCGTGTTCGTGTGACTTACCGATCGGAAAATTGATGTTGGGGATGTAGTGTTGTCTAGATCAGCAGCCGCCAGGTCTAGAAGAACGAAAAGAGTGGCACATAAGCTCGACAGAGGTTGAAACCACAGCATCGCGGCTCAAACGGGCAGAGAACGAGCAACACTCCAACGAAAAGGGCAGATAGGGATCTTGAAAACAGTAGGCACTTCAGATTTCACTCCTGAGCATACTCGGCCCATGATGCCTGCTCGCAATGCTCTGAACATATTTTCTAGAACGCGTCTCCTTCCCGAGCATTGAGCATAGCGGCATGTCAGGTTAGCCGGGGCCGTTAGTATCAACGTCGAAGCGAAGCTTGCGTGTACCGTGGAGACGTTTCATGACGCTTGTGACAGGCTGATCCGCGCGGCACGTCTCAGAAAGACGGGTACTTTACTTGATGCTGATCTGCGGGCGCGAGATGAAGCCTTCTGTCGCCGTGTCATCGTCCGCTGATCGTTCGGTTCCTCGCCAGAACCAGCCGAAGGTTAGGAGTGGTGACCAGAGACGCGTCCTGTCGCACAACGATGGCTGGGAAAGCGCGCTTGGAAAAGTGGGTCCCTCCACCATGACGGAGCCGCAACGATGGAGCCCGCAACAACGGCCAACCATACAATGTCAAGCAGTCTCAACTTGACCGATACTTGGGATTTTGCACAGAAGGCGAAGCGTCGGCACGAGGGCAGCAGCCAAGAAAATCATGATGAACCAAAACTCGTTGTCTCGAACATAAAAGATGTATATACAAAACGCTAAAACACCATACAGACCACAGCTCTGCAAGAAATCACGCGCGCAAAAACCCCATCAGCGACGGCAGCCTCCCCCCCAGACCCAACCTATGCACCGTCACACTCGCACTCAACACCGCCGCCACCAACCCACCCCCCATGACAAACCCCCTGAACAGCACATTCCCCAACTGCGCCCTATTCCGCGCCTTACACCTATCCACAAACCCATCCGTATCATTAACATGCGGAAACTTCTTCCCCTTCGGCACCGGCACGTCCAAGAACTCGCACAGCGGCGCCCAGCCCTGGCCCATCTTGTACTCGAGCAGGTTCTCCGGGGGCACGAGAGTCCGCAGCTCGGCGTAGTAGTCGGTGAAGACCTGCTTGCCGTACGTGCGGAAATCGCCCTTGAAAAACGTCGTCCAGAACTTGTGCAGCATGGGCTGGTACAGCCCCGCGCCCCAGTCCCACTGCGCGACGAACTTGAGCTCGAGGTCGTTGGCGCGCCAGTCGACGGTTTTGAGCGTTGAGCTGGTTGATATCAGATCTGGGATGTGTGGCTTCAGGGGAGAGGAGGGGAACTTACGCGTGCCAGGAATCAACGTCGCGGGTGGTAATCAGGACTTTGGCTTCGGGGTACGCTTCGATGAGTTCTTTCGCGAAGGCGACGGCGGGCCAGTCGCACACGGCCTGGCAGTGGCCGAGGAGCTGGTCCCACTGCTCTCTGCCGAATTCGCCCTCGCCGTCGAATTTGGCGGCGAAGGCGTCCTGCCACATCAGGCAGTCAGGCGGGTTTTCTACGCTGGCAGACATCATGTGGTATGTGTCTGTGAAGCCGAGCTCCTGGAGTGCGGAGCGGAGGGCTGTTTCGGATCAGCAAACTATCCATATGTAGAGATGTGAGTGTCGTACATGCGGTGCCTGTTCTGCCTAGGCCTAGGGCGAGAACGCGCATTGGGACTTCTCGTTTGCATTGTCTGCGGTCTATATCCGTGTCTGCTGTGAATATGTCGGTTACAGGTTTGGGAGTATATGGTTGGTTCGCCATGCTGCCAGGTTCAGTTGGAAGATACTGTATGATACGAAAGAGACCAAGTGAGAACCAAAGTGAACAATGTTTAGACTTGGTAGTATTGAGATGCAGGGTCGCTATATTCCAGTCCGAAGGGCAGAGGTGGTGGATCTCTCTCTATTCCCCCATCTCATCTCTCCTTCCCCCAATTTGTGTGACCGCGTGGACATCTTCATGTCGGTCATACGTGCACCCTGGCAGGCTGCGTAGATGCATTCGCAGCTGGAGCGTCCTGGTGTGGATCTCAATTAGCAGACCCCGGTTTCAGACGCAGATTGATGAGCGAGGACAAACACTACGATCAGCGCCGGCATTGAACTGACGTGTGTCAAACAAGTCCACTGAATAAGATCGAAATGTGGGTATCAAGCGACTCGAGCTAGATCCCTGCTGCTCCTGTCGAGAATCAGAGTCAGGCGCTCAGGCGCGCATGTTGACGAGTCGATCGCCACGTTTGATGAGAGGACGCGTCCAACGCTTTTGTCTTCGTCGTCGGCGTCCCATTGACGGTGTTGCAGACTAGTTGACGCATATCTGTGTCTGCACTTGACACGCGTTCTCACTCCACTTGCATGTTCGATCAGACCGCCCTTCAAGTAAGTCCTGAGAACCCACAGTACCATCCTGGTTTCCTTATCTTGCGTAGTCTTCCATGGTGTCCGTGTCAGTGACGCTGCGGTGGTGACGTGAGTGTCCGACGCGTAGCAGGGTGAGTCGAAGGCGGGCGGTGGAGCAGCACGTAGCTACCTAATGTCTGTCTGTACGCGAAGAGAGAGACTCTATCAGTTTGTATAAAGGGACACTAGCTATCTTTTGTATTTATATCAGCATCGTCACGTTATTCGATGCGAACATGTCGTGCTCGGCATCCTGGTTGCTGGCACGCGTCGCGCTCGGCTCTTGTTCGGCATCTCGATTATTAAGGTTCTCGCTGAGGTGCACACCTCACAACACATTTTATATTTCTAGCTCTCGTGAAGCTTGAGTAGTGGTCTCTATGGTATCTAGTTCAGTGTGAGATGAGTCTGGTGGTAGAGTAGGTTTTGTGGTGGAAGCAACTTGCCCCAGAATGTGGGAGAATGCCATATGGGGTTTGACCCAAATCAGAGAACATGAGTCGAATCAAAAAAACACAGCACGCCAACCATGTCCTCTATCAACGTGAAATCGAGTACACAAGTTGATATTGTATCAGAGAAGGATTTACAAGAATTTTACGTGTATCCGACTAGTACTGACGAAGCTGTGCGAACAGTGTGACCATCGTGAAGGGCTAGCAGTAGATAGCAATCACCACTACAAGTCCTCACAAGAACAGAAAACTCAACATGTAATAGTAGCTCAACTTATGATTGGGGCTATCATATACTATTTATGAGCAGCAAAAGGCTGCATCGCGCCTAACGCGCATGCTATGAGTAGAACCGACCGTTGCGCCATGAGCACGAAGCCTATGCTTTGCGAAAAGGATCTATCAAACGCCATCAAGTGCCTAACAATCCCGAGACCAGAACCATGCTGGTTGATATGCCATGCCTGCGCCTTACGACACCAGATAATCGTACAAATAACACCGTCGGGATGCGAAATCAACCGAACGCTGCGCACGCGTACAGATGTAGCGTTAAAACCACGCGAAGAGATGACAAGAACGAAAGCAGGGAGCTCACTGCAAACCCGCCTTGGTCATCTTCACCGTGTGAGGGATGGGCTGCAGAATGCCCTTGTTGTCCACAGCACCGAGCGCCATACCCTGCTTCCAGCCCATCTTGGACAACAAATTATAGCCCTTGTTCTCCTGGCCGAGCTCAGGCGCGTTAGCACCGACAGTCTCGCCATCGCGATACCCAGTCGACTGTTTGCCACGCGCCCCTCCGAACCGGACGGTGGCAGACTTGCGAGGTCGGTCGCCCTTCTTTGAGAACATTGGTCCAGAGAGGCGGTGCACCAGGCCTTTGTGGAGCATAGCGTTGTCGAACTCATCGTCAGTGTACGTTCGAGTTCGCGTCGTCTTAGTGAGAACAGTGAACCTATCAAAGCCATCACCGCGCGAGCGTGACGTGAGCTTGAAGTGATCCGCAGCCTGGTGAATGACTGCGCGTCGAAAAGCGTCCATTGGCGGCAGTGAGATGTGGTCCCTGTCGCCAACCAGGAACTCGCGTATCTCCTCAACGACATCCTCCATTGTCATCCCATCCTTGTATTTCACCTTCAGATCAGGTGCCTTGCCCTTCCTACCGAGGAGGCCCTGCTGTCGTAGTTCTTCCCGTTCGGCCTTCTTCAAACGCTTCTTCTGGCGATCGTTCTCCCAAGCGTTCTGCATTTGCTCGTTGAGATCAGAATCATCGAGGAACTCAATGGGCATCTGGCCGCGTCGACCCTTCTTCTTAGGTTTAAGCGACGGGCGCTCAGTGTCCATGATATCGAAGCCGTTGTAGGGATCCATGTCGAGCACATCTGCCATGGCGGATGCTGAAGGGAAATTCGGCTCGCGATTCCTTCGACCACCACGCTTCTGCTTTCGATTTGATCGACCGACGTTGAAGGAAATGAAGTCTTCTGCCGTAGAAGGCTCACGGAAATAGTCGTCGGCTGCATAGAGCATCAGCTCGTCTGCCCCTAGACCCAGCTCTTCTTGTTTCTGCAAAACCCGGGCGATGGTCTCGTCGTCGAGTTGCTCGTTGTCATTAGAATCGTCTTCGTCGTCGTCATCATCGTCGTCGTCTTCGCCCCGCTCCGAGTCGCTTGAACTGCTGTCGCCGATCTCAGCCTTCTTCTTACGGAGCAGGAAGTCTTCCTCAAAAGCTTGGATCAGGTCCTTTTCGGCAGAACTCTGAAGAAAGCCTCCCGGCAGCCAAAGAGCTTCATCCACCACCGCGCCCTCGTAGACGCACAGGTACTGCACACCGCTCGTGCGATTTCGCTTTGAGAGAATTCGAACGACAGTCTCCATAGGCTCGGAAGAGGTACTAACACCCTCAAAATCTTGGAGCATGTCAGAATCCCAGCTGTCAACCTGAACTTCTTCGTCGCCCGCCTGACTGCCTGATGCCGACTCCCAGTCGTTGTGACTGCCAGCATCGAGATCCATCTCGCGCCGTGCAAACCCGGAAGCGGACACCATGTCACCGGTGAGACCGAACTCCTCGACGTTTTGCATGTAGTCATCCATAGCTGCATCGCGAGGATTGACGTTAACATCAAGGAAGGCGCTCATGTCTGGACGATCCTGTACAGGTAACCATCCTATGCCGGGTTTTGACCTAGACACCCAGGGCGTTGTGGTGCCCTCCCATGATTCTTTGCCTCCCCGTCGCTTTGCGAATGCATCGTCGGTTACGATATCAGTGCTCGAGTCGGTGTCGGAGTCGGAGTCGGCATCGACGGGCTTAGGAGCAGAACTGCGAGTGGTCTGTTGTTCTGCTGAGGGTTAGCGAGCTGGTCAAACGCCCATGTCAACGCGACCGTACCTTTAACGCGGATATTCACCTTGACCTTTGGCCGGACGTGAACATTTTCAACAGGAACTGAGGCGGACTCAGCGACTTGTGTGGCGACTGCCTCTGCCTTTGCACTGGCTGCCTCGACCACGTTGTTCACGGTGTCGGCGACTGCCTGTGGGAGAGGGCTCTCCACTCTTGACGCCGCAGTGGACAGTGGCGCCGAGGCACTGCCACGCCCCTGGAAGACTACCTTGTCGCTGGAGCCACTCGATGACTCGGAAAGAGCCGGCGAGGGGCTGCGAATCGCCATCTGAGCCATAGCTCTGGTGTTGTCGGGTGGCGAACTGGACGAAGATGTGGAAGGCGCGATAGACTCGCTGTCTGACTCGGAATCAGACTCCTGCGCAGACACGTCCTCGCGCTCCTTGATGGTGCCTACCAGCAGGCCGGCGCTGACAAACTGCACGGGCATGTCCCGCAGCCTCTTACCGGCCTCGAAGGCATTCTTGCGGTGGCCGGCGACAAAGCGTGCTTCGTCGGCGAGGGAGTACTTGGGCTTTGCGGCTGGAAAAGTCAGCAAGCTGCGTTTGACGCGGGCGCAGGGTAAAAAAGCGTACCTTGCTCATCGGGCCACGGCTGGAACTTGGAAGGCGTGCGGTGCGGCGTGCTCTTCTTGGGCGTGTGCTTGGGTGTGGTCTTTGCAGAGGCCTTGCCCTTGTTCTTGCCCTTCTTCTTAGCCATGGCGGCGGTGGTGTGCGGGGGCGCGCAGTGGCACGGGAAAAATGAAGGTCAAGTGTCGGGGCGGCGAATGCTCAGGTACGCGCTGCAATTAACGATGATGATGACTTCCTAGTGGCGGCGGGGCTAGTTAGCTTATCGGCGCGTATCGCTCGTGCGCAAGCTGGTCGCTGCCGGTCGGCGAAGGCATCGCAGCTTGCGCACTCGCGGGCACGGCTTGGGGCAGGCTCAGCAGCAATGAAGCTGGCCGGGAGCCTGTTTGCATGCGACAGAGCGTCAAACGCTGGACGGCGTTTGACAGTCGTGCCGTGCAGCGAGTGACCCGGGCAGCTGCACGCCCCTCCCCCACCACGGCGGCCAGGCAGCATGACCGGGGCTCGAGCTGGGGAAGCTTCCCGCCCGTTGCACCTCCGCCCTTGATAGCCACGCAGCATTTGCTGTATCCTTTGCAACGTACCCACCTAGTCCTATCGCCCTCTAGATCGGGAGTCAGGCACCGTGTCTGGATGTGACACCTCCGGGACGCCGCACCCCCGAACGCCTCCGCCTCCACCGCCGCCTGCAATAGCCGCTCCACCTCGACGCCAACATGAACGACTTCGAGCGCGTCGGCCGCAACCTCGTGCGCACCTTCTACGACCCCCTCCCGACCAACGACTCCAAAGACCCCATATGGCTGCTCGGCGAGCGCTACGATCCCAAGCCGCCGCTCAGGTCGCCGCCTAGCGACACGCCCTCGACCACGCGCTCCACCACCGAGCCCGCACAGAACGAGCGCGGCGAAGACGAGAGCTGGATAAGAACCAGCGTCGACGAGACCGACCGCAAAGAGGCCCCCAACGGGCAGGACCCGGCCCAGTATGGCGGCTGGCCATCTGCCTTCCTGGACGACTTCGAATCGCGCATATGGATGACCTACCGCTCGGGCTTCGCCGCCATCCAGAAGAGCCAGGACCCCAAAGCAACAGCCTCCATGAGCTTCCGCGTGCGCATGCAGAACCTCGCCTCGCCAGGCTTCACCTCGGATACGGGCTTCGGCTGCATGATCCGCAGCGGGCAGTGCATTCTGGCCAACGCGCTGCAGACGCTGCGGCTGGGGCGCGACTGGAGGTGGCAGGAACACACAGCAGACCCGGCACATTGCGCTATACTGTCGCTCTTCGCCGACGACGCACGAGCGCCCTTCTCCATACACCGTTTCGTTGAGCATGGCGCAGCCGTGTGCGGCAAGTACCCAGGCGAGTGGTTTGGGCCATCGGCAGCAGCGCGGTGCATACAGGACCTGGCGAACAAGCACAAGGAAGCCGGGCTCAAGGTCTATGTGTCGGGCGATGGCGCAGACGTGTACGAGGACAAGCTGAAGCAGATCGCCGTCGACGACGACGGAAACTGGCAGCCTACACTCATCCTCGTGGGCACCAGACTAGGCATCGACAAGATCACGCCCGTCTACTGGGAGGCGCTGCAGGCTGCTCTGCAGATGAAGCAGAGCATCGGCATTGCCGGGTAAGCAGCCACCACCACTCCTGCCTCTCACACCCCCAGACTAACCAAACACCCAGCGGCCGCCCCTCAGCATCCCACTACTTCGTCGGCACCCAAGGCACCACCTTCTTCTACCTCGACCCGCACAGCACCCGGCCCCTCCTGCCCTACCACTCCCCCCCAGACACCGCCTCCCCCTCCCCTCCCGCCACCACCACCACCACCACCGCGCCCCTCACAGCCTCCGAATCCACAATCACCGACTCCCAAACCACCATCGTCCCCACCCCAGACCCCTCCTACACGCCCCCCGACATCGCCACCTGCCACACGCGCCGCATCCGCCGCCTGCAGATCCGCGAGATGGATCCGTCGATGCTGCTCGCGTTCCTGGTCACCGACGCGGCCGACTACGCGGCGTGGAAGGAGGGCGTGCGCAGCGTGCAGGGCAAGTGCGTGGTGCATGTGCAGGAGCACGAGCCGGCGCCGCGGGGCCAGGAGAGGGCGGGCGCCGTCGACGAGGTCGAGAGCTGGGACGAGGACGGGCTGCAGTGATCAGTGATATGTGGCACGGGGCTGGCTGGGTAAGGATGCATCTTTTGGCGTTTGGGGCGTCGGGTAGATGCGCATTCACATGTGTCGGCTTCGCGCTGCTGTCTGCACATACATAGCTCGGGGTTGAATGCAATAATTGGATTTCATTTGTGGTATTGGTTTTGAGCGTGGTTCATGTCATGCCCCTTCAGTCCTACGAGCACCGCACCTGCCTCGAATCGTACCGTGGAAATCGCACATGCCAAAGACGTCACAGTCCCAAGAATCTCAACATGTCCATGTCATCATTTCGTGGTAGCTGCGGGGCTATCCTGTCGATTCCCTCGGTTTTGCACGACTCGTTCAGAGCGTTGTCCTGCCGTTGGAATTGCGCAAGTGTAAAATCCCTCAAAACTCAAACTTTCAAGGCCTTTCAAAGATCTCCCAGAGTTGGAACGCGCACATTCGGGACTCGACAAGTTGACGCGTTGGTCGTTGATCTGCGCCTTCTTCGGATGACTGGGGTTTGGTGCACTGACGCGTTTGTCGTGCTACACGCGACGCGCCTGGCGCGCGAATCATGTCCAGCTTTTGAAGGTCAAAATGTGTGTCAGTATGTGGCAGACCTCTACTTTGAACAGACATTGAAGTCCAAAACCAAAACCCAAAGTTGAAGACAGGAATCGAAGATGATTGAAGATGAAGTTTGAATGTTGGAAAAATTGATTCGTTCCCGTCTGCGTTTGGTATAATGTACAGACCCCAGATGGATCGTGTCATACCATCATGACACGATGACGCATGGACAAGCAAACCGACCCATGATCACATTAGAAAATGACCCATGAACACCGTCACCCCGTAACCACCTTGTCGAAAGACAAGCAAAAGAAACCCAAAGAAGCAAATCGTCATGAACAAGAACTCTATTTGGCAGAAGAGGAGTACTTGGTGACGGCCTTGGTACCCTCAGACACGGCGTGCTTAGCAAGCTCACCGGGGAGGATCAGTCGTACTCTGCGAATGGGGTTAGCAAATGCGATTGAAAGCCGAAGATAGAATGAACGTACGAGGTCTGGATCTCACGCGAGGAGATGGTGGACTTCTTGTTGTAGGCAGCAAGCTTGGAGGCCTCGGTGGCGACGCGCTCGAAGATGTCGTTGACGAACGAGTTCAGGATGGACATGGCGCGGTTGGAGATACCAGTGTCGGGGTGGACCTGCTTGAGGACTGGGACGCGTCAGAAAACTCTGCTCGATGAAACAGGACGATGCGATTGCAACCCGAGGATGCAACCAGACAACGGAGGCGACGGAAGACGCGTGCAAATGACGCGCCTCGAGGCGCTGGAGCTCAAACTTACCCTTGTAGATGTAGGAGGAGTAGGTCTCCTTCCTGGTCTTGGTGCGCTTCTTCTTGTCGCCGGAGGGAGCGGCAGTCTTCTTGCCAGCCTCCTTCTTCTCAGCGGGAGCCTTGCCAGCCGGGGCCTTGCCGCCGGTGGTGGGAGTCTTCTGGGCCTTGGGGGGCATTTTGAGTGTTGGTAAGTGTGTGGGTTGAAAAAGGTGGTGGATAAAGCTGGTAGAGCTGGGCTGCGATGAAGACGGTGAGTGCGTGGGTGGGAGTCGAGATGGAGGGAGAAAGGTCGCTGTCGGGCGGGGACGCGCTACTTATGGCGAGCGCGCTGCGTGTTGTGATCCAGCAGCGCCCGGCGGGCCCGTGCGCGCAGAGCTGCTGCTGATCGAAAGCGGTCATGGAGGGGCGGGCGCAGCGGCGTGTGAGTGGCTGGCTAAGCGAGGCGAGTGTGATCTTGCGCAACAGGCAGGCGCGCCCCAAGTTGCGACGCTGCCAGAGCTCCAGTCGCGCTAGCCCGCCAGTTGATCTCGCGCACCACAACACGCCCGCGCCGTCCTTATAAGTCGTCGCCGCCCCCCACCAGCAGCAAGCAATCCATCGTCTCGACACTCCACGCCCACCACACGCTCCCAGCCCATCTTCAGCTCCCAGCTCCTTTTTCCCACCTTTACCACCCAACTCCAAATCTTTCAAAATGACTGGCGGCAAATCCGGAGGCAAGGCCAGCGGCACCAAGTCCAACGCCCAGTCGTAAGTGCGCCTTTTGCCCTTTGCGCGCCATCTCTGGTGTTTTGACTTTGCATTTTTGCATCTTCAACATGTGGTTTTGGAGTCTTTGACGCGTCTTGTATCTACTTGACGCGTCTTTTCGATCCAAATCCACCTCCAGCACCATGTGCAAGCTTCATTGAGCTTCTTTGACTATTGTCTGACATTGCGCAGTCGTTCTTCCAAGGCTGGTCTCGCCTTCCCTGTCGGTCGTGTCCACCGTCTGCTCCGCAAGGGCAACTACGCTCAGCGTGTCGGTGCCGGTGCTCCCGTCTACCTCGCCGCCGTTCTCGAGTACCTAGCTGCTGAGATTCTCGAGTTGGCCGGTAACGCTGCCCGTGACAACAAGAAGACCCGTATCATCCCCCGTCATCTCCAGCTCGCCATCAGGAACGATGAGGAGTTGAACAAGCTGCTCGGACACGTCACCATCGCTCAGGGTGGTGTCCTCCCCAACATTCACCAGAGTACGTCTTTTCCAGCCTCATCCGCTTCCAATGCTAATGCAATCCAGACCTCCTGCCCAAGAAGACAGCCAAGCCTGGCAAGGGTCCTTCTCAGGAGCTGTAAGCGCGTCTTGCGTTTGAGTTCTTGCTTCATCGGTGTTTCTTCATGGGTCTTTTCATCTGCAATGATAATGGGAGTCTGACTGGGTTTGGGTTCACGGCTTTTCACGGGGTTATACCAGAGCTGTATATTAGCTGGTCGCATTTTGGCCAGATGCTCATGAGCTGAATCGAGCTATATCACTTCACTTCCTCGCTTTGATTGTGACTTCTTTCGGCTTTGGGTTTTGCATCTGGATCACCAACATTGTCTGTCGACTACTGGTGTGCGCAATCCACGTTCGCAATGCAGCCACCTTTGCACTGCAGCCGTCATTCCCACTTTCACGGCTACATCCATGCAACGCGTCATTTCTGGACTCGCGATATGTCGCACAATTTGGCGACAGTTTGCGAAAGTTGCGAGCGATGTTTGCCACGAGTGATTGCGCAAAGCCGAAGTTTGGCGTTGGTTGGTCATGCGGCGGCAAGCTGCAGGCGGCGAGCCTCAAGTCTCAACTTCGTAAGCGGTGCATAATTCGCGAACTTCAAGTCCAAAGTGGTCAAAACGGCGTCAACGCAATGTGCTACATAACCCACAGTCGAGAGATCAAACTTGTGTTACTTGAAAATAGTGCGATTTGCATGAACGGTTCCATCCAGAACATACAGCATTACACAGATCTGACATTGCACGGGCATATGTAGGACAGAGCATCACGGCACCACAAGCAGGCCACGACGTTGAACATAGAAGATTGATTGTCTCTGGGCGTCTTTGCGCTCCTGCGCTTCGCGTCAATGTGTGTGATATATACCTACAAAGCTACGCATGCTTCTTCTCCAGTCATCCATCCCCACGCCTACGGGTTCATCCATTTCGGTGGAGCTGCACCCAATTAGCAACGCATCATTAGTCATACAGATGAGAACAGCACTCACCATCCAGGATCGGAACGGGCAGGTTGCGCTCGTACTTTGAGCCTGTACACATGTTAGCATTGCCGTTTCCGCGGCCGTGGCGGATATATATCCGGGAGATAGCAACGCACCTCCTGGGGCCGTGGGTGGGCGGTATGGATCGGGGTGCTTCCACTTCTCAAGCAGAGCCTCCGTCTCGGTAATCAGTGCCTGTTCGCAGCTATCAGCGCAGTTCTGGCGTGTCGTTGTGGCTCTTGGCGGCGTGTGGTCCGGCTACGCACCCTCTGCTGTCGCGGCTCTGTGACATTGCGGTTCGCCTCGAAGAGACCGCGCAGGTACACCGCCTGGCCGCGCCAGAGGTATCGGTGGACGCTCCAGTCGAGCGCGAGCTTCAGCGACCGCCTGTACAGGCGCCTGGGGGGGTGTCAGTTTCTGCGGGCGGCGGGCGGCGCAGGGCGGCGGCGTACAGGACTTGTATCTTGTTGCTCATGGCGACGGCGGCCCTTCCAGTCGTGTGCGTGGCGGAAGGGATTTGTGTGATGTGTGGCCGCAATGCCTCGTTGTCGTCGGCGTGCTGTGGGAGCTGTGCAACTGAGGTGCAGCCTTGGCATTACGGCTAGCTGGAGGGCCCATTCTTCCGACTGGACGATCCGAGACGTCAGAACTGTGCCCTGTTGCAGCTTCAGCAATTCCCTCACAACACATCTTCCTCACCTCCTTTTGCGGCTTTTGCGCATCCCATTTGGTTTTCATTGCTCGTGGTCTCCCGCCGTCGCCCGTCATGTCGAGTCAACAGTGTCTCCGTCGCCTGCCCAGCGCATTGCGCTCCTCAGCCCTGCGCGCAGGTGCTCGTTCTGCCGTCCGGGCTCCCTCGGCACGCAGCTACTCTGCCGTCACAAAGGCGACCTCGTCTGGCCTTCTCAGCCGGGTTTCAAGGTGCGCAGTGCCATTGGCTGGCCTGGAAGCATGGCTAACCCGACACTAGACGACCTGGACAGTTCGCGACACAACGCCTCTGGACCCTGGACCAGACAAGAAGCTATGGTCCGTTGCGATGATACACAACACAGCTTCACTGCTAACACCGCTGCAGCCGATGTCACCACCGTCAAGGTTCCTGAGATGGCCGAGTCCATTACTGAGGGTACACTGAAGCAGTGGTCGAAACGTGAGGAACACCGCTGCAGAACGTCCACACATGTACTGATAGCATGCAGAGGTTGGCGACTACGTTGAGCAGGACGAGGAGATTGCGACCATCGAGACCGACAAGATCGACGTTTCCCTGAACGCGCCCCAGGCTGGTACCATCAAGGAGTTCCTTGTCAACGAGGAGGACACTGTCACCGTTGGTCAGGATGTTGTCAAGCTCGAGATTGGCGGCGAGGCGCCGTCTGGTGGAGAGAAGGCTAAGGAGGAGCCCAAGGAGCCTGCTTCCAGTGATAAGGAGACCGCGTCGCAACCCTCTGGCGAGCAGGAGCAGTCCAAGTCGCAGGAGCAGAAGCAGCCTGAGCCCAAGAAGGAGGAGTCGAAACCCGAGCCTCCCAAGCAGGAGTCGAAGCCTCAGCCACCCAAGCCCGCAGCCAAGAAGGACTCGAAGCCCGCGCCCGAGGAGGCCAAGCAACCCGGCAGCCGTGGAGAGAACCGCGTACGTTGATTGCGAAACCTAGCAAAGCTCCCACTAACAATCCGCGCAGGTCAAGATGAACCGCATGCGTCTCCGTATCGCCGAGCGCCTAAAGCAGTCCCAGAACACCGCCGCCTCGCTCACCACCTTCAACGAGGTCGACATGTCCTCTATCATGGAGTTCCGCAAGCTGTACAAGGATGAGATCCTCAAGAACAAGGGCGTCAAGCTTGGCTTCATGTCCGCCTTCTCGCGCGCCTGCATCCTTGCCATGCGCGACGTTCCCGCCGTCAACGCGTCCATCGAGGGCCCCAAGGGCGGTGACACTATCGTCTACCGCGACTACGTCGACATCTCCGTCGCCGTTGCCACCGAGAAGGGTCTCGTCACCCCCGTCGTCCGCAACGCCGAGAGCCTCGACATGGTCGGCATCGAAGCCGCCATCGCCGAACTCGGCAAGAAGGCCCGCGACAACAAGCTCACCATCGAGGACATGGCCGGCGGCACATTCACCATCTCCAACGGCGGCGTCTTCGGCTCCCTGATGGGCACCCCCATCATCAACCTGCCCCAGACCGCCGTCCTCGGCCTGCACGCCATCAAGGACAAGCCCGTCGCCATCAACGGCAAGGTCGAGATCAGGCCCATGATGTACCTCGCCCTCACATACGACCACAGGCTGCTCGACGGCAGGGAGGCCGTCACCTTCCTCGTCAAGATCAAGGAGTACATCGAGGACCCCAGGAAAATGCTGTTGTAGGCGGTGCGTGGCACACGTGGCTTGGTCGTAGAGAATGTAGTTCCCTTTTGTACATGAGTGTGGGTGGTGCCGGTCAATATCTGGACAACTGGCATACGTGAAGTGCGTTATCTCGAGGTGTATGAGTAGTTGATCAAGTGCATAATGAGCGTTATCTATCCATCCTTAATCATGTGTGTATTGTTGGTGTTGTGATGTTCAGGTTGTCGGCTGTGTGTGGGGCCATGTTGGTTCGTTTCTCGGGCTGTCGTGCGTGAGGCATGAAGTGCGCCCGTCATAATCCCCACGTCATTCGTCTTTTGGGTGATTTTGAATCCGCATATGATATCTTTGTGTGTTCTGGGTTTGATTTGGTTGATTTACATGCTTTTACTTGAAATTACAAAATGTGGCTAACACTTCATGAGCTGAAAGTCACTTCGCACCCAGTGTTCGAATCTGCATTTCACAACCAACATACACATGTTCAAAAAATCATCACGACCACCACACCGCGTAAAATGATGCAAAACCATGGCAAACAATTAAACCGAACATCGAGAATGCGAATAATATAATTAGACGCGCACGAGAGCGGGGGTCCGTCAACTGTCACGTTCGCGACGACAGCCTTGCCTTGACGCGACGGCCAGCGCTAGTCCGGTAGGAAAAGGATGCCACCACAACTGGAGTTCTCGCCACAGAACCATCAAGCGACACGAAAGAGTTACTGAAGAAGACCATGGCATTTTATACTAAACATACACCCACACGGGACCACGAGACGCGTCCTTGCGCGCATTGTAAATTATAAGAGCTGTAATGACAACGCCATCAGCGTGCAGAAGATCCCATCGGTATGAAGCGCTACAATTAGAACAGCCGCAATGAAGCTCGGATACGTCCTACATCTCCCACGAACGAGAACAAACTGCTGAAGTCTTCTGAACATCAGGCCCCATTCTCCCAGGCTAAGAGCTGTGGACTGAGCCTAGGGACTCGACAAGCCCAGTTTCTCTGATCGACAGATCTTCTTGTGGACCTTCCAGTGCTCCCTCTGGCATCCAGTAGAGCAGTACTTCCGGCCCTTGCATTTGCTACACAGGAGGAGCGCAGTGCCGCCTTCTCCATGACGAGCATAGCACTCGGCACACACATCCGGGTTGTGGACCTTGTTGCGCAGCTCCTTCATGGTGATCGAACTAGTGGACCTGCCTGTGTTGAATATGCCTCCTGGGGGCATCACATTCATTCCCTTCCATCCGGGACCGCCGGGCTCCTCGTCAGAGTCATCACCAATAGCGTTGGCAGTTTCGACGAGGCCCTTTGATTCGAAATCGTAAGGCTCGCCGTCCTTGTATCCGCCTGGACCGAAAAGTGCCTTGTGCATTTGTTTGAGCGCATCTGGCAGGAGGCCACCTTCAGTAAAGACGACCCTGAGCATGTCGAGATAGGGCTCTGGAAGGCGACAGCCGAGGGTCATCGCACAGGCGCCGAGAAGAACGTAACAGTAGCATGGGTCGCGGAACATGTATTCAAGCAATTGGTCCTGGCTGCCATCTGGAAAGGACAGCATCTTAGTCTCCATGACCTTGATGAGGTCGGTCAGGGCGCCAGAGTCCAGGTGCTCACGTACGACATCGGCGTGAGAGCTGCCGCCGCAGATGGAGAGATAAATGCTGTTGATTTCCTCTTCGCTCTTGCCTGCAGCTTTTGCAGCAGCCTGCATCTCCTCCTCAAGCTTAGTAAGACCGAGGTCGTGACCTAGCTCACTGACGATATCGGCATCGTTGTCCGACTCGAAGAGACCTGTTTGGCAGTGAGCTTGGTGAGGCAATTATCTGTCGCACCACTGACCGTAACCCCACCAACCCATGAATGCTACCGCGGTGAAGATCTGTCGTTGTTGATTGTAGATGTGGCTACAGAGACAGTCAACGCTGGAGTGAAGTTACCGGTGCTCGACTGACTGAAAGCAGGTGGCTGCGTGCACTGAGTTTGAAGGTTGCGCAGATGGCGGGTGAAGTGAGGGTGGGTTGGATCAGGCAGAAGCAGCTATGGTGCGTCACGCAAACAACCCTGGGGTCTTTGAGGAAGGAGCGCGTCCATGTGGTGATTGCCTTCGCTTCATCGTACAAACACAGCCCAAAAAAAAAACTTTCCAAGAACACTGAATCTGAAGCGCAAGAGCAGGAGACCAAGCTTCATCGCAGAAATTGAACATGTTGATGATGTCGGTCGTAGGGAAGGAAGCATTGCCCTCTCGTTGCAGGTTAAACGGAGAAATGAGGATGTGAGCTGAGTATTCCATAGTATGGAAGATGCGAAAACGCTCTACATAATACTTTCTTACCTACAATATGGGTACTACTTAACCAATTTCCGGCTTTAAGCACCTTGGTAGCTGCATGTTCTGTGTTGAGGTCGCTCCTCCGCCATTTTCCCTAAATCGTGAGAGGTATTGCTGCCATACCACTACTCTCTTCGTAGTGAGCATGCAAGTATGATTGGACAACTCTACATTGAATACATTCTCGGCTTAATCTGCCGGCACGTACGTCTTGCCTCTCGTATAGGATTCGTATGCTCGATTGTATCATTTTCGAACCAAATGTCGGAAATGAGACTTCGAACAGCTACGTTTGTGCTAGGTGTTGGTTACATCTTATCCATGCAATTGATCTATAGTCTGTTGTTCAAGTCGTAGCTGTAGCATGTATCTCACAATACCTAGCTTTAAGTGGGCTTGCCGGTTATGTCACTTCTAAGATCGAAGGTCCGATACAACGAAGTGCATCGCTGTAACACTGCTGAAGTCGTCGTTGAGCCAATTTTAGAGACAATTCCTCTCGTGACGCTAGTTGTATGCCAGCGCACCAGACGATCTTCTGACTGCGTGCTAGAAGCACTGAATGGTCGACGCAAGCAGCTCAGCCTTGCGGCGATCATCTCGTGTATCGATTTGTCGTCGAATGACATGTCGATGCTGGGTTGCGATGACGATGTTTCTGCTTTTAGCGCTTCCCCAGACTGGATCGGCGGGAACTCCGACGTCTTAGCGGTTCATCTTCAGGGCTGACAAGCTTCAGGTGCGAAGCTTGACAATTCTTTCAAGCAATCTATAGAATGACACACGAGACTGGTTTGATCTGTGAGACTTTGTTGAAATACCACAGAGCAGTACTTGATGCTTCGGGTCGTTCTGCACCGCGGGCAGCTTGAGGATACGGCAGCCAGCCTGGTGCTACTGCTGACCATAGAGTCGTGAACCAACGTCTTCCCTATGCTTCTTGTGACATTGCCCGACGATCTTAGCATCATCGCTTGTTGAGCGATTGAGCGATGGCCGGCTCCGCCCCGCCACAGCCACAGGATACCGATACTTCTTGTAGAGTAGTTCTGGTAGTGGTGGTGAACGCCTGAAGATCCGACGGTCGGTATTTAGAGCTTCCGTCTTCCAAGGTACGATATTTATCCTCCGAAACTGTCGAGCTCGATAAACCTCAAAGCACGTAAGAAAAAATCAAGGTAAATCTTTTGACGGACGAAGTGCAAGATGCCATCGCTTTTCTCGAAGAAGAAGGACAGCGAAAGGGAGATTACTCAGGCGGGTACATCGGACGACTCTCAGTATGTACATGAGACACGCTTGTCACAAGCCCAATACTTACTTGAATGTAGAGTTGCGCCTCCTGAATACGTAGACGATGGAACACCGCCAACCTACAAAGCATCATCTTACCTGCGCTCCCTCCATGATGGAGACCCCAACGACAAAGTCGACGTGCCGATGATTCACAGCGTGCACAAGCTCTCTGTTGGAGACTACTTGCCTTGGGGCAGTGCTATGAAGACTGGAAAGCGGACCGTGATCTCGCGCAGTATGACGCGCGATTGCTACATCAAACACTACGCCACAGATGAGGAGGGCAACTACATTGGCACAGAGAAGCCGTATCCAGACTGGAAGCTTGTCTTTGTGCCAAACAAAAGTACACCTGATGATATCCTGCAGCAGGTAAGTGGCCGATTATGATCGAACACCACCAGATGCGGCGGGATTGCTGACCTGAGGACAGCTAAATGAGTTTGTCGACGTGAGACATGACATTCGGCGCCTGCACGAGCGCAAGGAACTGAAGCACATCCCGAACCAATAGAAACTCTTGATTCAATTTGCTCATTTAAGCGTTAACGAGTCTTTTCGGTAGATATCCAAGCAATGCAATATCGTTAAATATCAGGCCGTAGCTTCCATTTTCGTGTGCCCCGTATCCATCGGCTGACCGGACGGTCTTGACTTGGGTGGGCGATTCATGCGTATCCGTGCAATACAGTCACCTTCGGAAAGCACAGCGATATGCACGGAGAAAGGCGGCGCGAGGAGAGACATTGGCTCAGGAGAACTTGTCCCTGACCGTTGCTGGGAAGCTGGAAACCACCGAGGAACGTTTCACCGTACTGAGGCATGATCACTGTTTTTAGAAGTCGATAAAAGTGGCATGAGATGCTAGAGAACGGAAATGATGTTCAATCAAGAAGTGATGTAACGATCGTCGAAAGAATAGAGTGTGCTAACCCGAGCATTGTACGCTCAGAAAGCGGCGCAGATACACCTGGGCACAAGTATTGAGTCGTTGACTTGTAGTCAGCCTAGCGGCATAGTAACTTAAAGAGGAGCTGCTGGAATAATTGCAGCTTCTAAGACTGTATCGTATGTGCTTAAGGGTGTTCTACTTTGGTCTACGCTCGGTGAGTGTCGCCGTGACAAAACTCCAGCCGCGGAGCAGCTGTGCGATAGCGGTAAGAATTCCATTGCTGTGACGAAGCTATGTTCGTGTTGTTTTGCTAATATCTATACGAGGATGCGTGATAGGGTGCTCGCGATGTTAAATGAGGCAGGGACAGTGAGTGAGGCTCGAGGTGAGAGCACGACCCGCACTATAAGGCGGGGACCCTGCATCCACAGCAGTTCATCTCCACTTCCGGTGCACATCCGGGTCGTTCAATTGACTTGAATATATGGCCGCTTTGTGAATTGATTGTGTGCATCCGCAGACCTACCCCTGACGATCAGTGTAACCATTTGACCAAGATAACACGGCTCGCGTGTGCAGCCGTTGCTTCTCCAGCCCCGCAGCGACGTCATTTGCTAGCCCTGGCTTGTCCCTGCCTTACATCGCGAACTGCAACACAATCAATCGCCTTTACCTGTACTCCTTACACCACACCAAATAACGACGCCAAAGAACTACACGATGGCAACCAACGCGCCCACTTTGATCAATCTGCCACCTCCGCCGTCGGATCCAGCAACTCCTAGCGAGATCCCGTAAGTGAGGATGATATACCGCTGTATACATTTACTGATCTGACCAGGGGTACGCCGAACTCAGCCACTACGACCATGTCAGAGCTATCTACAGTGGCTATCAAAGATGGACATCGCGGTCACTTTCCTCACCACCATCAACCTGGTGATGCTGAGCGAGCGGATCGCATCTCGCGCTTGGCAGGTCTTGAACGCATTGGCGTGAGCGGTCGGACTTCCCAAGGCCTCGGCCCAGGAAGTGCCGCCAACCCACCGCCCGGCTACTTCGATTCGAACAACCAGCCACAGATATTCCGTGAGAGGAGCACTGTCGGTAGCGCTTCTGCCACCGGTAGCGTAGGTGGTCGCACGACCTGGGCAAGCGGCAGCGATGGCGGTGCCAACGAGCCGGATCGCATGAGCGAAGATCAGACTGAGGAGACATCCAGTGTGGGCGGATTCAGTGACGAAGCCTCCCTTGTTGGCTTTGGTGAGGGCGCCAGAACACCTGCCAGGCAGCTCAGCCAGCTAGGTAGCCCCGCTGTCAGCAAGGCAAGTGCTGTGCCCGGCTATCTTAGAGAACAAGGCCAGGCTAGTCCATTGGCAGGCGCCAGCGTCGCCAGCTCGGGGACCACACAAACGACGTCGAGCGTAGAGCAGCAGCGACAACAGGCCCGCGCGCTCGATGGCCTATCATTCGACGAGGGTGAGTCAGCGAACCGTACCCAAGGTCCTGGCCAGTCGTCCACAGCACAAGATGTCATCCGTGAACGCATGCGTCAGCAGCAAGCTGGACAGGATGCAATGGACTACGAACAGTCCAGAGAAAATTAGGAGTGTCTCGTTTCTTTACTCTCGCGCAAATCCATTGTGAGCGTTTTCAGAAAATAGTCAGGGGAAGGATTCTAGAGAGGGGGAGGAACGGTGGCCACGGCTGGGAAACGACAACGAAACAGAATGAATTTTTCAACGAATGCATGATAAATGGATACTGCACTGAAAGACATCGTGCCCATCCGTACTTATGACGATATTCTAGGTGATGTTCTTTGCTCTTCGACTCGAAGTGGTTAGTGTTGATTTCGGCTTAAATCCGGGTATTCTAAGCGAACACACCACGGGAATTCGACTGCTGGTCGCCAGTCGCAGCTCTTACGACAAATCCACCCGGACAATCGACACGCAAATCAGTCGCCATGGCCAGTATGTTGAGATGCCCTGTGGTAGAGAAGCAGCGTTGCTAACAGCAGCGCAGAGTCAAAGAACTCGTCTCAGCACAACCAGTCGAAGAAGAACCACAGGAACGGGTACGCACACTTCCTGCCTCGAGCGCGCACGAACGGACATCGATCGCATCTCCTCCGCACGCACATCAACAATCATACTGGATGAAGGATGGCATAGCTGACATGATGGCACCACAGTATCAAGAAGCCTAAGACTCACCGTTACCCTTCGCTCAAGGGCACCGACCCCAAGTTCCGCCGTAACCACAGGCATGCTCTTCACGGCACCCAGCGCGCCCTGGTGCGTTCCTCCGATAGCCTTCGATCTTCGATGAACACGGCCAGCTAACTCCCGCATAGAAGGAGGTCAAGGAGGGCAAGCGCGACACTGTTTAAACGACAAACGATCACGAACGAGCGAGACACAGGGCGGTTATCGATTCCTCATGAGACATCTGGTCGGCGTCAATGGCATTCGGACTTTCTCTGGCGGCAACGAGCTCCAGACGGGTGGACGTGGGTTCCACACCATAGGCACTGAGATGCGGCAATGAAAAAGTCGAAAAGTCATGATCGATCCCGATCAAGTGCGCCCAGTGATGCATGCGAGCATTGTTTTTGTTGTTCCCAGTAAGTGATTTGGGGAGAGGAGGGTCACACCTCGAGTCGACCGGCATTAGTGTGTACAGCAACAGAGCTCTTCTATGCTCGACCTGCTGAAGGAATATCTTCGTGCCAAGATCAAACACCCCCCAACATTACCAAACACGCCGTTCTTTCCCCCGTAGGGCGAGTGTGCATGAAGTTGGGGTTACATACTATCTACTAACATTAGGTCTTTGCAGTCTCAGGGGCTTTGTTGAGGAAAGTCGTTGGCTTCCGCAATACTCATGAACGCTGTGTTTTGATGCATTTTATTTAATGCACATAGATCAATACATTCAGTTCCAGTTGTGAGTCTTGGTATCGTGGTCTGTTCAGGTGACGTCGGGCAGATGGCCGCCCCTCAATGCATGTGGAGCAACACCAACCAGCGGGGTACACGCTCCCTCCGCTTCGACAACATCACACTCGCTCACCTCACTCTCCGCCGGCGATACAAGAGCCCAAGCATACGTCAAGTTTTCGACAACCTCGCTCTTGTACCGCTTACCGCGGAGAGTTCGTAGGATACCCTGCCGAGGCCTCCCGGTGCTTCGCCTGCACTGCCTTGCTTTAGTGTGCTTAACAAGCAAACGTCGGTCCTCCTAAAGGCTCGATAGCCGCCGAACCCAGAGTCGCTCTTGACCTCTCACTACGCTCCGATCAAGTCCACTCCGATAATACCGCCCCTCTCAAGATCGCGAATACTACGTTCATCAAGCGCAAACATCAAACTGCAGGATGGCGACCGACGCTCACTGCGCATACTGCTTCGAAAGCCTCGCCGCATCCCTCGAAAAGCGCCCTGCCCTTTCCCTCCGCCAGGTCGAAGCCCTCTGGAAGAAGTACAGCGCCTCGGCCACCACCACCGATGTTGCCGAAGCCGACACCGACTCACCTGCCAAACCCGCCGCCATATCGCGCCTCCTCTCACCCTCAAGTGGTAGCGCATCTAGTGCAGCGTCCACACCGAGCGGTACCAGCTCCGCCAGCAGTGCAGGGACGAGCATGACCTCGCTCGGCAGCGCGCTACAGAAGGAAGAGAGCGCACAGGGCGAGTACCCACTCTTCGTGACATGGAACACACTGTCGCGCAGCGGAGACAAGAGACTGCGGGGATGTATCGGGACATTCGAACCACTGGATCTAGAGGAAGGGCTGAGCAGCTACGCATTAACGAGGTAAGCCCCCACTTCCCCGGCGCCTCCACCACAGGACTAACAGCAACCCAGCGCTTTCGACGACGGCCGCTTCTCGCCCGTCACCGCCCGTGAACTGCCCTCCTTACAGGCCGCCGTCACTCTCCTGACCAACTTCGAGCCAACCCCCAACAACGACCCCCTGGCCTGGGACATCGGCACGCACGGCCTGCGCATCTCGTTCACATACCACGGCCGCCGCTACGGCTCCACATATCTTCCCGACGTGGCGCGCGAGCAGGGCTGGACAAAGGAAGAGGCGCTCGTGAGCCTAATGCGGAAGGCGGGGTGGAGCGGCAGGAAGGATGACTGGCAGAAGATCGGGCTGAAGGTTATACGGTACCAGGGGAAGAAGGCGGCGTTGGATTACGAGGAGTGGAAGGCGTGGCGGGAGTGGGTGGATGAGGAGATGGCTGACAAGTAAGTTCGCTGCTGGAGAGAGACGGTTTGTATACGACGACACGATATCCATGATAGAGCCAGCAAGGCGTCGAACGGTGCATCTAGACATAATAGACACGGTTCTCATTTGTAATGATGCTGGTGGCTAAAGAAGAAGCTCGATCGATATTGTGCTGAAGATGGGTAAGTGCTATCTCAAAACTTGGTGCTCGACTATGGCTCTACCGTTGTGAGGACGCTCGCGAGCTGAAGCGGCCGATCGAACGACGTAGCAATGCGCGCCCTGCGCTGCGTGTGAACTCAACTCCCAGCAACGAACCCACAACCACACAGCAACCACCCACCCCTCCCCACCCACTCAATGCCACCTCGCCCTCCTAACCTCCCAAACCCCCCTCATCCTCCCATCACACACCAAACAAAACCCCACATCCCCCTCAAACAACCGATAATTCAACTCATCCCCCACAGCCTTCATATAGTCCTCCGCCCTGAGCCTCCCAAACAGCTCTTCCTGCAGCCGCTCCATGCGGCCGAGCACCAGGAACGCGCGGTCGAGCAACTCGACCACGGCGCGCGGCTCGCGCATGCTCTTGGGGCGGCGGGCGCGGCGGGCGCACAGCGGGGTGCGGCAGTGCGGACACAGGTTGGCGTTGCGCGCGGTGCTGTTGAGCCAGTGTGCGAGGCAGGGGGCGCCGATTGTGTGGGCGCAGGCGGAGATGTGGAAGGCGGGGTGGGAGGGGGTGAAGGGCATGAGGCAGATGCAGCAGTGCGAGGCGTCGGCGTGGGGATCGGGGGTGGTGGAGGTGGGGAGGGGGAGTTCGTGGCCGAAGTCGTTGATGTCGTGGTCCGGGCCGATGTTTTCGAGCTCGGGGTCTTTGGTCAGGCTGGGGAGGAGGCGCTCGAGGCGGGCGAGGAGGCGGATGATTTCGTCTTGGAGGGAGTGGGTGCATGAGTTGAACTCTTCTACGAACACGGGGTCGCGTTGTAGACGCTGGGCTTCGGTTATGGAGTTGGATGTCTCGATGACGTTGATATAGTAGGCGGTTCGAATGTTGTTGAGGCTATGCTTGACTTGCTCTATCACATCCATGTCCGGGGTGGCCATGGCCTTCCTGGCAACTGAACGATTGCGCACTGCAGCACGATAGAGGTTATCATGGTCTCTCAAAAAGCTGACGAGGTGTTGAGGTAGGTCGAATAGCGTTGCATTTTCGACCGAACGCAAATATCCTGCGTATGTACGGCCATGGCGAGCGAGTCTGTTCAAGTTCCGCGCGGCGCGACCAATATAGACATGGTCGTTTTCGTAGTGATGTACTGATATACGAGCTTCGAAAACATGGCGCTGCTCACGAACGATGCCAATGGGAATGGCCACTTGAGCCTGTGCGGTCTGAGACATCTGGGGTCGTAGGCCGCTGAGCAAGTACGGGGCAAAGGATAGTAGATCGGGCATCGTGACGTGGTTCTCTTTGATAGCAACGTGACAGAGTCGATGGTAGGTAAAGGTAAGATGCGATACCTGCTGTGAACTCGTCGTGTCGGGACCGCACAAACGATTGTTGACAGAGTCGGACAGTTTGAGCCTGTAAAGGTTATTGAGCGACACGAAAAGAAAGCCCGTCTTACCGGGTGGACAATCAGTGGAGGATATACCAGGGCTACTATTGTGCAATAGCCTATTGACAAACCTAGTCCGAGGTAGTTGTTTTCACTCCGACTTTCTCATGCATAATAGTAGTGCCTCTTTCACTTGAGGTGACTCTAGTGCCTGGATCCCATCAGTGCGACAGTAGAGTGGACCATGTAAGTTGGGAAGAGAATCAGCTTGCTGAAATTTCAGTGGTATATAGTCGGAATCTGTTTGCATGTACAATTCATCAGCGGTCGTCGGCCAGCGCTTCGACCTGAACGCACGAGGCGTACCTCGCCATTCTCAGCAAGAAGAGAACGCAGAAATCGAGAATCGCAGCGCTCATACCTCAGCGCTTGCTCCACAGGCCCTGTTGTGTCTCACGGATCCTGCGTTCTTGCTCTCTTATCATAGCCTCAGTCTGACCATGACCGTTGCCTCTACTATCGACATGGTCAATCTCCATGGGATCAGAGCCTTCTTCTGCGGGTTGTGGGAATTTGGGAGCCGGGGGCGCGCCGCGTCGTGGCTCGTTCGACTTGACGCCTTCCATCATACTGGCGGCGCCGCCAGCTCTCAGCTGATTAATAGCACGGATAGTGTCGATGGCAGCATGAAGCGTACGCCTGGCGTTGAAGTTCTTCTTGACAGTTGGCAAGAGATCTTCTTCGCCTTCGGCCTGCTTTTTGGCGAGATCTGCAATCCAAGGATGCGACAAAGCTTCGTGAGAAGTCATACGCGCTGCGGGATCAACTGTCAGGCAGCGGCGAATGAACTCGCGAGCGGTCAGAGAGACACCACGCCAGTACTCAAGAGGCGTGAAGGAGTAATCGGCGACAAGGATAGCCTGCATTTCTTCGAGGTTCGAGTCACGATCGAAAGGAGTGTAGCCGCACAGGAGGAAGTAAGTGATAACACCGATGGCCCAGATATCGCTGTGCCAACAGTCAGCGAAGTTGGAGGAGATGTTTTGTTATCAACTTACACAGGCTTGCCGTGACCAGTCTTCCTGAAGATTTCAGGCGCCATGTAGCCAGGAGTACCACAAGTCGTGGTTAGGACGTGGAATTGTTCCTCGTCCATGATGCGCGATAAGCCAAAGTCAGCGATCAGCAGATCAGCGTTGTCTTCGGGCGTGCGGAACAGCAGATTCTCGGGCTTCAGGTCGCGGTGTACAATTCCATGGTCGTGCAGATACGCAACGGCGGATAGGGTCGCTCTGATCAGGTCTGCTGCGTCAGACTCGTAGTAGTTGCCTTTGCGGCAGATGCGATCGAACAGCTCGCCTCCAAGCGCAAGGTCGGTCACGAGGTACACTGGGATTTGTTAGCCATGCAAAATGCCATGGAGTCAGATCACCTACAGTTGTTCATAGTCTCGAAGTAGTCCACAAGAGTCAGAATGTTCCTGTGTCCCATGGAAACCCTTTTCAAGACTGCGATCTCGTTCCTGACCATGTGCTCGCGTCCTGCCATAAGCCTCTTGTTGATGACCTTGGCCGCATAGTATCTCCCTGTGTCGATGTGTACGCACTCCTTAACGACCGAGTAGCTTCCGGCGCCCAATGTCTTTCCGGTCTTGTACCGGCATGGCTGCACTTGCGCCTGCGACTGAGGTGTGTTGACTCCACTTGCTCCGTTCGAAGCCATATCTGCGAATGAGTTTCTCAACGACTCGAAACGTTCAGACGATCGGCGTCTACTGAGAAGGCGCGCGAAGCGTCCAAGGGCAAGGGTAGTACGATGGAGTCTGTGGGGGCCGACGTCTCAGCCTCGCTGAGCTGACAGTGTGCGCGGTGCGTTCGGAGCTACTTCGCAGAGGTGTGGATACGTGGGCCGGGAGATAAGAGCTATTGAGAACCTGCACTGAATGTGCAAGGTAGGAAATTGTGTTATCGTGTAAAGGTTCTCAATCGTCGTCGACATCGCACGGCAAGGGTCAGCTCACGGGCGCCGGACCCTGACACAGCTGGAGGGGTCGCCTAGCGGGGTGCTATTGACGTGCGCAAGCCTGCATGAACGCCTACTCTTCGTCCGTGATCAAAGTCTTGGAGAAATCAGACGCATATTGACGACTTCATAATATTCACATGCATCATTCTGTGCACATGGAGCGCAACAACGCGCCTTCCTCACGACACCTGTCGCTGCCCAAGTAGCTGGGGCGAACGGGTCAACATCGCGTATCAGGCCTCGGGCATCAACAACGCATGCAAGCTTGCAAGTCATGACTTTTGCAGAGTGGTTCTGCATCTGCAGCATCCTGTATTTGGATCTTGATCTAGATCTTGAGGTGTATGCCATTTCTATACATACAGCGTTCAGTCGTAGCCAACACTCCCGTGGTCTATACAAAAGGGAATCATAGGAAACGAAGAGTCGTTAGCCTCACGACTTGACAAGCAAGCTAGTGCCGTCCATAGCCTCAGGCTGGGAAAGACCCATCAGGCTCAAGATTGTAGGTGCGACGTCACCGAGAACACCGTCCGTCTTCTTCAGACTCCAGGATTCAGGAGCGTTAGCCATGACGAAGGGAACCTTGTTGACAGTGTGAGATGTCTTCGGCGTGGCCTCCTCGGTAAGCATCTCCTCAGCGTTACCATGGTCAGCGGTGACAAAGAGAACGTATCCGCTCTCCTTGCACTGATCGTAGACCAGCTTGATGGCCTTGTCGGTCTCAGTACAAGCCTCGATGGCTGCCTTGTAGACACCAGTGTGGCCAACCATGTCAGGTGGTGCGAAGTTGTTCATGAGGAACTCAAACTTGCCAGTGCGGATACGCTCGCAAAGCTTCTCAGCGACAGCCATAGCGCTCATTGTGGGCTGGAGATCGTACGTGGCTACCTTAGGGGAGGGAACCATCTCACGCTCCTCGTTCTCAAACTGCTTCTCAACACCACCGTTGAAGAAGAAAGTAACGTGAGCGTACTTCTCGGTCTCAGCAACGTGGCACTGCTTCACACCCTGCTTTCCGAGCGTCTCCGCAAGAACATCGTTCATTCGCTGAGGAGGGAAAGCGATAGGGAATGTGTAGCTGGGGTTGTATGCGGTCATGGTGGTAAGGTGGATGTCGGCAGGGTAGGGGAGGTCGGGCTTAGGCGAGCGGTCGACGTCGCCCAAAAGCTGAGTGACCTCACGAACACGATCGGAGCGGTAGTTGAAGAAGAAGACAGTGTCCTTGTCTGCATGCACGAATTAGCATCAAGACATCTCGGTACTCAGCCCGTTCAATTCTTACCTTGGATTCTGCGCTCCTTTCCACCGACAATGATGGGCTTCAGGAACTCGTCGTTCTCGCCCTTCTCGTACCGCTCCTTGATGGTGGCTACCGGATCGCTGCTCTCCTCACCCTCGCCTGTGAGCAGACCCTTGAGGCCGATCTCAACACGATCCCACCTCTTATCACGGTCCATGATGTAGTAGCGGCCAACGATTGTAGCGAGCTCGCCAGTACCAATATCCTTTGCGGCCTTAAGCAGATCCTCCATGTATCCGGCGCTGGACTTGGGGTCGGTGTCACGGCCGTCGCCAAAGAAGTGGATGAAGACCTTAGGAACGCCCATCTTCTTAGCGACCTTGAGCAGAGCGACCAGGTGGTCGATGTGCGAGTGGACACCACCGTCAGAGACCAGACCGCAGAGGTGAAGCCTGCCGTTGCCGTCGATGGCCCTCTGGAACGACTTCTTAACGTTCTCGACCTCGCCGAGCTTGTCGCTCTTGATTGTCTGTCCAATGCGGACTGAGTCTTGCCAGACAACGCGGCCAGCACCAATGTTCAAGTGGCCGACCTCGCTGTTGCCCATCAGGCCCTCCGGCAGACCGACGGCGAGGGAAGAGGCCTCGAGCTCGGTGTAGCCCTGGGCGGTCTTGGAGCCGCTCCTGGCAAATTCGTCCATGGTAGGGGTGTCCGCAGCGAGGATGGCATCTCCATCCTTGCGCGACTTCTCAGTCGCAACACCCCATCCGTCGATGACGATAAGGACAGCCTTCTGGTCGACCTGCACCATGATGACGGGTCAATGGGAAGGAAGTGGTGAAGGAGGAAAAGGATAAAGCTCGAGGAGAGACTCGAGCGCAGGAAATGTTATAGGTCGCAAAGGGTGAACAAACCAAAAGTGTTGGAGGGCGCACGGAGGGGTAGTGGGGCTTTCGCCCTAGCATCGGCGTCAGAGGGCGTTTTGCTTGAACCACTCCACCACTCCACCAGACCACCGCTATCACCGCGGCCGGCGCCACTAATCTATCGCCTGGCCTGCAAAAAGAAAGCGCTCGTTTCAGCGCTCCACTCAACGCTTGCAACTGCACCTCAGCAGCCTGCGGCAGCACCGTCGACGCAGCCAATCACCGCGCCACTGATCTGCGTGGCGCGTCGGACAAGGCGCGTCTCCTGCATCAACACCAAGCCCAGCTATCTCCACAATTACCTCACCTGGTGCCTCAGCGACACTTATCATGTCTGGAGCTGCCACACCCCACGCCCCAGCGTCTGCACGCGCCTCGCTCCCACCGACGGGCACAGCAACGCCGGCACTGCAACCTCCAGCTCCGGCCTCCCCCGGCCTCCCACCGCCAACCACCTTCGACATCCTGCCCGACCTCCATAAGCTGCTCAAGCGCCTTCTCGACACCGCTCCCACGTCTGCACCCTCTCAGTCAGCTGCAGACAGCCCTCTCGAGATCCAGCATGTAGCCACCGCGGCCACCGACATCAGGCTGAAGCTCCAAAGAGCACAGCGCGCTGTCATGGCTCTACCAGAGATCGACAGGACATGTGAGGACCAAGAAGAGGAGATCGAGGACTTGGAGGCACGCATTGCGCGTCTGAGGGCCTCCTTGCGGGAGCTCGGCCGGTCCACGGAAACGGCAGAGGATCGAGACCAACGTATGACGGGTTGAGCCTCCGCGTGGACTACAATTGATCGCCTTTTAGGACAAACCTCCATCGACTGCATGGACGCCCTCGACATGGCTCTGGCTCAAGGAGCATAATACTACGTGCATCGCTACCCCGGCCAAACATACCCGAAAAATGGAACAGCCACAGGAACACCTTGGTATTTCAGAAGTTGCGAGAACATGTCTCGTAGCAGACCATAACGTTATTTGCTCCATGACCTGCTGAAGCGTTCTCTATATTTGCCAACATGTCGAACAAAGTAAATACCCCTGTCGAGCAAAGCACCGCTCAAGCTGGGGAGGAACAGACATGGCACCCTGAGGATCGCTCGTCACGACTGCGAAATGTAGTTGCGGCGAAGCAGTACATGCGTCTTACATATTTGCCGAAACAGAACCAAGGTCGCTACACGGCGTAGCATCTCTGCCATGCGCACTACATTGCACCCACTACATTCCTAGACTGCAAGTCAGCACAGGCAAGTCAGCACAAGACTTTGCCGGTTCTCAGTCCAGAATTATAGTCTGCGTATCAGACTTACGTATTGTCTCTCACCATGTTACCTTCCCTCATAGAGGTCCTCGGCAAACATGCCTACCACCAGCGAACCAAAGATGAAAGAATGATTTCAGTGTGAGACATGCTGCAAATGGAAGCAGCTCGGCAGCTTAAGACAACATATCTTGGACAATACAAGTTTTACCTATCACACTCATCGTCGGTTTTCTACAAACATGCCACTCTTCATTGTGAAACACGGCCTCAGGGAGGGCAGTGAAAGGATATTTCTACTCTGTGGACGGGGCCATTTATACGCCAGGGCCCGACACTTTACTATTAACCTCATGTCTTCAACTGAGCGAACCAGCATCGCCAACATGTCACAGGCTTTCCGAAACTTCAAGGAGATCCGAATCAAGACGCGGACTGTGCTCATGGCGATAAAGTGGGACGTAGACAACTTGTGCGCTACACGGGGCATGTCATTCCTCGACATGCTACGCGAGGCCCAGTCTGAGCAGACGGCTCCGCGCCCCGGGACTCCTCGAATTTTTGCTAATCACCAAGCCCTGGGCAATCTACTTGCAATGCTGCAGGAAGACATGGAAAGGACCAAGAATCCAGCCTCAGACAAGCTGGCCTTCATTGCCTCACGAGCTCAATACGTTTTTGCAATGCAGATGGTAACGTGGATTCGCCACAGCGGTAACACTTCTGACACTAGGTCCTATCTCAAGGCAGACCATGACTTCAATGATCTCATCGGCACCCTAGTACAGTGCTACGAGGGCGAGCTCGTCAATTTGATAGCCGAACTTGACAGCCTGCTTCCAGGTATGCGTTTTGAAGAGGTCTTTATCATGAAAGGCCCGGACCCAGATATCGCGGCCGTTGGATCACTGCTCTCCACTACAGAAGCTAGAATCCAGGACGACATGCTCGTCGAGAACTACGAGCGAGACCATCGCATGCGGTGTGCTTTCTGCCTTGAAGCATACACCGCAGCCGATCCGGCTTTCGAGCTTACCTGCGGACATATCGTTGGCCAGACTTGCATGTCTACGTGGCTGCACTCCTCTCAAGCGCAAGCCACCTCTTGCCCTCACTGCAAGTTTGTTCTATGTCCACCGCGACAGCGCATCTCCATCTCACCCACACCCGCGCAAATCGCGCGTCGTGATTCGATATCGATCCTTATGAATGTGGTCTGGAACATTGCTAGCGGCACTCTGCAGACGATACAGATGGTCTATGGACCGCTGGAAGCTCGAGGAGTGGCCGACAGCATGGAAGATGCCATCAACACAGGTCTAGCTCTTAGGGGTGTGGAGTGTCGTGTATCAGTGCGTTACGACGAGAATCTACGCAAGTGGATTGCGACTACACGCTCCTTGTTTTGAAAAATTTCGGAATCTTGGACAGTCTTTACCCAAATCAGTGTTTTTGCTGTTTCGGCCGTGTGTATGGCTACTTTCCACTATAGTTGTAGCTAAAAAGTCGGAACTATGCAACGCTTGTTTTTTCCAATTCCTCTACTCCCCTTCGACCCATTATGTTGCTCGAGATACCCAACGTCGACCTGCCACCAATCTCACCGCCTAAGTAAGAGTGTTATTCCGGCTATCGTCCTCCTGCACCCCCACACCCCACCCCTCACCCCAACTAGTATGCAAACCCACTTTCTTCCTGCTCTCCACCAAGGCCTTGATCAGCGCAACTGTAACCTCCCACCCCTCCTGCAGCATGGCCTCACTCGTACTCAGATCCGGCACATGCATGAACACCACCGGCTTCTCCCCGCCCTGTCCATTCATCATGTGATAATGCGCCAGCGAGTTGTAGTAAATAAACCCACACAAAAAGTTTCCAGCATCGGGGTTCGTGCGCACGTCCGCGGTGGTCGATGACCCCAGACACCGTTTCCACCGCGTTAGCACGTCCGCCGTGTCGAATCCCGTGTGCAGCACCTCCGGGTAGTGTGCCACGGGAAACAAGTCGTCGGCCAGTGCGTCCGCGAACAGGTCCCCGTCGACGTCGTTCGTCTTGCCGAAGCCGCGCGAGTGCGCGCCCTGCTCGATGGCGTAGAACGAGCGGCTTGCCGCTAGACCAATGTGCAGGACGATGTCTGGAGACGGGGAGTAGAAGCTGCTGGGTGGTAGCAGTTGGGGCACAGTGTTGAGAACGTTCTGGTAGGTGACGCGGATGGGCTCATGGTGGACTCTGATGTGGATCGGGGTTGGGTTGGTGGGTGAGGCGGGGATTAGGGCGGGCAGCGTGGAGGCGATTTCCCAGGAGGAGTTCTTGGGGTATTTGTCGAGGAAGGGCTGGAGGGTTGTTAGTGGTTTGGCATATGGTTGTATATACAAGGAATGAGACTGAAACCGGGGGTTTAATGGGAATATCAACCAAATTGTATACGAAGTTGATTCACCCAATATCCATCGTAGACCGGGCAAAAGGCCAGTATCTCTCGCATGGTCCATCTGCTCTTGCACGGTGTATTCGATTGCCTAGGTATCATACACGGTTGCACTGTTCAAGTTGCTCATCACTCCCCATGAATCTCGGCTGCGTGCTTCCGCCGACATGCTTCTGCGTCATTGAGCAGGGCGACGTGGACGCCTCGAAGCTGAGACTGGCATGGACCAAGACAACAGAGATGTGAAAAAGAGCGAACTGAAGCTACCAATTTGCGGGGTCGATGGAGAAACTAGACTTACGCCAAAGCCAGTCACCAGAACGTGAACAGGCCTTTCGCCTTCCACGGCAGGAGGTTGCCACGCAGCATACGAAGCGTCCGGCATCGTGGGGGTAAACTCACCAGGTGTGCGATGACAGAGACTAAAGTAAAGAATGTTGTGCTGTCGAGAAGAACCAAAAGCTGCAGAGCTCCCTTGTATTGAAGTATACTCCATCTAGCTAGCATCCCAGGAGTGATGACGAGAGGGGCCGCGTTGCCCGATCAAGGCCAGATCCCAGCACAGCAGCCGCATTCAGCACCCTGCATGCTGTAGACTTCTAGCAAAATCTTTGGGTCTGTAGCGAGGCCCTGGGTCGCACAATCGAATCCCAGATCGTGTGTTGTTGTTGTGATCATCGAAGCATCACCTGCTGTTAGCGCGAATCAGACAAGCTCTAATTTGGGCTACCTAATCGAGTTCCGAGGTGCGGAACGTCGAGGTCAACCCCACAAACCACCCCACATCGCTCTTGGTCTTGGTCAGGCTTGTTTGAGTTCCCTCAGACATCGGAAGACACACTGGAGATGAAGCCTCGTCGGATGAGCACCATCGGCTAGGGCCTTTGCGGCCATCTGTGTGTGGTTCGCACTCGCGTCCCTTAACCTCCGAACTTTGGCCTACCGAGACCGTTGCGACGACAAATGCAGGGTGCCGAGCAATTCATACCTCAGCTGATTGGCCAGACCCAGCGTTCTAGTACCCATGCGTCATCGCAATTGGAGTCGAAGAGACGCCGTCGGATGAAGCTCACAGTAACTTCCTGCAGAGCCGCACCCGTTCTGACAGCCGTGCTCTAGATCCGTCGAGCTTAGATCAATCCTCAAGACTGACATTGAGGCCACATCCCGCAAGACGAGCTCCAAATTGCTCGACTGAATTTCCCCCATCACAAACCCCGCAATGGCCTCCACAGATTCGCCCAAGAGGGAGTACAACCTCGCCATTGTAGGCGGCGGCATCTCAGGTCTCTGCCTCGCCATCACACTCCTGCGATATGACATACCCATCACCGTGTATGAAGCAGCGTCTCACTTCGGTGAGATCGGGGCCGGCGTGTATCTGGGTCCGAATGCGGGGCGCGCGATGAAGCTCATGTCCCCTAAGATCCACGAGGCCTTCACCAAGACAAAGACCGGCAACCAATGGAAAGAGAAGGAGGATTCATGGTTCACAATTCGCGTAGGCGACGAGCGTAGAGCGGACAAGGATGGTTTCGTAAAGCCAGGCAAGAGAGTGGGCGATGCTTTGTTCGATGTGCCAATGGCGGCGGGAGGCGATCGGGGAGGCGTGTACCGCGCAGCGTTCCTGAACGAGCTGGTCAAGGACATTCCTGACAACATTGCGCGCTTTGGCAAGAGACTTGTGGATTTGAGCAATGCAAAGGATGACTCTGGGGATATGGTGCTTCACTTTGCCGACGGAACTACAGCACAGCATTCTGCAGTCATTGGGTGCGACGGTATCAAGTCCAAAACGAGGCCATGGTTACTCGGCAAGGACGATCCTGCTTCGTTTGCAGAGTACTCGGGAAAGTACGCCTACCGAGGATTGATTCCCATGGAAAAGGCTATACCGTTGTTGGGCGAGGAAGTTGCAGCGAACAGTTCCATATTCATGGGTTACCACGGGCACATTCTTACTTTCCCCGTCCAAAAAGGCAAGACGATGAACGGTAGGTCTTCGCTGGCTATTGATAGTCTCACAACAACTGACATGCGTAGTTGTTGCATTTAACTCGAGCAAAACCTGGGACGATGAGAAGTGGGTAATCACCACATCCAAAGAGCAAATGGAAGCCGACTTTGCCGACTGGGGCCCGCAAGTCCAGAAGATTGTGGGCGCCATGGAGAAACCCGACGTCTGGGCGCTGTTCATGCACCCACCCTGCAACACCTTCTACAAGGGGCGGCTGTGCCTGCTCGGTGACGCCGCTCACGCAACAACGCCACACCAAGGCGCGGGCGCGGGCATGTGTATTGAGGACTCGTATATTCTCGCCAATCTGGTCAAGGAAGCGAGCGATGTGGATGGTCTGGAGCGCGCGTTCAAGGCTTTCGATCAGGTCAGGCGGGAGAGATCGCAGAAGAACGTGACGACAAGTCAGGAGGCGGGCATGTTGTATGATCTCGAGCTTTTTGGCGATGATTTGGAGAAGATTGAGCACAGCTTCCTGACTAGGATGCAGTGGATTTGGGAGTTTGATATCGAAAAGCAGTTGGAGGAGGCGCAGAAGATTATGCGGGGAGAGACAGTGGAGACATGATAGCATATTGAGGCTGCTGTCAAGTTGCCCCTTTGCAATACAATTTTCAATAATTGATAGCAACGTCTATCTCCTCCGCCCCGCCCCCGCACCAGCGCTCTCCTTATCCGCCAAACTAACCACCTCACCGATACCTGCGGCCTCCTGCTCGTCCTCGAGCGCACGGATCTCCTCCCTGCAATCCCAGAACTTCTCCTCGGCATCCTTGAAAGCCAGCTGTCTTATCTCCTGCACTAAAGTCAGCAATGATCAATATGTTACGGTTCACGCGAAACTTGCCTTTACACCAAACTCATCCGTCCTCTTCTTACGATCAAGATCCTCGATCTTGAGATTAATCCACGTTTCTTGCGTCCTGGCGTAGAACTCGCGTAGCGACTCGAACGGCCGCGGGTGAGGCAGACCATCAGTGAGCGCGGAGATCTCCTCGTTGGTGCCGAGGTCCTCTTCTGCGTCCTTTGAGGGCACGACGACGGGCGAGTCGGTGACGCTTGTTGGTGCGGTGGAAGGAGCAGACTTCTCATCTTCTTCATCTTCATCGTCCTCGTCCTCGTCGTCTTCGTCTTCGTCGTCTTCCGAGTCTGCTTCGTCGTCGCTGCCGAGCCAGTCGTCCAGCTCGCGCTTGAAGATCTCTTGCACGCCATCTAGATGGTTCAGGTTGACGGACCAGAGCTCGTCGAAAGTAAATTCGCGGTCGCCTTTTTCGAATGTGCCGCCGTAGATGTAGAGCGTGTCGCCTTGGACGGCGAGGGCTGCATTGAAGCGTGGGTGCGGGAACTCGAAAAGGCGCGGCTTCTCAGGGCGTTGTTCCTCTTCCTCGTCTTCTTCTTTGGCCTTTTCTGCCTCGTCGTCCGAATCATGCGGAGTGGCAGCTCCGATTTTCTCCTCCAACGCCTTGAGGTTGGCGAGCAGCTCTTCCTCATCAGCTTTTCCACGTGCACGGCGGCTGACATTCGCTTGCTTGGCCGCCTGCTTATTTGCGTTGGCTTTGGGCCGGCGTAGTGACAAGGGCATGTATCTGTTTCGCTCAATGTTCCAGATGAACATCTGATTGAAAAACTCAGAGTCGATGCCCTCCTCGCTCTCCTCGACGTCATGGACACCGCCAAACATCACGCCACGACCCTTGTGGAAGGCCATCGTAGCTCCAGCACGCGCCGGATTTGGCGCGTTCGCAGGCATCTTACGCTTATCCCACGACACCGTTGGTGGGTTCGTTGACGGCTGGTCAGCGGGTGGCGGCGTGACACGCAGGAACCAGGTATCAACGTGGACCTTTGGCTTCAATACCATTCGAGATGCAGGACCACCGCCGCCGCCTCCTTTCTTGCCTTTGACCTGCTGCTGCTGTCCCTTATTACCACCTGCAGCAGTCTTCACTCGGGAGTAGCCGCCATAAATGACGGCACCTTGGTCATGGGGAAGTAGTGAGAAGCTTGATCGTGCATCTGGGACTGCGCGCGCTGCCTGCAACTTTGGCGTGTGCCACGTGAAGTTGACACAGTCGTAGATCCATATATCGTTTAAATACTTTGTAGTCGCTGAAGTGTCCTGGAAACCTCCGAAAAGAATGATGTACTGCTTGAAGCCGACCATACGATGTCCACTTCGCGCTGGCGGGCTTGATGCTTTGCCTTTCGTCTCCACACGCGTCCACTCTCGGCTCTTGGGTTCCAGTTTCCAGAAGTCGTTGTAGTGATAGAACGTGCCTTGCTTAGGCGAACTGAACTCGCCACCAAACAAGTAGATCTCCTGCGTGTTCGCAGCTCGACACCAGGCATGTCCGGATCGTGGTAGAGGCGAATTTGGACTCGTGACTTTGTTCCAGGTGTCTCTCTTTATGTTGTAAATGAAGAGATCGTTGTAGAAGTGTGCAGTTGCGCCATTGAAGTACTCTCCTCCGTACAACAGAACCTCGTTCTCATTGGCCGGGTTTGCGATCAATGTGCTGGATGACCTGGCTGCTGGTGGCTCACAGGGAGCCTCAGTGATTTCATTGAAGGCCTCCTGCTCTTTCGCATATTGCGCCAGAACTGCATCAAGGTCTACGGATTCTGTGTCGGAGTCCACATCCTTGTTTTTGGTGGCTTGCTTCTTATCCTTCTTGCCAGCTTTCTTCTCTTGCTTTGCAGCCTTTGCAGCTTTGGCGGCCGCCTTGTCGCCCTTCTTTTTGTCTTTTGCCATTCTGTCTGGCTACTTTGCTCGTAGAGTAGCCGTTAAATTTCGATTTCAGAAATCGCCCCCGCAGTTGCTGGAAAATTTCGCTCTTGAAGATGCAGAAGGGGAGAGCTGATGGGAATCGTTGCAGAAAAAAGGTCAACTACCTTAAGATGGTGGTCGCTTTCTTCAGACTTGCTGAGATGTTAAATGCAATTGGACAGGAAATTCGAAACTGAACCCATGCTCATGCGTCACGACGGTGATGGATGTGGGGCACTTTCCTTATCGATAAAGCTCTACCTGACATTCACTCCACCCCTCTTACTCTACAATAAACACCAGCAATATGATACAGGCAGCCAAGATCCTCGAACAAAGAAGTCACCTAGTGCCTGGTATATCTTTCTATTTACCAGCACTAGTGTCAAGGCTCTGACTGTTCTAGGAAAGCTCAGAATCACCGAGCACTTCTTCCAGGTACCTCGTGATTACTCGAACCCCTCAGCAGGGCATCTGCAACTGTTTGCACGCTCGGCTCTCAAAGCCGAGAAGCCGGCAGACTATTCTCCAGATGGCACACCGGACCCAAAGAAGGTCCAGCTACCATGGCTTGTATATCTACAGGGCGGCCCAGGCTTTGAGTGCCGCAGCCCTGAGAACGTGTCCTGGGTTCCCACTATCCTAGACAAGGGATATCGCGTTCTCATGCTCGATCAACGTGGTACTGGACTGTCCACAGCCATCAGTCAAAGCTCTCTGCAGCTCCGTGGCGACGAGAAGGTCCAAGCAGAGTACATGAAGAGCTTCCGTGCGGACAGCATCGTGAAGGATTGCGAGGCCGTACGGAAAGCCCTAACTGAGGACTACCCCGAAGACAAAAAGAAGTGGTCCATAATGGGTCAATCATTCGGTGGATTCTGTGCTACGACATATCTTTCATTCTATCCTGAAGGGGTCAAAGAAGCTTTCCTCTTTGGTGGTCTGCCGCCTCTGCGCAGCAACCCGGACGAGGTCTATGAGCGCCTATACAAACGCGTGAAGAAGCGAAACGAGCAATATTACGCAAAGTACCCCGAGGATATCGACCGCGTAAAGCGCATCATCAAGCTCTTGTCCAGATTCGGCGACACTACTGTCCGTGTACAAGGCGGAGAGGGCTATCTCAGCGCTCGTCGATTCCTCCAACTCGGAATCTTCTTTGGAAAGCATGGCGGTTTTGAAGATGTGCATGCGTTGGTTCTGCGAGCAGACACAGACTTGAGCCAGTTTGGACACCTGACACGACCTACCGTTCTTGCACTTGAGGCTGCGCAGTCGTGGGACACGAACGTCATATATGCCTTGTTACACGAGCCTATCTATTGCCAAGGAGAAGCAGCCAACTGGTCTGCTGAGCGACTTCTTGAGAAGTTCCCTGAGTTCTCACTGCAGAATGTGGAGTCATCAGACCCAGTTTACTTTACTGGAGAGATGATATACCCATTCATGTTTGACTGCTACCCGGAGCTTGCGAAGTTGAAGCAAGTGGGCCAAATGCTTGCTGAAGAGAAGGATTGGCCAAAGCTTTATGATACTGAGCAGCTGAAGAAGAATGAGGTACCAACGTACGCAGCTGTCTACCATGAGGACATCTACGTCGATTTCGAGTTGAGCATGGAGACCGCGAACACCATCAAAGGGTGCAAGCCTTTCGTCACAAACTCAATGTATCACAATGCGATTGGAGCGAAGACGGATGATGTGCTTAAGGAGATATTTGCGAGGAGAGACGATGTTATCGATTGAAGTAGTTGACCGAAACGTGATGGATTCAGAGGGAGCTCGTTGCATTTTCGTCTACAAAATAGAGTCGATGACCTCCGACACCCAGTCCAGCTGAACCGCACTAACACCTCTAGCCCACGCCTTGCCAGTGAACACAAACTCGTTGAAGACAATCGCCTCTACCTTCCGCCCGAATAGGACAGACCCTGGATGTATCGCAACCAGCTGATTTCCATTAAGCGTTTTGTAGCTCCCATCCGGCATCATCCTTGCTGTATTCGCTACAAACCCTCTGAGCATGCACGCCAAAATGTTCTTCGTCCTCTCTTCCGACGGGCTCGAAGCATCTTGATCATCTCCTGGTGTAAGGAGCTTGAGCTGCTGGCACTGCTGCCTCAGCTGCTTTCTCACGTTCATGACATTCTGCATCGCGCGGTGCGAAACAAAGTGCCGGATACACCACGCCTTACGGTCTGACTGCTCCTCCGCATACCGTTGCACGGTAACAAGAAGCGTGAGATGGTCACCTTCGCGGCGGTATAGTTCTCGGCGCGCTTCCTCTGCTTCTTCTTTCCGCTCTTCCGTGACCAAATTGAGGAACACGTTTTCCACGCTCAGCGCGGAGATGATGTCGATGACGTCGAGGAGGCAGTCGCGCTCTGGTCTTGCCGCCTCGACCAGAACACGTCCTAGTGTGGGTGTGAGTGGGAACTTTGCGATTTTGAGACCGATCTCGCTGACTGTGCCAGTCTCGGTGAGGGCCTGTAGATGGAGGAGGTGTAGGAGGGCTTTCTCGAGGGCATCGCGCGGCGGGCGGTCGAGGAACGGAAAGTTGAGGACATCGTCTACACCGCGCGCTTTCATTGTGAGGATTGCCTGGCTGAGGTCGCACCGCAGGATTTCGGGCGTGGTGCGCTCTTCCATCTCGTTGTAGCCGGACTCGGTGTACAGCCTGTAGCATTGACCGGGTGCCTCACGACCCGCACGACCTTTGCGCTGGATTGCGGCAGATTTGGAGATCGGCTTGACGAGCAGCGACTCAAGTCCGAGACGACTGCGGAATTGCTTTGTCTTTGACTTGCCACAGTCGATGACGAATCGCACTCCCGGCACTGTAACGGACGTTTCTGCGATATTTGTTGCGAGGATCACCTTTCTTGTACGAGCTGGAGTCGACTCGAAAATGCGTTGTTGAGCGTGCTGTGGTAGCGCAGCAAAGAGCGGAAGAACAAGGAGCTGTAGCTGTCAGCATGTGTATTTTCAAGACGTTAGAAGCGTAATGCACTCACCTTAGGTACGTCGGTATCCATGCCTTCCGCATAATCGTTGACAAGCTTTTCCAGGCCTTCGATCGTGTCTTGACCTGTAAGGAACACGAGGATATCTCCAGGTAGCGGTTCTTTGTAGTGTATTTGAAAGATGAGTTTGAGAGCAGCTTCGACCCAATCTTGTGTAGGGCTCGGAAGATGTACTGTCTTGACTGGGAATTGCCGACCTTCGACGAAGCACTTGGATACCCGGCTCACCACGGCCTGTTCTTCCTTCATAGTCACATCGCCGTCTGATGGCGGTAATGTCTTTGCTGACGCCCCAGACTCATCGAAGAAGTCAACAAGCGCTTCAACGTCCGCTGTGGCACTCATGACGACGACTTTCAGAGGCTGCTCTCGCTTCTTACCACTCTGCTCTACTCCCGCGACCAGATTTTGCAAGAAGCCAAGGATCAGATCGACATTTACACTCCGTTCGTGCACCTCATCGACCACCACAGCGCTGTACTGCGACATGATCGGATCTCTCAGCATTTCTTGGAGCAGCATTCCCTCGGTGAGAAACTTGATTTTCGTGTTGGGTCCGGTAGCATTGTCGAATCGCACACTGTAGCCGACTTTCGCCATAGGGCTCTGGCTTCCCATGTAGCTACCCATCTCTTCCGCAACACGCCTGGCCAGCGATATCGCAGCGACTCGACGGGGTTGCGTGATGGCTATGCATTTTGTACACCATTTCTCACTTAGCAGAAATTGCGGGACCTGTGTTGATTTTCCGGAACCCGTCTCTCCGGTCAAGACAAGGACGTTGTTCTTTTTGAGGGCTAACCTGATCTCTTGAGCCTTTGGCCAGATGGGCAGAGCTTTCCGCTTTGGTAGAAGGTCATCACGCTTGCGCAAGAGATGTGGTGGAACAGCTTGTTGAGGTCTTGCACTCGCCGGCTTCGTCTTTTGTCCTGATGGCTGTTTGGTTTCCTTATGGCTATGATTTGAGACCCGAGATATCGACTTCGGGGCCTCAATCTCCACCTCGTCTGCTTCGGTTTTCGGTTCATCGAACTTGATCGATTTCCCATCACCTTTCTTTGGCACTTCCACTCGTTTTCTCTTCTTGCCCTGTTTCAACTCCACATCACTGGCACCCTTGAGGCCTTTCTTGGGTGCATCAACACCTGCCTTCTCTTTCGACATCTTGTTGTTGTTTGAACGCGTGGTGGTGTTCGTTACCTTGAACTTTTTGCGACCGAACATATCTTTATCGATAAACCGCAAAGGGTTTAGCGCATCTTGATCCAAATTTCGACACGAGGTTTGCGCAGACTTAATACATAGATGCAATTTCGAACAATCTGATCTCTATCCTAAGTAAGAATTTACTGGAGACATACAGCCGTAGGTACGGATCATAGAATCGTTGAAGCCTCCACTCCAAGAGGCTAAGCTGCAGATATACACAGAAACAACGTTACATCACGCATCAAGATAACGAGTTGGAGTCGACAAAATGGGTATCGTATTGCCTTATGCCAAGGTCACTTTTGTTTCAGACACCTCGAACGCCGTAGCTGGACATGTCCCACCAGTTGAACTGGAGCTCTGTGTTGGAGACGTACTGCTCATTCAGCTATGTAAACCATCTATGGCGTAAATCATCCAATCATGTCTGTCATGCACCGTTTTATCGATGTGCAAACATTTACTCCTCAGGGATCTCGATCTCGCCGGAGTGGATGTCCTCCTGGACAGCCTTGGGGCTGCGGCCGTCAACCTGGCAGCCGGTGGAGAAAGCAGTTCCGAGGATCTCAAGAACGGTACCCTCGAGGGACTTGGCCATAGACTTGAAGCGCATGGTCCTGGCAATGGAGATGATCTCGTCAAGGGGAATGGACTTGGTGTGCTTGATGTTCTTCTCCTTCTTGCGGTCCCTGGGAGGCTCCTTGAGGGCCTTGATGACAAGGGAAGAGGCGGAGGGAACGACGGAGACGGCGGCCTGACGGTTCTGGATGGTCAACTTGACGGTGACGCGGAGACCCTTCCAGTCGCCAGTGGCCTTGGCGATATCTTCACCGACCTCTGCGAGTCTCATTAGCAATTGCTTGAATTGGCGCTTGCGCAGTTTTGCGCTCGCGTGAAATTTTGGAATACGCACTCTTGGGCGAGAGACCGAGAGGACCGATCTTGGGGGCAAGGGCGGAGGAGGCACCGACTTCACCACCGGTCGCACGGAGGTGGATGACCTTAACCTCGGAGGGATCGAACTTGGGAGCTGCAGCGGTCGTTAGCCAGGCTGTCGCAGCCGATCAGAAGGACGATACTCACGCATGGCTAGTGCGAGAGGTGGTCTGTCTTTTCTGATAAGTCGGGTTAGTTGAACGAGGAGTTGAAGAGTCGAAAAAAGTTCGAGGCGGCGACGATATTGAGGTGGGCGCATCGCTAAGCGAGCCAAGGCGGGCTAGCTGCATGGGTCGTGGATGGAGAGAACGCCACCCCACTTCATCTCTCGCCATCACGAGTCGCGCTTGCCTGTGTACCATCCTGTACTTTGTTATTACGATCATATGCATTAAATACTGACTTCTACCGCAATAGTCCTTGCACTGCACTGAGCAAGGCTCACATTTTGCTGAGCAGTGCACCCGTCCAAGTCACTGTCCTGGACTGGCAAGCTTCTGTACCATACAAACTGCAACATACTATCATCTCGCATACCGAGAAACAAAGAAGTCGGGATCCGATTCCTCCTCCACCATAGTCTACAATTCCTTTTCCCCTTCAGTTGCCTCAACGATCTCCTCTGCGTCCGGAGCTCTCGCGGGTTTGCCACCAGCATCTGCATACGTGCCATAAACTCGCCCACGTTCCGAGTAGTACAGCTTCTGGACGGTATTCACGCCAATATGCCAGCTGTACTCCTTTGCCAACCTGTGCTGGATCTGTTCGAAGCTGACGTCCGAGGTATCCTTCCAGACACAGATGCACGCTTTCAAGAATCCTCGATGCGCTGTCGGCTCACTGATCCTCTTTCGCCGAACTGTTCCGGCAATTTCAGGACCAGCGCCAGCAGCATAGACGGCCTTGCCACCGATTGTATTGTACTTGTGACCAGCCTGCTGACCGCGACGTAAAACGCTCCGGCTCGGTTCCTCAATCTCATCCTCATGCTTGAATCCGTACTTTCTCGCCAGTTTCAGCAGGGCAAGATGATGGATTTTACGAACCGTATCGTCAGTGGTAGTCTCACCTGGGAACATCGCTCGATACCGTCTAGCACTCTCTGTGTACGTAAGCTCTTTTTCGTCAAGCCAGTACACGAGCATGCTGGATGGATAGTCGATGTCGTCTCCGTATGGTAAGTTCTCGGGCGTCGGCTCAGGTGGATCTTGACCTGGCGTCAAGTCAATCCGCGTAGGCATACGGATGACTTTGATGGTACGGTACTTGAAGTCGACAATGTCGATGTCTTTTTGCTCGAAGCCATCTCTCCGGCGTTTTGCTGCGTTGCCTCGGGACGCCACAGCAGGATCACGGGTGATTCTCACCTTTTTCTGCACCCTTTCACTCTCTGTAACTACAGGCGCAAGCGCGGACCCGCCATGTGACACGGACCTTGGACGACCGACGTTTTCCATGTATACTGGCGGTATCTGATTTGATTGCAACGGTATCTGGTCCGCACACTGGGTCTCTCTCGCAGCAGGAGCGGAGTGTGGGCTATCCGTCGCATCGTCGAGGCCGTGCAACATTGCTACGTCTTCGTATGGTGGTTTGCTATTGCGTTGGAAAGAGATAGACGTGTGACCCGGTAGCGCAGCACTTCTGCTCTCAAAGAGTGGTGAACCAGGGCCGTGAAGGTAGTCAAACATAAGTGGAGATATCAATGCTGGCAACTGCGATTGCGGAATTGCTAGAGTGCTTCCCTGCGTACGGTTACCAGCACTTGCAGCAAGAGCTAACGGAGAAGACTCTGTGATAGCCGGTGATGTATTCGAACGCTCCTCCCTAGTAATCGCAAGAGCAGACCCGTATAGAGGCGCACTATGTGGTCTGCTCGCTGCGCCAATTCTAGGATCGCCTTTCATGAGTTTCAGTCCTGCCGGCTTCTTACGGAGACGGTTTCTGGCAGGCAGAACACCGCGTCCTAGCCCCGGTGTAATTCCATCGTCCGCGCTGGATCCTCGATAAGCCGTGTGTACTTCCATATCCATTTCGTCTTCGTCACTGTTGGAGACCTTAGCGACGCCAGTGGACTCGGGAGATGGGGTCGGGTAAGTGTTCGGGAGATGCCGGTTGTTTTGGGGTGTTCGCAAGTTGTCATGATATGCTGTTGCCTTCGGCTGGGGGGTTTGCGACATTGCAAGCAAGATAGCTGCCACATCAGAGCGCGAATCGTCCGGAGTTAGGGATTGAGTCGCCATGTTGTGGTGGAGTAGAGCTGTGACAATTGTGTAGGTTTGGGTAGGGAATCGAAGGCTGTTAGCGTATATATGCTTCCCTTCACCTGCAGATCCTTCACTTGAGCCTCGTTTGCACGGATTCAAACGCAACCTTGGCTCGACAGCAGCATTGTGAGAGCGCTTCACCTCTTCCATACAACCAGGACCAAGGTTGAGTCCCGATCTGGATTCTTAGAGGCGTGCATACCTAACTTGAAAGGGATTTGGAGTCAGCGAGGAATGCACCAAAAAGTCTTCAAAATTCCGACCTGCATCTGCCTGTAACTGTAACTCGAGGACTGTTGTAAGCCAATGACATGCCGAACAATGTCAAGAAACATTCACCACAGCGTCAACTCTGCGTAGGCTCCAGCATTCTCACCTGGGTCGGTCTGATTTAACAGTGAGGGTAAAGGGAACCAAACGCCTTCTTGCCTAGCTGGTAAATTCCAAATCGCCGTCACTTTGAAGCGGCCGTTGACACGCCAACTACGCATCAACCAAAACCGTACATTGCACCCGAGATATCACACTCGAACAAACGCGTGATACCCGTCACCATGAGCTTCCTCCCCACGCCCCCGCAAGATGTCGAGCTGAGCGAGTCTGCCCTTCAAGCTCTAACAAAGCTCTCGCTGCGTTCACCAAACGACATCGCGCTCCTCAAGTCTCTCTGGACCAACATCACAAATACACTAGACCACGCGCCCTCCTTCTTCCTGCGCGTTCCAGTATCCCCATACGACCGCGTTCCAGTATCCCCATACGACCGCGTTCCCAGTACCAGAACCGGCATCCTGCAAGACACCGGCGCGCTTCTCACCATGCCAGAAAGACTCGTGCGCATCGTGCTTTACCACGTCGAAGGCTGCACTCACAGGCTAGCGAGAGACGACCTTTGCGACGAGCAGTTGGCCAAGGTGCTGGCGTTGGGAGGCAGGTTGGCGGTGCAGGATCCAAATCATGTTACGAATGTTATTCGGCTGCGGGAGAAAGTGCTAGGGATGAAGGGCGAGTTCGTGCAGGAGGGTACGTTGAAGGATCTGGGTCTGCTGTGGCAGCTTCGGAGTGGTGAGGCGGCGGCTGTGCTGGAAGCGCTTGTTCCGGCGCAGATGAGCGAGATGCATATGAGCGAGTTCGAGGCTGATGATCAAACGGTTGTTATTGTGGGAATAATTTCAGTGATGAACTGGAGGCTAATGATTGAACCAGGTCATTCGGCTTCCTGTACGAGTGCGTCAGCAGGATTCAAAAGAGCGTGGCAACGATGTCCTAGGACATGGCAACAGTGAGAACTCAGGACAGATTATGTAGCTGTCGAGTTTCGACGACATGATGAGATGCTCGCTCTGAGAGATCTGTATCAAGCAAATAACGAAGTTGATCACGCTTCTGGTGTATTTGAGATTCCTGTCCATCTGCGTAATAAAAACAGCCCTGGATTCTGCACGGCTGGACAGAGTTCTGCATGTGGCTGATAACCTACAGATGAACCGAAGGAGGCAGCATTCACCCACAGGCTTGATCTGAAATACTCCAGCCTTATGACTTCGTCTACTTCTTGTCTCGTTCACATCGATTTCTGTCATCTATCGCCTGTTGTCGCAGCTTAGAGATGACGTCTGTGATGGAAGGCGCGCTTGTCCCAAAACGGGCTAGATTGTGTTTCGCCGCGGCAGTCTCGATGGATGGCGAGCCGATACCAATTCGACGTGCGCAACACAGCAACAGCCGCCTGGATGATTCGCGCACGCTCGTCGCTGGGGCGTCTAAGCACACAGCTAAAGAGCACTGGCAATCGATGGTATGCAGCAAAGACAAGCGGGAAGAAGACGGGCAAACTGGGTTCGTGGACTCCGGAGGCGCTGAGGACGACTGAAAGGTATCCGTTGTCGCTTGAACTATTTGCAAGGGCGCATCCGACGGAAGAAAATACAATCCAGAAGAATTTGGTGAAGACGTCGCAGAAGAAAGGTCTAAATGAGAAGCCTCTCAAGAAAAAACAAGTGCCTAAGAGCGTATTCTACGCAAGACCACAGATTGTAAGTCCCGACCTATGTGGTACGTCGCGTCCGGAGCCCGCGTGAACAATGCCACATGTACTGACCGCGTACTCTTACAGATGACGTCTTGAGCTACTACGGCAAGCACTTGGAGGTGCACCGCGGCTGCGACATCCTGGATATCAACCCGGGCGCCGGGCTGTGGTCACAGAAGCTGCATGCGCTGCTGCAGCCACGCCGCCATGTGCTCATGGAGCCGAACGACCGATTTGCATCGTTCCTCGCGCCCCTGCTCGAGGCGCCCGACTCGCGCTACACGCTTGTGCTGAAGGACACCAACGAGCTGAGCAGCTATAAAGAGATGCTGGACGAGGGCGTGTTCCCCGAGCAGACGCGCGTCGACCCTCATGACAACAGCGGACAGGAGCTGAACACCACGCTCCTGATCACAGGCATGCTCGTGTGGGAGCCGCTGCTGCCGGGCCTGGGCTTCGATTCGATGGCGAAGCAGCTGTACAACCTGTTCTCGGCTGCTGTTCGCTCCAACGACCAGTTCCATGCCTATGGACGTGTGCGCACCCTATTTTGGGTGGGGGCAGACGATTTCAGGCCCATCATTGCCGAGTCCATGGCCAACTTCAACAAAAACAACTGCTTGCTCGAACTGACGCAGAACATGGAGTTCATCGTGAACTGCCCGCGCGGCCCACGTGTATCGGGCAAGGGTGGGACTGGCCGCGATCCGCACCAAGAAGTCGAGAGCGCTGTCCGCGCCATGCAGAGAGCAAGGGAGTGCGGCATGACACTCCCCGCCCACCGCGCGGACAAGATACACACGCTTGCCGCGGAGGTTGAGGAATTAACAGAGGGCACCGGCAAAACCAGCTACACTTGGCTGCACGATTACCTCCTGGACAAACACCGACAAGGCAATACTGTGGACGGACTGCTCAGCATCGCAGCGATCGACCACCATGCGAACTTCCTAGAATTGCAGGCCAAATACCCTGATATAGATCTCGAGACAATGGGAAATGCCAAGGACGCAGCAGTGAAGCGCCAGCAAACATTCTGGGAAGGAAGAGAGAATCACCCTGGCCGTGCCGATGCCAGAGCCTTCTCCATGCGAAAAACCGCTTATCGCGGCCGCCTCAGCAAGAAGGAGATGGTCGAAACCATAGCCGACGTAGGCGAGAAACTGTACTATACCGAAGGCGCCGCGCTGCGCGCGCCCGACGGCACCGCGGAGAAGACCAAGCTGCTCGAGGAAGTCGCCGCGCTCGACGCCCAGTGGGACAAACAGATGAACAGCCTGCAGGTCAACTACAGAGCCGTGCCGCTCTCCGCAGTCGACGACCGCATCTCGCTGCGCGCCCCGCCGCGCCCGCGCATCCAGTGGGACCGCCGCTCGTTCGAACCCCTCACCATGTCGGCCGACGAGGTGTGGCCGCCCGTGCACCTCGCGCTCATCTCGTCGACGCCGCACGCGCGCCCCCCCGGCCAGACGGTCGATTTCTACGAGTGGGTGCACGACTTCGTGTACGCGCTGTTCCCCGTGTCGTCGGTGCCGCTGCCGGAGGCGCTGGAGAAGATGCAGCACGGGCTTAGCGAGATCATGGACAGCTGCCCGAGTTTGCGGGACCCGGAGAAGGGCGGCAGGATGCTGATGAAGCATCTCCGGGTGCGGCTGCTGACGGGCGAGATGATCGAGGAGCTTGTTGGGGCGTACCGCGATTGGCCGTTCAAGGAGCCCGGGAGCGATCATAACAAGTACTTTAGGTGGAAGGGGCAGAACAAGGCGGCTGAATTTGCTGGTGGTTAGTGTGGTTGTGTATGATAGGTGTCACTGATTAGACGTATTATGTACACTTAGGTTGTATCAATCACTTGGATTTTTGTCGATCTGCTGGCACGATCGTGAAGTATAACAGTTCACAGAAACACGCAAACTATGCGTGTATGATACACAGAGTAAGGTACTACCCATCCTTCCTTCCCCCCTCGCCCCACCCCAACCCGTAGCTCTTAACACGACTCCAATAAAACGGCCGATCATTCTTCAGTCCAAACACACCCCAGTCGTCCGTCAAGCGGTTGTAGCTCCAGTACCCCTGCCACGTGAGCTTGTTATTCTTCGACTGCCGGCCTGCGCTGTTGAGACTGAGCTGCATCTTGTTGAAGTACTTGGGCGTAGCGCCCGCAGTCTCAATAATGAGGGTGCCTTCCTTTTCCTTCTCGTCCACCACGTCCTTATCCCCGTCTGCGCCAGCGTCTGCGTCAGAGTTTGGCGCGTCGGGGCCCGTGAGCCGCCAGCGGCCCAGCAGCGCGTCTTTCATTGGCGCGGACGGCAGGTTGCCGTGGTTCTTGTGCATGTGCTCGGTGCGCAGGTACGGCACGACGTCGGCGGGTTCCGCGGTGGTGACGAGCGAGATGCACGTGCCGTCGCGGAAGAAGCGCAGGTAGCGGTAGTACGTCACGATGTGGATGGGCGAGCCCCAGGTCAGGCTCATGGTGCTGGCGGCGCCGGAGCGCTGGTAGTTGACGGTGCTGATGTAGCAACCGTTGAAGCGGATGCGGGGGCGGCGGTGGAAGAGGGTGCGGTAGGAGGGGTAGGGGGAGGGGACAAGGGCCTGTGTTATGGCGGATGGGATTAGGGGGGCGGGGGCGGTGTCTTCGGTGTCGGAGTCGCTGCCCAGGATGAAGCCGCCTTCGCCGTCGTCGCCGAGGGGGCGCCCGTCGATCTGGCACGTGAAGGAGTAGTGCATGGCTGCGAAGCCGTATTCCTCGCCCAAAGCTAGGCGTTTCCATATCTGGTCTTCAGTGCTGACGAGGTAGGCAAGGCGCTTGCAGACTTGCGCCAGGCGGACGAATGCTGCGAGGTCTTGCACGGCGAGGTGCTGGAGTGTCTGGACCAGGATTTCTTCCGGAAGAGCGGCTATGGGACATGGCGGAGCTGGAGAGAGATCTGTTGGCGGCGGCTCCCCTGAGATGGAGAGAGTCGAGAAGTCGGCAAGTAGCGTCTGCAGCGAAGGAGAGAGGCCATGTAGGGAGTGGTGGGCAGGATTGGGTACTGTTGCCGGCGCATTGGAGGGATTGCGGTCCTGGGGTTTTGGTGTTGCTGCAGACGCGATGGTCTCTTTTGGCTGTGGCTGCGGCTTGGGTCTGTTCTTGAAGAAAGATGGAGGAAAGTGCTTTGCCTTGTACTTCTCATGCACACTATCGTCAAGCTGGAGAGAGTAAGCTACAGGGTGGGCACTTCACGTAACGTCACGTACCTTGAAGGCTTTCCGGTACAGCCGCACACTGTCTCCCAGGTTCCCCTGGGTCTCGCGCTCTACAGCCTTTTCATAATGATCTAAAGCTGTCTTTGGCTCTTTACTTGCAGAGGCAATGGCGGCAGTCTGAGCGCTGGTTTCATCCAGCCTCCGACCGTGCTGCTTATCGCCCAGATCTTGGTGGGCATAGGGAGTGACCTCATCTGTTTCCTCTACACTGTGCTGCCGTGCATGAGGGTGGGACGCTGCGTCCGGCGCAGGGCCCTTCTGTGCATGAGGCTTGCTGCTCGAGGGAGCTGTCCTTGCAGGCACTGCAGGTGCTGGCGCCTTGCCCTTGGTCCGGGCCGAGACTTCGTCCCTCCATCTCTGGCGAAACGACTCGAGTTCAGCCTCAGCGCTCGGGGCCTCGTTCTTGGGATCCATGGTCAATGTCTAAGTGTGGCGTGCCGCGTCTAAGCGTGGTGTCCGATGTCGCTCGCTCGACGAGCAGGCAGGGTGGATATGTATATACAGTGCGGTTTCAAAGGTCTAACAGGAATACATGTTTACAGATGGGGAATTGTCTAGATGAGCGCTGCGCGGTGAAACAGCGATGCACTGCGGTTGGCAGTCACGGCGATGACGAGGGCGGAAAAGGGCGCCTCGGGCGATTTCGATTCGCGGTGCGAGTGCATCTGATAAGCCGCGTGCCGCCCCACTTGACTCCGATTAGTCCGATTGCGGGTGACATTTTTGAGCGGGAGCTAGAACCATCTGCATCAACGCCGCCGCCGCCGCTTCGAGCACCGCGTCACCACTTTATCATCGCCCGAGGAGAATGAGCCTGTCCGCCTTCCTACGCCCTTGCGACCCCCACCACACACCCCGCGTCGAGTCGAGGTAACCAGGTCAATCACCGCCTCCCGCTCGACATGGCGACGGCCACCCAGCGCGCCGAGGATGTGGACGTCATCGAAGGCGCCGATGAGGTGTCGCTCTCGCAGAAGATGCTTTCGGCCGTGTCTGGGAGCATCCTGACATCGCTGCTTGGTGAGTCAATGTCTCCATCGCGTCTGTCGATTGCGCTGCATCGACGCGCTGTCCAACACGGTGTTCGCCGCCGCATGTCCGGACCCTCACTGACGTCGCCCAGTCACGCCCCTCGATGTCGTCCGCGTCCGTCTGCAATCGCAGGAAACTCCACAAAAGACATCTTCACACACACCGCGCGCGTTCAATGGCGCCAGTCTCACGCAGTTCCGCGATATGCCACCTAACATGGGCATCTCGGCCTGCTGCAGGGAGGTCTTCTGGATGAACAACAAGGCGCCTTTCTGCGTAGCCGGACCGACCATGGCGACGATAAACCCAGCCGACCTGAACTGTGCCGTGGAGGAGGTGGAGCGGAGGACCATCAACAGTACCTGGGATGGACTTCGAAAGATTGCTCAAAACGAAGGCCCGCGAACCCTGTGGCGAGGCCTGTCACCAACTCTGGTCATGGCAGTGCCGGCCAACGTCATCTACTTTGCTGGCTACGACTGGCTACGCACATCACAAGCATCGCCCTTCCGCTCGATTGTGCCTGATGCGTACACGCCACTGATAGCCGGTGCGACAGCGCGTACGCTGGCCGCGATTACTGTCAGCCCGATCGAGATGTTCCGAACAAGGATGCAGGCCGCGAACCACACCGCCACCGCCGCAGGACACTTCCGCGAGACCATGGATGGCGTGAAAGAGATGGTAGGCTCGCAGGGCATTCTGAGTCTCTGGCGCGGTCTCACACTGACTTTGTGGCGCGACGTCCCCTTCTCTGCCATCTACTGGTGGGGATACGAAGCCACACGGAACGCGCTGACCGACGCACGAGGCCGAGCGGCCGCCAGGAACGACGGATTCGAGTTCCGCATGGGTCGGGGCGAGGAAAGAATTCAGCGTCGGAGCCGGTCGAGGAGCCGAGAGAACCCCAGAGACACTATCGTCGACAGCTTTCTCGCCGGTGCTGCCTCTGGTGGTGTTGCAGCTTTCGTCACCACCCCCTTTGATGTCGGCAAAACACGACAGCAGGTCGTGCGACATGCCGGGAAGGCCGCCAAAGACGCAGCAGACTCAATTCGACCAGAGGACCAGTCGATGCCGCGCTTCCTCATGCACATCTACAAAGAGCAGGGCATGTCCGGCCTGTTCAAAGGATGGGCCGCCCGGTCACTGAAGATTGCGCCTGCATGCGCCATCATGATCAGCTGCTACGAGCTGGGCAAGAAGATATTCAACGATTCCAACGAGCGCAAGCATCTCGAGAGGTCGCGAGACTGAAGAGAATTACATTCGGCAGGGGGCCACTGCACATATACCAAGTTTTGCGGGTTTGCCCGATGCGGGCTGGGAGGACATTCAACATATTTGGCTCGGCGACAGCATAGCATGTTCATGGCGTTATTGGCGACGGGCAAGGAGCGGCCTATGACCTTCATGTATTGATACCAGCGCTCTTGTATATACCGGCGCATGTACCATAGTAACTAAAAGCATTACATATAATCAAACTCGGCTAGTTGAATTCAGTGTGTATAATGGCCTAGAGACAACATCCCCCAGATTACGTTTGTAATCCAAGTCAAATCTGTCTGTCGCAATGCCACTGATTCCGCCTAGAGGCCCAAGCCACCTAACCATGTTGGCAACCAGTCCCTGGTGAAAACTTCATCAAGCGCTGTCCTATCGAACCAGCGATCCTGTTCATACTGGATCCGAGGTATAAGAAACTGAACCATGGTCTGGCAGTTGAAGTCTTTGACGTGATAGGTCCCACCCATGGCACTGCACGCCTCCGTAGCTATCCAGAGTAAGCACTGTCCATTCTGAAACCGACCCGCCGACGCACCTTTATCTCGAATCTCCTGATCAGTCAGTATCGTCGTCAAATAAGTGTCCTTGATCTTCAACGGAGGTTCAAGGTATTCTTGTCGGTCCCGCTCAGTACGATATCGCACCCACGGCCAGATAGGAGCCTCAAAACCGCGCAGTTTCACGAATGACTTGATGGCGCTGCCCTTGTTCAACTCAACCATCAGCCCGTCCTGATCAGACTCCGAGGTGGCTATCATCACGCCCCAGTGCTTCATGAAATTGGGGAAAGGGAGATGACCGCCGCCTCCATGGGTTCCGAAGCTTGTGCCTGCGGGTGTCGCAAAGACATAGATCTTGCGACGCTTGGTTGAGGACGCCATTCTCCCTACGTGGGCCGAGAGATTATACCTAGGTACGTTGAAGAGCAACGCAAGCGAGATAAAGTGGCAGGCAAAACGATCAGTCCCAGTGTCTTACCGATCTCTTAGCAGCGGCAAGTCGTTTTATGCTCATGATTCTACGCCCCCATCTCGAAAGTTTGGTGGCTGTGCAGTCACCTTTCCATCTGGGAGAAAGAAAGTTTATGACCAGGCTTCTTCAAGGCAGCAGCCTGCTTCGAGCCAGACAGCAGCACAATTGCGCGAGTCAGCAAAGATGGTCGGCTTGCATGCCCTACATCATCCACCCAAGAACGCCTCGTCCTCAGCCTCGTAGGTGCGGAAACATATGATTTGCGGATATGCAACATTGCATATGCGGCTGTGCCCACCTGTCAGCACGAACAACCACGGCGACAACTCTTGAATGTTCTTCTTGGGTTGTCGCCTCGTCTCATTTCTTGTCCTTGCCACGACCTCAAAGAGTTCGAAATCAGCCTGAGCCACCCGCTTCACAGCAATCATGTTGCAAAACCTACGCAGGCAGTTTCGAGAAGCGATGAAGAACATACATCATGCACTCAAGGTTGCCTACTCGCCTTCCGGGGTCTCCCATGACATCGCGCGGTCCATCGTCGAAGCGACGCCTGCAGACCACGACGCCATTCTGGAACGCTTCGTGAAGATGAAACAACGAGAACTCGCCACAGTACTGCTATCAGTAAGCTGAACCTGCCAATGCACACAGGCTCAAGCTAACTGCTCTTCCTCCTTAGTGCGCCCTCGTTGCATCCCTAATCGCATCTCTGATGTCCTGGAACTGGTTCCCCGTTCCTCCTTTTACCGCGAGGATTGCTGCGTTATGCGCGTTGATCCATTCAGTGGTTGCCATCGGAATCGCATCGCAACAGCTCATTGCTTTAACGCGGGCGCAGATTCACCCCGACTGCACGAAGATCATGCATCACATTCTCTTCGGCTCCAACAGGGGAAATGCAGCACTGGGCGCACAGCCTGCCGCCGGCGCTGACAGAAACCCAAACGTGGGCAGTGGGTGGCGGCACTTCTCCTGGCAGATACCGACGATGCTCCTCGGAAACAGTCTTGTTTTTACCTTGTTGTCGCTGACAATTGCAATCTTTCATGAGGCAAGCAAGGCTGTGGTATGGCAGACGCCTGAAATGGTGACTGCGCTCTGTGTGGCTGTGTCTTTGGCGTTTGGCGTCAGCTGTTACTTCATCTCATGGTTCTCTATTGAGTGGCGCATGCAAGAGGCTACCGGCAAAGACTTTCAATTCCAGATCATATAGCGGTAGATTGGCTGACTGCTATGACGAGGTATCAGCTGTCCAACAATATAAAAAGTCAAATATACGTTCCCTCCACAAAGAACCCACGTCGGCGTTGTCTGGCGACGTCAAGGTGCATTTCGCGCTAGTGAATCGTTAATCGCGAGAAACACCGCGTCAACATTCGCATTGCACGCGACGAGCTACCCCACACCTCCAACCTCGCCCCTGCAATTGATCGCAATGCTTGACGTCGAAGACTTTGACGCCGTGTTTCAAGGCCTGAGCTACACAGACGGCCTGGTACAGAAAATCCAAGAGTACCAACATGCGCTCGGTGGACAGACATTCTTCGAGCGCCTGCTCGAGCTGCTCAAGATCAAGGGTATGCGTCGCGAGGACATCACCCTTTCAAGCCACTGACAAAAACCAGGGCGCAAAGCCTACCCTCCCAAGACACCGCAGCAGCTCCACGACCTGCACCAGCGCATCGTCTCCTCCGAGACCACGCTCCACAACAAGCACTGCCTGATCTTCTACCTCCTCAAAGACCTCTCACCCCAGCACCACGAAGACGACGAGCTCGCCACCGCCTTCGCGCGCGACGTGCACCTCGAAAAGCGCTTCTGGACCTTCATCGAAGGCCTGTGGGCGCTGGACCACCTCGAATTCGCCATCGCAGTCGGCAACCTGACGCACCCGAGCATCATCCCCACGTTCCCGGACGAAATCATCTTCACGCTGCTGACGTGCCGCGAGAAGCTCGGCCGCCTGAACGTGCAGCACGGCGAGCAGGACGACGTGCTGCCGCTCGCGTACTACAACTGCGTCACGCCGCCGCTCGAGGACCAGCGGGTGCGCTACGAGTTTGCGCGCTACCTCGCACGCCGCAATGTCACCGAGACGTATGCCTGGATCCACACGCGCCCGCTCCACGAGCAGCAGCCGCTGCTGGAGATTCTGATTGAGCAGACGCTGGAGAAGAGCGTGTGGAACAGCGGGGTGGGCGAGGAGGTGTACACGCGCGAGGAGAAGGCGATGGAGTTGGTGAGCTTGCCGTTCAGTGCGGAGGAGGAGGATGCGGTCGAGAAGTTCTTGACGACGGGGGGTGGGAGGACGTTTCGCAATGCCGAGGATACGGTTATGATGCGCAGGATTGCTATGGGCAGGCTGGTGGATGTGGCGGACGATCAGAGTACGAGGGGGCAGAGGATGGAGGGTGTGGACTGGGATGCGCTGAAGGGGGGCGTTAAGAGAGGGCTTGGGCCGAGGCGCGACGAGGATGGGTTTGCGTTTTGAGGGTGCGTTGGCTGTATGAGGAAGATGTTTTGCATAGCGATGGCGTTGGGTCAGTTGATACCTCACGGATCTTGACGTAGTCAATACAGGTTTGTGTCATTCGTCTTGTTGCTCGATCGTCCGCACTGCACTCTTTTACCTGGTTCACTCACGCATTTGGTTCACATATACATTCACAGAGTGGCCCAGGGACCCGTGACACGCTTACGCCCTTTCAATGCATCGATGGGCATCCAAGCCTGCCCTTCGTTCTTGACTTACATCTCGGATTATCTGTCTGCGCACATGCTTTGTCGTGTACTCGATATTGTCATGCCGTACTGCTGCTGACTTGCATCCGGTCAAGATCGATCGTCAATGACGTGTATCACAGGACCCTGCACGCATTCAAACCTCGCATCGTATTCCAGTGGCGCAGTCTCGATATCAGGCAGGCTGACACGTTTCTCAGGCGCGCAAAGGGCGGTGTCTGCGTATCGGACGCGGTGAGGTGACTCCACGCATGACTCCGGGGTATGTAGGTGCCAAGAGCGGGTCTGCCCGTTGCCGCCACTTCATCAACCTCCACTTCATCACCACACTATCTTCCTTCATTGACAACGACCACCGAATATACCGCTGAGACACAATCTGAGACACGAGCTATGCCTTTCACCAGCTAGTGATTGCCGAGAGGCAGCCAGTCACAACTCGCCATTGAGTTGTCAACCACTTCCATCTGCGAAGTCCTCAGCGTTTGCGCGTAATCCATCAAGATGCTACCATTATTATCAAAACTTTTCCGGACGCACTACTCCCATACGAACTCCAGATCCTTACGGGCTTGACGTGACACGTGAGAGCGACACTACATGACAGTACAATCAACACCACAACCGACATTCGCATCAACTAGACTGCGAACTTGAACAATTATAACTATGGCCTCCATATTCACCTTCGATCCGGATCCGCCACGTGTGTCTTCGCCATGGGCTACGCCCCCAACTGGGACAGGAACCAGCTCTCCTGCGCTTCCGCCGGTGGGCAAGCGAACCTCATCCAGACTGGGCCTCGACATAGTGCTGGCAAGCACCCAAATCCCCATTATTGACAACACGACTGTCACGCGCCTGGAGGCTGAGCCGCAGGAGGGCCCCACCGAGTACAAACTCCATCTGCTCTTGAAACGACGCAGATCGTTTACTCGCTTCAGCACCGGGCTGCGCGCTTCCGGCTCGCTCCGTCGCGGCGATGGAACGAGCTCAATTGCCGTGAACCGTGCCGTCTCCGAGTCCGGACCTCTGGGCAACACCCCGCCTCCATTGACTTCCATCCAATCGAGGCAGCACCGGCTGGAGCAACTGACTACTCAACTACTGTGGCGTCTGCAGCAGTCGTGCCCTTACCACATCTCCTCATCGACAGCCCCACTCCTCCCGCATCTTCCGGACGATGCCAAGCTCACCACGCCTGAAATGCCGCAGCGGCTGCTACCCGGCTTGGAGGAGAGCAAGGGTGCGCTGTACGAGATCGGCGTCGCAGACGACGGGTCGATCGTCGGTCTGGCAGAGGACGAGATGGAGGAGAGTCTGAACAACCTGCGCGCCATGGCGGCGAGTCTTGGCTGTCGCGTCGAGGTGCAGCGAATGCTTTGTGTCGGCGAGTGCGAGTGGGTTGACTACAGCACCAAAGAGCGGAAAGTGCGCACTTCGAAGCTGCTGGCTGCTGAGGCTTTGGTCAGCCCGGACCAGCACCTGGTGGACACCTCAAAGGAAGCCCAGAAGGATGCGAAGGATGTCCCGACAAACGCCTCTGCCAACACTGCGATACCAGCGATTGCACTAAACGAGACCCAGTCTGGTGTCGAGCAGCTGCGGGTCTCGCTCATCGGCGCCACCATGTCTGGAAAGTCCAGCCTGCTTGGCACCCTCTCCACAGCAACGCTCGACAACGGGCGTGGCAAGAGCCGCCTGAGTCTGCTGAAGCACAGACACGAGATCGCCTCGGGTATGACCAGCTCCGTCACGCAAGAGCTCATCGGCTATCGTGATGTTGCTGAGCCGGGCGGTGAGGTCTCGACCCAAGTCATCAGCTACGGGTCAGGTGATGTTGATGCTTGGGTTGATATCCACGCTGCTGTGGAGGCTGCACAGGAGGGTCGTCTGGTTGTGCTCTCGGATTCTGCGGGGCATCCGCGGTTTCGGCGGACGACGGTTCGGGGGATTATTGGCTGGTGAGTACTTTTTACAAGGTCCACACGTGTGGATTTCAGTTCATTGCATGGCTAACAGTTGACAGGCAACCGCACTGGACACTTGTGTGCGTTCCAGCGGACAACACTGACGAATCTTCAGGCAAGATCGGGGCTTCACCCAGCTCGCAAGACATACTGGGTCCCGCCGCTGCGGACCTCGACTTGTCACAGGCCCATCTCGAGCTTTGTCTGGATCTCGAGTTGCCTCTTGTGATTGTCATCACCAAATACGATCTCGCCACCAAGGCTGGCCTGCGCCAGACGCTATCAAAACTGCTATCGGCTCTCAAAGAGGCTGGCCGCAAACCATGCATCATCTCTGACCAGGCGACATCCACGTTGGACGTTGACATTCAGCAGATTTCTGCGTCCGACCTCCGAGAAGCCGAAAGTACGGCGAAGCAGCTAGCCTCGTCGCCCCTCGCGATTGTGCCAATAGTCTTGACGAGCGCAGTCAAGGGCACTGGGATCACCAAACTCCACGCTTTCCTGCGACAACTGCCTGTCCCTGTCGAACCACCCCTGCCAGACCAATCTCCGTCGCACCTGTTCTACATCGAAGACGTCTACAGCGTCCGCGCCAACACATCACCAGATCGGTCCGCCATTATCGGAGGTTATTTGCGCCACGGACGACTGACGGTCGGCGAAGAGCTGCTACTCGGCCCGTATCCGATCGACACCAGCTCCGACGACAGCGACAGCGGAAGCGGCAGACCGCCCCGCAGCTCTCCCCTGACCACCTCGCGCTCGTACCCTGGCGCCCTGCACAAGCGCACCGCAACGTCGCGCGACCGCCACGTCGAGTGGCGCCGCGTCCGCATCACGTCGCTGCGCAATCTGCGCCTGCCCGTCCGAGCGCTGTACGCGGGCCAGCTGGGCACCGTCGCCGTCGAGCCCGTCCATGGCCAGGTCCCCATCGTGAGCCCCTCGATCAACCGCATCCGGAAGGGCATGGTCCTGGCGAACCGGCAGCCCCTCGCGTCGAGGCTGCTCACGGTGCGCTTCGAGGGCGCGCAGGCGCGTGCGGCGGCCGCCGTGGTGGTCGGCTGCGCGGTCGTCGTCTATGTCGCCAGCGTGCGCGCCTCGTCCAAGGTCATCTCCGTCGCGTCTGAGACACGGCCCGGGCTGGTCGGCGAGACGGATGACGACGACGACGACGACGATGCGTTTGGCTTTGGCTTCGACGACGAGGCCGACGACGTGCACGGCGGGGCTGCGCCGGCCGCCGTCACGGTGGGGTTTCAGTTCATCGGGTCGCGCGAGTTCATCGAGCAGGGCGCAAAGGTGCTGGTGATGCCCGGAGGGGCTCCAGCGGGGGGAACCGAGAGGGCAGCGAAAAGCGCCACGGGTCTTGAGGGCTTCGTGGGCCACGCCGTCGAGCAGTAGATGAATACGCCGTCGAGCAGTAGATGAATACGCCGTCGAGCAGTAGATGAATACGCCGTCGAGCAGTAGATAGCAAGTACAAAGCAGATAGACAGCTGTACTGTGTATGCACTCGCCACGCGTCTTTGCATCCGTCCCCTCGCACGCTCAATGCAGCAATACACCCCCCTCCGGCTCGCAACCCCAGCACCCTCCGTGCCCACACACGCCCCCTGAAGCCCACGGAACCATCGATCCGGCCACGCACCGCAGCCCACGCACGTACGCGCACTCGCCCGCAGCGCTGCCGCGGCACGGGCCCGGCGCCGTTTTAAGCTGCCGCTCGCCGCGGCCGGTCACCGTAGGCGACGCATGACGCGCAGATGCCGTGGGTGGTGTTGATGGTGATGTGTAGTGCTTAGGTTGGGGTGGTGGGGGTGTGTGGTATGTACAGTGTATGCAGTATATACAGCTCATACAGTAGATTTATACTTTGAGCCATTGATACTTTGATACGCACATTCACACGCACATTCGCACATTCGTACATTCACACATTCACACATTCGTAGATATAGATAGCAGTCGCGGCCAGCGCTCTCGCACGCACCGCGCGCGGGCGTGCGCAGATTAGCCGGTGCGTGTTGGCAGCCGTGCACGCCGGGCAATATTGTACAATAGCATGCTGCTAGGTATGCTGTGCTAGGTATGCCATGCTAGGTACGCCATGCTAGATATGCCATGTGTGGCGTGGGCCCGCAGTGCAGTGCAGTGCAGTGCTCGGCTACATGTGAGAGCGGCCACGGTGCTCACAGACAGTACCTGACAGACCACGCCAGGCCACCAGGCCGCCCGTCGCCGCTCCGAGGGGGTTAGAGGCGGTGCGGTGCTCGGGCGCAGCGCGCCTGTCTCGCAGCCACACCACACACCACACACACGCACACGCACACCACGCACACCACACCTGCGCCGCTGTTGCGTCACGCGGCGTTGCGTCACGTCACGCCCCGCGGTGCAGCGCCGGCGCAATCCCCCCGCCCCTGCCCTGCTCTGCCCTGCCCTGCGCGACACACACGACACGGTAGGATCGCGAGCCTCCGTGATGTGCAGCAGCAGCACTCCTTTCCGCATCCCTCAGCGCGCTTGCACTCGGCGCCGCGGGCGACGCGGCGACGACCTCGCTCGCGCGACGCACACGCTACGCTCGCGGATGGCGGCGCCGGGCCCGCGGCGAGCTGGCAGTCCGCAAGCGGTTAGCCGGCGCCGCGTCGAGAGTCGCGGGCGGGTGGGGGTTGGTGCGGCGCAGTGAGGGCTGCTGCATGCGGCGTGCAATTCGCGGCGCTGAGTCGTGCCGCGGCGGCGGACGCGAGCAGTCGCGGGGTCCCTGACGTCGCACACATGGCCGCACTGCACGCAACGGACGCGCCAGAGCGCTTTGGGGCATTGCTGGCTGGCTGGCGCGTTGGACGTGCTGCCGCCCGTAGCGAGATTGCGAGGCGGCTCGAAACCCGGTTCTTGACGCCGGCCGGGCAAGCCAATATTCGTGCACGGGCGGTATACAGGACGTAATTGGCGACCACTCAGGGAGGATTGACTTCGCATGGTCGGTGGTTCTATTGAGGCTTCTGTCGCCCACGACCCCAGATGGCGGAACTGAGCATGTGCGTGCGTGCGTGCTTCTGCGTGAAGGCGCGCTTTTGAGATGTGATGTGATTAGCCGTCTCGGGTCGCCAGCCGCAGACTCGATCCTTCTCACGGCATTGTCACGTGAAAGGGCTTCCCACTGGTCCACTCGCTGGCGGTGGAGTCGTTCAGATCAAGACACAGCCCATCCTTCCCGCAACCGCACCCCGCTGAGGCGCGGTTATGATCCATGCAGTCGCGCCAACCCCCGATCCCCATGCCCTTCACGACGCAAGCCTCTTGCGTTGTGCGATCCAGCGGCGGGAAGGAAGAGACCCTTCGCTGCTCGACCGTTTGCCCTTGGCTCCCCGATCACGCACGCCGTGGCTCATGCCCACGTTCCCCCGTGACGCTGGCGCGCCGTGTCAGCTCGCGACTTCTGCTGCCAGGAGATGCCAGCACCGTGGGTCGGACAATAGCTGCATGCAGGGCCCGCCGTGCGAGACACAGTGCCAAACCAGCGCCCGCGTCATGGCCCATATCGAGGCCCTGAGATTTTCCGTCGCCTGATACCAGCACGGAAACGCTGCCGAATGCGACCAGCCGCTGCAGAACGGGCAGTCGTTCAAGTGGGGTGCGACCGCGTCGAGTTGCAAGTGTGTAGTGTCGAGCAGCAAAGCACGTCTTGGCGCCCGGTCGAACGCCTTCCGCGACACACAAAACGCCCAAAATACCACGCACCTCGAGCAGACCTTCCAGAAGCAGTAAGCTCGCCAGTCGCCTGCGGTCAAAGCCGAGGACAAACCACGTTTCTGCGAGGGTCCCCACACGTGCGCCAATCTACGCCGCCCGCCTGCCTGCCTGCTTGTCGTGCTCGTCGGCCAGCAACTGAACTGATAGCCCTTGTCCCTGAACGGCAGGTTCCATCCAGGCAAGGCGTCCATCGCACGCGCATTAGCCTATTGTTCCGCTGCCCGGTGATGACAGGGGGCTGCGATAGCGCTCCCAATTCCCGGTAACGCGGACTGCCCAGCTGTCAATCTGGCTGTAGGGTCGGCAGCGCTGTGACGGACTCCCGAGCCTGCTGCAGCTGTCTGCGCGCAGCGCGCAGAGCAGCGTGGGTAGTCTCTCTCTCTCGTCATCTTGCTGCCGTGGGCCACCACCCAAGCTCGCGCGACTGTGCTTGTCTGCTGCGCTCACTTCCAGAGTCTCCCGAGCTGCTGGACGGCCCGCTGCCCAGGTCGGACCGTGGGACGGCAGACTGGTGAACCGTCCTTGTCCATCTCGTGGGAGCTGCAAACCACACGCCGCATCTGGTGAAGAGCAGCGGGTGACGCTTGTGCCTTGGAACATGGGTTGATTATGATGTAACTTCTGTCAGACACAACGCTAAATGACGACTGACAAGACCCTTCCACCCTATGAAACTGTTTCGAACTTTCAACTTCAACAAATGCACCCGACGCTGCGCCTCTGATCAATTCGGATACTGATCGCCGCTGTACATGCAACTCTTGATATCTACATTGATGATTTGCCAAGCCCGCTGCTCTGCCCAGCGCATTATTCCACTGATTCTATTGGTTCCATGCTGAATCTCTGCTGAAGAACGTGCTTTGGTATAAGTCGAATGCTGCAAATGACTCCAAACTCTGTGCCACCATTTGAACAGCCTTGGTCGAGGCCGTGACAAATCTCGGACTAATAACAACCGTGTCCAGCTGTGAAACGCCTTGCTATGCTGATAACCGAAAAAAATCTCGTCTTCCAGACAACGTATATACACGTCTGCTTAGAAAAGAAGCAACCAGGCTCAAGCACCACGATAGTCCCTGAGACCTTTCAAGTGGTGCCAATGCAGAACTCATGCACGGCTTTCCTGCCCTGGAATTCCTGTCGCGGGCTGAAGGCCGCTGTTCAATACTCCATATCTGAGGAATAGAGGGCACTTGGTCACGGCGAAACCGTGGCTCATGATCGCGAGATGCTGGACGCCTCCGATGGTCTGCGGGCTTTGCACTTGTCGTGCTGCATATGTCCTTTCATGGCAGTGGTGCGTGTGAACTCGGCATGACATCTCGGACAAGAACTTTTGGTCGCAGTTCCTGACTTCTCGCGCTGGTGTCGTAGAAGGTTGCTAAAAGTTGAGAACTGTCGCCCGTTACATCCGTGTTCGAAGCATTGAGGCTTCGGCCGCGAGTTTAGTACCCGTGGCATCACAGCGTTGTTCTGCGTACTGGGAGACGACGAAAGCGCAGGCACGTTACTGGCTGAAGGCGGTGGAATGCCGTGTGGGGATTCGTAAGTAGGATACGCAGCGGGTGTGGTCGACGATGGTGGGTACATAGTCGGCAGGGACACACGGTAGTCGCTCATTCCGTACGTGGTTGGTGGGTATAGAGCTGGTCTGTTACGCGTCAGTGTTTGTCAACTGGGGTGAAGTAAGGTATTCTCACGGTGGGTAGGCTGAAGGGTTGCTGTCCACATTCTGGCTAGGGAGGTTACTGTGAGGCGCAGGGTATGTATATCCTCCAGGACTTGAGCTTGGGCGCACAGAATCCAGAGGCTGGTGCTGGACATAGGCGCTCCGCGCATAGGATGAATGCTGGGGTTGATACGGTGGCAGGACAGTGTGCTCATCTTGTCGTCTTGGTTGTTGCTCGTGGTGCAGGCCTGGACTTGATGCATATGACGACGCATAAGCCCCAGCTGTCGTTGATCGAGAGTCCGAGTAGGCATGCTGGCTGACCGGAGGATAGCCCGGCGAGTAGGTCGACTGGGGAGACCCGTAGTGGTGCATACCGTACTGAGAATGCGGCATTGTATATCCTAGTGTGCTGTTGCTGTGAGACGATGCAACTGTGTACCTGGAGCGCAATACGCTTACCTCATACCTCTGCCTGTGATGTTTTTAGATAGTAGCGTAGGGTAGGTCAAGACACTCGGCAGTGAGTAAGAAGATCGAGATGCGCAGTGGAGCAGTGAGCTAAAAGTTCGCAGTAGGGGCGTTCTTGTAGTTTGTTAGGTGATGCGAAAAAGCCGTGCTTCAAGCTCCGGGTGCGGTTCGTATCCGACAAGCCGTTGAATATCGGGATGGCAATTTGCAGGATTGGGAATCCTGGCGATCAGTTGGCAGTGGGTTCTTTCTCCGCTTAAGAATCTCGAGGGCCTATGGACTGTGCCCTAACGGGGGAGGCTGATGGTTCCTAAGTCTTGATAGCCCACAAAACTTTGGTGGGGCCTGGGCAGAAGTGTGGCACAGTGCGGACGGTGACCCCTTGATCTAGAATATCCGGAGAATGGTAGGACAGGGCTTGTTCACTGCAGTTTCTGGACGCTTGTAAGAATATGAAGACTGGAGTTGTTGAGGCTGAGCGGCGGGTTGGTCATCACCGAGTCGATAGCGACATGTAATGGAAGTAGTGGGGCTAACGTACGTTGTTCTCCCGCGCAGGTGGCCTCGAGGTGTTCGTACAGCTGCGTGAGAATTGTGAGGCAGACTTATGTCCGTGGATCTGATAGCTGAAAGTGGACAGTACCCCTACATGGGGAATGCCAATATTTACGAGCACGGAGCTTCTGAGCTCCAAACAGTAGCAGTTCACAGAATTGCGCTTTTCCCGGCTCTGCGGCTGGGGACTGGTCGGAGCCTCGCAGGATTCATATCCCAGCGTGAGCATGGCCAAGCACCCCGACCGTTTCCCTAGCTGTTGTGGCATGCCTGGGTGCCTGGACCGCCTATACCCTGATTTCAGGGAAGTAGCACGGGCGCTTGTCGTTGACGACGATGCCGGCCGTATCGGTGTAAAGCAAACATTGCCAGCGCAATGCACAAGCGGATGTTACCGCGCCATAGCGAGCAAAACTATATGTAGAGGTGCCGGTCGGCGACTAAGATTGTCCCCGGCTACGGCGCTGTCAAGCCGCAAAGGTGGCCGTTGATAGTCCTGGCAGGCGCATGTCTTCCATGCAAGCGTTGGTGGCGGCAAAAGGCTGCCGCGCATGGGTGAAAGGCTATGCCGGCTTTGGCTTGGCGTAGTGAACGGACCTGTCAAGCATCGAAGCGTTAATCCTGGATAGTACACGACGAAAGAGGGCATGGGGCCAGTGGAGTGGAGGTGAGGACTAGGAAGAGGCGTGGCGCGTGCACTCCCAATCTCCATCTGTAGAAGCCTCGTTGCGGAACGTTGGCATCTGAGCCCCGGGGCCGCTGCGGAATGAGTCTCAGTGCATTACAGATGCAAGGAAAATGGCGTGTTGTGATGTGCCCTGCGCTCAGCTCCTCGGTCCATCCACCAGCACATCTCGCGACAATGTGCTCCGTGGAGCACGTGCTAAATGCCTGACACGGGCCGGATGCATTGCTCTCAGCGGGCAGGGCCGCGAGCGCCGCGCGGCAGCTTCTGGAAAGCGCATCGAACTGAAGTGGCTGATGGGTGCAGCACAAGTGTCGTCAGTCAGATGTGTGAGGTGATTGTGATCAGGATGCATGAGCAAGGAGGGGCTGCCAACACGGCTAATCTCCGTCGCCCCTCCAAGGGTGCTCGACCTCTCGACGTCGCTGTGGAGACTGCTGAGGTTCGAGGTTCGGTTTTACGGTCGCTGCTGGGAGGGCCCGTCGAGAACATTACACGACCAGCGACAGTCGTTGTGCGCCGAGTTGCGATTGCCACTCGTATTGCCTCGACTGACTCAACCGCTCGACTGAGCAGGCTCGGACGAGCCAGCAACGGTCGTAGCTTCCCTCCTCCACGTTCGTCTTCGGCAGGAACAGCACTCCGCAGCGTCCTCGTCTCGACGTACAGCGCGTGGCAGCTGGTTACGCATGGCACAGACGGGCATTTGATGATTGGCTACACAGCCGCGAGTGCGACGGAAGACGTGCGGAAGAGCTCGCGAAACTTACCATCCGACCGGCAACGGCCGCAGTCATCGACACCCAAGATCGTAGCGAGCCCACAATAAGACCACAAGAATGTCCGATTGTCTGCCACTCTGCGAAAATCCAGTCTGCAGAGGCTTCCGGCGCATTAGCCACAATATCACACCATGAGAGCTACTCGCGCCAACCCCATGCCGGACGAGGCCAGCTTCGAGTCTCCACCATCGGAGAAAAGCCACGATCCGAGACCCGCGAAATTGTCGCGAGTCTCCGTCCGTGTCTTTGTCATGATAGCGTGCTCCGGTCGCCAGTAACGACAGCGGCGCAGCATCATCGGAAGCCCCCACCAATGTTGCGGAGATGATTCAATGAACAACTGATCTGGGCATCGAGGCCTGAACGGGAGGCCTGATGGCTCGTATACGTTCACCACACGCAAGATGGCAGATGGCCCGGTAGGGATCAGGGGAGCTGATGTGAACAAGGGTGGTGCCTGCCATGACCGAAATGTCAAGCAGGCAGCCGCAAACGGGCCGTTCTCACAGGGAGCACCAAGCGGGAGCGTTGGCTCAAGATGAGCTTCTCCACAGCATCCGAAGCTTTTTCCCAATCCAATCACAATGCGATTTGGTCCTCGGTAAACGGCAAGTATCACTCTGTCAAATCCAATCTCACCACAGACCCGAATCTCCTAGCGCCTCTCCCATTTCGCTCAACGTTGCCACAACGATAAGATTTTCTAGCAAGGCACAACCTCGTAGCATCCTACAGAGCACATCCCAGTCCAACGCCTCTAATGACATGTCATCGCGAAAGGCGGGGGAGCTTGGGCTACCGTCCTCCCGTCCGCCTGGTATGCATGAACGTTTGTCACAATAGAGTTTAAGCCGCTCTTCACAGGCACATGCGTAGCAAACCACACCACGTACCTGAACTTGAGAAATATCACGCCAACCTCAGAGCAGTAATTCTAACGACACACGTGCAGGTCATCCTGAAGTGCTGCTAAATCGAGCTACCATGGTGGTCTGATCTAATCTCTCATCCAATGTTCCAGTACCATATCACCCACACACGCCGCACGAACGTCAAACTTAGACAAACGCAATCCGTGGAGCCGACGTCCCCATCCCTACATCTTCACTACATCACAACTTCATCGTGCGCAAGCGGTTCGACAATCTACACAGCTCAACGTGATGATGCGCCTCGCATAGAATTGTCACAAGCCACAATATGAAAACCCGGCTGACGCCTCGGAACCTCTCATTTCCCCAAGGGGGCATCTTGGCACAGAGCCAATTAGGAATTGACAAACATGCTAATTTCAACTCCTGGCCTCACTTCAGCGATACGATCGCAGGTGGCAGGCGCGATCCGGCACAAGAATTGGAAAAATCCCCATTGGTCGTGGTGATACAGTCGTCACCATACGCATCAAAGAACCGACCAAGATGATTCATCAATAAACTTTATACTGCGGTCTTTGAAATGAACCTTGACAACTTCAAGTTGATTCGCATGACCGCAGTCCGACTTGTCAGAAGAATGGATGTATTCGCGGTCCAATATTTCCACCACAAATGGCCTCTTTATTGAACCCCTGGACTCTGAGCGGATGACGGCACCATCATTTCTGTCAGCTGTCCGTGTTGCTGACTGGTCACCATCCCGAGGCAATCAAACAAACATGCTCTTGCATTATTGATCATTTCTACGAGGGTCTTTACTGCGATGGCCTATCCACAGCGTCCAGCGCCCTCGTGAACGTGTCAATCAGCTTACTCGTTTCCTCCAGTCCAACACTAAACCGAATTAGATCGGCTTCGACGCCCCAGTTCGCAGCCTATTCAGTGTCAGCGTAGTCCACGTCAGTCCTGACTCAGTGCAATGACTTACCCATTCCAACTCGCCATAATGCGCCAGAATTACGTACGGACTGCTCAGCGTGAAGTTCGTGCCCAAACTGGGTCCCTTGACCGTATCCAGGTTATCGAAAAACGCAATGGCATCAGCTCTGGAATGAAACGTCGCTGACAGGAGTCCACCGTAACCGCCTTTAGGGTTCCGGCATTGCTCATAGTTGGACCGTGTAGGGCTTGTCTTGGGATAGTTGACCTGCTTGACCCGGGGGTCCGCACTCAACACTTCGCAAATAGCTTCCGCATTCGAATTGATGCGCTCGATCCTCGACACAAAGTCACGGCTGTTGCGCTCGAGGAAGATCGAGTCTTCGGCCCAGTGGTTGTCTTCGTAATCTTCTGACCACTGCTTCTTGAGGATTGCGTAGTTCTGCGCTTTCGGATTCAGCACAAGGCCACCGCCCATGACGTTGCTGTCGCCGCTGAACACCTTGGTAAGACTGCTGACCACGACATCTGCATATGGCAACACGTTGACGTTGATGAAGTTGCCGATAGACTCATCGACCACAACGCAGAAATCGTACTTGTCTGCGAGCTTGCGTATGCGCTGCAAGTCAGGGCTCCTGAGCAGCGGGTTGCCAGGGAACTCTGTGAACAGCGCCACGTATTTCTCGCCGCTTTCCAACCGCTTCTCCAGATCGTCCAACTCTTCGCTTGAGCCGTGGCCGTAGAACAGCGATCCTGGGCCGAACTTCTCTGTGATCTTGAGTGTGTCAATGTATGGGAAGCCAAACACAATGGATTTGTGCTCCCCCTTGGCGATACGCAAGTTCCTGTGCGTATTGAAGATGGAGCTCATGCCAGTCGGGTACAAGTAGACATCGTCTGCGGAGAAGTCGGCCACGCGGCGCGTGCGCTCGGAATCATCATCCAGAGCAAGCGCTTCAGAAAGTGCGACATCCGCGGTGAGGGAACCGGCGATGCGGCGGCGGACAGCAAGTTTAGCGTTCTTAGTCATGGAGAGATCGAGGTTGCGGCCGAATCGTTGCTCGACGAACTGCGTCAGTGTCTCAGCATCTTGCTGAGTCGCGGGAGCATCGAGGTCAACCGAGGCCTTCTTGTTCTGGTATCGCCGAGGTCCTTTGCACGGGCGAGCTGGTTGTTGGTTCAGACTTGCAGCGTCAACCAGAACACCGTTGTCGAACAAGTGGTGGCAATACTCTGCTCGTCTACTTGACACACCGTCACCCGAGTGCTGCCAAAACTGCTTTGCCACCTTAAACAGATCAAGCGGATAGAGTACAGCAGATATCCGCGGCGAGATGGCGTTCAATTCCTCGGCGCGTGCCTTCTCAGCCGCTGGCACTAGGTCGATGATCCTCACTTGCGAAGTGTCCTGGTCCGCCGCCGTCCGGATGATGAACTCTTGGGCTCTCTCTGCTGTGCAATGCGTTGGGAACAGCATTGCGCCTTCTCCTTCTCTTCCATACTTCTCTACAATGTCGGCTGCAAACCTCTGGATCTCTTTGTGGATGAAGAATCTTTGACTATCAGAAAAGAATCCCGATCGGCTTCGCCACCACTTACCTAGGATAACCAGTCTTCATCTTACTGACAACCCACTCTTCGCCTTCTTCGTAGCCAATGTTGGCTCTCCATGTCGGTAGTGAGACACTGACAGCCTGGCGTATTCAGCATGTGTTCAGTGGCAGAGGAATCAAATGTTTGACTCACGTGCTCCGTCATGGGGGGAAGAGACTCCCCCACCTCGACATCGTTCTCGTTCTCAATCATCATAGGCGCCATAACAATAAACAATTATACACAATCTAAAAGTATGGTACAGAGCACGGAAGGAACTGGCTCGTATGTGTATTTGTGGAGGCAAGACTGGTTCACCAGCTATGACACTGCGTCTCCAGAATTCCTGACTTGGTTAGGGTTCCGAAGTCGGCAGTTGCGACATCACCAAAATTTAAGCTTATCGATAAGGAAGGGTCCAGGGTCCAGAGGCGCCCGTCTCCACATTCAGCGTCACAACAAACACCTGTGACACCATAGGCTGTGAAATGGACAACTTGACGCCGTCTGATCTCTTCTCGCCCTCCAAAGCCAAGCAGCAGCGTGCGAGAGCTCAGGACTGGGCACATATCGATTCATGGCTGTCATACAAGTACGCCGGGCGAACGGTGCCCGCATTCGAGCGCAATGAGGAGACGCTGAAGGTACTGCGCGAGTTGTCAATGGCAAACGAGAGAGCAGATGAGGAGCGCATTATCATGGAACGCCTAGAACGCGAGGCCTTGAAGGAGCTAGACGAGGTATGAAGTCTGCACGACACCTGCACACCCCAACAGGCACTCACCAGGTAGGTCACCGCCAACCCCAGCGACGCTCACATCCTCTCCACTCTGCGCGCACACCTCACGCCCGAAGGCTCAACGGCCCTGACCGCCCTCACATCGACGACCCTCGCCCTCTCGACCCCAACACCAGACCCGCAGGCCCTCGCCCACGCCCTCGTCTCGCACACCACCACCACGCAGAACCTCACCAACCAGCTCACCCACATCCAAAACCTCCAGCAATACCTCTCCAAGCAGCACGACTCGCTGCGCGCCCAGCTCACCGAACTCCAGACCAACCCGGCCTTCTCCGCCCCGTCCTCGCTGCAACGCCAGACCATCGAACAAACCAGGCAGACTAAGCATCTCCGCTCCAAGATCCGCGAGGCCGAGTCGCAGCTCTCGTCTCTGCAGTCCAGTCACGCGCGCGCGATGACGCCAGCGTCGAAGAATATAGCGTCTGCGGAGGCGATAACAGAGATGTTGGAGCAACAGCGGGCGCTGGAGGAGCTGAGGGAAAGGGTGGAAGTGCTGGAAGATGAGGTCGAGGAGTTTGGGGGGCTGCCAGCGGATTTGGCAGCTGCGAGGAAGGAGGTGGGGCGGTTGGAGGTCAGGTGCGATGAAGTCAGGCGGCGAAGAGATGAATTATTTGAAGGGCTTGTGGGGTGATGACGCCTGAATGAGTGTCTAAAGTACAGAAGAAAAATCACAAGCTGCGCCCATTTGTCACGATGTATATCCCCTGGTTTATCTCTAAGCCTTCTGCAGAGCACATTGTGTTTTACGAAAACGCCTGAAGTCGCGCCTTCTACACTCTTAGCTCTCGCTCATTCCGAAAACCAAGCGTGTCCGAGCAAATCCTCCACCGTAGGCCTCTCCGCCGGATCGTACGCCAGAGCTTCCCTTATGATCTGACAGATGGTGGCAGCCTCATCATCTCCAATATCAGGATGCTTGCGTTTCGCAAAGCGTTCTTCCAGCGTCGAATACGGCTTGGAACTGCCATGGGGAGACAGGCACTCGCCGTCTGGACCGTACCACTTGCTCGCGCCCTTCCAGTCCCGCATAATGGATTCTGGCAGCGGCCTTATTATCTCGTGGAGCTGGACGAAGTGATCGTCGTCCGCTATGTCCTCGTCAGAGCCAGTGCCCATGAGTGCGAACAGCGGTTCAGAAGCGAGAACCTCGTACATCAAGCAGCCGAAAGACCAGGCATCGATCTTATTATTGAAGTCTCTCTTGAGTATTAGCTCGGGAGCACGGAGACCGATGGGTGTTGTTGCGGATGCTGGCGGGTCGGAGTCGAAGAACGCTATAAACCCGTCAGTCAATGAGTTTGGCCAAAAGGGATCTAACATACCAACTCCAAAGTCCGACAACTTGATGCAAAGATCTGCGCCAAGCTTGGCATATTCATGTAGCGTTTCTCTCAGATAAACGTTTAGAGGCGCCCATTTATCTGCTTTGCCATCAACTCTATTCACAGGTACTGCTGTCTTCGCTTCGTTTTGCTTGAGATCTTGCTCCTCCACTCCGTCGATATTCTCAATTGAGAAGAGCAGATTTCCGGGCTGTACGTCGCTGTGAACCAGACCGTTTTTGTGCATAAAGGACAATCCCCTTAGCGTGTGGACAATGATCTTCTTAGCCATGGTCAATGGGTAGCGCGGTGACATCCCCCGTTGTGGTTTGTTTCCAGGTAGCTTGCTCACTAGTGAAGCAACACTGGCAGCCATGAGCTCGAAGACAAGACATAGATGCATACCATTTGGCCCTTCATGCTGGAAACTGTCGAGAAGATTTAGGATGTGCTGAGAACCTGGGTCTTCTGGTGAGGTCGACAAGTGCTTCAAAATAGTAATCTCAGTACTCGCTGCAGAAGTTCTGGCGGAAATAATCTTCATGGCAGCATATTTGGGTCCGCTAGACTTTGAGTCAGATATGTATAGAGACTTCCTTCGAGAGATTAACATACCCCGTGCTAACGACCAACCACACGGTAGAGAATGAGCCTTCCCCAAGCTTGCGGATCGCCCTGTATCGACCATCATGGAACGTGTCACCGATGTTGACAGGGTGATAACCTTGTGGACGATACAGTTCGACCCACTCGTGGTCTCCGTATGTATCCTCGAATCGCCAGGCATCGGGGCTAGATGGGTCTGACGGAGGAGTTCCGGGCGATGAAGGAGTTCTGGGAGGCAAGGGAGTTCTTGATGGCGAAAGAGTTCCAGGCGGTGAAGGAGTTCTTGACGGCGAAGGAATTCCAGGCGGTGACGGAGTTCTCGACAGCGAAGGAGTTCTTTCGGGCAGCGAACTCATCGTGGGAAGCCCAGCTTGAGTGACCGAACAAGCGGGATATGGGCACACGGGTGCTGATAAAGAGACCTTGGGGAGGTTTCGAGTGAAAAGAACAAGGTGCGTTTGTTTGTTGGAGCTAAAAAGGTCGATGCGGCCCGTGCTGCCCGTGAAGGCAGCAACGACGTGAGGTGAAGTGCTCTTACAGCGAAGGCACAAACAATTTGCCGTTTTCGGAAGTTGGTCAAACGAATCACGGGTAAGTTTGCCCAACGTTTGTGGTTGCATTGATATGTACAGTTCGCTTCCCGGCGAAGTGCTTGTGCAATGGGATTCGCACTGCACCTCTGGAAGATTGCAAGACTGAAGACGTCAGTTCACCACAGACTGCTCCGAAGAAGAGCCTATATTTGACGAGAATAGGTGCCTTCAATCATGGTCTGGCGGCAGCTATGTGAGACAATGCAAATGAGAGGAAGTACCTTCACCTAGGCCACCAGCGGCTCGTTTCCAGAATCTCTCTCACCTCAATAGCTAGGCAGCTGTGGACCCTTTGAGAGAGGCGCGCAAATGCAATGAAGCTCTATATATACTTAATCTTGAGTCTGGCAGTAAGGTCTTCCTACCTCGACAATCCCCAAGTCAACCTTGCTCTGATTTTACACACACTTCTTACCTTCGGCCTCGTCTCGATGGATTTCGAGGTCTACTTTGTACCTGACGAGTGGTATTCCAAGGACGAGGTCGAGCGCGATCGCATCAGATCTCTCGTTCGAAACAGCTCGCAAAGGCCCAAAAATGCTATATACGCCAACGTCGTGTAAGCTTGCGCTTCCGTACCCGAGCGTTTGAGCGACCTAACCATTATTCTAGAAGCGGCTGGCATATCAGTACTGCAGACCGAAGGACTCACGTCACTGTTGACTACTGTATTGTCAAAGAAGAAGAGTTCGAGCGCAAGCATGTCGTAGACCCGAGATATTGGACGGGTAGGAGGAGGGCAGGGAAGGGAAAGTCAGCCTGGAAGTCGACTAAGAAGTCAACTCCGCCTTCTGGCTGAAGATGAACTGTGGCATCACAACATCCCCGTGTCGTCACAACGTCTCTGTGTCATCACGACAGTTAGGGTCTCGTATGCCTTTACGATGAATGAGTGAGTGGAAGAATTCGCCTCGTGCAGCTTTCCTCGGTTTACTAATCGATCATATATACAGAACTAAGACTGATTTGGAGTTTAAACATTATCGCTCAAAACTACGGGTGGGGCTTGCCTTTGAAATACCGATGGGTTCACCAGCGAGATCCCTTTTGAAGTAACGAGTGTCCTTTCTGGACGTTACGGATTAGATAGGCCAGCGAGATTCGGTAGAGCTTGAGGTTATACACCCAGGAAAGACCACCAAGACGGAAAAGTTTGAATCCGGATTTTGCAGCGAGGCCTCCAGCAGTGTGCCTAATTCCAAAATACATCCACGAACGACCGGAGTCGAGTTTGAACACAATGCTTGCTAGCCTGAAGTGAGTGATGTGAGCGAGATGATTGATGCAAGCCATTCAAAGGCAGTACTTACACCGATAGCGTCCTGGAAGTGTTATGATTATTAGGACGTACGGATCCCCGTGACTGACGGGCAAGTAGCTCTGCAACGGATCGGTATCCATGCCATCGCCCCACTGGACGTCAGACCAGATACACATATCTACCAAGAGGTTTTCTGTTCAAGGCATTCCCCAGACCATGCTATTGCCAACACCAAGCATCTCGCTAGACACATGATTGACTCTGTAGGTTTCCTTTTCTTTCTGCTCTCCGTTTCCAGTCATTCTCTTGTCCAACTTTTCGCGACAGCTAATTACTCTTCACCTCCGTCTGTACTACTTTCAACGCTGCCATGCATGACTTCTGAAGGTTGGGTGTGCTGAGTATTGCGATAAGCAGGACCATCCGCGGTCTTAGACGAGCCCAGATATTGCGTTGTAAATACGATCATTCCAAAGCAATAGCAGCTCACCGGATTCCTCCAGAGAACCGCTCCATTACAGATCTACCTCTACGACGCCGCTCTAGTCTATACACAAAGATATACACATCCCCACTCGCAACCCCATCACCTTACACTCTCCCTAATCCCCCACTTCCCGACCTCCCTCATGGCCGCCTGATCCCCCAGCGCCAACCGCTCATCCCCCAACACGCCCGCCAGACACTGCCAGCCATCGCGGCCGCCGCCCCAGCGCAGCAACTCGTTCTTATACAACTCGCCGTTGCGACGATCCAGACTGCCCCCCGGACCGTCCTTCTGGAACACGTCTGTCCAGATCTTCGCCGCGATGGCGCGGTCAAACAGGTACGAGTAGTACGTGGCGCCGTAGCCGAACAGATGGCCGAAGAAGCCCTGCCACGCGGTGCCCGCGGGCTCGGGGACGGCGGCGTGGGCGTTGTAGATGTCGTGGTAGACGGCGGTGGAATTGAAAGCGGGCTGGGCGGGCAGCGCGGAGTGGTAGGCTTGGTCGAGCATGCAGAGTAGAATCTGCGACTCGAGTTCGGTGTACTGGTTGCGGTTGTCGATGGCGAGGCGGTGCTCGAGCGCGGCCATCGGGAGCGGCGCGTCCGTGTCCCAGTGGCGCGCGTACAGGCCGAGCACGGAGGGGCAGAAGGCGAAGTGCTCCATCAGCACCGAGGGGAGCTCGGCGATGTCGGTGGCGCAGCGGGTGCCGGAGACGTTTTGGAGCGCGGTGCGGCCGAGGATCGAGTGCAGGGCGTGGCCCATTTCGTGGAAGAGGGTGCGCACGTCGTGGATGTTGAGACATGCGGGTCGTCCGGCGGTGATGGGCTTGTGGAAGTCGCAGATCAGTGCGATAGTGGGCAGCTGGAAGTAGCTGTCGCGCTCTGCGTTGTAGGCGACAGACATGCCGTCCGTGGCTGCTTCGATGGGCGAGGCAAAGCGGTGCCCCATGTGCGACATCTCGGCAATCTCAGAGTTGAGGATTTCGCGGCTGCAGCGGAGTGTGAAGTGCGCTGGGTTTGGTGTTTTGCCGGGCCGCGAGAAGAGATCGCAGTACAAGACGGCGATGTGACCTTCTGTGTCTGAGATGACGTCCAGCCGGCGCACACCGTCGTCCCACACCTCACCGGGCTGCGTCTCTCGTGGAACGAAGCGGACGCCGTAAACACGGTCAAACAGGCGCGAGATGCCCTGCAGAACGGTGCCAACAGAAAAGTACGAGGAGAGCGTGTCGGGCGTGCGCTGGCGGTATGCCCCCTCCATGTTCGCAAGCATCTTCTGAGTGTAGTAGAATTTGTCCCAGGCGTTGATGCGGTCGGGGAAGTTGTCCTGGTGTGCGTCGCTCTGCTTCAGCGCGACCAGCTCGTCGAGGTCGGCCATGACGGCGGGCCGGTTGTCCTGATACAGAGCGTCCAGGAACTGGTTGACCGCCTCGGGTGTCTTGGCCATCTTGTTCTCCAGCGTCATGTGTGCGAAGCTCTCGTATCCAGACACGTTTGCCAGCTCGGCGCGCAGCTTCAGCATCTTCTCCAGGCGCGCGATGCTGGAGCTGCTGGCGGTGCGCACGGCCGAGTAGACATCTCGCCGCACATCGGGATCCTCGACGAAGCGCAGGGCCATCTGCGACTCGTGGTGCATGGTCGATATGGTCGTCTCGCCCCAGCGCGTCAGCTGCCGCGCCAGGTTCGGATCCAGGCCCTTGACGCGCTGCGACTTGAACTTCAGCTTCAGCGTCTCGGGTGCCATACCCTCGACGAACTGCGACCCAACCTCGGCGATCTCGCCGCTCATATCGACTAGGCGCTGTCGCGTGGCGCCGTCCAGACCAATGCCAAAGCGCGCAAAGTCCTCCATCAGAATGCGCGCGACTATGCGCTCCTCCTCGGACCAGCTCGCGTAGACGTCGGGCATCTCCGAGGCGGTCTTCAGCTGGTCGTACAGCACGGGGGTGGTGTTGAGCTGGTTCATGTACTGGAAGACGGTCTGGTAGGCCTTGACGGCCATGATCTGGAAGCGGCGGTCTGGGTGGGTGCCGCGCACGAAGTCGGCCAGGTCGATGACGCGGCACAGCAGGTCGCTCAGCTTGTCGAGCTCGCGCACCAGCAGGCGGTAGTCGGCGGGCGACGCGGCGTCGGCGACCTTCTGCACGACGGCATTGCAGCGCTGGATGGTGATGGTGACGAAGTCGAGGAAGCCGTCCGGGTGCGTCAGGTACTTGTTGCCGATGATGCCGGCGGGCGCCTGGCGCGCGGACGGGCGGCGGAAGGCCTCCCAGAAGCCGGCATTGTCGAAGACCTTGCGCAGGGCGTCGTCGTCGGCCTTGCTGCTGGCGGACAGCCCGGCGAGGGCGGGTCGTGTGTCGCGGGCGGTGTCACGGGCGCGGTCACGGGCGGCGACGGTGCTGTTGAAGCGGCGCGGGCGCGAGGCGGCGTGGAGGCATCGGGGCGCTGAGCGAGGGCGTGCCAGCCGCTGCAGCATGGTGAGGTGCAGAGCAGCGGAGGAGGCGGCGGCGTGCCAACAAAGCCCGCACGGGCCGACGACGACAAGCTCTCCGCCAAACCGTACAGCGACGACACCAGCCCCATCACACGCCCACCTCCGCCCAACATGGCCTTCAGACCGCTGCTCCGGCAGGTGAGTGCGCGCTCAATCCCCCCGGCCGCCCATTGACGAGATCCAGCGCGCCGTCCCCATGGCTGCCGCCCTCGCCGCGGCCGCAGTCTTCACGCCGCGAACCCTCCACGCTGAAGAGCAGCCATCTGCCATTGTACGCTGAGCCGCCCGCAGCACGCCCCCCGCGCCCGCTGCAGTCCTCCCCCGCCGCCCGCTAACCGCCGCAGGACCGCAAGCCCATCTACGACGACCTCCCCATCGACACCACCGCGCCCACCGCACCCGCCCTGACACAGCCCGCCCAGGCCCTGACCCCCGAAGCCGCCTACCGCCCGACGCCCACCGACCGCCTGGCCCAGCAAATCGGCGGCGCGCGCCTGGCCCTGTACCGCCAAGCCGTGCGCGGCGAGGCCGCCGTCGACCGCGCGCTGACCGAGACCCTGCGCCTGGAGCACTCGTTCACGAGCACTGTGCGGTCGCTCGCCCCGCCGCGCGAGTCGGGCGAGCGCATCTTCCCGGGCGCCCTGTACGTGCTGGTCGCCGCCATGGCCGGCAGCATCGTCACCCGCAACCGCAACGTGCTGCTGCGCGCGAGCGTGCCGGCCGCTGTGGGCATTACCGCTGCGTATGCCGTGCTGCCTATTACTATGAGCAATGTGGGCGGCCTTGTGTGGTCGTATGAGGAGAAGTATCCGGCGCTGGCCGAGGCCCATTTGCGCACCAAGGCGAACATCACGCACTTTATCGAGACGGGCAAGGCACATGCTGGGATGACGGTGGGCCGTGTGCAGGAGAAGGTGCACGATGTGCGTGACAGCATGGAGGGCTGGGTCAAGAAGGGCAGGTGAGCGTTAGTGTGAAAAGTTGGTGAGCATCTGTACATCAGTATGGCGGTAGACGGCGAGTGCAATGAGATTCGTTCTTTCATCAGTCTCCACTATTCAGTACTCCACTATACACCCAGATCAATCTTCACTTCTCAGCAGTCCAGTACTTCAGCCTCAGCACTCCAGTGCTCCAGCCTCAACACTCAGCACTTCAACACCGCCGGCCCGGGAATCTTGTACGCCCCATTGCCCGTCGGCTGTCCCTGGTTGTTGTAAATGCTAACCAAAATCCCCGGATCCGTCGCTTTATACGCGCCAGGAAACGACACCGTAGTAGCAGCCACCGTCGAACTGGTCCCCGACACCGAGATCTGCGCGCAGCCCCTGCCATGCATTAGCAGTATCCTCGCCACACCCTCACACGACGTCCACAAGACGTCCAACACCCTCACACGACGCCCAACACGCCGCACAATAACCACACAGCAACTCACATGTAGAACTGCGCCGCGCCCAGCGTCCCCGCCGAGTGCAGCGCGATAATCTCCGCGCGCAGCAGATACTCGCCCGCCGCGAGGCACCGCGGCACCGTGAAATCCACCCACCCGCCGTTCGCAATCATGCGGTCCACGCCCCATTTCCCGGCGCTGTCGAGCCCGTCCTCGAACACCTTGATCCACTTCAGGCCCGCGGGCGACGCGCTGGCGGCGCTGGGGACGGCGGCCCTGGGGGGTGTTAGCTAGACGCCTGAGATGCGTGTGCGGGTGTGTATGTAAGTGGCAGTCATAGGGATAGCACAGCTACGCACATGTAAAACATCGTCGGCCCCTTATGACTCGCCGCAATCGGATGATCCACATCCCCCGGATACTGCGCGCCGCCCACCACATGGCCCCACAGCACGCCCACCTTATCGCCGCCCTTGACGGGAATCACCTTGCTCGACACCGGCTGCTTGAAGTTGGCGTTGCACGCGAGCTCGGCCGCGTTGACGTTCTCCAGCGGGTAGTTGGACAGCGCCGTGCGGATGCCTACTGCTTCGCCGTTGTCGGCGCCGTTGACGCTGGGGGGTTAGCTGGGGAGAGGGGGGGACGGGGAGGGGGGTACCGGACGCGTTGGGCGATGGTGTGGGCGGTGGAGAGGAGGGGGAGGAGCGTGGTGAGGGCGAGGGAGAGCTTCATGGTGGCTGGCTTCGTCTATACGGTGGCTGTCTTCGCTGTACGGCGGCTGTCTTCGTCTGTACGGGTGGGGGGCTGAAGGGCTGATGCTTGATGCACATCCTGTACGGTCTTTATATCACTCGCATTGCCTACGAACGATGGTCTGCCTTAGTGGTGAGCGAGCATCTAACTCCTACGGTGAGGTGTCCTGGGCGCACTGTATTCCTGGCGAATCGTGGCTGCTCCACGGCGTCTCGCATGCACTCCGTCGTCCACATAGATTACCGCGCAACACGTGCAGTCGGCTAACGAATGCTCGCAAACACGCAGGTATTGCGGTCTTATAATATGCTTGGTGTTCTTGTTTCAGGACGGGCGGTGGACGAATGCCATGGTGCCGCTTGCCGGCTGCTGGCAGTTGGCTTTATCCGGGTATAGTGTTGACGGACGCAATAAGGGTGCGGTCTCGTTGCCGGCACGCGGTCCCGGAGCGCTCAATATAATGTGTTACGAATTGCTAGAGTTGGAGTATGTACGGTCAGCAGACGTGCTACCTGGTTCTTGCTCTTTCAGGCCACTCTTCAATCTCCGAGATGAATATAGCATGGTTGAGCTTAGACTTGATTTGTATTCCATCAAATCTGCAAGTCATCCAGTCCCGTTTTGAACCGTTCATGCATGTCGAATAATATTGTGAAGCGCAACAGCCTCGTCTACATACATGTAAGTGCGAATGTATCACCTCCCTCTACCAACGTTGAACGTGATACTTGCGGTCATCCTGCGCATTTGGCACGACTTGGTCATATTGGTAGGCTTGTGGTACGCTACGTCGTCACAACACGGTAGCTCAAAAATCCAGCGCCGCCTGGTGCCGTGGTGGGGTTCGACCATGTCAACAAGTTTTGCTGCCAGAAATCCAACTGTTGAACTGACCGCACGAAGAGCTTTCAAGCGCGGACGAAGATCACAATACGAGGCCGAGCAGTCGTCAGGAGGTAGCGCACGTCGATCTCACAAACAGGCATTGGGCTGCGCTTCGGCAAGGCACGAATGTAACGATCGGCGGCAGGAAGAGAGCTTGCTGTGTTCGGGAAGACCGGCTGATCGTCACTCCACATCAAGCGGCTCCACGTGTTTGACGAGCAAATATCGCAGAGGACCACTGCAAACTGTCCAGAGCCTCAGGCTGCAAAGCCACAGCTGACAAGGCACCTGCAGCGCAAGGCCTGCAAATGCCAACGAGCAGCATTGATGCTGGAAGACGCCATAGGCTAGGCGGAAGCAGCCGTCGCTGGCAGTAGTGAATGCATGATGACGATTCGCTCGGTGCGTTCGGCTGTGGTCACGATAGTTGCCAAGGTAGCTCAAGGAAAGTACGACTGGTTGCATGACGTAGGCTGTTGGGTTGCAAAGCCGCAGGCCGCGAGAAAACCAGACAGCGTCGCTGTGTGTGGACTCGCACCTGTTCTTTCGATATTTCGAAACATCAACGAAGCCCAAGCGCATCTGCACGAACCGACTGATCTACAGCACCATCTCCATTGGGCGTCCGTGAACGGCTGCGCCTCTAAATCCTCAAGGTTCATTTCCGAGGTAGCGCGTGCCCCGCGTCATCGACAGCCACAGTGCGCAAGCTACCACCACAGGCACCACCTCGCATATACCCAGGCCCCGGACCCCTTTTTGATTCCCTGCCGAGACCAAAGACCAGCTGCGCGATCAATCTATCACATCTTCTTTCAACATTTTTTAAATTCAATCACCAATCACATTCCCAGACTGCCAGGATCACCCAGGGACAGATGGCGGGCGTTCCCAGCATAGACGACCCCTCGCACCTTTCGAGGGGTTATGGCGACAGCTCGCATCTGCAGGTCGGCGTGAACGACTTTGCGACAACACCAGAGCGCCGCGGCAGGTTCGAGGAGGAGTTTGACGCGCGCACCAGGGGCTCCTCGGTCCTCGATGGCGATCTGCCACAGCGCTCCGCGTCCAGGGCCTCGTCGACACTGAGAGAAGCGACCCTGAATCAAGGGTCCACGCCCTCGCGCAGTGGCACTCTCAAGAAGAAGGGTTCGGTGAAGAGGGCTGCCAGCCTGAAGCGAAGCGGGAGCAGGAAGAGCATGCACGCTGGCAGCATCCGCGGTGTTACCATTGATGACCAGGAGCATGGCTACGACCGCGAAGACAGCGTCTTCTACACGCCTGTTCCTACCAAGGGCTCCCCAACTGAGATCTTGGCCGATCGGTTCCAGAGTAGGTGACGAGGACAAGCAGGCTGACATTGACTAACACTAGACAGCATGGCGCAAGTTTCTCAAAGATCTGATTGCCTACTTCCGAGAAGTCTCATCTTCGTACGAGCACCGCGCCAAGTCGTTGCTCAAAGTGTCCAATGTAATCAACAACACCAACGCGCCCGCCTCACTGCTCAGCGACGGGGGTCTTAACGAAGCGACCCGCTTCCTCCGCGATTTCCACAAGCAGGCCATTGTTGACGCCAACAAGGCCAGGGACATCGAGGCAGATGTGATCAACCAGCTCAGTGGGCTTCGCGCAGATCTTGCGCAGAAGATCAAGGAGATCAAGTCTTTGTCTGGCGACTTCAAGAACAATGTCGAGAAGGAGAAGGAGAACACGAGGAAATGCGTGACGGCTCTCGAGGAGGCTCTTGCAGTAGTCGACTCCGATCCGTCTGCGATCGCCGGCAAGGGAGACCCATACGTTGTGCGCCTGGGCGTGGAGCGTCAGGTTGAGCGCCAGATTGATGAGGAGAACTACCTCCACCGAGTGAGTCGAGTTAAGCGCACACGGAAGCGCATGCTGACTAGGACAGGCCTACCTGAACCTCGAGAACTCGGGGCGTGAGCTCGAGTCCATTGTTGTCGGCGAGATTCAAAAAGCTTATAACGCCCTGGCCAGCATCCTCAAGCGCGACGCCGATGAGATGTACGCGACCGTGGACAAGCTTCGCAGCGGTCCGATTGCCATGCCCAGAGACCAGGAATGGGGCCGGTTCGTCCGAACTGATTCCCACTTTGTAAACCCAGATCTGCCGCTGCGCAGATTGGAAGATATCGAATACCCCGGAAAACACCACCCAGCTACCACCGAAGTCAGAGCCGGCATGCTCGAGAGAAAGAGCAAATACCTGAAGAGCTATACCCCTGGATGGTATTCCAATCTCCGCCCCCTATTTGCGCATTGCTAACATCACTAGGTACGTTCTGTCGCCAACGCATATCCATGAGTTCAAGTCCGCCGATCGAATCTACACTCAGCCGCCTGTTATGTCCTTGTACCTGCCAGATCAAAAGCTCGGCTCGCGCTCTCAACCTGGTAGCTCATCTCATAAATTCGTGATTAAGGGTCGCCAGGCCGGATCCATGCACCGCGGACACACCTGGGTATTCCGCGCCGAGACATACGAAACAATGAACGCCTGGTACGACGACATCCAGACTCTGACCGAGAAGAGTGGCGAAGAACGCAACGCCTTCGTACGTCGACACGCCAGCGTCAGGAGTGCCAGCGCAGGCAGTGCGAGGTCGGCCAGCTCCGACGGTGGCCTAGAGGAAGACGAGGCCGATGCCGTACCGTATTCTGCAAATCAGTCAATGGTCAGCCAGCCGAGGGAGCAACCACCGACTAGACCTTCTCCAGGTGGGCGATTTCCTTCGGATCTTGCGGTCAACCGTCACTTAAATGAACCTCTCTCACCATCTAGTGGCAGCTCGGACTTCGCACATGACATAACCACGGCTTCGGGAGGGCCTCTTCAGCACAACGTGTACCCAATGTACCCTGCCAACTCACACTCTCCGCAACCGGATGCGAACCCTCAGCAGTATCAGGAACCCTCGTACATCAACACACAACCTATTCGTCAACCGCAGTACGAAGATAGTATATACGCCGACCCGTACACTTCCAACTATAACAAATCATCCAACCAGCAACAACCGCCACGCGATCTCTCCTACGTCAACCCTTACGCAGGCCAGGCTGCAGAAGGACCTCCAAGCGAACATCACGGCAGCGACTACAGGGGCTGGATGGCTCCGGCTGCCGGCGGTGTAGCTGCAGGCGCGCTCGCAGGTGAGGCATACCGTCGTCACCAGGCTAAGGAGGAAGATCCAGCGTTGCAGTCGCTAGGCACAGAACAGCAGCACCAACCTCAAGTTGATGAGCGGGGCGTGCCCATCGACGATCTTACGGGTGGCACGCAAGCCCATCCTGTCGACGACTTTACAGGCGGCACGCAAGCCCAGCCTGTCGATGACTTTACGGGCGGCACGCAAGCACAGGTGCACCCGGCCACCATCATCGCCCGTCAGGGTGAGCGTGGCTTGGATAGTGGTGTTCCTACGCCTACTGCAAACAACAACGCCCCGCCTTTTTTAGGTGAGGCTGAGGCAGCTCCCGCCGCTACCTCGGGCCAGACTGTGAACGGCGGGGTGGTACCCGTGGAGCTTATCGAGACGGCCGATAACCAAGCCTTTCCCTTTCCTACGTCCGGTCGCACCGTAAACGGCGGCCCCGTGCCCGTTGAGTTGATCGAAACGGCCGACAAGCAGGCGTTCCCCAGTGTGCACAGGACCAACACAGACATTAGTGTGTCTGACTTGCACGTGCCTGGGGAATTCCCGAAAGGGCCTGGGACGCCAGGAACCGCGAACGGGACGTTCTTGAGTTACACGGACCGTTTTTGAGGGTGCTCGTCTTGGTTTATGATAGGTTATGTGTGATGTATGCGATGTCAATGAGCAGCAAGGCGCGAGGGGAAGTTTCAGGTTAACTGGGTTTGGGGGGAATGGTACATGCGGGCTATGTGGTGCTGACGACCTTCTGCGATGCGTTTTCGTTGCTTTTCGTGCTGTCTCCAGTTTTTTGATACCCGCGCACTAGGCGCGACAACAACCATGCCGTACATAATACTCGTTTAATCAGCTTTTTAATCAGCTTGACATCAGCTTGGCTGCAAGGTGGCGCTTCCTCATGCTGGAATTGGGCGTTGGTGGAGTGTGCCGGCCAGTGATGTGTAGACGGAAGGCCTCAAATTCGGCCAGCCACTGACACGCCGACCCCTTCGTTCGGGATGCAGGCATGCAGGACAAGACATTCCCATGACCAAGACCGCGGCAACGGGACTGTGACTAGCCAGCATTGCTCTTCCGTGCAGGCCGTGGCACTTTGGGAGATTCCAGGGCCAGGGCGGCGGCGGACAGGACGATGCTTCACGCTCGCAGCTGGGCGCGGTGCAACGCCTCGCAACGCCTCGCCGCGTAGGTCGGCTCGGCAGATCGCCGCGGCGCAGAGCTGTCAACGACGGCAGGGTGAGCTAATGGCCAGCGCTGCACGCCATAGGACCGCCCATGGCTGGCGGCGGCGGGACGTGTCAGACAAACGGCACCCGAGGCGTCGGCCATGTCGCATCCACTTCATCGGGTGGGCGGGCGCCACCGGTGCTGCTTGTCGCACGTCGAGCACGACGGCCCAGCTGATTCGACGCGGCGGGCCACGACAGCGTCTGGAGGTGCGCTGCTGGCACCAGGCGGTGAGGGCGGGAGGCACTGCGGGGTGTCAGGCCCACACCAGGCCGCTTCTAGCGTCGCGTCCCGAGCAGGAGGAGGCGATTCCCGTTCAGCTGGGAATCGCCTCCTACTCGATTCCTCGCACGCAAACCGCTGCGACGGCCCCGGGCAACGACATGATGGCTCCCATGCAGCGCCCGCGCCCGCTGTCGGCCGCGACCGTCCTCACAGCCGTCACAGACGCAACCGACGCGACCGACCAGTCCATCGAGGCCGATGTACGTGGTTCGCTCCCCCGCTGCCCCACGACTCGACAGCTAACCGAGTCTCTGACAGCCCGACGGCCGCTCCCTCAACTCGGCAGACTTCGAAGCGTACGCCGCCCGCCGCCGTGCTGCTGTCCGCGCTCACCACCACCAGGGAAACCCAGAGCCTCACGCCGTCGGTGCAGGACGTGCTGCACGAGTACGGCCGCACATATCAGAAGTGGAAGGCCGGAGGTATGTCGCAACCGCCGCTCCACGCCCGTCTCTAACAGCCGCCAGCATACCCGTTCCCCAACGACGAGGTAGGCGCTGCCTTGTCCGTGCCATCGACGCCAATTGACGCTGCCAGCTTGAATACGACCGCCTGAAATGGCAGCACATCCTCTTCAAGGTCCTGCTCAACGACCGCAACTGGTTCGCCCCGCTCACCGGCCTGCCACAGAAACGCCCCCGCGCGATTCTGGACATTGGCTGTGGCACCGGCTCCTGGTGCCGCCAGATAGGTTTGTGCTACCAGGCACCCTTGTTACTGCGCTGACATGACCAGCCCTGGAATTTCCCCGGAGTCGCGTGCGTTCTCCGATTCGCTCCTAGATGCCTGCTGACATGACCAAGGTTGAGGGCATTGACCTAACACCGCCGCCCAAGCGCATGATCAAAGAGTATGGTTTGTAGCTCTCGACACGTGCAAAACTGACTTTGGCTAGTTCGCCCGAGAATTTGTTCTTCAACATCGACGACATCAGAGACAAGATCTGGTGGGGTCTTGCCAACGGCCACACGTACGACTACATCCACACGCGCATGATGCTGGGCATCTTCCACGACTTCCGCGAGATTATCCAAAAGTGCTTCAACAACCTCGAGCCCGGCGGCTGGATGGAGTCTCAGGAACTCGACAACAAGGTTTGCTGCGACGACGGCACTATGCCGGCCGACTGGCCCCTCCTGGAGTGGTCCAAGGATCAGAACCAAGCCGCGCAGGACATCCTGGGCACACCGCTTCGCATCGCTAACAAACTGAAAATGTGGTACGAACAAGCCGGCTTCGTCGACGTCAGGGAGGAGGTCTTCTACATACCGATCAACGAGTGGGCCAAAGACCCCAGGCTGAAGCTGCTCGGAAAGTTCATGATGCACAACATGCAGGCAGGCTTGTATGGATGGTCGGTCAACTACTTCAACCGAGCTTGGGGCTGGACAGAGCCTGAAGTCCGCGTCAAACTCGCTCGCGTGCACAACTCGCTGTTTGACAAGAACGTACACGCCTACTACAAGGTGTAAGTTGGCTGTTCTTGAGACGGTCTTCTCGCTAACAAACCCAGCTTCGTTGTCTACGGCAGGAAGCCCCGTGTAGGAGAACCACCCTCACGGGTCCCGAAGCCCGACCACTGGCCGACGGCAGACAACAGCTACAACGACGACGACGATCTTTAGCACGCGTTTAATTCTGGAGGACGCACTTGTGGTTTCCAGCGACTTTCGTACCACCGGCGTTCAGGTCATTTCTCCTTTGAGATACCCTATATCATGCGTTACAGGCTTGCGTTAGATGTTCTATTGTCTCGAAAGCTTTGGGCGGCCTTGCGTTCTCGACACTTTTGCTGCTTGGCAGCACGACAAAGAAAGAGGTGGACTGGGAAGGGGGCTTATATTTAACAGTACAACTTGCACAAGATCTACCGCACAAGAATCCATTTCGGTCAGATGTTTGTTTACACTTTCGCTTACTCTCTGCTAGCGTACGATTGCTGACTCGCGCGCCAGCCCTACAGCTGTATAACTTGTTTGTCACGTGATGAGAAACAAGCATCTCCGCGGCTTACACTGGATATTTCCATTGGCTGTGCGTGTCCGCTTAGACTTGATAAGAGCGCTGCAGCTACACTACATCGCTCCGTGAATAGATACGCAACGCATCGCCACCACGATACGACAGTCATAGTTTTGCTAAGCTGCTAAGCAACGAGGCGTAAGCTTGACCACACGCCATGTCTTGACGGAAACATCTCCAACTGCCAGCCGCCGCCGTCACAATCGCCCGAGACTGCCCATTCATTCACTAACCCAAACTCACAACCCTCCATCTCCCAACTCCACCCCCCGTCTCAGCCCTACCCAGACGCACCCAACCCTTCCCTCCTAGCGCCCGCGCCCCCAAAATCCATACACAACGCGACCGATAAGGCCCACAAAACCTTCCGCACTGGCGTCTGCGAGATAAGCCCGTCTGCCACGCCCCTGCCCAATCCGCTGCCGCTCATTAACTACCTATCTCGCTGCCCTGCTATCGGCGCGCTGCTGCTGCGACGCACTCACGACTGTGGCTGGCTCAAGCATTGGTTCCCGCTGCTTGGCCTGCTTGTCTGGGCCCTGTGTGCGTCGGTGGCGCGGCGGGCGCTGGGGAGCGCGCGGGAGATCGGTGGGTGTTGGGTGTATCGGGTCGCGGTGGGGAGGGGGATAGGGCTAGGGTGCGATTTTATGGGGACGGGGGGTGGCCTCGGAGATGCGGGTTCTGGGGGCGGCGGAGATGCTGGATTGTTTGTTGGGAGGGTAAGTATTTAACTGCTGGCGCGCTGGTTCGGGGAGGGTGTGTGTGCTGGGTGCAGTTGTTGCAGTGAATTGAACTGAACTGAACTGAATTGAATTCACTCTACTGCCTTGGTGCCGTTTCAATCACCCACTGGACTCGGACACCTTGGATACTCTCGGATTTCGAACACTCGGACGACCAATATGGATACCTTCTGCCTCCTCTGGCGTGCGCCGCACGTCAACCCGATCACCCAGAAAGCTCGCTCAATCCCTTTCCTCAACCCAGTGTCCACGACCTACGGCCGCACATTCTTCTTCTCATGGTTCGGCTTCATGATCGCCTTCTGGTCCTGGTACGGTACGTCACACATACTCCCTGTCTGCCCTACACGATCCTCCTCCCACCCATGCCCCAAACACCACTGACCGCTCCAGCCTTCCCACCCCTCCTGGCCGACGTCATCGCAGCCGACATCCACATGACCCACAACCAAGTCGCAAACAGCAACATCATCGCGCTGACCGCGACCCTGCTCGTCCGCCTCATCGCCGGCCCATCCTGCGACCGCTTCGGCCCGCGCCTCACCTTCGCCGGGTGTCTGCTCGCCGGCGCGGTCCCCACGTTCCTCGCCGGCACCGTGCAGAACGCGTCCGGCCTGTACGCGCTGCGCTTCTTCATCGGCGTGCTGGGCGGCAGCTTCGTGCCGTGCCAGGTCTGGACCACGGGCTTCTTCGACACGAATGTCGTCGGCCTTGCGAACGCGCTGGCAGGCGGCCTGGGTAATCTCGGTGGCGGCATTACCTACTTCGTCATGCCGGCGGTGTACAAGGCGCTTGTCGACGACGGGCTGCCGGGCCACAAGGCGTGGCGCGTGGCGTTTGTGGTGCCGGGCGTGCTGATTGTGTTCGTGGCCGCGTGTCTGCTGGTGTTGTGCGAGGACACGCCGACGGGGGCGTGGGCAAAGCGGCATGCAGCCGCGGAGGAGAGTCTGAGGCGCCACGATGTCGTTCCGGGTGTGAAGACGGGCACGCGCGAGGGCGACGTGGTGGATATCAGGGGCGAGCTGCAGGACGTGCCCAAGCCGAGTCCCATGTCGTCGCGCCTGGGCAGCACGGCGGATATCGAGAAGAGTTCTGCTGCGGGCCCCGCCGGCGACGAGAAGAAACACGGCTGGAAAGACAACGAGGCGCAGCAGACTGACGCGCAGATGTGTAAGAGCCCCCCCCCCCTTACACCCTTACACTCACTGACCCCTCCACAGACACAACCGCCAGCACCGAAATCATCCAAAAGCCCTCCCTCACCAGCGTCCTCCGCATCATGTTCTCCCTCCAAACGCTCGTCCCAGCCGCCTGCTACTTCTGCACCTTCGGCGCCGAACTAAGCATAAACTCCGTGCTGGGGAACTACTACCTGCACGCCTTCCCTTCCATGACCCTGCAAGCCTCGGGCAACTGGGCCGCCATGTTCGGCCTCCTAAACGGCGTCGCCCGGCCCCTGGGCGGCTACATCTCCGACCTGGCCTACCGCCGCACGCACTCCGTGTGGGCCAAGAAAGCCGTGCTGCACACGTACGGCGTGCTGACGGGCGCCTTCCTCATTGTGATTGGCGCGCTGGACCCCCGCGACGTGAGCACGATGATGGGACTCGTGGGCGCGCTGGCCGTGGTGCTGGAGGGCGGCAATGGCGCCGATTTCGGGCTCGTGCCGCATGTGCATCCGCATGCGAACGGCGTGGTGTCGGGGTTTACGGGCGCGATGGGGAATCTGGGCGGGATTGTGTTTGCGATTATTTTTCGCTACAATGGGAAGGATTACGGGCGGGTGTTTTGGATCATCGGGGTCGTGGTTGTGGCGGTCAATTTGGCAGTTAGTTGGATCCGGCCGGTTGCGAAGAAGGCGGCTTGAGGGTGGTGGTTGGTTGTTTGTAGCGGTTTTGCGTGGCGTTTGGGTTGGGCTGTGATATCATGGAATGGGTGTCTGGGTGTTGTCATGAATTTACGAGATTGACGTCCCCCATCACTGGTACTTCGTGCTCTCCGTTTTCCATTTCTTGTCTTGTAGCCTTCCGTGATTTGTGGAGGCAGCGATGTGACGAAATGAGGATGAGCGCAGCGAATTTTAATCAGGTTGCGTTTGATTATTCTTGTTCACAAACTGGGTAGACATCTCCTTTAGAGCTCATGTTGCCCATCCTTTCTCTACCGATCTTCTTCTACGCCCAACGTCCGAACGCCAGGCTAAGTACACTAAGCTCGTGCTCCATAGAATACCTCTCCGTGGCAAGTACACACGTTCGCTTGCTCACTCCAAGAACCACGGGTGCTTAAGCAGCTGCTCCGCGGTAGCACGCTCGGCAGGATCGTACATAAGAACCTCCCGAATAAGCTGACAGATGACAGCCGCCTCCTCATCATCTATATCAGGATGCTTTTTCTTTGCAAACCTCGTCTCAAGCGAATCGTAGATGTACGGCAGCCCGTTGTCAACCCCGTCATCTAGGCCCACGCGCTCGGCTGCAGCTTCTTCTCCGCCGCTGTCTTCGACAGCGGCCTCGTCGGGCTGCAAAAGGTTGTGCTCTGCGTCGTACCACACGCTTGAGCGTGGCCATGCGCGCATCATGGCTTCCGGTAGAGGGCGAATGATGTCGTTCAGCTGCAGCAGGTGTTCGTCGTCCGCGCCGTCCACGTCTTCCTGGTCGAAGCCAAACATCATTACCGTGAAGAGCTTGCTGCCTGTGAGAAACTCGTACACCAGGCACCCGAAGCTCCACATGTCGATGCCGGTGCCGATGCCGCTGCTGAAGGGCTGGTTGAGGATGAGTTCTGGCGCGCGGAGTGCAATGGGTGTGATGGCTTTTGCAGGCGGATTTCCGGTGAAGAAGGCTGGGATTATGGTGAGCTGCGTTTCTTGGAAGTATTGAGTCGCGGTGTGCGGACTTACCTGCACCGAAGTCGGAAAGCTTCACACAGATATCCTGGCCGAGCTGCACGTGCTGATGCAGTGACTGCTTCAGATACAGATTCTTCGGTGCCCAAAGGTCGTTCTTTCCATCGATCCTCTGGACAGGGACAGCTGTCTTAGCTTCGTCCTGTTTGAGCTCTTGCGGATCAAGCGATTCGATGTCTTTGCTCGAGAAGAGTATGTTCCTAGGCTGAAAGTCTCCATGGACGATTCCATTCTGATGCAGAAACGCTAGTCCGCCCAGCATGTGAAGCAACATCGTCTTTGCTACTGACTTGGGGTATCGTTGCGGCTTCATAAACATCCGAGGCTTGTTCTCGGGTAGCTCTTCGACAAGTGAAGCAGCTGTTGCACCCATGACTTCGAACACCAGACACTGATGGATGCCATTAGGACCTTGGTGCGTGAAACGATCGAGAAGCCTAGTAACGTGTCTTGAGTTAGGATAATCATCTGCTGCAGCAAGCAGGTGGTCCAATACTGTGAGCTCAGTGCTCGTGATGGTCGATTTTGCAGTTGTGATCTTAAGAGCGACGTATGTTGGTGGGCTATAGAGATTGTTACTGGAATGCTTGCAGGTGGTCGCTCGTGTACATACCCTTCACAGATGACTAGCCATATCGTAGAGGAACATCCTGCTCCAAGCTTACGGATCACTTTATACTTACCCTCACAAAAGGTGTCTCCCAGGCTGACAGGATGGAGACCACCCGGGCGGTACTCTTCGACCCACTCACATGGTGCACCGGTTTCTTCGAATCGCCAATCTTCGGAGCACTCCGGAATCTCCGGCCCGGGAGTCGTTGGAGGAGATGCCATATTTGCGTTGACACAAGGAGTGTGTAGCTTCAAAGAGTTGGGCGAGATAAGTTGGGGGCACGCGTCGCCAAAAGCAAGGTGGTAGCTGATGTAGTATTTATACTGCGGGTTAAACTATGATCGTTTGTAGTGCGATCAAAAAGGTTAGGTGCGCCCGTTCCCTGATTCGCAGCGAAGTGAAGGGCGGCCTTCAGCCTGTATACGCCCTGTAAGTGGGGCTGCGTGATCAACGGTCAGGCAACGCGGTTTGCATGGCAGATCGAATTTCAGTTTTGCAGGTTGAGAAGACTTGTTCCCTGTACTGCTGATAGATCTACCATTACGCTATGTGCCTTCGCTCTCGAGGTCTAGCTTCTCAGCATCTTCCGGAATTGTGTCTCATCAGACCATCAGGATGCATGACAACCAGTTCGGTGGTCAGCAGTCACAGCCATCGATCAGTACAAATTGAGTGAAGAGGATTGAATTTGTTTAAGGGTTTCCATCTGAGTGGAGAGGTTATGTTACAGTCATCAGAGTGAAGAGATTGTGCTACAATAATACAGCGAGATGCCACTTGGGCATCTGAGCACTCCCGATACCAGATCGAGTTACTCCAACACGAAACGCCTCGCTAGATGCAGGATCAAACCCGTGATTCTAAGTTGGCCAGGTCTTGATGAGTATGCGGGTTCACTCCGAGAACCAAGGGTGCTTGAGCAGCTCCTCTGCTGAAGGTCGCTCATCCGGATCATACACCAAGATCTTCCGAATAAGCTGACAGATGACAGCTGCCTCCTCATCGCCAATATCAGGGTGCCTCCGCTCAGCGAAGCGAACCTCGAGAACTTTATTCGGGGTACGAGTAGGCTTCCCGATATACTTGTGGTCAGCATCGTAATGCTCACTGGCGCGCGGCCAATCTTTCATGATGTCCTCAGGCAGACGCTGGATAGTGTCATTGAGCAAACACAGATGTTTATCGTCCTCAGACGGGACTTTCATGCCCCACGATATCAAGAAAAACAACGTTTCGTTGGCGAGAAACTCGTAGATGAGACATCCAAAAGACCAAATGTCGATGCTGTTGGTGAAGGGCCGCTCAAGGATCAGCTCGGGTGCGCGAAGACCGATACACACAGCAGGCTCGGGTGGGGGGTCAGATTCGAAAAATGCTAGGGGATATTGTTAGTGCTGAGTGTGTAGAGACGTCATAGTACTGACATCCTTCAAAGTCTGAAAGCTTGACGCGGAGGTCCGCATTACGTGGTACGCGTTCGTGCAGAGACTGTCCGTGGTAGAGCGTTTTGGGTGCCCACAGATCAACCTTGCCATCTATTCTCTCCAGGGGTATGTGTGTGTTCAAGGCACTTGGTTCTGTACCGGATACGTCTTGCTTCAGTTCCTCTTCATCCAAGCCCTCAATACTCTCAAGCTCAAACAAGAGATTTTCGGGCTGGAAGTCAGCTTGCACCACGCCGTGTCGGTGCATGAAGGCCAGAGCATGCAGACTGTGAAGCAGCAGCTTCTTGACCATCCAGACCGGGAGCCGTCGATCGTTTTTCCCTCGATTCTCGACCATGTCCCGCTTCATGGTATCAGCTGACGCGCCCATAACCTCTGAGACATAGCATTGGTGAGTTCCGTTTGGACCCGAGTGAATAAAACTTTCCAACTGCTTCCTAATATACTGCAGACCAGGATCCTCACGTCCAGCGGTTAAGAGATGCTGCATGACAGTAGTCTTCGTAACATCGAGAGGAGCATCGGCCCTTAACACTTTCAAGACGACATACTTTGGGTATCTAGAGTACCAGTTAATAAGGCTACATTAGAAATGATTGGAAAATAGGCTACCCTGAGCTGACTGCTAACCACACGGTCGAAGAACTTCCGTCGCCCAGTTTACGAATGACCCTGTACTTGCCGTCCAGAAAAGTGTCACCCAAGTCCACGGGATGGAGCATTCCGGGGAAGTACAATTCTTCCCACTCGGTGGGTTCGAATGTCGCTACAAATCGTGCATCGCGACGATTGGCTAAGGGATTAGGTGGTGGTGAAGCTGAGTGAGTAGGTGATGGAGAAGCCATGGTAGCAGTGGCAGTTGGTCTTGAGCTGCAGAATGGAAGGAGCAATAGTGGGCGAGTGCGAGCTATGAAGGTCTGACGCAGGAAATTTGCGGGCAGTAGCCTAGGAAGGGTAGAAGGGCGCGCCAGGTAGGCCATGGTAGCTTGGTAGGTTCGAGCACTCTTGAGAGGCGACGGATCTCCTGTACGGAGTGCTAGAAAGCTAGAGCTGGCCAGTGCTATGAAGTCAGGAATAAATGACTCAGATTCGGGAAAGGTCGCTTGATGTACTCTTCGAGCGGTATCGGGCAGACTCGGGGTGACCGAATGTGAAGTGAAGGGCTGCGATATTTCGCGACGCGGATGGCGAACAGCGCGTTCGCGGCCACAACCGCACGACCGCCATGATTTCGACGAAAAACATGCTCAGTAGATGAACGCATACTCCAGCAGGTGGAAAGAGGGGTCGAAGAAGACAGAGCGTGGCGAGTGATTGGCAGAGCAGATATCAATGACAAGACAGGGAAGGAAGGACCGGCGCTCGACTCCCAGGTTTGCCACTCGCATGCCAACAAAGCAGTCGCTCCGTCCCTCGCACAAATAGAACTTGCACGCGATACGTCCAACAGCAAACTCGCCAAACACATAACGAGCAGAGGATATAGTCGATCGAAACAACATAAATCTAAACGAGCGTCCATCTAAAGCTCAGACTGCTCGCCTTTTAACTCTGCCAACCTCAGCTGATTCCTCTTCTTCAGCACTCTCAGCGTATTCTTCCTCTCCTTCTCGGACATAGCCTCCCAATTCGCAATCCTACTCAGACTCCCGTCCTTGTTCACGACAAGCGGCCCGAGATGATCCAGCGTCACGCCCTCACCGCCGACTTCGAGTTGCGGTGCCTCTGAGTCGGACTCTGGTGGTGGTAGCAGAGGCACTTGGGGAGTGTGCTCAGCGTATTTTGGGGTATCTGCGCTCTTCTCCGCGGCCCATTTGTCTGCAATCAGGCGCGCGACGTTTTTACCGCTGAGGGCGCTGGTTTCCATGGTGCTGATGAAGCTCTCGATGCCGCTGGTGTACCACAGGGCTCCGTCGTTGCCGTCGAGCCTGATTTCTTCGAAGGTGACGCGGGGGTATTCTCGAGGGTACGAGTGCCACACTTTGCGGTGCACCCAGCTCACAGCACCATTTACGTCTTCTCCCTCTGCCTCACTCTCTGACACGCTGTGACCCAGGAAGTGTGTCAAAGATGTGGATGTGATAGGCTCGACGGAGAAGATCTTGTAGATGAATTCCTGGCGTGGGGGTGTAGCACGTCGGTTGAGCGAGGTGTAGTGCATAGATATGCTGTAGAAGCCTGGACTACCTGGGTTGCCATCACCGGGCTTCTCAGAGACGGGAAGAGTGGTGAGGACATATTGTGGTACAGCTTCGTTGGGACCGAGATTGAATGCTGAGGGGTCGAGCTTGAATGGCGAGGCGAAGAGTGTGACGTGCAGCTTCACGTACGGAATCGCATCGGGCGTATGCTCTAATTCAGAAGAAATAGTGAGGTTCGTGAACTGCAGAGGTGCTGCCAGAACGATCTCGTCGAAGGTAGACGAAGTGTCGTTGGCGGAGAGACGGTATGTACCATCGTCCTGCTTCGAGATCTGCGAGACTTGCGTGTTGAGGTGCGTTGTGATTGCAGACGACGACTTCAACATGCTGGCGAAGATGCGCCAGTTGCCGCCATCAATCGCCATTGCGCCGCTTGTAGCCATGCACACCATGGTCTCCAGGCCATGTATGTAGGCGAGATTAGACGCATAGTTGACTCTCGTACTGTACTGGTTAGCATATCAGAACCACACGTTACATCGTTGTACCCACCTTGCCTGAATAACTTCATGTGCAAAAGCGTCCCCAATCCCATTGGCCTTGAGATACTGCTCCCCGGTGACACCTGTAATCTCCAGTAACCCCTGCGCCTCCAGAGTCTCACCCAAACTCTTCCACGGAAACACAGGCTCCTCGTACATGCCCAAGAACTTGCCAACCACACTCTTCATCAGCCTGTTTGTCTTCAACGGCGCGAGTCCATACCGCCACAGCAGCTTCGCCTTGTCCCACCAGCCATCCTCCTCCGTTGTAACCAGCACGAACTGCGTGCCGTCCCATATCCCCAAATCAGGCAATTCGAGTCTTGTAGCAAGGCTATCTTCTTGCGAGGCAGTAGAGAGATTGAAGTCGCGCGTCGCGTTGACGAGGATGTGGTTCACATCGACAAAGATGGAACCGCCGAGCTCGATAGGTACGGATGGATCGGACCAAGCATCGACGGTGGTAGTGCGGCCGCCGACGTAGGAAGAGCGCTCGAAGACGGTGACGTCGAGTGGTGTTGAGGACAATGCGGCGTATTGGGCGAGGTGGTAGGCTGCTGAGGAGCCGCCAGCACCGGCGCCTGGGGGTCGTTAGGACTGTGCAAGTCGCTTATGTGTCAGAGACTCCAGTACCTATTATTGCGACACGCTTCGTTGGTGGTGGTGCATGGCTGCTGCTGAGCGCAACGGCGCCGGGCAACAACGGGATGACGTGTGATAACCGCACCATCACGGTGTTCGCAGGCTATGGGCTTTTATGGTGGATTTTGTAAGACTCTCAGATTCAGAGAGACAGAGCCAGAACACTCAGGTGATACCAAGATTCATTGTGGTAGGAGAGATGGCGTGTTGCGGAAGCGCGGGGAATAGAGCTGACAATGCGCACGAGCTCAAGCCTGAAAGCAGCCTTCTAACAGGAGGCTCAGAACATAAAGTCGCTGTTGACATTTGGAACAAAGACACGTAAGTTCCCCAAATTCGATGTTTTTGTTAACGATAGCCACGTTAGAGGACCTTGTGAGAGCGAGTCTACGTAGGTGTTCTAATACGAAACGCGTGCTCACGTGGTGCTGTACGCTGTCATGAGAGTCTAACAGGGGCCTTTTATCAAGGCTTGAGCCAGGAGCCACTCTCCTGGGTATGCAATTCATATCGTACCGTGACCCCATGGAGACACTTTGAAAAGTCTGCGCTGCCTATCTTACAGTATTATCTTGAATCAGTTCTACCCTCTATTTTCTCCCTCGCTGAGCCGAAGCAACGCTGCTGACAGCGACTGAACTCATGTGCCAAAGTCTCGTATGGGCACTGTCTCCGCCCGATACTGCGACAACGCGGCATCCAGATCATCAGCTGACGAGCGCTCGAGCGCCTGTTCTGGCGTCACTGTGGCCGACTTTTGAGTGACATCAAATCCAAAGCGGTCCTTCAGGAACGAAGCGATGGCTTGATTCTCCTCGTCTGTACCGTTCCCATAGTGTTGAGTGAGTGCCTTCGCCAAGAGCGTATCGAACAAGTTGCTCTCATCAATGGTTCTCGGTGTCTCAGTAAGTGGTGTGGAGATGGTAGTGCGGCCGCTCAGACCCACGGCAGCGAGTACGTCCCTTCTGGGCCAGGTAATGGCGCGCATCGGGAACTTTTGTACGAATTGCTCGAAGCGTGATTGAAGGTCGGTCCAAGTCACGTTCCTGGCGAAATACCACCGAACCATGTGTTCGAATCTGGATCTCAGCTGCAAAGACGATTCGGAGATGGAAGTGAGATAGCGGAGCTTGCTTATGACAAAGTCGGCATTTAATCCAATGATGAGAGGATGGACTCCGACTTGGCGCAAAATGTTGTCTGTAGCTTCGAAATTGCGCATGCGATGGTCATCGTGGGTGCCTTTTATCATGTACTCGACCAAGCGACGTATGACCACTTGAGCTTCTTCTGTAGTGATCTCGCCTGCAATGTCGTGTTTCCATTCTGTGTTGAACGATGGGCACGTTTCGACGGTCAGACGAGTAAGACTCGCTCTGAAGGGTTCGAAGTCTTTAGGTCGCAGCTTGTGGCTATTGAAATAAACCACGAGGTTTGTATTTAACATCCCGGCCTTCAGACGGGAGATTTCGTCTCGAATGAAATGCTCAACCACTTCCATTGCGACAAGATTTCCGCCGGACTTCTCCTTCACGATAGATGATGTTGGCGGCTCGAACGGAGGAAGCAAATCTTTTGCTCGGAGAGGGCTCGTTAAATCACTGGGTAGAACGGAAGCGCTGTTGTGGACGCTCAGGAAGCCGAGCAGATTGAAATAGCTAACTTCGAGGAATCGTTGGTCTGTCTCGACGACTTGCGTTACGCGTTGACGCAACTTTGCCAGTTGGGCGGACGAGAGAGTGCCATAAAATTCAGGTAACACCTCCTGAGCAGCTGGGCTCCCCAGACCATGATGGATATAGGCCTGATTGACAAGCGCTGTCAGATTGATGCCAAGCGATCTTGAGAGCTGCTTTGTCTCAGATTGCAGATGTTCGATGACACGCTTATGAGCCACGCGACGATGAAGCGGCAGTCCTTCGATATACAGTCTCAAGCGTTTTGCATACTCATGTCGCTCCCTATCTCCGGGAACCACAGGCCAATCGTAAGCGATCGATAGCTCGTGAGCTCGGCTCATGGCCGACTTGATTTTCTTCTCTGACGGGCTGGGTGAATTCGGCGGTGTGATGGTCTGCTGTGTGGTAGCGGGCTGATGTGTCCCAACCATCCCCTTGGGTTCGATTCTTCTGTACGCACCATCGACATAAGCGATGGTCGGCTCCCGCAGTTTGCTGCATTCCAGGTTGGTGATCCGGGCGACAAGAATGACATGATCGCCAACGGGGAGTTCATGGGTCAACGTACATTCGGCCGCAGCGCGGACGGTAGGCTCCCGGATCTGGGGCGCCAAGGAGGCTGTAGCAGTCGCGTTGGCCTCGGGTGATGGAATATCGATATGTAGCTGCCGCAGTCGTTCTTTGTAGGCTTCGGGGTGATTGCCATTGCAGAAGCGCTCAATAACGCCGAGACTGGACTTTTGCGCATCCATCCAGTGTACACGGAAACAGCCATGGGCGTTTCGGATGGCAGTCAGGGCCTGCGAGGGCTCTTTGATATTGAAGGAGATGGTTGGCGGGTCGAGAGTGACAGTACTCAGCGAGGAGACGACTATGCCCATGGGCACGTCCATGCGGGTCTCAGGATCGACGTGCGCAACAGTAATGACAGCGACCGAGGCGGGCACCTTGCGCATGAGGCGACGGACCTCTTCTTTCAGCTCCGCAGAGCCAACTGCTTGTGCAGGGGCCCCGACCGAGGCTTGACTGTCCCCTTGTGTAGCAGCACTCGTCCCCAATTCTGGTGTGAAGCCATTTGTAGATTGTTCTTCCTCTCTTAGACAGCGGGTCGCGTGGTATGATCGCACGTTCCCAAAGGCTGCAGAACGCCTTGACAGAGGGCCACTTTGTGACGAGAAGGTGCATGGACTAGCGCGTTCTGGCGAGGGTTAGCAAGAGTGGTGCATGTGAAGGGCGGTTGGCGCACGTGTATGGCGGCTCCACCTGTAGAAGGCCGCAAAGAAGCGCGAGCCTGGGCGCTGAGCGAGCGCCATTGTGCCAATGTGTTAGAGAAGCTTCAACGACAGCATTCCGTTACCGACAGATAGAGAGTACACAAGGGACCGCCAGTGGGTGCAGCAGCGGATGACGATGCGCTCTCCGCGGCAGCAACCGCGCTACTGAGAAAAAGCCGCCAACGACACTCCCGAACTCCGCATTCACATCGCCAACCCTCGACTTGACCCTCTCGTCCCAACACCACAGCAATGGCCGCCCCGATACCCTCGCCCAGCGCTCTTCGCGTCCTCCGCGCCTCTGTCGCGCCTTATACTCGCCAGTCCCAGCAAGTGCGCCACGCGACACTTCTGCGCCGACCCAAGCGACCCTACACCTTCACACAGCTCATCCAGCTCTCGGACGGCTCTGCCTTCACCCTGCGCACCACAAACCCCCAGCCCGTCTTGAAGAGCGCAAAAGACATTAGAAACAATGCGCTCTGGAACCCTAGCAGCCGGAAGCTGCTGACCGTGGAGGAAGACGATGCCGGCAAACTGGCCTCATTCAGAGCGAAGTTTGGCACAGGGTGGGACAGCGAGGGCGACAAGGTGCGTTATGATTCTCAGGCAGACAGAATACAGAGTTCGCAGGCATTTGGCTGACACAGAGCAGAGCAAGAAGGGCGACAGCTTGCTAGACATCATTGGTGGAGCTGTGAAGCAGCCAGATGCGCCGAAAACACCGACACCAGCAGGAAAGCCCGCGCCGAAGAAGAAATAGGTGTGATGGTAGGGTCGACGAGCACAGACCGAGAATGGAGGTGCGTGTACAGCATGTCATATTATTGTACAGTATGAGTTGGGATATCAGGAGAGCAGAATATAGGACGAAGACCGAACGAGCAAATGATACCATTTACATATATGAACAACGACATGGGCTTCAAATTGTGCACCAGTAGTCCGGATCATCAGCATTGTGTCAACAGCACCACCAGAACTCACTCAGCTCACAGATATCCTGCTCCCGTTTGACCGTGTCGACACCCCCTGCCCTCTTCTCATTATCTCAACCATCTTCCCTCCTCGATATGTGGCTCTTTCGCAATTTGAAATGTTGTGAGGTCGGAGCCTGCGACTTTGACCTTTGTCCTCTCCATGCCTCCATAAGTCTTCGAAGGCGCTACTCGCTCGTCCTCAGGGTCTTTGCTTGTATATGAGCAATCTTAGGGATTTTAGATTGAGACTTCAGGCGTCCAAGGAAACTTCTACGCGCGCAGTAGGATCACTGGCCTGAGTCGATAACGTTTTCTATATGACCCGAATTGTATGGTTGCCATCCTCATACCGCAAACATGGCAGGCTCATCTTTGCCTCTTCATTCAAGCTCTGCATTAGCGCCTGAACGTTGTCTTCGTAGGGGGATTTAGCCAGTCCTATGCGCTCATAATGTCCCTCCTCGAAGTTAACAAGTCGCAGTAATATGAAACAGTAGTAGTGTAGAAAGTCGGGCGTGTCCCGCTCGTCCGACGGCAGAGCAGCTAAAATGCAAAAATGCTGCGCAGCTGCACTTTGTCGCAAGATGACGTCTACATCCAACGACGAATCGTCAAGCCGTGCTCCGTTTCTAGGGGATCGCTTGTCATCGTCATCATCAATAGACAGGAACAACGTTTCAGAAACCTTGGACTGCTTCAGAAGTACTGGCCGCAGAGCCCCTTTCAAGTCCAGCCATCCACCGTTGATTTGTCCCGTCTCGTCACCCGTCGCATACTCAATATGAATGTCCACGACCTCGATGTATGGAGTGCGAACATGTACATCAGCATAGAAGATTCTCCCATCAATCGAAGCCCAGGACCAGCTCGGAGCGCGGTAAACAGGCGAGCGACTTACATTCTCGCTGGCTTCCCAGAGGAGTTGACGATTGAGATCTTTGCGCCACATGCCAGCCACGTACTCGTCGAGCACGTGAGATCTGATCATCTTGGCAATTCCTGATATCGCAACAAGCTTATCACCGGGAAAGGTGAGAGATGTATAAGAGTACGTATGAATCAACCGCTGCCACAAGCGGTACCACGAAGCCTTGTCCTTTTCGAGGAAAGCATTGTTAACCTTGACGGAGACACCGAAGAAGTTGTTGTAGAAACTGCGGTCTAGTCCAGCCTGATGTTGTTCACAGGCAGTGTGATGGCGACATTCCCAGAACAGTTGGTCGCGGCAAAAATGTAATACACGTGGCGCCAGAAACCTCTCCTGGAAGACCCATCCACGTTTGTTTAAAGAACATTCTACTAAAGACATGTAGAATAGATATTCGTTCGTGAGCAAGCACTTCTGTGGAGTATTCTCAGCCGTATACTCCGCAATCAAACATACGTCGACTTCCGTGCTACATAATGCGCGAGGGTCGCGATCTCGGAAAAGGCCCTGTAGACTATCCTGGGCATCAGACGCGGAGAGGTTGCAATGCGAATTCGAATAGACCAAATGCATCTGACTAGCTTCGAATGCCCAATCAGAGACATCGTCTTGCATGATGCAGAGTGAGTCAATCCACAGGTATCGAATCTGCAGTCCCTTGGAAAAAGTCATAGCCTCGCGGAACGTTCTTGGAAGCTTGTCGATCTGAATTCCGCGAGCAAGGTTTTCCAAGTTGTGGTGTTTCAGCTGTAAGAATTCAGCATCACCCCATCGGTGGCTAAGTGTGGTGTAGTGTCCCTTTGGACTGTGTGATGCCGTGGAAATCAGTCGCACTTCGCTAAGGTCCTCCTGGTTTAGATCGCCTAGATCCAAGAGGCGAGTGGGATACCATTGGGTATCTCGCGTCTCCATTTTGCACGAGAGATGGCCACTGGAACAATCATGTATCCATTGCTGTGCAACTCGCAGCGACTCACACGATGCAGTGTTCTTAGATATGACTTGACTTGCCGCAACAGCGGCCCATTCGCCTAAGGGGAGTTAGCACTGCTTTATCGCTAACAAATATCCGCACGAACCATTTTGTGGTTTGAGGCTGAAGGTGCAAATGCTTCGAAGAGGCGGAACAGAGTCAAATACGTGGAGAAATAAGATCTCTGGACTGCCATTAACAACAGCAAGCGTATGGAACTGAGGTAGACTTGAATTAACGGGTCTCATATGTTTCGACGCGCTTGCTGGCTGTATAGACATTGAGTGTTCAACCTGCCAACATATTTGACATCCAGTACGTGCTGCTGCTTGAAGATCAGAGAGGCTAACATGGTGACCGTACAAGGCGTGCCGCCCCCCTGTGTTTGTGACTGTAAAACTGCTGTTGTCACTCGAGGATGCCGATTGACTGTCAGTAGAAGTTGGACGATCCGGGACTTCTCCGATGTCTGTTTGACCATCACCTATCGTGGTGTCACCCATCAGGGAAGTGCTGTTTTCAGTCTCAGCGATACAACTGATCGCGTGTTCGCTATCAAAAGCGTCCTCGGCATCCTGAGATGTTTGCTTTGCATCAAAAATGTCTTGCTGGACGGCTTCCTCCTCTATCGTGGCCGCATAGTTGCCAGTGTCATTGTCGTTGGTGGTAACTTCATAGTCATCGTCTTCTTTATCGGCATCGTCACCGACACTGCTGACTGACTTTCTGTAGAAATTACTTTCTTCCATAGTGTACCATGTCCGGCTGGTTTCGATCAGGTTTCGGCAATCCTTAAGGACCCCCGAACAAACGTCGCAAATCATGTCGGCGCGAGTTTGAACGGCGAAGGCGCAAGACGAAAAGGTGACGCATAAAGATCAGGTGAGTTTGTAGAGCGTTAACGTAAATGCCCAATGTGCGACCAAGGCTAGTACTGATGTTGGAATGTTGACACCTGCAGAGAAGCCAAGGCTGCTGCAGTTCACCCCGCATGCTCACCACCAGCGTTGGCCGCCTGAATTAATCTGTCTTTGCGCCCATCTTTCCACGCTTTGTCCAGCGTCTCAAGCTTTCCACCCAGTACTTGCACATTGCCTGGTTCGAGCATGACCACTGCTCTTCGCACTTCAATGTTTCGTAACAAGAGCTTTAGACCCATGCTCATGTTCGTGTTGAGCCCTTCAATACCTCGAAGATCCAATGCATAGATTTGAAGTCCTTTCGCGTCCTGTAATAGTAGTTTGAACGGGCCCTTGCTATGAGCAGGTGCAACAGACTGGTCGGAGCCATCGTTTTCTGGCTCAATCAATCGAATAATTTCGCGGCCTTTGGTCGTTTCCCCACGTTCTCTAGATTCGATCGCTTCGACTTGTGACCAGCGTGACTGGCCAATGTCTTCAACGTCGAGCACTTGACAGACGATTGGACCTGCAAGGAAGCGCGCCTGAACTGTACCACGCAGCACGTCTTCTGGTAACACCGAGGCTGCGGGTTGATCGAGTGAAGTAGTGATGTCAGTTGCTAGCAGACGAAAGAGGCATGTCTGCTTCAGTGCAGCAAGTGCAGTGTTTGGGCGTGTGGTTGCGAGGAAGCTTTGCAGCCAGCCTGACTTGGGGTGGAGGCTTTTCGCCGTGAGATGCTGCATCAGCTCTGTTGCAATATTATTTGCCATTTCAGCGACCGTCTGATCTTCATTCGTGGGGTTTAGTGACGTTTTGACATCAGAACGAAGTCGAGGTTATCAAAAGACGCGTCGCGTGCATGACGTGGGGAGCTCTTGCCAACTGGCCTTGGCATCCGTCGCAGTACCAAGCTTCGACATAACACCTCGCCTCTTAAGATATACATGAACAAGCAAACGCCTCGGGAAGCTGCTAAGAAAAGCCGAAAATGTCGACTATAGCTTCGCCGCGTGCGAGTTCATCCATACGCAGCCCTTCATCCACCCGCAATTCGTTCGATAGCTCCACAAGACCTCCGCCAAATGCGCGCCGCAATCGCACCGCGTTACGAGACTATTATGGGATAAAGAACGCCCAGAAAGAGACCGATGCCAGAATATCCGAAGAGTCGACAAGGAACGGGCTAGGGCCAGAGGAAGATGAAACCTTGACAGAGCTGGATGGTGCCGATTTCAATGCGGAGGCCTTTGTGGACAGCCTGCTTGCAAAAGAGGGTTTGAAAGGGGTGCTGAAGGTGGAGGCAGATCTTGTGTCACGTACGCTGCATTATCAAAACAGGGCTACACTAGCTGATCATAACTAGAGATCCGGAATCTCGACAGCGACAGGAAGTCACTCGTCTACGACAACTACTCCAAGCTGCTATCTGCAACTAGTACGATCCGCCGCATGCGCGGGAACATGGACCCTCTAGCTCCTACCACTCACACACTCGGCCCTGCCATTGCACACATCGCCGAAACCGCCACCTCACTATCATCTTCTATGCAAGGTCTTCAGAGCAAGCCCAAGGGCCTCGGCATCGATATACACATTCAGGGGGAGCCAAAGGAAGAGGAGGAGGCAGCCAGAAAGCGGAGACAGCAAGAGACTGTTCGATGGGTGTTGGGTACGCCCAGGCGTCTGCGCGATTTGGTTGATCAAGAGCAGGAAGAGGAGGCCGAGAAGGAATGGGAGGAGGTCAGCAAGATTCTCGAGAAGTGGAAACACGTCGCTGGCGCCGAAGAACTCAAAGCAGCCTGTGAGAGCATTCTGAACGAAAATGCCGAATCAGATTGAGCTTGAAGCTGTCGTATACTGATCCGCACGTCTGGCAGGACATGTGCAGTCGCGACACAACTCCGCAGAAGAGGAACAAGCCTGAAAATGCCAGCATAAGTGTACCGAGGAACCACCTTCGGCGATTCTACAGTTGCACCCCGTAAACCTACGGCGGAGGACCGACCTAGTGCGATTGGTGGAATAATGGAACCGGAATGCTACAATGTGTCCGACCGCTCTGACAGCTCTCCACCTCCGGATAACAGTTCGCCTTACACGTCTTGTTGGTGGGATTCCCTGCCGATGCCGCGAGGTACCTAACTTTGTTGCGGACGATTGCATGCTGTGGAGGCTGGGTTGGCCAGGTATATCTGCTTCCTGATAGGTCCACCACAACACCAGCCTTCCGCACGGCTGCTCACATGACGGCCTCCTCACCTCCAGCACTTGGCAACTACCCCACGGCTCCCACTTAGCCCGATTACCGAAAGCTCGCTAGCTAATTGTGGGGTATTCTGGGGAAGCTTGCATCGGAAAGCTTTTCCAATGCTTAAGCTAAGCTCGAATAGCCTCAACCATGAAGGAATCAAAAGTGGGAACGGTGGGTTCGAGAAGATACGCGAGTCGCAGACAGTAGAATTGACATATATAAGGTGCTTCGAGTGCGTTGTAATAATAAGAGAAAGATAGACGGTCAAGCATCTGCCTTCACATTCTTCCAGCATGCCGCGTCTTACAACCAAATCGCTCGCTGCTCTTTTGCTGCTTGCTCCTGTAGCATCATCAGTATCAGTAGCCGAGAACTTTCTCGAGACACTCCGCACACCCCGTCCGTTCCACGCCCTATCCTCACCACCCCGGAACAGGACCTGTGTCGCAGAATCCCACAACGACCTCAAAACCGACGATGCAGAAAACATCCTCCAAGCAGTCCATGACTGCAACAACGGCGGCCACGTCATCTTCGCCGACAAGCAAACCTACACCATCGCCTCGCCGCTGAACCTCACAGGGCTCTCGCACGTCGACCTCGACATCCAGGGCACCCTCTCCTTCCCCTCCGACAACCTCACCTACTGGCAAGCCAACTCCTTCGACCTGCAGTACCAGAACGCGACGTCCTTCTTCCTGCTCGGCGGCGCAGACATCAACGTCTTCGGCGCCGGCACCGTGCAAGGCAACGGCCAGGCGTGGTGGGACGAGTACACGGGCAACAAGAAACTCAAGCGGCCGGTGCTGTTCGCGATCGCGGGCCTGACGGGCGGCAGCGTGAGCGGGATCAAGCTGCGCAACTCGCCGTTCTGGCATAATATTGTCATGGACTCCAGCGACGTCGTGTACTCCGGGCTCGACCTGTTTTCGACCAGCAACAACGGGAATTTCGAGAAGAACACGGATGGCTGGGATATCTACCGCAGCGAGCGCATTACGATTGAGAACTCGACGATTACGAACGGCGATGGTGCGTCCCCTCCCCTTACCTTCTTCTTGTGTAGACCACGTGACTAACACAACCCAACAGACTGCGTCTCCTTCAAGCCCAACAGCACCTCCATCCTAGTGCAGAACCTGCGCTGCAACGGCACACACGGCATCTCCGTCGGCTCGCTGGGCCAATACCCGGCGCGAATCGACTACGTAGAAGACATCCTAGTGCGCAACATCAGCATGTTCAACTCGAGCGAGGGCGCGCGCATCAAAGTGTGGCCGGACGCGTACTCTGAGAAATCTGCGTCCCTGACGGGCGGCGGCGGCCGCGGCCTCGTCCGCAACGTGACCTACGACGGCATGTACCTGGACAACGTCGACTACGGGCTCACGATCACGCAGTGCTATGGCCAGGACGACGAGGAGGAGTGCTTCAAGCACCCGAGCAAGCTGAACATCACGGATGTGACGTTTAAGAATATCAGGGGCAGGACGAATCGCGTGTTCAGTCCGATTGTGGGGCATTTGGTGTGCTCGTCGCCGCACACGTGCTCGGGGATTCTGGCGGAGAATGTGGATCTGCGGACGATCAACGGGAGTAACCTGGTGACGTGCAGGAACGTGGATGAGAGCACGTTGGGTGGGCTGAACTGCACGGACTGGAGCAAGGGGTATAACCCTGCATAGATAGCCTGCATGGCCGTCACTGTAGATTAGGTCGTGGCTAAACGCTTTACTTCTTCACGCCCCACACGTCTCCTCCGAAACTAACCACTTTGCCCTCGCCCTCCATCTCGCGCAACAACCCGCTAATCTCTTCTGCGCCAAAGGGGAAACCTCCCGCCATCATCATCCGCATCATCATCAGGATCCTAGCAACGGGCATATTGCCCTGCGCCGTCAACATGCCGCTGATGAACGCACTATACACATCCTTCTTCTCGTTTAGCAGATCTTCTTGACTTCGGACGGCAGTGGGTTGCTGTGCCGCTTCCACAGCAGCCAGCTCCGCCGCCGCTGCTGCAGCATCCTCATCTGCCTTTGACTTCTTGTCGGACTTGGGCAGGGTCTCGATGATGGCAAAAGTATCTGAGGCGGTCTCGCGGAGCACGGATTTGCCGACCCAGAAGGCAGCAGCTTGCCGTACAAGCGACTCGTCCATGTCGAGCATTTCTTCCAGCTGACTGACGTTCCGGCTAATGCCCTCGCCATTCTTTGTGTGCTTCGCTGCAATGTGCTCCTCGTCGGCTTGCGGCTGGAAGGCGTGCACGATGCTGACCTGCCAGGGTGTTAAGTTGTCGAAGTCTTCCGTCCGATCGGCGAAAGTGAGTGTTATGCTGCCGCTGCCCAAGGCGTTCATCCAGTGCAGCTTGCGCATGCCCTTTATACGGGAGAAGTTAGTGCCATACTGGTCTTGCAAATCTGAGATTTCGGCAGGGACGCGAAATTCATCGTCTCGTAACAGAGGCCAGAAGAAGGAGGACAGGATTTGTGCGTTGAGGGCTGGGGCTGGGGGTGCGGCCACGGGCGCGGGCGAAGAGGGCGCAGGCTGCGCATTTGCTCGTGTTGAACGACGGGTCCCCGGCGTACGCGGGTGTCGACCTCCGTATGGAGTCCTGGGCTGTCCAGGAGCGAAGCGGCCTTGTGCAGGTCGTGAGCTGGCCATAGCAGCATGTATGGAGGCATTGATGCGCTTCGACTCTAGCACGTCGCGGAGCATGACCTCGCAAGCTTGCAGGTTGTTATCGCCAAGGCGCATCTTGATGAGTTCGAGAAGGCGAATCTCTTGTTCGTACTCTGGATCTTGACAACGGAGGAGGTGGTCGCCAAGAATGTTCTTCAGTTCGTTGATGAAGTCTTCGCGGTCCCATAGCGTCAGCAAAAACCATATTACATCCTCTACTTTCGACTTTTTGTAGTCTGGGGATGCGTCCTGTGGTAGTGGCTGCCAACTCATATCATTCCAGTTCAACTCTTCGTCGGCGTCTTGACCCAGGTTTGAAAGCGGCTTGGCCATCTCACTGGCAATATCATGGGAGAGCTCGCTGTTGGCGGAGAACTTGCTGCCCGTTTCATCTTTCAAGTCGGTGAGTAGACTCGAGATGATGATCCTTGCTGTGTCTTCTCGCTCCTTCAGATACCTGCGTATCGGCCGTGCAACTCTCTCCAGCAGAACGCCCTTTGGCTCTAATTCGTGGAAGGCGCGGATAATTGAGATGTAGATATTAAGGATGTATGTAGTAGTTGCGCCAGAATGCAGCAGCCTCCTCGAGACTTGCTGTGAGAAGCTTGAGGTGAGATGCTGCTTCGCTCCGACAACCCTGAGGTAGTCCTTGATGTCTCGGATGGCGCCCAAACTCTTGTCCCAGTTGATTATGAAGTCAAATAGATTGTCGACGCGGACTCGGCCCAATCTGCCTAGCGCTATCTCCTGCCACGAGGTGATCTCTGTGGGCAGAATGGTGCTCTGCTCACACCGTAAGCACTCGAGCACCAGCTCAACTAATGGACAGAAGCCATCATGTATCCACATATTCAGCTGGGGCACTACCGATTTCCTTGAATACCAATCGACCTTCATGTAGTGGCTGTTGATGAATGAGTCGAGCAACTTGTTCATCGCTTGGGCGAAAGCTTTCTGTGCTTTCTCACCACCAAGCCCAACACGTTCCAGGCCCTGTAGGAGAGTGGTCATGCGTTGGCGAAATTCCGTTGTGTCTTCTGGCGCAGCACTCGGCTGAACGCCGTCCTGTCGCGTATAGATGCGGAACAGTCTGCACCCTGCATCGTAGAGAACGTAGCTCAACGTTTTCGAGAATCGCTGCGGAGCAATGCAATGGGCGAACAGCGCATGGAGATCTCTCTTGAACTTCGAGCTTGCATGCTCTGCCGCATTATCCTCGTTTCTTCTCGTCGGTCGGGTAGGTCGTCTCGTCTGGTTGGTGCCACTCTGCAAGAACGGCAATATATGCTCATTGAACGGTTCGAGGTACACGTTCTGCACTTGCTCCAGCACCATCTGGCTCTCACCAAGCAGGTCCCAGCTCCGCGCAATCTTCACCTCGTCCTTCCACAGCTCTTCTAGCCCCGGTTGAACGTGATTCGCAAAGTGAAGTCTGCATTCGTTTGTATACCACTCCACCAGCCCCTCCTCGCCGTTCTTCGCCTCGTCCACGACCTTGCCGTCCCCGATGAGCAAGTACACCAACGCATCCTCAACTTCTCTCGTGCGGTGAAGTATTCGCGGTACGGCAGGTACAGCCTTGTCCAAGCTTAGAAACCTAGTCGCGCAGCTCCAAGCTATCGTTCGTTTGACGCCTTTGTGTGTTGTGTTATCGTGGAGCTCGGTCTGTCGTGGGATGTATGGGCTGCCGAAGGATGCGCCTGGTACTGTGACGCCCAGATCTGGTGTCGCAACGGGTGCTGGTATTGTGTGCGAGAGCGAAAGAACGGGGAAGACGGAGGAGAAGACTAGAGTCTGGTGGTCCATGTTGGGTTGCAGATGAGGTGCGGACCCCCGCCTCAAGAGTTGTGATTATGAGCTTCTAGTAAAGGCAGAGTGTCATCTTCGCGGGCTGCGTCAATACGTGTCAAGGGAGTTATCGTTACTATTCGTCTGTCGTGAAGTCGTTGTGGAGGATGTGGGGAAGCTGCGCTGTGTTTGCGTGTTTGTTAGTCGCGGTTGCTAGTGGTGAAGGCAACGCGCCTATCGATACGCGAAAGCACGTGGGACTCTTTGGTCAAGCTGGAGGTTGTGGGCGAGCTCCAGCCGCAGAAACAATAAGTAGCAATCAATGCATTAGACTTTGGCTTATTGCTAAAGTCATCCACGTGGGATCTAGATTTACAATCGCTCATCAAAACCATAAGGAAACCAACCAAAACCAGAGACCCCAAGGAGGGATGCCTCAACCTGTGCGCCAATACCACGCCTTCCGTGTCGCTCCATGTCCCGAAATGCAGTACATCAAGAACTGCTCATGTGCATCAAAACGTCCCGTGAAACTGTTTTCCACTTAGGGCCTCAGCACTCCATGCCTTCTCCTGAAGGCCTCCACTCTTTCCTCGTAAAAAAGGATCTCTCGCACCCTGAGCTTTGGTCCTCTATGCTCCTCATACAGAAGTGACTCATCATCGCTTTCCTGTTCATGGCCCCCGTCACTGCCTTCGCTCTCTGTCTCCTCTCCAGCGTGACCCATGCCGCCGTCATCGTCATCATCGTCATCGTCTTCAATAACTTCGCTCTCATCATCGCTAATGATTACAGGGTCGTGGCCAATGTAGCCATGTGCGCCGGCACCAGCCTCTCCACTCATACTGTCACTTCGTAAATCATAATTCGTCGGTCGGTTTTCCAAGATTTCAAAACACTTGTGTGTGAGTCCCATGTAGCAGAGCTCGATCTCTGGGCGCAAGTGGACAATGTCAAGGATTTGATAGGCAAGCTCGCGTGGATCAATGTTGTTGCCATGTGCATGGTCGGCGATGAAAGGGATGTATAGGGAACGGATGTGCGGGATGAAAGGCAAGCGCTGAAGGAAGTGGTGCTAAAGATCTGTTAGCTTCAGGATTGAGATCATGAAAATGCTACTCACCCAGTCTTTATAGTCGATCGAGACCGCCAGCTCTCTAAGACTGCTCATTCTTCCGCTGGTGATGAATGTTAAGATCTCTCTGTTCATCATCCATCGTCGCCATCTTGAACTCGCTGTCGTGTGTCCCTCTGGTCCTTTCTCACTACTGTCGATCATCAACTTCTTGAGGCTTGCCTTATGGCGCCGCATGGGACCGCGGTATATGGCGTCCACTGTCACCGTCGACGAATATGATCGGCCTTCCTGCAAGAAGAGTACCTCAAGACTATTAGGCGCCAAGGTTTCCTTGAGAAACGAGATGAGCGATGGTGAAACAGTGTTGGTATGAATCCGCTTCAAATTCAGCTGGTAGTCAGAACGAAGCGTATAGGATGCTTTGTAGGCCTTCGACGAAGATGGCGATCCAGAATAGCTGGCGCGGGGTGTGTAGGTCCGACGGAGAACCTTCCACAACTGCTCGTGGTTGCTGCAATGGAGAAGAGTCAACGTCGAGAGAATTGACCAGTCGAATGCCCTTCTCAGCACAGACACAGAGAGCGGTATGCGTTCAAGCTCCAGAACCTCTAGCTTCAGCTTCCCATTTAAAAGCTCCTCTTGCGACTCGTCTTGCTCATCTGTGCGATCTCCAGCTTTCGGCCGCTCCGAGAGATTAACTTTTCTTGCCGGCGTCGTGGGTGAGCTTGCTGTCGGGGTCGCTGGTTCTGCACTAGCTGGCATTTGCTCGTTGTACAGACTGATACCCTCTGTGATGGTCGAGCCTTCCATTGGATTTCCGAAGTGATCGACGTCTTGCTCAGAGTCCCTGTCCTGTATTGGGATCGACGCTGTTGAGGAGAGAGAGTTTGACACTGTCGGCTTCAGAGGCGTTGTTTCTGTCCGGCCCTGCACTCCAGTGGCACTGGGTTTCCGAGGCGATTCTTCAGAATGGCGCATATTGTGGATGCGACCTACCAGCACGCCAAGTACACCTCCTAATCTCTTCTCGCCAATAGAGCTTGATGCCGTTGTCGCGGCATTGTAGTCGATCTGTTGAAGCCCATCGCCATCCCAAACGGTCACCCAGTCTCGTTGCTGTGCATGCGGAGCAATACCGACACGAAGCTCGCGCAACTTCTTCTGGGATCTCGCAATAAGGATGCTCATCTCGTCCAGATAGGGGAGCTCGTCAACGTCCAACACGCTCAGGCTTTTCAACGCAGGAATGACGGAGAAGGTAGGATGCTCGACGCGCTCTAACGCTGAAACGCTGCTTGCAGGGAATGGTTGAGGCACAATGACTGGTGGTGGAACAGAGCCAGGACCGCTTGGGTGTGTGGTATTTGGAGGCGCTGGAAGATTTGCATTGTTGAGTATCATGGGGGGCGCGGGTGGAGGCACGGGTGCATCGATTGTATTGTCGTGCCAACGAATCCATAGACGCTCCAGACGGCAGTCCTCCCCATCGTTCCGGCCTGCAAGGCTTGACAGCGCGAGCCACACGTCTCGCAGCACGCCGGTGGGCATGTCCCACACGAACGTCTCGAGGTTGATCATGCGTGCGATGGCGAGAGCCACCAGTGTCCCCAGCATCTTGCCGCTCTCTTTTGTGATGACGTACTCCTGTACCCACGCTTGTGGGCCGTTACCAAGGGAGAACTTCTTGGTGAACTGGCCATAGTAGTTGCCGAAGCGGCGGCGCGGGACGGGGTACGGCGTGGTGGGTTTGGCCGTCGGGGCGTGGGCGGCGTGCTCGCGGTAGCGTTGGCTCTGGTGGGGGAAGCACTCGTCGCCCATGACCAGGGTCGCGAGGCCGTAGGTGAGGGCGTCGACGCCGGAGCGCGGCTCCATGTGCGTGCTCTCGTCGGGCCAGACAATGTCGAAGCGCGAGTAGATGCACGGGATGGTGAGGCGGTGGAGGGCCGAGTGGCAGAGCGAGAGCGACGTGAGGTCGTTTGTGTGCGGCAGCTGTTGGATCACGGTCAGCTTGTCGGCGGCGGGCGGCGCGCGACGCGTGCAGCCAGGCCCAACGCACCTGGTGTATGATCTCCTTCAGGACGTCGACGGGCAGGTCCAGCAGTCGCAGCGGCCCTTTGGCTGCCTTCTCTTTGCCCTTGGGCGCCTGCAGCGCCAGCTCCCCGGCGGATGATGCGCCGACGGCGCTGGGCACGGCACGGTGGCTCGGCCAGGCATCGTCGGGGTTGCGCGGTGTCGCGGTCGGGTGCGCGTCGCCCGGCGAGGACGAGAGCGACTGCGCCGTGTCCTCGTCAAAGGCCAGCGGCGACGAGGTCCGGGGCGAGCCCGGGGTCGAGTGCGGAGAAGCCATGTCGTCGTCGCGCTGGGATCATGTCATGGGCGGCAGCGAGTGGAGCGCCCTCATCGGAGGAAGGGGCCAGGCGAGAGGCTCCTCGGCGGCGGCGGAGCTCGTGCGTGGTGCGAAGGAGTGATGTTGAGCTTCGTTGGCAGTCGTCGTGGTGACCAATGGTTCTGGTCTCCGCTTGGCCGCGGCGCTGCGCGCATTGGTTACGAGTCTCGGTGCAACGCCCTTTCTACAACCGTCAGCTGAGCGCTGCCATTCGGACCACGCATCACAGGGGGCCGCAGCGCCGACGAATGTCATCGCCTTTTAGTGCAGACGTGGTACCAAATGTTGTATTGTCACCAAAGAGCACTCTTGCTACTAGACGCGCGCATCATCTGCGTCATAATGCTCCATGTCAGACACCTATGCTATTTCCAGCGCCCCCATGCAGATCCGGGCGCTCCAACGCCGTTGGGTATAATTAACGAAAACCACAAATAACTCCACACATGCCCTCCGTGCCGCCCTCCTACGCCTGGCCGAAGTTGAGCGCTGTCTGACCACGCTCAGGATCCGTCATGCGGTTGATCTTGACGTCCGAGTCTTGCTTGACGTTGTTCATCGACTGCGGCGTGATGAATATAAACTGTCTCCCAACAGAGCGTCGCGCGGCGGCGATGATCATGTTCATACTCCTGTCACGGTTGACGCTGTCCATGAAGACATCGAACTCGTCGAGGCAGCGAATCGGGGAACCCATGGCATCCCACAGCGACAGCAGGAGACAGACCGTCGAGAACGACTTCTCGCCGCCGGACAGTGTCTTGGTCTGCCGACCATCACCAGACTTCTCCGTACTATCCGGCTGCACGTTGATGTCGAGGGCTTGATTCCTGTGGTCAATTTTGAGTTGGCCACGGAACTTGCGTTCACTGAGCAGGTAGCTGAACATGACGCGAGCGCGCACAGATATTGCCGAGCGGAACTGTTTCCATCGAACTTGTCTGTGCTGTAGCGTCTTTATGAGCTGGTTCTTGATGTTCCTCATGAGTCTTTGCTCATCGTCCGCTTCTTTATACGCAGCAATCGCATCGTTAGCTTTTGCCAGGAGCTCGTGTTGTGACCCTCCCAGCTCTTTCTCGGCATCCTGACGGGTCTTGATGAGCTTTTGGCGCGACTCGATCAAGCCTTCGAATGTCTTGCCTGCGGGAACTGCAACACGGTCAGGTGCAACCGTCATGGCGTCGGCAATTCTTTTCTCGACCTCGGCCTGTTTGCTGACGCGTTCGTCAATCCACAACTTCTTGTTGTCCTCAACGGCTTTGATCGAATCTATTGCCTTGTTCTTCGCTTTCAAGGCATCTTCCCGTTTGCTCTGCATTGCCCTGACTCTTGCCTGAGCCTTGGTGAGTCTGAACTCCAGGTCTTTGACCTCTTTTTGAGCGTCGTCGAGCGCCTGCTTATTGGTGGCATTTTCGGCGCCCAACTCCATTTTCTGTTCAACCATGTCTTCGTACACTTCCTCGCATCGCTTTTGCTCATCTCTAGCGGTCCTTAGCTGGTCTTCGAGCACCTCGATGGCGGCAGCGTCTGGAGTTGCATCGCTCAATTCTGCTTCTAGGGCTTCCACGCGATCCTGGGCTGCTTGGTGACTGTGTTGCAGCTGCTTTCCGAGCCGCGAGTGGTTCGCTTCGGTAGCTTTCAATTTGTTGACCTTGTCGAGAAGTCTCTTAGACTCCTGCCGAGCAGCAGACGTTGCCTGTTTAGCGAGTTCAAGTTGCTGAGTCTCCTGTCTTTCCAACTGTTAGCACCATTTCCATATCTGATCAGTGGACGTACCGAATCTGAGTATCCTTGTCAACCTGCATGCGTAACTGCCCTCTATATTCGTCGATTGGGCTGTTGTTGTTGCCACCGCCTCCCGAGTAGTTGATTACTCGGCCACGCCTTTTGTCACCATTGAAGAAAGTGAAGCACATCTTCACGTTTGGAGGTGGACTTTCCATGAATCGTGCGCCTTCTCCAGCGTTCTCGATGAGCACAGTTTGCTCAATACCTTGATTGATGATGAACTGGTTCTTGACGAGATCATTATCAATCTGAAACGTCAGCTGAGGTTACTCTATTATACATCAGTCTGGTCATTGCGTACCTTGAGTGCCCTCATCCACGTCAGCAAAGACGAGTTGGGTTCGTGCCTGGATGTGTCGATAGGTTTTGTGCTGCCTATGAAGATCGGTGATTGCCTTTCAGGTCAGCAGCTGTAACTACACATGGAGCGGGTAGCCACTAACCATCCACATCGTCTCATCAACTCGGCCAAGATGGTTTGGTCCGGTTTACTTGTGACTGCGAAGGCATTCAATGCAGATCCGAACGACTTCTCAAGTATATAGGCCCAGTCTGCCTCTACAAGCTTAACATGGCGTCCCAGAGGGCCGATTACGTTCTTTGGATCTCTGAACCTGTTCTCACGTGCGATAGCATCGAGGAGACTGCGCAATTTATTGGGCTGTTGATACGCACTCTGCCACTGACGGTCGTTTCCTTGCAAATTACGGATAGTTGCACGGATGCGATCTTCATCCTTCAGAGCACGATCAAGCGCTTGGTCTGCGCCATCCTTCTCTTTCGTGGCAGCTCTCAGCTGATTCTGAGCCTCGGGTAGGCTTGTGCTATGTGTGGCGTACTGCTCCGCCTTTTGCTCACTGACCACTTTGGCTTCCTCGAGTTCGCGTTGCTTTTCAGCATAGATACCGTTGTCAGCCTCGGCTTGGCGTCGCCTGAGTTGTTCTATGTCATTATCGTATTGAGTGACCTGTTTTCTCTTCATTTTGATATCACTCTGCGCTTTCCTCTCGTCTGATTGCAGGTTAAGCATCTTCTGCTTCACGGCCTGAAATGTTTCATAACGTTCCCGCGCTGCTTGCTGCTTTGGCTCAACTTCATTTGTTGTTTCGGTGACGTCTTCTTGCGCGCCCGTTACGGCTGCATCCGCGCGGTCAAAAGAGACAGATGCCTCGTTTGCTTCAGCAGTTCGTTTCTCGATGAGAGTGTCTAGCTTTTCGAGCTCCGCCACCGCCTCCGCCAAATCCGCCTCCTCCTCTTCCACCTTTGCCCAGGCTGCCTGCCCTGCCAGCTCGTGCTCTCTCCTGCGCATCTGTTCAAGATTTCCTGCCTGTTTGGCCTTGGCCACCGAAGTATCCATTTCCTTGCGTTTACTGGCGAGTATCTCTTTGGTGATTTCCTCTCGACCGTTCATCGTCTCCAAGGAAGTCTCGATCTGTTGGTAGTCTCGATGAAGGGTCTCGAGTTGTGTGCCTGCCAAGAAAAATTTATATTTGTCTTTCGGAGTGGAATGATTGAGGAACTGCCTTGCCATATCCTGGGTGAGCACGTTCATTGGGTTGTCAATCTGCATGGAGAAAGCGTCCAGGATGTCTTCCAGCTCAGCTTTCTTTGTCGTGACGACCCTATCGTTTTCGTCTCTCAGCTTGAAGCCCGAAGTTCCGTTTGTGCTGAAATGTCGTTCGACAGATATCGATCTGCCGTATTCGTGCGGTTTGAAGGCCAACGCACCCTGATTCTTTATGCGCACACGCACGCTGCTGTGAGACTCTCCTTCTTTGATCAAGCTCTTGAGGTTCTGCGCACGATTGGTAGCGGTTGCCTTGCCACCGAGACAAATCTGCAGAGCTGTAAGGACTGCACTCTTGCCACTGCCATTGTGGCCAATGATGAAGTTGATCAGAGGCCCCAAGGTGATGACCAGGTTGACGTGACACATAAAGTTGACGCATTTAATCTCCTCGATAATTCCGCACTCAGCAGGTACATTCTGTTGATTCCGCGTAGTCCCAAAATCTTTCTGAACTTGTTGTGTTGCGTGCATCATCATGTCGTTCTCGCGGGTAGTGTCTCGCTCATCTTCATCGCTCGCGTTCGACTCTTCGTCGCTCGTAGATCGCTCGTTATAATCTGGTAGAGACTGACGTGATCGTTTGTTCTGTGCTCGTCAACTACTTGCGCCAATACGTTTCTTACAGTGATGAACGTACGCGACCACTATCCCCAACTCCACCCAATGGGTCTATGCTGAGCGCGCGGGGCCGCTTTGCAGACATGACCGCAGCCATTTTGTGAGTCGTAGATCCTGTGTCTCGACGTAGCGGACGTTCCGTAGGCGGAGAGGTAAGTTATGGGTGAGGTGAAGCACATTAAACGCGTTGATAGCGCCCCACTAGAAAGCACGCTAGGCTGAGGTCAAATGGACGACACTTAGTATCTGCAACACGTTCAAGAGCTCAGTGCTTATTTCGTTGAAGCGGGATCGACTCTGGTCCCCTTTTGCTGATCGTTGAGCGTTTCTGCGTCACAAAAAGAACGACACTGCTCAGGCATGACGTTATTGTCACATTGGCAGCTTTGACGCGTATTCACGTGATTTCGAAAACGCGCCTTCACGCTGGTAAAGATGATTGACTAACTCCTTCTACGAATGCATATAATCTAAAGAAGAGCGCAGAGCTCTGGGTATAGAATTGAGTGGTAGTAACGCTGAGATGATTTGCTGCCTAAATAAAGATGCAAAATGCTCTACGAAAAGCCACGCGTTGGAAATTAAATGGCACCATAGTTCGGATTACATGACCACCTGCTGGAATTAGTGAAGGCTGAGAAGATATCAAAGGGCCACTTACACAATCCTTTTCCTGGGGCGCCTGCCCAACGCCCATCTCATCGAATGTCTTTGGTCCATTGCCGGATGGTGAGGCGACGGCGGGCTTGGTCGCAGGCGCTGCAGCTGGAGGTTTGTTCGCTGCAGGGGCAGACGCAGGCGCTGCTTGTGGACGTGGTCTTTGCTGCTGTGTTGGTACCCTCTGCGGCTTAGGCAGTGGCTCTTGGCCGGAAGGTCGACCCGCTGATCCTGGCCTCGATGATGGATGCGACCCTTGCCCGGGCGTGCCATTGGGAGGTCTGTCACCACGAATGGAGTTCGTCCTGCTCTCTTGGCCGGGCTGTACGGTGGAGGGTCTTGTGTGCTGCCGCGGCTCCAAAGGAGCGACGTAGCCAATGTCTGGAATAGTAGGCGACTTCTTCATGCCCTGACCAGGCTTTTGAAGCTTATTACGCCCATCTGGCGCGTTGTATCCGATGTCCACTGGCTGAGCTGTCTGAGGGCGATCCATCTCTGGACGTTGTGCGCTTGGGCCCCCGGGTTGTCTGTACCCTCCAGGACCTCCCACTGGCAATCCACGACCGGCGCCTTGAACAGGGCGCATGCCTCTGCCACCTGGTCCTATCTCGTTCACACTTGTATGGGGACGAATAGGGAGTGGGCTAGTATGCGACTCGGCTCCAAGTGGAGGTCGACCGCGTCCATATCCATTGTTAGCAGGATAGAGATTGGGGTTGATGTTAAACGCGTTGCCTGAGGATGTAGGTCGGACACTAGCCGCCCGTATTTCTGGCGCGAATCCACCTGCCATAGGACGGGCGGATCCAATACGCGGTGGACCGTTGTCAACTGGGTATGGCGCAGTTGATGCGGACCGTCCGTATGGTGCTGCACTGGGGTGCGTGTTGATGACCGGTGGCTGGTCAGATACGGGGTATGGCGTTGTGGAATCGCCCCTGTTCCCGTAGTCTGAAGGGCTGTTGTCGTTGATAGATGGCAGAGTAGGTGCAGCAGGCTTTTGCAGCCGTGCGGGTCGTTTCCCCCGCATAGACCCATGCTGAGACTTGATCCTGTTGATCGCAACATTCTCGTGGTCTTTCTTCGACAGCGTCCGTGATACTGACAGACTTTCAATGCGTGCAATGGCGTCCCTGTTACCGTTCCGCTCAGCCTTCTCGTACCACTCCATTGCCTTTTGCAAATCCACGTTTACGTGCATGCCGATCTCGTTGAAGTAACCCATGGCGAACTCGGCGGTTGCAAGCCCGGTGGCTGCGGCACGTTGTGCGTAGATGTATGCGAGCTCTTCGTTCTTTGAAAACTCGCCCTCGTGACCGCAAAGAAACCATTTACTAATGGCCATGTCTGCTTCTGGTTCGCCTTGACGCGAAGCTAGCGCATTGTAGTGCAACGACAACGTAGGGTTGAACTCGCAACCCAAGCTGCACAGCTCGTATGCGGATCCCATCTTGAGTTGAGCCTTCGCGAAACCAAGAAACGCCGCCTTCTCAATGTTCTGCCTTGCGGCCTTCTCATCGTATGGCAAGAACGATTCAGGGACAAGGATTTGGGGAAGTTCTCGCGACTGGAGCATGCCCAGGACATAGGCGCCCTGGGGTGCATTTTCGTCTGCTGAAGATGCAGCAATTTGGATCAGTTGAATACCTCTGCCGTAATCTTGTTGTTGCCCATGTTGCCCAAGCAAGGTCATCATACCCAGGCGATAGTTCGATGCAGAGTCGCCCTGATCTGCGCCGTTCTTGTAGTGTTGGAGAGCGCGGATAGGATCATTCGACTGCTCGAATTGCATACCCATTCGATACTCAGCCCTCGCATAACCCTTACTGGCTGCGCGAGAGTAACATCTGAAAGCCTCCTTCTTGTCTGCGCGCATTCCGAATTTGCCGAACTCGAGCCACATTCCTCGCATGAACATAGCCTTGGGGTGGTGCTGGTCTGCTAAGAACTGCACCACGTTCATCGCATCTGCGCGCAGCTGATGCTCAATCTGAGGCGTTGATGGCCTGGCTCCTTGAGTTTCAGCAACGCGCAGCTCATGCAACTGCGCAGCGTCTACGTATCCCAAAGCGTCTTGTGCCCATGCCAGCTGCATCTCAGGGTCGTTTGAATTGAGAACGGGCAGTCGCGCATTCTCGAGGGTGGCTTCCTTCTCATCATCGGACGGCGGTACGTTTTGGGGGCGGTGGGGGATCTTGGGGAACGGCGAGAAATTGGGCGCATCGCCGGTCTGCGCGAACTGGTTGTAGTCGTGGGAGGGCTGCTGGTACTCGTTCAGGGGCTGCACGTTGGGAGGCCCGCGAAAGGTCGATGAGATGCTTGCATGTCGCGCCGGCCATTGCTCTCCGTTCGCCGGCGCACCCCCGTCCTGGAAGGTCTGTTGCCGGGGAAGGAGGTTTCCCTGTGTCTGATTGTAGTCATACCCAGGCGATGCCATGGTGTTTGCGCGAGGGGCGTTTGCCTCGAGCTCCATGTACTGGAGGTTGTCTTGCATGTTCTCAGGCACCTCGGGCATTATCCTATCCCGGGAGGACTACGTCAGCAGGCGCAATTCCAAGGCGCAGCTTGTAGGGGTCAGACGAACCGTTGAGGCGCTGGCGAAATGACTTCAGGCGAAGGAGCCGGCATATAATAGTCATCAAAGCCACCAGGGACGAATGTCGCCCCTAGCTGTGGCTGGCCAGGTTGGTGGTGGTAGCTCATAGCTATCGCTGCTTTCGGTCGCCGAAGTTAGGGTCTTATAAACGCAAGTGTCAGCCCGCGTCCAGGAAGAAAAGTCTTGGTCGCAGTCTCCTTTCAGGCTGACGACTCTCTACCAAGGCGACCATGGAGGTAGATGAGACCCGATGACGCGCGGAGCAGGAAATGATCGTACTCACCTAGCGGCGGGGTACCCAACCCTGGGCGTCTCGCAGTGACCACGCGTCTGGACCGCTTTGCGGTATGCCGTGCTCTATCGGAATGGACGGGTAAATCCGACAGTTGTGAATGCTGTGTGATATGGGGATCTATGCAAGAAGGAGAGGCTCGGGACAAGATGGCGGCACAAGGCGGTGGCAGGAAAGAGGAGGCCTGGCGCGCAGAGATGCAGCCTGAGAAAGAGCCTCGAAACACTGGTGAAGACCGTTTTGCACCGACACAGACTGAAATGATCGGAAGCCGCTAGGATGTCCAGTCTGGAGAAGTGGAGGCCTTTGACGTCGATGCCCGACTAACCTTCTGGAACAGGCACTTGCAAAGTCATATGCAAACGAGTGGAGTAATCAGGGAAATGACCACATCAATCATCAACTCGGCGCGTGCTTAGAGCTCGCGTTTACTATAAATGTTTGGGCTTCCCGTTGGCGCGCGTCGGTCACAAGTGCTGCTGCTGCGCCATCGAGGCTGTGGATCGCGCTCCGCTTCAAGCCACCGTATCCGGCACACCTTGAAACATTTCCACGGTGCTGACCTATCAGACTTGTGACCTGCTGTCGAGCTGAGGCGTACCCGTTCGTGGCGCAAGCCGTTGCAGCCTGCATGTCGTGTAGCCCACCTTTGGGCATGAGCAAATGAGATCGGGCAGTGTTGGAGTGACGATGTGCTGGAGCGTGAAGTCATTGAACGCTGACAGTCATACGACGCTCGGCCGTGAGCCGTAGAATCTCCTGATGAATGCAGCCTCCTGCCTGCTTTGGAAGTCAGGGCAGGAGAGGGCTGGACAAAGATGCTTCCTCAGCATGAGTGTAGTTCAGCAGACTCAGACAAGGCATTTCTCTTGCATTTCGCCCCTTCAAGGGTAAAAGGGCATCAGTGTATTCGAGAGCCAAGTGATGCATCCTGCAGAAGAGACAGCCTGCTTTGGAAAACAAATGAATCCATAGCAGTACTAAGGGGTATATTTTAATCATTTCGTCTATCCAACGCACGCTTGTGAATACAGCAACCAACCCACCCTAGACTCTGGAGACATCCAGCTATCAAGCTTACTCTGACACGCTGTCCGAGCCTAGTGCACCATAACATCCGGATTCTGCTGCTGCTGTATTTTCCCAGGCTGTTGCTGGGCTTGCTTGTCGCCGTTGGAAGCACTGGGCTCGCCATCGTCCATCTCCATATCATCGTCACCACCTTCCTCTTCATCCTCGTCCTCGCCTTCGGAGTCTTCGATGTCAATATCCTCGCTGCCGTCAGACTCGCCCTCTTCGTCTTCAGCCGCAGGACCCGCAGTCTCCTCTCCACCGGCCATGGCGGCATCCTCACCCTCTACCGCAGCACCCTCGGCCTCCTCATCCTCTTCTTCTTCCTCTTCGAGTCCGTATTGGTCGCCGTCTGCGTTAAGATCGGCCTCGGGCTGCTCAGGAGGATACTCAGGCGGGGCGGACTCCTCAGAATCCCTGTGACAGTCAGACGAGGGGATCTCAAGTGGACGAGCAATCTATGAGTGCTAGGCAGGGGAGGACATGACATACCACTTGATAGCGAAGCGCGTGACACGCGGCTTCTCAGCCAAAATTTGCCTCTGCACCTTCTCGATGACAGGCTTCGCGGGTGGCTCGAGGGCCAGTGCCTCGTCAACGTACTCGTTGTTGACGTAATAACCAACGCGAACGAATTCTCGGTCCTCGTAGCTGCAGCTGAGCAGGATGACTGTGACGCCGATGATCTCGCTGTTCGGGATGCGGGACAGGTCTGGTGGATCGGCACGGAAGACAAACTTGTTCACACCCATGGGCAGCGGGCCGACGAGGACCGAGTCGAGCTCTTGATCATACTCGTTACTGTTGCGCGTCAGTGCTGCACGTCATAGAGGCAGCAGAGGAAGTGCTTACGAGGTAGCAGAGCCGACATAAGTCAGCTTCCATTCAAGATCTATCACAAGCGTCAGTGTGATTCCATACAGCAATGGTGCTCCCACTCACCCTTCTGTAGATGCTCGAGGCATTCGAAGGTGATCTCGAACTCGTAAGGCGCGTCGAACTGGGCAGGGTTGTTCTTGACCTCGACGCCGAGGAGCGAAACGACAGACATGGTGGGATGGATGAGCTGGAGTGTGTGTGGAGATCGTCAGATGGTTGTTGAATCAAGGCTGAAGACGTGAAAATGCACGCTTCTAGCAGATGTGGTGTAAGTGGGGTGTAGGTGGTCAGGGCAGAGCAAGCAAAGGCGTGTTTACGTGGGACCTGTGCGGGTTGTCAAGACCAATTGTGGAGCGGGAAATCGTCGCGCGTTCGCGCCGCGCAACGCGTCTTTGGCCCATTCTGCACTTCGCCGAGCCGCTCCACAGCCACCAAACGCCGATCTGCAACCTGCTGCGCACTTCCAGACACAGCAGGCCTCAATGCTGATCTGTCGACTGTGAAAGCCGTCACGCATTTACCATCTTAGATTGTAGTTAGAAGGGTATCTCCTGGTCTACAGGGATGGTTTGTGTGATAGGCACCGGATTTTGACAAACGACTATGCTTTGAGCGAGTCAGGGCTGTCACTACTTTGCGTGATTGACCGTCAGTACCTAGGTAACGTCCACGTCGTGAAAGATTGTGCATGATGCATTCCTTGGATGCCTTAGTAGTCTTGACGAAGCCATCTGGAAGGGGCACATCGAACACTACTTGGAACTAGACAGAACGCCTCTTTGGGTGCCTAGCTCGGCCAGCTTCGACGTGCAGTCAGCACAGTCTTCGAAACCAACCATCTCAACACTGTATAGCACCTTCGCAATGCTGCACCGCGCTTTCCAGCTCTAGATACTGAGGGTCCGATAACACCATCCTGATCACCATCACAATCGCTACTGGGCAGCGGGACGTCGTATACGCCTCTAGCTCCAGGCATACATCTTTCAAAGCATCTCTGTTGAAGGTGGGGTCATTCGACTTCATTTCAGTCTCTTGTTAGCAGCTCTGTTTGAAGCCCGTGCATCGCGTTGGCAAGCCTGCCAACAGCAAACGTTGATTCACAAACCAAGTACGTACATACGAAGTACGAAGATCCTAGGGCGCCACCAATCACCGCAAGAAGCAGCCGCAACACAGAGTCTCAAGTTAAGCTCTATAGTACGGATTGAACATTCGGTCACCAGGAGACCGAGCCGACACCTACGTCCCTGAGTGTCTTATTCGAGCCTTATCTGCATATTACCAGGCGACGACGACACCCAATTCCAACAATGACTGATTCGGCAAGCCCGACGCTGCCGGGTTCTAGCAGCACATTTGATACTGCGAACGAAAGAAAGACTCAAAATGCGCAGCAACGTCCCCGTCGGCGCAATCGTATCATCAGCTCCTGCCTGGAATGCCGCCGCCGAAAACTCAAGTGCGACAAGGGGCAACCTTGCGCTAATTGCGTCAAGGTCTCGCGTCAATGTCTCTTTATATCTCCAAGCTTTGATGCTGCAGCGCAAGCCAGGCTAGCTGAAGTAAAGGAGAAGATGGGAATACTCGAAAGGAGTCTCGAAGAAGATGCTGCAAAACGAAATCGACTTCAGACAACGTCATTGGCAACTGCCAGTGAACCCGACCTCGGTTCAAGGTTAGAAGAGACCTATAGCGGAGATGAGGAAGGAGACGGTACCAAGTATTTGATATCATCAGAATTCACACGAGAAGATGCCGCATATTATGAAGATGAGGAGGACGATGACAACATCGTAGATCTTGGTATAGCGCTGGGCAAAGTCAGAATCACTGAAAGAATTGGTGGTCTCGTGCGACCGAGGTTTTCCGATGAAGTGAGTCTCTCAACGTCTTCCATTCGACTGAACTGACGTGTTATACTCAGCTTGGACAAGCACTGAAGGTGCTACCCAAGACAGAACAGGAATCAAACACGTTCGATACCGGTGCAGTAGACTGGATGATGCCATCCAATGACTATGTTGCGCCCTCATCGAGTTTCTTCTTTACTCCAGGGGCTGAACGAACAACACTGATGAACTATCTGCCTGCTAAGGTCCTGGTCGACAAACTGATGGCACATTATTGGCAAGCTGTGCATACAGTTGCGAGAACCGTGCATCGCCCGTCTTTTGAGCGACGTTACGAGAAATTCTGGGAATCCGTATCGTCTGGCATCGAGCCTCGCACCTCATTCCAAGCTGTTGTATTCGCCGCTCTACTAAGCTCCGTTGTCTCCATGTCTAATAATCAAGTAACATCAGAGTTCGGTGTTGATAAACAGGGGCTAGTGGATAATTTCAGAGAGGCTACAGAAGCTGCTCTTTCTAGAGCTAATCTGCTTTCGACAACCAAGCTGGAAACTTTACAAGCATTTGTCATGTACTTGGTAGGTCTATGTTTGATTCACAGTTTGCAGAATTCCTGCATTCTCGTCAAGCAGGTTTGGCCACAAACGGAGATTTGATGGCGAGTAAATTGGCAAGAGGCTTCTGGAGGCTGTCACAGAACTCGGCCCGTTATGTTTGCCACCAAGTTTTCTGTTGCCGATTCTGTCGTCGATAGACATGTTTGAATCTGCTCGAGCCTTGCAACAAACACGTGCTGACGGGTTCGAACAGATCCCCCTATGTCGAGCGGAAGTCTCACGTGCCCACTCCGCTCTAACAGGCACCTGTATCCGACTAGCTGAATGCATGGGCCTGCACACAGACCCTTCAGTATACAGCACATCTCCCATTGAGTGCCAAGTTCGTCGCCTTATATGGCATCAGATATGCTTCCTCGACCTACGCACGTGCGAGGCGACAGGACCACGGCCTCAGATCCGGCCAGACGATTTCGACACGCGTCTCCCTCTCAACATTGACGACGTCGATCTTGATCGAGCTGAGCACGGTGACAGAAGTATAGACAGCAAAAATGACCGAACCTACTTCACTGATATGACAATCACACGCATGCGTTTCGAATGCTACGATATGCATCGTTACCTTTGGGTCGAGCGCCCCAAACTGGAAAGAAAAGCAAGAGAAGGAGAGAAGAAGATTACTCTCAGTTTTCTACTTGCACGCATTCATTCGTTCAGAGCTGCAATGGAAAAAACATACCTGCCCATGCTTAGCAAGAGAACACCTCTACATGCTCTCGCTTCGGAATTTTATGGCATTCTGTCCAACAGACTTTACATCCACATCCTTCAGAAATACATGACCACAGACAAGCTCAGAATGCCTAGCCGCCTGCGTCAAATGGTCCTCGGTGCCGGTATTATGATCCTTGAGCACAGTCAAAATATTGAACAGCAACCGGTACTGTCTACTTGGTCATGGTACGTCGGAGCGCTTCATCAGTATCACTCTGCGTTACTGATAATAAATGAAATGTACACGCAACCCTGTGCACCAGAACTAGAGCAGCGGGCATGGCGTGCCCTAGACTTTGTTTTCGACTTGGGACCAGACATGACGAATACACAGAAGACCAGAGTGGTTGTTGAAGAGCTCATGAACAAAATGCGCGTATACGCCAGCCTCAAACGGTGGAGAGCACCCGTGGACATGCCACAAGCAAGCGTGCAACCTCACATACCTAGCTCTCAGGTCAAAACGCCAGTGGCGGAGGAAAGAGAACAGCAAAATAACCCCCAGTCCGCAACAGAAGGTGTTACCCAGGCTTCTTTCAGCAACACAAGTCTGCCAGACGCACAAATATCGTCACCACCTCAGCAACCATTCCGACCTCCACCATCACCCCAGTCCCAGAGTCGAAGTTCAGGCTCTGGTATCATACCTTTTCCAGGAGCCATGCCAAATGTTGACTGGGGTACCTTTGAAGATCCGCCGACGGCGGCAATACCGACTCCTCAGCAACCTTTGGCAGGGTTTGACATGCATCAAGTACCCAACTACTCATCATCCACACCCTCTAGCAGCTTTGGAATATCTCCTCAGATGATGTCGCCAGGCGCCGATCCTACTACCATGAACAGCCAAAATCCGACTCTTGGCTTTGGTGTACCCAACACCTCCACAAGCAGTAGCCCGTTGGATTTGTTGAAAGATATTGACTGGGTAGGTCTCTAAAATACAACTCAGAGTGACAAGAGCAGGCTGACTGACTGTATGACCACAGAACGAGATCGATCAGCTTTTTGGCGCCGCTGATACGGAGACTGGCAATGTTATGATACCACCTTTCACCTTTCCCCAGTTTACGGCAACGGATCTTAGCAATTTACAGTGGCCGCAGGAAGGGTATCAGTGATACATGCAGGGCTGTTGTTGGGGTTTGACATAAGTAGCATCGAAATGTATAGCAAACACCCCTCTACAACATACCATCGGAGCTGTCAACACACAGAAAGTTTGATGGCGAGCGAGTTGATCTGAGCTCCATAGCAGCCTCCATGTGCTTCTTGCCAGTCTGTTCGCCATCGAAAATCCGATTGTAGCTAACCCTGCCAACCGTATGTGCATGTATCCCAGACAGTTCAAATCAGGTCAAACCAACAACTACCCTGCATATCGATAGCTGTATCTGGCACATGTATAATCCTCTGCTGTATATGCGTTGACGTTTGACAAGTAGCACCGGTGCGATGCAGATTAAGCACATGCATTGATTCCTGCAGCACGACAGCCGCGATCGTACAACGCCCCCAAGACGGATTTGCTAACCATGCAGATGCCAATATGAGTCGGGTGGTTCGGTGCTATTCTGGGAAGCGCAATTTGGATGTCAGCAGGCATTTGGAGCGCCAGACTCTCTGGCTTGCGCAGGTGGGTACATTGGGCCGAACACGGCTCCTGCCAACCGGTTCTCCGTGACCTCACCGGATCCATCAGCAGATGCTGATCAAGAGCTGCTTCAAAACAGGGAAGACATTCACGATAACAGTATCTAGCAGCTGGGTGCCAGCATCCATACGTTGAGCAACACATGCACATCCACACCGCATTCGCGCCTGCTGTAGATCTCCATCATCCCGCCCGCAACCTGGCCCACACGCAAGCCACCCAGCCTCGTCTTATCTCCACAAGTCTCGGTCGCGCCGTAATTTACTTAAATTATGTCAGCCGTACCAGTATCCAAATGGAGGTCAATAAGTGCTATGCCCTGAAACAGGGCTACCCCAGCCAAACCAGCCAACCAGACCCACGAACCACCGCCGGCGCCGACGCCAAACTCGCACGTCGAAACGCGTCCGGGCGCGTCGCCATGGCGAGGGGTTTCATTGGGTCGTCATCGCGAGCTCATAGTGCCATGTCGGGGGGGAAACGACGGCCGTTCGCAAAGCCCCGCGACGGTCTAGCTCGAGGCGTGATTCTTGGCTCGCAGCCGGTGTTGCTGTGCGCAGCTGGCGGAGTGACAGGCCGCGTTGTGCTGCAGGAAAAAGAATAACCGATGTGGGTGCCTGCAAGGGTGGGACGCTCCGGTGTGCACTGGGCATCGTGCTCCGCTACGTGACATAAAATCACCGGCCGTTGCATCTCGACTCTGATCAGAGTTTTTTAACATGTCCACTTCGCACGGCAAAGGGTAGCGCAAAATTCAAGGCTGAAGAATTTGGGATCATGGTTATAGCTGCTTATCGTCAAGGGGTTGCCGGCCATGCGTTGTCGATCCTGGCTGTGGCGTAGCAACGATTCGCTGTCGTGCTCGTATGCGGAGTCGTTCCATCAGGATTAAGCTGTGCTGCAAGCAGCAGTTCGCAATGTGGTTCAGAAAGGGGCACTAAATTACTCCAACATGAAGGGCGGATTATGATGATCGAGATGTTTATGATTGGATAAATCTATATGCACCTTTTGAAAGTGACTCAGTCACCTTGATCGTCCTGCAAAGTCTCTATCCATGTATTGTGCAGAGAGGGAAAGAATCGTTGCCAGGGTCGGCCTGGCTGCCTGGTGCAATGTTGGATAGATGTAGTACAGAGCGCTTGCGTGCCCACCGTCTTGTCAAACGACAAATCACCAAATGGGGTGACTGGCGTTGGAAAATTGCAAAAATTCATGGAATCCAATACTACGCTCCAAAACATACGCATCACCAAAGGGGAGCGGTGCAGCTTGGGTACCGTCCATCAACGCCATGCTAAACAAGGAATGCTGCAGATAAAAAAAATTGGGGGAGTCAAATGCCGTACAGGGGTATAGGACTAACAACATATGCTGGACATGTACGAAGTATCCAGGGTCGTTATAGGATCGTTGTTCGCGCCGCGGAGACCGTGGGCGTCGTTGAGTTAATATTATTGCTTCGCATTGCTTCATGAAACAAGCTCGCCTCCGAGGTCCATGCCCAGACCTTCGACCTTTGGGATGATCCGTGGACCATCATTGGTAGGAGGCACTAGGTTGTCAAAATTGAGCCGACGTCTGGCCTCCCGCAGTGCAGCAGGTGTTCTACCGGTGACTGGAGTGCGATTCCAGGAAGAGCCAAACTGAGCTTGTGCTGGGCTTGGTGTCATGTTCAGGAATTCGGCAAAGTTGACATTGTTGGGTGTTGTAGCGACAAGACCCCCAAATGCCTGCCCGGTGCCTCCAGGCGTCGACATCATGGATGATGGCAGGGGTGTTGTCTTTGAAGGTGGGGTGGACGGAGCGTGCATCAGATGCTTCGCCGAGCCGGCACGGACTGGTGTTGGCGATGTGGCCAGGTACATCAGCAGGTTTGCTTCGTCTTCACCGTTCTTGCCTTCACGAGCGGCGCCAGCAGCAGTAAAGCCCCTCTGACGGAGACGTGCTGAGCGGGCGACGTCTGGTGGTGGTGTGCGCGGAGCTCGAGGTCGAATCGGCGACGTCGCAAAGTGGGATCTATTCATTTGGAACGAGGTGATGGGTAGATCTTCGTCGTCTTCCTCGGACAGGAGGGGTGATCGCGGGTCGTCGGGGATAGTCGATGTCTCGGAGACAAAGGACAGACTAGGCACATGTGTCCGACCGAAGCGGGCGTGTCTGCGGTGATACACGGGCGAGGACTCTGGCAGCTGGAAATTGTTCTTCCACGATGCTGAGGCCGTCGTAGCCGGTCGCATGACCTTGTTGCGGGTGTGATTGCTCGATGCTGGGTATCTGTTGGCAGGTTTGTCATACCTCGGGCGCTTGTGCTGGCTGCCACTGCTAACAGACCGGGTGCCAGACCGTCGAAAGTCGTCGGAGAATATGGGGGCGGCGAGCGGAGAGGAGTCGAGTACGCCTGTCTGGTAGAAGCGTTCGGAGACGCTTGAGGCATCGGACATAGCCTCGTTGCTGGAGCCAGGGCGCTTACGCTTGAGCTCCACATCGATGACGGGCTCAATGGCGTCGAGGCTGAGGCTCTCCCAGCCGTTTTTGATCTTGACGTTGGCCAGCGCAAGCCTGTTCTGCAGCGTCCTGGTCATCTACAAAAGACAATGTTAGCAAACTAGCCGAGGGAGAGGCGGCACCGGGCAAGCAACCTTTGAGACCTGAGCTCGCCGCAAGACCTTGCTCGCAACCTCGTCTTGCTCGGCCATGGTGAGGTATATGTGCAGAGGACGCAGCGTGGGTGTGCTGACGAGGTGCTGGCAGTTGTGTCAAACAGTGACAAGCATTGAGACCTCGAGCTGAGTCGATCGCCGGCGAAGGAGGAATGCAGTGGAGAAGTAGTTTAGCGTTAAACTCAAAGCACAGACCAGAAACAAGGCTGGTGAATGTCAGACACGCATCATCTCATGGATCTAGTGCCTTGAGGCCATTGTGAAGCGAGAGCCTTGGAGCAAGCCCACTTTGCATTGGTGCGCCCCCAACTGTGCTTAGTAAGTTCCTGTATTGTATTCCAAGTAACATATGGGGCTGGCCCCGCGTCTCGGGCACGGTTGCGGCTCTCCGGATCCTAGCCTCGAAGGCAGTGCAAGCATTCTTGCCTTGTTATAGCGAATATGGCAAGGCCGTAGGCAGTCTTGAAGACACAGATAATTTGCTAGAACTGCAGCAATGGCACATCATATGTCACAAGAGCGAACATGGACGACTTCCCGTGGCTCTGTGGCGTCCGAAGGCCGATGTGTCGAACACACAGTACTGACATGCATCGCGTGCAACGCGACCTGCATTTGCACTCGCGTTTTGTCTTGTACTTATCATCTGATGCTGGTGTGTATTTGGAGTACCGACTCCGCTCGTCCGCTCTTGGGGGCTGTTGTTGCTGGGCGCCGTTCGCAGAAGGTCAAACTCAAATTCGGCCGCAGGCACGTCGTGCTAGCCACAACGTCATCTTCACCCATGGAGAGCCGTTGCCTGCATGCTCCGCAGACCTTGAGAGGACATTGCGCTCTGCCAACTTTGGCGGCCGGTCACAGCGCACTGCCATTGACCCCCTTTAGCTGAACGAATACAGCACGTGCCGGCTGTGACCAAGCTTGAGCTCAACGGCCCTGGGATGCTACTTCCTTGCCTGGATCTGCGCCGCCAGGCCCTGCAACGGATGCACTTGCGCTCTCGCTCTCAATCGGACGACACAGCGGAGACCACAACAGCACCGTTTCCTCGCTCTTCACACTGAACAACCCTCGTGACAGTCGTTCGTTTGCGCCAAATATAATCTCTTGGTGCACTGCCATTGCCGTTGTCTAAACGCTCGATCGCCCACTCGCAGCCCACCGCGCTTGCATTACGCGTCACCGCGTCTTTCTCAACCTCTACAACTTCCCAGCATCTGCCCTCCCGCCACTCGTTACGCCGATGAGTTCATAGCAACTCCGAGTACTCCATTCACAGCAACATAGCGGCCATGCCTTCGTTCCTGCACAAACTCTCCAGAAAGAGCAGCAAAGCATCGGCCTTCGCCAATGATAAGAATGGCGAGCTGTCCCCAACGAAAGGAGGCCGCCGCCCTTCGTCTTCGACCATGAGCTCGTCTCCCATCGCCTCCTCCACACCCTCCACCACGCCCGCGACGTCAACTACAGACGGGGATGCACCGCCCATACCACCTCGACCCCAGCGACCCAGCGTTGACCCTGTGAAGCGCTACAGCATGAATGTGAGAGGGCATGAGCATGCGTGTCCCATACACGGCTAATAGATCTACAGGGCTTGACCACAACACCTACCAATGGCTCCGGTACACAGAATTCGTTCAATCGGTCATCGTTGCTCGCACCGCGCGTGATTTCCGTCTCGGACAACTCCTGGGTATGTCACAGTATGCTTGAGGATTTCAGAGGATGCTGACAACGGGCAGGTTCATCAGCAGGTTCTACTGATATTCGGACAAGTGGGTGAGCCCTCCCAAAAACCACTCGACGGCACTATTACCGTCAATCACCACCAAGGCCGATTCCCGCCAACATGCTGGCCGGTAAGGGACTCATACTTCAAAGCATTGCTACACCTGGAGCCAGGTTGGAACCGGGTCCGTCTCGACTTCTCGTCCCCAAAGGTCTCATCTGGCAATCAGTCCATCTCTCCACACGCTACTTTCATGAACATCAACTACCTTCCCCTGACGCATTCTCCCCCGCTTCAGCTCGCGATAATCCTTGGGAGCGACTCACCCGGTACCTACGATGCACCACCTTCACGTTTGCAGACCGAAGGGAATAGCCTGGATCTTGCCATTAAGAAATTTCGTATGTCTGCCTATCTGTGGCAGGCATTTACGGGTGAGCAGATGAAGCGCCATGGCTTTGGTCGACGCTGCTTCCGATTCGAAGATGCCTGGGAGCCTGGCACTCTAAGCTTTCAGGATTGGGAATCAGGCCACTTTCGTACACAAGCCAAGGTGCACGTCATACGCTCAAAGAAGACTGTTGCTGAGATAAGGGATCTTGATCGAGCGCAACAGTATGGGCCAGGAACGAAGAAAGGGGAGCTATTTGGCATAGCCGCAGATGCAGTCAAAGACTACTTCCACATCACTCCAGGTCAGAAGCTCTATGTCTCTTGTATGTTCATAGACTCCACATGGGACAAGAAAGAGCAGGTCATTCGCGGACATGCAGCCCTCGGTGGAGGAGTGCCAGACTTGCAGCTGGGCATATTCGGGTCGCAAGCTCTGCATAGCTACCCATCCAGTATTGAGGAAGTTACACAGGCATTTGAGGACTGCACGCGAACAGATACCAACTGTGTAGCGAATGACTGCAACGAGTCCGGCAGTAACTGGGAGGCAGCCAATATTGGCATTGGCGCTCACCTTCACGAGACCGGACATCTGTTCGGCTGCCCCCACCAGGAGTCCGGTGTCATGTTACGCGATTATGTCACACTGAATCGGACGTTCGTCTGCCGCGAACCCTACTCAACGCGTACAAAATCGCCTGGCCAGCGGCTGGTACTACCGGAGGATGAGTGCAAATGGCACAGACTGGACGTGTTACGCTTCAGGTTCCACCCGTGCTTCCGGATACCAATCGATAGAACCGACGTGAGCAGCGATGGCAGCGTACAAGTCTGGACTGTCGATCCTGGCCAGGGCGGTGTCATCGCTACGTCGAAAGCCGGGATTGCCTGGGTCGAGCTTTACACAGAAGGGGATGATGTCTGTCGTTATTGGCGAGAATGGCCCGAAGTCGAGCTTCAATACCCGAGACAGGTCACACTGGACGAGACCGAGCTCCGCTCTGTGCTACCTAAGGAGAAGCAGAAATCAAAATTGAAGGTCGAAGTGTATTCTGCAGGAGGCGGAAAGCATGTCATTGAGGACTTCAGTCAGCTTGCGAATCCTAAGCTAGCGCGTGTCAAGTTCCCAGACGGTCGTTGGGGCTACCGCGGTAGTAAGCTGGGGTACTCTCAGATGGAAGGATCACAGCCAGTAGAGCTTATCCTGGACAGCGCGCATATTCGGACAAAAATCTTACTCGGTATCAAGGTTTGGTCTGGGCTGTGCATCGATGGCCTGGAATTCTATTACGAAGATTCAACAAGCCAGGTTTTCGGCAAGCGGGGAGGGCACGCGACCGATTTCCCATTAGACACACGGAAGGGCGAAATACTTCTCGGGTTCGCGTTGCGTGCCGGGCTTTGGATCGATGGCATCCAGATCCTGACCAATCTGGGACGGACAAGCGAGTGGTTCGGCAACGCTACAGGCGGCAGCGGGTATGTTCCTCACACGCACACACTTTGAAGATGACTAACACCTGCAAGACACACTCTCATTCCTCCTCGAGGCTACACCATTGGCGGTCTCTCCGGATCGTCCGCCGCATGGCTGGACGGCTTCTCGTTGATCATCACACGTTGATTGAAGTACAGTCGATTTATATACCCACCACAACCCCCTACAGCAACGTACATTTCACATCATAACTTGACAGGGCATCTGTAATCCAGTATTGGTTAATGAGCCACTAAGACGTTGCACATCTAGATACGTACAGATACAGCGTGTCATTGCCATCATTGTAACGCGGTGTGCTTGATATCTGGCGTTATTGTAAAGGCGCACAAGGGCGGTACTGAACACCGAGAGAGGTCTAATACAATACAAATCTCAAGAGTCGAGATATTCACTTCTTGTAAAAGTAACAATTCCAATCCGGCAAACAATTGCACGGTGTTTCACGTCAAATCACTCTCGGGGCGTGTTCACGCGGTGTTCCCATTGCCCTGGCTTGAAATCCGTTTTGACTTGTCGTTATTGAATTTTCTAGTCATGCTCTCTAGCTGATCATGTGGTATCATCATCATCCATCACTTGCCTGCACCATATAACATCTGCTGAGAAGTGTATTATACGTGCATGTAGGCAAAGCCGCTTTCCACACCATGCATTCCTTGTGAATCATGTCCATCCAATGCTTACGGCTTAGGAATGTGGATACTCTTACTGACCATCAAACACCCGTGCAGGATGAACATGGCCACGACTGGGTGAAACTCGAACGCAGTTCCCTCCAACCACAGTCCCAGCGGGATTTGCTCAAGTGTCCAGCCCTTGTAGACCCAGTACGCCATGATCTGCACTATTCCAAGCGACATGGGAATGGGTGTGCCCTCGAAGTACTTGCTCTTTCCGCTCTCGTCCTTAGGCACCATCGCAACGGTGACGTTGAAACGCGCAAGTCTAGTCAAACCGCAGAGCACGAAGAACGACAGCAGGAGGTGATCGACCGGCGTGCGAATGCCCAGCGCGAAGGCGGCGGCGGCGGGCGACACGCCAAACGAGACGAGATCGGCGAGCGAGTCGAGCTCCTGGCCCATGAGCGAGGCCTTCTTGCGCCAGCGCGCCACCTTGCCGTCCATGAAGTCGAAGAACAGACCCAGAGGGATGAAACCCAGGGCCCAGTAGATGTTCGTATAGTTGAACGGGTCGTCTTGGATGCAGTGGCGCAGCGAGGAGAAGATGGACATTACGCCGCAGAAGCCTGGGGGCGGGACGTTAGCATGGGTCTCGCGTGGGTTTGGGAGGTGCGCCGCAGAGGGTGCGCGACGGCGAGGCTGGCGGTGCAGGGGTTAGGCGTACCATTGAGCTCGGTGATGAAGTCTGCGAGGTGCAGCGCGCGCACCAGGGAGAAGTGCCCCGGGTTCTCCTCAGCTAGGAGACGAGCCTGCTTGTCTTGCGCTGTTGGTTGTTAGTCGCACATCTCACAGCGCCTCTCTGCAGCTCGGTAAACATACTCTTGTCCGTAGGCACTGGTGCCTCGTCCTTGGGATTGGAAGGTCCGTTTCTGCGGGTCGCCATTTTGTTGACTACACGATGTGTTTTGCAGGTGTAGGAGAGAGTGAGGAGCAGAAGGAATATTGGTGTGTTGTAGTAAAAGGGAACTAGCTTTCAGGGTTTGGGTGGCCTGCAAGGACGTGACGGAGGTGAGTGACGTGCCGCTGAAGTTACTTGTTTGGCGAGAAGTCTTCGAACGTCATCCGTCCGGCTAGACCACAATTCACCACCATGTGATTCGCCAAGATTCGCTGGTTCACGCACGCTCTAGTAGCATGGTCTGTTCACTTTACGAAATGTCGCAGATATCTTTATCGAATGTGCTGCATGCAGGAATGTTGTGAGACTATTGGTTCGACGACGACTTGTACTCAAAGGAGGAGGCGCACTTACTGGCAAAGCGACTCGAAACATGTTGTTCCCGGCTGTAGAGATGTTACTGTACTCAGGCACATCCGACCAGCCACTTGCAGGATCCAAACCATCACTATCATAGTCAACAAACCGTAGGAATACTACTGAACAACTCTGTTCATTTGTATACAATCCAATAAGGAAGAGTACTAATGAGATCATTTGTCTTTCTTGCCTGACGCTGCATTTTGCCAAGTGGCTGGTCGAATGTGCATGCTGTATCGTGATCCCCACAAAGCTCCTGCTGCCAGTCGATGCTGAGGGACAATTCGTGTGTGTGGAACTTTGACTGACAACCCAAATCGCACACAGACCCCCCAGAGCTCACGAGCACGATCAAATGTGATGTGCATGTTTTGAAGTTTCAATTCAAGGTAAAATAACTTTCATCCGTACAACAAGCTCTAGAGCCTTTTCCAACATGGCGCCATGACATGTACAAGAAATCCGATTGAGCTCCCTAACGCCGTTAAGTGTTCGTGGTATCGATTGATGTCCGTGGTGTCCAGAGTCATACCGCGACAAGGAAAAACAGACCGTCCTGGTGTCTTCGTGTAAAGGTAAACTGGTCCGAGTTGCGCTTAGTATCCACCTCGCCCACGGGGGGTGAAGCCGCCTCGTCCACCGCGAGAGCCGCCACGAGAGAAACCACCGCTGCCACCGCGTCCGCCACCGAAGGAGCCACCGCCGAAAGAGCCACCACGTCCACCACGTCCTGGGGGACCGCCGCGCCCTCTTGGTGCACCACGACCGCGGCCACCACGAGCACCACCACGTCCACCAGCGCCGGCAGGCTTCTTGACCTTGGCCGCACCGGGGGCGGGCTTGGGCTTCGGCAGGAACCTGTCAAGCGGCAGGAGCTTGTCACCGCCAATGTAGAACTTGTCGCCGGCCTTGAACGACTTGGCTTGGATGCCTTCCTGGGGCTTGATGGTGAAGTAGACCTGGTTCAGGGGACCGCAGATCTCGTCGACCTTGCCGATGGGTGTCTTGTTCTCGAGGTAGATAGGCGCATTGAAGTAGGGGATCTTGGTGTTGATGGACTCGCAGAACATTTCGTTCTCGACTTCGTGGACGAACGTGCCCATTTCTAATACGTTTAGCACTGCGCAATCAATCCCAGGTCGCGACGCATACCGAAAACCTGGTCTGGGGGTCCGAAAGATGCGCCTCCGCCAAATCCACCGCGGCCTGAAAAAAGTTAGCGGCTAGTACTGAGGACTGCGGCGCAAGAACACCAACCTCCACGAGGAGTGAATCCGCCCCTTCCTCCGCTAAAGCCGCCACGGCCGCCTCGGGGTGTTCCACGGAAAGACATGTCGCTCGTTGTGGGGTTGTGCAATCGGGTCACGGAGTTCGAGCTGGTTGGCAGCTTCAAAGTTCGCGAAGAATTCTAGTCCGCTTTCGGCGAAAAGTTGCTCCAGGACCGAGTTCGACAGTGAGCCAATCTTAACCCCGCTAGCGGGGCTGTAGGTGCGCGTGAGAGCTGCCCGAAATTGTGAGTCCACTACAAGCTCACACTGTTCGTAGGCGCTGATCCGGACTGGGCTCAAGTCACTCAAGCTCTACAGCAAAAGGTACGGCCATTGGACGCTTCTATCTCGAGTCACATTCCAAGTTCCAGCGGGGTTGACTCATAGACAGCATTCAAGTACGACAAATCTCCGCTTCCGACGCGGTCATAACAGCAAACATGGCGGAAGCGGTCAAGGACACCATAAACCAGGTCGTTGAGGGCGTCAAGGATCTCGCGGTTTCTGGCGAGAAAAAAGTTGAAGAGAAGGCCCCGAAAGCTGCAAAGCCCAAGAAAGAGAAGAAGAAGGGCGGTGACGACAGTGGCCGACCTTTGATGATCGAGCCTGTCCCTGCCTTCATTGACCACCGAATCAAGATCTTGTAAGCCGCTCAAAGTTACCGATCAATCATACCCTAACGCTCTTTAGCGAGAAGCTCAAGGCGAAGTATGATGAGGAAGTTGCTCAAAAGCCCCGTGGTATGTCCGGTTTTGGTAGCAGTGCAAGACTTGACGCTGACATATTATCTTGTCTGTAGAGAAAATCACGGTTACACTTGGTGATGGCAAGCTTATCGAGGGCGAATCATGGGTTACCAGCCCTGCAGACATTGCGCGCGGTATCAGCAAGAGTTTGTTCGACCGCACCGTTATCGCCCGTCTAGACCACGGCACCCCTGAGGAGACACTGTGGGATCTCGAGCGACCACTTGAGAAGAGCTGCAAGCTAGAGCTGTTGGATTTCGACCATCCAGAGGGCAAGCGTGTCTTCTGGCACTCCAGCGCACATATTCTTGGAGAGGCATCTGAACGCAGGTTTGGCTGCGATCTGTGCATTGGTCCTCCGATCGAGGATGGTTTCTACTATGAGATGGCTCTGCCTGAGAAGGCTGCCGTGGAACACTCCGATCACAAGCCCCTTGAGACCATCGTCAACAGCATCGTCAAGGAGAAGCAGGTCTTCGAGCGGTTGACTCTTTCGAAGGAGGATCTATTGGAGATGTTCAAGTCGAACCCCTATAAGCAGCACATCATCAAGGACAAGATCGCAGACGGCACCTCCACCACCGTCTACCGCAACGGCCCACTCATCGATCTCTGCCGCGGACCCCATGTTCCTCACACCGGAAGGATAAAGCAGTTCAAGGTCATGAAGAACTCTGCTTCTTACTTCCTGGGAGACGCAAACAACGACAGCCTGCAGCGTATCTATGGTGTCTCCTTCCCTGACAAGGACAGGATGGCGGAACACCTTAAGTTCTTAGAGGAAGCCGCGAAGCGTGACCACCGCAAGATCGGAAAGGAACAGGAGCTGTTCTTCTTCCATGAGTACAGCCCTGGATCCTGTTTCTTCTTGCCGCACGGACAAATTATTTACAACACACTGCAGGCTTTCTTGCGTGAGGAGTACTGGAACCGCGGGTATCAGGAGGTCGGATCGCCGAACATGTACAACTCGGCGCTGTGGAAGATCTCCGGTCACTGGCAACATTATCACGAGGATATGTTCACGTTTGACGTCGAAAAAGAGAAGTGGGCACTCAAGCCCATGAACTGCCCCGGTCACTGCCTGATCTTCAAGCACCGTGAGCGAAGTTACCGTGAGCTGCCCATCCGTATGGCTGACTTTGGTATACTGCACCGAAACGAGGCTAGCGGTGCCCTCACTGGTCTTACACGTGTCCGCCGCTTCCAGCAAGATGATACCCACATCTTCTGTACGGAGGATCAGATCAACGAAGAAGTCCTGAGTCTGTTCGATTTCCTCCGCGCGGTCTACGGGAAGTTTGGTTTCACATTTAAGCTGAAGCTCAGTACGCGCCCAGAAGGTTACCTCGGCGACATAGAGACTTGGAACAAGGCTGAGGCAAAGCTCACGGATGCTCTGGACAAGTTCACCGCCGATGGCGGTGGCGCCTGGGAGCTCAACCCTGGCGATGGTGCGTTCTATGGTCCCAAGATCGACATCACCATCTCCGATGCTTTGAAGCGCGACTATCAATGCGCCACGATTCAACTTGATTTCCAGCTTCCCAACCAGTTCGAGCTCGAGTACATGACGTCCGAAGTCGCCGCCGCAAAGCCTAAGGAGGACAAAGCCAAGGCATCAGAGGCACCGAAGGAGACTGCGCCCAAGGAGGCTCTTGCACAGAAGCAGCCGGAAACACCTGGCGACCTTTCCACAATTTCGAAGCAGATCAAGCCTCCTCAGCCCGGTTACGCTCGTCCTGTAATGATCCACCGTGCCATCTACGGATCTTTCGAGCGTTTTATTGCGTAAGTTGATCACACGCAAAACTTTGAACATGCCACTAACGAATACCAGCATTCTCACTGAGCACTTCGCAGGTCGTTGGCCATTCTGGCTGTCTCCTCGTCAGGTCATGGTCATTCCTGTTATGCCCGGCGCCAACGATTACGTCAAGGAGGTACAGGCTGCGCTCCGCAAGCAACACATCCACGCCGATATTGACATCAGCGGCAACACTATGCAGAAGAAGATTCGTACAGCACAACTGGCCCTTTACAACTTCATTATGGTCGTCGGTGCTGAGGAGCAGCAGAATCGCGCTGTCAACTGGAGGAACCGTGACGACCAGGCTTCACAGCAGCGTGGCGAGATCGTTCCTCTCGACGAGGCGATTGAGAAGCTGGTGAAATTAAGGGACGAGCGAGGAGTTGAGAACAAGGTTTAGATGGACAACGTATCTACGTTTGTGTGCAGGCCTAGAAGTGATGAGGTATGCTGTCACGTAACGGCCCAAAGTAACGCCAAAAGACATACAAAGGTCCACAACACACTCAGACGTCTGTACGATTGTGTCGTTGCGTGATTGTGGCTGTGATTGCAACGTGCTTTAGCGCCAGTAGCCCGCAAGCGCACCTGGGCAAGCCTGACCAGCGGTTCTCGAAGACAGGTACGCTAGGGAAGCGTCCGTTTCGTACCTTGAGCTAAGGGACCCTGAACAACGTTCGACCTCAGTCCGCAGAGTGAAGCTCCGATTCTCCATTGTTATTCACATGTTCCGCGAGAAGCGTTCTAGGAACACATCGTTCTAAGTTCCTGCGGCGTGACTCAGGTACGAGGAATTGCGTCAATCTGCAGATGGACAGCTTGACTCTTAGCGAGGTGATCGCGACAAGGGTTCCGGCCCGCGACTCGCCAGAAAACAGCGTGCTTCAGATCTTCGACACTTGGGCACGGGGTTGGACCTGAAGTTCCCACTCTGATTGCTCCATCGGTTTTACATCTAGACGATACGCAACGCGTCAACTCATGGCCTGCGAGGAGCATCCCCGCTATCTCTCCACGATATGCAATGTACAGGGCTGCGAAAGGGGTTGGAGGCGTTTAGCCAGCTGCGGTATGACGTCCTGCCCAGGCCCTATTGCCAGGCTTTAGAGCCAGTCCCAGGATATTGGCTGGGCCATTCCTGATGCAGCGCAACCGTCTTAGCCATAAAGCATGTTTATTATCTTGAATCGCCCGCAACGCTCCCACCCTGTTCGCGGACCTGGTCGTTCCCATGGAAAAATTGAAGATTCAGCAGAAGACACGCACTGCGCGTAACAGGCTCGCCGAAGCCGTCTCGCGCGGAAATGGCGCAGGATCTCTTGCTGTTCCCCCCTCGACGCTCGCAATCAACGACAATGCTAGCACGACCGGTGTGAACGAGGGCTTCCCAGGGCAGCCTTCCGCACGCGACTTTGCAGCCTCAGAGAGCGTTCCAGTACCGCAGCCGAGAATCGAGCCTCCAACATCTCTACAGTCTTCTGTGGACGCTGGCAAACGCGTGCCCGTGCCTCCCAGAGATGTTACACGAACGCCAACTCGAGGGTTTGTCCCACCTTCATATGCAAGGGAAGGTGCGGTTGCTAACATTCACAAAGAACGTCATCCCCGTCGACACCTCAAAGAACCAGGAGCAATTCAGCGCCACTTCGGCCATCGGACCAGCAACGTGGATCGCCTCAGCAGCACAGTCCTTACAATCGACCTTCGCCAGGTGTGCGTCAAGCTAGTATCGGAATTCGACGAATGCCATCCTCAATCGCCTTGAATCAATATGCACAAGCCCCAAATCTTTCTTCACAGCGACTGAGTCAACCTTTGGATACCCTGGAAGAAGGCCAAGAACTCGGAAGAACGGCATCGAAATCGACTGATTCCACACTCACTCAGCCGGAGCCCAGTAGATTGAGGAAGGTCAAGAGCGCTATACAAACCAAGGTCCCGTTCTGGAGCAGTCCGAGCAGCAAAGAGAAGGAGAAGTCCCCCGTGCCCTTCGATCCATCGGCGCATGGCCCTGCGGATGTAGGGATGGATTACACATCAGATATGGTAGACGTGTTGGACACGCTTGGTAAGTTCACTTGGCTCATGCAGAAGCAATACTGACCTTCCTAGATCCTGAGATTGCAACGCTAACATCTTTGACCAACCTGCAAAATTCGTTGTTCGTACCCAATCTGCCCTTCCTCAATCGGCGACCGACATACAACCTGCGACGAGCTCCGAGTGAGACTGAAAGTCTAGAACAGATCAATCGTATACTGGCGCCAGCTCAAGCTGAAGCAGAATTGCAACCACCTCCGAGACTGATGCGAACCGAGACTGAGGGAACAACCGCTACGCTGGCAACTATCGACTCACGGCTAAGCGACTCTCGATATGCTGTGCTTCCGCACGGTACTTCTCTCGAGGGTTGGAGCAAGCACGACAAGTCAGAGGTGAATGATCACGTCCGACACATGCTCCACTCAAAGCGTTCAAAGTTCAAGCGCTCCATGCGAGGTTTCGGGCAATATGTGAAGAGGCCGCTTGGCTTTCTGGTTACGCTATATGCCACTCTCATCACCATATTTGGTCTCGCATGGGTGCTCTTCCTAATCGGCTGGATCAATGTTGGAGGCCAGCAGATTTACGTCGTCCATGTCATTGATAGTGTCTTGGTCGCTCTGTTTGCCGTTGTTGGCGACGGACTCGCTCCATTTCGTGCCATCGACACATACCACATGATTTACATCGCGCACTATCACCACTATACCTGGTCTCGCAGGAAGAAAGACATGCTGCCCGCGTTGCATGACCAGAACGACCTCCCTTCTACCAACGCACCCATCGCCGCACCACGAACGACAGACCCCGAGGATCCTGAGAAGCAGTGGGAGTTCACTGTTCTGACACCTAAGCAGCAAGAGAAGCTTGAGCACCATCAAGAGAAATTCTGCAAGTCGCATTCGTTCTACAAGCCCCACGAGACTGAGACTCACTACGCCTTTCCGCTGCGCTTCCTCGTCGCTATTGTCGTCCTACTTGACTGTCACTCTATACTCCAGATTTCTCTCGGAGCTACCACATGGGGCATCTACTACAAGGACAGGCATTTCGCCATCACGACTGTCATCCTGATCTGCTCCATCACTTGCAACGCCACTGCTGGTCTCCTCATCTTCCTCGGCGACAAGCGCACCAGAAAGACGGACGTGCTCGAGCGTATGAACAGACAAGAGCTCACCGATGAAGCGATCAAGAAGGTGGAGAAGAAGAAAGAGCGCGAGAGCGAGAGCGAAGGCGACGAGCTCTCTAGGAATGAGCGGAAGGGACGCTTGAGTCTGGATATGATTAGGAAAAAGACTCAGGGTAGTATCGGTAATAGCAGTGGGAAGCGTGGTGAGCTGCAGCCTACAGCGCAGAACCCATATCCTTAAGCGCTAATAGCACGTGCATGTTCTTCGTATTCATTTTTGTAGCGTTTTAGCGGATACCATCTCAGCACATACGTTGTTGCTGTTACATAGCATTAGAGCGTTCAACGCGGAGTTTGACGAAATACTTCGTCCGGCAATTCTTGTCTCGACATGCATGGTTGACTGCTTCACCTTGACACTTTGAGAACCTTAGACAGCCGTAACAACATCGATGTACAGAATGCGGCACAGCAGTTCCAAGAGGCCCGATGGTACATAATGTGCAACAATGTCTCCGAGGGACGCAAAGGGCTATAAGTGATATGGGCACTTGTATGTCCCGGCTGACTGTTCACGGAGTAAACAACTTACGATGACTTAGAGATTTTCGGAATGATATGCTTTGGGGAAGTCTACTAAAAGACGTGAGTTAAAGCTGCAACATATGGTCACCAAAAAGCCGTACTGGCCCATTTGACAGCTCGAAGATGAATCGCTGGTTAAAGCTGTTCTGGGGAAGTCTAGTCGGAAGTCATGCGTGTATTCACACACTTTTTTGAATGGTACGTGAAATTTCGAGGGTAAGTGCACGTTTTAATGATCGCGCCGAGTGCAGATTGGTCACATCTGTACCTGGAGGAAGATATGTACGCCCTGGAGTTGGCTGCAAGTAGATGTTAGCTTGGATCCGACAAAAGTGCGAAGTGGCTACATAGGTATGCAGACGTGCCTAAGTACAGTAAACGCTGTTCTACAACTCTGAGGTACGTAGCTACTCTCGGGATGTCTTCAATCTTTGGCAGGAGTACCTGTGTTGTCTTGTCGACTCCACTGTACCATACATACTCCCCGAACCTTCCGAGGTCCGCTGGAAACATCCCGAGGTCTGTTAGAATCACCTACTTCGGTAAGTATTGACGACTCGTTGCCACTTCATATACATGCAACACGAGAGCCACTCTAGTATTCGGCGCTGTGTCCCCAGATTCGGACTCTGCTCCCCCGGACAAAATTTCCCCACGAAATCCTGCCGCCCGCCCCACACCCACTCTAAGCCACCCCAGCACCACTCCAATTGGTGGAAACGCGTGACCGTCACCCATCTCCTGTCGCCCGAACTACTGATGAAGGTCAACATTCGCGAGATATGTGCGCGAAGACGTATTCCATGCGTGGCTCGGGTAGTGCTCTAATTTGATTGAGGGGATGTTTGGGGGGCGTTGGCTGCGGGTGGCGACACGTCCTCGTGAGTGCATATCCTATAGAGATATAGTGCCTGGAGAAGTGTATATAAGGTATCTCCCAGTACATCAGTTCAACCCTGAAACTTTATTGGGGTTTAAGCTTTTCAATTCTGCTTAGCCGTGAAGGACGTTGTCTAAGCATACAGCCAATATGCATATCTCTACACTCCCGATCCTTGCGACTATCGCATCCTTAACAACATTAGCAGTCGCTGCGCCTAAAGTGAAGTCCCCGGCGTTCTTCCTTGCTGGCGACTCGACAACCGCTGTGCAGTCAGCTGGCGGAGGAGGTACTTTTCCCCACACCCAGAGTTGACTGCAAACGAATATTTGATGGCGACCGAACCAGGAACAGGCTCTTAGAGCCTGTCACGGATTCCAGCTTGGCCTGTTTGCCATCAGATACGTGGTTGTTGCCAATTCAGTTACCCATACCTCTACCAACACTTTTGCCCACACCTCTACCCATAAACTTCCACTGACGAGTTCTAGGCTGGGGCGATGGCTTCCTTAATACTACCCTCAAGAAAGGCGCTACCGGAAAAAACTTCGGACACAACGGTGCAACCACAGTCTCTTTCCGTAATGGCGGAGACTGGGACAATGTCCTTGCAGCCGCAAAGTCATCCCTGGAGAAGTACAGTCCATATGTTACCATACAATTTGGGCATAATGATCAGAAAGTGGATAAGAATATCTCAATGGCCGACTTGACCGCCAATCTGGTCAAGTTTGTGGACGAAGTGAGGGCTGTTGGCGCAACACCCATCCTGGTTACGAGCTTGAGCAGGAGGCGGTTTACGAACAGCACAGGCAAGGTGACAGAGAACCTTGCCGATGTGACTGCGGCTGCGAAAGAGGCGGCTGTGAAGTCGAAGGCGAATATTATCGACCTGAATACCGCGAGTACCAAGTACCTGAACAGCATCGGTGCGGATAACGCCGCAACGTATAACCTCAATCCCACGGATTTCACTCACCTAAATGCTGAGGGCAGTGTCGTTTTTGGCAACTTGGTTGCTCAATTGATCGATGCAGAGGTGCCGGCGCTGGAGAAGTATGTGGTGCCGGTGAAGAAAATCGCGACAGCGCTGAATGCGGGCAAGTACATCTTCCCGGCAGTCTGAAGAGATTTATCGGATATGGAGGACAAATACCGCATATAGGGATCGATAAAATACGTATACACTGTTGTTGTGAGCCGGAGCCTCTATCAATAGCCTTAGAGGTACTTATCCATGGATGTGTGCTAATGACAGGCCACACTGCACAGATCGGGCAGCAGTCTTCATGGAACAAAGTTAACTGAAATGATTTATTTACGCTGCTGCTTGGACGCCGATGCGAAAAGATTTATCCAAGACAACCTCTCTGCTCTGCCTCTTAATTCCAAAGGTATCTGCAAAATGTACTGATCGCCACACCAACGACTGCTTATTCGCAGAGGTCCGGACCAAGCTTCGTAATAGAATCCACATGCCAGTCCATTCGCCATCAAATGTGTATTTGTAGCCAGCTCTGCTTACTTGGTAAGAATTGGCGCAACCTTTCCAGCCTTCTCTGCTGCAATGTTCGCCAGCTTTTGCAGCTTCTCAGCGCGAACCTGGCGGAAGTATCTGAACAAAAGGATGAATTGGAGTTCGATCCTGGAATCATTGTTAGCATCTCACGTGGAGTATTGACCCATTTGACATACCTCTCCTTGGTCATCATCAGGAACCCTTGCACAAGCAGACCCTTCAAGATCTGAGGTCCGATACCTTTGAACAGTGCCCACGGGCCTTCATGTTCAATGATGTATCGCATGACTTCCGTGAAAGTCTTGAAAGGAACCCCATTTCTAGCTGGCGGTGGCTTTGACTGGAGACCGACTTTGGCGACAATGAGAGGCTGTGTGACGATGGTAGCGAGCATCTTCGACAAGGATCCAAGGACTTCTGTAGTCAGCTCATGAAAGAATCAAGACGACATGCAATACGTACGGAAAGCCTCATGTGGCTTCAGCGCTGTTCTGCCAGGATACATAAGCTCCCGCAGACGCTGGTATGCACCATATGTGATCGAAGGGTTCACCACTAGAACCAAGCTTGCCTTGAGCCCTCGCCAAAGCCCTGTCCACCCATCCTCACTGTTGACGACGTCCATACCTGTGGCGATTAGGCCCTTTCGCTCATGTTTGCTCATAGTCTGCTGGCGCGTTGTCACTACAGCGACAGGAATTGTGAACAGTTGAGCTAGAGCACCAGCTATGGCTCCCAGGGACAACTCAGCGGCGGTTGATGGAGAGGCCGAGACGGTCTGGTAGGAGAGGTAGAAACTACGGACAAAGGTGTACCAGTAGAAATATGCGAAGTTGGTGGAGGCGACACCGACCAGCGAACCAAACATGCCTGCGTACAGTCCAGCGATACCTTCGTTCGCAACGACCTTCTGAATAGCGTCGATGGTACCATCGTAATGTTCGTGGTCGGCGGGATTGGGATCGTTCGAGGTCTTCGAGCGCTTTACTTGAACTTGCAGTCGCGTTTTGATCCTTCAATACGGTCAGCTCTGAAATCATCTACGATCCTAGATGGCGGTGACCGAACAGTAACTTACATATCTAGTGGGTAGACCATTGTGTTCGCAATGACGGCACCGGCAGCGCCTGCGACGGCATTCCCCCATGGAGGGAGCACCTCAACCTTCGACTGTCCAGCCATTTCTCAAGTATGGAGCAGATATGGCGTAACCGAGAATACCGTGTTGGGCGTAGGAACGGTAGCTGGAGGCAGCAATGGCAATGCGATGTCTTGGTTGCAGTTCTCTGTACAGGCTCTACAACATGACCTATAGGTACAAGTTGATCTCCAATCTGTCCTGCTTCCGTGATAGTATGCTGGCCCAGAGAAAGTGGGCAGATAGCTTTCGTGCTGCTCCCGATAACCGCAAGTCTGGTTTGGCGCATGACGAAACCCCAGCAGCCGAGGTCCACAACCGAGGTCCCGTCTCTTAGGCGTTTGACAGGGTTCGCTGTGCTCTGTGCTCAACACGCATGCATGGCAAGCGGAACGAGCCTGACCATGTTCGTGCTCCATCTAGCAGCCACTTATAGACATCAGCTATCATCTACTATAACAACCAGTGAACTAGAAGTGAGCAGGGCGGCCACAACTGGTCGTTTGGCAGGCACGTGCGTTGCGCTAGCAGCCGCAACACCACGGCGGCATCACTACATACCATTGACCTGCAATACGGACCCGACTTGACTTCGGCTGAGGTATCATCACTATGGCGAGCACCAGATGATTTCGCACACATCTTCCGCATCAGCTTCGCATGGTCAAGTTTGACCATACAGCCACATCATTGACTATGGCGGACAAGTCGGCGCAGCTTGAGGCCTGCAAAGCAGCAGCGAGCGTACGTGACACTGACCTGACAGCAATACAACAGGTTCAACTGATCTCTATGTACTTACACTTACACTGACTGCAGAGCTACCGTTTACAATTAGAGACTGCAGCATCCAAGGATGAAGCCCTTACGCTCGCCATTCATGCAGCCGAAAACCTCATGAAGGCGCTCAAACTGTCCTCAAATCCGGATGAAAAGAAACAACTAAAGGCGCAATGCGGTATTCTGATGGATGTCGCAGATCGTATCAAAACGTCAAGTGACTGGACACCGCTCGTCAAACGCCAGCCTGAACCTAAGGACGCGCAGATCGGGCAATGGGCGGCCAACGTCGATGCGTCAGGCAGTCCAGGTCCTGCATACGCGGAGACAACACTCTCCGAGGGTTCGTCTATGTACAGCTTTCCAAAAAACGCCGTACCTGCAGACCCGCGTTCGACTTCAGGTAACCCGCCATTCTCCTCCGTCAAGCTTCCTCCGCAACTTGCGTACGACGCAAGTCTTTATGATGATCGTCGACAAGCTTTAATGCCACTCATCGCACTTTCGCATGCTCATACTTTCTCGATTTGCGGTAACAGCCTGGGTGTTGATGCTGATGCGCAATATAAAGACAGAAACCAGATTCCAGGTGGGGATGGGCTGAGTGTTGACCTTTTGCAAGACGCAGAGCCCAAAGCTCACTTGCTAGCAACACACTCGACCCCTCAAGTTCAGTACTCAATGAGTGCACTACCAGTAGTCGATGAATCATCTGCTGTGCCGTCTGTTGCACCAAAGCTGACGACACCTTCGCATATCCATAGACTGACTGAGCCTGTGTCGACAAGGAGGCGATCAAAGAAGGAGGACATCATCTTACTGAAAGCATCCGTCGTCAACGGCTTTAAATGTCCACCATGGGACAAGAACCCGCCGCCAGCTGACTTCACTCCACAAAACGGACAGGGTCTCTTCATGTAGGTTGAGTATTTCTCAGGACATCCATGAATGGTCTCTAACGAATATGCTCAGCGACACCCACGATCTTAGCCTATCGCCTTACCAGCAACAATTTTTCCATGGCTGGGTCCGCGCCACAGACGCTGTGCCACCTCCATTTATGTATCCAAACGGTAGAGATGGTATAGGACCTTTGATGTCGAGCTCGCGCTCTATTGATCTTGTACAGGATGCGGCATCTGATTGCTCGGTGGTTGCCAGTCTCTGTGCTGGGGTCGCTCGAGCTGAACGCGGTCATGACCAGGTCAGTAGTTTTTCGCGATTGCACAACAGAGTACTGACTTTTGGGCAATGCAGATGCTTCAAGACAAACTTTACCCGTTTGATAAACATCTTGGCAAACCCATTCCATCCACAAACGGGAAGTACATCGCCCGGCTCAACTTCAATGGCTGCTGGCGTAAAGTCGTGATTGATGATCGTTTGCCCGTCTCCAGCACCCACCGACTACTTCATGTAACGGATCGGCGTAATCCAGCTCTACTGTGGCCAGCATTACTCGAAAAGGCATATCTCAAAGTTCGCGGCGGATACGACTTCCCTGGGAGCAATTCCTGTAGCGATCTGTGGACGTTCACTGGCTGGATACCAGAACAGGTGTTTTTACAGGAGTAAGTGATACGGTTCTACCTCAAACTATCGACTGACGTGTGCAGGACCGACACAATACCCGAGAAGCTCTGGAAACGTATTTACAACGCCTTTCTTTATGGGGATGTCCTCGTCACAACGGGTACTGGGAAAATGTCCACGAGGCAAGAACGCGAACTGGGCTTGGAAGGGCAGCATAGCTACGTGGTATTGGACATGAGGGAGACAGACCACGATCGGCTTCTGCTAATCAAGAACCCCTGGGTAGAGGGAAAGGGCTGGCGAGGTCCTCGCCCACCGGCGGCGCCCGTTCCAGAATCCTCTACTTCTAGCTCCGGTTCGAAGAACAGCCTCGAAACATACCATCGAGATAGTGTCCCGACCCTGGAGCGGCCTCATCCTACAACATTCTGGATCGGACTTGAGCAAGTCATACAACACTTTGAGAGCCTGTACCTCAACTGGAATCCTGGCTTGTTCCGATTCCGGCAGGACATCCATTTTGACTGGGCAATCGGGTCTCAAAAGATGCCCGGTAACTGCATCGTGCACCATCCACAGTTCACCTTCTTAACGAAGAAAGCTGGACTAGTCTGGTTTTTGCTCAGTCGTCATTTCCGAGATGCACCGACAGGTGTAAAAGAAGAGTCAGACGCGTTCAACGATGGGACTGTACGTGCTGATTCTCAGGTGAATACCTCAGGAGACCCACCCAAAGGGTACATGAGCATTTATGTCTGTAATGGACGTGGCGAGCGGCTTTACATCAAAGACACGTACCTTGAGTCAAGCGATTACGTGTCGACACCACAGTGTCTTCTGCGATGGGATGCCGATGCCGAGTCAAACTACACGGTCGTTATTGACCAGGACGATCTTCCAGCATCTCAGTATACCTTCTCGCTCTCGGCCTTCTCCAATTCACCCATGGCTCTAGAGCCTGCAGTCCTGAAGTATGCCATTCAAAGGCTTGAACAGGGAGCCTGGACAAGACAAAGCGCGGGTGGTAACACTAGCTCGCCGAGATACTTCGAAAATCCGCAGTACGCGCTCGAGATTCGAGAGAGGTCCTCACTCACAGTCCTCCTCACGAGTTCGAACCATGAACATCCTCTTCATATCAAGCTTGCTCTTGGATACGGCAAGAGGATCTACAGACTGCAGAGTCGGGATGTTCTCGCAGACTCTGGTAATCATCGCGTTGGAGCCGCCACTGCTGAGATCAAGGATCTCCAGCCAGGCCTATACACGATCATTTGCTCCCTGTTCGAGGCAGGACAGACGGGCGACTACACATTGCGCATCGACAGCAGCAACGAGATTGGACTGAAGCAGATTCCTCGAGACGGCGCTGGCTTAAAGTCGATGAAGCTGTCACCAGCGTGCTTTGGCGCCAACATGCATAAGATAGCTGCACCACTTCTGCCGCAGCGTCTGGCATCGTACACGATTATTGCCCGCTTCTTGAAAGCAACCAGCCCGCGGTCAATCGATCATGGGATGCTAGCTCGCAGTCCTCTGCGCTTTAGCGTTGAGCAAGGCCGGGGCCCGGAGCGAAAATTCCTAATCGCTAGCGAGCGTGGAGAATACGCTGACTCGGCGACGGTTCGGTCCGAGAGCGTCCACATTGATCCTGCCATCGTCCATCGCGGTGACTTGTGGCTTGTGCTCGACAGACTGTCAGGACCTGGAGGACCAGTTGAAGAGTGGTATGACCTGGAGATATTCACAGACATGCCAGACGCATGTTCTGTTGGCGTTTGGCGCGATTGGAGTGACTAGTCCACGAGACTAAGTCATGAATCGGCGTTTGCGTTTGGTGTGGACAGTGTTTGGCAGGCGGTGGGTCATGTGCAATCATGTTTGGCAAAGTACTTTGGCTGTCCCTTGCTGCACTGAAGCATGCAAGCTGACTGCCAGCACGACTGTCATGACGGACACGTGCTCACATATTCCCAGTCACAGCGCAGCATGCTCAGATACCCGTGTAGCACAAGATAGAGAATAACATGTCTGGGGATCAAAGAGCCCTGGTGCGTAACCGCAGACGAGTTGAAACCAGCAAGGATAGCCGCGGGGCGGTGAAACTGTGCCCAATCACGGCAACACGAAGTGTAGCAGGCCATGCCATTGCCTGTCTGTGGCTCGCGCGCAGCAAGCGCATGTTGAGCGCTGAAGCACGATAACGGCGCGCTAGGTAAATGCGATTCTGCTGGCAAATGGCCTTTTGAACCCTCTGCTTCGTGCTGTGTTGTGCGAGTTCGACGACTCTGTCTCTCCAGATTTACCCCGCCTGCCGCCAGCGGCTTATCGGCATCGTGCCTACGTCAGTGCTTCACGCGTCCGCCAAGCAGAGATCACCTGCAGGGCATCAGCACCGCCACACGACGACATCACGCCGAGTCTCTGGAACCAGCTTGACATAGATTTCCCGCAGACCCTCAAAGACATCTGCCAGCGCACGCAAGCAGTCCAGACATCATGGCGGACCTCGCTGCAGAGAACGCCCGCCCGGGTTCAACTACAAATTCAGCAACCGCCTCGAATGCTGCGTCGCGAGCCTCGACGCCAGGCGCAACAGCAGAGAAGCCACCGGATGACAGCTCCAAATTCAAGACCTTCTTGGGCATTTTGCGCAAGTACGTTGCACGACATGCCCCCTCAGCATGCAAGGACGCATTTTCTGACCTTAGCCCCTCGCAGGTTCATTGGTGTCTCCGATCTCGCTGCCGTGCGCTTCTCCCTCCCTGCGCAGCTTCTCGAGCCTCGGCCAAACTTGGGTACGTCGCACATACTACGAGCAGGAAGAGCCATATAGGATACAGCCTGACGGGCAACAGAGTACTGGCACTACCTGGACAGGCCAGACACGTTTATCAGCATCGGTGACTCTGATGACGAGCTCGGACGTCTGCTGGGGTGCTTGCGTTTCTGGTTTACAAAGGACCTGGTATGCACTACGAATGAATGAGCAGGAAGCAGCGCTGACTATGGTCCAGAAATACGTCAAGGGCAAGCCATGCAAGCCCTACAACTCCACGTTGGGCGAGTTCTTCAGGGTATGTGTCTTTCGAGCGAAGCGGCGCTGGTACTGACCATTCAAGTGTAATTGGAAAGTTGAAGACTCCCACCCCATCTTGAAGACCCCTACCTCGGCTCCCTCGAGCAGCGCCAATAGCGTGGCCGGCGACGGCAAGACCGTCACAGTCTCCTACCTTACCGAACAGACCTCCCACCACCCTCCCGTGTCTGCCTTCTACATCGATTGTCCCGAGAAGGGCATTAGTGCGAAGGGATACGACCAGTTGAGCGCCAAGTTCACCGGCACAAGCGTGCGCGTGGTCGCTGGAGCGCATAACTTGGGCATCTTCATCTCTTTGAAGAATAGGGATAACGAGGAGTACCAGCTCACACATCCGGCAGCGTATCTTGGTGGTATCCTGCGAGGTAGGCATTCACTACTGCAAGACTTGGTCAAAAGCTCACCATGACAGGCTCCCTCAGTGTTTCCGTCGCTGATACCTGCTACGTTACATGTCCCAAGACCAAGCTCAAAGTCATTCTCGAATACCAAGAAGAAGGCTGGCTAGGCCGCAGTCAGAATCTGGTCAAGGGAGTGATCTTCAAATACGACCCTCAAAACGACACCATAACTAAGATCAAGGACGTGTCAGACAAGGAGGTTCTTGCGCGGATAGAAGGTGCTTGGACAGATAAGGTCTATTATACTCTTGGGAACAAGCCCTTCAACAAGGTCGCCGTAAGCACCCTAACAACTCATTGCCCAATAACAGCAGGCTAACTATTTCAAAGGAGAAGCACCTTATAATTGATCTCAACCCGCTCTTCCCCGTCCCCAAGGTGGTCCCACCGATGGAAGAGCAGCTCCCGAACGAGTCTCTCAAGTTTTGGGAAGGTGTCACCAACGCCATTGTTGGGCGACAGTACAACCAGGCCACGACCCTCAAGACCGAGATCGAAGAGAGGCAGCGACAGAAGGCAGCGGAGCGCAAAGAAGCGAATAAGGAATGGCAGCCACGGTTCTTCACCGGCGCTGTCACACCTGTTGGCCGACCAGATCTGACTCCAGATGGTGAGGTTGCGCTGAAGGGGCTGCACGAAGAGAACTACCGTCTCGAGCCGAACAAAGAGTACGGCGCATAGAGGGGGATTTACATACACTGGAGTCTGGGGATGCGTTGGGCGGTTCTTGGACACCTTCGCTTAGTCTGCCTTTGTTTCGGCCTGCGGGAAGCATGTACAGTTGGCGTTCCGTTGGTCTTTCGATACATCCAGCGTGGTTTGGGCTTCGACACCATCGTTGAATTGCATATATTCGACAGTCTACGAATTAGATTTTCTACATCTGAGCTGGCAGGGTCATTGTGCACCTCGACATCGTTTGTGAATTGTTGCACCCAGGATCGTCCGACTTGCCGCCGACGCAGCTACAAGGCTAGAAGCAGGGAGCTTGTAACATTGACAGGGAGCTTTCTTACGAAAGCAGCTGCGCTCAAGTCGAGGCATCTGGTCGTAATTTGGTAGCCTATTGGTTGTGACAAAGAAGACTTCAATCCTTCGAGACTGCCAAAAGGCATCTCGGACGTGGGTGCGGTACTGATGTTAAATTCGGCGTAAGCAGCGGGACAAATGGATACCAACAATGTGGACAGTAAGTCTTGATTCTGGATATACCAGGACGTCTGTTGTGCGCCAGGACACGTCGCCATGCATTATTTGCCTTTCACTGGACACAATGCTTCCACAAGTCCGTTATTGTTCGGCCAACAAACCAATATATATCATGCACGCTCTCTGCCAGCTTTACGAACAAGCAACATAACCAATACAGCATACCAAGAACAACACCACAATCGAATGATATAATATCACCGTCGACACAACAGACCAAATACCACACAATGTGCTACCTCACCCGCGCCCGCTACTCCTGCGGCCACTTCGCCCCCCTCCACTCACCGGCTCACAAACGTTCGCTTGCCAAAGACGATACCGCCCAAATAAACCTCAAGACCGAGTTTCCTACGCACCCGCATACCACGCTCGAGGGATGTCAGGATGCAGGGCGCCGCGGTACGCGGTGTAGTGGGCCGCTGGAGGAGTTGGAGGTTATCGTGAAGCAGGAAGGGGGCCTTTGTCAAGAGTGTGAGGATGGAGAATGGGTGGTTATTGAGCAAGTAGGAATGTAAGGAGGCCACGGGTTTGCCGTGAGCGTCTACTATCATCACGGGGTACAGGGTATCTTGTAGGGATTCAGTGTGGGTTGGGGCTGCTTGAGAACCAGGCAGGGTGGCTATAGATTCAGACGAGTAATGAAGAGGCGCGTTCGAGTGTAGACCCGGCAAACCAATTACATGTCGTTGATTGATGGCAGCTCTCGCTGCTACTGTATCCAGCATACGTTCAATCTGGTTTGGTATCAGTGTAGATAGGACCTTCTTGGTGCCTGTACTCTTTCCTAAAGTCGCGTCGTTAGACAGGTAGGCGCGTTCAATCCTCTTTCTACTTGAAAGAGCCCTTAGCTAAGATGAATATTACAATGACAGTTATGGTTTTGCGAGTAGTTTGGTGTTCTTCTTAGGAGGCATTGAGCGCATTACTCGCGCTGCGAATGCCTTCCATGTTCACTAGCCAATGAGATCATGTAAGCTGATGTGATCACTGCGCTCAATATATGTCAGATTCAATTCATCTACTATGAACCACCTGCTTTATTCCCCAAAAATTTCGAATGGAGCATGTGACGTCATCCACACTGCGCGTCCCAATCTAGTGGTCTAACCCCGAGGAACATCTAGAGGCACTGTACATTGCTCTTTTCCTTCAAGTTAATCATCTCGAAATCATGCCAGTCTCTTTTGACACAACGACAACCCCAGACCTGCCATGGCATTACATACCAGCTGGACAGGAAACATGCAAAGTCCACCTCATACAAGCTGGCGGGCTCGCGATTCCGGAAAACATGGCCTTGCTTCCTGGCCCAGATAAACCTAATGATTCCAGCCAGCAAGCTAAAGATGATGATAAGCCCAAGAAGTATTACGCTCCGGACTACGTCTTCCTCATCGAGCACACACCTACCGGTGACAAGTACCTCTTCGATCTAGGCATCAGAAAGGATCTTGAGAACTTACCTCCGTTGATCTTCAAACATGTTCTACCAGAGTTTGACTGCGAACCAAAGTCACCAGCAGAAATTCTGAAAGATCACGGCACAGCAGAGCAGCAGCCCGAAAATATCAAAGCAGTGATATTCTCGCACATGCACTTCGATCATGTCGGTGATGGGGCGAAGGCTGGATTCGGGAACGCAGAGCTGTGGGTCGGGCCTACGTGCTGTACTTACGCGAGACCTGGATACCCTGTGGAAGAAGAGGCACCAACACTAAGTGAGACCTTGCCTACGGACGGGAGCAGGAAGATCGTAGAGACGTTCGTCCCAGACGAGCTTCTTAAGAATGCAGGAGATAAGAGAGCGGGGAAGGTCATGGAAGGCCTCCGAAAGGGACTTTATAACGCCGTTGCCTTGAAGAAGGCAGACTGGATTGGCCTTGGGTCGTTCGACCGGGCGTTCGATGTATTTGACGATGGCTCAGCTTATCTGATTGATGCACCTGGCCATTCACCAGGGCACCAGATGATGCTCGTTAGAACGACGGCTAGTTCTGGAGACGACACGTTTGTCCTGCTGGCTGGCGATTGCTTCCACCACCCAGACATATTGAAAGAGCCACGAAGAACTGCTCGCCCGCCATACTCAAAGACGGGTATGCACGCAGACCCTGAGCAAGCACTAGACACCATCTACCGAACCAAGGCGTTTGCTGTGAAAGACAACATCTGGGTTATTGCAGCGCACGATTTCAGCGTGGGCCAGAGCATCGAACCGGGCGTGAAGGAGATACAAGGCCTTGTATCGATCAATGACTGGCGAGAAAAGAAGTGGAAGAAGTCATTACACGAGAAGCTGTAGATGATCATGACGTGGAAATGAGTTTGGTATCATAAGCCTGTCGCAACTATGCGCGCTGCTGTAATGTCTCCTGATATTGGTATCATTTTAGGCGCCAGCAAATGCTTGAATGTGTCATCAGCGTTCAATCATCTTTCTAGATCCATATCCTAGCTCTTCGACTTCCCCTTCTTGTCCTCTGTCAGCTCGCCTGATTCACGCTCCTTTCTCCTCTGCGCGACATCCCAGTTGTACACTCGTGCGAATGCGACCTCTAGCGTCTGTGATGTGTCAGCTTTACCCGCATCGAATAGCAACAATCCTTACCGTAATTTGTTCGCGCAGGAAGTCCAAGTCTTCCTCGCACGTCGCCAGACTAGCCTTTGCAGTCGACAGCTTTGATGTGAGCAGCTCCACCGCTTCGGGAATCGGATATGCCAGCATGACATTCGCACCCAGCCACAAATACACCTCATCTGTGGGCGGCACCTCGGCCTTTGCGAACAATGTGTCATTCAGCTCAAAAGTTGTCTCGATAGGGTCTGCGTCCGCTCCTCTCGTCTTCAGGAAGCGCACTGTTTCCAGTGTTTTTGAGATGTCTGGGATCTTGTCCTTCAGTCCTGCCGCTCGCCGTTGTGTGTTTGCTTGCATGAACTGGTACTTCCTACCGAATCGTGTGAGCCGCGACTGGTGTGAATTGGGTATTTGGTGTACCGTACGAGATCATCTCTTTGAAGCTGTTGATGGTGCTCTCCACCTCAGAGCGGTCGGTAACATAATCCTCGACACGGTCGACGAATGGAGCTTTCGGTATGCCCCGCGGGTTCGTCTCCGCCTCCCTTGCACAGTGTTAGTGGATGCCTCCGAAGGTGTCAAGCTCCTTACTGCGCCAACTTCACTACATCCGGCATTGTAGTGCGTCAAAGGTTTGCACGGTATATGAGTCGCGCAGATAATGTAGTAAGGGAGAGTGATTTCGTGGGCAGCAAGAAATGAGCGTTGCGTAAAAGTCGTGAGCCCTCCGGTATCGATATCATTGTTTGTGGTGTTTGCTGCAAATTCATGCCCCGCGTTTCCGCTCTCATGTTCTTGGCACGGGTCCGCCCCGCCCCGTTCAAGCTGGTCTCCAACCCGCCAGCGGAGATCAGTCCTACCGCCGCGACAGAAGCTAATGTTGGGTTCGTCATTCATGATGACTTCACCACTTCGGATGGCACATCTTCCGACTTCTCGACCACAACAGCACAGCCTGACTTCAATCGCGCGTCAGCCACAGAGCCTAGCCACGGATGGTCGGCATAGCCCCAGAAAGCCACAAGCCAGATTTGGGCCCGAAATCGAGACAGTGTGGGTAGCACCCGGAAAGTCTCAACACGAAAGCGGCATCTTCTAGTTATCGTCTACTAGCATCGGAAGAAGATCCGCTAGATGACTTGGATTGCTTGTCTGCGATGTGGCTGACAGTGGAGCTCGTGTCGGTCCATGGACTGGCGAATAAGCAGTGCCATGCCTTAACGGGCGGGCAAGCCTTGCCGGCTGCACAGCTTAGGCCTAAATCGCTCACACTATTGAAGATCAACGAAGGTGCAGAGATGATCTCGAGCTGCTGCAAAGGGACCGATCGCGCACCCGACTTGATCGAGTGCTTGCCTTCCCTGCACTACAATGTCAGCAATGACTAAGGATGAATAAGTGTATACACGTATCAATACATCATTGACTATCTCCCGTCTGTCAAAGTGTGAATCGGTGTGGGAGCCGCTGGGCACGGTATGAATTGCGCGCCCGGATCTCCGCACTGTACCCCGACCATAGAGTCGCCGACAGTCTGACTACTTAGCCTGGCTGACAAGGCGTACTGCACTCGTATGCGGCGGTACTCGATACGGCGCAGGATGCTATCAGCCCACATTCGTATCCTCGTTGGGGTCATCGCCTCACTAAGATGTCGTCAGACTTGCATTTAGGGACATGGCCCATCAGATGCAGATCCTGCAAGAACGTGGGGACCATCCGTATGGTGTGTGTCTATGCAGGCTGTGCTGGTTCGCCTCACTGTGTATACTTTCGTAATTGCTGTTGATGGGCCGATTGCGAGGCTACAGCAGCAACCTTCAATGCACTACTATAGCTCCGCATACACATCCCGCGCAGTTGAGTTGAAAACTTAAAAATTGACGCAATCAGTGACCTCGATACTCCTCCACACGGTTGATGGAGACCTTCTGAGGTGCCAATGAATATGGCGTGCAGCCGTAGCCACAGCCGCAGTCGCAGCCGTAGTACGTACGTCGGACAGCATTCAAGAAGGTGATGACTGTAACCCACGAAACGGTGTGACGTCAAATGTTTCTATATTCTACTCGCGAGAATCCGAGGGGCATGTTTTATGCTACCGATCAATGCAACGGCTATCCGATAAGGACAATGTAAGCACTTTACACCCGACTTTCGAGTGTTGGGCACGCTGGTGGCTGAAGCTGACACGCTCTTCTTGGACTCGCTTCTCCGATCATGCGATTGGATTGCCTCCACAGCCCGCTGCACGAAGAGATGTGACAAGGTTCCCAACCGAAGATGCTGCGGTGGAAGTGTGCTCCCAGACTGGCGGAGTACTGGGTGCGAAACAGATGTGAAGGTCAGAGTAGGCTTTTCGCTACGATCGCTGTTTGCACTAACAGAGGGATCGAGGGAGACCAGAACACAGGTTGGGAGTATCATCGTAAAGGAACTAGAAGAGAATGCAGATTGTGGAGTGAACGCTAAGTACTACGGACTATCCAAGCGATAAACATGCCGAGTAAAACAAAATGTCATACAATTCGTCAACACAAAGAAGCAAGAAACATTGCGTGAGCCATGACCAGTGGAACAACGCTTGTGTCTTGCTGGAAACGCTGAATAATGCCAGCAGCCCAGTGTATACCTGTAACAACCCTAAACGCCCACAACCCCAGGTTCAACACTTGAACAAAGGAGATGTATGCTATCTGTACAATCTACGTGCCAAAGGGTAAAAGCCTATAGCTTGAGACCCTTCTGAAGGAGCTTGCCAAGTGTAGCACCCTGCAAATCGAGTCAGTAATGAATTTGGCAACAGAGTCTAGGACAACTTACATGTTCACCCTTCATCATTGTGAAGTGATTACCGCCCATGACAGCGTACTCGAACTTCTCCTTAGGGAGCAGCTGAGCCCAGCCGTTATCATCAAAGACAGTGCGGTTGTTGAGGAGCCACTTCATAGGAGCTGGGTCCTCTCCCTCACCTGGTGGTGGGCGAGGGTCCTCGGGGTTGGGGCACACGCCGTCGGTGCACCAGATGGCGAGGACAGGAGGTGCAATTTTCGGGTCCATAGGAACAGGATCGTAGTTCTTCAAGTTCTGGATGGCCGAAGCGAAATGAGGCAGAAGCCATGAGGGAGTACCACCAGGCTTTCCGGTACCAAGAAGACCAATCTGATCGAAGAAAATGTGGAGACGAGCTGGTAGAGGATCGAGAGCGACCGGGCAAGGAGCATCGATCAGAACAAGGTTCTCAACCTTCTCGCCAGCATCAACAAGCTGCTTAGCAACTTCGTAGGCCATAACACCGCCAGCTGACCATCCTCCAATGATGTAAGGACCCTCAGGTTGGCGGCGCTTGATTTCCTTCAGGTAGATCTGAGAAACACCCTCTACACCACATTCCCATTTTTCAGGGCACTTCATGAATGGGCAGTTCAATCCGTAAACTGCCATGTCGGGGGAGATGTTGGGAATGGATATGTAGGATGTAGCACTACCGGAGCCATCAGGGACCAAGAAGAACTTCTTGGTAGCAATCTTAGGATTGCCCTGGAGCAGCACGGAGTTGGCAGTGGGTAGTTGAGAGACATCAATAGCCTGAGCGAGCTTCTTGTTAACCTCTGCAAGTTGGGGAGCCTGAGCGGTGATCTTGGCGGTAACTTTGACTTCCTTGGGAGCGGCACGCATATCGAGGGCGGTTTCGATAGCCTTGATTGTGACGTTGACTGTGAGGAAGTCGGCAGGGAGATCGCGTCCAGTCTGTTCGCGGAGGGATCCAAGAATTGTCAAGCTCATCAAGGAATCCATACCGATATCAGTCAGGTCGAGATCGTCAGTGATCTCTGCAACATCGACACCCATCTCCTCAGCAACAAGCTTGCGAGCAAGGCTATCCTCACCCCCGACAACTGCTTCGGAGACCTTGATATCAATGTCATTTCCGTCAACACTGGGGGCGGAGCTGGGAGGTGTGCTGCCAGCATCACGCTCGTAGGGCGTGGAGGGGTCAGACGGCTCGTCAGTAGTATCTGAGGCATTGTCCTCGATGATGGTGGCACCACCATCATACTGATTGAAGTGCTTCTTCAACTCGCCAACACTGGCGCAGTCGGTGAAGAGAGTTGACGGGATGTCCATATCCAGGTCCTCGCGGAACCTAGCCGAGATGGTCAAAGAAAGTAAGGAGTCGACTCCGAGGTTCTCGAAGGCAGCATCATCAACGAGCTCAGACATGTCAACATCCGTCTCTTCAGCAATGATTTTCATGACTTTGGCTGTGACGCCGCTGTTGACTTGCTTGACGACCTTGGCCTTGACAGGTTTCGCTGCAGGCTTCACGGCCTTGGTAACAGCAGGTGCGACCTTGACAGGTGCGGCAGCAATGGCCTTGACCGGAACAGACTTGACGAAAGACTTCGCGGCGGGAGCTGTCTTGACGCCAGCCGGTGGCATCATAATGTTGAGAGCACGACGAGGGATGTTCTGGAACTTGAGACCAAGAACCATTCCGATGATCTCCTCGCCTTCAAGGATATAGACATCACCGACGGAAATATTGCCAGGAGCGGGTTGCATACGGACATAGGAACGGTACTTCTTCTCAGGAGAAAGCTGCTTTGAGATCTTGATGGACCCCCAGCCGTGGGAGATGTAGACCGAGTTGTCGGAGTCGAGCTGGTCAGAAGCGTTGACAATGAAGCCAGAGAGGTGAGCTAAGCTGTCAATCCAGTATGGGGAGCAGAAGAACTCTCCATCTGCCGGAGTGGTCTGGAACTGGACTTGAGCAGTTGCTTCGGTATTCTTCCCATCTAAAATGACCTCCTCCATACCACGGTAGTTGTCAGCGTAGGTCACCAGGGCCTTGAAGAGCTTGTAGGCCATGCCACGCAGCACCTTATGAGCAGCGCCGGTCTCTAACTTTTGCTTGAGGACATCAATTTGAGTCTGGACCATGTACTGGATGCGACTCCACTCCTCTTTCCAGACTTTGACATCTTCGTACTTGACAACTCCAAAGGCGTGCTCGGCAAGGACCTTGGACCCGTCGGCGGTCACTGTGCGGAATCTGACGTCGACCTGGTTGGTCTCGAGGTCAGCAGTAGCCTCAATTTGCAAGTGCTGGCCACCGGCTGGGGCTGGCCATTGAGGAATCAGAGTCTTCGGCACCTCCATGGCGTGGACGTTGAGGCCGGGCGTAGGCATATTGGGACGCAGCTGTTGGTAAAGGTAGTCAGCGGCAGTCATGGCCTGGTCGGCGTACAGCGACGATGGGCACAAAGGAGTTCCATTGACTTTGTGGCCAGTGATAGCTGCCTTGAGCTTAGGGTCAGACAGATCGGACTGGATGACCACAGTACCAGAGTTAGCATGAAGCTCCTCGTGGACAATCTTGTGGCAGGACGTAGTGGATAATTTGGATGGAATCTCGACAGGAGCCTCGATGGCCTTGGGCTGAGCAGGCTGGACGGCCTCGCCCTTGGTCAGGGTCCAGTTGTTGTGGTAGTCGAGCCAGTACTTCTTACTATCGAAGCTGTACGTCGGAAGTGTCAACAGCTCATAGGCACTCTTGAATTGTCTGTGGTACTCATTGAAGTCGAAAGCCACACCGGCGAGATGAAGAGTCGCAATGGTGTTGGAAAGAGTCTTCCATGGATCCTCATTACGGCGAAGGGACCCAGCAGTGATGGGTGTCCCACCGAGGGTGGACTTAACCATGCCACTGCAGACAGGATGGGCGCCAACCTCGAGCCAAGTAGTCTTCTCGTCGAAGAGCTTCTGGTCTTTACCAGCAGTCAAGGCAGTCCAGAAGTTGACAGTCTCACGCGCATGGCGAGCCAAGTACGCGGCGTTGATGATACCAGCCTCGCAAATGACTTCTCCAGTGAGAGGGGACATGACCGGTACCTGCGGTTTGCTAAATACAACGGCAGCGGCAACTTCCTGGAACTTCGCCAGAATCGGCTCGACCTGAGCAGAATGGAACGCGAAAGGCACATTGAGCTTCGTGGACTTGAAGCCCTGACCAGAGAGGAGCTGGTTGGTAGACTCGACAACTTCGACTGTGCCGCAGAGTACAGTCTCCTCAGGGCCGTTCATGCAAGCAATCTCGGTCATCTTATCGCCAAGAGCGGCCTTGATGGAGGAAGCGCTGCCTTTGACGGCAAGCATACCGTGCGTACCAGCAGTACACTCCTGTTCAAGAATCTCAGCGCGGCGGCCGACTAGGAGGACCATATCGCTGGCAGAGATGACACCAGCGACGTGGAGCGCAGCGTACTCGCCGAGGCTATGGCCGACGACAGCAATCGGCTTGATGCCCCAAGATTCCCACATGCGGGCAAGAGCGACCTGTATGCAAGCCATACCAAGCTGTACAATGACGGGCGAGAGTGTGGCAACATCAGTACCAGTGAGCAAGGGCAGGAATGATGGAAGACCGTGCAGACGTGCGATGTTGTCAAGCTGGTCGATATCTGCCTTGAACGAGTCAAGATCTTCGTACAGCTTCTGGCCGAGACCGGTGTACTGCGAGCCTTGGCCAGTGAAAGTGAAGGCAGTCTTGGTTGGTACCATGGGGAGTGGGTTGTAAGAGTCTTTCAGCTGAGTCTGGAGAGCATCCTTCACCTTCGAGATGTCGTCGACGCAAATAGCGACGCGGTAGTTGTGCTGAATGCGACGAGCAGTGGTAGTATAGGCCAAGCTAGGAAGTGTGGTCTCTGGATTCTCCGCTAGGAACTTGATGATGTTGTTAATGTTCCTTTTGAGGGATGCAATGGATCTGGCAGTGACAGTAACGGTGTGCATTGTGCGAGGATCAACGCCGTTCGGCGCCTCGCGCAAAGGACCATCCTCTAGCAGAATAGCGGTGTTACCACCAGCTGCAGAGAAATTGTTTAGGAAAATCCTGCGCTTCTCAGCGCCATTGCGCGGAAGTGCAACCTGTGTAGTAGAGATGTGAACGTTGCGTTGAGCAAGATCCTTGGGGAAAGTCTTGTTCATAACTCCCTTGATGCCGACATTGGCAGGGATAGCATTGTTCTTCATCATCAACAAGACCTTAACGAGAGAATTGATACCTGAAGCAGCTTCACCGTGACCAATATTGGCTTTGATAGCACCAAGATGGAGAGTCTGCTCAGGGCGACGCTGACGATGACGTGGGGCAAAGACGTTGGTTACAGAGGTCATTTCGATCCCGTCACCAGCCTGGGTACCAGTTCCATGCATCTCCACGTAGCTGATATCGTGGGCGTCAACACCAGCATTGGCGAGGACCTTGCTGTAGAGGTACTCCTGAGCACCAGCGTGAGGGTGGGTGATAGAGACGGCTTCGGCACTGTGGTTTGTGGCGGCACCGAGGATGCAACCAAGGATATTATCCTGGTCAGCAATGGCATCTTCGTAGCGTTTCAGCACCACTGATCCACAGCCGTCACCACGGCAGTAACCGTCAGCATCATTGTCGTAGGTCTTGCAACCGCCGGTCTTTGATAAGAATTGGCCCTTGCTCAGGCCTGAGAAAATGTCAGGGTTGGTAAGAACGTTAAGACCACCAGCACATGCAGTGTCGCAATCGCCAGCCCAGAGCGAGGTGCAGGCCAACTGGATAGCTGCGAGGGAAGACGAGCAGGCAGTATCAATGCTGTACGAGGGACCAGAGAACTTGAAGTAGTAGTTGATGCGTCCGGGAGCAAACGCACGCACACCACCAGTGATGAAGTAGGTGTCAATGTTCTCAGAAGCGTTGATTTCACGCCAGTCATCGGAGGTCTGGCCATAGAAGGTTCCGATCCTGTTCAGCTTGGTAGATGGTGTGCGGTTAGGAACGTAGCCAGACATCTCCAACGCCTCGAAAGCTGTCGTTAGGGCGAGACGACCCATAGGATCAGTCTGGGCAGCCTCACGCGGAGACATGTTGAAGAAACGAGGGTCAAATAGACCAGGCTCGTCAATGAAGCAGCCGTAAGGAGTGTGGCTCTTGTTCTTCCCCTTTCCAGAGGAATCACAATGAGCCTGAGCATCAAAGCGGTCTGACGGAACCTCGCGGTGGACATCGAGACCCTTCTCAAGGAGCTCCCAAAGTGCTTCAGGGGTGGCTGCACCGGGGAAGCGACCAGACATACCGACAATAGCAATCTTGTCGCTCTGAGTACGGCCACGGGTAGCATGTTCAGTCTGCACCCACGAAGTATGGTCACGAACCGTGGTGCGAGACTGCCCACCTGCCTTGAGAGCAGATGCAAGGCTATTGGCAATGTTGGTTACACCAATAGCGGCGACAGAGCAGTCTGCGCTACCAGTGGTGGTCACCTGAGAGACGACTTCACCAAGCAGGCTGTCCCAGCGCACGGGCTCGAGGAGCATATCGGAAAGGGCATTTCGCATCAAGTCGAGAGTGCTGGTCGCGGTTTGACATTTGCCGCTGGCTGCCGAGTGGATCAGAGCCAGGGGTCGGAACTGCTGGAAGTGCCTGGTCGCCTCGCTGTCCAGGATGCGATCGATATCGGCTTGAGCATGCATGTGCGAGGCATGGTAAGGCGCATATACAGGGATGGGCACGCGGGTATTGTTTCTGAACGCGTCGATCTCCTGAAATAGGCGTTTCGTCGTTGACGGTGGGCCGCTGATAGTCAGGGCCATGACGCTAACCGCGCTAACATAGGCGCGCGCCGAGGCTGGTATCCGTCGCTCATCGTGAAACGTGGACAGAGCCTTCTTTGCTGCGATTTCAGAAATACCTGTGACAATGGTCGACCAGCTTTCTTTGGCCTCAGAAGACTGCCCAAGCGCATCCTTGGCCGCCCCAACGCAGGTACCGACGCGGAAGGCGACACGGACAGCTTCTGTTGCAAGAGGCAGCAGCTCACTGATCGATCGTGCGGACGCTACGACCGAGGCTGCAATGGATCCAGTGCACAGACCGACAAGTCGTGTGTTGGCAGGGTTGGGTAGATCGGTCGGGTTCTCGCCGTAGTATCCAATGAAGTGTGCAAGTTGGGCAAGAGTGACCATGCAGCTCTCGAGCTGAGCAATCTTCTTGCCTTCGGTGTAGTACGTGTTGATGAGATCCCAAGTGGTCAGGAAATCTGGGATCTGGTCGCGCTGTGTTTTGGGCAGTTTCTGAACCTCTTCGCGGAGAACAACACTGGCCCGGTCGAGGAAGGTCGTAAGTGTGGCATTATTCCTCCATGTAGCCACCTTCTTGAGGAGGGGAAACTGATCAGCGGTCTGATCTCCGAAGATGAGGACGTTCATGATGGCGTCTTTGGGTCAGGGTATTATAGGTGTAATGGAAAGGGAAAGAAGGCGGGGTCAGTGCCTTTCTAGAAAGTAACTCGTTGAAAAATGATAGGATGAGTGCGAGAATGAACCTTCGAACAGCGGGGTCAGTGCTGTATATTAACGAAGGGTATTGACGAGTTGAGTTTTGTTGGTGGTGGCCAGGTCCTCTGTTGGAGTGGGCAGTAGGGGTCGTTTAATAGAGGGCCCGAGGAACTGGATATGGAAGGATGATTGCGAGTGGTTCATGGGGGAATGACGGTAGCCCTTATATGTGTATGATCACCCCGAGTAGTTGGGCATGAGAAATCCGCCTGGTGGTCTATGCTTGATCCGCACGATGACAAGCACTTCGGCACCGGATCTGTGACAGCACAGATACGGGGCCATGTACTGCGGAACGATGTACTGCAGCAACATATTGACGCGAAGACAAGATTGAAGCACAGTCTAGTCCTCTTTCTGGATGGTGCTGCCATGATCCCGAGGGGTGATGGCGTGCAGTGACCGGGTATACTCCGAGTAAGCTTCATGCCTATTGATAGCTGGCGCACACTAGGTGTGTATGCCAGCCGCTGATGTAGCGAGCCAATGCGTCACAGACGATAGGAAAGGTGAGACGTGGGAACCTGGATAGCAAGGCGCTGTCTCAAAGTCGGGGCTAAATCTGCCGGATCCCCTCATGTAAGCCGGGGTGGGCAGGGAGCCCGTGTGTTTTTGCTGTCAATTACAGCACTGGCTAGGCACCCAAAAGCTTGGACCTGTGTCAACCGCATGGAAGGATAATGTGAGATAGCAAACCGTCGTGAGCTGTTTGGACGTTACTCCTGCACATAGCATGTCGCGCAAAGGCGAGTTTCAGTGCGTGGTAAGCGAGGCGGCCTGACAGCACATATTTCCAGATGCTCGAGCGAAGAATTTGTCAAGTCATCAATCTAGGGGTCTGTCTATCCGGCTGTGCTGCCATTGTTGGTGCATAATCTTTCGCAGAGGCCCACATGCCAAGCTTCTGAGACTACCACAACTGATCACCACCGTTCATGATCTCAGTAAGCATTGCTTCGTGCAGGTTGCAGAATGAGCGAGTAGAGCGCCACCTATTCAAGGGCGCAGCAACAAACTTCTTAGAGACCCCACCCGGAACCAGGGACGTAAGAAAGCTTCATTGCTGATGAGAGCCTGCACGATGCAGACAGCACAGCCCACCACCGGTACAGCTGAGAACGGCGGGCTATCCTAAACAAATTAGAATGCAATCAGGCTTAGTACCTTCGGTTCGGTGGATCGACATTAGACAGTCTGGATACGATGTTGGGCGAGTGCTTTGTGGCCTGACCGTTAAGAGCATTTCCCCACAGGTCCCAATTATGGAGTGCCGTTACGGGATCTTCAAACTCAAATACAATGTGTAATCGCTCGTTCCGCAGTCCAGGTATCTTCGCTGATTGTGGTAGTATTGAGAAGCTGAAGATCTTTGCTCTGTTGCAATGATCAGCGTTCACGGGGTTCCCCAACGTCCGAAGTCTTAAGCTCGATTAGAACCGCGCTTGAAAGAAGGACGGTGCGCATCTCGCTGTGGCTGGAGTACCCGCATATGTGTACTCCTATCGTCAATGACTCGGTCTTGCCCGTTCGTGTGCAGCTTTGGACGAAGCCTGGACTAGCGCTCGAACAGCAGTTTGGAATGCGAGCTCCGACAGGCTCAGGTCGAGCTGCTCTGTGTCGGTCTTGTCCGACATCGTCGCCGCTACTGCTTGGATTCAGCTTGCCAGGACGCAGAGACGATGCTGATCGACGTTATCGCGATGGCGTTGATTGACAGGCATGTGCTTTAAGGGTCGTTCACGTCAGTCAGAGCCGCGGCTCCCCATGCCGAAGCAACTCCAAGATGGGAATTTTGATGTTCCGCTCCGTGCAATCACCCCTGCTGCTCTAAGCGAAAAGTATAATCCCTTACACCGTGAGCCAGTCTTGTCAAGCGTCTACATTGATACACACATTCCCCTATTTTCGGTCGTGGTGTCGCACTGGTGCGAGCGCAGGTACCAAAACAACTCGAAACTTGTTCGAAGGAACAGAGCCCCTGAATAGAGGTAGGTCTTCCAAATCGATGCGATTTTATCATGTCCACGTTTCCAGTTGTGAGGTAGGTACATTCTTAGACATCATCACACCGAGTCGGACTCTTCGGAAATAGCTCGTAGAAAGAGTGCATAACAACAGTGGAAAGTAAAAGACTTGGATTTCAACACAATTCAGCGTCAACATGGCAGGACACAGCTATGGGATGCTTTCGTGTTCGAATTGAAGTACCTTCCATGTACTCTTGTCACGCAGTCAAACTGTGGTCAACATGAACATGTGATTGAGACGCTACGACTTCGCGTTACTGTCGAAGACTCGCTTGCATTTGTCTGGGGGGTAATTCCGTGGTCGAACATGGATTAAGGAGACGAGAGGCTCTTTGACGAAATCTACAATCACATCTCCTGTGTCGGCCCCACTTGTCCAGGCAGCATGTGCCTCGACGGACCCGACTTTGCACTGCATGCTAGGCCTCTACAGCATAGCATTGTCCCGTGCGGACTCCATTCGATGGACCCAAGATATGGGTTGCAGCATTATCGCGCTACGATCGCAGACGCATCAACTTCTGCATCAGCTCAGTGCTAATCCGCCACAGCTCGGTGATCTCTCCAGTCCAATAGCTTCAAGATGCTGTCTTCGCTCAGAACATACTTGACGCCAGTATAGGCTACTCGCTCTGAACTCTAACGTGCGTACTGAGCCGCTGCACCAGGGATGTAGACCCCGTTAGAGTGTATCTCATCAGACATCAGGACCAGCAACCCGTCCATTCGCAGCCACTCACCACATCCAAGATCACCAACTTCTCAACAATGACTCTGCATGTGCTCCATCACGTTTGTATGATGCACCACGCGATTCTGGGCTGTATCAACTTACGCGTCAAGATTATAAAGCATCGATGTGTCGTAAAGTGGCGGCAACATGCAGCCTTCAAAGCTCCTGACAACATCGAAGGCCAATGGTTCATGAATTCTATGCAGAACGCTGGTGCAAATCATCGATTGGCACTTTGCTCCATTACAGTGTCAACCAATATTTCAGCCACTCAATACAACCTTTCCTTTCCGACAGTAGTACGTCCTGGAGACTAATCACTGCAAAGTGTGCTGTGCTCTGGAGCCGAATCACGTACTCAGATGTGAAGCAATTATTCGCTCTTTTTCGTATTTTAGGATTTGCTCACATACTCACACAATCAGCAGATTCGTTCCTTTGCAGACGACGCTAAAATTATGATAGTTCTATACCTAGGTACAGAGCCAACAACGTACATTTCCTGAGTGAAGTGTCGGCGAATTCAATAAGAGCATGGTTTCGGCGCATCGATTTTGCCGAAATACAATAGTGGATACTTGATCCCCCTGGCGCCGTTGATATAGCTAGCTAGCGTGCAAGGGCTAAACACGCCAGTGGATATCCGTACCGCGATCGCCCCGGACCGTCGAACGCAAAACCCACCCAGTGTGCAAGGCTATTGTTTGAAGCTTCCATGCTTGTTCGCGAAATCCCATTCGTGTCTATTGTTTGGTTTCAGAACTATTTCGAGGCTCTGCGGATCCCATCGTGAGCACCCTCGAAACTGCTTCTATTCGCCTGCAACAACAGACAGGCATAGTTGGAATATCATCTCTACGACGACTGCACGATGTCTGCCTTTAGCCGACTTGGGTTTCACGGAGACCCAGGGTCGCTAGTCTACGAGTAATTGGCGCAGAGCTAGAGCGCCGCTGCTCCGCGGAAGACATAACGTGCCGTCCCCGAAAGTAGCAGTCATGACGGCACCACAGGGTGGTTGAGATACATACCGGAAAGCCTCAAAGACAAACGGACAGCTGTCATGCAAGTTGCAATTTGGCTTCAAGCTGTCAAGATTGATGCAGGCGGAAATAGAGCGGTTGCTGCTCGGCTAATTTTTATTGCTTGATGGGCGGTGCTGTCGCCAACGCTGCGTTTTTGTAAGGCCGAAACTTCACCGCAATGCTTGGAAAACGAATTCATGATGGTTGTACAGTGCCTCCCCCGCAACTAAAGTTGGAACAATCGGACCCCGCGCGGAGATGGGCTAACATTCTGATCGTAGAGTGGGCCTCATGTACCTTCATGTATCTTGGTGTGCACAACGTATGGAAACTTCGGGTCACGGCTGCAAGATCTGGAGAACATAATCAATCGGCCCTAACCATGTCAAAACTGCCAGTCCCGGTCTGCAGGTGGTCATCGATTGCAAACCTTGGAACGGGCCCGGGATAAAGCAGCGTCTTATTCGCGAACTCTCAAGAGGGGTTCGATACAAAGTAAACTGGCATAAATCTCCACAGCTGAAATCTTTGATAAGAGTTCGAGAACGATCTGGATCTGTGCATCGGCACCTCATCCACAGCAAGAACATCAATTCCTAGCGCCACGTGATCATACCTCATGGGTAGGCAATGCCGAATTGTGCGAGTCTACCACTCTGAGGCTAATGTCTGAGGCTGGCGCGTTCTCCAAGATGTGGTTCTAGGGTCTGATCGGTATCTTTATGAAAAGGTCGCAAGTTTGTCCGAGAAGGCGGAGTTCATACTTGGGTTGGGAGCGTTCTCGTCGAACCGTCTTTGATGACGACATGAAAGCACGTTCACCGCATCTTTGTTGAGATGCCAGATTTGAAATGGCTGTAACACCTTACTTTCCTCTTCAGGTCAAAGGGTCTTGAGATCCAAAAATTACCATAGGGTAGTCACCTTGCTTCTGGCGATGAGCCACACGATCTCGTACCACGATCAATGAAACGCACCTGTTGGTACTGGTAACAAACCACGCCTCCAACCACTTGCCTGGGAGGTCTCTTGCCTCGTAAAGGGAGCCATGTGAGCTCCTGGTGTAACGCGAAGCCACGCGGAGACTCAGCAAGCCACGTTAGCTCGACGCATCAGATCTCGCGGTGCATAATCTAGTTTGTTACACTGCTTCAGTTCGGTAGTTGCACGAGCGGCAGCAGCAAATTCTGACAGCGGATTCTCGCGTCTTCGGCACGCCGTGAACTCGATATTTTCAAGGATCAAGTGACCTATGCAGGGTCTTTACCTACTTTGTACCACAGGTCTGCTTCGACATGAACTGTGTTGCAGAAGTTCATAGAGGACCTTTCCAGGTGACTAGACAATGATACGGAACGTCGAAGGCTCGGTGAGATTTGATTACTGGGAACGGCA